TTTTCATACGTCTTTTCATGAAAACTTGTGCCGCGCTCAATCGTAAGTTAAACTTACATCTCGCTCGTAACATTCTTAAGCCGACAAGACAACATCGGGCTAGAGGTATACTGCAGTGCCCAAGTTAGAGAAATTTTAGGCATTTTATGAGGAACAATTGTGAGGAAAATGTCTGAATTTAATTTTTTTAATGTTTTAATGTGACATTTTGCTAATGATATACGGAAATACTACTACTACGCAATTGTAAGAGATTCGTAAAGGTCGAAGGCAAAAGATGACAAGGTATTAGTCGCGTTCGTATATCAGCTGTTGATGTACAGAAGCGGAAACTATGACTGATATGACTGAGAGAAAACCGCTCATTTTGGGTTGTAATTGCGAGGCGTAGTGAGATTTTTGCGACTGTAGGGAGTATCTTTAGAATAAACTTCACTCTTGCTCTCCGTGTTTTCCAAGTTTTGAATGTTATTTTCGTCGGATTGCTAGTACTAAGTTTTCACAGCGGAAGTTGCTTTAAATTATTAATGTTGTTGATTCAAGCACTTCATATGGACAAGTTTTCTCGAGAAAACCTTATATACATGTAACAGGGCAAAGTTTTAACTCAGAGAACAATGCTCTACCTCGCTATTTTTCAAAGGGCGGAGCCAATTTTGGACTTTTCTTAAATTTGGTTTATGTTCCTTTTCGTAGAAAGTTTTTGTCTTTGTTAAGTTTTAACATGAACTGAACATTAAAACGTTCGTTGCGAATCCACGCAGTGTCGGCAGTCATTGAGTTTTTCGTCCTCTGAAGTGTTTTATACATTAAAAGAAGCCTCCTTTCGGTCGTGACCGGTTGTTCCTCTTCAATCGTCTTATCTCGCTTTTTATCTTCTTTAATTTTCCATTAGTGTTTGTTGTACTTTGAGCAGCTCGTTTGTTAATTTGTTGACAGTTTTTCTGTCATTCTCTAACAGTCAAAAAATATGCTGATATAAATCCTGGCCAAGCTGTCTTAAGATCCGTAGTTTATATTTAGTTACATTATCCTTTGTTCTTTAGAGTTGTTTTGTTGTATAAATAAAGAACCATGACTGTGTACCGAGTTTATTAACGAATAAACACCTCAGCTGGGAGAAATACACCGTACTGGCGGTTTTTCTTTTGTTATTTGACAGGAGTTATGGCCTTTTCAATAACCCAGTTTGTGAAATTATTGCTGTGGTTTTAAGTTTTGTCTTTAGGTATTTTAACTCATGCTGTTTCGTATTGACGGTGAAGCAATAAATGCACGTTTTTTTCCTCAGTCGCTAACTTTTATCTTATAAAATATGATGAAAATACTGTTGGTTACGATATTGAATTTAGTTATGCTGTGTTCTGTTCATTGACATTTTTTTATTAGTCTGTAGCCTTTGACAGGATACTCCGCCCCTCGCTGATAGTGAGTTAGTCAATCAATCATAAAAGAGCCAATCTATTTTCATTTTCTCCCCTTGCTGGCTCTCTTCAAACGCTTAAATGGCTTTCTCTCACAAGGATTCGCAAATGTGTTCAGCCAAAATCAACCAGCTAATTTTAAAGACGACCAATACAATTTTCCTTTTTTTTACTGAGCTGTGAAAAATCCTGTGGGTTTTTTTTCCCAAACCTCTCTATGAATTTAAATATTTAAGAGTTTGTATTCCGAGAACAGGTGACGTTAAGGAATATTCAAATTTTTAACTATTTCTTTTCCTTCATTGTGTTAATGTAAGTCGTTTACAATCCGTCTTGACAAAAACGAACTTACGAAAAAAAACATAGCTGTATGGTCTTTGGTCGGTTCCTTAACCTTTGACGATTCGGGTGAGATCGCTATCGTGATCTCGCGTGATCCCGCGTGATGTCGCATCTAGTTATTAAATGTTACTTTGATGTTTAAGTAAATACTTTATCTAGCAATGCCGTCATTTGACGAAATATGATTGTTTGAGTAACTGGAGATTAATGCGAGCAAAAAGCTGAGCCGCTTTTAGCACAAGTGTTAATGAAAATGTTGGCAGGTCCATAATATGCAAGAGCCACCGCAGAAACTTAAAATACGATCAACAAAATAACTCTTCACTGATATCTTTGTAATAAGGTGTTAAAAGTATTAAATAAAGAAAAAGACTATACAATGTCTACGGACTTATCCTTCCACCATAATATTGTCAGCTGCTTTTTCAATAAGCTTTCACGGTGTCGATGGGTAATCCTTGCGTTAAAATTCAGCTGGCGAAGCCAAGCTGATTTGTATCTTCTGTGGCTGGTTTGGGCAACAACTCGCGGTACTTCTTGGAGCTGCTACGAAAAACCATGTACGAGAATAAAAGAGAATATTCCATGAACAAATTTTAGCTGTTAAGATATTTAACTTTGTTAAATGAAGTTTTCTCTCTGTGTTTTTCGTTGATTGGTTTCTTTCCGAGGTTTCTTTTTAATTCCTTCCGAGCTCTTCGTCTACGTAGTCGTTTAGTTCTTTCTTCACATTGCTTCTGTTTCATCTATTTTGGTCTCTTTCCTCTTGCCTGTCAAAATCGGCGATGACACTTAAGCATGCCCTCACGTTTTCGGTATTAAACCAATTAGCGCCATAAGAAAAGGGAAAACATGGTGTGCCCTTCTTTCTGCAAGATCTTCCTCTTCTGCAGCCTTCATGCTGCAAATGTAAATTTCATCCTGTAAAATGGCAGTGGAACTGTTTTCAATTGTTGAACTCATACTTCAGCGCTAGTGGTTAAATGACAAGTGTAGGCAGCTTGTTTCTGATTAAAAGCCATTGTTTCGCACTAAACGTAGAGGTCTTCTGGTAATTGGCAAGACGGTTGTCATTGGAAGACAGAACAAAGAGCGCAGCAGGTTTTTTATGCAAAAAATTACGTTGCAAAGAAAAATTACGTTGTCTTTTCAGTGCGATCGTGAGCATTAAGTATTAACATCGGGTTCTGTTTTGACCCCTAAAGGATGCGAAATTCGACGGTATGATGGTCATCCATGTACAATGTCCGAAACAATTACGTTTCTGTCCTCCAGAGGAAAGGAAACTAGACGAGAGGAGGTTGCAGATGGAGAGCCTAAGGCAGAGGTACGTACAAGCGTGCTATAGAGTCGCCGCTAGGGTTAAATAACTTAAGTACCCGTCGAAATCTTAATCGCAAAAATAAAACCGCCTCCTAGGTTAGCGAGCTTTGCTTGGTGGCACTCATTCGCCAGAAATTAATCAACAGGTACGAAGTCTCAAACCCAGTCCTGGAGATCGATTTATAGAAAAGACTTTTGTTGGTTTTATCTTGTTTTTAAGACTCCTGTGTACAATTTCGGTGACACAGTGTTGCCAACCAGCTCGTCGACTTCTTGTCCTGCGGCAAACAGATTAAAAACTAACATACAAGAAAAAATTGTTAAAATTTGTCACACAATTGTCTGCGTTTATTTCGCTGCGAGGTATTTCGGTGAATTCGTGTTTTACCAGTGGCAAGTTAATGATATAGTAGACCGTGTTCCGGACTTCGCTAAGTCGATAAACACTGCCAGACTTTAATTATTTTGCACAAAGTTGAAAAGCCATCAAAGCGTTCCTGATAAAGGAAAAAACGCCGATGATGTGAGCTTTTTATGGCTTATTGTCGCCAGTAATAACTCTGGAGTAGACGCTGATGTAAATTATGAAATTGCGGCGAGGAAAATTTGACTTTTTTGGGTAACGTTTTGCATATTCATAGTGTAATTTTGCACCTTTCGATAAATGTTCTGGGATTCGCAGCCACCTGTTTGTGTTCACTGTAATTGATTTCGTCTGTTCATCCTCGTTGAGGCTCTGCATTCGCGCAGTCGTTTTTAATCAGTTCAAACAAATTCGCTGTGTCTAAGGACGAGTTAGGTCTTTGTTTCGCAAGCGGTTTGAAGCATTTTTTCGTAAAATGTTTCAAACTGATGGAAAGTTCTTGTTTTGAGTTGTCATAGCGGTGGGTAACTCGCTGCGTTGTATTGGTGCATTGCTGGCAAATAATTCATCGAATAATGAGATGAAACTTGAGAGCGAAGAAGTAATGAATTAATATTAAAATGCAAAAGAACCAACGGATGAAATTTAAGCTATGTAATTCGTGAAACTTTCGCCTTTTGGCTTAAATATCCTGGGATCGTATCTTGAAGCTGATTTTCCAAAGTTTAATATGATCGTGTGGAGTGTGGATGGCTGTGTCGGTCGCTATTGTTTCCAATGAAGTTATTAGCTACTGTCAACCCACAATGATGCCGAAAATAGTTCGATCAATTTTGTTTCCTTTCGTCCGTTTTTTAGATATATTTCGAAGCGAAAATTAAAAAACCATATTTCTCGATCTTCCATTCTGCGAGTTCCATGGGCTGAAAACTCGAACTAAGCTCTCAGAACTCGGTCGATATTGATTCGCCGTTCTGGCCTTTTTCGCGCTGTGAGGCTCTTGGCAAAACTGAGTATGAAGTGGATAATTTTTTTTGCGTCACCTAACGCATATTGGCGTTAGATTCAAACCGAGGGCAGGCCGCAAAAATGTGGTGTTTGGTGAAGCATAATTTATGTCAGCCACTTCGTGCGGGGAAAACCGGCGTTGTTATGATTCAGCCAATCAGATGGCTAATGTTCAGAGTGACGTACAGCCATTGTATCCCAGCATGCCCAAGGTACAGGCAAGTAGCAGACCAGGTGTAGGATTATTTCTAATGAAGCCGTGTTTACCAGAACCATCGTCATGGCGAAATGTTGTTTTTCTACCAGTTTTTGGGTTTCCTGAACGCGCTAAGCGAACAGAATGCGAACCCGCACCGGCTGCTAGTCCTTGGATTGTTAACGTGCATTATCGGCGACGTCTCTTGTCGGGCACTCAGCGACTTTGTGCTGTGTTCGGGTCGCGAGTAAAGTGGACTTCAAATGTTATGTCAGTGCCGTAGAAGAACGGCAGGTGGACTGTGTACCAGAAATTCACTTGCAGCAGTAGAATCTTCAGAAACATGATAGCCGCATCTGCTGCAGTACGAGCTCACCATGTGAGAGAACATGAAAAACACTCTAGAGAAGAAGCGCTCAGGCGCTCTCAATTAATTCATGGCGATGGAGATGGTCAGGATCTTCAAGCCGCCGAAGAACCCTATAAACCACTGGCGGCGCACTATTTACTAGTACCGTTTAAGGATTGCGATTACGAACCCCAAGATGGACAAGTAAGTTATGTTCAATATCACTTCGGTTCGTCACCTGGCACTCATTCCCGAATACGTTTGATTATTGAATCAATCTGGCCTTCTCCAGACGTAAACCTTTGCCGGGGCGGTTGGCTTTTTAGCCAGCTCTCTGTTAGCGTTCGAAGTTATTCGACACTACAACAGATTTTTGGCTAGCGGCTACACCGGATTTGTTTTGGATAATTTGTCCGGCTTTCTTTAGAGTGAAGTTTAACGGTTTTCGAGCGAATTTTCTCTTCCTTATGTGATGTTTTTATCCGTGAAAATCGGCAAGGAAACTCTACACATACACCTTAAGCATGCGTAAATATTTAAATATTATGCGAGCCGAGTCGCTGAGTAGTGTGTGTATTTTCCCTTATATTTCGACGGCTGATCCTCGTACTTTCGCGAAAAGCAGTGCTCAGAATTTGATTCCTCGTCTTCCGCATGCAACGTAACCGTTGAAATCGTCGGTTGAAATGACTCTTTCTTACTGGAATTTGATAGTAGAAAATATTCGAATTAATTATGACTTCCTCATTGCGAGTCAGCCAAAAACCGATTGTCGCTTTTGGAATAATGTAGATATTCCCCTTATAGACCACGTTAAAAAAATTGGAGAAAACCTCGCTTTGAAATTCGCAACATTTACTAGCGAGCCAGTAAGTTTCGTTCTTCCTTTATTTTGTGTGTAATTGAGTAAGTGGATATATCGTCCATTCCGAAATCGCTTTCTTAGACAACTCAGTGTCGTTCGTTTTCAAAAAAATGAATTATATCCGATTGCGACTAATTCGTTTTTCAATTTAAATACTGCTGTGACAGAAAGAGAAGGAGTAAAGTAAATTTCGACGGTAAATTTTATTTTGTAGTGATTATATTGAAGCTGAAGTGTATCGAACGGCGAGCGCTTCATGTCTGCTGTAAATAAAGCCCTTCCGTTGATGTTCCGTTGATCTTCGCAGGCAAACAATATCGTGAATTAAATGCGTTTCTTTCTTCAAATGTCATTCGGCAATGGAAAAGTCAAATACGACTTCTTTGCTGTCGAATTTCGATAGCATTTCCTTTATTTTTCATCTCGGTTAGCTTTTCAATGCTTAAACTTGGAAATTATTCGCAAATTTTAAGAATATTGTGAATTATATTCTAAACATTGAACTCAGCGATCGAAAATTTGCAGGAAAATCGACGGTAGAAGCTGTACTTTTGCCTTTGAGAAATCTAAATCACTTTGTATCTCGTTTGTGTTATTTTTTAATCAAAAGTCATTCGTGTTTTCGTTAGTTCAAGGAAAGGCGGACTTGCGTTTTGACTTTATGATAGGACTAAGGAGTAATAACTTTTTCGTTAAATTTTCGCACACTTGGGCGAATGATTGTTGAATATGCGTAGAATTTCTTGGCTACGCTGTAAATACTTTTAGGCGAGATTCGGAACCGCAGCTTCGATGAATATTAATAGTTTCTTTATCAAGAAAATGACAGTTCTTTTAATCTATCGCAAAGTAAGCTTCTCAGCTTTACTTTAACAACGAAGATGAACATAAACCCGAAAGCGTGTCGACAGTGACGAAAAACAAACTTCATTCTTTATTCTTGTTTGCAAGAGAAATGACGAAGACTCGCATTTTGCACAGATTTTTTTGTACGTCCGTTCTGAACTTGATTTCGGCATGTTACATTTGTATTCCAGCAACCTGCTTGCCTATAAATAAAACAAGAACTTACGGAAGACCGCAAAATTGGGAGGGGTTTTAAAGAGACTCGAAAAAGCATCTGATGATGAAACAATATTGTTTAGACAGGAGAATTGCCGTGAATTTACAGCTTACAGATAGCGACGACTCTGCCAATCGGACAAAGTGATGTCCAATACATTCCTTTGAACTTCGTTCAATTTTTTTTGTGTAAATATACTTGTCACACATTCTATAATCCTACAGGCACCCGTTCACTTTAATCGTTTTCCGTTTCTTGAATAGAGCCTGCTCTTGTTCGTTTTTCGCAAACATTTCTTTTGTAAGCCATGTTATTTAAGTTCAGGGCGGCAAGGAGATGGGTCTTTCACAACTCTCGATGCCACTGTAAATGAAATATTAATAGTGTAAATTTTGCCCTTCAAAGAATTGATTTACATACTTTCAATAATTTATCAAAAGCTTTTGTTTGGGCCCTTTCCCCCATTTGTTAAGTTGATAAAATATTTAAATTTCGTTGCTTCGGCGAGTGACAGCCTAATACCTTGTTTACCTAACTGAAAATTGTAGCTGTCTTAAGGATTTCCATACCTTTTTCCATTTAATGAGAACTGCAGAGACATTCAGCGTCAATTCACTAGTTTTTTTTCGTTGTTTTGTTTAAACTGATCGAGTATCGTTTTTTTATTGCACTGTTTTTTTTAGACTATGACCGTCCAATTAGAATGAAATTGAACCACATCGCCTGAAACTCTCGTAAATTCTATGTTGCAGTGAGCACTCGAATCAAAGGCGAATAATTCAATTTCAGTGATACGATCGGCGGAATAATTTTTTTCTTTGGTTTCGATATTGAGTTTACGGAGCTATTGTTCGCTTGTGTACAGTTTCTCCTAGACGAACAGTAGGAATTGCCAAGCGAATGCAAAAACTTACGCTCATCTCAAGTTGTCTTCTCTTTTGTGCGAGTTTTGAATCCTGTTATTTCTACCCGCGGGAGTTTCAAAACATGTTATTGTGAAGGGGGTACTGATTTGTGATTTTCGCTCAAAAGTCATGTTTAAGGCTTCAAAATGTTGATAGTTTTGTAGGAAAGAGACTCTCTTGATTAGCATGACTCCCTCTCCGTGAAAAAAAGACATGAACAGGGAGTGTTTCAAAGTAGTTAACTTAAATCCTCCACCTCTAACCAGCAGGAATTTGAAACTGTTTTCGTTTGGTTGTTACCCGCGCGAGAAAGCTTTGTCCGCTATTTTGACCAAAACAAAGCTGTCCATGACAAAAGAGTCTCTTTCATAGTACGCGACCCCCTGTTGGTTGCAAATCTAGGGGTTGAATAAGAAATAGAGTAATATTTAGGGCCCCCGTCGAGAAGGGAACGACAACATCGAAGACGACAGATGTTTTAATACTCACGCTATGTTCTTAATATTCTCAAACTGAGAAAGATGTTATGTGGCTAACTCCACGTAGAATTCAATACAGCTAAGAATAGGCTTGTTTTGTTACCCAGGCGAATAAACAACTTCTCTTAGCCAAGACTTTATCGAGAAATCTTCCCTGAGAGTATCCCTCTTCGGCCGGTTGCCTTAGCAGAAGCGTTAGTCGCGGAGGTTCGCGCGGTTTTTTAGCAATTTATTTTGACGAGACTTGGACGTAATCAGTACGATGAAATTAAATGAGGTACAGCTCCTCTGCGGGAAAGAAAAAATATCTTAAAGTGTTTGTGTGAAGTTGATCAACACACTTTCGTTTATGATTTTCTCACTCCACGAAACGCACTAGTTGCAAGAATGCAATTTTAAAACTTCTGTTTATCTGGTGCACTCGTTCACAAAAGCGACAAAAGATTGAAATAAACATTTTGCAGAAGACATTCAAATTTAGTTACATTGCGAAACTGGGGTCTAATTTCGTATTAGTTGAATTAAAAAAATTATCCTTTTGTTCAACTATTTTCTTATTTATTAGAAATTAAAAGTAGCGCTCTTGCTATTTGTCCAAAATTTATCAATTACCTTCTTGATTTTCGTTTTGGAGACACATACCCGCGGCATAATAAGTAAATTCACTTTTTAATTGAATGTACAATATCAGTACTAGTGACATGATATTCTTCTTGTCTAAATTTTCGAGATGAGATACTTATCAGCCAATCGTCAGCTCTGCCGAAAAGAGAGCTAATACCGCGCTCACCCTTCGCTAAAAGTAAGCCCACCGAAATCGCCAATAAATGAGGCGCTCTATTTTTATTTGGTGTCGTTCGTGAAGATTTGATTCGACTTCCGATTAATGGCTAGATAGCTTCCGAAATTGCCGTGAACTTGCAAATTGACATCGAGTGTTGATGAATTCGGAAACACTCTTTGGTCATCTTACATACATTTTCTTGTTATTCTATTTCCGTCCACCGATATGTTTGTAAATTGCGCCGGAATATTTATCTTTATTACAACAAAATAGCTTACATTGCCTTTATCCATGTTACAAGCTTTCAAAAGATTACAGCAAAACCTTTCCGTTCACCAATTCAGGAACCGCAATCAATACATTCTATTGCAAAGTAAGTCAGTTGACATTCTTAGTGGCCGCTGCGCCCATAAAATATTGTCTTTCCCGTTCACGTTTCAACCAACCTTGGCAATCTGTAGACATTTCCTTTCAAAACTGTCCATTAAAAGCTGCCCCCAAGCGTTCGTATGTATTTTAGAATAACTTTCATTCTGCCGGATATATGTATATATGTAGCTAAACTATAACCACCTCGTAAAAGTAACACTGGAAATTTAATTCTTTTACCAGAGGGCAAATTTATGGTATGATTGACGCTATAAATTCTCATTACCGAATGGTAGAATGTATACTCCTGATTACATGACCGCGGATTATCTCCTATCAAAGTCAATTCAGGTATTCTTTGTGTCAGAAGTGAAGTTTATTTTCATGTTATTCTTCTGTGTTTTCTTATTTTTCAGACGTTCCTTATTGTTGCGAACAAGTTTGGTAAACAGTATGTGTATCGTTTCCATGCCTCAGACTCACTTTATCTCTTCAGCCCTCGCAACAGGATTCGAAGATTTGTCCTCTTTTTAATAACTCATCAATATCCTTTTTATTACATTTCAATTTGCGAACATATAGTTACGTTAATTGTATTATTTTTTTTTAATCATTTAGGGCCGCGAAACCTGCTTGTACAGGCGTTTTTGAATGTTTTTGTTTGTAATATCCCTCTAAGTGTTTGTTGTTAATAATTTGTTTGTTTGTTTGTTTTTATGTATAATTATTTTGTAAATATCATTATTTTTCCATAATTGTTTTTGTGCGACATGTACCTGTTATCCTGTGTTTTAAATTTCCGTGATCACTTGCAGGCTTTTTCTTTGTCGTTTGAGCGTGTTTCTGTGTAGTTTGAACATCCCTCGGTACCTTGCTAAAAACCAATATTTTTCGATTTTCTCTTGGTTTGTCATATTCCTTAACTAACTCTCAGATATTTTGAACTCATTATTTTGTTGACAATTTTAACAAACTGTGTATTCCTAGCAATGAGCAATCCACCGGATGAGGCTGAGTAAGTACTATATTTCTATCTTGTTTAATAGTTTAAAATCAAAATTCCTTCGCAGAAAAAACTTAAAAAATAATAATAATCTTTCACAAAAGTTTTGGTTGGTTATGAGAATATTTTAACAGAATGAACCAAACTCTTATCTAGTTCGACTGAAAAGCGCCTCGCTTGTTCTAATTGGTTTAAATGTTTAACTTTCAGTAACGTTCTGGTAGATTAAGGTTATAGCGAGGCGTGGAACTTAAACATTTCTTTAAGGATATCACGTAGTCACACGGGGATACGAATTTTAATGTTGATTGATTGCTAATGGTATCCTTCAAAAGTGAACACAGCGAAGGAGTGAGGCATGCCACTAGCACAACAAGGTGAAATTCATATCACCGAGTGGCCGTGTAATGTTCCGTTTACTTTATAGATGGCATTGAAATATTAAAGACAAAAGTCGTATTAACTAGAAGACACATTTCAAGTGCACGGAATGTTAAAATCACCTGCACAAAATTTGCGCCCGGAAATATTATTCTATCTCTGACATACGAAGAGAAATTAATTTCCTCGTCGGGAAGTTTTATTTGAGTCACAAAGGCGCCAATTCATTCTCAATAATGTTTTTAAGCACAAAAAAGAACTTTTTAATTACCTCAAACGTCTTGTTGGTATGCGTGGTAACCATGACGACTTGTAAAATATAAAATTAGTACCTTCACAGCGTGCATCAAAGATATCGTATTTAAGACAGAAGAAATCCTTATATTTCAGTAATATCTGTCTAATAATTTTGGGTTCTTTGCGGTTTTTACATTTTTCAAATTTTATTAAGTGTTGCCTGGTAACAGTCCTCTCGGATTAAAACTTTTTGGCAACTTCAGCTGTACATTTGTACTTGGATCATTATGGGGAGAATTTTCAATTTATTGCCGTTGATAAGCTGGTTAAGTTTATCCTTTGATGAAATTGCTCATTTCGTCGTTAAGACGACAGTGAGGTTTTATTGGAGTTCTGTTGAAACGGGAAAGGTTTTAAAGCAATGTGTTCTTTTGTATTTTTATTTTAGTAGCCAATAAATCATGCGAATGTCAAACAAAGGTTTTAAATGGTGAAACCCCTTATAGCAAAAAGCTGAAATTTGGCGGTCAACGTTCTTGTGTAAAGGCTATTTTTTCGTTTGATATGCAGACGAATATTTGTGTATCTTGTGGCTGGTCGTTGCTAACCGTTGCTGAATAAATACCCTTCTCTCGTGATGTAAAATTACGATGCTACCAAGTTTAACACGTAATGTTTATCTCGTAGAAAACGTAGGCGGTGGTTGCTATGATGATAGAATTGTTTCCCAATAATGGATAGGCTTAAGTTTACCACAGACGTGATTAACATTTATTAGAGTGAATTGTCTCCATTTTGCCTTGACTGCAACAACTACAGATAGAACATCCATCGACGAAGAAAACGATTTGGATTGTCGAAATTTAATGTAACTTAAAACTTGCAAGTACAACTTGGAAACAAAATTGAAAAGACTGACGTCAAAAAATTGACGATATTAAACTGATGTATGTGGAGGTCCATTTCTTTATTACAATCTATTTATTTATTTATTTACTTTGCAACGGAAAGGACAAGCTTAAAGAATCTCTTTCCTCTTCTCCTTCGTGCAAAATAACACATTGTGTGTGATCTGTGGCCAATTCCGTTAATTCTAGTACGCTTTTGCTCTTTACTAGAAATATAGATTTACACTCTAAAATATTTGTCAAGATGCTAATATGGGAACTGCTTTTTTTTTTAACAGATATGTTTTTGCTGCTATTTACACTGTGGAGATGTTCCTTAAGATCATCGGCCGTGGATTTGCTCTTCATAAATACGCGTATCTTAGAAATGCGTGGAATTGGTTAGACTTTCTAGTAGTAATTTTAGGGTAAGTCAGTGAGGTTTTCTTTGTAATAATCTGTAAGCTTTACCATCCAATCAGAACTGTTTGGTATCATAGTATCAGTGACAAAGTACTGATGGGGGGGGGGGGAGTCGGAGGATTTTTTGCGGGGATCACATGGTTTTCAAGGGGACTGGGGGTTCAGTCGTCGCCAACAGAGTACACAGAGGGAGTCTAAAAAAATTGACGTTGGGGGTGGGGGTGGGGGTGGGGGTGGGGGAGAGGGAGAGAGTTATAAGAATGTTAGAGAGCCTTAAAGGACGATCAGGTAAGTTTGATCGTGACACATACCAAATCCTCCATACCTTCCCCCCCCGCCGCTGAGGCGATGAATAATGACGGGGGGCCTAAGGATGTTTATTATATTGTTTGCACTTATTTGTGTCGCTTTGTCTGAAATACGTTGCTTGTTGTTCTTGTGAGTTGAAAATTGTTTTCGGTTTCACGCTGTCATAGCAGTCTATTTTTAGCTGGTTTAACTTTCTGTTATTTTAAACACAGTTTTTAGCCAATGAAGCAATCGTCAGGGCTGTCTATTATTTATGACCTGAAAATCTCCAGCATTGTGTCACAGTGCAGAATTATCTCGCATTCCTATGATTACTCTAATTCTGTCACTAACGAAAACCAAGCTAATATTTCATGAATTTTGAACATTAAATAATCTCGATGACTCTTAAAAATGATTTAATTTTTTTCGTCTTGATGCTTTGTTGAACAAAGACCAGAAAACTTAAAGTTTCAAAATTGCTTCTGTTCCATCAACTTCATTGTTACTATTTTCTGGAATTATCGCCGCGCAGTAGACGAAGGTACTAGACTTTGTCGTTGTCATGGCGACAATCACCTTTGCTTTGATTAACAGTATTCAGTTATTTTAAGTCAGCATTGTACTTAAAACATTTTGCTCTCGTAGAATTAAAAACATTGGAGCTATTTTTGGCCGCTGGCGTAAGTCACGTTTCGATCGCGTGCTTCAGCTAATATATCACGAGCGCTATTTGGTAACAGAGTTTATAACATAGCTAGTAAATTTGTCTAATCAAATTCAATTGTGCGAGGGTGCTTCATATTCCTATTGTGCACGCTCATGACGTCAGCAAACAAATCCCTCGAGAAAAAAATTTTCCAGCGGGTTGAAAATGTTATAAAACAATTGGTTCATGCGTCAGCTTGGGTTCGTTGAGATATGAAGCACTTGGGAAGTTTTCTTACGCATCTTTCGTGCTTACAAAACTTCCCGCGTGCTTCATATCTCGATGAACGCACGCTGACGTATGAACCAATTGTTAATTGATTGCATGTTATGTAATGATAACTATGTTATCAAATCACGCGCGGATTACATCAGCTAAAGCACGTGATCAAAACTTGACCTAAGCCAGCAGCCAAAAATAGTTTCAACTCTTTTCTCGAAAGAACCGGTGACTTTACGGGCTCGAAAACCTGATTTTTGTTCGCCTTATTTCGTTTAAATTAAAAAACCTTATTATCATTAAGCAAAACGAAATGAACTGGTTTATGATCTAAGGCACGCACCTTTGAATTAGATTTGAAAATGTTACTTTGGTCCCCTAAAGTTAGTGGGACTTTCGAGAAGTGGCCTCAGGTTTGAGAATATACAAGACAGTTCCTAAAGGGTAAATTGAAAAGAAAAGGTGCTTCAATCGCTTGGACAAAGAAGAAGATTGCATTGTGAAAGGAAAGGATTGTATTGTTCTGACGACAAGGTCTCACTCTTAACCCTTTTGTTCTGCTATTTTCTGCAGATATATAACAATGCTTCCAGGAGTAGAAAATTTATCAGGAATTAGAACTTTCAGAGTTCTTAGAGCTTTGAGGACAATATCAGCAGTTAAAGGTAGAGAAACGTTCGCTATTTGTGTATTTTAAAAAAGCAAACTTTGTGCCGAAGAGTTGTTGCGCGAGAATAGCCAAGTTGCGCTGCATTACTGAGCCTTTGAATAAGGCTGAGGGTAAGGTTAACTTTGTTATGATGCGTAGCCTTCCTAGGGTCTCGTATCTATCATATCAAAGGTCACCCACAGCCTTCGTTCTTGACTACTAAGCACGCGACCGTTAAAAGGACGTTTGTGTTAGCAGATATCTGACTCATGAATATCTCAAGGCGTTTGACATTTGACGAAACTAGCGTCTAGACCGATCAATTTAAAAATCAAGTCGATTTTTTTTTTGAGACTTCCTCGCATTTTTTCCAAAAATCTTCATCAGGATAGTGGACTCAAGATATGAATTGACTATTTTGGCTTTAAAAAAATGCTCCACTTTTGTGGAGCTGTGTGATCGACCAATTCTTACCAGGCGTTCTTATTTTTTTGTAGAGAAAGAGATTCAGGTTTGTTCGAAAACTGAAAAAGTGTTTGTAACACCGTTTGATTTTTACTGGTTCCCTTGATACGTTTTGAACAATATAGATTAATCTGATATACACTTTTTAATTCATTTTCTCTTTCTGTTTGTTACAGGTTTAAAAGCCATGGTTAACACGCTATTGAAATCAATTAGGATGCTTTCTGATGTGCTAATTCTTACTACTTTCTTCTTATGCGTCTTTGCACTCATCGGCCTTCAACTTTTCGTGGGTATCATGCAGTGGAAGTGTGTTCTTAACCCCCCTAATGGCTGGCCGCAGAACCCGGACGATTTTTCTAATTACTTGAAAAATGAAAGTAAGGCTCGATTTTCTGTGAAGCAGTAAATGTTCTAGATTTACAATAATTCAAAGCGAAGTTAACGTGCCGTCGTGTTAACTAAAAGTGCCTTTAAAATGCTTTCTGCCTCGGCCGAGCAGTATTCACTTATTTGGCCCGATATGTGATGATAACTTGTCAGATGAGAAACGAGTCGACCTAGTCTTAGTTAGGAAACTGATGACCTCCACAGTGACGATACAACGGTACGAAAACATCATCAAACGAACGATCTAAAGAAAGTACAATCCTGGAAAAAAAAATTGTGGTGCAGTTTCCTTAAAGCTAGAGAAATCACACAGGCTTGTCAAAGCTTCAGCGAAAAATCATCTTAAAGAGCAGATGTCAGACAGACGGCATATTCTGACAATATGCGCAAATTGGGGGGAAAATTCACCAAAATGTTTAATTTTGGTCTAAGACTTGCAAATGTGTCTTCACAACCCCATCGTCCCATCCCCCCCTTAAAATGTTGGATACTTGTAGACTGAAGATCAATGGTCAGTGAAGGGCAAAACACTACGAACGGCGAAATCTCCAACCCTTGTGACCAAGTTTGAGGGTCCTGCCATGCCAAGTGTAACAGGCAAAAAAGGTGCATGAATGAGTCCCTTTATGTCGGAGAAACCTGCTTTAACGATCATCGATGTTAGTCAGATATGACTTTCTCAGTCTTATCAAGCCATTTGTCTCCTAGTATCTGTTGTAATCCCCTTAAGGAGACTGGGCGCTCTCTTCCCGGGCATATAACGATGTTTCTGTCTTATTTTATTAGGTAACCACTTTGTGTTCAAGGGCGATGGCATAGCTGTCTTGTGTGGAAATACTTCTACCGCCTAGTAAGTCGTTGTTATCGTGCGTTGCGTTTGTGCTCACCAAACCTGCCTTAGATTGTGTAACAGGCGCTCGACTGCATCAAAGCCACGAGCCACGTGTACGCGACAACCGGCGTGAAGAAAAAACACGCGGGAGTGAGAAGTCACGCGACTGTACTTGTTGTTTCCTGCGCGTGATACTCGCGTTCTCGCACCTGCGACCTTAGCTAACCTTCCAATTCGACCTGTGTTGCCGATTTTACCTGACGTTTTTTTTTTATTATTTGTGCGCACAGCCGATGTCCTGAAAACTACACCTGTATGCCAAACACCGGGGACAATCCTATATCCGAGTATATCAGCTATGACAACTTTGGATGGTCTTTGCTTACATCTCTTCAGTTGGTTACAATGGATTACTGGGAAAGCATTTATAACAGCGTGAGTAAACGTTTTGTGAGGTGGAGCGGGTCTTCATCTCGTTTTGGACGTAGGAATAATCTTGTTGATTGTGCTCTGATTGGAACTCGTGGGGCGATTAACGCACTCTTATTATTCAACTATTTGATATCTCGCTAGATGCATCTCCTAGTGGACTTGATCACCGCTTTTCTAATTTTTCTTTTGCTGGCCATTTTCGGCGAATGCGCGTTATCGCTACTCCTCTTGGGTGGGAACCAACCTCCCCTCCCTCTTCCCTTCCCTTCCCTATCAATTTGTCAGACCCCGTGACAGTTCACCGCTGCCCATCAACACTCCAAGTTAGAGAGTGGTATGACGAGAGTTAAGTGTCTTTGTAGAACACAATGACGTAGCCAGGGCGCAAATCTGGACCTGTTCTCTTCAGAAGACAGCGGGTCAGCTGCTAGGTCACTCCCCCTTCCACTCACTGCGAACTTCTCTCTTTCGAATATGGTGAATTAGTAACATTTTCTGTCTAATTTGCCCCTAATGCACATTGTAAAATATTCCTATTCAGGTTATTGCTACGAAAGGATCTTGGTATGTGTTCTATTTCGTGTTTGTGATCTTCCTTGGTCCGTTCTACTTGATCAACCTCGTGTTGGCTGTTGTCTCACTCTCTTACGAACAAGAGACTGCTGCACTGCAAGACGAGACTCTGAGGGTAAGTTAGTATTGGAACTGTACTCCTGAAGTATTCCAGCAGCACAGTAAGCCGTGCGAAGTACACAAATTTACGAAGAGTCAGTGTTGTGTTACAACAGTCGGTTTCACACGACCTTTGTCAATTTCTAGGTGATAATGAACTTAGTAATGAGATTAATTTTCGTAAGCCGCTTACGAAAATCAATCTCCCTAAAATTGAATCAATTCATGTAAATTACCAAATGCGGTTTTCAACCTAAAAGCCTGATTCCCTCTTACATATTTAAACATTCCTGTTATCTCATTCGTTTGCATCTGTCATCTTTGTCCTTCAGGCGGAAACGTTTGCGAAACTAAAACGTAGCGCGTCCACCTACTCATTTGACGGACATATGGAGCCAGAGCCGTTGTACCAGGAGGATAGACAGCGCATTGAGGAGCGCGAGGCTTACATAACAGCACATCCAGAGGAATCAGAACACCCCCCTGAACCAGAGGAACCAGTGGAATTAACTGTGGAGGTTCCTCGAAGCCCAAGCTGTTGGAGAAAGACACAAAATAAAGTCTCCTGTGTGGTTAACTCCTCCATCTTCGAGACTTTCATCACTCTGTGCATACTGCTAAATACTCTAGCAATGGCGTTGGAACATTATAAGATGGACAAAGTGTTTGCCAAGGTTCTCGAAAACTGCAATCTGGTTAGTGACTCTTTTTGGTGTACTTTTCAATCCTTTCTGATGGCCTTCAGTGGGTGTGTCAAGCGCAGAAGAACCGTAAAGAAGTGTTCTTTGCTTGCTGAACACGACAAGAGTTGATTAGGACATCAAACCAAAGGGATGGAAAAGAATCATATAGGAATAACAGGGCATATAATTAATCGACTTATGTTTAAAATTAGTTGTCATATTGCAATGTTAAGAAATTGGCCGTGCCGGAGGCGAGTGATTTGCAAACTCTAATCGTTGATTTTTACACCGGTAAATCGGTCTGTTGCCTTAATAGGGGTAAGCGGTTAGGAAAGCTGCCTTTTTTTTCTCTGCTCCTTTTTTTTTTTTTTTTTTTTTTTTTTTTTTTTTCAGACTTGACCGTACTCGGCGTTCAACAGCATTTTTATTATACCTTATGGAAATTCCCATTAAAACATGAAGTCACGATTGGGGAAGATTTGTCTTTTTATCGTATTCGTGATGACTTAAAATCGCTTTAACCCTTTAACTCCCATGAGTGACCAAGTCAGAATTTCTCCTTACAATATCAATACAATATCAAGCAGGCAGGTGGTGAGAATAGAGAAAAATATCAGCTTTGGAATTATAAGTTGATCCAATACCAAATTCTCCAAACTAATATCACAAGAACTGTATGGGAGAAGTAAAGAGAATTACTTATAAGATCTTGGGAGTTAAAGGGTTAAATAAAGTTAAAATATCAGATCGTGAATATGGTACGGCCAGACAGAGTTTTACCGAAACATTTGTCGAAGGTATGAGAAGACTAAGATAGACCCCTAATTTTTTCTTTAGGTGTTTACTGTGGTGTTCATCATGGAAATGATTCTCAAACTGATTGCTTTCGGTTTAAAAGAGTACTGCAAAAATAGCTGGAATCTGTTCGACGGGACGATTGTTATTCTGAGTATCTTGGACATGGTGCTGACATACTCTGGTGCCATCACCGGAGCAGGTCTCAGCGTACTAAGGACATTCAGATTGGTATGTGATTATATAATTTTAAGGTTTAAGAGGGAATTTTTTTACTTCTCACGAGTGTGGGACAAAAGCGAACATCTAGCTTTTTTTTTGTAAGGATTCAATCCTCAGACCTTGCGATTTGTCGGTTCAATGTTCTACTACCGAACTACCGAGAACTCAAAGATGAGCTTGGCCATTACAACTGGTCATTCTGCGGGTAACTCAATGAGTTTACCGTCTCTAATAAGTCCAGACCTCTCCCCCTCCTCCTGCAGCGTAGCATGTGAATCCAAATTTTTAAAAGGCCCAGTGGAAATGTGAACACTTTACCGTCTGGTTTCCCTGTTTCAAACAACTCAGACGATGGTCAGGAAAAGTACAAAGTGTGAAATTGACATGTGTAGCAATTAGATTGTTAAGTTAAGTCTTTTTTTTCACCAAATTCTCTTTGCCTTGAGTCCTAAAGTCGAAAGCGCACCCTTTTTCGGTGACACGAGCCTGTCACCAAAAAAGTAACCTGATGGGAAGTTGCTAACCTCGGATCCTTCAACGTGGTTTTCAATGTTCAGTTTTAAGATTTCTTCCAAAACATTTCCGGTTTTTTCTTCCCAAGTGTACCTAATGCCTGGATAGATTTTCCCCTTAAAAGCTGTAAGATAACCGGTTCTTTGTATTTTACTCCGCAGCTTCGAGTGCTGAAGCTCGCCCAGTCGTGGAAAACAATGGGAGATCTGCTGAACACGATAGGAAGCAGTGTGGGACCTGTAGGGAATATCACTGTTATCCTCGCGATTATTGTGTACATGTTTGCGGTGGTCGGAATGCAGTTGTTTCAGTCTTATTACAAAGCGGAAAAGTTTAAGGATGGTAAACTCCCGCGCTGGAATTTTGATGATTTCGGTCATTCCTTCATGGTGATTTTTAGGATATTATGCGGTAAATGGATTGAGCCACTGTGGTGGACCATGAAGGCTACTTCTCCTGCGGCAATTTTTTTCATTTTGCCGGCTTTTGTAATCGGCAATTTCGTGATTTTAAATCTTTTTCTCGCACTCCTGCTGAACTCGTTCAGTGCGGGGGGTGATGAACCGGAGGACGAAGAGGAAAAAAAGAGGAAGGAAGAAGAGAAGAAGAGGAAGAAAAAGGAGAAAGAAAAGAAGAGGCGACTAAACATTCTTCGTATGCTTGGAAGGAAAAACAAAAATCTGTCGGGAAGTAGGAGCAAAGTTGGACCTGATGAAGAAGGCGAGGGAACTGATGTGGATGCGCACTCACGAACAGTCAGCCCAGCTGACGACGGGTGCAAAAAAGAAGCAGCAATCATATTGTCCAACAATCCTAAGAATGGAGAGCAAGAGAATGGATATGAGATGACTATGGTAAATCGATTACCCAACGGTCAGACGCAACAAGAGAATTTTAACGGCTTCAAGTACGGCTTTGGTAAGTTCTGTCTTCACCTCTGCTCGTATTTTCTCTGTTTCTTTTTTCATGACAAGAAACTTTTTTTTTCCCGTCTTGGTAGACGTGATAGAATGAAAGCACCCCAAGCCAGACGACTGATGTTTTGTGTGTGTGTGTTTACTTCTCAGATGAAACACCAGGTAAGCCTGTGGCACGCAACACCAAAGTCAACTCCCTGCCGATTGAAAATCGCCATTCGCTGACCACCGCTATTGATTTGGAAGACGCCGCAAGGAGGATACGGGATTTTCCCGATCCAAACAAGAGACTTCCCCACGTCAACCGCGTTAAAAGCGACGATAGACTGGAAACTAGTGAGAACAACCTAAGTAATGGAGATCTTGTCGCCAATGGTTCCGCTCCCGTGGTGATAAATGGCAATTCGCGAATGTCTGCTGGATCGTCACATAAAGATGTCAGTTTGGGTGACATAGAGTCACGTATTCCACCCAACAGCCCAGGCCATGAATCGAAGCGTGACACCATAGTCACGGTAGATACCGATGACACGACTCCTTCGGGTGGAGTGCGTCCGTGTTGCCCAACTTTCTGTTACTGTGACAGTGGTTGCTGTGACAACTACAAGGAATCGTGCATTCGGAGAAGTTGGCATGGATTGCGTTACAATATCTGTGCTTTTGTAGAGCATAAGTACTTTGAGTGGTTTATCCTCGCCATGATAGTGATCAGTAGTTTAACTCTGGTTAGTTTACCTCACAGTTATTTTTCCTTTCAATTTTCTTTACTTTATCCCTCCTTGAGATAGTCAGAGTTATATGGTTTCAAACTTTTCAACTTATCTGTTTCGAAAGCGCTGGTTGGTCGAGAATACAGCTTTCGAGCGCTGGTTGGTTGAGAACAGAATAGCCTTCGTCAAGCCTTGTAGTTGACTGATCGGCTTTGAAAACAAAGCATTGGTAAATCTCATTGTGGTACACAAGAGCATGTAAAAACTTGAATATTCTTTTATTTCAGGTGTTTGAAGACATTCATTTGAAAAACAACCCCGTCTTGAGTCAGACGTTAAAAGTGATGAACTACATCTTCGCAGTCACCTTTACCGTTGAAATGCTTCTTAAAATCGTCGGAATGGGTTTCGTGGGATATTTTTCCAACCTGTGGAACTGTTTGGACAGTTTCATTGTAGCGGTAGGTCTTGTATACTCTGAAGTATGATGATGAGTCGTTTAAAGTGTTCTTGTCGCGGATAATCTTGTAATAACCTCTCTTAATATTATTTTGCTTGACATGCATCTTTTTGGTTCTTCATGTTTGAACTTCGATCTTTTGAAAGGGCGATGTCGGGTTAGCGTTACTAAATTTTAAAAATTGCTAGCTCAAGAGTTTTGCTTGTGGTCAAACCAGCCGTTTTCAAAATCTGCGTCTTTACGGGTTTTTTATGTAACCGGCACTGATAAGATTATCTGCGAATCAGTTTAACTTACATAGGTTGTCTTGCTCTTTGTTAAGTCTTTTTTTCTTTTTTTTTTTTAATTACCTGGTAGATCTCCCTCGCAAGTCTCACCGGAAGTAAGAATTTACAGTCATTCAGATCTCTCAGAGCCCTAAGACCTCTCAGAGCGATATCTCGGTTTGAAGGAATGAAGGTAAGTTGAAACTTTTTGCTTCTCATGAGTAACGCATGTATTGCTACCGTCTTAAGACGTTTTCTTGTTGTTTTGCAAACTATCCTTGAAGAAGTAGTTGGTTTCGCTAAATATAGCGTAACAGAAAGCAAAGATTATTGGGTAATTCTTCAGGTCTTGTTTATTAAAAAACATTTCTAGCTTGTCAATGTTGCTAAGTCGAAACCTTATGGGTGACATAGCGTGACACCAGGATCAATGCTTGTTTTGTTTTCACATCTAGCGTGACAAGCTTTGTCGATCCTTGCATGACGGAAGTCCTGTTTGTGTTCTGATTTTAGATTGTCGTCAATTCATTGGTGCATGCTGTCCCAGCTATCGTCAACGTGATGTTGGTGTGTCTTATATTCTGGCTAATCTTCAGCATTGTCGGCTACCAGTTGTTCAGCGGCAAGTTCTATAGATGCTTCAATAGCGAGACCCTTGAAAAGTACCTGCCAGAAGTGGTCATGAACAAATCACAGTGTAACGAGTCAGAGGGCATGCTCTGGAGGAACGCTAAAATCAACTTCGATAGCTCACTGCAAGGATTCTTGGCTCTCTTTCAAGTTGTACGTATCAGGAATTATTTATCTATAGAAATGACTTTAATGAAGCACTTTTTAGAAACATTTTCTCTGTTGGGAGGTAAGGCGTTGGGTTCATTTCAAACTGCAGTGGAGTTGTTGAGACTTCACAAGATTCGTAGTGATTTAGCCATAAAAGGAGTATTTACACTAAGCTATGTTTATTGCAGGCTACCCTAGAGGGAGTGTTTGAAGTTATGGACGATTCTGTGGATAGTGTTGGAGTAAGTGAATCAAAACATCATCTGTTTTATTACAATCCATGTCAGTGATATATAAAGTATAGTGGCTCTATTAAAAAAGATTCTATTTGTAATTTTAGAAGGAAAACCTGACGCTCGCCTGACTCGCTCTTCGAGGGCAAACTTAACGAAATAATGTGATCTCTGAATTCGCCAATTGATTATATCGTTGAAATTGATGAATCATGGGATATGTGATCAGATCTCCGTTTGAGGAATCTAACACCAGTGTTGTTTAAACCTGACACTGATATTCATAAGAATTCAGTTTCCACTGAGGGTAGAGCTACTTGGAACTCTTTTGGTAACATTAGAATAACATCCGAGATTATCTCCAAATTGAAAACTGCCAAGTTTCATTTGGCAAATTGGCCGTGTTACCTTAAATAATTATTTTCTTAACATTTTTGGGATTCTGTAACTAAGTAACTAGGCTCACAGGAAACATCACAAAGTGAACGCGTAAACGCACATGTTAAGGTAATAGTATCCTCTCAGCTGTCAGAGTCAAGATTGAAAATGTCCCTAACTTAGATAGTATATTGAGATGTAGTTTCTTATACAACCAAATTAGCTTTGTTTTAAAATTTTCGTGGCTGAACAAGCAATGTTATAACGCTGATGATGATGATCCCAATAATCATCTATCATTATTATTGTGCTTATTGTTTGTGCTTAGCAAGAACAACAGCCAAAATATGAGAACAGCTTCTACGCCTACTTCTATTACGTCGTGTTCATCATCATGGGTTCGTTTTTTATCTTGAACCTCTTTATTGGAGTCATCATTGAGAATTTTAATCGCCTCAAACAGCAGGTGAGTTTTTCTACAGCCGCTACATTTCTTCCATTGAAGTGTAATGAAAGGCAATTTAGTTGACTCAAGTATTTAAGAGAAATATTATTTATGTTCATCCTCCTCTTGAAATCATTTGATTCCTAAGAAAAAATTCTCTTTCAAGAAAATGTTTCTTGGCGCAGTTTTATCATTTGATCCGTGCGGCCCCGCGCGGCTCGGGCGTGCTTCTTTTGCAAAATATTCCATGAAATTCCCCGTTCGAGGGCCGTACGTGGTAGCGTGTGCAGGGCCAGACTCATCGTGTTATTTTTGTTTCAGTATGAAGATAGCGGGGCACTTGGAATGTTTTTAACACCAGGGCAGAGAAACTGGGTGAACACACTCAAGAAGACTTACTACAGGAAACCCAAGAAACAGTTCAAGAGACCACAGGTTGGAAAACATTTCCAACTTTTACAGCTGATACAACCATCGTAAATGTCTTTGTCCTTAGCGTACTGATGGATATCTAACAATAACTAGTGAAGCTGTAAACATTCGACTGACGAATTCGAACAAAGTTCGAATGACGTCCAGAATTGTTTAGACAGCGTGGTATGCAAGATAAATAGTCATTTGAGGGGTTATATTAAGATTCTATAACCAAGCAGTGAAGATCTGTCGCGCAGTTTTTTGAATCAGTAAATTCCTTTTAGTTCCTTGTGACACCTTTTAACTCTCTCTTTTGTCCTTAGAACAAGTTTCGAGCGTGGCTGTTCGACTTGATCCTACAAAAGAAATTTGAAGTGTTCATCATGTCTGTGATTCTCGTCAACATGGTCACAATGATGATGGAACATCACAACCAATCGGAGAGTTTCACCGATGCGCTCAATATCCTTTCAACTAAGTTTTACCAAAAAAAATTTTTATATGAAAACAAATATATTTAATTCGATCAAAACTTTGTATCTTATTGAGGAATCAAGCCATAGTGGAGAGAACAGGGATGGTACCGTGATTGGGGTGCTCATATCCCACCGCTGTTTCCTGGGTTCGATTTGGGGTTCGTCTTTTCTTGCTTGCAGCGTTTTTTTTTGTTTTTTTTTTTTAGTTCTCCTGCATTCCGCACTCTGCTCACAAAACCCCGTGGCACTCCTCGCGGTAGTGCCACTGCAGTAGTACTATAGTAAAATAGTTCCGTAATCAGTGGTTGAATATTCCAACTTGTTTTCTCTAAAACGAAACAGATCTAAAGTTCCCATTCCAACAAACTTTATTCCGTATGTAGCGGAGCCCCATACTAAGGTCTGTTCTTCTCCTTCTATTTTTGATAAAATGAAGGCCACTTATACATCACTAACTAGAACTTTAACATAACTAATGTTAGGCTTGGCCTCACGAGCGAGAGCTAATTCCTCGGCTTGTCTTAATCACTATTTTCCAATCTTATATGTCACTGTTTATTGTGATGTTCTGCTTTGAAAGAGTTCTCCTTAACCAGAGCTCGATTTTTGTTGCCGGGCCTTTACGATATTTGAACTATATCTTCACTGGGATCTTCATTATAGAGGCAGTTATAAGGCTGATTGCAATGCGGCTGGATTACTTTAAAATGGGTTGGAATGTATTTGATTTCGTAATAGTGGTTTTCTCCATTGTTGGTAAGTTATTAGTTTATGATTCTAAACTAGGCTTCTTTTATATCCGTTCCTTTAATGGTAGTTTTCTTAAATGTACTCTGTGTGCAAAAGAAGCGAACTAGTTTGATACTTAGTTGTTCTATCTTATCCTTGGGTGAACTTTCCTTTCCGCCTGAAGAAGACTAGCTGTATGCAGTCGAAACATCGCGATCCACATTCGAATTGACCACATTATGAGACAAACGATTATATGTCTCTTTTGAATTTCCCTATTTATCGAAGGCTGATTATCGTTGTCGGAAATTAAGGAAACAGTTCGGCTTAAACCACACCAAGTTGCTGCGGTACGTGGCGCAGAAAAGGTTGTGTGAAATACGTGATCGTGATCGCAATTGTCTAACGTGCTGAGACGGCGTTCTACACATCACTTAAAAACAGACTTGTTTAAAGGTTTTAATTCTGTGGCTTTCTTTCAGGCATCGTTGTCGAAGACGTGTTGAAAAAGGAAATGATCTTCTCACCAGGCTTACTACGAGTTGTCAGGGTCTTTAGACTGGGAAGACTGCTGCGATTCTTTGAAGGTGCAAAAGGTGTTCGTCGATTGCTGTTTACTCTGGTGAAATCACTGCCCGGATTGGTCAATATTGCTATGTTGTTGGGCCTGATTATATTCATATACGCCATTATTGGTATGTCATCGTTCGGTTATGTCAAAAAGAGCAACGGCATTACGGACGTGGTGAATTTTGAAACGTTTGGAAACTCCATGCTTTTGTTATTTCGGGTTGGAACAGCCGCGGGTTGGAACACCATCCTTGATCCACTCATGGTATCTGAACCCGATTGTGACCCGAATTTGGATAATGGCGGACCCAATGGAAACTGTGGAAATCGCTTTCTTGCTGTGTTTTTCTTCGTTAGTTACATTCTGATTATTTTCTTGATAATGATAAACATGTATATAGCTGTTATTTTAGAAAATTTCAATGAGGCACAACAGCAAGAGGAGATTGGTGTGACAGACGATGATCTAGAAACCTTTATCCAGGTTTGGGAGGAGTTCGATCCCAAAGCAACACATTACATTCATGTCAATCAACTGAGCGATTTTCTAGCGGCTTTGGAACCGCCGCTTCAAGTTCCTAAACCAAACAGGCACCTCTTTGGTGAATTACAGGTGCCTCTTAAAACTGGATATCGCATCTATCTCGTGGATCTTATGCAAGTTCTCGTAAGACGCACCATGGGAGGTGTAGAAGGTCACGAAGAACATGAGATGGCCATGTTAGTGGATCGTTTGGAGGAGCGATTCGCAAACATGCGCAAAAAGGAAACTGACCTCAGGTCTCTTCCTGAGCAGCATAAGTTTGAGATTAAGGCGGCGGTGACAATTCAAAAGGCCATAAGGATTTTCTTGCTAAAAAGAAGGCTGAGAGTCAGTAGGGGAGGAGCTTTTCATGCATATGATGAGCTGACTTCGGAGAAGGGCAAAGCTCGTGGGTGGAAGGAGAAACAAGTGGAAGACAACACTCGCGTGATAGGTATGCTGTGGCTAAGTCAAGCCAAGCGACACGAGGAAGAGTCAACCACAGATGCACAAGATGAAGATGAGGAAAATACTAAGGATGAGGAAAATACTAAGGATGAGGAAAACACGGAGGACGATTCTCCTACCGAAGTTACTGTTGTGGACCAAGAGAAACCTAAACCCTCCCCAAACACTCTGAGTGTTCATTGTTAGCGAACAGGAGAAGGGTCACGGAACGGCAACACAACAACACTTGTCAAAATCATTCTTATCACAATTACTTGTATGGTTGGTGATTAGGAGCGTCACTTTTAGAAATGCAAAGGGTTCAAAACGAAATTAATGCGACTCAAGTCGTTAAGCTTATTGGATCTTTTGCTAAACTGTTCACTGAAAAAATGGAGGAACAGAGCAAGTTAAGCACTATTGAATGTTGCGTATATGCAGTGGTAATGAATGCCAGATAATGCCTCGTGGAGCCTGAGATACTTGATCAATGAGAGGGACTCTACCTGGAATAATTAGTCGATTGGGGCCCTCGCGGAGCTATCTTGTTATGCCCCCATGACGGAACCTTTACAAGCGTGAATCCGCTGTGCGGCATGACAGTTGCTCCGCGGCTGCATGTCGTATATTTTATACGTTAAAAATAACAGAAGGCCAATGCCTTTGTAAATATTACTTAAAAATATTTTTGTTATTATTTGATCGTAGCTGAAGGGAAGCAATGCATTTAGACGGTTATTGCATTTTTGCAGTGAGCCTCAATCCTCTTTGAGGTTCTCGCTGAATGAGATTTGTCGATGTTATGTCCAGTTTTTAAGGTTAATTTAGCTGACCGAATTTAAACTATCTAAAAAAATCAATTGTGTTTTTGTATTGCACACCGCCTTGCTAAATTAGGCGACGTATTTCGCAATTTTAAATCAATCAATTATTCCAGTTCAAATTAAAATATTTGTGTAAGTTGAATGAATGCGATAATTCTTATCTTATTATTATGGTACTCTCCTTACTGAGGAGAAACTTTTTTGGCACAAATAATTAAATTTCAGCTGCACTGCTGAAGGCAATTTCTTGCTTTCTCTTTATTGAGAGGGAAAGGTCAACGCCTAATTTTTAGTTGAGTCAAATTAGTAGATATTTTATTGTGGAATCAGCTGATAACGTTATCAGTGAGATTACTGTTGTGTGCGGTTAAGCCTCGTTATTCTATGAGACACTTTGATTCCTTAACCGTGAAATACAAAGCAGCTTTGATCAGACAATGCTCTTTTAAAAAACTTGTTGAAATAAGTTCTGATAGAGCTTACTTTTTGTTTATGTCTCAGATCGGTTCTAAGGCGACAACATTTGATATTCTGTGGTTGTCTTTACGGCGCTTTTAACTTACTATTTATACATTTATTGAGGCTTCGATTTGCACAACATTTATCTCTGGTACAAGGTTAGCAAAAATAGAGCAGGACCGTAAAAGATCAGTTCATCGTGTCTAGTATTAAAATTTCCATTTTCTCTATTTTGAATTAATAATTATTTAAAAATAATGTTGATATTTTTGTTCTCTTACGGTACGTTAAGCTTGCTCCAGTGCTAAAGCGTAGTTATGTAAATATAAGATTGTGCCAAGGTGTTATGGTAACTTATTGCCGGTGAAACGGTTAGTTATGGACTGGTTTGACTGGGTAAGAATGCGGATCAGCGACCTTTGTTCGAGGGCTCAAGTCCTTTATCAACAATACAATATACTTATTGTTCGCTAGTGACAAGTGAAAGTTAAATTTCACAAGAATTTATTAAGATAGCTTTTTATACTTTTGTTTTCGTTTTAAAGTTGATATCTCCGCGTAATTGACAAATGTTTATCACAAAATTCACCCGCGGAGATACGTTTTTTTGTATTAAAGATAGCGTTATTGAGAATGTGAAGGCTCGCTTAAAATGTGGCGCTTTCCAGCTTGCAGTTGTTGAAAATAACAAACCACAGTCTGGACCGTAAACTTTATCAAATCACGAAAACGCACCACAAGGAACATTGCATTGAAATAAATAGGCTTATTACCAAATTTGTGACAATTTTCAGCAATAAATTGCAGAAAATATTTCAGCTAACTTATTTATTTTGATGTAATAGGCAATCTTGTGTTGGAGTTTCTACTATGATTTGATTAGATTTACAAAGGGCGAGGTTTTGCTTAATATCTTAAACAGAAAAGGCCAAATGATTTGGCAACTTATTTATGTCAAAATTTTCCCAAATTCGCCACTACAAAAAAAATTTATTCCGTTACGAGGAAGCACTAGTGGGATCTTTTTGGTTCGTTTTCACCGAGATTTTTGTAAGTACAAATTTTATACGTCAAAACCATTAAACTCTGCGAACACATAAACCTTACGGCTTCTGGTTGAATATTTCCATTACAAAAGCTATTATATGTCTGTTCGCCTCTTCGAGAAGGGAAGGAGCGAGGGGGGCGGTGGCGGGGAGGCCAATGCGTGTACGCTTGATTCCAGATGAAAGCGTCTGTCGGCCTGTCTGAGTATTTCCTTACTCGGGAAAAGTTGACACACAATACCCCTCTCCGTACTCAGGAATAGTCTATACGATAGCTAGTGTGGCCGAGGTGCAGGAATATTGAGAGTACGCTTGAAAAGAGGACAACGTGTGCGCGGGGTTTGGGCGCCATTCTCGATACTCCCACCTTTAATGCTCGATCCCTGGCTGTAAAGGCTATCGTACTGCTTCAGCTGGGAATCCAGCTCTGTCGGTTGATAGAGCAGGATCTCAATCACCCAATCGCAAGATCGCATCCACCTGTTCGCCCCCATTACGAATAGTTAAGCTGATCAAATGTAACAAGTTCGTTCCTTCGTGCAGTTCGCCCATATTGTTTTTGATCGAAATGACCAGGCTTTCCCTTGAGAAGAGCACGTTCTTCCGTTGAGAAACGAGTTGAAATATTTGGGGGCGGACTGGTAGTGGTGGTGGTAGCAAACTGGTTGCATTAGATGAGGAGAATTTGTGGTGGAGGGGACGAACTTGCAAAAGGTCAAAAACCTCCATATACTATTTTGTTTACATCTAAACAGACGTTATACCTTAAGAGCGCGCAGTACCCATCCTTCCATCAACTTCCGTCAGAGGGCGGACAAATTAAGGCCATTGAATAAGAGTCCAAATCGGATTCAGTTAAATGAAATTATTGCTTCAATTTTCTTGTAATTTGCTTATATCTTGCTTATGAACAGCTCATCGAACAGAGAATAGTAGAGAAAATGAATGAGTTGCTTGAGATGGAACCTATAGCGTTTGGTTTTAGACGCCGACACCAAGTCATTAAAACGTTTAGTCTCGCAAGCCACGCTAGACACTGCAGCAAACAGATGCTGTCTCGAGTTTAGTGCTAATTATTACAGTATCCACCCGAATAATATGAGGTCAGTGTCAGATGCAAGCAGTATAGTAAGTCAGGAAGGAACGTGAGCAAAAAACGTTGCTTATATATATTCACAAATATAACTTTTGAGAAATAAGATGTGAATGGACAGAGCTCGTTTAATCAGTCTGTTGTTAGTTCATCGCTCATCTACTGGTTTTTTGTTTTGTTTTGTTTTTTTTTCACATAGGAGAAACTTTGTTTGAGTTTTTCGCCCTGTAACTTTACCAGTAGGCTCGACTTCAGATTGTTGGCCCAGTTTTCTAGCAAGAGTCCAAACAGACAAATTTCGCGTGATGATGACCGGGATGAATGACAGGGAAACAGAAAAATTTGCTCAGTAAAGCTCTCTTTAGGCCTCCTTCTCACTCGTCCTCCCTCACCCAAGTTTTGCGCGGCTCGAACGTTTTACTTTCGCCGGCTCAACTGTCTCAAAGTTTTGAAAAAGCCCCATTAACTACATACAATTTGTGAATTTAATTTCCTTAACTTAACATGAAAATTCAGCAATTTACCTTCGTGATAACTGAAACTTGAGTTCTCATATTCTCTTATAAAGTGACAACTTTTAATCCTTTCTTTTTAACAATACTTTTTCTTTCCCCGGTCGGGAAAATAGATTCAAGTAGACTGTAGGTCTTAAAGTTTTTTAGTTGATAGAGTATATCAAAATTCATCAGCGCAGGAGTTTTTGTAATTAACTGTTGCGATTGCATTTGTTGGTTCAAATTTCATTCGATTCGAAACAAAAATTAGTGCAATTTATAAATAATTAGATTTAGAAAAACAAAAACAATCAAACAATTGGTCCAGGCGTAAGTTTGGGTTTATCATGATATGGGATGCACACGGGAAGTTTGGGGACTGTTGAAAAGTGAGCAAATAAGACTCAAGTCGTTACCGATAACCCCCAAACTTATTGATTGCTCTCCAAACTTTTCAAGTCGACCTCTCGACGAAAGCACAGCTGATATATGAACCCTTTGTTTTCTGACATTTCAACGTTGTAGCTTAGAAGTTCCCTCTGCTACACGCCTCACTGATACAGACTCGTCGTTAGCAAGCACAATGTGAGTATGAAGCACCCTCGCGCAAGGGAATTTTATTAAAGGGATTTACAAGCTATGTTGAAATTTTTGATATTTAACACATTAAAAAAGTCATGATTCGCTATTTTCAGATGCTCACATTGGCCGCTCGTCTCAGAATTCGCCCACGCTGTCAATTTCAAGAATCTTTTTTACTATTATATTTCAAATGATTGTTAACTTGTTACCAGTCAGCTAAGCATCTGGTGTCAAATCTCTATGGCCTATGATTCGCAATTAGCCGGAAAAAAATGCGCCTTAATATTGACTGGAAGCTGTTCGTATTGAGACGTAATTAGTTCTTAATTTGGTCCTTACAAGAACCAGTCCGTTGTAAGCGGAAAGATCAGTAATTGTTTTTATGCCCTCTTGGGATCTGTATTTGCATGTTCACTTTGTTTTGAACTTTCAGTTGAAAGGACAAGCTCTTGCTATGTCATGCAAATAAGTTCCTAAGCGAAGTTTTGTTGATTTGGTTTCTTAGCAGTAATTTTTCCCATGAGCTTCGTTAACTTTGCATGTGGCGCTTACGTCGATACCAATTATTTCAAGAAATAATTCAAAAATAGGTTAACATGTTAGAAATGGTTTGAATTTTTCGCCTGGAAACAAAACCAGTAACTGGTTCATGCTGTGGATCGCTTTTTCTGGTAACTGGTGAAAAAAAGATGTTGAAATTCCGGTCGAGGAAAAAGGTACACTTCGTTCCATTTGCCTGTGACAGGTGAGGACAAGAAAACACGAAGAACATGAAGGAGGCGAACGTGAAGGAAGCGAACGCGAGGGTAAGACACCATTGAAGGACTTAACTTTGTGAAACGATTAACTTTGATTGTGATTAACTACGAAACAGTCTTCTTTGAAAATTTCATGTGTTCGGGGTTCTAATGTCGTTAATTCTCATCTGAACAAAGCCGTTCGAAGCTAAATATTGTAAATAGAAAGCTTAATTTAACAGCACGGATTTCAAGGCTCTCTTTGTTAGATAAACATTCACACAGGGTAAATTTATCAGTATCATGGAAACAGAACGTTCGCAGGTTCTATGAAATTTAATTATGTCTTGATACTCGTTTAAACAGAAACTTTTAGAGCTTATTTAACATGCATCTTTGTAATTTCTATGACTGTAATCCTCGAAAGCAAACTACTTTCAAGAAATCCAATTAAATGTTGTTCAAGATATTCGAAGTTACCCTTTTTAACGGCAAATTAAATTTATATTTACGTCGATAGTTCAAAGCCAAAATCTTAACAATGAGTTATGAGAGCTCTGAATCTCATAAAAGGTATCGTTTGAAACACATACTGGAAAACCCTCGGAACCGAGTAATAAATTTTGGAGAAATAGTACACTACGAACTGTTCTAATGTACCACTTTACTTGTAACTACCTCATCGTAATCGATTATCGTCCATTATTCTTTAATAATAGATGCATTTGATGCAAAAAAGCTTGTTTATTTAACCGCTTAACTGTAGTTGAAAGTTGGAAAGGTTTTGTGAAAACTCATGAACATTGGCGGTCAGTGTTTGGAGCCCTTAAATAACAATTCCTTTCACTTAGCTCCTATCTGAAATAAGGAACGGGTACATACTCATAATATTACTCAATCAACAACTGTTACAATCTGAAATTAAACTATAAATATTCACTGTCGAATTTCAATTTAAATTCAACGAGTTTGTCAGCTGTAAAAAATAGTTTCCGATGTGCTGAGAAAAAAAACCTGTAAACACGCTTTTGCTTTGTTCCCTAAAAAGGGCATTTAACTGAGCAATGGATGTATTGTTGCAACATATCGTTTTTGGCTCAATGTTCCGTCTGAGGAAATTTTCTAGTCTTAAAAGAGTAAGTAAAGATTGAGGTATATTTACAAAGTATTTCTGTTTTGGGAATATTCTTAAGTAGCACATGCAAACAATTACCAGACTCTGAGTCTCATTATTATCCTATTTATCTGAGTGTGAAATCGTTCACAAACAAATAGCCAATTCACAGACCGGCAAAATTAAAATTTTTATTTTCCTCACATGATTTGGCCATGTTATAATTGTCATCTGTAAGAATTCTGCCAGCTTTCGTGGGTCAAATTAAATGTATGGTATTTGATTAAGCTCTAAATTGTTCAGATAGGAGCGAAGTTAAGAAGTCTGTGACAAGCTCACCCCGTTTGAAATAATGGAGAAGAATTTGTTTTTAAATTATTGAAATGAAGGTGCAACCTTAAAATTTTGGAATGAGAAATTGAAGACTGGTGAGAAGTCTGTTTCTCATGGCAAGGTTTCGTTTCAGTTTCACTAACAAAGAGCTCTGTATAGTTTAGAACACATTTGACACCTTAATTCAATGCAGTACTCACGGCGAGTAAAGTTCTCACAAAGCGGGTCTTGATGTTGTGAAGTTACCGCAAGAACAAGACATGACACGGCATTTAAGGCTGCAAACTTTCACCGCCCAAGTTTGCGTTCGTTCTCAGCGCCAAATAAAAGTTTGGCAAGCTAAGCATCAACAAGTAATATTTCCGTGTCTATCATAACAACAAACACAATTAATGGCATATTTAAGAGGGAAAAAGTGTGTGGAGTGACGGCAACCCAATTAACTTTCTTCGACTACTAATCCAGAGACGTTACCAAAACTGCGTTAAAGTGTATGTACGTTGCTTTCTGGTAAGAGCACAGAAGCGAGTTGTGTTACGACCCGTGTGTCTTGCAAAATGAAGCTTAAATCTTCTGATTCGTCTCTTTCGAAATCTGATTAAACATTCTCCATCCTTAACCGACCTTGTCAGTTTCTTCTGGTAAATTCTCGCCTAGTTTATAATTGTTTACTCCAGCAAATAATCCTTAGAAGGATTCTCTCCGCAATGATTCTCCGTAATATGCATGGCTGCGTTCAATGAGTACTCACTATATATATATATATCCGGAATAAACTGACCCATTACAATTGATTAAAGATGTGAGCGGGCAACGCGGTAATATGTTATTGACCCTGGGGATGCAAGAGGCTGATTTACGATATGAACGTTATTTTCGTCTATTGAGGCATACTCAGATCGGATTGGTTTGTTGCAACCTTTCCCAGCGGATAAAAATCGAAGGCCAGACGCTAATGGCATATGAAAAATTTACCCGAACATAATCTCGAAAAGTCGAAAAGACTGCCAAGCACATTTATAAGTGTTCTATGGTTCTCTCTGTCTAAATATATTGGCTCACGTTCGTAACAAAACAAACCCTTACGCCAAATATGGCCAGTTCTCTCGAAAAGTCGAAAAGACTGCCAAGCACATTTATAAGTGTTCTATGGTTCTCTCTGTCTAAATATATTGGCTCACGTTCGTAACAAAACAAACCCTCTGAAGACGTTTTGTTGTTCTCTACGTATCAATGCAGTAGGAACAAAAAGCAGAAATTAATGAAGTTCTTCGCTTATTTTAACGACGTTTGTGTTCCGAAATCGAACAGACGCACAACAAATTAAAAATTGTGTGTTGTTATAGACAGGCAAAGTAGTATGACTTAACTCTGGTCTTGTAACGCTCAACTGCTGCCAGATTTGTTCCAGTTCTCGCTTTCTTAAACTCCCCACGAAAACTTTTAAATCCTTGCCACTGTTGTTCTTGTCTACCAACAGCTCGTGCTAACCTTTTTTCTTGGTTTTCCTCTCGCTCAGTGGCAATTTTTTTTGTAAACTTATTCGAAAATAATTTTTTTCGTCAGTTACATGTCTGTCAATATCAAAAGTAACAACACATCACAGAGAACGTATATTCTGTTTGTTGCAAGAGAAAATAATTGAGCCCATTTTTATCTCTTGATCCCTAATGGTTTATTGATGATGAAATACATTCATGTATATACATGCACATGCACATACTTCATTGCATAACTTCACCTTGAGGGTTCTCAGTTAAAAACTGAAAAAAATGGTCAAGACTATTCACACTATATAAATGATAAGCATGACATCGTATTTAAAAATTGTTCGGAGGTTAAAGCGATCCCTGTCTCCAGTTTCCTTTGGAAAGTTATTTTAAATCTTTGGCACAGTTGTGACCTTGCACATTGGTATCTCGAGGTTATTCATTTTTTTCCCCTGGTTTTTTTTGTCAGGTGTATTATAAAAAAGGCTCGCAATACAAAAGCGCATCGATTTACTGAGAGCTCAGCAGTGAGTGTGTACATTGTGGTTAACCTGTTTCAGGCGTTCAGTTAGCAAAGCGAGGCGCGATAGACGCAGACGAGTGAAATTACAAGGAACTAGATCCAAGCCTCCCTCGTTCTCGCTCGGTCGCCACTACCGCGCCGTTTTCTATTTCGCTGCGTTTTATCAACTGGACGCCTGACAAAGGTTACGGTGTTTTTGTAATCAAGACATGCAGACATAGAAAGAAACTTTAGATAAACAAGCTAGAACTTTCTCAGATTCAGAACTAATAAAAGATTTCTACTTTCACAGCAACAGAACGGTAATGTCACACAACTGAAGCAGCACACCGCAGGAGCCGCAAGACTATCACAAGCCAGTGTAATAAGCTATGCAAGCCAGTTCAGCCGGGCGGCCCGGCGAAGTAGCGACACGAGTAGTGATGATGGAAAACCTGTCAGAGATTTCTTTAAGAATATAATGCAGAAACTGTGTCCTGAGCGGCCCAGATATTTCAACCGACCTCTGGCAGACAAACATGACTGTAATGATGAGGTGAGGTTAAAGAAACTTAATTTGACTTTACATTGAAGTAAAATAATGGAATGTTAAGGCTTCTCAAGACAAGTTATTACCTGCGCGATGGAATTTAAATGTCATTTCCCCCAGAACTATAAGTGAAACTAACCCTTACCTCTAGCAGTTTAACAGACCTTCATAATGATGAAGCGGGTTTTGTGCGGAAGTCTCGTTCACATCGAGGAACTAATTGTTTTTCCTTCGGGATATCTTAGTAGTAAATCGTTAAATTTACTTTATAAAGTTAGTCTTAGGTCACTTCGGCCGACAGCTGATCAAACATAGTTATATTTGAACTATACGAACGGAGATCGGTGAATAATTCACTCTATCTATGTTCTACCAGATTAGTTTAAGTCGTCAAGGTGTTTTGGTCATTAAGGGAGTTTAATCTCTCAAAAGCATTTAATGACTTGTAATTCAAACCATGTCTTTATTCCTGGTTTACTGGATCATAGTAATGTTACGAGAATAATCTGGTCGAAAAGGAGAGACGTCATGAGCAATGGTTCAATGCCAAACGCCACACAACTTCTGTATCTATTGCTATTGTTTACAAAACATAGCATCGTTTACACTTTCCATTGTGATTCTAAGTGCCTGTTTTCAAGCATCCTTAAAGGAAAAATGTATCCTTAGTCGGACTGCTTTGAAAACCAATTATGATAAGTATGAAAGTTTTTTAGAGTCGTCATTCACTTAGCAATAAGTTTAAGTACTTCGGGGAATCATGTCTTTTGATAGAAACTTTCTCAGTCTTCCGGTCTTTCCAACCGTTACATTGGGGATAATTTTATAAACAAGGCTAAGCGCGCTACAAGTCTGAAAGGAAAGAAATTCTTTGACAAATCTGTAAGCTCTTGTTCGGAGAGACAAAAAATTAGTCGTAGAAGCGAGCTGCGGTTCTCTTATACATCAGTGGCACAGGTAAAAGGTAATAGAATTTTACAAAACAAGCAGCTTTCACTCCGGCATGTTGTTGATCATTCATAATTTATCATCAAAGTGAATGAATTCTGTAATCTGTTTTCCTCACAAAATTCAAGTGTTTTCTTGATACTGTTTCTCAATTCAAATGTTTAGTCTACACGCTACAATAGATTTTCTCTGCCAGTTTCTAGAAGTAAACCAGTACCAGAATGTAACGGACTCCCAAAGCAAGCTTGCCAGGAGATTGTGTTTTTTTCTCATAATTTCTAATGCTAGATACTGATAAGGGGATTAAAAATCGGAAATTTAAAAAATGAAGAGTTTTTTTCAAGCAGAGGCATTTTGATTACGTGATATTTACAAAGATAGTGAACAACCTCTGATTGGACGATTTATAGCAGGTGAATTTGGAGGATGTTGGCTATGACATCGACAAAGGGATGTGGCTCGAATATGAGCAGACGAAAATAACTGCCAAGGAGACCATCTCGCGTACAGTTTGATCTCGTTAAAAGCTGGTATATTGCTGGAAACCTTTAAAGTGATATTCAGTTTGGTTAATATGAACGTAGCCTTCACGTGAGCTTGCTCTGTATCTACCAGGTCGCGTCGCGTCGCGTCACGTCCTTGACAAGCAAACCGTAAGAGTCAGAGGTCGTTGAGTGGTGTGGGAGTGGAATGACTTACACAGAGCACATTTAACCCTTTAACTCCCGAGATCTGATTGTTAATTCTCCCCTCCAGCTGCTAAACATTCCTTATAAATTGGTTATGAGAACTTGGTGCTGGATCAAGATAGCAGCCTCTACCTGATAAGTTTGAATATTCTCATTACCTGTTTGCTGATTAATGTATGGATATTATAGGGAGAAGTTTCATGTTGATCACTTCCGGGAGTTAAAGGGTTAATTAAAAGATGTGAACCTGACGAAACCGGATCGCGGGCTCTAACAACACCTAGCTGCGTTACAAACCATTTAAGAGGCCGTTACATTTCCCTCTTGTTAATTCTTACTGCTGATATAGATTTTTTTAGGCTTAGACATTCTGATTTTCCTAAAATATGGTTGCCTAAATTGCCTAAAATATGGATGCCCTTCGGATTCGTTCATCATTTGTCATTTCTGAGCATCTGTCTATTTCAGTAACGCCGATAGAAGCTTCAAATTTTGAAGCTTTTCCGTTTCCAGCTCCATCTTGCAAAAATCACTAATATTGAGACCTGGTTGTCTGATATTCAGATAGCGATAGACAACAACGACATGTAAATAACAACCTTATTACTAGGAGATGGAAAATAAACTAAAAAAAAAAAGGAAAAACAATTTCCATTCTCCATTTTTCATGATTTACGTCAGACTAAACAAGCTTCAGTTTTATCTTTACTCCATTTTTGTGGGTTCTTATTCTATCGGCACTTTAAAATCATTTGAATTTTTTTGTTTGCAAGATTTCCTCAAAATAGAAAAGCTGAGTTTCATGCAGGCCCGTTTACGCCACTTTATTTCTTTTATGCCGTTCAGCTAAGTATAAGTTTCTCGGCCGTTCTTTGTGAATGTCTTAGTTACTGCAATCAAAACGGTTACTGTAGTGAGACGAAAACCACCAAACAGCCACCTCGCCAAACAAAGCATGTTAGTGTTAATGCATTTTAATACGAGCAAGATTTGTATATCACAAACCATTTCTCTTCTCTTTGTTCGAGGTACGAGGCATACTGTGTTACCGTGGCAACTCCAATGGTTGCTGTCGTTCATTCTCTAAAAGCTTTTCACGAAGACGTAATCGAATGAAAAAAAAAATATTTTGAAGAAAACCGCACGATAACAGGATTTCCTTAGAATTTTGTTCTAAAGGGAGGATGAAAAGTGCCCGCAGCTTTTTACAGGCTTCTCTCCAACTGTAGATGTTCATTGTTACGCAATAACTGCAGAGGAAAAAATCCGTTTTCTGCAACGTAGCTCTACAGCTTGCTCCTCATTGGCTGGTCGGGAATATTTAATTATTCAGGTTCCCACACGCAAAACCTCAAACTTTTGTCTTCGCGTAAGCTATAAAACGAGTGGACACCTGGTCACTGAGATGAAATGTTTGATCTCTTTAGACGTCTATACTCTTTTGCATTAAGCTTCTGATTCCGGAGATGAATTCATCTTCCGCTCCTGTTATGACAACGTTCTATTAACTACACCATACATGGACGCTCTTAGTGAAACCTGGGTGGACTTTCTTGATAAGTTTAACTCTTCAGAGGTAGGCTCATATACATTACGACTAAATCTTGCGTTACTTTTCTGTGAACATAAATAATTCTTGATTGTGATAAAGATTCGGCAATGATATTTCCATTTTCGCACGTGGGTCTAAGTTGATATGATAAACGACTTACAAGACGTCTGGCCACCGTTGAAAGGTACTCGAAGTTAGAGAGGTGAAATCTTGAGTATTCAGAGGCGAATTCTTACAAAGATTTCGTCAAATTTCGGATGCGTATTTTAAAAATTATATTATTGCACCAAATGTACCCGTTTGCTACCGCTTACACAGCTTAAAACTGTAATTTTGAAATGATTATGTGGTCTTTGTGCAAATTAAAAGTAAATCCATGATCAACAACCTCTATGGGGCCTAATTGGCAAAATATAATTCACGGAACATCTTAAAATTCTTCATTGGATATATGTACAATGACAACTATTAAACAATGCAGACTGACGCTTTTCCGAAATCGTCTCGTTTGTTGACTCCTATTCGCCGGTTACTTCAAAGAACAACAAACGTGTTTTTTTTCTTAAATGATTTCAAATAAGCTATCTATGCCAACACTTTAACTGCATGTAATTTTGACTCAAATATATTCCATTTTTAAGCCGTAATTGGGATGTTTTGTATTTACCTGAAAAAATACAAAATAAGAAGTCACGCTGGGTTTTGTTAAGATCATCAGACGGCCTTGAGCAGGAAGAATTACTTCCTTTGAGCGTTGTTCCTTATCTAAGAACGTATTGGATTTTGAAAACACTTTAAGTGCTTTACCATCTGTCGAGGATATTTTTTAGATGCGTGTATCAAGAATCTATTGTTTGCCACTGAGAAAGATTGCTCTAACATAACTTTTTTCCCAGTCATTTCGAAGCAATGGAAATTAGTGAAAGGCTAACTGAAAAGAAGTGCAGACGGCTCAAACTAACTTGATCATTTTCAAATCAATTTTAAGTCATCCATTCTCACGGTGCAGTCGTGGAGGTGAAATAATAGAATACTGCCACTACTATTGAAACATGCTGTCGACATGTTTGAAGAGCGTTCGTGCCTCCGGTCTTAATTTTGAGTACTTATACATGTATGTACACAATTTACTTTCATTTAATGTTTTCCTAAAAATCTCCCTTCCGATTTTCGGTATCTATCCAAACACCGCCTCAAATCGTGTAAAGATGTTGCGAAGCAGCTGCCGAAAACCTTTATTATTGTGTCAGCAAATTTAACGAATTTCACTTGTTTAATAATGTGACGATATCGAAAAAATTCCGCCTGTTGTCAACGCTTCACTAATTGAAAACGAAATCGACAAAGAACACTGGAGTGTTCTCGTTCTTTGGCTCCGTGTGTGTGCGGCGCGCGGTCGTTTGATTTGCAAATACGATTGAATACTATTATAAATGTATATATGTGACGTTTATGGTCAGTTGATTTGCGGTTAGGAAGCCAGATCGGCTCTGTCTTGCAGAATAATTTTTCATATTAAATTCCTATCACTTATAAAATGGCCTTAAAATTTCCCGTGCTCCGTCGAAGATCACGCCTTAAGTTTTCAATGCAATTTTTTTTTTGGATAATGTCGAGGCATTGTCCAGCTGGAAAGTGATAGCGCACAAACGTATTTGCCTGAGGATGTTATCTCAATGTTATAGCAACTTTCGTACCTAATTTACAATTGAATCTATAGCAACTGCTAGAGGGGAGATTTTCGAACCATATCTAGAAGCTAACGACGGGTTAGTCCAGAAAAACTACGGGAAATTATACACACGTGCTGTGCGGATCTTTAGTGAATCGAGTTCCACTACCGAATTCGCCGGTATCAAATTCAAATGTACACCGGAATACATCCAGAATACTGCCCTAGGTTTGCATTTATCAAACATTTATTTAAGTGACTTTTGTGAATTATTGAAACGGCTTGGAGAAGATAAAAGATAGCATCTTTTTACGAGTCGCCAGAAAAACCGCTGAGCGTCTGCTTGATGGCGACAAAATTCTTAAGTTATTTTCACTTGAAAAATTCGATTTATTGCAAGTCTCGTTTCCGGCGAAATTTTGGATTTAAACGAGTTGAAATACCTTCCGATAAATAAGTTGTCTAGAAGTTTCACCCGTTTGCCCACAGGAATAAAATTTATGAAACCCTAACTAAAAAAAACTGTTGTTAATCTTATGTTTTATTTTTCAGACGTTTATTGTAATTACGAGTCGCTTTGGAACACCCCATGTCCACAGACTTAACAAAGCCAAGTCCGTGTACATATTTGGTCAAAATCATCCTGTGAGGAAGTTTTCACTGTACATAACTACAAATCAGTATCCTTTTTTATTTTAACAGATGCGAAGACTTTGACTCGATCTACATCATACTTTGTAGTTCTCTTCCGGTGCCTTTCAAGAGGACCGTGTACTCATTTCGCGATCATTTTCCGGTTATCGAACCTCAGGCTATCAATTAATGCGTTTTTTTTGTGCGATTCTTATGTGATGTAAAACTACTGAGCATAAACCTTTTCAAGCTTGGAAATAATCTGCCAATAGAGCTTTATACCTGCGGGTATTTAGCAACAGAAGAAGCATGTAACCACGGTTATACACTTCTACTGTCAGTTGACATTACCGCCGAAGACTTGCTGCAATAATTTCCTTAACACTTCTCTGATATTTTGAATTTTTTGTCCTTTTGACTATTTTGGTAAACTGTGTTTTTCTAGCACTGACAAATCCACCGGAGGAGCCTGAGTAAGTATTATTTTTCAACAATCTTCTTTGGGTATATCTGATTACTTTGAGATTCTCCAAGCGAGGATTGTTGCATATTTTTTGATTGTTAACGGCTCGTCTCTTCTTTTTTCACTAGATATGTTTTTGCAGCTATTTATACCATTGAAATGATTTTGAAAATAATTTCTAAAGGATTTGCGCTTCACAAATATGCTTACTTACGAGACCCTTGGAATTGGTTAGATTTTGTGGTTGTGATTTTAGGGTAAGTAGCTTCAATTATCTCGACAGTGGCTCTGTTCATTATTATTCATCATTTTAGTTTCTGAGTAATTAACGACTGCTTTAGTTTTGGTTTCTTACGCTCCTTGATTGGTCTAGAAATTTGCACACCGGAATCAGAAATTGCAATTACGAGCTCACTCGGGTTTTCTGTTTTCAAGGAGTTTCCATGGTATCAGTTAAGACCCGACTGAATAACGTTTATAGTTGTTATGGTTTGTGGTTGATCCTTCTTTGCTTTGGTACTACGAAACTTGCCCAAACTTAGTCGAACAGAGCTCAAATAACATAAAATCAATGTTAACTAATTGAGATCCTTATCTTTCTTTAGGTATGTAACACTCGCTCCTGGCGTGCTGGCAAATCTGTCAGGGATTAGGACGTTTCGCGTTTTTAGAGCCTTGCGGACAATTTCAGCCGTGAAAGGTACGATGTATATAAGTTTTAAATGAACCAGGAGTTGATGAAGAGAAATGTGCTTAAATAAATGTTGTAAAGCAAACGTTCTGACCGCCCTATAGCTTGTTTTAAAGTTGCTGTTTTAAAAGGCGTAGCTGAGGAAAAACTTAAGAAGTCGTATACACAAGCATGGGCAGCCAATGTTTTTTTTTTAATATTCAAGGAAGTTATGGAGGTTGCTGACAAAGACTTTGCTTAAATTCTCTAGCAGATGCCTTAGTCTCTAACAATTCATACTTTTCATATTTGCAGGGCTAAAAATGATGGTAAACACCCTCCTGGTTTCAATGAAGATGCTATGGGATGTATTTATTCTCACTATGTTCTTCATTTGCATTTACGCACTTGTCGGAATGCAAGTGTTTGTGGGTGTACTAAGAAATAAATGCGCGGAGCCTGTGCCAGAAAATCTTCAAATTTCGTACAAGGATTACGCATCCAACTCAAGTGAGTACGTCATGTAGTTATAACTTAATGTCGCATACAGGATAAATAAGGTCAATCAGTAATCATAAAACAAACTGAACTATATAACTAATTGGTTATTTATTTATATGAAACAAATCAAGAGAGGATCCTCGTTTGAACAAATAGATTCCACGTTATCATACGTCTGTTCTGTAACAGTAGATCGCAGAAAATGTCAAAAGGTGGCTAATACAGCATTGGCACGCTTGGCTGCCCCTCGGGTGTTACGATTTTGTTCTAACCACAGCTTGACTTCATCAGTGATTTATTATGGGACAAACGCACTACACATGGAAATCGCTTGCAAGAACAGAAGTTAGACTTTGTCTTGTTAAACGAAATGGTTTGTATAAGTTATTAGGCTCATATCTTAACAAATCCTTGTTCAAATAAAATCCTTTGGTCACATTTACATGTTGCGCCCGTAGATGTGTGGATACTTGATCCCGATGGACAGCCTATCGTTTGCGGAAATATTTCTGGTGCGATGTAAGTGAATATATTCTTCATTTCATATGAGTTGAAACGAGCTGATCGTCCTATCAAATTTTTGGGGGAATCAAAGAGAGATACGAAGCAGTGACATAGTGTGCTAAATGATATGGGAACCAAACTCAAGAAGTGTCTTGTCCCTTATATACAATGCATATAAATATGTCAAATCCTAGAGAGAAAAATTATATTTCTTCACTACTTTTCTTCGACAGGCACTGCGCGGCCAATCAGAGCTGTCTTTCTCACGCAGGCGCAAATCCAAACTATGGATACACCAGCTTTGATCACTTCGGCTGGGCCATTATGACGTCATTTCAACTTGTTACCTTAGACTTCTGGGAAAATGTGTACAATAATGTGAGTGATATAAGTTTCTGAAATCTTACGACACACTGCGTAACAAATGATTCACATCAGTTAGTTGCATGCGAAAGTCAGTCAACCTGATTGGCAGACAGTCGGAGAGTCAGCGAGTCAGAAAGTCCTTGTGATAGACAAACTCAGTGGCAAACAGACACTTGGAAAGAAGCCGGGCAGTTAATCAATCAAGCTGATTAAAAGTACAAGCAGACGATCAGACAAGTATTCAGACTATCAGCGTTATAAGCCACACAATTCAATTAATTACTTCGAAACTGGCAGACAGAGAGTTGGTCAAACACTTAGCCTGCGTGGCTGGCAGACATTCGGAAATTCGTATTTTTATTATGAAAGAAAGTCAGACAGACGGACAAAATTTTACGTACAATTTAAACTGCATTTTTATTTTTTCAATGAATATTATCTAACATTAATGCAACTAAGTACGATAACTAAATGAAAATATTAAAAACAATAATAGTGATAATGATAATCGCAATAACGTAGTGTTGCCTTCTTTCATTCTGTTGCATTTGTTTGGTTTGTTATACTCAAGTCACGAGTGGTATTAACAGCTGAACATCTCTGTCTTTTCATCAGATCCTATTTGCCATGGGTCCCTGGTCTTTAATTTATTTCCTAAGCATTGTGTTGTTTGGCCGATTTTATCTCATCAATCTTGTTCTTGCTGTAGTGGCTGCATCTTATGAAAATGAAGTGCAAAACTCTCGACAGGTAAGTCATAAAATTTTCCGGCGAAACAGTGAAATCTGGTGTTTTAATGCAATCAGCGAAACCAGGAGCATTTGACCGACTGGAAAATTTAGGTGCGAAGTTGGACCAAAACAAATTTTTAGAAAACGTTCTTCTGGTCTCTCCTCAAATGGATCAAATATTATATCTTACTCGACGCTTGCCGATGAGGATTAGGCCTCAAACTTCTGTTCTCTATTAGCAAGTGGCTCTGCGTTTTTATTAGAGAAAAAAACTGTTTGAACATATAATTTCACATTTAGGCAAAACCACCGGCATCATTGCTTCTGATTGGTTAGGTAATAAATCTCCGCTTGTTCTTAAGCCACAATACAGGGTAATTTAGATGCTTCTAAGTTATATGCTTCCTGCTAAACTCAAAACACGAATCAACCATATGAGTATTCGTACGATTTAGTTCCGTAGTTCCATAGCCCTGAATATAAGTTTGTCTATGAGACAGAACAATTAGTTTTCAAACGGGAAGCAGACGGACAGAAATTATTTTTTTCGTATGGTACTGGGCAGTGACGTCATGCTCATCCTCCTTAGTAACATTCTGCTCTCTTATTTCTCAGGATAATGACAGCTTACGTCTCCAGCAGAAACAACAAGGCTCTTCTTTCTCACTGCACAGCCGTAGAAGTATCATGAGTCTCGTGTACGGAGAACAAGATGTGGTCCTGGACGAGTCAATTCACCGAGCCATGTTCGATGTGGCAGCTTATGATAAAACTCATGACTCGTTGGCTCTGACGCAGGCAGAATCTGCATCAGTTTTCCAAATAAATCAAAGTGAAAGAGACTCAAAGCAAACAAAAGTTATGAATAAAACTGCAGAGAATAACAATTCCGGTGAGAGTCATGTTAAACCTCTTAAAAAGTGCTGCTCTTGCTGCGGAGCTGGAATCTTGTTGAAGTGTGGTTTCTGGAGACCGTTCCGGAAACACGTAAAGCGGATCGTGGAACATAAAATGTTTGAGGCTGGTATCATCATCATTATTCTGATCAACACGCTGTTTATGTCCCTACAATATCATGGAATGAACGAGGATTTGGCATTAGCAGTTGATATTGTTAATCTGGTGAGTATGCAAGCAGTCCAACTTTATAAGCGCGAACATTCTTAAGAATGTAGATGTTAAACTGAGGGATTCTTGTTTCACAGGTTTGCACCTTCATATTTTTGATGGAGATGATTCTGAAGTTGATCGCTCTCAAGCCAAGTGGTTACATCAAAAGCCGGTGGAATATTTTTGATGGAGTTGTTGTTATAATTAGTCTCATAGATACGGTATTAACTTTGTCAAACCTCATCGACAACACAGGAACAAGTGTTCTAAGGTCTTTCAGATTGGTAAGTACCGACTCAAAAAATGAAAATTTGAACAGTTAGGGGGTTTTTCTTATGATTCTATTGACTCACGACACAACTGGATGTTGTCATTTAGTCAAGTGGGAAATTTTATCCCGGTTCGCGTGCTGAGATTCCAGACCGCTCGGTTAACTAGATGTAATAATTTGAGACCCAGATCAAAACCAAAGTATGAAATTTTTGAAATTTTTTAAAAGCGGAGAGTGGTGAAGTGAGGTCTCAAAAGGTGAACCAAGTCCGTTTGTTTTGATCATACAAGGAAGCACTCAGCCTTGGACTTAACCTTGATACACTCTCCTTCTTCAAAAGGGCAAGAAATAAAACTCTCGTTCCTTGATGTTACGCAGTCGAATAAGCTCTAGGAAACAGATTGTTAGGCTCAATAACATTTTTTTTAAATCCATATTTAAGTTTGGAGGCTTAAATTTAAAGTAGTTTGTCAAAAGAAGCAAAATATATCAGTTTCCTTCAGCTGATAATGTTTACTTGAGAATCGCGTCCAACGGGATAAAGCAAAACTTTTTTTTTTCGTAGCGCGCGTTTGCCTCACAATATTTAAATCTTTCTGAAACCAATAAATAAGAGTGTTTTTCTTTATCTTGAATCTTGTAGGTCCGCATTCTAAAGCTCGCTAAATCCTGGAGTACGATGTCCAGTCTGTTGGCCACCATAGGTCAAAGTCTGGGAGCTCTTGCCAATCTGTCCGTCATATTAGCCATCATCATTTATATCTTCGCTGTGGTCGGAATGCAGTTATTTGGTTCATCTTACACAGCGGATAAATTCGATGGTGAAGTCCCTCGGTGGAGATTTACAGATTTCTGGCATTCGTTTCTGTTAATATTTCGGATTATTTGCGGGGAGTGGATTGAGCCTCTATGGGACTGCATGAGAGCTGCAGGACCCGCTTCTATCATACTCTTCATACCAGCTTTTCTTTTAGGACACTTTATTGTGAGTAAATTAATTACGGCAAGGTCACATGTCTCCATGCGCAATGAAAGAAAGGACATGTTATCATGTAAACGGAAATGAAATACGGGAATCCGATCTTTTGCGGTTAAGGTGTTCAAAAATCGTTATCCGAGGGTATTTTACAGACAATTCTAAACATGGACATTTTAAAACTGCTAAATGCTGTGAAGTCGAACTTCCCAATGCGTTTTACCCTTTGATGATGTATCGATGAAATTCAGAACCTTTTTTTCTGACACATTAATTCTCCTAGAAGCTCTGTTTTGTTCTCACACTCTAAAAGGTCGTGTTATTCTTTCCATAAGTTTGACAAATTGCTTTTTACGATCGATAACAGTGCATTTTATTTCAGATCCTTAATCTTTTCTTGGCACTGCTACTGAGTTCGTTTGCTGGCCAAGCCTCGCTGTCTTCCGCTCGAGGAAACAAAAAGAACCGTATCTTAGGTCGGCTGAGGAAAGTTGTAATTGCATCCAACTTTATAAAAAGGATGAAATCCAAGGTGTGGCCCGCTCCGAACAAAGACACACAAACAGATGAGGTGATAGAAAGTAAGCGAACTTAAACAACCAAACTATTACACTACTCTTCACATGAACTCAATTTATAATGAAGAAAGAATGTGCTTTCTCTCTTTATTCGACAACCGAACCTAAAACCAACCATCTTTTTTGTTCTGTTACTCTCAAGACGCTTTCAACATTGTTGATTTTATAAGTATGCGGAACGTTCATCACATATGAACATTTTCCATGGCCTGCTTCATCAACGAACTCACTGTGGTTCAGTTGGTAAAACGTCCCGACGCGAAATTCGGGGGTCTAAGACTTGATTTTTCGTCGAGGACTCAGATGTATTGACTAGCTATTACTTTTAATGATTTAAGGAACAGGGAGTTGATTGCGATAGATAAAAAGTGCTGACGAATTTTGCATGGGAGTAAAGCTGTGTTCCGACGAAGGGTTTCTGCTCAGAACGTCAGCCTTTCAAAATTTGGTTTCATTTTATATTTACACCAAAAAAATTGTCTTTTAGTCGGTAACGGCCATGCAGAAGCAATTAGTCAAGCATCGAGGAAAGCTTCTTGTGTGACAAGCCCGAATGATCCGCCATCAAGACGAGTGTGTTGTTGTTCGCTGAACATTCGGGAATACGAAGTCGACAGCTGTTTTCCGACGATACACGGCTGCTGCACGAAGTTTGATGAGACAACTTGTCACGTGATTTGGATCTGGATTCGTTACAAGGTGAAATGCTTTGTGGAACACAAGTACTTTGAATGGTTCATAGTGTTTCTGATTGCAGCGAGCAGCATTGCATTGGTAAGTGAAATTTTTCTTATGCGAGACATAGAAACACTTACTTCTTTACTAAATAGCGATCAGATAATGTTAAAACAACGAATGGTTTGAAATTATGAACAAGTGATGATATATTCATAAACTCACAATGAGATTGGGAACACAAAAACAGTGTTTACGATATACTGCCTAGTGCGCACGAATGACTATGGATCGCCGCTGGAACAAAAAGGAGCGAGAAAAACAAGCCATTTCTGTAAACACAATTAACTAAAAAAAAAACACCCCCTTCCTATGCTTAAATATTTAGACAAGTAGATAAAAAACAACCGCAGCTGTCTCCGACAAGATGTTTAGACATTCCTTTCTTTCTCAGTGAAAATATCGATTCCATACATAATTCCCTTTATAATGTTTCTTTAGGACATAGCTTCTGGTATGTTTTCTAGTTGTGTGGTTGTATGTGTGTGTGGGGGGGGAAGGAGGGATGGGATGGGGACAGGGAATGGTAGGTAGAGAAAAATAGGGGAGCTATCGTTATGATTCGGTTTTCAGGTAAAAGAAATTGAACAATCAGTCCAAAAATTGGTCTTAAAGTGTCATAAACGTTTTGTTTAAGGTCTGTGGCATAAAAGGCATTTTCTATAACCGATATATCGATGTAACCGATATTTTCAAATTTCGTCTTCGAACTATAGTTCGAAGACGAAATTTGAATTAGAAAGACGAACCTTAAAGCCAATTACGTACCAAAGTTTTTCAATAATTATTGGTAAACATTTCTTTCGTAGGCTTTTGAGGATGTGCACTTAGACAGCAGACCGATATTAAAGGAAGTGTTGAGGGTCTTAAATATCTTCTTTGCTATTGTGTTTGTGCTTGAATTTATCCTCAAACTCATCGGTCTCGGCTTCACCACATATTTCTCAAGCGCCTGGAACTGGCTTGACGTCGCGATTATTGTGGTAAGTAAATTTACCTTATGATGAACATTTCTAGGTGTAAAAACTGCGCTCAAAGGCAAATTCTAGGTCGGATCGTATATCAGATCTTGCCATTTTTAATCTCTTGTTTCCGAGGTTAGAGGATCTAAATTTCATTCATTAGTTTCTTTCCAGCCCATCTCGTTCACTATTGCTCCGCTCTGTTTATCGAGAAAAGCTTCTCCTTTTAATAGGGCTGCTCTATGACACATTTAAATAAAATTTATATTTGTTTTGTCATCGAAAGAGTTATCCAGCTCCCCCAGGCTATTTTGCTTAAGAAAGTTATACAGTATAGACTTCATTTCAGCTTTTGAGGATCACCAAGTAGGTATCCATTTTGACCGATTTGCAGCACGGCAAAAACAATCTCCTGCCCTCTCACGTCATTCTCATTCCTTCCTCATTTATGTGATTAAATTTCCTTAATTTAACTTATCCGCTTAACTTTTCTTAAAGGTTTCTCTTATCGCTCTGTTTGGTAACGAGGAGGTCATGTCTATTCGGTCCTTGAGGACGTTAAGAGCTCTGCGACCACTAAGGGCGATCTCTAGATTTGAAAGAATGAGGGTGAGTTATCTTATGTTTTTATTCAGACAAGTTTTACAATAACACGTTGGCCTTTTTATCTTAGTTCGAGCCTAGAAAAAGAGGTTCATTTTCAGAAGAGATCGCTCATTATTTCCCTTTTCCGGGGAAATTTTGTTTTCGAATGTTCTCGTCGATCGACAGATCTGGAATGTGTGAGCTAACCTTCCTGATGATCTCACTTGACCTTCTTGCTAATACTGTAATCCATGCGACAGTACAATGTCTTCAGTTCAACAAAATGACTAATGTATGATCTAAATTTGCTGCGCGTGTCGCAAAAATTAGAGGGAAACAGTTATCCCCATTTTGTTCATGTAACCAGCACGTATATATTTCGCTTCTCAGGTGGTTATCAGCTCTCTGTTTCACGCCATACCTGGGATTGCCAACGTTCTGCTGGTGTGCTTGGTATTCTGGCTGATATTCAGCATCATGGGAGTCAATCTTTTTGGCGGGAAATTCTACAAGTGTGTTGACGCGCGCGGCGTCAAATATGACGCTTCTGTGGTGCCAAATAAGACCGTATGCCTTCAGAGGGGAGACCGCTGGATTAACTCTAATGTCAACTTTGATAATTCTGGAAACGGATTCCTAGTCCTTCTTCAAGTAGTAAGCTGAATATTTTTTGTAAAATCGTTGAAAAAAAAGGATTTATTTGGTTGTATTTCTATGCGTTTTTCGGATTATTTCATTAATTGTGTGATGGTCTCATGTGACGCGTGAATTTAGGTCGCAAAGACAGTTAGCCACGTCAGTTATAATTCTTTTAATTGTTCATATCATATTCTCAGGCTACTTTTGAAGGATGGATGGAGATAATGGAGGACGCTATTGATGCCACTAAAGTAAGAAACATCGACTCTGTCTTGCCTCTGCTGGTTTACATCGACAGATTTAAACAGCACGCCACGTGATTTCCTTTAAGTTATGACCGCATTCATTCTGTTTAAGAACAGTGTAATCAGACTGAAACAAGGCCGTAAATCATATGTGCTTGCAAACCTTGTAAATTAACCGCTCCACCTACCGATATATTATCTCCTTGTTTTACAAGTTTTATTTTTCCATTGAAATGATACATTCACCCTTTCAACATCGCATGGACATGTTTTTCTTCACTTTAAGTGTCAATGCAGAAAACCGATAAGTGAGAATTGAAAAAATCATTAGATAGGGAGTGTCATTTTGAAAAGTTCGTAAATTCTCTTAAATTATATACTTGGAAATGCTCAGCAGTTGGAGAGGAGAATTGGGAATCTGATCTTAAGACTGACTTAAATTAAAGGGTTACTGGGTTACTATTATTCCTGGCTTGTAGGTAGATCAACAACCCGTGAGGGAAAACAACATGGCGGCATACTTGTATTTCATCGTTTTCATCATCTCTGGATCTTTTTTCATCTTAAATCTCTTCATCGGTGTCATTATTGACAACTTCAATCATCTCAAGCAACAGGTAAGTAAACTTCTATCTTATCAATGTACAAACCCTGCCTGAGTGTTCTTCTCTTCCGGGATAAGAGAAGACCAGTAAAATAAGTTAACTTAACTCAAGCTTCATTTTTATGATTTGTATATTATTAGACTATACATGTCATTTAGCTGACTTGCTAAGATCCTAGACACTGAGAGAGAAAGGTCTTGTAAAAGATTTGATTTTTTTTTCATGTTCTACCAACAATACGCGACAAAACTGTTTTGAATAGGACCTTTGATGCATTAAACAACGTGAATGTTTTCTCCACGCTATAAACTGTTGCAGTGCAAAATGTCCCCATGTGCCCGCGTTCAAGAAAATAAACAGGCCAAAAGAAAAGAAAACTCTCAGAAATCGCAAGGTTTTTGTAACTGACTCTAAATGCTGAGCTGCCCTTACCATGCTTTCCATCAAGGTGAGAAACATATTTTTGATTTTTTTTTCCACAGATGGAGGTTTGTGGCTCTGTCCATATCTTTCTTACACCAAACCAGAGAAGCTGGATGAATGCGATAAAAAATGCTGCAGCTATAAAACCAAAGAAGAAAGTTGAAAGACCACAGGTAACGACAGAGAAAAGTTGGAACTTCTGCTGTTTGGCTCAATACTTAACATCACATCTTCCTTGTCTGTGTTTATGTCGTAAAATGTGAAGGAAGGGGGGGGGGAGGGTAACCCGCGATGGAGTAGCATCCCATCCAGTGACGAGTACCACTGACTCCTGTCAACAATTATGTTTTTGCAGAATCGCTATCAAGCAGTGGTGTTTGATATGGTGGAAAATCGAAAGTTTGAGATCTTTATCATCCTGGTGATCACAGTGAACATGATAGTTATGATGGTACAACACTATGGCCAGCCCCCACAAGTCACACGGGTGCTCGATATCCTTTGTCAAAAATAATCCTTCTTTACTTTATAACTTATGAGTATTTTGCGACAAGGAGAATAGAGGCTGCACACTTTTAATGAAACACACTAATCGACCAATTAGCGTGCGAGAGGTTTCTTACTTATAGTTAGAAAAACCTGGCGGGATTTTTTTATAGCATGCAACTAATTATAAGTTAGTGAATCATATTTCTTAGCTGTAAATATACGATATTTTCCTTAATAAGAGACTGCCATGTGCGTCCATCACATATCTTCAATATCATTTTCACCTGTATTTTCATCATTGAGGCCCTGTTGCGAATCATTGCCCTACGATGGGGATATTTCCTACAGCGCTGGAATGTGTTTGACTTCGTCATTGTTTTACTCTCCATAGTGGGTAAGTAAATTATTGGCAACCTTTGATTTTTTTCAGTTACAGCACAGCTGCTCCTTTTGCAAGTGTCGACAAGCTGCAACATTACAAAGGTCTCGTCATTCCGAGAAAATTTCATGATAAATTAAAAAAAACTGCACAGATTTGTGTGACTGGGGGTATGGGCTTCTACCGATATTCGCTCAACGCGGTCTTTAAATAGGAATAATTTAATAACTTCGTCTCTCCGATACTTTCAGCCTCATTTATCTCAAACCCTTTGTAACTCGTGTCCGAAAATCTTTTTCGCGATCAGGATTATTCTCTCTTCAAGAGATTATAAACAGTTTATAAGCTCTTGCTCTCTTATAATATTTTAGATTTTGTTAGCTGATTTGGAAAAAAAAATTTGTCCTTGTCGGTGTGCGCAGATTTTTTACGTCCCACTTTCGACCCGGAGTGGCACTATCTCATACATTTCTTCATTTGTCTTTATGATTCAGGTATAATAGTGGAGAGCTTAAACAAAACAGGAATCATCATAACACCTAATTTACTGCGCGTTGTTCGCGTATTCCGAGTTGGAAGACTACTACGCTTCTTTGAGAAAGCTAAGGGGATTCGACGATTAATGTTTTCATTACTTGTTTCCTTGCCAGCTCTCTTCAATGTGGGTGCCATACTTTTTCTTATTGTGTTTATCTACGCCATTATTGGGATGTCATTCTTCGCGCATGTCAAGAAGACAGGAGCGTTAAATGAAGTGGTTAATTTTGAAACCTTTTTAAACTCGATGTTGTTGATTTTTCGTCTGATGACAGCAGCGGGCTGGAACGATGTTTTAGAGCCCTTAATGATAAAACCGCCCGACTGTGATCCAAATTATAAAGGACTTTCCAACGGAAACTGCGGAAATGGTTGGATTGCTGTTTGCTATTTTTCCAGTTTTATCGTAATTATTTTTCTAGTTCTTATTAACATGTATGTGGCGGTTGTATTGGAAAATTACAACAATGTCATGGAGCAGGAAAAGATAGGAATTACCGGAGAGGATGTAGACTTGTTTTATCAGCACTGGAAATTGTATGACCCCGATGGCACCCAGTATATTTATTACAAGGATCTTTCAGACTTTCTGCACACCTTAGGAGGAAACTTGAAGATTAAGAAGCCAAACAAGGCCGCATGCGCATTGCTGAACATACCGCTGTACGAAGACGACAAGATTTTCTGTCTGCACTTGTTGCAAGTTTTGGTGAAGAGAGTTGTAGCCGGATACGAAGATAGCAACTCCGAGGAGTTTAACATGGTCATGAAACGAATGGAAGAAAGATTTAAAACTAATTTTCCCGCTACTAATGAGAACCGTCCAACCATCACGACAATGGACAAAAAGCGACAGATTGCGGCTGCGAGGGTCATAACACGTGCTATCAGAAGATATCGAGAGAGGAAACGGAGAGAAGCTTTCAGACTAAGCCTTGGTGAGACAAAAAGTTCAGTAGATATGGGAATGATCCCGCACTTAGGGGAAACAAAAAGCCGTGTAGCCGCCTTAGTTTTAACTGAGAAGAGACTGAGTGATTCTCTCCCCGACTTATGCAAAAGTTCTCGCCAGGCAGGCAGAGAAAAATACAAAGTAACTATAACAAGGACGCCTTCATTCGACAGAGCCGTTTTCAACAGAGAGGAGGTCTTGAGACAAGAAGCACTTGTTAATGCTCCGCTAAAGAACGAAAAAGTATCGGAACAACCTAAAAGTTACGAAAAGTGAATACTGGTCATCCTGAAACCACTTCAAATTTGATAACTGTTTTTTTAATTTAACTGCGTTTGATTTAAATATATCACAAGTTTTGTAAAGAATATTAAAGATGAAACTTCTTTCAAAGAAAACAATCGACAGCGTTACTTAACGTATCGGCTTAACTTTCTTTTCGAACGCGTTCATTTTTTCTGTTCCAGTGAAGCGTAAATAACTAGAATGAATTTTTTTCTGTTTTGATGACGTAGCTCGAAGGAGAGATTCAAAGGGGTCGTTGATTGGTTGTTTCTCGTTTTTGAACTTTCGCATGCATTTGACCGACCAATCAGATATAGTGTATGAAACTCTGAACAGCTATGTCATCGGTAGACTGATGTAGCGAGCTGTCCATTTTTTATTCTTTTTTTTTTTTTCTAAACGCATATTATTATACAGTTAAAAGAAATACAAAACGCTCAGGCCGCGCTGGAGTGAGAACAGAGAACAGAGAACAGAGAACCTCAGACCCTTCTATCTGAGGCGGGGGCTCCCCGGACAACTTTTTTTAATAGATTTCTATTGGTCAACCAATACAACAAACTTCATGTTTTTTACCAATCAGAGCACGCGTAGTATCCCAATTATTCTGTACTTGCGGAATTATTTGATGTCATAAAGGCTCACGAAGCAATGCATCGTGACGCAAGAATTAATCAAGAGCAGGAAATTCTATAGTCACCAAGCTGTCAGTTGTAAAGCAAGCTTCTTCGGTAATGCGACAATCTACCTTCCCATGTATTCTCTTGTTCTTGATGTTATGCTGTACATCTGGCAAATATTTATCTGGAAATATCAAAAATGGACAAAGTTGGGTGTTCGTCTCTGAATTTTCCTTCGTTGATGATCAAGGAAAGCTGGAATACAAAGTGGAATATTCTGTAACAGGAGAATGTTGTCCGAGTCTGGCGTATTATTCTCACGACTCGTATAAAACCGTTTCAACCAATAATGACATGGACTGCCAATCTAAGCTTTCTCGTGCTCAGGGAATTGTTAAATTTCAAAGTACACCGACGAACGACAGTTCAAACATCTCAGAAAATTATTCATCACAATGCTTCCATATCATCGACAAAAATCTTCAGAAATGCTCGGGTATTCTTCGTGTTTATTCACCAGACCAATGGTGGTTCTTTGCACTGAGTCACTGTAATAGTTCACAGGGATTGGACATTTCTTATGAATTTACTTTTACAAACAGTGACAACTGGGAGGAACATTTATCAGGTGAAGAAATGCATAGCGTTGAGAATCTAGCAGTGTCATTTGGATCCATACTTGTTTTATTTGGGATTGGTTTACTCTTTGCACGAAGGCTTCTTCAACTGGACAAACTACACAAGGCCTTCAAAGTGTTCATGGCATCATTAAGCTGTGAAGTAATCGCTCAGCTTCTTATTTGTATATTCTATATACCTTATGTCCGAGGTGGAATACAAATTCCCTATTTAACAAATGCTGCAGAGCTACTCCATCTTACAAGCCAAGTCACTTTTATTCTGCTTCTAATTTTGTTGGCACATGGGTGGACGATGACCAAAGCCCGCATCAGCAGAGATCTTGCTAAGTTTTGTTCGCTGCTCGCCTTTACCTACGGATGTCTGTTCGCGTACAAACAGGCATTTTCCGACCATCTGATTGCCCATTTTTTTCTCGAAGGTCTTGCAGATAAAGGGTATCAATTTCTACGGATAATTGCTTGGGTTTGTTTTGCATTTGGGCTATATTTGTCCTTCCGAAATCATTCTGATAAGAAAATATTCTACCTTTATTTTGGAGCTCTCTGCTCTGTGTGGTTTTTGTTTGAACCATTATCTACCTTAGCATTCTCTTTCCTTCTCAGCGGGCCAAGTTCAATGAAAATAATGCGACTTTTTCGCTCAACTTGGCTTGATATGTTGGGGTTTGGCGGAATTTTGCGTCTTATGCTACCAAGTATGGTTGACGTGGTTTTCCCTCATCGTGTTCCTGTAAACGAAGTTGATACTGTACAAGTTCAAGATTGGAACAATTTTCAGCAAACAGAGCACTTAAATTACCATTTCTAAGCCAGACAAAGCGAGCAATAATACTTGTGTGTAACACACAATCTCGTAAAGCAAATTAATTAATCTCGCTGGAATATCTCAGGATACAACTGCAGCAAAGTGGAGCAATACTTCAACTGAGAACTTCCTCAAAGTGATTTTTGCAGAACGTTTCTGCTAATAAAGTCTTAAACCGTGATAGTTGGACTGCACTCTCTTAAATTTTATTTCCAACTAAAATATTTGAGCTCAAGTGGGGTGAAAAGGTGTGCATTAATACAGTGATATAAATATGACGGTAACAGGCCAAGTTCTATTTCGCACACAAAAAATAGAGCATGGTTTGTGTAGCCAATCAGAACACAGGATTCGCTTCGTTCATCTCCTCGTAGCTGTATAGACTATTTCGTTCCCAACCTCTCACGAACCAATTGCTTGTTTTCAATACTCTGTCGTGTGTGACACTTCAAAGCGCGCTCACTAACCGCCAGCTGTGTAGGTTACACATTTTATGGAAACGCTAATCCTCTATTGGTTCATCAGTGCTTATCAAATACTTTACAAATGACCGAAAACAAAATAAAATCTCTTATATACTCTCTTATCAATCTGACCTCTCTTTGTTGTTAAATGATATCATTTCTTCGTATCCCCAATTGTTAGAAAAGAAATAAACGTCTTCATTCCTTTGTTTTAGATTTCATTTACTCCAAAAATATCTTATCTTTTAATTGGGATGCTGTTATTAGTTAATCACATAGTCTGAAAGTGTTACAAAATACTTTATCGTCTTTGCTCTATGTGATGCCAAATTGGATCAAACAATTGCTTGTATTAATTATATATTAATTTGTTTTTCTTTAACAAAGAAATTTCCACCTGATTTAAACGAAAATATATACAAAAGATTTCAATAAAACAGAGATCAGAGATAATATAGCCATGAAACTGGAAAATCATACTTTGAGGGTAGCACGTTGAAACATATAACTTCTACTTGTGCTTACATTCAGCTAGTGGGAATCATGTTTTCTAATGAAAAAGAGCCGACATTTTATGAATTATTTTATAAAATATTTAAAATTTGAGAATGAGTTGAAAATAAATTATAGGTGTTTTGTACTGATGCACCTGCAGAGCGTAATTCAAAATTCCTCAGTCAAATATTTATGCCCAAAATCCATGAAAAGACGCTTTTTACCTACATAAGGATAGAACATGAATCATTTGAGCTGTAACGCTTTTTTTTGTCATATGAGATTTTCTTTTTAAAACTGTCGTGATGAGAATTGCAGCGGTGAAAACCTGATGGCCATGGTCCACCTTGAAGATCATGGCCATAGTTTTTGGAGCGTGAGTCTTTCCATTGCTGTAGGATTCAGTTTCCACGGAGCGTTGGAGACCAACCTACCTCAAGTTGGTCTCAAGGTTATCTTTGGATCTCTTTCTCAGGCTTCCACGCTCACACTTTCCAAAAATAAAATGGTGGCAACGTACGCTTCCAAATGTATACTAGTTGGGTTTGCTACGAGGCCGTGCGAAAAAACATTTCTGTGTTGAGGCAAAAAAAAAAAAAAAAAGAATAGCTTTTAATGTGCGTCAGCTGCTTTATAAAAATTGTGTTTTGCCTGTTCTTTGTTTCCTTTCCTAGGGGAGTTCAATTCAAACAACTAGCGAGCTGCCTTTTTGATTCAGTAGGACTAAAATGATTATCTTTGTAATTTTCTTACTGTACAACCATCTTCACGCTTATTGTTTCTTTTTGTGCAAATTCAAGAAATTCGTTGGTAAATTTAAGCTCAAAGAAGTATTTGTTCTTTAAAATCCAACGGGTTACTTCTTGGTATAATCGTGCCTCTGTCCGCGATTGTTCAGATTGACAACTTGTCTCGATAACTTGTTGTATGTAGAACAAAATTTCTTTTACTTGGACCGAGTTCTTCCACGTTACACTCTCCAGTTGGTCCAGAGATACAACTGTTTGATACTCGCCAAATAAAAATTCCCTTTTTAAAGCGTGATAACCGCAAATCGCACCTGAGACCATGTTTCCATCTGATTTAGTGGGAATATCGCTTATGAGGATAATGTATCGTCTATGTTTAGAATTTATCCAGCCCAAATCTCGAAGTACTTCATTTGGAAGGAAGAGAAGTACTTCTGTTGAAAGTGTCGTTGCCTTCAATTGCTGAATGGTAAGATCGCTTAAACGTGCCACAGTCTTGTATTCAGAACCGTTTGTTGCCATGACTCAAGAAAACGCAATATGGTTGCACGACTAAATTTGAGTACAGAATCACCTCATCTTCACGGTCCAAAGTGTAGTTGTAGGAATCAAACACCTTCAATGCAAATTCCGTTCAAATCAAATTCCCACTTGGGCTCTAAGTTATCTTTACCCTGAAGAAAATGTACATATTCTTTACAAAAGCTCGCTTGAATTAATAATGAATAAGTAAACTATGTTAGTTGATTAGATCAGAGTTATTGCGGTCAATTATCGAGTAGTAGGAGCCAATGAATAATTTTTGTAAGGATCTAATCAATTATATGCTTTTCACCATATGGGTAAATCTCTTGTACGTTAAATTACTTGAACCCACAAGTAACAAATGTTCCAGCCTGCAGAGCAGGCATAATTTTGGCGGGCGAGTGCTCGATGAAAGTTATAGCTGGCATCTTTGATTTTTACAATAGAGGAAGGCTGGAGAGAGAAAGAAATTTGTACCAACTTAAAATCAAACAATGGCCACTCGAATAAACGATCGCGAGCTTCTTAACATTAACGTTAACTCACCCTGATAAGACATCTTTACCTTAGCTCTGAGCCTAAGCCCGCGCAGATAGAGAGAGACCGGAGACTAATCTATTACCAGTCCGTTCTCGATCATTCCTGGTGCTGAAACAAGATGGAGTGGTTGTTGGCTAGTGCTGTGGCTCTCGTTTTCTCTTGCTTTTTTGAGGTATCTTTAGGTGAAGAGACCATGAAAGGTTTGTCTGAATGTCTTTTACTTACAAATGTACTCCAATTATTTCTGAAGTTCCTGCAAGTTTCCAGCTTTTAACAGCTGGAAACGGCGCGACGAGTTGCACAATTACCAGTGTTAGCTGTTTGGTTAGTTAGCGGAAAGTAGGAGACAGAAACATTTTGTTAAGTTCTGAAAGTTCATTTCTTTTCAAGAATAAATAATACTCTTTTAACCGGGTCTATGTTTCTCTCTAATTAATCCAGACAAATTTTCCTGTGAAAAATAACTTCTCAAAAAATGTTCATCTGGAGACATCTGAAAACGCCTACCCTGCAACTGAGCGTTTCGAAAATGCTGACTAATTACACAATGTTTATTCTGGGGTAACTTTTTTGCATCCACCCACCCCTGCTTAGTTCAAGGTTTAGCAATAATAACGCAAACATGGATGCAAGTGTACTTTATAAGGAAGAGCGAGCGAGTAAGAATTCTTTTGAACACAAAGTTTGTCTTTACTTTGATGCAAATTTTCCTTTGGGTTGAAAATTTTCGAATTTTGTATTTCATTGTCTCTAATTATTTTTAGAGATCTGAGACCAAGTAAGACCTGTAAGATCAAAATTAATCTGGTTTTGAAATTTGAACAATATGGGAAAAAATTGAGACATAATTATATGTTTATTTCTCAAAATATGCTAAACCTCAAAAGGTTTTAGTGTTGTCTAATGAGTGTTTTATTAAAGTGTAGTCAAAATTCATTTTTCTTATATTAATGTTTTTTTATCACATCAAGGAGACCCATTGATTTCCCAAAGTACTGCTACAAAACTGGTGGCTTTCACAGCAGTCACAGTTTGTCTGGTACTACTTATTAAATGGCATTTTGGTGGAGGAGTGTGCAAGAGTAAGGCAAGATTAGATGGTAAGACTGCATTTTAGTAGAGATAATATAGATTAGAACATACACTGTGCTGGTTTACAATTTACTCACCACTACCAGTTATAGTAAACTTACCACTTGTGGTAAAGTAAGTTATTGATGATCATTGTTCAAGGTTCTTTCTCTGGATTTCACTTTGTTTATATGCACTTTTAATTTTTTCCATCATTCAACCCAAAAAAAAATAAATAAAATAAAAGATGTAAGCTTTTACATGATGTAAGTTTAACATTTAACAGTTAACGTTCCATACTTGAGACACTGGATATGATATCTGAGTCAATTTGCCACTGGTAGCAAATTTGTCATAGTGGGGAATTTGCCAGATACCACTGTGCTTAGTGTGAGAAATTTACATGGCCAACATGTTTGTGGTGTAGATGAAATTTATACAAGATCAGACTTAAGCTAATAGTGGTTACTGATCCATGGAACTTGGCATGTAGAATCTTATTAGTTTATAGCTGTTGTAAAACAGTGATGTGTGAACATTCATTTGCCGTGGTTTTTTGACAGCTTGGGTTCAGCTCAAGTTCATCCTATCTCTGTTATACCCTGATGAATATAAAATTAATCTTAATTTACATGATTGGAAGTTCTTTTTTTATGCTTTACCATTTTGCTTTTTTTTAGGTAAGACTGTGATTGTAACAGGGGCAAACACTGGAATAGGAAAGGAGACTGCTTTGGATCTAGTTAAGAGGGGTGCTAAGGTCATTTTGGCTTGCCGAGATGAACAGAGAGCCACAGATGCAGCAAAGGACATTATTGCGGAGACTGGAAGTGATAAAGTCCATGTTAGAATTGTTGACCTGTCTTCCTTTGAATCTGTAAGAGCCTTTGCTAAGCTCATCAATGAAACAGAAGAAAGATTGGACATACTGGTAAACAATGCAGGACTTGGGGGAAATTACAGGTTGACTGAGGATGGATATGAAAGTGTATTCCAAGTAAACTATCTCAGTCATTTTCTTCTGACCCTACTTCTGTTGGACAAAATGAAGAGATCAGCACCAAGTCGCATTGTAAATGTCTCATCCCTGGCGCATGAAGGAAGGAATGCTGAACTCCAACTTGAGGATTTTAAATTGTCCAAGGAAAAGTTCAATGGATTTCAACGTTATGCTCAATCTAAGTTGGCCCAGGTGGTTTTCACAAATGAATTGAGTCGAAGACTGGAAGGTGAGTGAAATGTTCCGGGTTACAGATCACCAATCATACCACAGAAATAGGTTGTTGTGATCACATGTGGGATTTTAATAACTTGTTATCAAACTTTTCCTTTTTCTACAACTTGAAATTTACTTTGTGGAAATATATTATATTTCAATTAATGATAAAATGTGTCATCTCAAGAGGTACTGGCAGGTGTTACTGAGAGTAACAAGGATTTGATAGGTGTTTATTAGCTCTGGCAAATGGGCTCTTTTCAATTAGTTTTTTGCCTCCCTTTAGGAACTGGAGTGACAGTTTATGCTCTTCATCCTGGTGCTGTCACGTCAGACATTTGGCGATACTGGAAGGCTTTGAAGAAACCTTATATACGACCATTTGTAATGCTATTGATGTTTCTCTTCTTCAAAGACTGCAAGCAAGGAGCACAGACTAGCATCTACTGTTCTGTGGCAGAAGAGCTGGAGGGTGTCTCTGGCCTTTACTACAGTGATTGTAGAGTCAAAAAGGGTAACAAACTGGCTAAAGATCCTGGTTTGGCCAAGAAGTTGTGGGATGTTAGTGAGAGAATCACTGGAGAAAGCTGGAAAGATTAAACTTTAGTGAAACATTTTCTTAGTTAACTTAAGTTGTCTTTATAGCTTTGTGGTATGATGTCGGTTAATTAAATTTTGTTTATCAAGACCTTACATTTAGGTAGAAAATGTGGCCTGTTTGTCCCACATTTGCCATAATGAAAATAATAACATTTTTTGTACACATGTTTATGTTTACTCCTTTTTAAGTCATATTCGTGAAATTTTTTTTCCAAAACTGTCGTGATATGAATGGCAGCAGAGCAACATGGAACAAGCTGCGAATTTGTTCCCCAATGTTGGCCTTATTCTTACAAATTAATGTTTTTCCTTTTCAATAGTAACGAAATTTTTCGTTGTAGCTGAACATAATTTTGCTATTATTTCTACGAGCGACTGAAGCAATTAAACACAATTATACCACGTTTCCATTGCGACGCTTAGCAATATGCTTACCGTTAATCGTAGTTTACATATTCAATTTCTCTGAAAAATTCCGACAGGGGATGGTTTGTTCACTTCAAGATATATGTATCTGCTACATCCAAAAACTTCCGAGTTGAGCCAAACTATGCAATGGCTGTTGAACCAGGTTACATCGCAAGACAGATTTTTATTTCTCGGGTTGAAGAGTCACCCGTTGTATTTATTCATTCTCGATCCACGATTACGATAACGAACGATATGGGCAAAATTCCGATCGGTTTATTTAGTTAGAAATGATTGCTTTTATCTCTAAATATTCCGCAGTGGAAAAAAGTATCGGGCAAATTCTTAATCAGGTGATTTTACGTCGTCTGTTTCAATTTTGTTTTGCCAACACGAGGCCAAACGTTTTTGGGTTTAGTATCGACGTTTGTGAATCACGTGGATTTTTTTCAGTTATAAAAACTAGTTCTGTTATCACTGCATTTTACATATTATGCCTCGAATCTAATCGTGTTTAACATCACGAAAGGACATGGGACCTGGGACATGGAACTCGGCTGCAAATATCTCATTGCCTCATTGCGATCTGTGTTTTAGAAAAGTAATTTCAAAGCAAAACAAATAGGCAAAATTCCTCTTAGTTTGCGTGGGAAACGTTTGAGGAAAGATTCTGTATTATCCCACACTATTCTGTAGCAAAGCATTGGTCCCCAAAGAAGATTTATTGTTTTCGCTATTGTTTCCATCTTCCAAGTAACAGCTGCTATGACAAAGTACGTTGTTATTTGAAAATCTTACTCGGTTTACAATGTTAACACCAATTCTGAATGCAAAGTTTTGTACCTTCCCTAACTTTTCACTTCTCCTAAATCTGCTCCTTATAGTTGCACCGAGGTAATTACTGAGTCCCTAAGTAGCAGCAAAAGCTGTGACGAAAGTTATCTCATAGACCATGGTAAACAGAGTTAGTTACGTGGTATAATTTTTCCGCATAAGTCTCCGATGACATCATGTATTTTGTTTTAAGCCTTTTGATGCCGAACTTTTCAAACTCGAAAAGAGCAAAAATTGGTTTTAATTTCCAAATAATTGGTAGATAATTCTCACCGGTCCAGCTGCCATGACGAAGTATGTTGTTATTTGAAAATCTTGCTCGGTTTACAATGTTAACACCAATCACCGCTTCTGAATGCTACGTCAAAAAATCACGGATAATTTTCACTTCTCCTAAATCTGCTCCTTATAGTCGCACCGAGGTAACTACCGAGTACCTAAGCAACACCAAAAGCTCTGACAAAAGTTATCTCATAGACCATGGTAAACAGAGTTAGTTACGTGGTATAATTTTTCCGCATAAGTCTCCGATGACATCATGTATTTTGTTTTAAGCCTTTTGATGCCGAACTTTTCAAACTCGAAAAGAGCAAAAATTGGTTTTAATTTCCAAATAATTGGTAGATAATTTTCACCGGTCCTTCATGCAAATGTTAAGCGATCTAGAGGTGGGTGGGTAGGAAAGACCGGTTAATTAACTCTAAAAAAAATGTTGTTAGTTGTCTTTAATAATCGCGATTGACCGTGCCTATGTTTGGCAGCGTATGTAACTCATGCTGAAGTGCCAGTGTAACAGTGTGATCGCATCTCGACGAGGCAATGCTATCTTTTTGGTTGATCATGAATGTTTCAAGTAGTCGATCGCAGGCTGTCAAAACCTGATGGCCATGGTCCATCTTGAAGATCATGGCGACAGATCTTTATTTTGAGCGTCAGAATGAATCTTTCCACGGCTGTAGGATTCGGCCTGTCCTTTATACCTTTCCCAGGAGAGTTCAATTCAAACAACTGGCGAACTGCCTTTCTGATCCAGTAGGACTAAAATGATTGTCTTTGTAATTTTCCTAATTGTATAACCATCTTCACGCTTATTGTTTCTTTTTGTGCAAATTAAAGAAATTCGCTGGTAAATTTAAGCTCAAGGAAGTAATTGTTCTTTAAAATTCAAACGAGTTATTTCTTGGTATTATCGAGCCTCTGTCCGTGTTTGCTCAGTTTGACAACTTGTCTCATTCAAATCTACCAGTCTTGTTTCGGTAACTTTTTGTATTCAGGACAAAATTTCTTTTACTAGGACTGAGTTCTTTCACGTTACACTCTCCAGTTGGTCTAGAGACACCACTGTTTGATATTCGCCAAATAAATACTCCCTCTTTAAAGCGTGATAACCGCAAATCGCGCCAGAGACCATGTTTCCATCTCGCCGCGGCCGGATTTAGTGGGAATATCGCTTATGAGGATAATGTATCGTCTATGTTTCGAATTTATCCAGCAAAAATCCCGAAGTACTTCATTTGGGAGGAAGAGAAATACTTCTGTTGAAAGTGTCGTTGCCTTCACTTGCTGCATGCTAAGATCGCTTAGACGTGGCACAGTCTTGCATCCAGAACCGTTGGTTGCCATGACTCGAGAAAAACGCGACAAGGTTGCACGACTAAATTTGAGTATAGAATCACCACATCTTTCCGGTCCAAAGTGTAGTTGTAGGAGTCAAACAACTCATTGATTAGATCAGAGTTATTGCGGTCAACTATCGACTGACAGGAACAATTAAATAATTTTTGTGAGGATCTAATCAATTATACGCTTTTAATCATAGGGGTAAAACTCTTGTGCGTTCAATTCCTTGAACCCATAGGTAACAAATGTTCCAGCCTGCAGAGCAGGCGAGTGCTTGGTTATAGCTGCCATCTTTGAATTTTACAGCAGAGGAAGGTTGGAGAGAGAAATAAATTTGTACCATCTTAAAATCAAACAATGGCCAGTCGAATAAACAATCGCGAGCTTCTTAACGTTAAGACGCCCTGACACCTTTACCTTTGTTGTGCGTTAAACCGCGCAGATAAAGAGAGACCGGAGACTAATCTATTACCAGTCCGTTTCGGTTATCCCTGCTTTCATGGTATGAAACGGAAATAGAGAATCTGTCGGTTAGTGCTGTAGCCCTCCTTTTCTCCAACTTTTTAAAGGTATCTTTAGGTGAAGAGACCATGAAAGGTTTGTATTTGTGTCTGTTATTCACAAATGTACTCCAATTATTTCAGGAGTTCGTGTAAGTTTCCAACTTGTAACAGCTGGAAACGGCGCGACGAGTGGCATCCGTTGGTAGCTGTTTTCGTTATTAGGAGACAGAAACATTTTGTTATGTTCTGAGAGTTTATTTCTTTCGGATACATCGAGGGCCCATTAAAACACAGATACCTGAAGCTCAATTAGACGACATTGGATGGGGTTACGTTGTATTTGTGAATTGGGTAGATCTTAATTTTTCAGGAGTAAACAATACTCTTTTGACTGGGTCTATGTTTCACTCTAATCCAGACAATTCTCCAGTGAAAATTAACTTTTCAAAAAACTTTCGTTCATCTGGAGACATCTGAAAACGCCCACTTTACAACTGAGCGTTGCGAAAATGCTGACTTACGACACATTGTTTTTTCTAGGGCAAGTTTTTTTGCATCCACCCACCCCTACTTAGTTCGAGGTTTAGCATTAACAACTCAAACATGGTTGCAAGTGTACTTTATAAGACAGCGTGGGGGAGTAAAAATTATTTGGATCACAAATTTTGTCTTTGCTTTGATGCAAATTTTTCTTTGAGTTGAAAAATTTTCAATTTTGTATTTCATTGTCTCTTATTGTTTTTAGAGATCTGGGACCAAGTAAGACCTGTTAGGTCAAAGTTAATCTGGTTTTGAATTAAAAAAAAAATATGGAAAAAATTGAAACACAACACATAATTCATATGCTTGCATCTCAAAGTATTTTAGAATTCAAAAGGTTTTTATGTTGTCTAAAGAGTGCATTTGATTATTTTTTATTGATTATTTTTTGTAGAAAATGTACAATATAAATATTAAATATTATTATTATTACTATTATTAATATATAGATTTAGGCAAGCCTAAAAGCGGAGCTCGCATTTTTTTTTTCCTGCACATCTCTTCAACAAAACTAAAGCCCCTACTATGGTAATATTAATTACAAGGAGATACATTGATTTCCCAAAGTACTGCTACAAACCTGGCAGCTTTCATAGCAGTTACAGTTTGTCTGGTGGGACTCATTAAGTGGCATTTTGGTGGAGGAGTGTGCAAGAGTAAGGCAAGATTAGATGGTAAGACTGCATTTCAGCAGAGTTAATAAAGATTAAAACATACACTAGGCAGGTTTACAATTAACTCACCAATGAAATTTATACAGGATCAGACTTGAGCTAACAATGGTTACTGACCCATGGAACTTGGCACACAGAATCATTATTTTATAGCTGTTGTAAAACAGTGATGTGTGAACATTCAGTTGCCGTGACTTTTTGACAGCTTGGGTAAAGCTCAAGTTCATCCTATCTCTGTTATACTTTGATGAATATAAAATTAATCTCAGTGCAAGACAGCTAGTCCTCAGGATGGATACCACAGTTTAATTTACATATGACAACAATTTATGTTTATTTAAAATGCTGCCTTTCAGCAAGACTGACAACAAAAATAAATAAAATATCTGTCACTGCTTGATGTAATCTGTATACCTCTGCACAGAGATCAGTTACAAATTTGTACCAAGGTTTTGCTGACTTTGCCATTTTCTTGTAGGTAAGACTGTTATTGTAACAGGGGCAAACACTGGAATAGGGAAGGAGACTGCTTCAGACCTTGCCAGGAGGGGTGCTAAGGTCATTTTGGCTTGCCGAGATGAACAGAGAGCCACAGATGCAGCAAAGGACATTATTGCAGAGACTGGAAGTGACAAAGTCCATGTTAGAATTGTTGACCTGTCTTCCTTTGAGTCTGTGAGAGCCTTTGCCAAGCTCATCAATGAAACTGAAGAAAGACTGGACATTCTGGTAAACAATGCAGGACTTGGGGAGTATTACAGGTTGACTGAAGATGGATATGAAAGTGTATTCCAAGTAAACTATCTCAGTCATTTTCTTCTGACTCTACTTCTGTTGGATAAAATGAAGAAATCTGCACCAAGTCGCATTGTAAATGTCTCATCCCAGGCACATGAAGGAAGGAATGCTGAACTCCAGCTTGAGGATTTTAAATTGTCTGAGGAAAAGTTTGATGCATTTCAACGTTATGCTCAATCAAAGTTGGCCCAGGTGGTGTTCACAAAGGAACTGAGTCGAAGACTGGAAGGTGAGTTACATGTTCTGGAGTACAGATCACCAATCATACCACAGAAATAGGTTGTTGTTATCACATGTGCGATTGTAATGTCTTGTTATCAAACTTTTCCTTTTCTACAACTTGAAATTTACTTTGTGGAATTATATTATATTTCAATTAACAGACGTTACTGAGAGTCTAGGAATTTATTGGTGTTTATTAGCTCTGGTAAATGGGCTCTTTTAAATTGTTTTTTTGCCTCCCCCAAGGAACTGGAGTGACAGTTTATGCTCTTCATCCTGGTGTTGTCAGTTCAGACATTTGGCGAAACTTGGAAGTTTTGAAGAAACCTTATATACAACCATTTGTAATGCTAGTGATGTTTCTGTTCTTCAAAGACTGCAAGCAAGGAGCACAGACTAGCATCTACTGTTCGGTGGCAGAAGAGCTGGAGGGTGTCTCAGGCCTTTACTACAGTGATTGTAAAGTCAAAGAGGTTAACAAACTGGCTAAAGATCCTGGTTTGGCCAAGAAGTTGTGGGATGTTAGTGAGAGAATCACTGGAGAAAGCTGGAAAGATTAAACTCTAGTGAAGCATTTTCATAGTTAACTTAACTTGTCTTTGTAGCTTAGTACAACTGCGTAGCCTTTTAAGACACGTGAACTGTAATATCATCAATTAAAGGAACTTGGTCATAATGTTTTATGAGAGCTAAGAGGTAGTTTGATGGCCTTATAAAGTTTAGCAAATCATTCCATAGGTTAGCAAAAATGACTCTCTATCAAGAGGGGAAGTCCTGGTACTGTGTTACAGCTTAGGCCCTCCAAACTGGTGCAGCATGACATGACCAAAGTTATAGAGCTGTTGTAGGCTGTAGCATAGAGATCTGGTAGAATGACATCTAGTATTCTCCAAAGAGTGTATTGAGAAAATGACTTCAAAAATGTGCCAGTACTACACACACCAGCCCATTGATAACACTTACAAGTTTAATGATTTTAGATATATGAAATTCATACATTTGCACTGCGGTGAAAAAAAAAAATATAAGAGATCCTTGCAGCTAAGAACACTACTAAACTAGTAGTTGAAATAAGACCTGAAAAAATTTTCAGGCCTGTACAGGATTTGAACCCATGACCTCTGTGATACCGGTGCAGCGCTCTACCAACTGAGCCAACAAGTAAACTGGGTGCTGGTTAATATGTTGGGTCCAAATAAACCATCCAAGTGATGAATAATGATTTTAGATATACGAAATTCATATATTTGCACTGAGGTGAAGAAACTTACACAGTTATTCCTGTCACACCCCTCTTGCACAACACAGCAAACAAAAGGGAATCTGTTTGGGCAGCTTCAATGAGGAGAGTCCCTGGAGTGGAAGAGAGGGTTAAAAAACAACTGAATGGATAAAACCATGTGATCATATGACAACCAAGTGTCAGTCAGCAGCTCGCCAGGCACAGCATGGAGGCCTCAACACAGGAGGTCAGCTAAGTTATTTCCCAAGGAATATGAACCCTACTCTAGACTTTGAGCCTACAAAGATATCCCAAATCAAGATGCTAAAAAGTTAAATTGTAAACTCACCTTTGCCCCTCCCCCCTCTCGCACGTTTTCTAGGTAATCAAGAGGGGTAGAGTGGAAGAAATCAGGTTTGCAGGTCAGGGTTACCGAGCTGACTTTGACGGTCGTGTACGTGAGTCGTTAGAAACGTCAAAACTGGGACATTTTGGAAGCAAACTGTGGGTTAGCGTCGGTTTCATGGGGATGATAGAGTTGTCAGTGAATCGAAATGAAACTAAAGTAAATGTGCTTGAATTCTGCGCTAGATTTGAGGCCGCCTGGTCATTTTAAGATTGGATTTTTTGCTTCTCAGATCACAGGTGACCCAAGCGCCAGCTGTGAGATTATCATGCGAAATAACAGTCATGGCGAAATATTACAAGAGTTTGTATGGGAATATTTACGACTGCTCTAACAAATTAAAAATAATAATTCAAATTCTCAATAAAGATACCTCACCTTACTTCCACGGCGTATCGCTTATCTGACTGCTTACTTTGTTGAAATGAACCCATTTTAGTGAGTTATCCATCTCTAGCTAGGTTTACTACGTACATAAGAAAAGCCCTGAAGCTTTTTATATGTACGTAGTAAACCTAAAATGGATAACTCACTAAAATGGCTTCTCTATCTGTTCTTTATCTCACAGCTGGAGCTTGGACCGCCTGTGCTCGGATCGGCCGGTGTGCAGCCTTGTCCTTCCCTCAGGGGTTGTAACCCAAGAAATGTATAACTCACTGAAACGACGTCGTTGCAACAAAGTAAGCGGTAACAAAAAAAGTAATGCTCTTTGAAAGTAAGGTGAGGTATTTTTATTGAGAATTTGACGGTTTTTTATTCCTAAGGGCAGTCGTATATATTTCCATTCTATTATTTTTTCCCATGACTCTTTTTGCACAAGATGATCATTTTACAGCTGGAGCTTGGGACGCCTGTGAGTGGTCACGTTTATCACAAGAGCTAGTGTTAAAACGAGAATGGCGGCCAAGTTACTGGTAGCGGTTGTTTTCCTGTGGCTCTCTTGCTGTGTGTTGGTGACCTTTAGTGAAAACATAGACAAAGGTTTGTTCTCAATCAAATGGTACTTAAGAAGAGCCGAATTTAACATCAATTTTCAAAAAACTGACGATCGTCCTTCCCAGCGTGACAGATAACTTTACCTTGAAGGCTTGTCCGCGTGACCTTGTTTTGTTGTTGTTTTTTACTATTAATTCAACTGAATAATATAGGATTATCGAGTAATCTTTTATTTTTGGTCAATTTTTGGATCGGCCTTCTCTGTCTTTGCCCCAAGGTGGGTGGGTTAGAATTTTTGTTTGGTGCAAACTAAGAAAGCTATTGTCAGTAGAAGCTTCCTTTGTGTTATCGGCACACGGCTAAACTGATGTATTCTTCTCAAGGAGGAACACAAGGTGAATCTCTTGACCCACAAACTATTATTTCAAGACTGCTGGTTTTCACAGCAGTAACAGTTTGTTTGGTAGTGCTTACGAAGTGGTACTTTGGTGGAGGAGTGTGCAGAAGCAAGGCAAGATTAGATGGTAAGAATGAATGTAAATTCCGGAGAGAATTTAATTTAATGTACGCACCGTAAGGGTTTTGCTTTCATTTATGTTAAGGCTGATGCATTGATGTCAATAACCAGTGTCATCACAAAAATCATCTAAGTTCTGTTGGCACCATCTTTTTTTAATTTCCTATAGGACTACCTCGAAGGTAGTTTTCTTCTGTCCATACTTAAGAGCAGTAATCTGATAAGGGTGTTCATGTTTAAGTTCTCCTGCAGTAAAAAATTTTCTTCTTGTTCGCTAATGATTTAATGTCATATTTAGCCAAAAAGCATTATACCAGCTGGTGGGACATTTTGGAAAACAAGTTATTGTTTTTATTTAATTTTTTTAAACTGTGATTTCTCATTTCAAACATCTGTCATTACGCACCTGATTGTGCTGTATTGAGAGAGCTGTATTAAATTATAAAGTGTTGGCATTTTCTCACCAGTGGGACTTTGTTCCTTGGATTATGCGAGAGATTATTTTCTTTTTTGAAAATTCTTTTAGGCTTTTATGGAGACTGACTACAATTTACATGATTGGGAATTCTTTTTTATGCTAACTCTAGATACCATTTTTTAGGCAAGACTGTTGTTGTAACAGGGGCAAACACTGGAATAGGAAAGGAGACTGCTTTGGATCTAGTTAAAAGGGGTGCTAAGGTCATTTTGGCTTGTCGAGATGAACAGAGAGCCACAGATGCAGCAAAGGACATTATTGCGGAGACTGGAAGTGATAAAGTCCTTGTTAGAATTGTTGACCTGTCTTCCTTTGAGTCTGTGAGAGCCTTTGCTAGGCTCATCAATGAAACTGAAGAAAGATTGGACATTCTTGTAAATAACGCTGGCTTTATTGGGTCTTACCAATTGACTAAGGATGGATATGAAAGCAAAATTCCAAGTAAACTATCTCAGCCATTTTCTTCTGACACTACTTCTGTTGGACAAAATGAAGAAATCTGCACCAAGTCGCATTGTAAATGTCTCAGCCTTGGCCCATGAATTTAAGAGTGCTAATCTACAACTGGATGATTTTGTTCTTTCGAAGGAGAAAGTCAGCCTGGGATTTGAACGTTATGCTCAATCAAAATTGGCCCAGGTAGTGTTCACAAAGGAATTGAGCCGAAGACTGGAGGGTGAGTTAAATTAGTTTGTTCCACAGGGTAATCAATATTGTCAATATGCTGGAAGGTTGTGGGCAAGTAAGAAAAAGTTTGTGACCAGGTTATTGTGCATGTAAGGCTGTTTTGTCTGATTATACACATGACTGGAAACTATGTATTCAGAATGTCTAAGGAGTTCCATAAAATTTGGGTGAATCTGGCAACAAATTCTAAATGAGAATCAGTTTATTTATCTAAACATTTAATCCTTTAACTCCCAAGTTCTCATTAGTAATTCTCCTTACTGTCTGTCATATAGCTCTTGTGATGTTAGTTTGGAGAATTTGGTATTGGATCGACTAATAATCCCCTAATTGATAGTTTTCTTTATTCTCATCACTTTTCTGCTTGACTTTGTATTGATATGTAAGGAGAAATCCTGTCTTGGTGGCTCATGAGACTTAAAGGGTTAAGTGGCGAGCCATGTATTCAATTCCACTCAAAAACTGGGGAATGGTTGTTGTACAAATGTTTTGGATGGTTAAGTCTGAATGATAAGGAAGTAAGAAAAGAAGAACAGTAAGCAATAATTTATTGTAAAAAATCTCAATTATTTTGAAAATAATTTTTTTGAGAAAAAAAATCCAAATGAGAGAAAAATTGAAGCATTGGATTTTTGCCTTACTGATGCTCCAGTTTATATCTCACAATTTTAATTTGTTTTCAGTTGACACTTAGAACTAGAACTAGCATGAGGTATCAAGATGTTCCTTATGAATATTATTTTTCTGGTATTTTAGGAACTGGAGTGACAGTTTATGCTCTTCATCCTGGTGGTGTCAAATCAGACATATGGCGGTATTTACCAATTCTGGAGAACCCGTTCCTTAAACCATTTGTAATGATTATTACATTTCTGTTCATGAAAGATTGCAAGCAAGGAGCACAGACAACCATCTTCTGTTCAGTGGCAGAAGAGCTGGAAGGTGTCTCTGGCCTTTACTACAGTGATTGTAAAGTCAGAGAAGGCAATAAACAGGCAAAAGATCCTGGTTTGGCAAAGAAGTTGTGGGATGTTAGTGAGAGGATCACTGGAGAAAGCTGGAAAGAATAAGATGAAGATGAACATCTTTGTAGCTTATTATTGGTACATTTCTTGGTACAGTCCTTGAAACCTGGGGTGTAGTGTACATGTAAGAGTTTTGAATTGTTCTAGCCCTGGGTAGTCTATGATGAAAAGTTAATTTTTGAGGATGATAAGAATTTATGGATGTCTTTATCATTAAGATGCTTGGTAATACATTTGTTTACCCTGACAAAGACTAAAGACCCATAACCTGTGAATTATTACTGCTTTACTAACTTGTGATATTATGAAAAAGCCAAAATATATATGGATCATGACCACCAGTTTGCTTGAGGTGTTGTTATCCACCCTAGGGGGAGGCAGAAAGGAAGGAGAGGAAATGGGAATATGGCAAGTTTGTGCTAAGGCTTAATTGACACTCTGACCCATTGTGAGATCCAGCTCACTTCCCAGTTTAACCCAAACAATGTCTTTGATTGGGTGGCAAATCCACCCATGGAGCCACATATAACACGTAAAACAATATTTAGAATTGACAGACAACATCGAGACTGTCCACCATAAATTCATGCACCATTCAAGCTTTCTTGTGTGTTGACATTCCCTATTCAAGACATTTGGTAGTGGAGTTGTAATCCCTTTTTATTTTGGAAAGCCAGGAAAAATTACGCTATTTGGAAGCACAAACCCCTTTCATGTAAAATAAAGGAGTGTCCCCCCTCCCCTCCCCCCACCCACCTGCTTCTGGTGAACTTAGCGAGAGTTGTTAAAAACAAGGGCACCAAAGAAATTGTGTCATGGAAGCACCAGCTTATCTCGATTTCGGCCAAAAAATTCTCGAGATTACGAAGGAAACTTTGTAAGATGTGATCCAGAGCCCATCGTTTGCTTTGATCGGCGCGGACGTCGCGCGCGCAACGTGGTGAGTACTCAAACTATGGCGGTGTTTTTGGTGTGTGCTGTGTTTCTTTCGCTCTCTCGTTGTTTTGAGGTAGCCTATGGTGAAAAGACAAACAAAGGTTTGTTCTCAAATGAATCTTACTACAATTATTTTTTAAACCAAGCCCAAAACAATAATAGTCCCCCTCGAGCATAGCGTGACTAACACATTTTAGGCTTTCGTGTTGCCTAATGCTTGCGCGTGTCCGCTGTAAAGAGGTTCCCTTTGACTCAAGGTGTCCCCTCTAGCGCGGATTTTATCTGCATGTGAATTGTCTGCTAAAAAAACTGATGGCCAACGTGATAGCGTTTTTTTGTCACATATTTGATTCGCTGAGTCAGTCTCTGATTTTCCTTAGCAAACTCTCAGTTTGGGGTCGGTTAAGTGAAAACTTCTTGACCTCGATCTTTATTAATTAGCTTAACAGCAGAAAAGGAAAAAATCGAATGATCTCTAATTTTATCATAAAGTGGAATTTCTTTCTGTTACTATCTAACGTGTGAGCATTTTTGTACGGTGCAAAGCCAATGACAATAAGCGTTAACTATGTTTTTTGAATCACAGAAGGCGAGCTTCTTAACTCCAAATGTATTGCAACAAGGCTGTTAGTTGTCACAGCGTCAACAATTTGTCTGGCAGTGATCATTAAGTGGTATTTTGGTGGAGGAGTGTGCAGGAGCAAGGCAAGATTAGATGGTATGAGTGCATTGTGAAAAAAATTTATAATTTGCCTAGCCCGGATGATGGCCTTTTGGGGTGGAGGTTTAATTACTAATCCCCACAAGGGCGATTTGAGTACATCTCGCCCTGAAAGGTACAGTTTTCGAGCTGTTTTGTTCATAAGAGAGATGTGGATTTTAACCATTTTGCTCTTGATTATTTATGATTTTCAAAGGAAACCATGGGAGCATATATATAAATTATTTTGAATTCTGAACTTCAGCTGCAAATGAACATCAGAGAAAGAGAGCTTAACCAAAATATATTATCTGAGCTGAATTTTCTGTAAATTTTACCAATTCTAAGTTTTAAAATCGACATGCAGATAAAAAAGGTATTGGATTCATTTGTAAATCAAGTGCATCTTGCTAGGTTTGATTTTGGGTATGGGGAATGCCCCCACCACACTCCAACACATTATGATGTACCTATAAGCTATACTTTGGTTATAAAGCATGTTAGTTAATCTAAGTTATTAGGTAAAAGAAAAAAATCCACTAGTGGCAGCATTCTTCTGTGATTGAGTGCATGTATGGTAAAGGCTTCATAAATATGTGCTGCCATGTAAAAGTATTTCATCTAAAGTGTCACAGGAATTTTTTTTCTTTTATCTCTGGCTGAATGGAGTTATACAGTTTCAAAGTCAATAAGTGGTCAGAATGACAAGTTCATATCATGGCAGTTTGATGACTGGTGGCAATTAATGAGCTTGGCGATATGTTTCTTTGCGCGGACACTCAATTTTATGCTAACACTGCCTTTGTTTAGGTAAGACTGTTATTGTAACAGGGGCAAACACTGGAATAGGGAAAGAGACTGCTTCAGACCTTGCCAGGAGGGGTGCTAAGGTCATTTTGGCTTGCCGAGATGAACAGAGAGCCACAGATGCAGCAAAGGACATTATTGCTGAGACTGGAAGTGATAAAGTCCTTGTTAGAATTTTAGATCTGAATTCCTTTGAGTCTGTGAGATCCTTTGCTAAGCTCATCAGTGAAACAGAGGAAAGATTGGACATTCTTGTGAACAATGCAGGTGAGTAAATAAGAAAACAGGCTGAGAGACTCTAAAGCTTTAACCAATAGTCTTTTATCTAAAATTACAATATGAAGACAAAAACACAAAAACTTTGTTCAAAAAGGAATTATAATGTTAGAGATCACTAACCCATTCACCCATAAATGTGTATGGCTAGCATCTAATTTCTATTTCTAGAATCATGAGAACAAATGAAAAGATTGTCAACTTGAAAAGCCTTGATTGTTAAACAAATTCTCCCAGTTGTTGCTATAAGAAATGTATATAGAATAGTATGGAGAATATGCACAGTGATGTTTGAGTGTAAAGGGTTAAAGTTGAAGTTAATTCTCCATAAAATATCATTTCATAGGGATTGGACTTGGTGCTCCTTACAGGCTGACTAAAGATGGTTATGAAAGTGTTTTCCAAGTAAACTACCTCAGCCATTTTCTTCTGACTCTACTTCTGTTGGACAAAATGAAGAAATCAGCACCAAGTCGCATTGTAAATGTTTCATCCTTGGCACATGAACAAAAGATTGCTACTCTCCAGCTTGAAGATTTTAAACTTTCTAAGGAGAAGTTTGATAAAGGATTTGGACGTTATGCTCAATCGAAGTTGGCCCAAGTGGTGTTCACGAAGGAACTAAGCCGAAGACTGGAGGGTGAGTAAAAATTAATGTTTGGGTGCTCAAGACAACCAGGTCCAATTATATTGCAACCTAGTATGGTCCTTTTGCAGACAGTTTGGTTATCAGAGGATTTGGTCTTGGTTTTGGACTTGAGAACAATTATAATGAATATTAGCAGATTGGACCTTGGATTCAATCTGTCTAGAAGTTGAAATTGTGGATTTCTTCACTAATAATGATGTTCAACTTGGTATCTGCTGACCTAGTAAGCTTTTCATTTTTCTTGGCTTAGAGGAAGCCAAAAATCCTTTCCTGTTGTAAAGACCTGGATGACTTTGAAATTCAGTATGTTATGGGCTGTTTAACTCTCATGTGCTACATTTTCAAAAACCAGCAAAGACAGAGCAACTTTTGGCAAATTTGAAAACGTGTGGTAGTAAGAAAGGTAAAACAAACACAAGCTCATTTGTGGTGAGGTATATTGTGGTACATTTTAATCAAAGTGATGTCATACCTTGATTATGATTTGAATGAAAATTGTGAAACTCTATAAATTATAATTTAAAGTATATTTAAAGGTTCCACTCGAAGTATCAGAAGAAAATTGAGTAGATTAGAATGGTGTTTCTCAAGCAAGTTACATTAGGATCACTATTGGGAGAACTAAATTAAATTTTTTTTCAACTGACATTAAGGATTATAATGAGGTATCAAGATGGCTCTTATATTGATCATTCTTCTTCCTTTGTTTTAGGAACTGGAGTGACAGTGTATGCTCTTCATCCTGGTGGTGTCAATTCAGACATTTGGCGCAACTATAAGTTCCTGGAGAATCCATTCCTGAAACCATTTGTAACCCTGATTGCATATTTGTTCTTGAAAGATTGTAAGCAAGGAGCACAGACATCAATCTACTGTTCAGTGGCTGAAGAGCTGGAAGGTGTCTCAGGCCTTTACTTCAGTGATTGTAAAGTCAGAGAAGGCAATAAACTGGCAAAAGATCCTGGTTTGGCAAAGAAGTTGTGGGATGTTAGTGAGAGGATCACTAGAGAAAGCTGGAAATATTAGATATTGTAGTCATGCATGTACACATTTTCAAGTAGAATAGAACCTTTGCTTGTTTTCCAGTGCCAATCAGAGCTTGCTTACAAGCTGTTACTAAGTGACATGGTTTTTCTTTCATGTCCCTTTTATTTCATGTATATTAATCCTCCTCACTCAAGTTCAATGCATTATCCCTCAAGTAGCTGTGATAGGCATTGCATACATATCAATAAGTCAGAAGGAATAAACTTGATTACTTAAGGCTTATAATTACTAGACATGGAGCTATGTAAGGTTGTTACCATTATTTTACATAAACTTATGTTATACAACCTTGGCAAAGTTCTGTTAGGAGCATTGATCATGTCATCGTAGTAGAGAGTTGTTAAATCCATTTTAGCACCAGTTGTGGCCTGGATAACATGCCCTCTACTCAGTGGTGTCACATGTCATTTCAGACTTTGGTTTGGCAGTATTATTTGATGTTTAGCTTACATATATCATATTCGAGTTTTGTATTTTTGAAAGTAGTGGCTAGACAGTGGCATAGTTATAATAAAGGATGCCTTTTTTCATGTTATTCGCTTTTTAAGAGGAATATTGTGTTGGTTTGACAGCTTGAAGAGTAGCAGGAGATATAAATGGATGTTGAATTTAAATCCACATTTCTTATTGTGCTTTTTGTGTGGAACTTAAAACAAAAAATTAGTAGGATATAAATATGTATATATTTTTTTAATGAGGTCACGAATCCGATCCTACTAACGCATCGACCAACGTGTCCGCCGACACACCCCCGACACTCTACCGACGCCGAGGGGAAAGGAATGAAATACCGTAAACACGCATATCACCGTGTTTTGAAGCTCAATGCTGGAAAAAAAGTTCCTTAAAAAATTGTGGTTAATCATCAGAAAGACTGACTCAAAATTTCGCTGTAACGTTCCGTAAAGCCACCGATTGATCGTTTGACTCTTTCTATTATACTCAACAAAATTAAACCGAATACCTCCTTGAACCAGTATGACATTGCTTTTTTTTAGTATATTTTCATTAGTCAGTGCACTGTGAACACTTACAAACATAGGTTTTGGTTAGTTATAGTGGCTATCAGTAGCTCCATTTCGGCAAACAGCCCGTAGATCTTTCAGAACAAAGAAATATTTTAGAAATATTTTCCATCTCGTCATAAGCTCACTGGGTTGTATGCACGGGTACATTTAAAGAAGGTCGGGGAATCAATCAACACCAAAGATACTCCTGTTTATTTCCACATCTAAGATCACTATACTACAAGCAGGGGCAGGACGGCTGTCTTTTCAAGCACAAAATAAATGATGTACAACGAGAAAACACGAGAGGTTGATTTGAAAGATGTCAGGTTTTACTCATTATTTCATCATGACATTTAGATAAATGTCAAAACCATTTTAGTCATAGCATAGATTGCATGGAATTGTTTGTTGACATATTTCTACCCTCTCTAAAACCGAACCAAATTCTTTCCCAAAACCTTAAAAAAAAAAAAAAGACGAAAATAAGAGAAAGAAAAACCATGCAACTTGGGGAAATTGCCCCTCAAATATTGAAAAAACTCCCCTCTCAAAATTTAGGCTATGTACATCTCACTCGCCCGAATATGCACGGACGAAAGCCATTATTTTAGCTTCTCCACGCTGGATCACGCGAGTTCCAAGGAATCCTGAGAGGAAAAAAAAATAAGGTCGCCAGGCACTATCATTTCGACCTCAGTCAGGTTCAAGCGCTATAATCAGCAGGTCAGCTGGAAGATTTAGTCTCCATTCTCCCCTCATTTTCTCGAACGCCTGGATTATTGTTGTCAGAAGCTTTCTGCATGATGGCTCAAGGAGGGAAGGTAGTCTTCGTGATATTTCTTTCATGTTACCTCTCAGAAATCTTATCATATGCATCTGGTGAGTGTTATCCGTATATTGCGTAGTTAAAACTTTTGTTTGTACGCGATCTGACATACAAGAAATGCTGTCGCCATACTTAGCATTGTTTCGGCTCTGAATATTTCTCGTAAATTTATTTGTGACTTTGTCAATTTTTAACTAAAATGTGGCTAATTTTTGTGAAGAAGATTAGTTGGTGTATTTTTGTAGCAGATCGATTCTTGTATGCGTTTCCAATCTGTAATTTTTTAGTATACTAATACCGTAGCCAGCAGCTGTTATTATTTTAATGACAGCTGATTCACGGGAATTTCGTAATACAGACGATTTAGTTAGGAAAGTAAGAAAACCTGAATATATTCTATTAAACTTAAGTCATGGAATGGTAAGCTTAATTTAAGTGAAGACTTTCAATAAATTGATACATTAATCTAGGCTAGAAATTTCAAGAGGCTCTGAATCCTCACCAGTATTTGTTAATAATTTATGACTAACATATACAGTGCACAAGGATATTCATCTTCAATAATCCTTTCAACACTTTCAATGCCACTGCCTTTCATTTTTACATGTGACTTCATGTTAGGAATATACCCACAGCACTAACTTACTTTGCATTTTTCCTAAATATTTTTAAAATTATCAGCCATGAGATTCTTAATTGTCAAGGGTGTTTGAAATGCTCAAATTTCTTTTCCCGTTCAGAAAAATATTGTAGATGAATACAGTAGAAGTGTTTTTATGACAAATTCATTTGATGGTTGTTAAACGAATTGCATTCTTAATCACAGGAATTGTTAATTAAGCTAATGGTTGGACCAAAGTTTCTCCCTTTTGCCATTTAAATAATTGTTTTTTGCTCAAAGTTACATGTTAGTTTTATAGATCATTAAGTGTAAGTAACTGTAGGAGAACACAGAATTAAGTTTCTGAGTTGTATAATGTTGTAAAAATCAATAAGATGTACTTTCCCTTTGCTGGTACTAAATCATGTTAATGTACACAATGTTCTTTCATATTAAGGAGCCTCACCTTGTGAGGATCATCATCCAAGATGTGGCCACTGGGCATCCAAAGGAGAATGCAAGAAAAATGTCAAGTGGATGTCAAAGCACTGTCGATCAACTTGTGGCCTGTGTGCCCAAGGTACAACCACTGTTACATTTTGAATGTCAATCATAACAACAACTACTGGGTTGATGTTTCATTTTTGTTAAAATTGCCTTTTTTGTAGAGGATCTCCTTATTAATTCTCAAATATGAAATACACAAAAAATCATTTTTTGACCTGAAGCAGCTAACTGAGTTTTCTTGGGAACCTGTAGAACTGAGTTCACACTAAATACAGGGTCAAGAGCAGTGAACATTTTAAACATTGAAAGATGCAGCCATCTCCCTTTTTTGAAATCTTTAGGTTATTGATAAACTATTACTTCATTGTTTGACAGATCTCAAGAGGATTGACTGAAATGGCATTAGTTTAGACAGTTCACTGATTTTATGGTGTTTATATAGAGAGTATTCATAGGTCAAGTGATCCCTCTTACTGCTCTGATTCAACTGTCTTTTATTTAGTATCAAGATAATACATTTACTGTACAATGCTTGTAATTAGTTATGTTATGTTTACTTAGGAAAGTAGTTTTACAAGATGATTGAGTAATAGGAAATGTCCTTACAATAGTAATGCTATGTAACATAATACACTACTTCACAGTGTACTACAGTGTAGCAGAATGGGGAAGAAATCATCAAATGACACCTGAGCTAACTCCCAGAAATCCTGGGTCATTTAAGGGATTTGTTTGCGAATGTGACCTTTTTTGCTATTGCTTACTTGAATTTCCAAGTGTAAACTTGATAAGTGGCATCTTATCCAAATTGAAGACAACAACAGATACATCATTTGGAACAAAATGGTGCAAAATCCATACCTCCTCTAACTTCTAGTCAACAGAAGCAAGCTAAAGAATGCCAAGAGTACAGACAATCCACTCAATAATTCATTTGTATTATGGCATGTAAAACTCTTTAATGATACAATAATTTTGTGTCTTGTCTTTCAATCAAGCTAATGTTCATGATCTGTACAAACAAGCCAAACTGGAGATACATGGAGCTTTTCTTCTGTTCTTTGGTATTGTTGGCATAGTTGTGGTAGGAGCATTCACTAAAATACATTTTGAAGGGCCATCATGTCCAAGTTCAGCAAAGATGACAGGTACCATAAGTATTTCCTTCTTGTTCAAGCTATGGCAAACCTAAAGAATTCAAAAAACCCAACCATTATTGAAGTTTTCTTGTAGGTGCTATGGGTTTATGCTGTTAACAGAGATTGATAAGCTATTATGAAGTTCATACTCACACAAACATTTTCGTGAAACAAAAAATGCTGAAAAAATATCATAAATTTTGTTTTTTTATCTCTATAATCTTGCTGGCAATCTGTTTTAATCCTCCTAATCTAATTAGCTAACTTTCTTCCTTCTTGGTTTAACTTCATTTTCTTTTTCTAAGTTACAATTTATTTTGGTCCCCTGACATTTGGAAATAATTTTCACAGCACAAAAAATGACTCAAAACACGATTGCTTCTTAACCCTTTAACTCCCAGATCAAATTTCTTGTTTCTCCTTACAGTCAACCATAAAATTCTTATAATGTTAGTTCAGAGAATTAAGTATTGGATCAACTGATTATCCCCAAATTGATATTTGTCTTTATTCTCATCACTTATCTGGTTGATATTGTATTGATATTGTAGGGAGAAATTCTGTCTTGGTCACTCATGGGATTTAAAAGGTTAAAGGAATGAATTCATCTTTTTTTTTTGTACAACATTAGGAAAAACTGTAGTGATAACAGGAGGAAACACAGGTATTGGTAAAGAAACAGCAAGAATCTTGGCTTGGAGAAAGGCGAGGGTGATCATTGGCTGCAGAAACATCACAAAGGGCTTACATGCTGCTGCAGAAATCATTGAAAACACTGGAAATAGAAACATAGAAGTGAAAAAATTAGACTTGTCTTGTTTTAAGTCAGTACAAAGATTTGCAGAAGAGGTAAATGAAGAAGAACAAAGGGTGGATGTCTTGATAAACAATGCTGGTTACATTGGGCCCTACTGTACAACAGTTGATGAGCTTGAAAATACTATTCAAGTTAACTATCTTAGTCATTTTTTGTTGTCACATCTTCTCCTTGATAAACTTAAAGCCAGTTCTCCTAGTCGTATTATTAATGTGTCATCAAGGCAGCATGCTGAGGTGTCACAGATTGATGTTGGCAAAGTCCTGTCACAAAAGAAGGAAGGTTATGGAATTATCAAAGCCTACAATAACAGCAAATTATGCCAAGTTCTTTCCACCATTGAGATGAGCAAGAGAATCAAAGGTAATTTAACTATTACTATGGCTGACATTGTTACTTAAAAGTTTGAAAACTAAACTCCAAAATTATACCAAATCATTCCATGTGCTTTTTCCATTTCCAAACTGGATCAAGTGTCCAAAAAAAATTACACTTTGTGTATCATGTACTCAAACATCCTAAAAAGTCACTGTCGTTCAGACAACCACCTAGTCAAAGCTTATCCAAGTTTCTTTAATATTAAAAAAACTAGGAGTATCATTACTCCCCCCCTGGTTGGGATGCCACTCCATCACAAGGTTATTCCCCCCCAGCATTTCATCAGGCTTCCCTGACAATTCATCTGTACCCATTTATACTCCTAGGTGTAGAAAGGCACTTTGAAAACAAAAAGTTTTGCTTGAGAACATGACACATTTACCCAGCCAGGTCTCAAACAAGGACCTCTTGACCTAGAGTCCAGTGCACTGACCATGAAGGCACTGCAACTCCTACATGGGTGATAACATCATCATGTATATTATATTGTGAAGTATATGATTGAAAAGAGTCTTATTATTGTTGTTCTTTTCCTTTGTCTAGGATCAGGAGTCACCGTGAATGCTCTTCATCCTGGGGTTGTTGGAACCGAAATTACAAGGAATTTTAGGATTCTTCAGATGTGGATTATAAGACCCCTCCTTTGGTTTGTGTCATATTTCTTTTTTAAAACAATAAACAGTGGAGCTCAGACGTCCATCTACTGTGCAGTTGCAGAGGAGCTTAAGGATGTTTCTGGGAAATATTTTAAGGACTGTGCAATGGTTGAGTGCAGTGATTTGGCCAAAGATAAAAAATTAGCAGAGGAACTATGGAAGGAAAGCGAAAAGCTCACAGAATTAGATAAACAATGACCTCTAGCATGGAATCACAGCAAGATGTCTTTTTAGGGAGTTGTTTTCAAATTTATGTCCATGCTTGGTTTCCCTTAAAGAAGTTAGCAGCAATTGCCTGTCTCCTGTTAACCTTTTAACTAGTTGGAGTTGATTCTTGATTCTTGATTCTCCCTTCTGGCTGCCATTCATTTCTTAGTGAATAATTAAAGAAATACCCTCTAGCTAGTACTTTTTGCCAGTCCCATCTCTTGTTTGCCAGATAGTGTGTGCTAAGTTGGTCAGTAAGTGTCATTTAAAATATTTATCACTTCAGGGAGTTAGGGATGAAAGTTTACCAAAGCTTTTTTCATTCTTTAAAAGCATTAAATGAATAACAGATAGTAGGGAGAATTGGAAACAAGATCTTAAGAGTTTAATTGGTGAGATTAATTTCCTTGGCCTCCAGAGATATTGGGGGTCAAAACAGAGAAATTGGTGCTTGTAATTTTGATGATTTGCACTTAAAGTGCGACAGTTTGTTGCTTTTTAACGTTGATCTGATTACTCAATAGTGAAATGTTTGAAAATTTGAAAATTTTTATCCAAGAGCACCTACTGGGGTTGAAATACAGGGGTTTCAAGTTATCAGGAATCAATTGTCTGGGGTAAATGAATTGTAATAGATTGACACAAATATAATAGATGTGAAGAGATGATAAATGGATCTCAGTTGAGTCTATAAACAAACCTAAACCAACCAAACCAAAAGTTACTCTAACAGCCCATCAGAAGAAAGTAAATTATTACTTAGAACATGGGAAAATGTGAGTAAGGTATGACCTTATTGATTCTGGTTTTCCACCTCATTGGTTGAGAGCATGGGACAAGTTTTCTACACCAATCAGAGAGAGTTGAAACAAAACAAGTCTCGGATTGCTTTTGACAATTAGCTGAGAATATGACAAAAGATTAATTCAAGATTTCCGCGATCTGAAATGAAAGAATTTAACCTTAGCAAAAATTGACAACCAAATGAAATAGTATAGTAGTCAATGCCTGGCAAAGTTTGCGTTACCTGATCAGCCTTACCCAGCTGGGCAAGGCGAAATCTGCAGTGGGTTTTTTTACATGTTTCAGCCTTGACAATGACAACATCTCTTTAGCTCTGTTGTATAACAAGATTTCAAGTGTAATATGAAATGTTTTAATGTATTACGAAAGTTTACTTTATGACTACAAATGATTAAATGTATTTATGCACATCATGTGAATGGTTACCAGAATTTGGAAATAAATATGGTGATTGAAATTTTTGCGATCATTTTCCCGCTTAGATAGCGAAATAGAGTTTAACAGAAACAGTTACATTTGTAGAAATGGTGCTCGGGGCTCGAGTAACAGCTACATGTGAAGTTATTGTACTAGAATCTAAAGCTTGTGTCTTATTTCTCCTGGAAATCAAGTCTCGTTCTCTTTCGGTTTATGATGTTTCCAAGTCACTCTTAAAAATACGTTATTCTCGATTCCACAACATCATTACAAGAGATGGTTTTGTCAGCTTTGTGACTCTTTACAGTGTCCAATTTACATTATCAACCCAGTTGATAAAAGAAAGTCACCTTATGTGAAATCAACCTTTGAAATCAGACGCACTGAATAAAACAAGCTATAAATGAATTATCTGAACTCACTAACAAATGAAAGAAATGTATCGCAATTGGAAGGGAGAAATACGAATTATACCTTGGGAGTTTTTAAAAGGTTTAAAATATGCATACTTTGCCTTCTTCAGCCAGCATACGAGTGCACGATAGAATTGGAAAATAAACAAAGGGAAGGGATTCTATACATTTTCCAGAAAACTTTCACAGGCAAAAAGCACTTTACGTTATTTTACTAACTAAAGAACCTTAAGCAGTCTTGAAGGTACAACCTTTGAAAATGGTTGTATTTATCGTCGGTCTATTTTAACTTGAAATAGGTGGCAAATTGACATATAATGCCTCCAAAACCTACGTCTCCTGTTCACTTCGAACGAATAATTCCAGACTAGTCCCAACTCCGGCGTGTGTAATCTGTGACGTCAGGGGACACAGAATGGTTTAAGTGTGACGGGTAGCAGACTGGGGATGACCTGAGTCAGGCAGGTGATCTACCTCTAATGTGGTATCACTCAATCCAGTGTCCCATATTAAGATGTTTTTCTAATTAAATAAAGTAAAGTAAGACCCCGTGCGTACAGCTTAAATCAGTGCATACACCCATCATATAAACTAACCGTCGAATAAGCTCAGTAAGGCTTTAATTAACGTCTTTGTTTCCGTCAAGTACAAACATTTGAATAAACAAGGCTTAGCAAAAACTGCTTAAATTTACCTTACTAAAGACAAAAACATCTATCCGTAATACAACTGCAAACGTGAGAGTTGAGCTGTCAAACTAACGGTCAAAGCACGAATAATTACGGTACGGTGTTAAGGGATTTCATGCGTACCGATTTGTTTCACTGAAATGAGTGCGCAACAGGGAAACGGTTTCTACGAAATCCGCCTAGAAAAACCAACTATAAGTCTTCACTTACATCCAATGCAGTCGATCACTGAGAATTGGTCCTTCATCGATTTTAGGTAAAAGCGAAGAAAAAACAAACGTTATTGAAGTTTGAGACACTTCCTTTTTATAGTTTATCAGGGCAAAACATGCAGGGCTTTTTTGACGATGCATTACTTAACTGGCTGAAATAGTTCAAGCGAAATCCTACAACAATACCTGTAAGTCCTCTACATCAACGTATCGCTCTTGAGAACGAGAAAAAAATTTTTTTTTTACTTGACTCGGTGACTTAGTAGTCCGCCATTCGACTACATCACTTTAAATTTAAGACAACTGGGGAGCTGCGGAACTCGAACTTCTAGATGCTGGATAAAAAGGAGCCTTTTTATCAGTTGTCTGTATGCAAAGACTTCCTGGATCTTAAAGAAGTGTGACTTGGTTCTGTAGACTCTGCAATTGGTTCAGAGAAAGTTTTAGCAGTTTCTGCCAGACATTCTTCTGGCAGTCGGTTGGTCATCAGCATGGCGGTGCCTGTGAAGCGACGTACACTATGGCCAGTTGAACGACGATGAGTCACCCCAGCATCATCTCCTTGCTGGAAAGTGGTAAAAAGACTCCTGCAAGAAATCAAACATACAAACAAACATTTGAAGAAAAACGTTGACGTGTTGCGAAGTTTTGGAAGGACTTCCTCTACGTTTCTCGTTTCCCAGTTCATTCCTTGCTTTTCCTGGTTTCACCGCTTTTTCCTCGGAATCTTGAGCTTCCCGACCTATCCTTCAGTTTTCCAAGTCATGGTTGGAAATATTTTTGCCACCACCCAAAAAGGGTATGGCGGTTGATCAAACCTGGGGGAAAGGACGGGGGGGGAGAGGTAGGGGGGGGGGGGGGAGGGAGGGTAGATAAAGTGAGAGCTCGAGGTCATCACCAGTGCTATGGCTGATGCTTTTCCGAAATCCAAAAATACTGTTGCACTCGGTAATTGCAAAAGGATAAAGCTCCTGAATTGTCACTGAGATTTTCAATTCTCATGGCATGAAAAATCACGTATTTTTGCTACCACCCAAAAAGGGTACGGCGGATCATCAAACCTGGGGGAAGGGAGGGGGGGAGAGGAGGAGGGTAAACAAGGTGAGAGCTCGTGGTCATCACAAGTACTATGGCTAATCCTTCTCTTCAATTAAAAAAATACCGTTGTATTCGGTATTTGCAACGGATAAAGTTTTCCTGGATAACTTTGAGACGTCCTAATAGCCAGGAATAAAAATTAAAAAAGGCACAGAACTGAAAAAAACAAAAACAAAGAGTTAACACAACAAATTGTTCTGTTACTTGAGTTCCTGTAGTCTTTGCTGTTCCTGTTCATCTTCCTGATGTATGTTCAGTGTCCGTTTAGTATACTTTGCGAAGTTTAGGTAAAGAAGCACTGTGCTAATGAGGGTCACCACAGCAACAGACGCAATTTGTGACAAGAAATTTTTCCCTTCCCTGTCTGTTACCTGTACCGAGAACTGTGAGGTCAGCTCACAGAAACTGTTGGAAAGCAAAAGACAAAAGTGAACTTTCGATAGAAAAACATCAATGCGTTGATCAAATGACACGAGTAGAGACTGACACTATCAGCTTCATAATGTGTTGCACCGGTTTTGTAGTAAAATCGAGTGACATTTCTGACCCGCACTCAAACTTGTTTCCAATTTGGGGAAAAGGGAATAATACTTATACTAAAAATACAATTCTGTTAAATATACATATGATTGATCATGAAGAGCTCTCGTCTGTATTCTTCCCCAACATTCTTTGTGGTCGTTTTCGTTATTTGCTCACACTTTAGAGACAAAAAATTCTGAATCGTCTAAAAACTGCAAAGTCATCATTACCTTCCAACAGATAATTGTCTTCAGAATCCATGTTAAACCTTAAACTGTTATTTACCTCAAGTGGTTTCCAACAACTCTGAGTTGGAAGTGAAAGCTTCCTGAACCTTGAAACACCAGCTGAGAGACTCCTGAAGAGTTAAGAATCTCATACGGTTGACTTCCATCAAATGTCTTGCCATCGTTACTGGCCTCAAAACAACTTTGATATTTCTGGAACACAAAGACTGACACTCATCAACCCTCTTTGATGACAAGGACAGTACAAGATCCTTTTTTTTTATCCCACACTTGTAAAAAACAAAAGCAAAAGTAAAAACAAAAAAGAAACATCTGTAACAAGATAACCTTCTCATCTGATGTTTACGCTTTTAAAATAGAGATTGTACTTTTCACGAGCCAAATTATGAGAAATCAAAGACAATTTTCTACCCATTCATTTTCCATTTTATTTTCTTTGCTTTAACATTAGTATTGTTGTAAGCAATTGTTCACTAACAAAGTTGCATAACACATAGCACCTTTTATAATCTTACATTTTGTGTCCAGATTCTGTTTAAATCCTCGGAGGTATTTTCCGAAAGTTTTCTCAACGTTTGGGCTTCAGATAAACACCTGACCTGTCACAACAAAAAATTTCTGTTTTAGTTAAATTCAGCCAAAGAAACTGACTTGTTCTAATTTACTCCGCTTAGGCTCAGACTATGAACTTAGTGATTGAGTTCGGTCAGGCCTGATGGGAAAATATTTGGCTTGAGGTCATAACATGCAGACCGTGTGTCATGAACGAGAATTTGCGAGAGTTTGAGAGTTTGAACTACAGTTTGCTAATTAGCCCTTGTGTTCGCTGCAACAGTTGTTACGTTGGTACATGATGTGTACCTCACTCATAGTAGCAGTGTATCCATAGTCTGTTCTGCTTGTTTCTTCCCAGACTACATAATCAGAGTGCACCTCTTCCACGAACTTGTCACCTTCGTATCTATCGCAGCAAAATAGACAAAGGTAAGAACATTTTAAGTTCCATTTCAGAATCAGTGAGTCCCATTCAGTACACGTCCTTCAAAACCTTTCCACGATAAAGCTATGCTAAGAAGTCGAGCCTTTTTTATGAATCCTTGGTTACAATTTTTGTACAATAACGATGCATTACCATTGCAGATGACAAAACAGAATTTGAAAATTGTCAAGTTAACAATTGGTGATTGATTAGAGAGAAAAGAGCGAAATTTCACCTTCGATTTGACTTATTTCTATGGACCCACTGGCTCCATTAAGCAGGCATTTAAATACATGAAATTGAAGTCAAAAGATGTAAACTTACAGATCTACCACTAGCTTGATATTTTCATAAATGGCAGCATTCAAACGGCAGGGATTTTGGCCATAATCCTTAAATATTGAAGTATCTTCTGTCAGTATAACTTGTAGCGAACAAACATCCCTGTTAGGAAAACCTGTCAAAATGCTTGCTGCTTGCTGGGTTAAAATAGCATACTGTTACAGGCAAACAAGGGAAGCCACGGAAAAGAAGCAATTCTCCTCATCATGCACAGCTCTTACACATCCGTTTAGTCATCTTTCATGTTTACTAACCACATCGTTAAATGATGCATAGCTCATGGAAATTCCTGAACAGAGGGATCTGCCTAGAGATTTTTTCTCAGTTTTTGCCTACTTGTTTATCTTTTGTCTTAAAGGAACTTAAAGTTTGAAATAAAAACATAAGACCCAATGCTCATTTAGGTGCAGCACCTTGTAGAACCATATGCTTCCTTGTAGTAACATCAAAATTAAATCTATAATCGAGTACTTGCTAAATTCACATTTCCAATACTATTTCGCAATCTGTTCTGACAATTTTTCTCTGTTAAATCTTACCAGGAAATGAACGCTATTTCTAAACCCTAAACAAAAGGAAAAAACAATATATCGCCTAAGTCGTTTAGGAAAAATGATTTTCAAAGGCACATCCCTGATGAGCTCCAGCTTTGAAACCAGAGCCACCATTTTCTCTGTGTGCACTTGCCGATTTCCATGAATTAATGGAAGAAAAGGATGCACAGTTCAATACTTGGAAAAAAAAGGGGAATGAAGTTTATCCTCTCTTGTAAGAAACGACTTAAACATGAATTGTTTACCATACCGTAGATAAGGGTGGTGCAGACTCCACACCAGTTGATGAAGTACAGTTCCTTATCACAATGCTCTTGAGTGGCGGACACCCAACATGAACATGTAGCACCTGTGCTTAACAGCAGGTTAGAGCCAATACTTCTTACAATACTACTACAAACTTATGTTGCCAAACGCTTCAGTCAATATTCTCTTGCTTCAGGGTTATCTTTTGGAGTGACCGTCAGGGTTAGAGTTGTCAAGAAAATGTCTGTTGTGTTGTCAAGTTTATGACTAAAGTTTAAAAATGTATGCAGAAGTCATCATGACCTGAGTCAAATAATGAAAAGTGATGACTCGGTGTAGAGGAAAGTGACTGGTCAGTTTTGCCATGATTTTATGACACTCACTGTAGTGCTTGTCAGATTTGATTGATTGGTTTGAATGCGTCGGTAAGGTGAAGTGAATCCCTCTCGACCATGGCTTTTTTTTAATGTAATACGTGCTTTGTAAGGTGCCAATAGCTGTTGACATTGAATGGTGGAGGCTGGGTTTTCTCTTTTTTGGGAACAACCCTTCCTTGTTTTAAACTCTGAGGTCATTTTCTTTAATTTTTCAATTATTTTCTTCAGGTCCCAGAACATATCAGCTATTTAGAACCAAAACGAATCAATGCCTAGCAATTACTGTCCACTTTAAAAACCACCAGAAGCCATTTTTAACCCAACTTAGACACCTCTACATACACAAAGATATGTAATTAATTGCACAACTCATTTTGAACAGAAGCTTTGGATCATGAGCAATACCTGGAGATTATTTTCACAGGATAATTCTCCAACCTTTGGCAAAAGCTGGACAGCAACTGCAGTTGATTTGTAGGAGCTGGGATCAATGAAAAGAAAAAACATTGAGAAATCAAATAATATATAGATTTATAGCACCTTGTACGGTCGTATGGTTGTACATCCAAATTTTTTTGGCTTGATGGGTTACTACTATTTTGTATAATTATGGGGCTATGCTCTGCAAGCTCCACTATAACTCTAAAAAAATTTAATCAATTAAAATTACAAATATTAAAAGGGAAAAGGTTAAATCAACCCTAATTGACATTAAAAAAAAGTAAGAGAAAAATTGAAATAACATAGAATAGCAAAAGTAGAAAGCTGATAAAAACTGAAACTAACCACATACTTTTTTTGCACTGAAGTTCCATTTCTAAAGTTGTATCTGAATGTAAAAGTCTACCATAGAGAAAAAAAAGTAAAAGAGACTTGACAATGGTACAGTAATTTTTTCGATGAGATCTTTTCATAATTAACTAAATGTTAACTAAATGAATCATTTGAAGATCTTGTTCAGGTGACAATTGAAATATCAAAAGTAAATAGCATGGCATGAAGTGGCAAATAAAGGGTGAACATTGTTGTGCATAAAGGGCTTCTGTTGTCACCTTATTCAGTGTCACAAGTCCCTTATAGTGTTCCACATGATCTTCACTGGTGATTTGGAGAACATCAACACTGGAGATTTCCAGCTATATTGAATTTGTAAATATTAAACAGATCAGTGGGTGCAAAAGAGGGGAAAGGACACTAAAACACATAAAAGTTCCCTAATGGACTCCTCTACAAGTCCTATTTAGTTAAATACAACAGTTACTGGAGATGATTCAGAGTGAAAATTACTGAAAAGTTTATGCTTAAAAGTAGACATGGCCAAAGATAGACATTTGTGACTCCACTGTAGTCAATTTTTTTTTTTAAAGGGTCAATTGATACTCATCTTAAGTCACCAATTTTTCTCAATCAATTATTGTAAACTTTTTTGAGTAAGCCCAAGTCATCTGCCTCAAGGTGAGTCCTTACATGTAGGTTCCCTTAGCAATTTCTGCTTTAACATTTCTTCCCCCAAAGATCAGTACTTATTAACTGAGCAAATCATACCCTGACATCATTAGGTTCTGTCCTGGGATAAATAAGAACTGCCCAGACCTGAATGAAAACAACATGGAGTCATTGATCAGTTGGTAAAATTGTCCATTTACTTGTGGTAAGTGAGACTGAAAAATATGATTTAAATAAGTCACCAACCTTTGTTTCATCTCCCTTGTCCATGAAATACAACTCTGGACTGACATTAGTAGTGAATCTTAAATACTGTAATAAAAACATAGTCAATAACAGTTATGGCAGTTATACAGTATTATGGATTTAGGCCAAATCTTTAGCTTTAAGCCCATACTTTATTCCAACTTTCATAACTGTCTGCTACTGCTGTTTACTTTTAGGGTTCATCTTGTTTCTTATTATCCACAAGTCAAAAATGATGTGTTATATTAGGTGATCAAAACAATAATTTTTACACATAATTGCTTGTAAATCTGCATCCTTACAGGACATGATTTTTGTGGGAATACTGCATTCAATACTTCATTTGCCAGAGGCAGCTTTCTTGTTTTAACTATGCCCCTGAAAAGGATAGGAAGCATGATTTAATTTAATTTATTTACTAACAATAAAAGAATTATTAATTACAATCTAATGGATAGTCTGGATGGAAATGAAATGAAAATAATAAAGGCCTAAGAATAATACATTACAGAGAACATCCAATGAAAAAAGACATCACTAGTAAATAAGTTCTGGTAATCATTCAACTTCATCACCTGACATAGACAACAGGAACAAGTAATAATGGATACACTACACTCTGTCAACAACAACTTAAATAAAAGTGATATTATTGATGACTGTAAATGTTAGGTTTCCTGTGCACTTGGCCCAGTCTCTGCCAAGGTTTTGTCATTTGACACTAGGCCAAACCTCGGCGCACATGTGTTTTTATCACTTGTTACTTCTGCCTTTATTTTTTATATAAGGATCTGTTTAACTTAAGAATCACATCATAGAAATAGAACATTACAGAACCATAACAGATATTGTAGCAATTTTCAAGGTTATGGAGAAGGACACTTGCTTATTTGTATGGATTTCTCATACGTTATTTTATTTGAACTGTATGCTTGGCGTGGTTAATTGGATTGAATAATATGTGGAATTGACATTGAATTGCCATGGCAACTACACCAATCCAACATCAGAGTATGATTATACTTAACAACACAAACTGCCAAAAGTGTTTGTTCAAAGACATACCCATTGCTTGTAATCAGCAGCAAAGAACTGAATATATCAAACATCACTGTAAAATTTGAAGATGGGTCTTCTCCTGGAAAAATCTGGTAAAAAATAAATTGAAACTGGATAAGAAAGTTGCACAAAGGCAGTAAAATATCAAAACAGAAATAGTTAACACTTACCTCAACCACATGTTCAACAAATGCTCTTCCATAAAATAACCTTTTGTTTGACAACTGCACAGCAAAATCTCCATTTCCACCTGAAAATCATTTGAATTTAATAAGTATTGATTGCTGTTTCACTTAAAACCCCATTGATATTAGTTGTAAACATGTTAGCAGTAAATGAGAACACAATTGGCCTAACCAACAGTGTCCTTCTTCTATAACTGTTATGCATGACAGTTAATGTAACAGTATGAAACATACTGCCTCAAAAAAAAAAGAAAAGAAAAAAAGAAAAAAAAAACACCCAAGAGTTCATACCTGTTATCAAAGACACTATAGTTTCATTGACATTAAGAGCAAAGTCGGAGAGATGTCCTTGTCTCTTCACCTTAAAAACACTCCCTGGAATCAGTTGAAATAAGAATGGCAAAAAAGTTTTCAGTAATAATAATTATAATAGCATCTGCCTGACCTAAAAGTTTTAGAAGCTACAATGTGTTGATGATGCAAAATAATTGTTATATTTGCCAATGTAATTTTTGTCAATGACTTCTAGTTAATGATATCAATTATCTAGTAAATAACCTGTTTCATTAAGTCTTCCAAAGGCAAACAATTTCTGACTCCAAGCAATCAAATACTGTGTACTTGGAGGAATAAATGAGAATTGCCTTGGGGGATCTGTTGAAGGAATAGTAAAAGAATGATTAATTGAACAACATTGTCTTAAAATGCTCTGAATTGAAGGCAGGTAGATGGAAACATGTTCGTTACTGCAACAGTTACTTTTCATTTGTCGTGGAATTAAGCAGGCTCCTTTTAGATATTAGGTGGTAGTTTTTAGCAGAATTAGTTTTAATTAGTGTATCCTGTAAGCACACAAAAAGCTTCTTAAATTGATCAAAATTAAAGGAAGAAATTGAAAGTGAGAATTACATTCTTCCTGACAACTGTACCTCGACTAAAACCAGAAAGTGTACGTTCCTCTTGTATCCAGGCATCCTCCATAAAGTCATACTGCATGAACATTGTCTAAAACATGCAAAGAAAACTCTACTGTCTCTTTTGCTTAAAACACTAAAGTACGCAAATCAAGGGTAATCCAAGCTGGTCAAGAGTAAGTATTAATTAAACAAGCACGGGTTGAAGAGAATGAGGTAAAATGACAGAAAAAAAATATTTTAAATGTCCTCGCAATCAAAATTATTGTTAGGACAGTAATATTACCTTTTCCAGGTTTTGATAACTTGTGGTATTTACCAGGAAAGTTGCAACAGGGAAAAAACAATGTAGTTCAACATGCAGCACCTGAAAAACAGAAAGTCAGTAATGAACACATTCAAAGTGACACTTTTTCAACCAACTCAAAGGCAGTTTGGGTCAGGTTTAGTGAATTTTCAGACCAGAGAGTGTAAAGAGCATCACACTAAATTGGAATTATATTGGACTTCGAATGAGAAACTACACAAATCAAGAAATTGTTTTGATATGCTGAGGCTAAAAAAAGTTCTTAACGTAACGAAAGGAGAACATTTCAGGCCACACCTTCAACATTCTTACAAGTTGAACTTAAAATATTTAATTTTCATATGTTGTTAACATATAGTGATCTCGTTAAAAGCAATCAAGATACAGACAAAGAGTGCTAGAATGAAATTTACATACAGATATAACAGAGAAACTCTGTGTAGGAAACAGAAGTTGCTGAAAGGAAACCCCACTGTTTTTTGAAAGGTAAATCTTATTGCCACTACTCTGCAAAAGTAACAAAAGTTACAAGTTAAAAGGATTATTCAGAAGCCAAAATGACTGCATTAAATGTGTTCTAAAATTTTTACATAAACAGTATAATCGTGAGACACAAGTAAAAGCACATTTAGGAGACTGACCTCATTTGACCATCCCAAAACCAACTTCTTCATGATCTAAAAAAAGGAAGTAAAGGAAATCAAGTAAATAAAATAATAGTAAAGGGAGGTAAGGGAAAAGATAATGTTGCTGCTGAAATTTGTGCTAATTAAATACAGCTCATATGTGTACAAAGGAAAATTTCGACTGCACTCAGTAATGATGATACCAGATTAATGAAACAATTCTATATAAGAGTACCAAGAAGAAAACGATTTAACTTGTTAACTTGTGATATCTCTTATCACTTATCACTTATTTAATAAATGCATACTTAGCCTCATAGTTTTTGGAAAGCTCTGATATAAAAACCTTGTAATCCAGTGTTTCCATACCTCACTGTTTGCACCTTCAAAACATATCTTGTGTGATGCCAGACCAGTCAACCCAAAATTTGGTAATCCTGTGGTTTGAACAAAGGAAAAAAGTCAGATGACATAGCATTCTACTGAATACCTAGCCTAATGTATGTCTAGTATTGAGGAAAAAAACTTGCCATACGATTCTAATTTTCAGGCACTGAGATATAACACAATTTGTGCAGGAAGTGTGTCAAGAGTCTTCAGACAGTTAAAGACATAAATCAAATAATTTCTAGATACACTGTTTATGGCAAATTGTTGCCATTTATTTCTCTAGGGACTTATAAAAGAGTTGAATTGATGTTAAGTTAACCTACCCAATGGATTGCCCCAAGTTTGTCCTGTTCCATTAAATATGAGAAGTTGTCCTGACTCTAAGAGTACCAAAAGGTTTTTTGCCAAAAACAGAGCCAACTTGACAATTGCTTCAGACTGCTAAACACGAGTAAAGTGCAAAGACAATCACACCATAAATATATATCAAAAATTTAAAATAAATTCATGAATATATATAGCTACATATATAATGGGGTTCATGTAGACTTTTTGTTGTGTCTTGCAATATAGCCACCTACAAATAGTCTGCTAATTGAGGACATTCAAATAAACATGAAGTCAAAAACAGATTTAAGGTAGAGAGATAATATCTTTAGAATCTAAAATGGAAGAATACATGATCATGATTAACAACTAAGAAAAAGCATACCATTAGTAAAGTGGATGGCACCTTCAGTTTGATAGCAGTAGCAAAATTGTCTTGGGTGAGAAGAAATTCTGAGCTGAAATCAGGAAACAATTGAAAAAAAAATTAGATTCAAACTGCCAAGTTATCTAATCACATAACTTAAACATATAAACCTGCTCAATAATCATGGCTCTTAATTTCAAATTAAATTGGTGGTTGTGACACGAGTGTCAAAATAAACTTGGGTAGAACTTTAACAGAACAAATTTTCTCCAGTTCCATGCAGGAATAAGAAGCATAACAGTAGCCATTGGAATACCTGATGCACATTACATTTTCAGATGGCAAGATCAAATTTATCCATTCAATAGCAGTATTCCTGACTGCACCTGTTTTATTTTTTTCTCAAGCTACTTTCCTTTTTTCATTTCACATACACTAGTTAAACAAAGCCATTCACCTTATTAAGACGGCAACATGAGGAGCACATGGATCCTACAATAAAGATAAATCTTACCATTAAATGAGAGTAGCATGAAATTTACCTTCAGAAAAATAAACACACAACTTTAGGCAAAACAAAAGTAAAATAAAAGACAAAAGAGAGGGTACATGTATTAACACAGTAGACTAAAAATCACCCAAAAATGTAATGTAAGGGTTTTAGTTATAATAAACTGTAATTTGAAAATTACAAGTTATAATCAGTAACAACTATTCATTCAAGATTTTTTAATATAAAAGACAGAGAGTAGCATATTGACAAGCATATCCAAAGTTTTCACCTTCTCAAAACAGTTCAGTCAGAGCTAATTTATATAAAATCATATTCAACAAATAATGAAAACTAATTTTCTTGCCTGAACAATGAAAGGCTGTTCAGAACCTTTTCCTCCTTTCAAGACCTCCTGTAAATGAACCATAGTGATGAAGAAATGTCTACAAGAAGTAATCTTTAAGAAAAGTCTCATTTCTTAATTTTTTTACCTCTGCTTGGTTTGGAATGCTACCAGCAGGAAATTCAAACTTGGTTATCAGCAATTGTACAAAGCTTTTCCTGCAGAGATTTATTAAACATGTGAAATTAAGTCTTGTTATTAAGTATAAAAATCTATTGAACAAACTATACTGAGCTCCAGTAATAAAAACTATAAAATTGATAAAATCTCAAAATTGGAAAAGTATAGAAAAAATGTCATCACATGTTACAATTACCATCATAATAATTGTGTGTTACTAAGATTAATTAAATGTTTAAGACTCAAGGCGGTTTTGAATGTGATTTTCAAGTCGGATTTTGACTTTGAATGCAAAGTGCCTGATCTGCTTGTGTCTTACCAGTAGTTGTAAAGTCATTACTGAATGAATATTATTTACCCTTTTACTCCCTTTGACTTAAAGATATATCATCCAACAAATAAGTGATGAAAATTAAGGGAAAATAAAGAAGAATAATGAATAGAGAAGCATAAAGTTAAACATGATTGTGAGATGAATAACAAGATCATGATCTTGAAGGAAAACATGCAACAATTACATGATCTTAAGAGGTTAGCAGTTAAAAGCCAACCTGATAAAGCGATCATGAAGAGCAACTGACTGTCCATCTATCTCGAAATTCATCTGATGATTAATTGCACTGTTTACAGAGAACTTCCAGTAGCTACAACAAATGTAATAAAAAACAGATTTTAAATATTTTGATATGCAGACAAAGATATGACCTAATTCCCCAGTGGTGATTTGAAAAAAACTATTCTTACTAATAAGAACAATATAATATACACAATTTCTCTCATGCCTGTGAGCTGATTTATAAAAAATTACAGCAGCACCACCTTCAAGCAATCAACATTTACCTCATAATGAACCATTCAGCGTAAAGATTACAGTTTAAAGCTCTGCTGAAGAACAAATTTATAATTCTAATGAGATCTTTTTTCCCAAAAATTTCAGAGAGATAACTGGTTACCTGTTTAACTAACAAGGAATTAAAAAACAAAATAAGTTACTTCAATAGTTTGTATGACAGCATAGCAGTTGTCTTATGGCGATGTTAAGTCAGTGCATGTATAAGATATTGTGCTGAAAATGATTTACACATGTCTTTAGTGCTATTGATGCTTTACCCATGTGTTGTATTAAATGACTGACAGTCAATCTGTAACTCATCCCAGTCAATAAACCTGTGACCCATTTTCAGTTTCACAGATGGCCTTTGCCCGAGTTGGAAAAAAACTCTTGTAAGCTCCTTTGAATACTGGAAAAAAGAAATAAAACAAATCTAGTTTCAATGACTGTGAAAGTTCCTAAATGCAAATTGGAACACTATTAAGAGTCAGACTAACTTGAGATGGAAACAAAACTGTTCTGTTCTTCTCATACTCTGAGGTATGCTTTGGGTCAATAATCCATAGCTTGAACTCTTCTTGACTTCCACTGTTAAGAAAAAAATCAGCCAGCATTTTCAGTTTTTTTCTTGCCCCTAGAAGTGTTAAATTAAGTACAAGAAGTTATCTGGAAATTAATCATTTAGTTCCATTTGGTTTAGTTACACTTTTCTCTATAAATGGTCTAGAATTGAAAACTTGCTCTACCTTGACAATGAGATGTGCCACAAAACTAACTGAAGTTTAATTGTTCTACTTTTCCCTTGCTTTCATCTATTTCTATTTATTTACTTTGAGTTCTCATTTTTTCCTTGTGATGTAGTGACTGTTTTGATAGCTTTTGCTTTGGTCTTGTACCAATCTCTCAATTCAAAAATATGTTTATTACCAATATATCTGATTTTTTTGTCCATTGCACTGTTATAAACCACACACTCTCTTTGAAAACCACACTCACTTTTGTTGTTGTCTGTTGTAACCAAGGTACCACTCATAGTAAAATGGACTGAGTACCACATTGATGTGCCTCACACTCTACACAAACAAACAAACAAACAAAACATCACTTAACACAAAAAAATGTTACAGTCATTTGGAATCAACTTTGCCTAAGTTGTATCTTTTCATTTTTTAAATTTTACCTCATTGGTGGGTATGCCTAATGCTGGATCTAGAAGCTTTAACTTGGGCTGGTCAGCAATATTTTTGTTTTTTCTTGGGCCTTGATACAAATTGCCTTCCCGTCTTTAGGGCTCAGGGCTTGGTTGTTTGAAGTCTGATTAGCACTAACCCAGGGTTAAAATTTAATTCAGGTTTCTTCATTTCTATGTTTAAAAGCCTTTTATGTTAGCAAGGTGGTGAAATACAGTGGAATACCAACACTCCTGGCTGTCTAAACAAGCTATCTAAACCAGGATCAGCTCTGGTTGTAAGGAGCCTGTAGGCTTGGAGGAAACGGCTTCAGTGAATAACATCAATTTACTCTCTATACTTTTGTGACATATGAGAAGACTAGGTCTCTCTAAACCAAAAAATCAAGACAAACAAACAAGCTATCAAAGCCATCTACAATAACTAACCTGGGTATCAGAGTTTCTTGTAATAGGACCAATAGGATGAAATCCTGGCTTTGGACAATGCAGAATAGCACTGATAAAACTAAAAATACAGAGTGTTTTGTTTTCAGATAGGATTACAATGAAACCTGAATTAAACAGCCCAGACCTACATGTCAACCCTTCCAGGTTTCCATGTATGTCTAATACAAGCTGTACTGAACTGCACCAAGACAAAAAGCTCATCTTTCAGCCCATCACAGCATCAGCCATACAACTACTTTGTTGAATCAAATATTTCAAGACTTTTTCTTATTATGTATGAGCACTGATCACTATAAAAAACACTTGTCTGCAAGTAAGATTGTGACAAAGTTTTTATTATTAAATTTTGTGGACCGACCTGCCTTATCAACACATCTGCCTCTTACAACCTAAAACATTTAGAATAGGACTGCAATTTTGAAACCGTACCACTTTCCATTATTAATATAAAAAAATACAAACCTTCAAGGGCTCAATTTAAGTGAGGACTAATGTAAGTGACTGTTTACTAGGAGGTCTGATAAATTCAGGATTTATTTCGTTGGATGCAAAACCTATAAATTCTTTGGCTTACCTCTTGTTCTTGAGAGAACACTCCATAGGGTAGCACCATTCAACCTCTTCACCGGCTTCTAAATGTTCCACAAATATCTAACGCAAAAAAGGAAAGACTATTTGCTTGACCAATTGGCAATAACAAATCAATCCACAAACAAATGCTGGTGGAAGTTCATAGATAACTGTTTGATAAAAAAGGTCATGATCACTTTGGACGCAAAGAAACCAACATGTACACATGAGCTTCTTACAGTAAAACAAATCTAGCAGAACTGTAAGGCTCTAAGCTTTTGGTTTTCACAAAAAAAAGGTTTATTCACAGAGCTACCTAACCTTACTTACCGTATGACGTGTAGTAAACAAAGTCCCATCACCTTCTCTGGTTGAGTATCTTTTTCGATTTTGAAACGAGAAGATGAAAACTACATAAGCTAAATTTGTAATGACTATTCCGTTGTTGAAATCTCTAAACGGCAACTCACCGCCATATCTCCTCGCTAGAAATATTGAGCGGCCAGAAAAAGATGATGACCTGCACAATGTTGAGCACAAACGTAGCGAAAACGATCATTTTTCAGGGGAATTGGATCAAAAAAGAAGACGAAGTTACACAATTTTTGCGCCTTCATCACTTCGCACCATTTAGAAATAATAATTCGTTCCCAGACCGTCCTCGAGTATAGAGAAACAAAAGTCTCCAAGTAAGTAGAGCGTAAAGTGAGGAGAAATGGAGCGACCATCATTGAGGAGTTTTAGACAGGGAAGCCAAATCCTATCACGTGAGCAGGATGGGCATGAAAACAGCATAGCACACAAAACAGACCAAGTCTGAAACATTTTACATCTTTTTATTTTAAATAATTTCCATTTTCATTTCATTAAATTAATTGTTCTCTTTGATATCTTTGTTTCTCAAACGTTCTTCGATTCAGAACGAAAGAGGCGCCGTGCTACCTAAACGCGCTAATTTTTTATTGCACAATTGTGGAAAGAACCTAAAATATTCATTTCTTTACAGAAATCATGTTGGAGTTAAACTTGTGTCGAAGATATTTGTGGATCTCGGCAGCACGAGGACTTGACAAGCCAGGAGTTCTTTTTTCCAGCTCTGCCGGTGTGCTGTGAAGTAAAAATCAGGAATGAACGAATAAAGGAAAAAGACGGAAGCGCTGAAAATCGGACGATAGCGTCCGCATCGAGGGGATGCTATCGTCTCAAAACGGATGAAAACGTTGAAATCGGACGTTTCGAATCTTAGGCATTAAGCATATGTTATACCGCTTCCAGAATTCGTTCGGATACTACCCTTAATTATTGCAGTCTCGAGTACGATTTGTCATCAGGGCTCATTGTTTAAGTTTCTTCACACTAATAGGGAAGATTACTGTTTCACATTGTTTCTATTGCACAATCATTACAGTTGGAACAGTTTTTATGTCATAAACACAGAGCCAGGGCTTATATAACATTAAAACAATTTCACCAATATTCAAAATGGGGAAGACTTGATATTCTAACGTACAGTGTGCCTTATTGTTTGATTCTTTTCTTACAGACAATCAAAGTTGTGCATGACCGCTGAAATCGACTAAGTCGTCAAATTGGCAAATTTCGTTGCGAATCAAGCTGCTCAAATTTTTTTCCACCTCGTCATAGGGATCAGATCAGTATCAACTTGTAGCAACTCCAGACTTAAAATTGCTCCAAGAGTGGGAGTAATCAGTGCACCCCTGTTTTAAAACCCATGAAGGTCCCATACTGAATACCTTTGGGTACGAATTGTTTCTCTTGATAGACAAGTTGCCGATGCGAAACGATGGGACATTCAGTTTGGTGAAACCGACTAGATAAGCCTTACCTGTTCACGATTTCGCCAAGTGTTCTGTACGACGAGCACAAATTAAGGGCTGTAACGTAGCTGACACGTGGAATACTTGCCACAACACGGAAAAACTGAAAAATTAGAAGAAAACACGAAAAACGGCATATTAAGTTTAATGTACCTTAGGTAATCTAAGAGAATTTTGCCGCTTTATATTTTACCTGTTCGTGTTCCTTGTTCAGAGCAGTTGACGCTGTAATCGCCATTCCCTTCATAGTTTCAACGGTGGCAAGATCCGTTAAAAGACGAGCAGTTTCCTCTAAGATAACAAAACAGAAAAAACAATTCAACATTAAAGCTTGCTTTTCCAATTAATTTCTTAACTGGAACATCCTATTTCTCGTCAGAAAATCAGAGTACCAGGCCATATGTAAACTCATTAGGCAGACGTTTTCTAAAATAATCTCATCATGTGACAAACCTTGTGAGTCGCTGAACACCATCTTGACGTGAGTCTGAGCAATGCTAGCCAGGGTGAAAATATATGCTTTGGTTTTAATACTGCAATACGAAAACAAGTAAGTTATAAATTTATGGGTAGATTATTTAGAGATAGAGACATTTTACGGTATATTATATCCATAAAGTACTAAGGTAAGAGATTTTCTATGTTACAAATGCCTTAAGTTCAGTTGTTTTGAAAATACTGAAAGTTTGCTTGAGGGTGGGTTAAAAGATGGCAATACTCACAAGTTTTTCTCTGTTTCTCCAGGTTTAACGCGGTCTTTTTCAATAATCAAGCAAGGCCTGTCATACAGATCACACATTCTGCGTATGCACTCCACAAGCTTGTGACTGTTTGCTCCATGAGCAACATCTGAACAGAAAAGTTCGAAGTGTAGACAACGACAGTTAATCAGTATTTTGTCAATCAAATACAATTTTGCTAAAACCAATTGCTATAACCAATCTTTGCAACCCGCATCTTCCAGCGCCAAAGGCGGCTACTTGTGTGTGTTTACTTGTGATATTTGCCTTCGATCTGATCGGCTGATGTGACTACTTTGGGGGTTTTACACAGCAATCGGTCAAAAACTCAGTCAATGAGAAGTTGCTTGGCTTATTTTGGGCGGCGAAAGAGCGCTTGCGTGCTGCTGAATTTCACCGTGCGGTTATCAGACCTGTGATTGGTTTAGGAGATTTAAAAACTGCGAAAATCAAAAGACGCTTCAGAAGTCAACGCCTTTTGTTGACAGATACAACGTTTCAATCTAGGGAAAATATCCCCTTGAAGCCGATAATGTTCTTGATCTCTCTTAAGGTTTGTGCGTTAATTAAAGAATATCATAAAAATAAATTGGAGATATGTTGTGTGATTTCTCAACCAGTCACGAAAGATTACTCAAAGGAAATCGGCAAACTGGCGATGTTCAAGTTATGGGGTAGTGACTAACATCATAAAACGAGATAAAATAATTCGCATTAGTACAGGAAGAACTTCTCAAAACCATAACATACCGGAAGCTGTTTTCCTCTTCACAGCCATTCTGTTACTGACAATGTAATCACAGCTGGTCAGCTGACATACTTCCGCCTTTATATTGTGCTTTAGGCGTAAAGTTGACACAACCTGTAGGGGGTGGGGAGGGAAGGAAGACAATGAATAAAATCTGTCTACTGTATAGAGTAACTAGTATCCGAAGTAGTGAAACAAATTCTAATATGTCACGAGAACTGAAAAGACAAAGAAAGGCTCACAGTAGGGCAATCGCGATCCACTGGACAGGAAAGCAAAGATTAAGTGCCACACCAAATGAATTGTTCTACGCTGAAACATCCACCATGTTTGCATCTTGCTGCCATATCCTTCGCTAAGCCATAATTCCCGAGGAAAATTATCATATGCTAAAACAGTTGAGATGGGACCATCAACAACGTTTTCGTGAGAGATTGTGCTACCTTTTAACCAAAGGAAGAGTAAGAAATAGCAAATTTTATTTCAAATAAAATTGCATTTAAGAAATCTTAGCTGGTTTCTCAACACGGAATAAAATTCAGCAGAAGTTACTTACCTGAGAACTGGAGATTTCCCGAGCGTCAACTAGGATAACGGTCTTTCCCTTGTCCTTCTGTGAAGACTAATAATACAATAAAAAATTAAAGAGGACTAAATTTTTACAAAATCTCTTTAAGCCGTTTTCGTGTAACTTCTTATGGCCGTGGACGGTACAAATCGAAAAGTCTACGGGTGTTCCGACGGCGATTTAACAAAATCTGACGAAATATCTCTAAATAAAACAATATGGTGAAGTCGTATCTTACCGTGAGTAAATGGCTAATCGCTGGTCTGGAACCAAGATTATTAGGTCGACAAGAAGGAGTTACAACTTGCATCTTCGCATGCGTACCGACGGATGGATGCTGACCACCATTATGCAGTGAACTTTTGTTCTGCAGCGTAAGTGGATTTTTCAAAGGGTGTCTTTGACCAGAAATGACTGTCCTGTCCTCACAGATATTCGATTTTGTAACGTTCAATGGTACAACTATTTGTTTTGTAGTGAATGGACGCGGAGCCTTCTCAACAAAACCTTTATTCCTTGCCTGTGGATCAACAGGCAGCTGGTACCATTTTTCTGAGGTCTGGTTCGAGCATTGCCTTATCTTGGTGAAAGTTTCCTTTGAGATTTCATTTCTTTGCTTTAGTATCGCTGACTTGTCTTTTGATGAGTCGTCATTTTCTGTATTTTCACGATTTGCATAAACAACTTCCCATAAAAAGTCAAAACCAAGTGAGAAATTTGGAGACTTCGTAATATCCATGGCAGCATCATTATCTATTATATCCACGGCAACATCAATTTGATCCAAGCCGTCACCCTTCAGTTGGTCACTTGAAGGTTTCCTAAATATGAAACATGATGAATTTTAAATAGCATAAGAAACATGGTCAGTTTTAAGCTTTGTAAAGAAACAGTCTTGTCACGAGTGTGGGAACAAAGAAAAACCCACCTAAACCTATTTCTTTATCGAGCTAAAAACTTACCATCTTTATAATCCTATTTACAAAACATGACGCCGTCGACATTGCTGATCCTTGCAGTAAACAGGACGCGTGTCATATATGAACGTCATAATAGACCTCGCTCACCGTGGAGTCTCTGTAGCTCAGTGGTAGAGCATCGGAGCGTGGAATTCGAAAGTCTGAGGTTCGATTCCGCAACATGAATTTGTTTTGAAATAGCAAATGCAGACATATTTATATTTGGAAAGGTAGAAGAATACACATAAAGGGTCTGGGGGTGTAATTGAAAAACAAAATTCGTCCGGCGTTATACGGCAAGTAAGTAAGCACTTGGATTACAGTTAGGTAAGGAGAGTTAGGGTGGACTTCTACCCGGGCGAGAGGAGAGGTTCGCACAGGATTTTGGGTTTTTGTTTCCCACTAAAGCTGAAGTTCACTTACCGTTTGGCCTTTGCGTTCTCCGGAGCCCGCACATCTTTGTCGTCAAGGGCGATCAATAAATCACCGTCACTGACATCGTTGCTCCAGTCGTCCACGAAAGCCCCAGATTTGCGAATACTTCCCTTACCACCCGATGACCGCCTTAGAGCCGAGTCACTCCTTTGAAATTCTTTTTTCGCGGCCACAACATCAGATGATTTGACGAAGTCAGTGTGAAGCGTCTTCCCACTACCGTTTCTCTCGATCGAAAAGTTCCCAAATGCACAGCTTCTGTGCTGATTTGTCTTTTCATTTGTGAGGCATCGGGTTTTGTAGTGTCCTCTGCATTACTTCCTTCCTTGCAACCGATGGCCGACGAATTCACCTTGCTCAGCTTAGGTGAAACTTCTCCGTCAAAACTGTCTTCTAAAATTCGCTTTCGCTTCATACGCTTCGCCGGACGGCCGATTTGGCTCCCCTCGAAAGATGCGTCTGCGCATGCCTGACCGTTCCAGTGACCATTCTCAACCTCGGTTTCATGTTGAATTTCTGCCTCGCTTTCATTATCCGACTTAACCTCGCTTTCAAGAACGCTCTCTGATTCGTAAGTTTCTTCTGCTTCGGATTGGCTATCATCATCAACATTTCCGCGTTTATAGACCATTTTAAACTTATTTCGTTGCTTATGGAACAAAGGCGTTCGAAATTTTAAGGCGCCGCAAAGAGGACTTCGTAAAGATTGTCTGTATACCGCCATCATGTCCACTGGGGAGCTAGCGTGATGCTGTTTCGCCGCCGAAGGAGGTCTTTGAGTCAGTTGAGTAGCATCATCTATGAAGCTGTCCATTTCATCTTCGTCCTCATCACAGTTGTCTGCTTCATCGGACGAGAAGTCGTTGATGTCACTGTCTGACAATTCAGCTTCATCGTCTAGGAAGTGGTTTTTCCGAAATCTGATTTTCTGTTAGGATTACAAGACAAAAATTTTAAAATATTAATGGCGTAGATTTTATTTCAATTGTGTCCAGCCCAACTAATGTCAAACCTGTCCGTTCTCATCCCCCTGGTCCAACTCTCAACCACTACAGATCACGTTAATGTTCAAAATAATGCTGGTAAAATAGTAAACACTAGATAATAAATAACTATTAAATACAATACCTTAATATTTAAATAAATTCGTACATACATTCTTAAACAAGGAAACAACACTTTAAACTAATGAGTGATTAGCTGGATACATGACACGACTCAAAAAAACCGAAATGTATTTTCTCAAAGTAGACCCACAAATTGTTAGAGAGAATAACTGACCTTTGGGAGAGAAGAAACTGACTTTCGCGAACGTTGCTTCCCACCGATCTCAAAAGAATTTCTCTTGTGAGCCCTGAATGTAGCGGAAGGAGCTCTTCCAACGTCAGATCGGCTACGAGCTAAGAAAGAAAACAGCCTCATTAAAGCACATAACTTACAAAGATTATCACCCTAAAGTTAGAGAGCATGGCGAATCTTAGGTCTGAGATCCACAGAATGATTGTCTATTAGGATACGAGCGAAAGTACACATCACAAGCAGAAGACACGTAGCCATCCTCAAGTGCGGAAAAACTCAAGTGACCAAGTCGCTGTTGACTATAGTGCTAAGTCAGACTGGTGGAGAAAATGGCACTAGTCTCTCTCAAATGACGCCGAACCGACTGGTCACTTTAAAGTTAAAAAAATGTGTATTTTAAAACAGCTAATCAGAGACAATACAGGATCTGTAAACAGTAACGTCATCTAGAGAAAAGGGGGGCGAGAGAGGAGGGGGGAAGGGGGAGGAAATTGTAGCGTACAAAGAAGACCTCTGTTCAACAGTTCTTTACAAGTTTAACAGAAAAAAAACGGTGAAAACTAACCTGGTTTACCGGTTTCAAACTCCTCATCGCTGTTTGATTCTAGCTGTGGATTACATGACGAAAAACCGATGCGCTGATTGGACTTGCTTTTCTCAGGACTGGCCGGTTTTCTAAACTCTTGGGAACAGGGACTCGACAAAACTCTCTTTCTTCGAGAAATCGCCCTTCCCGCAGGACGGATGACACTTTCATCTTCATCATCACTTTCCATTACCGCTACCACATTGCCATTCTCAGTTCGTAAATTTGAAGAATTCGCTAAATGTTCCTCACGGTCGAGAGATGAGCCAGTGAAAGCCATGCTTGTCTTTGAAGACTGTTTCACTGATGTCTCTGGGCTGCTACATTCCATGGGCCTAGCTAACGAATTCACTTCTGGTATCTCTATGTTCACTCCACAGGAATTGTCGTTCACTGATTTATCGCTGAGCGACTTTGAGCGACTTAAGTTCAACGATTTCGTCCCTGGAAAAAGTAAACCATTGTCTTTTGTTTTCATCGGAAGAGATCTCTTGTCTTTTGGCGAGGTGCGTTTCAAGCTAAGCTTTAGTTTCTTGGGTAGCGGTGACCTACAAGGATTGTTAGCAGCATTACTACCAACGCTGTCACCAGTATTAATGCCAACATTGCGACCACCATTATTACCAACATTGTGACCAACCGAGCCGCTCTCATTAATCACAGTTACTTTCTTTCCAAGCGCATTTATGTGTGATTCTTTATTTATTTCCGACGACGGTAACTCGTTCCAAGAATAACCCGGTTGGTGCTTATTTCCCAAATCTAACTTGCCAGTTTGTAAACTCTCTGTTTCTATAAACGGGGTTGCGCCAGAATTCCTTGATTTCTTAATGTCTGATATAAATATATCATTGTGAGAAGTTGAGCTCGGATGTTCTCCACTAGTACGTATTTCAAGTGAAGATGAAGCACGCAGTTCAATCTCTTCCTGAAAAATCTTTTCAGTTCCGTCATTTCTAGAATTTTGTTCATTTGTCGAAAGGTGTCGTAAGCCGTTGATGCCATGAGACTTTGAACTTTTCTGATCCATCTTTACTGAAGACCCTGCCGTACAAAACTGTTCACCAACACGCTCCGAAATCTCCAACTTAGCGTCACACTTCTTAGCCTCATAGTTGTCTTTCTTTATCGATTTCTCTCCCACATGTTCACTTCTCGGTGACAAGGCTTCGTCGCCATGCCTGTTTTTGTCATCTTTGGCATACTTTTCACCAACATTACCATCTGTAGGTAGCGTTACATCTGTGAGGGCATCATCATCTGCCGCGTCCATAAAAAGATCTTCAGTATACCCTTTCTCCTCTTTGCCAGAATCATTTACTGCTTTTGCTAAGACGTTACTCTCCAATTCTAACAGAAAACTATTCGAGATTCCGCGCACGTTCATCGTGACCTCCTGCGCGTAACTCTTCCTCCTCGCGGCAATCTCGTCTTGCTCTTCAAGCATGTCTACACCATGGCTGGGTTTCGGGTTTCCATATGTCGAATTATGCATTTCTTGATAGATAAGCTGGTCCTTGTAAGGTTTATTTTCGTTAGAAAATGAGGAAACAAAATCTTTCTGCTCTTTGCTACTATTTTCTAAATCCTTACTTTTCATAACCTCCGTGTCAAGAAAATCAGCCATTAGAAATGGTTCCTCCTCCAACGAGTCTTTTTCCACACAAACTCGCGGCAAATCAGCTCCTGAATCAAGCGAGTTTACAAAATATTTTCTCTGGATCTCCTCCATGTCTTTGTTAAAGTCATTCAAGTCTGAGCTCTCAGACGACAAACTCATTTTGTCCAAAGCGTCTAAGTTGGGTGGCGATGGCACTGCCCCGACTGTGACTGAAAATCTATTTTTCTGAGGAAGAAAACCTGGCATGGTTCCTTGTGACTGGGTAGTTACACTGGGAAAAAGACTCGTCATTTCGTCAGAGGCTGCATCGGAGAGGTCACTGCCATCACCATCTAGATTTCCTTCCATTTTTTCTGGTTCTTTCTTGTCGCCAAGGCTTGCACACTCACCATCAGCCTCTGTAGGGTTTTTGTCAGGTTCCCAGTGTTCTCCCACATCGGGCAAATCCTCCATCAATGTATCGCCAGGTTGTCCTAGGAGACAATTGCTAACTTCATCGTCTTTGTCTACACCTGAAGCCACGTTCATGCCATCAGTTTGGAAATCTTCGTCTTCTTTATCATCAAGCTGCTTCAAAAACGCTTTCCAACGAGCTTTGTTTTTCGGTGAGCGCTTTTTTAACTTCGTGCCACTTATCTCCGAGTTCTTATCGCTGGTATCACCAACTGAATTCTCTTCTTTGCTCGGATACTTTCTGTCAACTTGCAAATCAGGTCCACCTTCCATTTCAAGCTTTTTTCGCGTCTTCTTGCTTTTCTTGGTGACCTTGCGTCGGCCTTCGCTTCCCTCGCAAACAGTACCATCATTTTCAGGCAAAACACGATTATTTTCAACACTTTCCTTTTGCCCCGGCTTTATGATGTCTCCTTCGTTCAAAAATGACATCATTTCCAGGTCATAGCTTTCATCGTCAACTCCTCCGCCACTATGAAGCTCCGTAAACTCCAACAGTTCAACAAAATGTTCTGTGCGACGGGAATGTGAAACAGCCTTCACAGGTTGTAGTGTAGTCTGCCAGGGGAGCCATTCCGTCAAAGAGGGTTGCACGACAGATTTCCTAGCCCCTGCTGATGAACGCCTCGATTTCTTAGTAATTGCTAATTGTGGTGACAAACCCGCCTCGTGATCGGGAAGTTTAAAATGTTCCTGCCAGTAAACTAATTCCTCGTAGGTCAAGAGACCGTTGTCTTTCTTTGATGTGGTTGTTGCAGTTTTACTTGTGAAATTTTTGATGTCAGCTCCTTCTGAAGGCCTTTCCTTCTTTTTCCCTTTGCTGTGAAGGAAATAAAACGCTGTGTAAAACATTTGGACCTATTTCGGGCGCAATATTTTATCCGTAACCCAACCGACTAATCAGATAGATCGACAGACAGACAGACCGACCGACAGACTGGCTGACCAACTGTAACATACTGATTCACTGACACATTCACTAGCTGCTTGACTGACTGACTGTATGTCTACCTGACTAACTGATCGGCTGCCTGACTAACTGACTGCCTGACTAATTGACTACAAGGTGACTGACTGTTTGACTGCCCGATCGATCCCACGTTCAGATGGACCGACCGATCGACTGACTGTCTGACTAAAGGCTATAAAGACGGACTATGCAACTGATCGATAGACATACCCCAGGCCCTGACAAACCGTTCAAGAAAGGTCCATGAAAAAGCGGGAAAAAGAAATTAAAGGTTAATTTAGCGCATAAAAAGAAGTTTCTGCCATACCTCTGACCTATAAACTTCCCAACAGTCATCTCCATTTTCAGCACAGAAGGAACAATATGACGAGGAACCATTCGAGGGTTGTCCGAGTAGAGATCAAAAGATTTGGTAGCCTGGGCGACAGCTTTGTGAATCGACTTTTTACTCCTTTGACTTTTCATGTAAACCTGGCCAGGAAGAAAAAAGGTATATCAAAATAACGATAACACTAAGTACGCCCCTGAGTTACTGTAGTGGTATGAAAGGTAAATGAATTGGCCTTTAAGTGAATACTGGAGAGGTTCAAAAGAAGATCTAAACTCGCAATGACAGCTTATCCACTTCTGTTCTGACAACTGGACAACTTGCACCTCAGGTTATTACCATCCACACTGACCATTCCATTGGAAAATTGGCTTTAAGGAAAAAGGAGAAGATTCAAACTTCTCTAAATTCCACTGAATATCAGAGAAAATGTGTCATCCTAATCAATGGTCCATCCTTTAAACACGTCCCAAATAGAATGACGCAAACCGTTTCATTTTAAGTTGGAATTTCGGGGATTTATGAGCATTAGTTTTCAAACGACGTCCACGACTGCAAAACAAACGATCAGAAATCACAAAAATGAAAAGGATTCAATTGAGGTCTATGTCTGATATCAGGGCCCTTGCAGCTGCAATGGAGTGCTTTCCACACGATCTGCAAATATGATCGCTAACTTTCTTTCTTCATTGAGCACAGCAATAGTTGGGATCATAGCAATCATATGGAAACCAAGTATACAGAAACTGTGCTTATTTAGTACCTGTTCCTCTTTGCCTTCAGTCACGAGAACTACTATGCGTCCGTCTCTTTTTCTTCCTGTTCGCCCCATTCTCTGCACAAGGCGTATGGGAGACGCATGCGCATCAAAACACACAATAAGGTCGACTTCACCTATGTCCAGACCCTCCTCGCCGACGCACGTGGCTACCAATGTATTGTAACCACCTTGACGAAACCGCTGTACAACCTAAGGATGTAATGGAGTTCAGGTGAACTAACCACATTGGACACACACACAACTCTCAGTTGGTGCCAAAAAGGGGAAAAAAAGAAAGAAAAAAAACGAGTAAAAAGTAAACACGCCTGGATTTCCTACAGGACAAGAGCATTTTCGTTTTTCATTATGAGGCATAACCTTTCTGTATCGGATTTTTCGGCGACCAAATTGTTCCATCTGGCAATTGAAACAAACTTGTTCAATCAACACTTGGCACCCGCGTGAAAACCCGGCTTAAAGCGCGGGAATACGCGGGTGACCCAATTCTCCGTTGGTCTAAGTTAAGCATCTGATTGGTTATGAGGGCTGAGCGCGTTTTCTACACAATCACTGAGCGAAGCAAAGAAAACTAACGGGAACCCTAGTTAATTCAAAGTACAATATAACCAAGGTAATACCTGCAACTGTTCTTTCTGTGAAAGTCCTCTGACACTCTTTCCAGTTGTCTGCTGTCCAATAAAACTCATTACTCGCACCAAAGGCTTATGACGAGATAACAACGCGGCTATCTCGTTCACACTGTCTCTGTACTGTGAAAATATCATCACACGGGTAGCTACGCCTTTTGAGTCCTCATCGCTCTTTTCCTGGAACTTCTCAAAGTGTTCAAGCACAATTTCCTTAAGTTTCAAGAGCTTGGGATGACTCTTGAATGTAGTACTCGGTTTTGGAACATTCATGAGCGCGCGCCTTCTTGGTGAAAACTGCGAAAAGAGAAGGCTTTCGTTAGCACTGTTTTCCACTGGAGGTTCAATTTCCTCTCGCAATTCATCCATCAGCTGTGTAAACTCGTGGTGTTTCATGATTTCGGCCTTGGCGCGCGGCATCCCTCTTGTTCCATCAATGATGGCTTTAATGAAGTTGTGGAATGACAAAATTCCATGCTGGAGTAGGAGCTCATACGCGTGGTACAGGCTGATGCACATAGCAAAGTCCCCTTCAATTTGTCCAAGTCGATTGCGATCCTTGAAAAGGTATATAAATAGATAGCTTAATATAAAACCATTACAAAGCGTCGCTCGCTGCTAGTATTATGCACAGCTTTGAATTTTCAACCCCGTCATATTGCAATGCTAGATTTTAAGATTTGGTTTTAGATTAATTCAGGCTAAAATAAAAAGTTTTCCTACACATCCGCCTTGTTCATTCATCCTCTTCCTGAACTGATCTCGTGCAGTCAACAACATGAATTTAGTGACACGTTGAGGATCTTTGTTCCACAACACTCGTTGGCAAAACAGACGGCCTACAATGGCTTCAAGGATCTGTAAAAAAAAAAAAAGTAGTCATAGTTTTATTCATTCAACCCCAAGAGGTTATAAGATCATCACATTTCATTGTCCTGCAAATCATTTGAGTTGTTAGGATAGATACATTTATAAGCTAAAGGTTAATACCTTAATATTAAACAACAATTAAGTTAAAGTAATGTGAATGAATAAAAAAGAAAATGGATGACAGCTGAAAGCTAGAATTGCTGATCTGATATTGAAGTTTCAAGAAAGAATTCTACAACATTCTAAAATATGTTGATAGCTTCCAACTGTTAAGGACAAGAGAAAATAATTTTACTAGGGAAAGGCCCAAAGAGCACCTTAAATCTGAAGTTGTACATGACCATGAATCACCAGGTACCTTGAAATCTGACGTGCCCAGTGCTTAACAGTTGTCATAAAAGTCAAGTCTCACAAGCTTCCATAAGACAACAGTAAATCACCTGTTACCCTCAGTCACTGTTAATGCACAGTCCTGAATTAAACTCTGAATGGGCCATAACCTTTCCTAGGCAGCTAGTTAGTGGGGATGAGCAAAAAAAGCATGGCAAGGAAGCAAAAAACTTTGGTCACTTCTTTCCAAGATACAAAACATCAAGATCTCATCCAACCTGCAAGCAGGCTAGCATTTTGCTGCAGCATGACAGGCAAAGATATCAGAGAGTTTCTCCTACAATACTGGATCTCATCATTATAATTTATTTATTTACATGGGCATCATTAACTAAGGGAGAATCCAACGTACCTTCAGATATGAATTCTTTACTTTAGCAATATCTTCCCCAAGAGAGACAACCACTTTTTCAACCTGCCGACTGTGTGTATAGGGCTGAATATCCGGGGACTCTTCAGAGCGCAGCTCCATGTGTGAGATCAAGAGGTTAGTGATGACTTGTTGAACAGCCTACAATCAAAGTAAGGAAAGTGAGAGAGAAGCAGCTCAAGGTAATGACAGTAACTTTAACCCTTTAATCCCTGATAGTGACACACATCTAATTTCTCCCTACAATATAACCCCTGAATCAAACATAAAGGTTATGAGAATAAAGGAAATGACAATCAACTGAAGAACCTCTTGATTGTTAAACAAATTCTCCTTGCCAGCACATTAGGAAATGTGTAGAGAACAGTATGAAGAATAAGCATACTGATGTTAGGGCAAGATTGGGGTCTGATATAAATTGAAGTTCCTAAGCACCAGTTTGCCTCCTTGAAAAAAAATTCATGATGAAAATTCCTATTGTTTTGGATTAGAATTGTTGAGCCTCAGGTATCAGTGAAGCTTCAAGGAGAAAAGCACTGTGACTAGGGGTGGGTGGAACATCAAAAGTATTATTGATCTTAAAAATCCTTCACCCCTCAAAATTATTTCATTGGACTGGCCTGCAAATAAGTGAGACTGTTTTTTCAATAGTTTATATGTTTATGTTTTTAACATAAATGCTGTTTCTATTGATTTCCTTTTTTACCTCTAGATCATCTCCAGGTGTTGCACTGAGAGCAAGGACTCTAAAATTCCTGTTATAGCCAGAGATTTCCCTTACAACCTGAATGGAACATAATACAACTTACTAAGAAGAACACAATGTCATATTTAGGCCTTCTCCTGAATTAGATGTTTTATAAAAACACAAAAAAAAGACTGAAGGGTATCAAGTAAGTATATCAGCATCCTAGTAACACTAGTGTTGGCAAAAAAATCTGTCACATATGCATGTGCTTGTCCATGCGAACTAAATAGTACAATCATGTTTTTTCTTTCCTTTACCTGACAGTAAGCATGATTTCCAAGAGCTTTGTGAGCTTCATCAGCAACAAGAAGGACAACTTCTTCGGCTTTGCATGATCCACGAATCAGATCATTTTGCAGAACTTGTGGAGTTAGAAAGAAAACTCTTCTCATCCTCCACAAAGACTGCCGTTTATTAGGAGCCATGTTTCCTGAAAAGGTTGGAGAGCATCAGGTTCGAAGCTAAGTTGCTGAGCTAACTAAAATAAACCAGTTCATAATTCATGTAATGTACCTTGACAAATAAATTAACCAATAAGTGTGATGTCAAAACAAAAAAAAAAAAGGCAAACCTCACCGGTCATTTCTGCTGTGTCACTCTGCGGAATACCCATGATTTTATAGCACGCTTCAATCTGTTGTGCAACCAGTGGTTTAGTGGGAGCCATAAATATAACCTTTCCCTGTGGGTACCATCGAAAGAAATTGTACATAACAACAGCAGCAATGAAAGTCTTCCCCAATCCGGTTGGTAAAGTAACTAAGGTGTTCTTATAGAGAGCTTTCTCAACAATATCGAACTGATAATTCCTTATAGGATAATTTGTCGGATAAATCCAAACATTTCCAGCCTCGACATCAAAACCTGGAATAATTTCAACTTCGTCGGATTTCTCGGTGATGTTATTGGCGTTCACTTCACAGCCCCCACTGTATTTCGCTTCAAACGCAACTTCGTCGAAAGGAAACATTCCTTCTGCAGCAGCCAGTAATTCATCATCACCGTCATCATCTCCTATCTCTATTAAATCTACAGCATCGTTGTAAACTTGACTTTTGATTGCTCCAGGCGTCTTCGAATTTGTACTTCTCAACGAGGTAGATTGAGCTGGTCGTCCCCAACTCTGGAACAACGTGGCTTGACACACGTTGGACTTTTTCATTCCGCATCCTATAACTCAAGGAAAGGATTAACAAAACTCGATCCTCTTTAAATGCTATATTTTGGCGACAAAATGAAACAATCAGGACACACATGATTCTTTTTCGCCAAGGCTGCCATTTTGATTTTGCCGGACTAAAAATGGCGCGCTACGGTCATGTGATGCAAATCATCCAATTATTAATCTCAAAATTGGAACTAAGTACCAGCTTACTTCGAGCTTCGACCGCAGGGACAACACTTCACTAGCAACTCACCCATGAAAACATTATATTTTGCCGCAAATTGCGCTCAAAATTTTTCTTCATGCTCAATTAAATAAGTCAAAATAATAGTTTTTAAGCGCCTCTAGACCTCCCCTCCCCAATTCCTACCAACAACTGGGGTCGTTAGGAGTAAAAGACAGACGGAAGCTCAGAACAAGACACTTAACCGGATCAAGTTTCTAAAGTGCAAGTAAAGAAAAGACGCCAACTAATGACATATCTCTGGCTGCAGAATTTACCTCGTGATGCCTTAGCTTAGCAGGGACATCAGTAAGGGTTCACGGTTTACGGTCAAGTCCAACTTTCTAAACATTTCAAAGGCTTAAACCTTTGTTTATCTTCAGTAGTGAATTATATAATTTGAAGATTTTAAAAATAACTTGATAGAATTAGCACTGAATTGTTATCGCGTTGCAGAGGGTTTCTAAGAGCTCCACAGAGATCAAAGTCTGCCCCGTGCATTTCAATGTTTTTTAGGAGGGTTTTACACCAAAACAATGTTAATTAGGTCTTAAGAATGCACTTGACAATGAATATTTTTTTGACGGCCAATATTTTTAATTTATTCAAAGCAATGAAAACAACAGCTGAGAAAATAAAGGCAGTTTTCGGTTTTATCATTCTATGCGTAGAATTTTTATTTTTCGAGGCCAAAAAGAGAAAGATTTTCGGATGTGCATGGGATCTCATCTGCGTTCTGCGGTTCTTCTGATCTTTTTAGAACGGAATATTTCTATTTTCAAAATCAATTCATGTTATTTGTTTTGATGCAAATAGATATGACACAATTTCTAGACTTGACTAGACAAGTGTTACATAAATCTATCTTTAGGGGCAGCGAACTTCGTAAACAAAAATCACGATAAAAATCGGATCTAAATTGAAGGCAGAATTTTTTAAAATCTTTAAATGACTATTGTGCTTTGACCTGAGGTGTGATTTTACATGTCTTAACACGTCAACACCTTCCTGACTTTTAAGCCAGGAAGGTGAAAAAAAAAGGCGACAGCGCCAATTTCTATTTCAAAATAACGTTCAAATTTCCAAAATTCTACCAAAAACACCATCCATAAACAATCGAAATTCAAATTAGGAATGACAATAGTTCGGAATTCTCTCGATTTTCTGGAAAGCTGAAATTTGTGGCAAAAATTGGCGGGCTTTTCCTTTTAAATTCAATCTCGACTAAACAACACCTCTGATTGGCTAGGTACAATATCAACTCGGCTCTCATTGGTCAAGGAAACAACCGCGAATAACTATTTTCCGACTAGGACCTATTCGAATCGAGACTCGTGATTTGAGAACCTCTCGATCATCTTATTCGAGAAAGATTTGATCTCAAGTTCGATCTTGCACAAGTTATCACAGGAAGTAAGTTCGACGTTTCCTTGCATTCTTCTCGGAGTTTAACGTTCCTCGGAAATCCGCAAAATCGCCCATTTCCGCTGTAGTGTTCTAACGCCACACACGGCGCTTCCCATTCTGCCAACAAGCACCAATTTTTAAACTCGTCAGACTATCGTTTTTTTTTAATTTTTTATTTTTAAAGGACGGATTTACCAAGAGGAAGGACTTCCTGTTTTTCACTTGTGCGTGATATCGCTGTGAAGATGTGCTCAGCATGAGATCTACGGTGAACAGTTGACGACTGCTGAAAGGCAGCGTCCCGACACAAAGCCGAGTCACGAGAAATCATGTATCACCGTTGACCGAGCAGTTTGAGTGAAAACACCGCTGCTGGAACAGTAGAGAATCTTTTAGAGTTCGTTCAACAATAATGGCACCCTAGTGAGACCTGGTTTGATTTTATTTGTGTCATCCTTTGGAGCTGGTGTAGGAAGCAAACGTCGTGGCTGTGGACTCCACAATGGCTTCATTGAAAGTGGCAGTCCGTGCTCGTCCGTTAAACAACAGGTGAGTTGCAGAATTACTCTTTAATGTTGTTTTATTTTACTTTTATTTCGATGCAACTTTAGCTGAATATGAGCTACTTACTACTTTTCTTGCCTCAATTTCTATTATTAGGGAATTAGAGCTCGGATCCAAATGCATAATTCAAATGGAGGGACAGAAGACAACGATATTCAACACGAAGGTAATATTTAATGAGGAAAACTGCGATATTTTAAATTTTTTTTTAAAATACATCCCTACACGAGTCCAACAAAAGTTTTAAGTCTTCACGACTTAGAATGACATCCTAGTTTCCAACAGCGCTTTGAATAAGATTCCATATTTTACTCGTGACGTGTTCATTATCACAAGATCTACCAAGTTGCTTCAATTCTTGGAAGCGGTCACGAGTAAGGTCTTGAACTTATGTAAACAAGTTCTCTATCTACTGTTCGAAACACCGGGATTTATTTTATTTTACAACATAAATGACATTTTATCCATTCACAAATAAACCAGAAGAAATTCGATTAATATTGTTCCTCGTCGAAGAAATCGGCGGGATTTTGGTAATGACTCTGACTACCGCGTTTCGGAAGTGCTCCGAACGTTTGTCCTCAACCGCAGTATATTTGAATAAGGGCGTTTTGAAGTATCTAGAGTTCCAGTTGATCATTTATTTGTCATCTATTGAAGCAAAGTTCAGGGCTAGGCTAATTTTGTAATCATGAAACGCGCGATGCGTTTATGTATGAAATTCAATCCATAAACACTCTTTGGATTTATCAAAACGTTGTTCACCTGACAATATGAGATTCACGAAGAAACTTCAAACCTGGCAGAAACTGCGTCGCAGTGCTCGAAAACAAAGAATAAAAGATTTATGTCTAAGCTAGAGCAGTGTACTTCGAATCTGCTTGTCTGCTTATTATAAAGTCTAATTGTTTTGTCGTTCATTTCAAAGATGGATACCCATGGGACTTTTTCCTGCTGTGATTTTAAACACGCCATTCAGTTTCTTTGCAAACACCTAGACCTTTTCAATTTCTTTGTCTGCCATGTTTCTTTTCTAAATGCTAATTTTTAGTTCTAAGTTTATTTTATTAAAAGTTAAAGATAAGAATGCACTTAGTTATGCCCAGGTATAGAATATAATGGTTAATATTGCTTTTGACAGTAATTATTTGTTTGAGGAGAAATTTGAGTTGCATATAAGGACTGGTAATTGCTGACCTTCATCCCTTTGTGATACATTTGTACATGTGCTAATCACACTTGGGTTCAGGTCACATTTCAATTTTACAACATGGCTATGTGATCTGATTTTTTGAAAAACCATTAATTTCATATACGGAGATTTTGAGAGGATAAATATCAATTTTTATTCCTTTCCCCTAGATAAAAATTATCACACATAGAGATTTTGTGACAGTTATTCCACTTTTTAACTTGCAAAATTGTTACAAATGATGTCAGGGTGTCAGTGTGATTGATGTCTAAAATTCCTGAGTGTCTAGAATTAAATTTGATTATTAAGTGTGAATGAATAGTTTTTTTCATGGCTTGAAATTGTTTCCTTTGCCACGACAGAGGGCAATCCTGAAATATCAGTTAACTTTACCCTTTGACTCCCAGAAGTGATTGACATACAACTTTTCTCTTAGATATATATATATATATATAATATATATATATATTATCCAGCAAATAGGTAATGAGAATACTTAGATTTATCCTATCAAAGTTGTCATCTTGATCTAACATCAAATTCTTGTCACTAATTTACATGGAAAAGTGTAACAGTTAGAGAGGAGAATTAACAATCAGATCTTGGAGTTAAAGTGTTAATGCATCTTAAATCTTAAATCTATACCAGAGTCAGTATATTTATTTGGTGATCTCACAAAATTTTCCTTGCCTTTTGATCCTAATTATTTCTGGTGGTGAATAATAGTTCATGCTTTATACTACTTACTCTCATGAATGAAGGTTATCTTTCAACTGGATTTTGAGCAACTGAAGGGCACAGGGGTGTTGCTACTTCCTGTTTATACAAGTTGTATAGATCATCCTTTCTGCCCCTCCTGTCGACCCTTCCAATCCTCCCACCCCCCACCCCTTTCATAGTTGTTCGTCATGTTTCCCTAGCCATTTACCACTACCCATTTATACTCCTGGGTGGAGAGAGAGGGGGAATATTAGGGTAATAAGTGTCTTGCCAAAGAAAATAATACCATAATCTGGACTGGACTCAAGGGCTGACCTCTCAACCTGGCCGCAGTTGTTCTCACTACACTGTTTAAACTGTCTAAACATTTGAGTGACACAGGTGATATATGTTTTATATTCCCCAGTTTTTTCTGATTATCATTTACTTGATGTAATGCAGACTTAAAAGCAGCTGAACATTACTTTTTATTTTGATTAGGAATGATAGCATTCCAAATGGTAGATTGCATGTAAAATGAATTTATGGTTGGGAGAAGCATTTCTTGCAGATATGTCTAAATGAGGAAAACCAAGAATAGACATTATTATTTGGTGACTCTGATGTATCTTCATAGTGAAATAAATATTTGGAAAAGTTAATATTTTTTTGTGCCATTTAAGCTGTATGGTGAGGTTGGATTGGAAGGAGACAAGTCAAGAGATATCAAGAAGGAATTTATCTTTGATTTCTCCTATTGGTCGGCTGACTCTAATGATTCACATTTTGTTTCCCAAGAACAGGTATGTGCAAAAAGTTTGAAATTGATATTTTAGGAGGACACACTGTGTGATCAAACATGCATGGGTTTGTCAATATGGCAATGACCAAGATCAGCATGAAATATATTTCAATTTAATGTTAGTAATGACGGCCACATTATGAAATTTTGAACTTTGGTGTAAACCTTAGAAAATATAAATGACCTTCAACAATTCAGAAACCATTTATCAAAAGTTCTATGACATACGCACTATCACCAATATTATATTAGCTTCATAACTGTTAACATGTAGAGTAACTTTCTTTTTTTGCAGGTTTTCAGTGACCTTGGTCAGGGAGTTTTGGAATCAGCATTTGAAGGTTATAATGCTTGTTTATTTGCCTATGGTCAAACAAGTGCTGGGAAAACTTACACCATGATGGGAACAAATGTAAGACAATTATGCTTAGCACAAATATTTAACTCTTTACAATTACTCAATGCTAATCAATATGTAACAGTTGTACAATATTATTTAATGAGTTCAAGTGTGTTCTAATATAGAAAACCTGTTTTAAAAAGAGTTTTGCGTTAATTCCCACTTTAAATACCCTTAACCATATATTCAAATGAAAGCCTTTCAACCCATGAGATACATACTGTTATAATATTTAATATTAAATTTGAATAAAAACTAGGATTAAAATGATAATAAATGCATTCTGGAGTATACTCTCTTTAACAAGTCTCCCCTCCCACTCCTACCCCACTGCCCTGGAAACTGATACACTCCACCCCTCCCTGGTGGCTTTTTAGAGCACTTTTAGCAGTTCTGTTCAGATTATTTAAATTTATGTCTTGACATTCAAAAGTCATTATGTTGTAATGACAGAAAGGTTTTCTTAAGTTATTAACTCTATAAGATTTTTTTATTTGATTTAACAATTTTTTTATTTGTAGGAAGAAGTTGGACTCATTCCCAGAATCTGCAAGGTAATTGTATTATGCTTAGGGCTCTATTGATTTTAGATTTCCACTTGAGATCATTATAAATGGATTAAATTTGATATAGGGTTTATCAATAGAAACAAAATAACTCTCAGTTATAGACTGGAAATAAATGGGGTAAGTTTTTAAAGAAACTGTGATGCTGTGTTGGTAGGGCAGAATAACAAGATGAATTTAATAATTGATAAATTGGTCTCCATAAATGTTTTGTAAGGCTGATGTTTCAGACATTAGTCCTTCAAGGATGTATGACCAAATTCAGCCGATATGAGACCTCATTAAACTGTGCCAAAAAATGAAAGTCCATACAAGTTAACTGCTTTTGATTCCAGTTTTTGCATCTGACTCAGGCCAGGGGGGGCACAAGATTAATCAGAGAGTACACCACACTTAGGCCTGAGAAATTTAACATCTGTATAATATTCTATTCTTCACAGGGATTATTTGAATACATTAGCCAGAACACATCTCTGAGTTCATCATTCAGAACTGAAGTGAGGTAAGCATTGACTTACTGATATCATTTAACACTTTAATCTCTGAGAGTGACCAGCATCTAATTTCTTCTTTCTATATCAGCCCTAAATCAAACATTAAGGCCATGAGAATAAAGGAAATGATATTCAACTGAAGAACCTCTTGATTGTTAAACAAATTCTCCTTGCCAGTTCATTAGTAAATGTAAAGTGAACAGTATGGAGAATATGCATACTGATGTTAAGGTGCAAAGGGTTAAACTTCAATCCTAATTATCAATACTGTATTCGGAGTTATTTATCCCATAAGACACTTTTTCTGCCTGCCCCCCTCCCCACCCCACCATGCAAACAATTTGCATCATTGTTGTTTTTTATTTCTCTTGCTTTACAAAGATTGTTGAGCCCTGAAAAAAATTAAGAAAAAAAATTGGGAGGGGGCAGGGCAGGGGGGGAAGGGGAAAGAATGTACATATGCAGGAAATTAAAAGATTACCACACTCATACTCAATTATTGTGTTTATTGAACGAGTAAATTTGCCTTTTATTGTCGTTGCAGCTATCTTGAAATTTATAATGAACATGTCCGTGACCTGTTGAGGCCGCAGAAGTTGAAAAAGCTTCCTCAGCAGAATTTAAAAGTGCGTGAACATCCTAAAGAAGGGCCGTATGTGGAAGGTAACAATTAACACACATTATTCACGTTCATTAAATTGCGTTAAGTTGTTTACATTGAATTAAGGCTATATTAATGAACTCTCTTTGTTTTTCACTTTCTGCAGGGTTGACAAAGCAACATGTTTCTGATTATGATTCAATTGAAGTTCTTATGGAACAAGGGAACAGGCTAAGGTTTGTACATTAAGGCTATTGGGGTTAATCTGCTATTTCAAGCAACTTATCTCGAAGATATTTACCCCAGAAAAAAATTCAGGCTTTTTTCACCAATTGCTAAGCTCTGCTATATACGTTTTTACAATCGTGAATTTCACTTATCACTTACTTTGACTGACCGCTGACGAACAATTGTAGGCTGTGAATAGCTGTTGTTTGTGGTCTCAGTGGTAGTTAATTTAACAGCAGGAAGCGTGAATTTCAGGCCTATCACTGACTTTGACGGACCTATAATTGTAGGCTGCGAGTAGCTGTTGTTTGTGGTCTCAGTGGTAGTTAATTTAACAGCAGGAAGCGTGAATTTCACCTATCACTGACTTTGACGGACCTATAATTGTAGGCTGCGACTAGCTGTTGTTTGTGGTCTCAGTGGTAGTTAATTTAACAGCAGGAAGCGTGAATTTCACCTATCACTGACTTTGACGGACCTATGATTGTAGGCTGTGAGTAGCTGTTGTTTGTGGTCTCAGTGGTAGTTAATTTAACAGCAGGAAGCGTGAATTTCACCTATCACTGACTTTGACTGACAAACAATTGTAGGCTGTGAGTAGCTGTTGTTTGTGGTCTCAGTGTGGTAGTTAATTTAACAGCCAACACAGAAACAAGCCAGCTAAAAACCTGTCACAGCGAACCGACAAAGGGCTGATGCTTGAAACGTTAGCTGTTAGGAAATTCTTCACGATGGCCGATTTACACTAACAACTCAGACGATAAAACCAAATTATCGTACTTGTCAATCAGTTCATTTTACCTCACTTCTACAACAGTCAGATATTTTTTCAAAGTTTTTTTAAGGAATGAGATATAGCCCTGCCAGAGACCTTTCTGTTACATGAAAATATCCTCTTGTTAACTGTGTATTTTCTCTTTCAGAGCAACTGCTTCAACAAAGATGAACAATACTAGCAGTCGTTCACATGCAATTTTTACAATCAAATTTACTCAGGTAGAGAAGAAAATCACAAGAATTTACACAAAGACTTAACCAACTAGGACTAAATTTATTATTAATTTTGTTGTGATTGTATCAAATATTTTTCAGGCCAGGTTCATGGGAGATATGCCCAGTGAAACGATAAGCAAGATACACTTAGTAGATCTGGCTGGCAGGTTTGTCTCTCTACATATCTCCGTTCTTTTTCTTCAGGTGCAAGTAGTAAATGTTCCTCTAACTTATAACTTGTCTTGGTTTCATTTTCTAGTGAGCGAGCTAGTTCAAGTGGCGCTGCCGGTGAAAGGCTTAAAGAAGGAGCGAATATCAACAAGTCTCTCGTAACATTGGGGATTGTTATTTCCACTCTTGGTAAACAAATCGTTCTTTTCATTTTTGCATAAATGACAGGTCTTATCAGGCAGTTCTTTCATTGGAATGCAGAACTTTCGCCAAGAAATCATCTTCTATTTTCAATGACTCTACCAGACTTCGCGTATCAAAATTTTTAATGCCTGTTAGAGAATTCGCCATAACTTAATCTCTCATCAGCAGCAACAAAACCGGCTTTATGGTGGTAAATTTACCTAACTGTACTTTTCTTTTAGCGGAAAACTCTATCAATGCATCTTCATCTGGATTCAAGCGCCCTTCATTCAGGAAGAAACTGTTCGTACCTTACCGTGATTCTGTCCTCACGTTTCTCCTCAAGGATAGTTTGGGCGGAAACTCTAAGACCGTCATGGTTGCAGGTTGGTTTCTTATGGGGAAGATTTGATTTTGTTGTTAATTTTGCATTCCTTTGTGTGCGATCAATTTGTAAATGAAAGTTTGTTTTTGTTCAGCCATTTCTCCTGCTGAATGCAACTACGGTGAAACGCTCAGTACTTTGCGGTATGCGCATCGAGCAAAGAGCATCATCAACATGCCGACAATAAACGAGGTAAACACTTCCTAAGTTACGGTTAGTTTGCATATTTTATGGTGAAGGGTTGTTTAATATTTTGAAGCAAGTCACCGCGCAGGCAATAGTAAGCGCAAAGAATCGTGCAGCTTTTTCCAAGCGCGGGAAACCAAGCAGCTCATGCAAATAACTATTGCCTTTGGGCAGGGTGGAGAGTGGTTCCACTCTCTCTTCACCCAGCTTGGGGCTGGTGAAAATTGCTAGAAAATCACTGCGGCTGATCGAAGCCATCACTTGCCAACGTATTTTCCTCGCATACTTGAGTTCAGCTTTTTTTGATATTGAAAGTAAAGTTGTTTCACTCGGGCTCCCATAGAATAGTTGAGAAGTTTCGTTTTCATAAATTCTAAGATTTTTTAAATTCTTTACTAGGATCCGAACGTCAAACTCATCCGGGAACTTAGATCTGAAATCGAGCGTCTCAAAGCCCTCATACGAACTTCCGGAACGGGCGATGAGGTAAGTTTAGCCACTCTTCGTGAATCATTCTTAATGATACCAGCATTGTTCAGTTTTTGACGCTAATTCCTTATATTTTCTGTCAGAAAAAGTCCTTAAATGACCCCATGAAAGTCAATCAGAAACTTCAAGAAAATCAGGCGCGCGTCGAACAGCTGACGAAAGACTGGACCGAGAAGTGGAAGGAGGCAAAATCGATCATGCAGGTGGGTGGGGAGGGGTCGGTTAGATTTGTAGGGAGCTGTCTGGCTTTGATAGCGAGGTAATTAGATCTTCTATGAACTCGACAGTGTGTTTTGTTCTTTTTTAAAGTGAAAATTAAAAAAACTAGGCGATTACGTCGCGAGGATTAACGATCATTTTGCGTTTTATTTTTATTTTTTAGGAGAGCGAGTTACAGCTTCGGCGTCACGGATCATGCGTGGTTCTCGTTGATCTGGAGCTCCCTCACTTGGTTCGCTTGGAGGAGGATCCACTCAGAACAGAGATAATGCTGTATCGTGTTATGGTAAAAAAAAATAACTGTGTGCAAATCAAGACAAAATAAATTTTTCTTTATAAAGTTGACGCTTTGATTGTCAGCCCAATTAAACTGTGGAAAGGCAACAGGCCCAATTTTCTACGCCAAATTGATTTTGTTTCTCCTGGAATATTATTTTCTGTAGCATGGAAAAACACATATTGGACGAGAAGATGCGCCAAACCCGCAAGATATCGGTAAGTCCACGATATTAGACGATGTAAACGCGTGTAATGAGATTTTTGCGTTATTCGCTAACAGTTCTCTCGTCTGCTTTGCAGCCATTCAGTTATTAAAACCGAGTTCTGTGAAAAATGCCATGTTTAGAGGTAAACCATCTAGATGCTGATGTTACTTTTCCTTTTTCCTAGTTCTTGAAGGCGAAGATATCGACAAAGAACACTGTGTGCTGGATTTTGTCAAAGGGCGAGTCACGTTTGAGCCGATTTCTTCATTGTGTTGGGTAAACGGGGTGGCTGTGTCTCAGCCAACGAAACTAAACCAGGGTAAGTTGAATTTGTTCTCCTGTGAAACATCTTTGAGGATTTTGTCTGTGATCAAAATCCCGCCGAGCTGAGAGCTTCTTTTTTTTAGGTTAATGTAATTCGGTCGCATATTAAGGAAATACTAGATTTTTTCCCATTATATTTTTGTGTCTGTAAATTTCTTCATCTCCAAGTAGAATTTTCTTGTTGATCATTGTTTAAGCAGTGATATTTAATTATTGTAGAGTAAACGAAACCAAGCACTGCACATCATTTCTCGTAGGTGATGTTATTGTTCTTGGCAAGAGCGATGTGTTCAAATTCAATTTTCCAACCGAAGCGGCAAAACTGAGGGAAAAACGGCGCTCTGCTCTGTACACCACGGTGAGTTTTTCTCCCTATATCCGATGGCTGATTGTCCTCTCTGGCTGCTGCACATATGCTAAAAAATGAAGGGCTTAACATCAAAAAAAAAATACACAATCACGTAATCGCACCAGCTGTAGAGCGAGACCATTCCCGCGCGAACACGTAAGAGGACTGCAAGAAAGAAGGAACTCGTGCGCTTTCTTGGAAGAAACGACAGAATCGTAATGGTCTTTCTTTTTCTCCCCAGGAATCGACCGAATCTTTGACTAATTTACATACTTCACCTGTCCGTGGTAGTCATGGAGACCTGAGTGTGAGATCCGATTCCTCTTCACCGATGACTTTGGACTCTGGGTACGAAGTTTATTCCATGAATCTTGCAAGCTTGTTTATATTAAACATTAAAATCAAGAGAGGGGCATCGAGAGATAACTCATCATCACTCTAATTTCTTTCAGTGTTGAAATCGATCTTCCGGGGCCAGATTCTTTAGAGGAAATAAAGTAAGTTGAATTAGTTTCTTTTAAATTCAATCTCGCCTAAATTCTCATTTTCCTTAATCGGCTGGTCTGTGATGACCATGCCCATCTGAGCTGTGTTACTGCGTAATATTCTACAATCTCTTACGTTAATCAGCAGAAATTAAAATGAATGAGAGGACGGAGGGAAACTGTTGAAAAATATCCTCCTCTCTAACGCACCCCTCCTCCGAGGAAGGGAAACTTTGAAATTCCTTTTTAATTTTTTTTTTGTATCAAAATGTGAATAGTTGTAGTTGCCGGGATTTCTTACGCCAGGGCGAAACTAGCTGTTCATCTAGGCTGTACCTCTAACGGTGTACATCGCTATTTATTTTTGCAGAAATCAAGTGACAGATTTAATCGCCAGACACAAAGAAGCAGAAGTCAGGCGGCTGGAGATAGAGAAAACCTTCCAGACTGAAATCGATAACAAGCAGAAAGAGATTGACAACCAAAAAGAGCATATTCAGACATTGCGCGAGATTCACGATGGAAAATCGCATAAAGCGCGCGAGGATCTGGAAGAAGTTCGACTTAACATGGACAAGAAGCACGAGGATTCGAGGAAAGAGATTGAGAAGCAGCTGGAGGATCTGTTCGAAATGAAACTTAAACAGTGTAGAGAAGCCGAAGAAGCCGCGGAAGAAATAGCAAAAGAGAGGGAAGAAGTGGCTCGTTTTATGGAGGGCGAATGGCAGAAGGTTGTTCAATATGAAATGAAATTGGCTGACATTGAGCTGCACCGGCGGAAATTGATTGCTCAAGCAGAGATCGAACGAGTCCGTCAAGAGGAATTTCATGCGTTGGAGATGGAGAATGATTTAAAAGGATTGGAAGAACAACAAGTCGAGTTGTTAGAGTTACAAGAGAAACTTGAAATAGCCAAGGCTGAAGCTGAGGGTGAATTAAATCGAGATAAACTGACCTTAGACTCGACTCTTGCCGAAAATTTAGCCGAACTCGACGAGTTAGAACAAAAAATCCAGCTAATAACAGAAAAACACGATCAGTATATGACTTTCCTAGACGATTCAGTGGGCTCGGAGGAAAATTTTGACGAAAGAACAGTTACCAAGGTTGACTACAGTGACGCGACACGGAGAATTTCAGACGCTGGTTTGACATCTAAAACTGTAGCTTTGGACTTGCGGCAACGCAGACGAGCCAGTTGGAATTTTCCATCCAGAAAATTGTCTGTCTCAGGGGGAGCTAACGATGACGCAGTAACACAACAACTGCAAAGATTGTTTGAGCTTAAAAACGAAAAAGAGGAGATAATCGAAAAGACACGCACTGAATTAACGCGTGAGATCACAAATGTCGAGTTCTATGGACGGCAAATTCTGGAAAACGAGGCTAAAATAACTGAACTCGAAGAAATGTACAAAACATCTCGTCAACAACACGCAGAGAAAATTCGTCTATGTTTGGAAAGCTTAAAAATTAAAGAAGAGCAAGACATTGCTTTGGTAGACCAAGATCGTGAACGTTATGTGGAACTTTTGTGGAAGGAGTATGGCGAGATTGAAAGTTTAATTTCAGAGACGTTTGAATCTTTGAATTCCAGCGATACGCTGGAAGGGGAAACAACAAGCGATGTCAGAGTAAATGATGAAAAGAAACTCGAAATTCTAAATTTAGTGAAGAAAAGATTAAGGCAAATTGGTAGCGACGAAGATGTCTTATTCCTTGAATACGTCGCTAAACGAGCTCACTTTGAGAAAGATGAAGACAGAGTTCACGAGCAGCAAAGAAAGATCTCAGAGAAGATGATGGATGGTATTAAAGAGAAAGAAGTCGCTCTGCTGAAACTGTCAGGACAAAAGGAACGGTTCCATGTGGAAAGAGCCAGAGAAAGGCGACTAATTACTTCGCGTATAGGAAGGCTGTCTCGTGTGAAGTCATCTGGTGATCTGCACAATGAAGAGGCACTGGAATTCTTTAAGGAGGAGGCGAGAAAACTTCGAGAGACGTTCGAGAAAGTGGAAGAAAGTGAAATGAGGTAAGGAAGGATTTAAAAGATCTTAAATTATCACGTTCATGCAGCTTTAAAGTCGTGCGCAACGTTTTTCAAAAGAAAATCAGGGCTAATTTCTAGCTCGAATAAATGAGAGCCTGTGTTGTTGGTGCTTAGGTGAGTGGTCGTATTTGCATGAAACACTTTTTCGGTAAAGGGGACACATCATAAAAAAACAGGGCCTTGTAGTGCCTTCACGCGCGCCTTATCAACTCGCCTTCTGTTGGAACGTCAGGGGTTAAAATCCACCCAAAATAACTTACATTTTTCGGTCGAACTACGTTCGTGACAATCCGTAAAAACCTTAGTTCGTTTAGAGGCTGTCACTTTTGTTCATTTGAGTCTATTATAGCGGAGCTCGCAAAAAAATAGTAGTAACCCATCAAGCCGAAAAAATTTGGATGTACGACCGTACGACCGTACAAGGTGCTACTTTTAACATGCGTGGTCAACTGTACTGTTCAGTAGTCCAGTGGTCAGTGCACTGGGCTCCGAGTCGGACGACCCAGGTTCTAGTCCTGGCCGGGGTAAGGCGTTGTGCCCTTGAGACGTGCGGGAAAAAAAATGGGAGCTCCGCTTTTAGGCTTGGCTAAATCTATATATTATTTGACGTGGGTAGGCTTCAAAATGAGCGGCGGGAGAAAGAAAATATCCATCTGCAGCTGGAAGAAGCGCGAGCAAAACTACGAACCAGCGAGGAGGACAGAGAGGAATGCGAGGAGAGACTTAAGGATCTGGAAGAACAAAAACTTCAAAAAGAGAAAGAAATATCTGATTTGAAGAGGCAAATGGAGGAAGAGAAGCAAAGCTATTTGGATAATCTCAAGTAAGAATTGCTTAGTTGTCTCCTTCCCAGATATTTTCTTTCCCCTAAGGGTGGGAGGGGCACAGCTACCAGATTAGGCATTAGCGTGCATAGCCTTAACCAATCAGAAACGTAATGCTACATCTTCAGTGCAATTACTTATGCCCAGTCTCTTGCAGATGAAGAATTGAAGGCACGTTAATAGAATCCAGAATTCATAATTCAGAAATTTGCCAAATAATTTTTGAGACAAAGAAAATAAACGTTACTGAAATAACGGAAAAACTTGTGTTCAATTGCTGGATGACCTCAGTCATCAGGCTCTGTGATCTCAGTAATAAACCCGATTCTGGAAATTGAAGTATTGGTTTGGACAAAACTGGAAACAATTGACAAAAATAAGTACGCAAAAATATGTGCGAACCCGGCATGATATCTTACTTCGTGTTGAATTAAAAAGTTGCATTCTTCACCGCCCAAGATTCTCTGTTGGTTACCAATCACCACTAATGTTTTTCTTTGCAGAACTGAAGACTACGAAGTGATAGAAAAACCTCTTGGTAAGTTCATTTTGGCTTGGTCAAATCTCAACAAAATGATATGAAATTCTCGCTGTGCGAAATTATTAATGTAAACTATTTTACATCTGCTTGCAGTAAATCGGCTTCACATTAAATTTCGTATTCTTGGTAACCACGCTGCGGCAGAGGTCTTAAAAGAGGTAGGTCACGGATTGATGCATAGGTGTTTATTGGTCAGATGTCGAATTATCTCTACGTGAGCAATACAGGTTCCTTGAATAGTTTGTGTCTTACTCAGAAGACATCCTTTTATTGTTGATTTTTTTGTTCGACAAGTTGTCTGTTTTAGGCATCGACAAGGTTCGCACAGCCCTGATTTCCCAAAAGAGAACAGAATTTTCAAAATTGAAAATGGGAATAGTATGTGAAGTGGAGGCATAGCCTCATGAAATGAACAGTAAGTTCTCAGTTACAAGGTGTGAATGTTTTAAAGGTAGCCCAATTTACCAAAATAACCTTCTCTTGAATTAGTGCGATCGGACTACTATTAATTTTGGGGCAAACTTTCGACAACTGCGTTTCTGTTCAGATCATGTTACATGAATCATAACCTTGAGTCTTGATGGTGAAAGTACAGTTTTGATAAATTCCAAAAATTATTCAACTTTCGCGCAGAAATGAATACGAACCCTGAAAATAATTGGTGATAATGCAAGGAAAAATATCAAAGAACGTTTTTCTTTTTCAGGCCCTACTTGCTTCAGGTCTTCCCGAGATGATCAGAACGGCACCGGTATCTCTTAGGTCTCCACAGCGTCTGACAAACGACTCTTCTCACGGTGGATGGACGTAAGAGCTATTTTTTTTTTCGTGTTTGATTGCAATGAATATTCTCCTGTCGAGATATAGATTTGGGATTCGAATTTGCAGCGCTTTCAAATAAGTGAAAAAGCCTCACAGGTGTTCGTTCAAAATGGAAAAAAATTGTCACGATTAAAGTGTTACTATAGTATCACTTGAAATTATTACGTTGTTTGTGGGCTTTTTTGTCACTCTTTGTCCCAAATATCCTTCCAAATCAACCGAATGTTTTCAGCCATCAACAACTTAAGAACTGCCGGACGTTTTAATTTATATACTTAAAAGTATTTATTCGATTTCGTATGAAGCTGGTGCCAGTGTCCTGATTTATTCAGTTTCAGGCAAATTTTAATGATTATGACTTGTGTGTCTCTTTTAGGTTTCACAGTATTCAGAAAGACGTCACTATCGTGCGGAAAAGGGAAGAGTGCAGTGGCAGTCTTCTACACTGGTAAGAGTTCTGTAGCTATTGATGAGTGAAAGAATAGATAACGGACAAAAAATACGTGGTAGTTTGATTCTCTCTTTTTAGCTCAAGACTTGGCATCTTTCTTACTCCATCTCCGGAACTGTGTGTTAATTTTTCAGTTTTATGGGGCGAGGAGTCATCCCGGCACCACCGCCGACCGTGTGGGAGGCAGTCAAGAACCCGCTGTCCAGATATATTTACGACAGCATGCTCAAGGTAGACATGTCGTGCATCAGTTCAGATTTAATAATTTAAATGACACAATCGTGAAACTATAATATATATATATATATATATATTTTTTTTTTTCCGCTGAGGGAAGCTTACCTTGTTTTAGCGATCTACGCCTCAAATTGTGTGTGTGTTTCTTTTTTCAATTTTTTTGCAGAAAATAAATATTGTAGAGCATGTGGAAGAAGGACTGAAAGCTGGTGAGTTTAGGCATTTTTATAAGTGTTATGTACGTCAAAACAATATTCATTCAGTGCTCGAATCATTTTTGAAAAGTTTGAAACAAAAAAACGGTTGAAAGCAAATCATTTTCGACATTTAACTAACGTTATCAAATCAGAAAATGAAGCGGATTAGAAATTTCAAGATGCTAGATAAAATAACAAAATGAAAAACCAGTGAAAATGTAGAATGTTTATTAAACAGAGCGTCGCATAAATTGCAGTAGCTTGGCTGTTTTACCATTAACCTGTGTCTCAAACTCCGAATCATTCCTGTTTAGATATGTTGAACGTCGAAACTTTGTCTTTGCTTGACGTTTAAATTATTTTAGGCAATATTTAATCGCAGTATTTTACAGCCAAATGTTTCAACGAGTCGCTCCTTTTTCTGTCCACTTGACAAATTGTTAGAATTATACTGTTGAGAATTTACGTACTGATCTTTCCTAAGAGACAAAGAACCAGTTATTTACACGTGGGATACCCAAACCGCGGTTTTACACAAGCGGTGGGCCTTAGGTATTTTCTATAGGAGGGTTGATTCAATTTAGTAAATGTCCTTCCACTTTTAGAATTCAGCCCCCTAGACACTGATCACAAAATTGAATGTTCAGATAAAGGAGACAGATCAATTGAAAATAGTTTAGGGCGCGGTTCGTTAAACAACGGCTGAACTTTGACCCAATAATAACCGACCCAAAGGGTTTGCTACTGACGTATGATGTTTGTTTGTCACAGTGTATATGCTTCATGAGACGTCTCAGTGCTTTATGACACATTCACGCGACTTCTGCTACGTCTCTAAAGAACGCGTTGAGGTAAGTTGAATCAAACCCTTATCATAACGTGGTTTTTATGAGATCACAATTGTTGTGATAGTGTGTTGCTTTAAACTAATGCACGGGCTATTATTTATCAGGAGGTGGGTGTTGTTTCGGAATATTACGGTTGTGTCTCGACAGAACTTACTTTGCATCCCTATGAGAATCTGTAATACTCTTTTGATCTCACCTTCGTTTCGATTTTCTTATATACTTGTACTCTGATTCCCCCCCTCCGTTTTCCCTGAAAACCATGTGATCCAAAAATCCTCCAAACCCCCCCCCACTTCTGCGATAAATAATGAACCTTACCTAAAACGTCAGAAAACCAAACCTAAAGTGTGATGAATGTGGCGAATTAGGGCAATATTGCAAGGAACCAATGAGAACTCAATGTAAAGAGAAACAAAATCCTAAAGCGCGGGAAAACGCGGATGACCAATTCGCGATTCGTTTGAGATTTGCATTAATTGTTCGCGCGGGGGCGTAAGGTTCATAGTCTAACTAAGGATTAAAAGTAGTGTGTATCTGTTGCAATCCTTGATTACTTTCGACAATGAACTGAAAATGGCGCCGTTGTACCAATTTTGTTTTTTCGTCTTTTCTGTTTTAGGGTGACAAGTACGTGCTTGCATCTCAGTCGATTGAGCATCCAAAGTGTCCTCTGTCACCTTCAATCATTCGGGGACAGGTTGGTGATAAGAGCCCAGATGTTTAATTACGGGAACTAAGAACCTGGATTGGGACCAGACTCCCTCTGTGAAGAGTTACTTTCGGAGGGGGGGGGGGGGCAGATTCGTTCCGTTCTCTGTTTTGCAGAGGGGTAACACTAGAATGGATAACTATGAATATTTCCGTCACTTGTGGGGAAAACAATATTTTTGTTGAAGGTTTTCTTATCTTGTCCAGTAACCAATGTGGAAAATATCCCAGACAAGAAAAAGCATTCTACGATTATTAAGCTATCTTTCTTGAATGTTCCAGGGCAAATAACGTAACATTATCATTTCTTTTCATAAAAGATTATGTCCAGTGGATGGATTGTAGAACCGTTACGTGTTGAAGGACAAGAAATGTCTCTGGTGTGGTACATCACCAAGGTAATTTCTTACTTTTTAATTAGTTTCACTCTCACTCTATGGGAGACCCATCGCCCAAATGTTCAGCGCGCCTTACTCTGAATCAGATCCAAGCCTGAACTATTTCCAGTTTTTAGTTGAGGTGTGTTTTTGCGTAAGACGCTATCTTCTCACCATGCCCCTCTCCAATCAGGAGTACGGATGGGTAGCGATTTACAGTCAGCGCAGCTAGGATGATGCGATGCGACAAGCATTCCATCCAACAGGAACAACACTACGCCTAGTCACTGAGTGCCACAGAAACTGACTGCCTTTAGCACTGAGAGGTTTAATTTATCAGTGTAGCTTTGCTTTCTACTTATTTGAAATTTTCTGTCTTCAGGTTCATCTTGGTTCTTCTACGCTACCCTGGCGACTGATCGACCTACTATCCAAACGCCAGCCCCTCAGTATTGCGTTCTTACGGAGCTACTTAACACCTCCTTGAGAATGCTGATTAATGACAGCGCACGGCACCATTAGAAGTAAAGATGGCCGCTGGAGTCAAGATAAGGAACTCTTGCATATTCAGAGAGATGAGTGTGTGTATTTCAGGAGAAAAAATTAACTCTACGTGTAGTGTAAGTCTGTTTATCTCAGTCAGAATTATTGTGTTTACCTGCTTTAAGAAAAAGACATAACAAGAGTGTTATTGTGTGCAGCAGCTTGTTAATATAAATCGATAAATGTCATTAGATTCACTGCAGAAGACATTTGAAGCATAGGCTTTGAACGTTTAAAGCAGTTTTCAACTGGGTGTCGAAAAATCAACCCAAACTAATCACGGCATCCAATCAGAAGAAAGCTTTTAAACATTGTAAGTAGCCAATGAGAACGAGTGACTCACTCACGATTGTTTGTTTGTTTGTAGTTTAGGATCTGATTGGTTGAGAGAATGGCGCGAGTTTTCTCGACCAATCACAGAGAAGAGTTAAGTAAAAAGACCAAAGCAATTCCAGATGTCTTTCGACACTCAGTTGAAAATTGTTCTATAGTGTTAAAAATAACAGATTGAAAACAAATAGGAGTGTAAAACACTCAAATATTTAGTCCAAATTGGAATATTTTCTTGTTCACTTGCATGTTTCATTATGATGAAGGAGTATTTTATCTAAGGATAAAAAAGAAATAAATAAAAATTTTTTGTAATAGGACAAATTAATTAATATTTTGGGGAAGTAAGACACATTTAGAAATAGTTGGTGAGTTTAGAAGGAGCTTTCTCGCGATTTTAAATGTATGGAGGATAATCGTGTTCTAGTAATTTTGATGTGCTTTTGTCAGTTTTCTATGCTTTACAGCCAATTACAAAGAGCTGGGCATTTAGAGGGCTGAATTAAGATGTTTTTGAACGGGAACACTTGTGATGTAATTGTATTTCTGTGCCAGTGGGATAAGATAAAACTAAATCGCACAAAATTAAAAAGATGCAAATCGCATATGATTGTGTGGCGATCTGATTGGTTAAGTGGTTTAAAAAGTCAACAAGGATTTATTAAGCTTAGTCTTTGCGCCCAATTTAGAACTTAGTTTATTGTTGACGCGAACGGCAAAGAGGTTTACCTTTTCAGATTTTTTTCCTTGTCTATAAGCTGCTGAATATATGTGACAGAAAAGTAAAAGCATTTTTCACAACAAATGCGAAAATTTTAATTTTCTCAGAGCTCTGCTTAAACAAGACCCGGGTGCCAAAGGCGATAAACTTTTCCGTCTGGACAATTTGACTGACCGATGGCCCTTATGAAAGCTTTTAAGAGTTAAGCGCAGTTTATTTCTGAAACCAGATCCTCCAGGTACCTGGTGATTTTCGATCTCAGGATTTAGCCTTCAACTTTATTTTCAAACGTGGAAAAGGCTGAATTGAAATTGTCACTGTTCGCCGTTTGTTGGTCGTGTCAATGTAGCTCTACATCTAAATCTTTCTCATTTTCTTCGAGCAAATGAGAAATGTTTTTTTGTTCCTTTTATTAATTAATTTATACAGAGTATTTGTGTACTCAATGAAATGTCTTTGCCACAGAAACATTTCCGCGAAGAATACTTCTCAGTGAAATCCACTAATTAAAAAGTAAAAAACTGTATTGAAATTGTTTAAATTTATCCAAATTTTACCTCATCTATTATGCACTTTCGTTACCTTTTGTTTTCTCTTAACTTATTGCAATTATAATTCTGCACAGGTGTAAAGAAAATTTTGTTATGTTCTTGAGGTTCTCAAACTGAGAACAACGCGCTGAAACAGTTCTTCAAGTTAATTCCTAGGCTTTGCTACACATGTGATTTGCAGCTAGTAATAAAATACTAATTCGCCAGTTTTGATAAAACAGGGCTCTATATTTAATAACGCTAGGAGTACAAAAAACAGTTTGATGTTAATTAACCTTATTTATGCTGGAGTTTTCGGGAAATTATGATAACTTAGAAGAGGTGTCAAGCGTTTTTCGAAGCTACCCGCGGTGCTGAATAAAATTAAGTTAAAAGAGAGTCTGGTTCGTTTGTTTTTCCTAACCTGTGTGCAGCTGCCCCCACCACTCTAAAAGAAGATAATCAGGCGATCGTCAATTCGTCTGCATAATCTGTAACCCATCTGAGAAGCCAGTTCACAGTCCCAATGCTGAAGGAAACGAAATGATCTTTTAAAAGTGTGAATCTATTGTTATCGTGTCAAATAATGTAGTACTAAATGGAATTGTTCAGAGTTCAAGTAGGAGTTACTTTGGAAGCGAGAGCTTGTGTATCTAGTGAAGGCCACAAATCGTGTTAATTGTGAATGAGGAGGGCTTACCGGTAAAAGGAAATAGAAGAAAAAAAAACAGATCGTATTCGATGGTTTTTTCAAACAAACAGAACAACAAGTAACATAAAAACTTCACATACTGGGCAAAATAATCCAGTGCCGGAATCATTATTCTTCGCGCTTTTGTTTTCTCAGTTCCTGAGAGGCGTTGAAATAAATCTTTCTAGTCTTCGAGCAAGTACAAGCGTTACTTTGCCTGCAATAAAGTTTGAGGCCCTGAGCAACGATAGCCCGCGAGAGATGAGGAAGTGGTTTAGCACTGCAGACAGCCAGCTTCCTTGCAGATCACTCGCCAGCTGGCTTTGCTAAAGTTACCCGCAAGCAAACGCTCACGCCGCAGCATTAATGAGATCGTGGCACGCCCGCAGGCAGGGGAGTAAATCACAAATTACCTGTGCAGCAGTACCAAGCGCTTATGAATAACAGAAAAGAGTGACATGACTTAACTTATATGAAAATAAAAGGTGATCAATGATTGGCATGCTTAAAACTAACGTTGGATTTTTTAATCTTTTTTTTTATCCAGTTAATTTTTCGTTTTTGCTTCCTTTTCTGTCTTTTCCGTCTGTACTCTCTTAGCTGTAAACCTGCAAAACAGGAGCACTGCAATGTTTATGATTCCGAACTTAACTCGTTCTTTTGACTAATGGCGTTGGATATATGATTTTAAATCACAATAGTATTCAATCTAATGTGGATGCTAGGTAACCCGAAGAAACGTCCACGTTTCCAACAGCAATGTTTCGGTTTTGTCGCGATTGTTTCAGATAATTTCGCGATTTCGAAGTAAGCGCGAATCACTTCGAAGTTGCACGAGAGTGTATAGAGAGTCTCCAATGAACAGTTAACATTTCATCTTCCTAACTACCAGTTGATTCAACAGTATAATTTGAGGGTGTAATTAACTTCGGTAGGCCATCCCTGCATTTGAATCACTTGTACCTTTTTATATGCAAATGATCTTTGTGGGACGTTCAAAATAATAAAACCAAGGACTGCCAATCAATCTTTCAGTTTAAGTCTTGTTAGCTCGTTAGGTAACGGAGTGGTGGCTTGAAACACCGCATGTCAAGACTAAGGTAAGCCACACTTTGTTGAGAAAATTCAATTTAAAAAATCATGCTCTTCACAGAATCATGAATTTGTATTACGAAAGGCGCAAAATACCAATTACATAATTTGCCGGTTCCCCTGTTCAATTCATGAGCTCTTTATTCTTGCAAGATTGTATGGAATATATCTCATAGGGTACTGAGAAAACCACATCATCCCTGGGGCATGAAAAAAGTGCTCTTGAGCCGAGTTAGGTAATTTAAATCTTCTCATTCCTGAGTTCTTATGTGAAATCACACACAGCTATTTTGATGGCGTGTTCTTTTATACCGGTGCTGCGTACACCAGCAACCTGCATTAGTCGAAAGAACGCAAATTCGCCTGTGTAAATAATATTATCCATAAACACCTCTTGCTCCTATGTTTAAGAATTGAAAGAAGTCCCAAACCCTTAGTTTTGATACTTAACTGAAAAGTAGACAATTAATCACCGAAGTAGAGAAAATATCCAGCACTTTCACCGACACTGAGGTGAATAATCGTTTAGCATATATCACACAGAAGCCAAAGAGAATTAAATTATTTCTGTCAACATACCAAGAAATGCTCGGAAATTACATTGTTGACACGCGATGTTTTCGGTTACTCGAAGGTGAATAGTTCTTGCTAATCACTTCTGAACCAGCCAATCAGGGCGAAGATAAAAAGCAGTATTCACTTGTGTGGTACGTAGTATATTATAATAACAAGAGCCCAATATGCCACACGACGAGCGGTCTGTGTCCCAGTTTGGATCTACTTATTACAGCTTGTCAAATATATACTTCTATTTGAATAAAAAAGTACCAGTTTTGGTCGGGGGCTCCTCGTGTAACCGAAAAAAGAGCAGATAGGGAAATACCCTCACCCCGCCCGTTCCTCATCCCCTTCGCCTTCCCCGTTCCCCAACACACACATGCGAACACACTCCTTCATGGCTTCATGGCCCCTTGCCAAACATGAGAGTGGCAAGGAGAATCGCGTTATTACAATCGCGTCGTTCTATTCATGGAATCTGACTCGGATCATGCCTCTATAGCGGGTTCTGAAGGAATCATCTGAACTCACTTTTTGAGGTTTTAATCTCATTCTGAGATTGTTTTAACTAAATTTTACCATTGAGGAATACTTCATCACTTGTCGTCCGCAGGCAAGAATCACTTCAAACACGGTTTGTGACAAATGTTTTAACCTCGCTCCTAACACGAGACTTCGTTTCTCAGTTGGCGGGGGAACCGCATGAGCAACAGTCCAGTCAGTCGAGGCCCGAATTCATCTTTCATGCCTTTTTGACCTTTTTATGTCTGATTTTATCGCAGATCACAATTATCATTTCCCAGATTCTCCTCACAAAGTAGAGGACTTCTCTGGAGTGACCCATCATAGTGTGGTATAAACCTTGGAGTCATCGGAGGCTTTAATGTCATAAGATTTTGCTCATGAGCAAGGTGGTCCACACTGCTGGAGCCTGAGTCTGTCGCAGTCTCATTAAGCGACCAGGAGTATTATGATGAAAAGATAGTCCAGCGCAAGTAACCCACATCATTTTATCAGATTTCTCAGACAGAACGCTATCGCGAAATTATAACCCCTGGGTGAAGAGTCCCATTGGAGTCACGTTATCAGGTCACGTCATCTGTTAATATTAACCGTAGTAAATTCCACCCGGGTTTAACTTGGTTTTTCGGATTCAGCCATTGATTGTAAGGAGGAAGCCACCATGGCTTCAAACACAGTAGATAACCTTGACTGTAAAAATGATGTCTGGAAATCATTCAAGGTACCGGAACTTTTAACCTTACGTAACTAAATATTCCAATCGATTTTAGTATACCACGGGTGTAGACAAATAATTATGCAGCTACGAGTTTTCGAGGCCGATCAACGAACTGCTTCTACAGTGAAAGTAGAAACAAACAGTAAGAGCCATGTTTTTGTTTCATTTTGGTCGAGTTATTTAGGGTTGCTGTGATAAATTATCATAGTTGATTAACCTTTCAAAATGCCACGCAGACACTACTGTAATATATGTAAACGACGATTACAATGAAAAGCGAAATTTGACTGGATTGTTAGGAGTATAACTAGAAAGGATCTTGGGCCCCGTTTTGGAGAAAAAATTCCGATTTCATTAACTTATGAGTTGAATTCAATCACCATTAAAATGAAAAGAACTGATCTTTCAAACTGGAGGGAAGCGATTTGTAGATCTGTGTTGAGGCGTATCCCAAGAAATGATACCTATATTTTTAGAAGTGTATTTCTGTAATCCTTCTCCGATATCGTGCGAATGAGTCTCTGCTACAATAAAGTGTCTCTTGTCTTTTTAATACTTTCACTACTAAATACTCTTAAACAAAGAAAGCAATCAAACATGAAATTAAAGCAAATCTATGTTAGATGTCACGGAATCACGCATTCTATTGTATCTGCTCGTGGGAGTCTGGGATCCAAACAAGTTGTAATTAACTCATGTAGTGGAGAGAGTCTACCTCTACGATAAATATTTTATTTCTTGTATCCTTTGTTAGGGAGTAATTAGCGTCATTGCAACGTAGACATATCATGGTAAGCCGTGAAATGCGATGGACTCGTGTGAATGTTCTTTTTCTGTTGCGAGCAAAGTGGTGACTGTGTTTGATTATTCGTTGTTTCAGACGACATCTTCAGATCAAAAGTCAGACCCTGTGGTCGAGTTCAAATCTCTCGCTCGTAGAGATGCCTTTGAACGAATGGACTCTGAATTGAAGATTTTACTTGAAACAGCACCAGAAGACAAGAAGGAGGTAATGTCTCTCTGAACTGTATCTGTAGAGCTTTTAGTGTTGCAAACCACCTTCAAAGTTTTAAATCTAAACACAGCTGTGCAATTCAGAGGTAGTGTAAACACTGACACCGGCTTATCACGGCTTAACATGTAACTGGAGATAATTAATTCTTACCAGTGTCCAAAATGTGAATTAAGGGATGCATAGTCATAAAGATAAACAACTTATCCCATCAGAGGAACAGAAAGTTTCTCCCGATATTATACCTCGGGTACAAAGACTTCAAAGCCATACCTCAATATTGCCTTACCTTCCAAAGCATTTGTTTTTCGGTATAAGTTTATTCAAGGTATATATCTTTGATATAGGATGACCTTTGCCTTCGTTGCCTATGATTCGAGAAATCGAGAAAAGTTTGAAAACACACTCACAAGTGGAATATATGTTTGATTTCATCCTAAGATCATTCAATCAAAACAATCCAATTAAGTCTTTGCCATGGTTAATTTATCTACAACTAATTGAGACCGGATCTCTGATTTCAGCCAGTTAAAAATGTGCATTTCGTTTAAGACGTTTCGAATCAAGAACGTAATTTTCAGAAACAAAATGTTATCAATCCAGGGTTTTCGTCAAGAAATCCAAAAAGCTAAGGGAAATATTTTCAAGTAACAAGAGGATATTAGTGAATGAATAAATTGCTCAGGTCATTGAAACTTAGCCAAAGAATTCTGCATGGTGGTGGAGGAATATTTCGTCTCTGCCAGTGAGAGGATTCTTGCAGAAAGCCATATAAACAGCTGGTTTACCATAATCCTTTAACACAATCCTCAAAATGTTGGAGACTTTCAAGATGCTGGATTTTTTGTTTGCTTTCTAGGAAGCATTGAAGAATATGAAAGGCTTCAAAGAGTTGTTTGGCAGGTATCTTGAGGAAGAAGGTCCATCAGTACTCTGGGACAAAATCAAACCTCCTCCCGAAGGATCTGTGAGTAGAACATTCATGAACTATCTATACAAAGATTTAGGGATTACATCTAGTTGGTCATGCTTTCTGCTGAGAAGATTCTTGACAATGATATGACGATGATTCTTATGTCTCTGTTCGTAATTGTAAAAAGTGTTGATAAGATGATTTAAGATAACTCCAATATAACACTTCTTGTGGCATCCAATATTTGTTAATAAAAGAGTGGATATTGATATGTCCAACTGATCTAGCGCACTGGACGTACATTGTTGTGTATTGGATTATTGAGTCAGTCAGGAGACACTCATTCTTTCATTGCTAAATCTACATTCTGTCTTTATTCAACAATCAACTATCTATAATCCTAGTACAGTCATCCTAATTGGTTACAGTGCTTTTACATCACTCAGCAGTAAGACAGTATGTTCTCTAATGTTTTATATAACAATCTAACCTTTAGATTGTCATGTACGATGCAATACCAGAGGTTCCAGCAAGCACTTTTAAGGAAGTCCTCAATAAACTTGTGGTGATCAAGCTTAATGGAGGTTTGGGTACAAGTATGGGATGTACTGGACCCAAAAGTCTTATTTCCTTACGTCGGGATTTAACCTTCCTTGACATGAATGTTCAGCAAATTGAGGTAACAAAAATTATGCTTGAAATGAAATGTGACATGCTTCAAAATCAATTACATTAACCCTTTCACTCCCAAGATCTGATTCATTAATAATTCTCCTTACTGTCTGCTATACAATTCTTGTAATATTAGTTTGGAGAATTTGGTTTTGGATCAACTCATAATCCCTTAGTTTATATAATTCTTTATTATCATCACTTGTTTCCTTGATATTGTATTGATATTGTATGGATATTGTATAGAGAAGTTCTGTCCTGGTCACTCATGGGAATTACAAGGTTAAGACTACAAATTCTATTGAACTTTTGAAACAGTTAATGATGGTTTTTATATGTGGACTTTTTGAGACTTTCACTCTTGGGAATAATTATTGTTTAAATTCTCTTTGAAATTTTTGAATTTCAAATTTCAAATTTCAATGACTAATGAAGTATGAAATGTAAAGTAGCGAGATAAAATGAGAGGACAGAGGGGAAAAAATCAGAGTAATGGGTGGATAGTTTATTGAGCACAAAAAAATACCATTCAGAAGTTGTAATTGTCTATCCTAATGATTACAGTGTGTTTATTCAAAATATCAGATCAAGAATGGCCTCAGTGGAAAAATATTTTGGAAAAGACTTCTTTTCAAGAGGATATCTATTTCAAAATAACTTCACTCTCTACACCATTACATCAAAATCCATATTCTCCTAACAGTTCCTTACAATTTCCCTATGGCACACATAAACTTTACACAGATAATTTGTTTCCCAGTGCAGAGCTTCTTGACAATCATTTCCCTTATTCCAATGACACTGATGTTTGATTTAAAAGTGACAATGTTGGGAGAAATTATATGCTAATCACTTTTAGGAATTAAAAGGCTCTGTGAAAGCACTCCCTGGTTATTTGTTGGTAGTTTTTAGAAAGGAGAGTTACAAAACTCCAAAGGTATATAAAATCGCTAAGTTTAAGATATATGATTCCTGCCTTTCACTTTTTCTTTCACAGCATTTAAACAACAAGTATGGCTGCTCTGTTCCACTTGTCCTTATGAATTCTTTCAACACACACGAAGAGACTCAGAAGACCTTGAGGAAGTACAAAGCAAATAACGTTTCAATTCACTGCTTTAATCAGAGCCAACATCCCCGCATTGTAAAGGAGTCTCTGCTCCCCTTACCTAGACTCATAGGAGCTCAGAAAAATGAGTCAAATATTGAATGGTAAATAATATCAGATACATACATTAGATTACAAGTATAGGCAGAGGGAATATGTATCCTAGTAGAGAGTTTTTTGAGGGATTGAAATTCCCAGCAGGTGCTAATTTATACCTTGGAAAAGGTCTTGTTACCTCGAATAAAATTGAACCACAAGTTTCAAATCTGATACATGCACTGTATTTCTTTTCTCAAACAGCTGGTACCCTCCAGGTCATGGCGATATTTATGGCTCATTCTACAACTCTGGTCTTGTCCAAAAATTCATTGATGATGGCAAAGAGTTTATATTTGTGTCAAATATTGACAACTTAGGAGCCACTGTAGATGTAAATATCCTTTAACACTATTGAAAGTTTGCAGAAGTGTGACAACACATTCAAACAGGGAGTATTTTCCTCCTCCCCCTCCTCAATTTTTGGTAGCAAATTTCAAGACTAGACTCTTGGGGGATAAATTGAAATCTGTTTAGAAAAAGGTTCACACTTTTCCCAAACCATTTTGCCTTAACCAAAAAGAACCATGATGCTACATTTGATGTGACACTCTTACTTGTTTCCCCTGACAAATGGAAGTTGTCCCTCTGTCCAGCCCTCTAATTCTTCCCTAAAACTGCCACCGTTTGTCACTAATGAGAATGGCACAGACCAGAAAATTGGCTGTCTGGATTTGAGTCATAACTGATATTTTGCTAGACACACAAGTTTCTAAGGTTATTATTTATGTATAAAGGGGGTATGTTTCTAAAGAAACTGTGGTGCTGCATCAGTGGAAGAGTATAACTGTGTAATTCAGTATTATCAACTGAGTTGATGAGGTAAATTGGCCACTGTTTAGAGTTTCAAAGCTGATATTTCAAGGGTTACCCCTTTGTCAAAGGGAAAGACAAAGGACTAACATTGAGGGGAACTAAATTTTCTTTGACTGTGTTCAGATATTTTAAATTGTGTTGAGAGAAACCAAACTTTCTTTAACCATGTTCAGATATTTTAAATTACATGTTAAATCCTTTGCGATCACCAGCTCCTGAGTTTGTCATGGAAGTCACTGATAAAACACGGGCTGATGTAAAGGTAAGGAAAAGCACTCTTAACACTTAAGTCATAAGTGATAATTGCATGAAAAATCCAGAAATCCAGCTATGTATTTTGATGTGCATTTATGGCAAGATTAAGAGAGTAATTTTCATTTTCACAGGGAGGAACCCTCATAGAATATGAAGGAAAACAAAGACTTTTAGAAATTGCACAAGTTCCTAAAGAACATGTTAGTAAAAAGGTCCTTTCTTTTAATTTACTAGAATAATTTTTTTTTCAATGTTCTTCAATGCACATCACTTAACAATTGGTTCATACGTCAGTGTGTTTTCATCAAGATATGAAGCACACGGGAAGTTTGGAGAGCACGAAAGATGTGTAAGAGTTGCTCAAGGTGTAGCCGAGAGCAACTCTAGCTTCTTGAGTGCTCTCCAAACTTCCCAAGTGCTTCATATCTCAACGGACACAAGCTGACGCATGAACCAATTGTTTTATAACATTTTCAAACCGATGGAAAATTTTTTTTCTCAAGGGATTTGTTTGCTGACGTCATGAGCGTGCACAATAGGAATATGAAGCACGCTCGTGCAATTGAATTTGATTAGACAAATTTACCAACCATGTTATAGTTGTCAAATTGCTGAAATAAGTGGCATGTTTCTTTTGTGGTATGTTTGCACACAGAGAGCAGAAACATTTATGCCATGTTACTTTGTAAATTATCTTAGCTCTTAAAAAATCTAAAGGAACCATCAAGAATTAGATTTTAAAAAAACTTAGTAATGAGGGTATGATCTTCAGAGTAAACTGCATATTTGAATTAAGTTAAATGGTCTGAAAATTTCAGGAGTTTAACAGGATATGTTGTGGTCAATCTGATGCTTAAGCCAACGGAGATATAAAGTCACTGTTGTTGGAATTAGGTTCCCTCTGGGCCCAACTTTTCTTCTGGAAGACGGAGGTAGTAAATGTATCTAAGAATAAATCCCAAGTTGATATGATTAAATGAAAATCTATTTTTTTAGGTTGATGAGTTCAAATCAGTTAACAAATTCAGGTATGTTTCATTCATTCTATGGCTAATTCTTGTCCAAACAAATTCTGGGGAGAGGAAAAAATAGTTGTTAAAGTGGTTTAAAGATACTATGTGTTTCTGTAGATTAAAAATCAAGTGTTATTTATTCAAGTGGTACTTTTGTTTTTTCGTGGTTAGAATTTTCAACACCAACAACTTGTGGATGAAGTTGACTGCAATTAAGAGGCTTGTTGAGGAAGACAAGATGCACATGGAAGTGATTATCAACAACAAGGTGTGGATCTACTTAGATGTGATTCAATTATTCAAACTAGACTGTTTAGTAGGTTTAAAACCTGGAAAAGTATCATATGTGAGGATCTGGCAGTCTTTGCCAATGCTTTGGTCATTCTCAAAAAAGAATAAGCACCCTGCCCCCAATAATTGCTGCGCCCTGTTCCAAATAAGTGCCCTCCCTGTAGGTAACCAAAGTAAATAAGCCCCCTGGGCACAAAATCGAATCATTATGGTAAGCACTGTTTATGTCAAGAGTGAGTGAGGGACTGGCCACTATTTATCACCCAGGGGAGGTTGGAGGATTTTGGACATGTCACAATAATATTTAACTAACCACCCACTCCCTTCCATAAATAAGCCTCTTTAGTAGTCTAATGATTCCTTTAAACTCAGTTAGAGACAACTGATTCCCCCTATGTTCCCCTTGAAAACCACGTGATCACCCCAGAGGAGCTACCTTGTAGATGGTCTGCATGGGAAGTCAAACGAGAAAAGAAACTCGCTGTTTCTCTAATTTTCGTCGTATTTGTACCAATTAATTTCGAGGTCGAAACTTCCGGACAGTCGTTGAATTCTGGAATGGGGATGGAGAATGCTTGTCACTCTTGGAGGTTTCAGTTGACTTTAAAGCAATTGCAAGACTGAAAGCAATTTATCAGTCAATTTATGACATCTAAAGTCAATTTATTTCATGCTATCTCTCTGCCCTTCTAGACCCTTGATAATGGAATGCGTATCATTCAATTGGAGACTGCTGTGGGTGCTGCTATGAAAAACTTTGAAGGAGCTCATGGTAAGAGTGAAGGGTGGTGTAGGGGTAGTTTTTGTCAACTCCACTCCCCTCCCCACTCCTTCCCCCTAATAGAATACTAAGCGAATCACAAGCTCATTATTTATTTCTTTGGTGAAACCTGCTTCGTCCTCTCTCTGCCTGTATAGGTATTAATGTACCACGTAGACGTTTCCTCCCAGTCAAGACTTGTTCAGATCTACTGCTGGTGATGTCGAACCTGTATGACATGAAACACGGTCGACTCGAGATGAGTCCGCTGAGACAGTTTCCGTCTGTGCCCATAGTGCAGCTCAGTGGTGGTTATTTTAAAAAGGTGCGTGGACAGAAGTTTATATTAGAGCTTGTCTCCGTCTGCATTCTTTAAATCATGGAACACATGCCGCTATCATTTCGTTGTCTTGCTTTTTTGTACTCAATTTCGGCAAAGTTTCTGTCATTATTTAATTTTATTTTTTTATCAATAGGTGAAGGATTTCTTGAATCGGTTTGAGACCATTCCCGATTTAATTGAACTGGATCATTTGACAGTGTCTGGTGACGTCACGTTTGGCAAAGGAGTGTCTTTGAAGGTAGGTCGTCACACATGGAAGGATGGTCTTCACAATGTGTGCCAAATTGTTAAGTTCAAGTGTTAGTTTGTACAAATTTTCCCTACATCGCTCAGTCAACCTATCGTAAATTCCATCGTTGCAAGGCAAACATTTGAATGGATCTGATTGCACCCGTAATTTGCGAGCATTTGCACAATATTCTCTTGGTGAAAATTATTGCTGCCATCTTTGTTACGGCAGTGGAAGGCAGGGGAGGAAAATAAATTTTTAACAATGGGGTGAGCCACGATCAAAAAAAAAAAAAAAGAGAGAGAGAGAGAGGGGGTGTGGCAGTGAAGTCTCCTCGACTTCTCTCCCCCCACCCCCTCCACCCCCGCCCTCATCCTTTCCACTGCAACTCTCCCCTCCCCTCCTCATCCCTTCCACTCCAACACCGTCCACTCCAACTCTAAATCAATAATGGCCTTTTGGATATACAGTCGCAAGCTTGCAAGGCCAATGCGCCCTAAAAAGACGCCTGCATGACAGGCTTGATTGTGCCTGATGATTTTGTGGTGTTTTATTTCGTTTTTTTCTTTTTTTTTCTTTTCATTTTAACAGGGAACAGTTATAATCATAGCCAATCATGGGGAAAGGATTGATATTCCTTCAGGTTCACTTTTAGAAAACAAGATTGTTTCTGGAAATCTGAGAATTTTACAGCATTAACAAACAGGAAAAAAGCTTATTACGTATTTTATCAGTTACCGATAATGTTGACTGTGATTTTTCTCGTTATATTAATCGTAAAAAATATTTAGCCTGTGTTTAACTGTCAGTTGGAGTAAACGAGCGAGAAAATGAGCGCGCGAAAAATGGCCAGCAAGCTGATGCGACGGTGGTGTTGTCAGGGAAACGACTGTGTTGCAGTTTTTTCGCGCGCCCTATTTTTCGCTCGTCTCCAATGAGCCTGGGATAGACTGAAAAATATTTCGTCTGACTCGTGACGCTACAGGTGCGATTGCGTGATGCCGTGTTAGGAGTAACGTTTTCTGCACTGTGTTATGAAGTGTGGTTTGTAATTGTTAGTCAGTGTCTAGTTCACATAATAATGGGTAAATATTGATTGTAGTAGTTTATTTAAGGTTTCTAGCAACTGTTGTAAAACAACATATGACCAAAATATCGAGTGCATTGACGTTTTCAACATTACCTTTAAACATCCTTACAAGGCGGGTTATGATACGGAGTAACACTAGTTATTACAGTGATCAGGGCAATCGTAGTTGCTTCATTTGGGTACCTTCAACACTTGCTAGTTTGCATGCCTAGCGGTGATCTGCTCTAATTTTTTCCACCTTTTACAACGAGCGACAAGATTCAGAACAAGATCACGAACAACATTCTTGTTTCTTTTTTTTACCTCGATATCAAGTCAAGCTCGTTAGTTATGACTCTTAAAAACCATGACACAAGGAGAGGACAAAATTTGCTTTGTGAGGAAAAATTATTACTTAAACTGTATCTGTTGCATGAAGCCCATTCCCTCTCATTTCACCTCATGTCCTCAATACATTTAGAGGATGAGGCAGAATTTGGCAAGAATTTCACCCTTTCTCGATTAAAGCTTTCTATTATCTGTTGACATCGGCAAAATCTTGGGACCTTGAATGTACGTGGAAATCACATAAATTGTGAACAAATTCCCTACATATGGTAGTAGTGATAATATATTTAAGCACACTACTTTATTTCTCTGCTTTTGAGAAGATGTAGGCAAGTACTTAGCTCGGAATTTGGGAATACAATAAAGTTTATAAGTTCATGTACATCGATTTTTTACTTTGTTTTCTTCATTGAAATTTGACCCATGTGTTCCTTCTTTACACATAATCATCCTTCAAAATCTCCCCTCTTGAGGATCAGAAAGCCAGTTCGTTTTCGCGTAAGGTCCATTGTAATGCTCGATATAATTTCAGTCCTTGTTACAGCATTTCTTGTTAATCCTAGGCTGGGCTACGCTCGATTGGCTCGAGTACCCTCTTTTTCTCAGTTCCAGTCTTCGAACCCTCTCCCTTTCTCTTCCCTTCCCCCCCCCATCCCTCCCCTGGCACGGGCACAGTATGCACAGAGAAACCAACGGGGCGCCAGAGGCATATGCGCCTTGCGCCTCAGAGGGTCCAGAGACACAGCCACACTAGAAAAGAAAAGTTTCTTAATAATTCCAACTTATATGGAAGCTACTCACCCAAGGAATCACAAAGGTATTGCTTTAAACATTGATCAACTAAGAGCGTATGTTTTGAAAGTAACTCTTTTACACTAACACATTCTACAAGAAGGTGACGTGAAGATAGAAAGGTACAATATTAATCGGGGAATACTGCTTGATTTAAAACCAATTTTTTTCAGAGACCACACTTGAGAGAGAGAATTGATACTGAAATCTTGATAGTTTAGGCGTTAAAAATGTTCAAATTTGATTGATACGGAAACATATTTGAAACTTCAAAGTGTAATCACGGTAAACTTACCGCTGTTCTGGCAAGTTTTCGCGGTAAATGCCTTTGTTACAAAATTTACAAAGGCAACTAAGAATATCACTAATGATTGAAAGAAAATGAAACGAGAGCGAACGAGACTATTTTTTCTTGAAATTTGTTTTCTTACATTGATCTTGGTCTTCCGTTAGAGTACTATTCCTGTCTTACTCAGCAAAATGTTGTGACTTTTTATATACGAACCTCCCAGAAAAGTCTATTACGTCACTGTCGAGGACTTTAAACTGACCAATAAGAGCACACTTTTTTTGTATACATAAACGGCCGCCATCTTGGTAAACATTCAGACAGGTGAAATAATGGAGGGATTTTGACAACTGGAAAACTTTCCCTGAAAACACTTGGTGGGAAATGAGCTTGGGAGAAATTGTCACCCTCAATGTTGGTGGAAGAAAGTATGTGTAATTCGCTGCAATTTTTTATTTTATTGTTGTTTTAAAATAGGCAAAGAACCTTTGGTAATGATAAGGGTTGTTACTTTGCGTGTTGCTATACGTCAAACTCCCTATTTTGCTTTAGAATGGTACTTTTATGCGATAGAGACGAAACAGTTTTTGTACAAACAAAATTAACCATGAAATTATCAGTAATCAGTGGAAATTGAGCTCGTTAAGCTTCAAGCTGGTAGACAATTGGAATTGTACAGAAAAATATGAAATGTCTTTTTCAAAATAATTTCTCGATTGATAGGAGCTGAACTAATTTATGGAAGGTAAAGGTTACGTTCTAGGTTTTCCTAATTAATTTATTTCCTACCAGAAATTTGAAATCAAACCAATACTAGGCTATTTTGTTTCCACGCTAACAGCCTGGAGTATAAGACCTGAATAAAGATAATTTTGAATTAACACTTACAATATCAGCCATCTTATTAATCCAAAGAACCTTTACTACTGTCTTCAGTTTACATATATAATTTTGGTGAATCGACTCGTCGCTGAGTGATTGTAATTTGTAATGATTATACTTTTTTTCATATTAATTCTGAAACATGTTGAACTTCTGCAGATTCTCGACTTCTAAGCAGACACTGACGTGGATTCCAGACTCATTTTTCTCTAGGTAATTGTTTAATTTCAATTAATGGGAAGTGTACAGAGGTGCACGGCTACCAAAGACTTTGTTCTCTCTACAAATGTTCGTATTGACTTACTTACATCATATTGAAAAGGTGAATCCCAGCCATATGACCTGCTGATAACTTTATTTATGACAGAAATTGATAGACTTGCTCTAAAATGACAAGAAGTTCAAAAGCTTTCTTTTTTAGAAGCCTCATTTATACAACTACCACATTTAGATGACTACATTTTAAGTCCATGGTGGGATGATGGTCCTGCTAACTCTGCTACGTAGCTGTTTCCCTTCTTGGACCATCCATTTATAGGGAATTGGAAACTTGGAAGGTGTTTCTAAAATTAACCAACATGTCACAATGGTTTAACTTTAATGTTGGCTCTATTACAGTGCCATAATTATGTAATGTCACAAGTATGTTAAAATAGAAGTATAAATGGAACTTTCTATTCATGACGAATATTCGTGACCACTCATAATAAAGAATTAACAATGAATAATATCAGTTATCACAAAACTGAATTTGAATTGTTGTTTGGTCATTTTGTAATATTGTAAGCTGTTAGTTCCAGATGTTGACCATTCATTATTTTTCTTTTTAGTTTACTAAGTGGGCGAATTTCATCTCTAAGAGATGAAACAGGAGCGGTAAGTGCTGTGGCCTTGCAATTGTAATTTCAACAATCAAAATCCTAATCATTGTGGAGATGCCAACCATACCATTTGCTAGGACTCTGCTCAATGTCAACCTGCAACATAAATAACTTTAAACAATTGACTCACTGGGAATGTGGTTTATAAATTTGGAACACAGTGCTCAGATGACAGTGACTATTTTTATATGTCCACAAACAAAACAGATCAAAATCAAAGATATAACTTTGCCAATTGATTGAAACTGACCAATTGTAGCTGACATACTTTATGTGAGTCTTCTTACTTATAACATTTAGAATAGACTCTCCTATCAGTGCTCAGCAGTCACTCTTTAAACACTTGACTGGACCATCATAATACCAAGTTAACTGTTACTCTCAGCTGAGTCTAAACCATGTACTGTGCTACTAAACAAATTGTCAGCTACATTTCTCTTATCATATGGTACTTGAAACTTCCCTTCACTCCACCATTTGTCTTTCTGTCTTATAGTGTTATAGCTCATGAAAGGTTCATACTAATTACTGTTACTCTTTCAAAAATAGATATTTATTGACAGAGATCCAGAAGCCTTTGTTCCCATATTGAACTTTCTAAGAACCAAAGAACTTGATGCAAGGTATTGTATTTTCAATACAATTTCATTGATTATGTCCATGTAAGATCTGGGAAACAAACCCCATTTGCACAAAAAATAATAAAAGAAAAATGTATCAAATGTAGAAGAAGAAAGTAAGAATTTTGGAAAGTTTTCTCATGTTGAACCATTTTTGTTTTTATTTCATGCTGTGAAATATCAGTAGTGGATTTCAGAGTTGAAGCTCTGGGTTTAACTTTGTTCACGATTTGCAGATCTTCTTTGACAGAACTAGCTGATTGTCTAAAATAATGGACTCTGCCATTCTTGTTGAAAATAATTAATAAAAATTGTAGAAAGAAATGGTTTATATTACTTGCAAATTAACCTGTGAAGCATTTAAAAACAAACAAATATATTAAACTAAATATTTTTTGCTTTACAGAGGGTTAGACTTAAGGGTAATCAAACATGAAGCTGAGTTTTACGGGATCACTCCTCTAGGTAAGATTGAACAAATTAATGACATTTCAACCATAGACTGGGTTAAATAATTTGTTAAAACATCAAACAATGAGGTTAATCAATTAGACTTGAAAGGTAAAAATTTATCCTTGATATTATTTATGGTTTATATATATACCAAATAGAATTAAAAGATTGTGTTCTTAGAATGATCTTAGGTGACCTGAGGTCGGCGGTCAAAGAATCTGAGCTTTTATCAATAACATAAACTTTCATAAGTCATGTAAAGAAAAGTTTAATTAAAGTAGGTCACCCATGGCATCTAGGCTCTGCCAGAGCATGGGCTTGAATTGTATGTTTTACACCAAGTGATGCAAGATACAACTTTTGAATTCATTTTCATTTGGTTCATTTGTTTTGCAGCCAAGAGGTTAGCCTTATGTGAAGAGGTATCCAATTCCAAATGTGGCAATGTGTTGTTCCATGGATATCTCAACACTCCAGGTAATGGGATTGTCAATTAATTCCCTGGGTGCCCACCAACAAATATCTGGCATATGGTCAAGCTATAAACCAGAGAAATTACTTGCTGACAAATTGGTACAATGATATATGATCTGGGAATACATATTTTGGGAATGTATAATATCTGGTGTTCACAGTTCTCTGAGTTTGACAGTAGATTTATAACAGTGGGACTGTAAGCCATTCTGAAAATGATATGTATTCTAAACCTTTTGTTTTTGTTGCATGAAGTTTGCAAAGAATTCCAGCTGGGTGGCTTCCACTAATTTTTTGTTGTAAAATTACAAAAAGTAAACTTTTTTATGTTTATTGCATTTGCAATAATTTGCAAGGAGGTTGTTTGTAACAAGCACACTTGGTACACTGTAAGACACTGTGAGAGCAAATTACAGGCAGTGTGTGAATTATGCTGCATTTCCTTGTGCTATATTTGGTACTTCTTCAGTATTTTTGCAGTGAAGGCCTCATTACTGACAATAGTAGGAAAGATGGAGTACCAATAACTTGGCAGAAATAAAAAAATACAAGCATATACTAAGATAACACATCATGAAAATAAGAGTTTAAAACAAGTGTTTCCATGGCTAATCAGGGGAAGGATAAGCGTGAAGACTGCTGAAATGATGAGGTGTTGCTGTGACATACTTGTGCAGTTCAGATGAAAAGTGTTTTCACATTTTAAACAATATACTTTTCAGAGTTTCCAGCTCCTCCTGTGTCAAGGCACTCATCATCAGCTGCCCTCACAAGGAGAAGCTCTACATCAACTGTAATAAGCACCTCTCGTTACGAACCTGACACTGCAAGCTACCGAGATGTTGGTGTCAGAGAAGTTCCTGATGATAATGAAGGTGCTGTTGTTATGGGTGAGTGTCTTTTTAAATAGGAAGGTTGTTACAACAGACTGCTGATGAGCTTTGCCAGACATTATTGAAATGATGGCGTTAATGATTGTCAGTGTTTTGTTTTGCAAAGTCATGTATTTATGATTCCCTCCACAGATGTAGACCCAAGGAAAGTGTTGATGGTGATAGGACACCACAGTTTTGTTGCTGTAGCTTTTGCACATTCTGTTTTTTGTTACCGGTGAGTGGCCTGAAGGTTCCTTCTCATGTTGTCAAAAGGCTGCTCTTTGCTTTACTAATTGTGCCTCTGTTTTTTTGTTTCTTTGTTTTAGATCCAAAGACTCGGTTGGCTGGGAGCTTATTTTCTCTACTCCTTATCTGCATAACACTGTGGAAAGAATGGCTTTGAATGCAAAGGTGTCATCCAGTTCTTTTGGAGACAAAATGCTGGCAGTTTCATCAGGTTGGTTTATTAAAACTTTTTAAGGGTGTTGAGGAACACGTAATCAACTCAATATTACCTCAAGATAAAGGAAGATTAACATATTTATAACAAGCAGGGACAAAGAAAAACCTGAGTCTCCTGTGGGTTTCTAACCTCAGCTAATTGTACTGGATACTCTACCAACTGAGTTAAGTGTAATAGGCACACTTTCATGAGACCTCGCAGGTTTGATGAGAGCGTAAGTGTTTTGAACTGACCTAGTATTAAGTTGTATAACTGGAACCAACTAACTTTGTTTTTCAGAGGGTAGAATTCGGTTATGGAGCTTTAACACAACTGACCACACTCAAGATGTTGTGAAATTTGAAATTGGTGAGTTGTTCATTGCATCTTGTGGTTGCTTCTACAGTGCATTTATATCAATGATAAGGTCTTTGTGGCTGTTCATAATAAGTGTGATTGCTTTTTCCAGTCTGTGGCAGAGTCCAGCATTTCAGATTAAAAAAAATTCCATCTGTTAAAAGGTCATCGTAATAACAGCTATAATTGTTGTATATTTGACACTGGTTTAAGCAATATAAGAAATATGGTTTTGCTTTCTGTTGGGGACAGGGACCTTTGATCTTGGTGTCACTGTAGATGCTCTGTTTTTCATTGGAAGCCAACTTGTAGCCACAAGCCACACAGGAAAAATCGGGGTGTGGAATTCAATGACACAGCATTGGCAGGTATGAAACAATATATGATCATAACAGGGTAATTTAGTTGATGACGTAAATTGACCACCGTAAAGGGTTTAAAAGCTGACGTTTCGAGCGTAAGCATTTCGTCAGAGCGATTGGTGAATTGGTTATTGGCAATCGCTGTGATGAAGGGCTAACGCTCGAGAAGTCAGCTTTTTAACTCTTTACGGCGGCTACATTATCAACTCGATTGATGATAGTAAATTACCCAGTTAAACTATCCCACTGACGCAGCACCACAGTTTCCATAGAAACACACCCCCTTTATTCATATGATCATGTCAGCTTCTTAGATACTGTGATACTACATCCTACTCTGTAGTAGTATTCCTGCATCTTCTTGAACTCTGTTGTAACGTTTTCCTTACTGTCTTTGTTTAGATCCAAGAAGTGACACCGATTTCCAGCTATGACACCGCTGGTTCCTTCCTTCTTCTTGGCTGTACAAATGGCTCTATTTATTACATTGGTACGTTGGGAGTTATTTTCACTTGGTCGCAAGCACTTTTATAACTCAAACTAAACTCTGACTCCGTCTTTAGAGGAACACAGCCATATAACACAGGAAAAACTACTGATCAACAATTTTTTTCCCGAATTCGTTTACAAATCCAACTCGGTATTGATCTCTTGAGTAAGCGAGTTCCCAACATTAACCTCATACAAGAATAGGGGGCCAGAGATGCGCGGAGCACATGGTTGCATCAATTAACTCGTTTCGTTCTCCCTTATCTTAGGCAATATATTGTTTGCTTCACAGATATGCAAAAGTTTCCACTGAGAATGAAGGATAACGACCTTCTGGTTACAGAGCTGTATAAAGATCCTAATGAAGACATGGTGACTGCACTCAGTGTGTATTTAACACCCAAGACATGTAAGTGAACATCCATGAGATTTGTCCTGGAACCTTGTGTCTGCAAATAGAAATATAGGACAAAGTCCTGTATTTTTTGGCTTTTTTTTTTAAAAATTAACTCAAAATAGTTGTTACCAACTGGAAATCTTTGCTTCATATCGTTTGTGTGTCAGGTTTAAGTGGTAACTGGATTGAGATCGCATACGGTACAAGCTCGGGAACGGTTCGAGTGATCGTTCAACATCCCGAGACAGTAGGCCACGGACCACAGCTCTTCCAGACATTCATGGTACATCGGAACCCAGTTATAAAAGTCATGCTAAGTGAGAAAAACCTTGTCTCCATTTGCTCCGAGTATAACCACGTGCGCTCGTGGAACGTGACGCGTTTTCGGGGCATGATCTCCACGCAACCAGGTTCCACGCCCCTCGCATCTTTTAACGTAGTTTCTCTCGAGGCGCAGGACGCTCATCCAAGTTCCTTAGCTGGTAATGGCATCGGTGAGTGGGAATCTCATCACCTGAATTTTCGTCTGCCATGTTTTGGTGAAAGACAGTTTCTAAAGTCGGTTTTTTTTTTTCTCGCAAAAATTGCATTTTTTTTTCTCTTTTTTTGTTTCTAGGCCCCTTCGGCGAGCGTGATGATCAACAAGTGTTCATTCAGAAGCTCGTACCTGACACCGATCACGTGATTGTGCGTTTCTCCTCCACAGGAAAAAGGTAACAAATCTGAGTTGAAATCTATAAATCAATCTAAGCCCACCTCCTCCCTACTCATGGTGCCATATCTAGCTACGCCAGATTTGAAATATTAAACCAGGTGGTCTTTGTACTTTCAAGGAATGAGCTTAGGTAAAGTGATGTTGTCGCTTGAAGTTTCTTGTGTGAAAAAGAACAATCATTTGAAAATTGCCTCGGAACACACGATATTAACAAGAGTATCCAGGCTACTGGCTGAGTGGAAAATAAAAACTTGAAAAATGAAAAATTGTAATCCAGAGGTGATTAGCGTCAATCCAGGGTTAGCCAAACATGCTCTCCCTTTTTTTTTGTGGCTAGAAGTTGAAATTAGGAATTTTACACTAACTCTGGTTTCGCTTACTCAAACAACCTGACCCAGAATCGTCAACACTGGATGGTACTGTCAGTTAAGAAACAACTAGGCTGAGAACTACAAGATAAAAATAGCGTACTTTGTAGAGGTTTTTTTTATGCGGTTGTTTTTGTTTTACAGGGTCTGTACGATACGTTCAGTGGACGGCAGTAACATCACTTCATATTGTGTACATGAATGTGATGCTTCTAGTCGAATGGGATCCAGACCCCGGCGGTTCCTGATAACGGGACATTCGAACGGATGTATACAAGTAAGAAATTATGAAATAAATGCAGAGTGATTCTTCGCTGTGGTTAAATGGGTTTGAAATCATAACAAAGGATATTTCATCGGTTTATCTCAAGGAATAACGGATAACGCAACAAGAGCTTAAACCAAGACATGTTCGAACTTTTGACTTTGGCTTAGAGGATGTTTTGAACAGGAACCAACTGCAGGGGAATGGAGTGTTAAAGGGAAAAAAGGCTAAGAAGTTTTGACGCTCAGAAAAACGCTGATGAAATATAGTATCCATGGATCTTTTAGACATTTATTGTCATATTCATTGTTTCTTACTTAAACCACTTTGCTTTGAGAATATTTCGAATGGCCAGTTGCCTGACGTTACTGTGAAACCGGGTAATCTTAGCTGAGATTTACGGAAATATTCGAGGAAATTAGATTAATACGATCTATTTTTGCGATGATTTAGATGTGGGACTTGACAACTGCTTTAGAAATTGCAACCAAGACCACAGGAGAAAACTCAGGTGAGCGATTCTAATAAGGGACCAGAAAATCTTAGTTAATAAAACTTTTTTTTGAGAAAAGCTTTGGTATGAGGACACAAACTTAAGCCCTCTTAAGGGATTCGAACATAAAATATGCACTCACAGCTAGGATATATTCAGAGTTGCCAAGTACCATTTGTTCGCTCTACTGAACCGACATAGAGCGTTAAAACTGCGCGTAACTTATTTTGTTACATTCGTTTTTCACAGCCGAACGCGACGATATTGGTAATGTCACGCAAGGCGAACTGTTAAGAACATTAGAGCAATGTGACCTCAGTGCTTCACGCTGTACCACTCCCTCCATGTCGCCTGCCACGTCACTGCTGCACACAAATCTCACGGGCTCACGACTAAAGCTTTCTTACTCATGGCCCAGTTTGGGCGAAGATGACCGCGAAGAGGCTGGAGGCAGTGGTGGAAAGTCCAAGTACGGAATTCTAGTGTCGCAATGTTAAAATGTTGGATGTATTGAAAACACCTTACAAATAATTGGGAATATTTACATAATTTACAGCCAGAACAGGCTCTAAACATAAAGTACGGAATATTTGAACCTGACACCTTTGTATTCGATTTTTTTTTTCAATGGCTAGACGCTGAATTCATTAATTGTTCAAAGACTCAAACACGATTGGAATAAAATTTTCCCTTTCCTCGGTTACCGCTTCGGTTATCGCTCAATTGGTCGTCGTCCCCGTGCTTAAAAGAATCCGTCAATTCTTAGTTAAATGGCATGAAAGAGGTAAGCAGTGAGGCAATGAGGCAATCGACCTTGATCACACCGAAGTTAAGTTTTGTTTGTGGGAATCACCACCTGACTTTACTTATTGCTGTCACTCCTACTAATTCTCACGTTAGCAAAAATTACTTTCCTTGTAGTTAACTACCATGTCAACCAAAAACCTTGTTTTAAATGCGAAGGAATAATATTCCACGACTTGCTTTCTGTTTCGACAACTAACGCCAGTAACTCTCTTGGACATATTTGAAAATTTCCATCACTAATGAAAAGGTTATATTTAACACTTTAACTCCCAAGATCTGATAAGTAATCTCCTTCCAAGTGTGATAGTGTTGTCAATTTGGTGTTTTATTAAGATTACACCCTCTAATTGATGAGTTTGTGTCTTCTCGTGACCCATTTGCAGGAATATGTATTGATTGAAAAAGAATTTAAATGCTAATCACAATCACATCTGGGAGTTGAAGGGTTGAGATTAAGTTCAACGTCTCATATTTTGTTGTCGCGACAGTTGCAACTGATTTATAATTCATAGATTGTTGGGTCGGATTTTACATTTTGGAGTTGAAATTCCTTAAATTGTTAGTAAATGACACAGAGCCGGCGTGGCATGGCACGGGGTTTTCCAGGGCGTTTTCTTCAACCAACATGTCACGTTTACTTCGAACAACTGGCATTTACAGAAAAAAGTTGTGAAACTTAATGAAGCCAGTTTGACTTAAGGATAACTTTATTTAAATACTGACTTTCTGATTGGTTTGGTTTCCCATCGCAGAAATTGTTAATTTATTGAAATAAAAATGTGCGATGAACTTAATGAGTAGTTTTTCTCGTGATTTTACGTACGAAACCTGGCAATTCTCCTGAACTCAAGACTTAAATAGTCAGTTCAATTACAGGGACATCCACGTTTAATTGCGCGCAACTGACTTTACATACAAAAGTAACATAATTCGCTGCTAAAATGAGTTCCGAGTGGTAAAATGTTTCTTCACGTCTGGACGAATCCTCCTTCAGACAACTTCCTTTGGGTGAGCGGTGACGACAAATTGATAATTAACACGAGGAAGTTTAGCACTGATATCACAGAGAATCACCATTTGGAAGGTCTGTCATACCAGTGATGACGTCAAAAACGGGCGGAGGATTGGAAGCAGCCAACCTAAATGTCAATAAACAAAACAAAAACAAATGAAACAATTGTTTGTTGAGAGTAAATTAACACTGTACTTAAAAATCGATATTTAAATAAACAGTTTGGTTAAATTGGAGATGGTAAAGAACTTGATTTTGCTTAAAAAGCAGCAAAACTTCGTTTAACGGCCTAGGGTTTCAATAATGTGTGATTTACCTAATCATTCTGTTGTGGCTAAGAACTTTCTTGGGGCCTGGGTTCGGCCGAGCAGCTGGTGGGCGTGGCAAGCATGGATATTGCTGTAACTGCTTCTGTAGGCGAACCTTCTCTTCGGAAAGTTTCTGACTTAAGACTTTCATTTGTCTGTTATACTCCTCTCTTGAAACAGCTGGACCTCTAACTGCTTCGCCAGCTGTTTTTCTCTCCTGTCTTTCCACTTCTTGTGTCCTGTCGTACTCTCTTTTCAAGTCAACATGAATAGTTTTCTCGTCAGAAGAGCGTGCACCTGCAGCATAGGAACGGCCTTGTTCAGCAGCACTATTAAACCAAGCCACGTGACTATGACTGCCGTCAAGCTGTTGGTCGTGGTTGACAAATGTTTCGAACGTGGCGTTCGCACTTGCATGTCGGTCATGTGGTCTGTGAGCAGATCGTGGAGCTTTCCCGTCAGGATGTGACCACGGATTGGTGGAGTCGTCACGGACACTGATGAACTCGTCTACATTGAGAGCGGAGGTAACTTCGACCTCGTGATTGAAGTCCATCTTTTTAAACAATTCGTCCCAGTTACTTCCACTGCGGCCAGAAGTGTTGTGTGCAGAATACTGTCGCGCAGCCTGTCGTTTGGCCAACCGCTGAAGAGCAGAGGTGACTGCATGCTCATCAGCAACACTGAGACCTTTAGTAATGAATTAAATTCATTTCCGTTTAAGATGGTAACTAAGCGAAGTATTAAATTACCTATTACCAAACGGAATTTGTGTTGGGGAAAGCCACAGAAAAATGAATTCTCCCGTTGATCTATTATTAAATGGTTTATATTTGAGCGACGGCAAAAAATATAAATAAAAAGGTTTTTTACGCATGCATCATCACAAGAACTGAGCTGAATTTTTCTAAACTGGGGACAAATTTACTCAACGAAAATATATCACGCCAAAAGTTCTTGTCTTGGAAGTTTTGTTTCAATTTAGTAACTTAAAATCAATCAAGTTTTATCAAACCTTTGGGCTCATTGTCTGATCCTTGACTGAGGCGTCGGACTGGTGCCGAGGAAACGCGACTCCGCTGGACACTGTGAGTATGAGCTGTAAACACGTTGAACAAAAGCATGTTACAATAGCACGTGTTCGATATATCAAGACAAGAGCTACGGAGACTGATTCAAGTTCAACAGATCAAAAAAATACGAGATTATTTTTCTTGAGAAGTTTGGCAGTAAACCTCGCCTTCGTGTACTCGACCCAGACCTCTAGGTTCGCTTGCAAGAGATCTTTACCTGGCACAAAAACTTAATTTTCTCCGAGCTTTAAAAGTCCTGAGTAATCAGTTAAGCAAACAGTTAAGAAAACACTTGGGTAAGGTTATTAAGAGAGAGAGAGATCTCATCTTGGCAAGTCACATGATCTCTTACCTCCAACCAAGCTCCTAGGGTCACTAGAGTCTTCATCTGTTTTCGTGAAACGTGAGTATGGCTTGGCTGACACAGGACGACCAACCTGATTTATTCTATCAGCTCCTGGTGAAAAATGTGTGAATAAGTTGACACGTCAGCCTGTCTAAAAGTTGGGTAACAGAAGTCTTAAGTTCTACTAAACCTGTTGTGGCGAACTGAGTTAAATTTTCGGAATCTGGTTACTAGCCAATAGGAGACAAGCTATGTCATAAGTATGTCGGGTGGAGTCTCCAGCAAAAGAAGAATTATAATGCATACAAATCAGTTCATCAATTGAACCTTATCACAGAAACATTTTCACCCTAAAAATGAAAAATTAAAAAATTCTGGCCTACCACTTTCAACCCACCTGGTGAACCTGCAACCTTGGCCGACATTGGCCTGCGTCGGGTCTTGTTAAGGGCCACCGAGGTGCCATACGCTGAAACAGCTGTTAGCGCCCGTGCGTGTCGATCTGTGACCATGGGTCCCGTGCTACTGAGGTCCTCTGTGGGCCTGATGAAGTCCCCATCCGGGGTGGGATTTGAGCTGTAGAAACATGCAGAGAGAAATTAACTCAATCCTTAGACAAAGACTAGTTCCTTAGTTGTGACGCGTGAAAAAACAACTACAATCACTGAACTGGGAGCTTCTGACATCAACGAAACAACAAATCGCCATATTTACCTCCTGGAGTACCTGTCTCCTTCTTTTCTCCTGTGCAGACCAGAGTCGTTTGAAGGTGCCCTAATTGAACTCTCCTCCGAGCTCCTCTCTGGCCTGCCTCCTAGAAACACGCTGGCGTTTTTGTTCAATTTGGTATACGTAGTTAAAAGATCTTCCAACTCTGTCTCGCTGTAGAAATGGAGCAATCAAGTTTTTTCACATTTTTTCCTCGTAGTTAGAATCTTCAGATCTCTTTCAGAATGCATCCTTACCTTGCAATTGCCATAAAGACCTTTAACTCTTCATCCGGGATTTCACCGGTGAAGGAGTTGCTTCTTGATAGCCCATACGTGCGGTTGAGTTCTAGTCGCTTTTGAAATTGCATGGTCTCCTGTTGACAAATATCATTTCAAAAGCTGTAAAATATAGACAAGATTGTACTTTCAATTTCTGTAAGGTTACTGTACATTTTCTGGTTCTTGGGAATGGGTGTCATATCACACACCGCTTTAGGTATGATCAGAAGCCTGTAAACTAGCTGGTTTGGATGAATAGATAATGAAAGGAGAAAACAGGATTTGATAGAAAAAAAAAAGAGAAAAAAAAACGAGGATGGTGAAAAGACGTACGAGCACTGACGCATTTCCATAAAAAAATATTTTAATAAAGAGAAGTAAACCTTTCCATAGACGCGGACGAAATCCCCGAGTTGTTTAGCCAAAATTCTCCGCCTGAAAGAAAAGCAAAAGCGCATGAACACACTTCTTCCTTGGACAACAGATGCAAAACGTTCTCCGCACTGAAAAATTCACATTATCAGCTCACCAGCTGAAGACTTAACCAAGCCTTAGCTGACTTGAATTTTGTATTTCGAAAAAGGTTAACCCTCACAGACGAGTCTTAACTACCTGGTACCTACATAAGTGGATCGCTTGGCGCAACAACAGGCCGCTGTTCAGGAAATGAGCCCGAGCTCATCCCACGACAGCACATTCGGAGAAGAATAAAAACTGAACTTGAGAGAGCGGGTCGATAACTAACAGTCAAAAATGTTAAATAAAGTGGTGTGCTGAAATTTTGACGACGACTGGCCTTCTAATCAGCCTTTGGCTTCAACTCGTTCATTTGAAACTAACTGAATTTCCTCTAAAAAGACGATCGTTTTTTCTTCAAAATTTTCCCAAGATAATCATCGGTCCAAGCGGTATCTCACCTGTCATGTAACGGTAACTTGTGGCTCGGTACAACAACTTTGAAAGGCTGTTGTAAATTGCTCGCAGCCTTTTTCAGGAAACGAATCACCAAGTTCTGAAAATAACAATACGAAATGAAAGAGATTCTCCTATTCTCAGTCTCTGCACAACATGAAAGGGAAGCTGTGTAGTGATATCGAAGGGAAAAAAGAAAAGAAGCAAGCTGAACGTTCTTTTTGTGTTGTAATACCGCTACAAAATTTAAGCTTTTATTGAGACATTCAATGTAAACTGCACAAACCATTTGGTCGTCTTGTTTGGATTCTCTACTATCTCTGGAATCATCTGAGTCATAGCTAACAAAGAAAACAAAAGAAAAACGTAATAGCTGACATCTTCACCTCCCAGAATCTGAATATGTTCGGCTAAATTAGAGAAAATTCAATAAAATTTGTCCAGAAACAATCAACAACGAATGGCGAAACAGAAGAGATGAACTCTAGACCACCGAGAAACAACCCAATTGAGTGGAAAACTTGAAGGCGTGAATCTGGAAGCTCCCGTATGCAAATTTGGCGCCTTGAGCCACACAGGAGTGTTGCCCCCCTAAAAACATGCCAGTAATTACAAAACGGTGCAAATATAATATTTTCAGCCAGAAAGAGGCGCTTTCTCGGGTTAAATTAATACCTTGTCTCGTGCATCAGTCTTTGTTGAACTCTTTGTAAATACATTGCAAATGCCTGCCTGGCTTGCAGCTTCCTGTAAGTATAAATACAACACCTCCGTCACTCCCTTCAGAGAAGGCGAGATTCACAAGCAGCCACAGCATATCAACCAAAACTCAGGAGGAATTTTCAGCAGAATGAGACACCAAGCACATTCAAACTTCATGTTTAAGTCTGCAGTAGCCATGAACTCCATAACTGTACACTACAAACTCGAACACTTACGTCAGGGTTTCCGCCTTTGCCATGATTTCGTCCACTCTGATTGGTTGGTATCGCGGCTGCGCAGACAAGACACGTTTTGACACTGTTTCGCCGCTGCTTGGTAGTGGTGGCTTCTGCACACGCGTGGCTTCCTGGAAGGGTCTTGGTTGAGGGCCTGCTGAGGACACTCGATACGGCGGTGCCTTTCCCTCTGAGTCCAATGAGGGCTTTGATCCTAAAAGAAGAATGAAGGAAAAAAGTCGAGTATCCTCTTCCACCTGAACTACAGAGAACTCAAAAAGGAGCTAGGCCTTCATTAGGTTTTTTCGTGACAAGCGTCCTTGATACCGCTAGCATCAGCAATTTCGTAAAAGTCCTTTGTGATAATGTTGCATCGCATTGATCGTTGTCTTTTTAACGGAGTATTATTTCACAAAGTGCTTACCAGACAAAAGTAAAGAATTTGATAAGTTAGACTACGAGTCGGCATCGGGAACGAAAACAGTCCTAATCAAGCGATTGAACAAAACAGTCGCTGCGCACGCGCGTTAGCTGAGTTGTGATTATTGGCGGAATTCATACAGTACTGACCAATAAGAAAGAAGCACAAGTCACTCAAACATACCTCCAGGATAAGAAACCGATTTTCCTTCCATGTAATTCGTCACCACTTGTCCATCGGGGGTCGTGCGTGCCGTGAAAGTATCACGAGTTTTCTCTGACATCTCTTGACTTGTGTTGGGGGTACCTTAAATAAGTCACGTGACGAGAATTCAATAATGTCTCCACAAACAGTATAAAAACAGATGTGGATTGATTTTGTTAAGAAATGTGGAGATATCACAAAGTATTAGTTTAACGCCAAAATTCCCCACATCGACATTTCATTTATGTTACAATCAACACAATAATTATTTATATCAAAACAGAGTAGCATTAAATAGCACGCTAAAAATCTATAAATGCAAAATTCTTCCTCACAAACATGTCTACGGCTTTTTTCTTCTAAAAAACGGCTCAGAACTTAATGTGTTCGGACTAATTTGCAACTTGAGCTCAGAGCAGTGGCATTTTGACAACATTACGCAGTGTTTTCGCACATAGTATTCCTGAGAAAAATTAAAAACTTTCATATAAGCGCAAAACATTAACATTACTTGCACTCGGAGTCGTACTGCCAAGGGCTTTATTCGTTCGGAGGAGAGACGGACTCTATTGGATAAGGCAAAAGAAAATGTTATCTTTACGTTTTACTGCTAGGGTCATGGGGACAAATCAGGATTAACGGAGCATCTTAAAATTCTGATCGATTATCCTATACAATACAATACAATATTTATTTGCCATATACGACATTTACACATGGAAAAAAAAAAATGAAGAAAATTGATGACAGAAAATAAATGGCGAGAAAACCTGAAAGAAACCACGAGGCTTATAACAAGTCAGGCTTTCTCACTTAAAATAACTAATCTTATATTAGAATTACAATATGGACTTATGGTAATTAACTTTGACCGCGCACACGTACACACACACACACGCACACACATATTAACTAAGTTAGTTAAGAATTACTGCCTTACAGAAGCTAATACTTAGAGAGAAGAAATTCCTTAAGCTTTCTTTTAAAAGAAGCGGAGGAGGGAGAACTAGTTATGTCAGAATTTAACGAATTATAAAAGTTTGGACCTTGAAAGTAAATTGAAAACTTCCTGGTGTTCGTTCTGCACAGTGGCAAACGGAAGGACTGAGCATTCCTAGTATTGTAATTGTGGATTTGACTATTCAGTAAAAAAAAGTTATTGAATTTGGAAGGAGTGTAGAGTTCTTGAATGAAAACATAAAAGTACCTAATTGAAACGAATGGATATCATGAAATTTTAAGAGTTTAAGTTCCTTTAAAATAGGGCCAGTATGGGCAATGTATGTAGAATTGCTTACTATTCTTAACGCACGTTTCTGTAAGGTTACAATTCTTTGAAGGTTTGACTTATAGGTACCAGCCCAAGCTAAATTGCAATAATACAAATATGGAAGGATCATAGAATTGTATAAAGTACGAAGGGAGTGAGTAGAGAAAAAACCTAGATTTATGAATAATACCTATAGATTTGGATAATTTATTTGCTGTTAAGGATATATGCGATTTCCAGGTCAAATTGTCGTCTAATAAAACACCCAAAAACATGGTCTCAGAAACACGAAGAATAGGCTGCTCATTTATGAAAACTTGAAATTCAAAGGATTGCTTCTTTTGCCAAGGCTTGAATACCATAAAATTGGTCTTGGCTAAATTCAAGGAGAGCCGGTTTGCTGCAAACCAGGTTGACAATTTGTTTAATTCTCTATTTAATGTGTTAATTAGGTAAACAGGGTCATTATGGGAGATAAATAAGTTTGTATCATCAGCAAACAAGATTGCATCAAGCAGGGAAGCATTGTTCAAATCATTAACATACAGGATAAAAAATAAGGGACCAAGAATAGAACCTTGAGGCACCCCACAGGGAATCCCCTGTGGGGCAGATCTAACGTTATTAAATTCGACAAATTGTGTCCTCTCAGAAAGATAACTTTTGACCCATTCTAGTGCCAGACCACGGATCCCATAATGATTGAGTTTTTCAAAAAGAATGTCGTGATTTACCGTATCGAATGCTTTCGAAAGATCTAGGAATACTCCAATGGCATGTTCTTTTCTATCAAATGCAGAAGAAATTTTGTCACACAAATCGATAAGCGCAAGGCTAGGAGAGCGATTTTTTCTAAAGCCATATTGATTATCACATAAGACATCGGAGTCATTGAGATAATTCATAATACGGTTGTAAATTATTCGTTCCAAAAACTTTGAAAAGCACGGTAGAACAGAAATAGGTCTGTAGTTGCTGAAGAGAGCTTTGTCACCTGATTTAAAAATAGGTATGACACGAGCAATTTTCAAATCATCCGGAACGATACCATGAGTAATGGAGAGATTTACAATGTGTGTTAATGGAGAGGAAACGCTGCATATAGATCGCTTTATGATAGACATAGGGATATTGTCATACCCAGCCGATTTTCCCGCCGGAAACGTAGATGCGATATCTATAATCTCCTCCTGAGTTGCTAAATTTAGGAACATTGACTGAGGGAAATGACCAGGAAGAAAATTCTTATACGAGGTCGTAGGTTGAATTCGTTTAGCGAGGTTTGGTCCAATATTGCTGAAGTAATGACAAAATCGATTAGCAATCTCCATTGGGTCAGAAATATCTTGATCATCAATCTTAAACACAGAGTTGGGTTTAGGTCTCAATTTCTTGCTGTTTAGTACCTCATTAAGCAGACGCCAAGTGGCTCTTATATTGGATTTTGACTCGCTTAGCCTCTTATCATAATATAAACGTTTCGCGATTCGTAGGGGAGTGATTCAGTTTGTTCTTATAAGTTTTATATTTCGCTTCGTTCCAGAGAGGGGGTTTGAAATATACTGCTTGTATAGTTTGTTTTTCTGCTTGACAGATTTAAGTAAGCCCTGGGATATCCACGGTTTCCTAAAGTGAAGGCGACGCTTAAGTTTCTTCAAAGGAAAATGTGTTTCGTAAGCTTTTAGTGTATCGCTCAAGAAATTTGCTGTAGCAGATTTTTAGGATCATTATACCCGTCTATATTGAGCCAATCAATACAATCTAATTCCTCTAGGAAGTTGGAAATGTTTAGCTCGCTTTTGTCACGGACAAATATGTTCTCTTGGTGTTCGCGGGTACACTTATGATCGAAGCAAATGGAAAAGATAGGCAGATGGTCCGAAATATCCGTTATTAATAGTCCAGACTTCAAATAACTGTGCTCGACATGGTTAGAAAAAATGTTGTCAATCAGAGTTGCAGTGTGAGAAGTAATTCGGGAAGGTAACGTGATTAACGGAAAAAACAGGTGAGAATACAGGCCATCTAGGAATTCCCCGGTGGCGTTGTGGTTTTGATTTTTTAGCAGATTCAAATTAAAATCTCCCATTATATAGCATATCTACCCACTTAACAATTTGTTGCGCATTCACGAACTCTCATTTCACATCGGAAAAGTTGTATTACATACCCAACTGTCAAGTTTTCTCTCGTAACAAATAAGTCTTTCCTTGATACCAAGAGAGACATCCCCTGAAACCTGATAAAAGGGATAAAAATACTGGAATTAAAATGTGATTTCTTTCTCTCGTTAACGAAGTTTTTTGAATGGCGAGGATTTCTAATCCTGAATTTTTTACGCCTCTTAACTGCAATTGCTTTATTTGCTTGATTTTCATCCACATGTCAAATTTATTTCGTTACAAGTTTCTAAGGATATAAAATCAACTTTTGTATAACACAATTTTCGAAACCGTCAAAACTATACAATAATTGACTTAAAACAAAAGCGACTTGTCTGCTTCTTTCTTAAATCAATTTATTTATTTAATAATTTTTTCCTACGCTAACAAAACTTTCTGTACTATCTCAGAACTTATCTCCAAACAATGTAATGCCACTCGTGTAATTATAAATGAATCTATTCTTACCTCAGGAGGTTCAACTATCACATTAACTTTAGACTGAGCAGCTCCGTACGAGGCTATGCTCCTGAAAATGAATGAGATGTCAACACAATTGTAATGATGGGATAATTCGCTAACAAGACTCAAATTTTTTACATTGTAAAGAGGCAAAATCTGTCCTGCCAACCTGACTTAAATGGACTCTCCTTGACTAAAATACTTCCTCGTGAAATCATGATTACACGTACTCTTGAGTTTAAACATGAAGACAAATATAAAGCACTAGTGAAACTTACCTTGCCCTTGCACTTGCCGAGGAAAAGCTCGCTGTACTGGGTCTTTGAAGGGAGGATTTTCTGTAAAATCAGTGTTTACCGAATTAATTCATACCGAATTGTGTGCTCAGGGGCGTTTTGAAGTGTAGCTACTAACTGCTCATTATTCCACCGACAAAACGTAAGACTTATGGAGACCGGACGTTCAGTGCTGCAACGCCAAGGCTATGGAATGAATTGTTTCTTAGCATTCGAAAATCTCCATCAATAGTTAGAAGAAGAGCTTGTCTTTTAAAAGAAGCCTATCACTTTTAAAATCGATTTTGACATACATATTTTTGTTTTGCTTTGTTATTTTATTTAGTTTTTAACGTAGCACTATGATTGTAAAGCGCTATGGAAGATTGGCTGAATAGCGCCATATAAATCCATATATTAAGTGTGGATTGGTCAAATCAGAAAATCGTTCCAAATCTAAAATCAAATAACTAGATTAGTTTACCTTCCAGGAAACAGTTTTGAATGCAACATATGATTGTGGGTTGTACGATGCTCTAAAAATGACCTAAAATGAAAGAAAAATATATCAATAACTCATAAAATGAAGAAATTTATTAATGTTAGGAATATTTTTCATTATCTTTCGGGATTGCTGAACAGGTATAAAATCTTTCTGCTTCAGCGTGCAACTTCCGATAAAAACTGGTCCTTACAGATATGTTTAAATTTCCCCTCTACCCCAAAACAAATGCGTGGTATTTTTCATCTGTCCTCATTTTCTCATCAAATCCACGTGTTTTAGTAAAGAACTCTGCACACGTTGCTTACCCATAGAGCTCCCAGGAGTCAGGGGAAGGGAAAACGCGGACGAAACCACCCCTCCTGGAGAATTCTTCGCGCGTGTGACGTAATATTCTTGCTTCCTCTGCTGACAAACCATCCTCAGTTTTTCTTCTCGTTCCTGAAGACAAGGGTCGTGAGTTTGGCATCACAACTCCACCAGCTGTGGCTGATCGCTGCCTCTATAGAAATACAAAATGGTTTTTGAACGAATATTGTTAAAGATAATCAAAAAACAAATTTTAGGATATGGAGGACTCGAGTTATTGGTACAAAGTCGCAGAAAAACAAGTGTAACCTATAACGGTAATGAGTAAAATAAAGAATATAATTTGGGTAAGCAGGTTAAAGAAATTCAGCTTAAAAAAAACCAATATCAATGAAATTAATTGGTCAGAGGACGGTATTTTCCTTGGTTTTTAACGACCACTTGAACGAAATTCACCGAGGAAAACTTGGAAAACGGTATAGTTACTGAACATTAGTATTGACAATACAAAAGTGGTGCTCGACTTCATGAAATAACCCATCTGTTTAGCATGTTTTTGGTCATTTTTTTTCTGACACAATTATCCAGTTATAGGACTTTGCATTATTAAATTCAGAGGTAAACGAGCTTGTAGTATTGAAATCATGTTAAGCATTCCAAGAGAGGCTTTAAAACCAACCATAAAACGGAGCAAAATAAATCTTTATAGAACAGACATTTTACACGTAGACTTTAATCGTTATGCTGAAGAAAGATGTTTCCAATTCAAGAGATCTGTTACCTGGTATCTGTTTTTTGGTGGATTATCAGCAACAAATCGCCGGTTAGGAAGTTTACGAACCATTGGATCATGAGCTGTAAAACCTACAAACAAACAATTTACTGTCAAGAAGTACATAGAAACTCAAAGCCGAGGATCCAGAATAGACTACGACGATGGTACAGTCAAGCAGGGCTAGTAAAGTAACCACAGCAGCCAATCAGGGGCTGAAAAACCATGCGAGTCACCAACATTCGTTTAAGCCCTGTATCTGATTGGTTGAAAGATGGCATGAGTTTTCTAGCCCAATTGGTGCCCTAGTAGTGTAACAAAGTAAATAAGTAACAGAGTTGGGTGCTGTCTGACACGCTAATGATGTTTTTAATGAATTTAAATTTTGACAAAAGAATACATTCGGCACAATATTACGGAGATGCGAGAAAACTTCTCTTACTGTCACCAGGCATCACTCACCAATTAAATTAAACATGTCCGATACTAGATGAGACTTGATCTTCAGATCCAGCGGCGAGTCACTATAAATATGAGAGTCAAATTGAAAAAAATTAAAAACGAACGAACGAACAAAACACAAAAAATAAACAGGTAAAAGGTACAAGACACATTTACACCACATATCCTAAAATTGTAAACGAACACCTACACAGCTCGTTTGATCCTATTACTCAAATGTTCTCGAAACGTGTTGTTTTACCTTTTTTGAAGCACAACAATAACGATAAAATCGTTAAAATCAATCAAAATACAACTTGAAGAATAAAATGAAATTTTAACTCACCAAGCAAGAGATGGAGATAAATTAACTTCCAGCAACCACGGACGTAGATTTTCGTCCACGAGGATGTCAAAGCCATATATTTCTACGAGATAAGATCTAGGTATCAGCTGGATAATTTTTTTTTCAACCACACTAAATGGTTAAGTTCGTCAGGCTGGGTTGCATTAAATTGGAACATAAAAGAGCATAGAAAGCGAGACAGACACAAAATAACAGAGAGACGGCAGCAAAATTTTTAAATGGTCAAAAAACCTTTCTCAGAGGTTTCTTACCAAAACAGTTTCCTGCATAGGGCATGAACATTTTACAGGCAGAGGCGATGTGAAGCTCTCCAGCAATGATGGTCTTCACCACTACATCTTCTATTCTCATCATAAGAGCTACATGAAAAAAATTGACAATATTGGTGATCCTGAAGTTCACTAACTAATTCTTAATAACTTTTTCTGATTAGTTAGCATACCTTTGGTGTCTTTGCCAATCTGTTTGAGGTAACGCAACATGGCACTCATGCTCCACTTGTTTCCAAAATCTTCAACTTCAGGATCTGGACACCTTAATTACACAAACATAAAGGTTTTCATTGTCTGTTAACAGTTTAAGTGCAACTACTGTTATGTCTACTTATTCCAATTTTTATCTTCAAGTTGCTGAGAAAGTTTTGTTAGATTGTTTTCTTTTTTTTTTGGGAAAGGATACAGACAACCTAAATCATAAACATTTAGATGCAAAGAGAAGATCAGAAATAAATTCATACACCAACTTTTTAAACCTGTAATACGAAATTAATCTCTGTTGGCCTGGAGCCCCTTGCCTCAAAAATGCGGTGTACCAAGCTCTTAAAAATTTTCATAAAAGTAAAGTTGTTTAAGTCACCCATTGACAAAAATTGATTGCCTATGACACTCCAACTTCAGAAAGCTTTGTTTTTTACCACACATACCTGACAAAATCTGCATTTTTCTTGTTGACACTGTAGTTTGTTAAATGCATGCAAACATTCTTAATGTTTTTGCCCGTCCTGTCATATTTCACAGTGGCAAATCTGAAAGAGACAAATCCCAATTATATTTCAATATTGCATCTCTAGACCATATTTATATTTCATACAGTGCATGGTGTAAGAAACTCTCTGAATATCATGACCAACCTTGTCAAACCTTCTTCATAGAGATACACCCTGACAGGATCAAAACATGTCACACCAACATACAGTCGCAGGTCAAACTTAAAACCTAAAATAGAAACAAACAGCTTGTAAATATCAGTCATAATCATTCTATTATAATAGCATGTCACAAATATCAAAATGTCATATAATGAAAACAGAATAAGTCCAATTTGCCTTTGATGGTCAGCAAAAATTTCTTCTCAAAAGAAAACTGAAATAAAGTAATTTCAGAATGTAAAGCCTAAGTAAAAATGCTCACACTTTAACGAGATGTTGAACTTGTGGTTATTGGTTAGCACTCCTATTATATCAATTGAGTAACAAGATCTGAAAGCATTAATTACAGTAGCAGAACTGGTGACCAATTTCAGTAGACAAGACATCCATGATCATGTGTAGCAGTCTTTCCCAATGGCAGGACAAGTACATCAATCTTACCATCAACAAGCAGCGGATTACTGATGTATTTGCAGACTAAGAGATTGTCATCAAGTGGAACGTGGCTCGGCTGGAAAGAAAGATCAACGAGTTCTTTTAGCAAATGTGTGAAATATACTACAGTTTCTAGAATACAGAGCTAACAAAAAAGTCTTAAGAAAATTGAGAAAAAGTCATCTTGAAGAATATTTTTGAGTAGGATCACTCATCAAGAAATAAGTAAGAATAAATAAATATGCAACTTAATCATACTTTTTGTTACATCAGCATACAAACTTTTAGGACTAACAAGAACATATGTATAATGCAAATAGTCCTCAGTAAACTCACATGATTGACTAGATAAATTCCTCTGCCGCGTGAAGAGGCAACAGGTTTTACAATCCATGGCCTTCTGTCCTTTAGAAATGCCGCTAAGATAATGATACAAGTATATAGAATAATGTTTAAAGTTTTTTTTTTAATTGTAAAATGTTGCAATGTTCTGTAATTGCATGTGATCAAAAAATGTGTGTCATCCACAAGATTGACAAAAAAGGTTCATGCACAAGACACATCAAGTGTTACAGATCCTTCTAAACAGTACTTACCATTAAACTCATTAAACTCTTCAGGTATAATATAACTTTCTGGTATGAAATCGAAATGTTTGACGCCCTTAGAAAAAAAAAGCAATAAGCTTATTAGTTTGGAATGGTAGCATCATGCTCACTACCACAAGTTTTAACTCTGAAGATTTTATTTCAGACTCTCGGTCCGTTGTTAGTTGGTTAAAATTGTTTGATGCTTACAACATCAAATTAGATAACAAACTTGAGTTGTTACCTGACAGCTCTGACTAATCCAATCACCTGTTTCTTACCTACTGTCCTGATATTTTAGAGATAGGTTACACATTTATGACAAAGTAAAATAAAGACTGATGATGTAAACAGTACTGTACTTTTGAATGTTGCATTCGTTGAATGTTCTTGTACAACTTGTCCTTCCTGGTCAGTTCATAAGACCTGTTCCAAAACAAAGTGTAATTATAATGTCCAAATTCAAAATAGAACACTCGTAGATGTGGTTAAATTGACATCTACACAGAGGGATCTCCTAAAGAAGCATAGGTTATAGGGGTAACTGTAACTGATAGAGGTGAGAACAAACTATTTCACTGAATTTCAGGAGATTGGGGATTGCAAAGTAATGAGGGCATTCGCTTTGCACTGGCTTGGCCTGTGTTTGACAACTGGGAATGAGTTGTAGCTTCTGTCCATCTTTTTCCAAGGGTTCCCTTTTGGTTTTTCAATTGCTCTGACAGCCTTCACCCAATCTATCATTATTATTTAAAGTATGTGGCACCATTATTAAATTTGACTATTGATACCTTGGAAAATGGTTGATCTTTTGGAAATCCTGGAGACCTCTGAGAGTGTGAGGCTTGATGTGTGAGCCAGTCCACATCAAATTAAAGTTTGAACTGTTAGGATGAACCTGAAGAGGGAAAATTTAAATATGTTTTATAATAAGAAAGGATTTTACCTGTAGATTGATAGAGCAAGTACTGGTAATCAAAACGTGGTTCAAATACAATTGAACAGCTTATTTCATAAAATGTTCCCTAAGTTTAGAATTTACTAGAAAATGCATCTAGTAAGAATCACTCTTTATTCAGTGGTGCATTTCAAAAATTACAAAATTACTATAATTACCCATTAGTATAATAATTTTGATTACCATTTATCCTCAGATCTTTACCTCTCTAAAGCAGTGAACATTCAAGATACTTCGTACAAGTTTGCATTCTGTCTTGACAAATTTGTAAGTCAAATGATATTTTTCTGTTGGGAAGACAGTAACAAGATCAGGTTACTGATAAATAAAAACATCACTAACCCAGATTCAAATGATTTATTTAAGATCTAAAAAATACTCTCATTTACCTAATATAAATGGCTATTTTTGTCTATTCTGTCACTGACTGTTGTTTTATTTTGTATCAGTTCAAGCCTCTTATAGGAGGGAACCTATTCCCTTAATTAGCCTCTGGGTTCTACTGGACTTCCTTCATATCTCTTCTAATAAAAGTCTACATTATTGGGAGTTAAATCTTGACAAATTTAATATAATATTGTGTAGGAATCATGTATGATTGGACAAAAATCCTACTTTTCCTGAAATGGCATTTCTCACAGGCTTAAAATTCTACAACTGAGCTAAACACCAGGCATATCTTAACTTCAATTAATCGTAATCTATGTTGTGTGTCTGAGCTGGCAGCTTTTAAACTGTACCAGTTACTCTGTATTGGTTTACTGGCCATGTTACAAGTCAACTGATCCATTCAAGATTCACACAAAGATATGGCATAGATTGAATATCAATTTTTATAGGAATTCTTGTCACTCTGACTCTGCTGTAGCAATAAAACTAACATTAAATATGAGTTATTTGATTCAAAGATTTTTCTTACCTGCTTCTGCTTTTGATTCTGGAGGCAAAGTCAGTAATAAAACATGGGGAGAGAAATTAATCAATGGATGCTTCTTATTGGGTCCAGTCCACTTAATGATGCTGAAAAGGGAGAGTTAAATTGAATCAATTAATGCTGACGTTAGTACTAACAGCATATTTCAGAGGGCAGGTTCAATCTCAATCAACAAAACTTGGGCGTTGATCAATTCAAGGCTTCAACATCTCCCAACTAACTTTTGATGATTGGTTAGTTCAAATTCTTGGACCAAAAATGTGTTAAAATGCCCTACCCAAGCGCTAGATCCAATGGTCAATTTTCTGATAAAAGGGAGAATCAGTGATTGTGACTTCCTGTTCATTGACCAAGCTTTAAAACCTAAACCAGTCGTGCAGTTTTATCACAGAGCTGTATTATCAACATTGTTACCTAGTTTTTTCTTGCAATTCCTCTGATGGTTCCTCCACTTGAGAAGCCACTGCTATTTCAGCTTCTTCTCCACATTCATCATTTTCTGTCACTAAAGAGTCTGTATCAGAATATCCACCACGTATCTGTGGCCGGGCCATATTTATAGCCTCTTTGTAGCTACTGTTTGATCACTCAAACCTTAATTTGATTTTGTTTTGAAAAGTTTCATAAACTTAATTCTTTGTTTGTCAGAATAACTGCTTTAACACAAAAGTCAGAACAGAGTCACAAAACGGCAGTATGATAATGTTGTGATACATCCATCGAGACAAGTTCCCCAGCTGTTTATGCCTCTCTGCTGAAACACAACTATGTTGATTTAACAGATATAATTTGTTGATATTAGTCCATCAATTAATCTTGCTAAACCTACAACAAAGTAATCATTCCAGGGTAAATTTGTCCAGTTTATCTCTACAGAATAAAATCCCAAGTATGTCTCTTTCCGCTTTACCAATGCACAATGGAAGAATGACGAGAAGAATACAAAGCTTGGAAGAAATTCCAGCGATGCTTACTGAAGCGAGCAGTTAACAACTCTTTCCGTGAACTGTCAAGGCACTTAACAAAAAACCGTGTCGCCAGTAGAGCTCAACTGTTGACCACAAAATATTCGGGCCCAACGACTTTGAATTTGTGATCCAAGGTGAAGAAACTCCTTAAAGTCTAGCAGAAAATAAGCATAAGCTTTTCTACCGGTTTAAAAAAATCCGCCATTTTTATGTACATTCCTCGTTGCCATCCAAGTAAGCAAGGATCTCTGGGAAGGCATCAAATTGCGTGACAAGCTCGCATCGCGTGATCGTCACAAATCGTCTCTTTGACCTTCCACAAAGCAGAAACGTTACTACACGGAATCTTTAAGTCCTCTTTATATGATGGAGCAATGCCTTGACCAGAACCAGGAATTCGTGGATCTGATAACTTCGGAAAGATTATGTGGTGAGTCTTCGAACAGAAGTAGCCCTTCCTACGACGCAAGCGGTAGTTTCCTTGAGAAAACGAAGAACCTTTTTTGTTCTGGCGTGTTTTTGAAGGGCGTCGCTCATGCTGTGGGATTCTGGAATCCCAGAAAAGGATTAAGTGCTTTAATGGCAATAATCGTGTTATTTCTGGATGTTTATTATCTCTTTGAAGCCGTGTACTACGCTTTTCTTTGCGGCTATTTTGAAACTCCCCTCGATCAATGGATGTGTCCAAATGCTTCCCAAAACTCGTCATCAACTCATAACATACCCGTACTTGCATTTCTGCATGGAGTTGAGTTGGTCAATATTTTATCCTTGGTTGCCTGCCTCGCTGTGCTGATGTCTAATACAGCTTTCTTCTGGTGTATGTGGAACACGAAACGTCACACTTCAAATTGCGTGACATTAGAAAAGGCCTACTCCTCGGCAGGTCGGTCATTGTGGGTCCGCCTGAATTGCACCTTGCTTCTGTTTGGTTTCTCTCTCGTGATAATGATTGTTTGGTTTAATTTGACATTTAAAGGACTTTTTATCAATAACTTGTCAATCTCCCTGAGCATAATTCCCCGGTTGGCAACACTAACTAGTTGTTTTCTATTTTCTTTGATCACCAACGCAATGAAGGATTGCGTGACATCATGCCAAGCAGAAGTCAGAAACTCTATCAACAGTAGCTTAGATGACATCATACGCATTCATAAACATCTTTGTGAACAGATCTTCTGTACTTCTGACTCCTTGAAGCCGTGGTTTGTGATTCACTGGTTTCTATTGGCTGTAACAGCAGTCATTTATGTAGCAGACATGGTGGAGTTTTTCCATAAAAATGCTACAGGGTGGTATGATTTCTATCAAGTCACTCTCATAAGTGCAATTTATTTATATGCATTTGTCTACCCCAGCTACTGCGCTGCATCAGTGACTTCAAGATGCAATCAAATGCTCAAAGAACTTAACTTAACTTCGAATGACGAATGGGATACAGGACACCCATTTCATAGCCGCACGCAACTGGCTCTGTTCATTCAATATGCACAGTACACTGACTGTGGCTTCCGAGCAGGCGAGGTCACTTTTGGCTCCAATTTTGCGTGGTTTTCAACACTTATTGCAATGTGTGGAGTTGGCGTGAAAGTTTTGTGATCATGTCACACCACAGATTCAGAGAGAAACAATATGAGGTCAAACTTATCCTCGTGAGCTAAACACGGAAGTGGATTCTTATTGTGTTAGTAATAAGAGTAACGATTGTTGCAAACGAGTCTTGCTTTATTTTTGATTCTCTGAATATTCCACGTGGAGGATATTATGGAATGGTCTCTCCCCCTCAAATTCTCAAAAAAATAAGTTAGCCTTTGTTAGCAACATTCCCTCCCCGCCCACCTCAATGAGAGTCTCCGTCTCCAATATATCCCAGCTTGAATCGATTGCACAAAGTTTTTGTATTTTTAAGCTTCTTTTTTTCTTTAATTACCAATCAATAATCACGTATGAATCATAATACAAAATGTCCAAAATAAATAGCACGTACGAATATCTACAACTGATCAATGATTTGGATTAACTTTCACTCGCATGTATTAGGGAATGGCTTTCAAATGAGTTAAATATATTTTCGCTAAGACCAAGTAAATGTAATACTCTAAATCGACAATGCCGTTCTGAGATTGACGATATGATTGTAAAGTTTTACAGCGGGACCCAATTTTAGGCTCATTCCTTTCATTAACATCTCTGGCGAAAGTGAGAGTAAAGCTTTACCATCGATCTCCTGCAAAATGGAAGAAAAAAATACAACTTAGTCACTGTATGAAAATGCAAGCTGTAGAATATTCCCAGCTTTCTTTTTCCCTTTTTTTTTCTTAACCGTTTGTGGGAAACCAAGTTCATTCTAAGGCTATTTTTCAATTTCAAGGGAAAGGCCTTGAGAATGAGGTTCGTGGGAAGCCTGGGGAAGACAGTTCTAGTAGTCATGTGCAAAATGAAAAAAATTGAACACCTTTCGACTTGTATTTTCAAAATATTATTTTTGCTGAGCGAGGCAGGGGGAGAGTTTATCAAGAAGTTTTTGCCATACTCATCAAGACGTCTTTACCATACTCATCACGAAAGTGCGCGGTTGTTCTCTAATTCAGGATAGGTTCGTTTCAAAGAGAGTTGCAGACCCGGCAGAATATCTGCGAGGATCATTCTCGTCTTTATGAAGAACTGCGTTAAGATCAGTGGTGATCAATTCTGATTGGCTGATACTAAATTGCAACCAATCAGAGGCACTATATGGACCTCTGGCCTGCATGTTACCAGTTTCACTTTCGATATCTCCGAAAAATAGCTGAGAGGAAACTTTCCATGTTAAAAAGCAAACTTTTAACGGAGCAGACGACATTAAAACTACAAAGTTCTTTGGTCAGATACAAACCTCCTCCAGAAAAAGTTCCGCTTTATCCTTACAGTCTGTTGCAGCAATAAAATCTCGCACGTTGTTTGCGTCCCATTTTGTCAACTCCTTATCGCAGATGGCATCAGTTTTTATATACTCCACTAGTGGGGGACTGAGTTCTGACCCATGACTCACTGAAACCACCTCCCTGGGTACCAATCTGGGCCTAACATATATGGACATGGGATTGAAGATGGCATCTTGTGTGCTTGGCGTTTGACTTGGCGTAGAGTCAGGTGTACGGCAAACAGCTGGGTAATGGACTTTCTCTGAAGGGACAGTGGAAAATTTATCATCTGAAGCCATCTGAGAGTCAGTTCTCTCATCTTTTATCATTCGCAAGGGACCTACGTGAGCACCTGTTTTGTGATGTTGCGCGTACGTGTGTGTACGGCCGGGCAAATGAGGCTTTCCTTCACCGCCTAGAAGAGCACCGTTTACGTAAGGTGGATCTGTTTGCGATGTGTTCGTAAGCGTGACAGCTGCACTGCTACTGCTTGACTCGTAACCTGAAATAGCTCTTGCATTCGACGACGCATTGTCTTTGTACAAAGAGGGTTGTGATTGTGCAGGGTGAACGACCTTTCCCTTGCTAACGACACCGGTACACGCACCATGTGTCTCCTTTATGCAAGGCGTGGAGTGTGGAAACGGGTACGACATCGGCGTGCTTGTGCTTCCAACTGACACACAATCGTCGCTTTTATACTTTGACGGGTGGCCTTCAGGGCTTAAGTTTCCCCTCACCTGGCGGGAATGCTGAGAAGTTGCCGGTAAAAATGCATAGGCTGGCTCTCTTTTGTTCGTCTTATACACTGGGACTAGATAACCCGACCGAGGATGCCGAGGGATGCCAGACAAGTGCGATTGCGCCGTTGAATTTGAAAGGTACACAATACATCCGGGATCCAGAGCAACAGATGGTGACGACGTTTGTCCCTTGGCAGCGAAAGAAGGGCTCGTCGTGACAACTGGTGTCGTCATGGACACTGCGGCTGGGGTGGACTTGCTCTGTGGCGTTTTCACGAAGAAGGCGTTTTCGTCTTCTCTTCGGTCCACCAAAGAGTAGCATTGTGTTATTTGAGGCACACTTTTTTCTCCTATTCAAAAGAAAATAACAATTATTTTAGGAAGTTTTTTTGGTCCGTATGATGCATCTTTATCACATGCTGTTTTTAAATTAGTTCTTGATCTCTTCCGGGAGACCATTGTGCAATGGTCTCCTGTCTCTTTTCGTTAATTTATCTGGCGCTAATTTGACTGTCTCTTCTCGAAAGTTTATCGTGTCCAGTTTATCGAGAGCTAACCTTTGACGCTCGTGCCCAGGTCTCCTTGATTGTGGTGCAATATTGTATTAGAATTGCTGGATGTTGAGGTCGTGCCAGGCTACAAAGATAAGAGAGGAAGAGTCAATCGATTTACTTTAACTTCTTCGCTGAAGTAAATAAGCAAATATGTTACCAATAACCATCAAGTTACAGTGCTTGCACAAAATACCTCAACGTTCGAATCTCTGCTGAAATGACGACAGTAACTGGATATCAAGGGGCGGAATTGGGGGGGGGGGGGAATCCCAGGCGTTTTCCATTTCAGTTCAGGTATGGTTAGTGCACTTCGCGCCTGCATGGGCCATGGATCCGAGCGCAAGTTACATTGCAGACCGAGAAAACGAGGCTTGTAAGATGTGTATATATATATATATATATATATATATAGATGGGAAGTCTATATTTCGATTTTTCCGCAGTATAGTGCTCGATATATAGAAGTAGAGCGCGATATATATTGAGCTAGGAAAAAACAAGGAGACTTCACTTTCATCCAGTGTAGTCTCTTTCTTTTTTCTATCTCAATACATATAAAATATACATATATATATATATATATATATATATATATATATATACATATATATATATATATATATATATATATATATATATATAAATATTATGAGAGGAAAAAACGACGCAACTACATCTCCCGACAAGCCTGTTTCGTGAATCGCTTCACTCTTCAGGGGTTTAATGATTGATTATTAAACCCCTGAAGAGTGAAGCGATTCACGAAACAGGCTTGTCGGGAAATGTAGTTGCGTCGTTTTTTCCTCTCATAATATTTATTCTGCTCTGCTTCAACGTATTGAGCACTGTTCCACGCGAAAACCGACTTGCAGACTTCCTATATATATATATATATATAATGTTCAGAGCACGCACCTTACGTCACACGAGTGCACTGTTTTATAAAAGATTACAAAAAAAAATTGTTCCTCGAGCATTGTTGAGTTATATAAGCACTTCTCTCGTGTTCATAAAAATTCCCAAGTGCTTATATAATTTAACAATGCACTCAGTGCGTTTTTTTATTTCTTTAATATATGTTACTTCTGGTTAGCAGTAAATAATGTAGACTTACCTTGTTTTCTCTTTCAAAAATATTCTCCAGAGTTGTTGGTTTATCGACGCACATAAGTTTCGGCTACGATTCAAAATAGATAGCCGTTGTCACCCTTAATACGAGAGTGCAATCATAAAGATGCTAAAGGCCGTGGTAATTTGTGAAAGTTGAGCTGCATGTGCCAATTTCGAAAGCAGTCAAACTCATATTACCACAGTCCAAAGAGTAAAACATTTTATTGACGTAGTTCTCCTAATATTTGGCCAATTCCTTACATTTTTTGGGTAATTTTTGAACTAACGATCGGTTACATATTTATCTGATCAGAAACAAAACATTGCATCAACTGTTAGGTTTAATACTTGACTCGTGATAAATATTTCGAATTTCTGTATTCAAATTTTCAAAAAGGGCATCGGTATTTACTACAGTTTGATGCAATACAAAATATCGTTAATTCAACTATCTCTTCACACAAATTAAAGGCGATCTTTTTTCTAGAGAAATTGTATTCAACAAACTCACCATTAGTCTTGTTTCATCATCTATAATTCCTGACTCTATCTTTCGTTTCCTCTCTTTCCGCACTCCTTCTACTGTCGGAAGTTTTTGAATGGTTACAGAACCATCAACTCTTTTAGGACTGTGTGCGGGTTTGGTTTCTGTAAATTTGGAAACAAGACTTCTTCAACACAATATCTCTCTACCATATCTGAAAAGCTCATACATCGTAAGAGGAGGATCGTTTTTGCGGAGTAGAATTGATCCGTTTTTCGAGAACATTTTCTACCCTGACAGCTATGGCATAGTGATGAAAAATGAAGTGTGCAAGAATATTGTTACCGCGTTCACGTAGTAATCGTTGTAATAATTGTAAATGAGGAATGGTGTCACTACACAGCATGGGAAAATTATCCAATCTGTTTACCTTTTTCCAGGCCTGTTTTACTCTCATAATGCTGCATTTCATAATTCTCGTTAGCTGTCAGAGACTGCAATAAAAAATATTGAGGATAATCAGCAAGACTCGGCATAAATTCGCAAGTAATTAATGTTGGTAAGGATACTTTAAAAAACAATACATTGTCTGTTACTGGATCATGGATGATAAAAATTCGTTCAAAATTTTATAAATAATCAGAGCTAGTAATTAAATTGTTTAAGTATTGCATTTCTCCGAGAGCGCAGATATCGCGAGAGGTTTATCAAGTCGTTAACTTACTAGTAATCGGATAAAAAAACGGACAAAGACATCGATTTGTCAAAGTAAATTGCGCACTGACATAAACTATTTCTGTTTATGTAAATCTTTTTAGTTTGAAGTATTTTTGTGATTCGCACCCTCCACTTTAACATTTCTTCAGCATTTCCGAATGAAATATTTTAAAACTGTCCAGCCAAGTAGTTGGCCGTGTTGCAATTCCAATCCAGAAGTCCCTGGTTCGAGTCTCGAGCCAAACTTTTGTGAAGGCAACTTGTTTGTCTTCTGCAGTTGTCATGCTTTTTTCTCAGCATTTGTTTCATTCATTTACTCAGGTCTTCTAGCCTTTGTGTTATAAACACAGCCGAGAATAAATAAAGGTAACTTTTAAATTCTAAAATTTAAATTTCATCTAAACTCAACCAAAAGTTAGTTGACAGTTAATAGTTTCTTTGTCTTTTTTTTAAGTAAAATTTTACTCTGGAGCTCTAAATAAGAAATGTGAAATTTGACAGATGGCGAGTCAACGAGAGATTCCTCTTTTTTGGGAGGACGAAATCTTACTTCTTCAGTATTCTAAATTGGTTTAAAATCAAAATCATCTCTGATCACGACTTCATCCAATATATCTTCGGAAGTGTTTGGATATCTTCGGAAGTGTTCGGATATCTTCGGAAGATTAAGGAAGTGAATGAAAAGCTTTGTAAAAATCAATTGATTTTTATAGCCAATCAAAAATCCCTTCATTGGTAAATGATTTTGGATGAATTATTTTTTCACAATGGTTGTCAAGCCCTCTATTTGATATGCTCTGATAACGTATTGTTTCGCAATAGTTATCTTTGGTCTGAAGAAAATTTTACAAACCTGATTACAATCAAGGCAGCATGATCAAAGCATTTTCGACCAAAAGTTTGCGAGAAAACCGAGCCAAGTCAAGCTTTTCATTACACATAACGTGATGTCTTGCCTGAGATAGCGAATTTAGCGTTCTTTGCACCTGTAAACAGGACAGCAAATAAGAAACTATTCGTTTTATCCAAACTTAAAGCAAACAATTACAGATATATTTTGGCCCGCCAGTGAAAAAAGGAGAGCGAAAGTTGAATTATTAGAAAAAGAATCACAGTCACTGTATTTCTTTATCTTTTTAATTCAGTTATTTATTAGCTTAAAGGGGAAAAATTAAATGAGTCGGTTTTTTTTTCAGTTTCAATTTCCTTCTGCTTTTTCGACGGCTCGAATATCATATTTCGTATTCCGAAATTACTTTGCGGAAATATTTGCAATAGCCAAATTCAACTACATAATAAATTTCTATGGCAGTGTCATCTTCCCTAAAAGTTTCATTATCAGTTGAAAAGAAGTCTGTTAATTTGCGCGAAAGATTGAAGGCTGCCATTATGCCACAGGCGCATCTCGTCGCCCAAAAACTCATTACCTCGACTTTTCATGACGCGCACATTTAGAACCCCTGTTTTTTTTCGCATAATTTTTCAAACCGCTTTATCATCTTTTCGAAACAAGGAACTGGTATGCAAATATTAACGAGCCTGTATTGATCTTTGTGTCTACATCGCACGAAAGTGTAAATAAACCTTGTGTGAGCGCTGTAACAAATTCAAAAACCGTCTTACCTTCGACGAGTTCTTAACTGCTATGCTAGTGCCGTGTTCTTTGATTTGTGCCGTGGAGACATTTGCTGTCTCTAACGCTTTCACGTTGTATAAGAACGACTGTTTCATTGTTCTGGCCTGTTCAGATTTAATAAACTGTATTTTGCTCGTAGAATCTCTTTTCTGGTCTGTACTGTGTCGCTGTTGAACGAACTCAGATCCAGGCGGGGACTTGTCATGAAGCGTGTCACCTTTTTCCTTAGCTTGAGGTTCTAATAGAGTTTGTCTGACTTTCTCCTCCAGTTTATGATTATTAGCAACTCCAGCTTTGCTTATCTCATTTGAATTTTCGGTATGCTCCTTGTTGTTTACATTTTGGTTGCCAGCTTCATGCAAAATCTTTTCCTCGTTGGCCTGCACTCGTAGATTCCCAACGCGCTGCCAAATCGGCAACTTCTGATTCCGTCGCTCTTCGACCCATTTTTGTCGATCTAAACGACGTTGCTGTCTCCTCAGATCCCATTCTTGTGACATCTTCAATATATGCAACTCATTCTTTTGTTTTTTCGAACGAAACTCAACGTCTTTACCTCCTCGACTCTTGCTTGAAGTTTTCATGAAAACTTTCGGAGTCTTTTCTATTGGCTTGTTCATAGTTGAGTGTTTTTCACGAAAAGAGCGAAAACTTTCCTGACAAATCACTTACGAGAGATTGAAAAGTTAGTAGGACGAGAATAAATAAACAGGCGAGGAATAATACTGTTTCTCTTTGCGATTCAGTTTTCTAAATTATGCGCATATCAACTAGGTACGGAAGAAAATTTTGAATAATTGTCGTATCAAATGACGCCTTAAGCGCGGACTCATACAATAACTAATATATTCCTTTTTCTATAAAATATTCGCTTTGGTAATGATTTTACGACATGGATGAGTTAAAGCGCGTATGAAAAGTAGAAATTATATGGTAAAATTTCCCGGCGGAGTGAGATAATATGATTCTTGAAGCAAAGTATTTCACTGCGACATGCGCTTCGTTGAAACAAAAAGTTTTAGAAAATACTTACAATGATTAATGGTGTGTTCTTTGACAATTAGTGTAGTTTCTAAAAATGGAACTTTTCTTTCCTGAAGGGTTGAATAATCTCGGTTATGAAAAAGCCTTTGTCAATTTGATTTCGTCTCTGTTCAATGCAATAAACCATATGCAAATTTTCTGTTGAACTACAAGGCACATTGAAAGTAACCATCAGCTGCTTCATATATGCTAATGTGATTCGTTGTCGTGTCTGGCACCTGCCCAACTGTACAAGCAATTAGAATTCATAGAAAGAATATTTTTACCTCTCTACGAATATAACACACCCATGTATTCGAATTAATCAAAACATTTCACCAAAAGTTTACGATTTGATAACTTTGATTTAAATAAACATCTTCGTACTGAGATTAATGGAGTAGCGTTAATGAAAATCTTGATGTTTTCGAACTTGTTGATTTCAATCTGTGTCGCGCTCCAATCACTCGGACGCCAAATCTTTAAACACATATTATTTCAAACATAATGTTGGCAAAATTCAACGCCCACACTTGTCACTCAACACGCGTTTTCCAGAATTTTGGTTTTTGTAACCTGAAACCAAATCTGCGCGTAAGAAAGTCATTAAATAAGAATGAATTTGGTTTAAACTCTTTCTTCCTATTTGCCGGTGCCTCATTTTTTTTCTAGTGGCATTTTTATAGCTAATCTACTCTTAATTTGCGTGTAAAGCTAGACTGTCATAAAAAAGCGATTGAAAAGCTTAAATTTCATTTCAACAGCATCCGCATTTCTTCTCTAATTTTCCCGCAAGTTAAACTTGGGAGACTGTAACAAAAAAAAATTTTGCACAGATTATCACCTCGCTTGCCCCCAATTTCCCCTGCCTTTAATTGACCTAGACAGAGATTGCTGACAGTGAAAATATTATGCAACATTTCACGGATCAAAAGCTTACCGCCAAGAGCATGCGCCAAAATCTATCTAAAAATAGATGGTGTATAAATTATCATCTCGTCTGTTATAGCTTGAAGTGATCTTAATATTGATGTTGTTTGAGGTAAATCAAATGCCAAAGACTATGTTTAAGTATTCTTTTTCAAGCAGTATCTAGTGCAAAAATTAGCCACGCAAGGACAACAAATGGAAAGTAAAACTTTTCCTTTCATGGACCTGCTAAATGAATATGATCATTTTTTCTCTCAAGGAGAGGCGCTCTTTTGGTTTACAAAAGGCAAATCGTAAATTATGAGCTAATGAAATAGAATATTGAACTTTATTGTAAACACTTTTTGTTTTGCCAATGTTGTTCTGTTTTTTTTAAAAAATAATAATAATAACTCGACCATGAATTTAAAAGAAACTATGTAGATGATTATTTTTAATAGGATATGGTTCTCATATTTTTGAGAAGTTGCGCTTGTGGACGATAAGCAGTAAGCGCGATATATTATATCATGCATTTGAAAACGGGTGTGTGGGTAACCTGGAATTCTAGATCAGTTCTTACCTTTTACAGCTGGGGCCGGCTGATAATCCCGTTTTAGCAACTAATTTTCTCACTACACTTAAATTTGATCATGTACCACTAACTAGCTAGTCCTGGATAAAATGCTCGGTAAATGATTTACGTGCTTGTCGTATGGAACATAAAAAGCTCTTTTAGATTGAACACTAGTTCCCAACTCCTGACTCCGTCATAGTCGGACCAAAGCCTGGAAAAGAAAACTGTAGGGTTGTACAGAGATTGTTACATTTTTTGTTCTTAGTTTTTTAAATAAAAAGTGCCATCGAAATATGTGCTGCTAAAAGAATTTGTACTCTTCAGGAAACAAAAGGCTGCAAAGAAAAAAAAATGTCGTAGGAGCCGTGCTGAATAAAATTTCCGCCGATGTTCCACTTCCCAGAAATTAAAAAAAATTGACGTCGTTCTGCAAAGGATGGCTTGTGAGAGGAACAAATGGTTTTGCCATGCTGATGTTATGGGTATTCCGAAACTCACTAAAATTTGCAGATTGACCTGTTTCAGGCTAGGGTTTTTTTTTGCTTATTTTCTTTTTCCTTTTACACTTATGTTTTGCCCACGTTAAGCTGAAGGTCACAATAGACGTTACTCTTTGCCTCTCTCTGGGTGATGTTCGTCTTGTCCACTACGCCTACGTGCATAGCCTAGCAATGAGAAAACCTGAAAACTTCAAAAAATCGCACACGGATTCTCTTTGTGGATATGAAGACTTTCTTCCGCTTTTTTTCCGTTATGCCTCAAACTAAAACCATGAGCATTACAATGAACCGCTGCAACTGAGATACTAAACAGAAAGTAGTAAGGCACACAAAAACGAATGTAAATCGGGCCGGTGTCGGATGAATTTCGGCATGACGTCATATTCGTACCTTGACGTTACTGTCGACACTTGGATAACGTCAGTGTTGGGAAGCTGGCCAATAGACTGAATTTTTGCTTGATGCTCGATGCTGTGGTTTCATTTATCAAAATATTAAATAAAAAACATCAACGGAGCATTATTAAGGATTAGACAGACTTCAAGAGGTCGACATCCGTATGATTCACGGAAAATGATAAAAACCACGGGTGTTTCCGGGGTTATTATCAGCAAGGTGCGATGGCGTTACAATGACAGGACGTCACGTGTGCACTCACTGTGCGTAACTAACGATGAAATCCATCACACAAAAGAGGTTCAGAAGAACAATAGACACAAAAGATCTTGTCTTCATAGGAATGTCTAGCGTTCTTTTGTTCTGAGAAATTACAAAGTAATTTCGATGCCGACAGGTCTGTCAATCAAGCACGGGTTTGACAAACTATCAAACACCTTTCAAGTGGCGAAACCATGGAATCATCGCAGTCAAACATCACAACATGTAAATCACGCGAGATTACTCACGCAGTACCACATACCGAAGGATTGTGTTTCTAAGGAACTCATCTCGCCATTAATGTGCCATGGTTTTCTTTACCTTCTTTAGCGGAATCTTCACCCGGGTTATGTTTCTTGTGCACGGAGTAGTAAGCGTGTATCTTGTGGTTCTTTACAAGAATAACGACACAATCTACTGGTGGCTATGTACTGGACTGTTTTTACTTTTGATTGAATCGTTTTACACCATCGTCATCCGGAAAGGCAAAGAATATAAATAGTAAGTAGAATATCTGTGATGATTTTCATAGCGTGGCTTTTCTCTTTCTCTTATTTTCTCGATTCTTTGCAAATGAGTGATCGCAATGTGGTATGTTTGTTTTAATACGAAAACACGCCAAACTAAAACCCGAGTACGCTTAGACATACTGATGTTTGCATTTACTCAATTGCATATGAATTTAAATTTAGATTAACTCGCTTTATACTTAATAATTTGACTTGGTTGTTGATGAATCTTTTTCAAGTGGCACTCTAATATCTGGAAACCTTGCTCTATCGAGATCTGATCAGCAAATAGCGACTCTCTCATATTTAAAACTATTTCAGAGCAATCAGTTGTGCGAGAATATTATTAGCTTATAGACATCCTGTGGATTTAAGGGTTATCATCCATAACGCATTATTACACTGTGGTTGTGAAAGCGAAGAACTGGTTGTTAATTACCACTTAATCAAAACTTCGGGCTTCTGTTTTCTGATTCCATGTTTTTTTTTTTAATCGCAATCGAAAATAAGTGCTTTGTTGAACAGCTGTGTGAAATTGTTCCTTGGTTTAACAAAGACGATCGTACACCAAATTAAGACTAGTGGCACCGCTTCGATAAATTATACGCTTTGAATACGTCATCAGGGTTAGGAAAGTCAAATGTGTGTTTGGATACGATCAGTTTTTGATGAGAAATATATACGAACAATATCCTTCTGTTAGCGATGGATAGCTGCGGTTTGTTTGGCAGTTTTAAGTACTGATTGAGTTAGCCGAGGGATAAATGAAAAACCATTGAAATGATACTGACTGGGTTATAACAAAAGATAAACACATTGCAGTCCGATATCTTTGCACGAAGTACTTTCTTCAATATCGCGATTTTTTAGGTTCACCTAGTAAGAAAATGTTCTCATTCGAGGCTCGCTGATCATAAATTTAGGCCGAAATTGAGACAACAACTCTTGCACGAGTTAGCCGGAAAATTTGCACCAGTTGTAATTAACTGATGGTTGTTCAAACAAGTTTTCTTAGACGGAAATCTTCCGATCTGGTAATTGGATAGCAATGGGTCACAAGTTCAAATGTAGGGACATTTCTTTTCGTACGATGCATCCAAAAATGCCTTTAAAACATCCCTTCTTTGCAATAATTCAAAATCAAGGCGCGTAAAGGCCATCGACACAATTGTGTTGCGTTTCGCAATCTCGTCCAAATTTCAATTGAACTGGGTCGGCATCTCAAACGTTTCGAAATCATTTTGACATATCCTACGCTTAGCACGCAAATTGTTGATGCAAATTGTTAGTTGCTTCAACATTAATTTATTTTTAGTTTCACGAACTTAATGAAAAGTCGCTGTGAGTCCTGTATTCATTTTTTTTACACATAAAACGGGTAGAATTATAAATTTGAAACTGCTATTTGAAGACGTCTAAATATCGTCGGACGTTGACGTTCAGATACAGCGACATTTGTCCTAATATTTTAGTTCTGCATCACTTCCAAACTGCATTACTACTCAAGCTACAGAGGGTATCATTTTCCCGCAGTCTGTATGCTTAAATCGGATGAAGTCTCTACATCTGTGTACATCAGGGAGATTGCTTAACAAGGTATTCATTGGCGTAACCTAACTAGAGAGTGGGGGGGGGGGGGCATTTGACCCTTAGCCTTGTTCTTTCATTGCTATTTTTATCATCATTATTATTGTTACCACTATTGACAGTTATATTGCAGTTATTATTGTGTGGTAAAAAGTCTTTTAAATTTGATTCAGACATTTTATCTGGAAGCGCTCGTTGTCGCTGAATTACGTCGATATATTAATTTTATTAATTTAATTAACATCTCTTGCCTGGCACGGGGTAATGAAATAGATATATTTTTTTGGGGGAGGACAGGGTCAGGCTTTAAAGGCGTCAGCGGCACACCTCAGCAAAACCATCCTTAATTGTCCCATCCCCTAACAAAAAGCTATTGTAGGTAGGACCTCATAGGTGAAAATCCCGCCTAAGCAGCAACATATGAAATTAATTTTGTACTCTTTTTCTAGTTTTTGGCCAAGCAGCTTTCTATACATGTTGACCGTGATACCTGCCATCTGGGTGGCTGAGTTAGCGATATTGAATGAGAAGCTCGAATCAGGTCCAAAAAACTGCACGTTAACTGCAGAACAGAATTACGATAAATTTGGTGGATTGGTATGTACCCTTTAGTTTCATTGTACGCCTTTGTAAAACACCTTTCAATTTTTTGGAAGGTGAAACTCTGTTTGTTTTTGTTAGTTTGTTTTGCTTACCGTGTAATATTTGTCCTATCTGGTTTCTTCCACATTGTGTAAACTGTTGATAAACCTAATTTCTTAAGGGCACCTGACTTCAGAGCCGTCCTTGCTCCTTTGAAGGAGAATTACATAAAAATATTCAAAACTTTATGAAAACCAAACCAAATGTCATCTTATGATCGTTCAGTCTGATCGTGCGGGTGAGAGTAGTCCCTGAGAAGGACTGGTGTCGGTATTGACAACTGACGATCAGGCGACCTGAGAGTAACAGGTCGAAAGCGCTATGAGTCTACTGACCTTTAACTTCCAGTGCTCATCCGCAGTTTTTGTGGCAGGAAGTGACAAGGCGTATTGGCCCTTGTCGTGAAGTCCTAAGGTTACCCGTGACGTCATGTTTTTTAGTTCTAAAACAGATGATAGGTATTTAAAAAGAGTGTGATGTTGTCTCGAATATGGCGTTGTATGTGCGTTTATACCTAACGGTAGTTCTCTGGGATCGAGTGCGAGTTCATAATACAGTAGCTTAGAATCTCGTGGGTTTTCACTGACTTCAAAGCGCAAAAGAAACTTCCTACTGCGCAGGCTCTTCTGTATATGACTGAATTGGATTTGTTCACCAGATAACAGTCAGGACAGACTCTGGTCAGCTGGCGCAGAAGTTTTCCAAACTCGGTCTGATCCTATTAATCATTGTGGGCCGCTGGTTGCTTCCCAGAGGAGAACTAACACGTGATCAGCTTTCTTCGCTCTTATTGGTTTATGTGGCAAATGCCGCGGATATCATGGGTAAATTACAATTTTATGATTCTTGTTATGACTTTGAGTTTGAAGCCTTTTATGTTTAATCTTGTTTTCTGCGTAAAAGCCTGCCATGTGAGATTCGTTATAAGCTAAAGGGAAAGGGAATTTAGAATTGTCTTAAACCTACTTTCTTAATTTTACCACAGAATTGTTTGAAGTTTTTGACCAAGAGCCAGATCTGTGGTGTATACAGGGAGTAGCCTTGGCTGTTCTGGCCACATATACTTGGTCGTTCTTGCAGTTTACTCTCGTGTTCACTGCCACAGCAGAGACTGTTCCCGACACAAAGGTACGTCACTTACGCTCTGTATTGGATTCTTCTTGAGCCAATCATTTGTCAGATTTTTCATCGCATTGCTTATTCATCACTGACTGTTCAGGAACAAGACTGAATCATAAAGTTTCCTTGAGATGACGTGGTAATAGGTTGATTTGTAGGGTCCCTCTGACTGTTTTTTTTTTTTTATTGTGTGTGCGAAATTCGAAATCAACCATCAATCAGATCAGGTAATTTGTAAGTGTGGACTTTATGTGCAGAGAAAAAGGGAAGAAAAACCAAGTTCAATGTACTATGTTTGCTTAAGACTTACGAGCCCCTATTGCTTATTACTGTCCGAGAGTGCCTCAATTTCTGTAGCATATTTACCCCTCTGTAATGTACTGTGATTTCGAGGAGTCGAAAACTGAAGATTCCAGAACAATAGCTCGACAAATGTTATTGCAACAAGGAGTCGAGCATATGGCGACTGTGTAAGACCTTACATATGTAATGAGAACGACATCTCCCTCCTGGGTTGGATATCGTTCTTTCCTTTCTCCCCCCCTCCGCCTTCCCGCCTTTTAAGGATTTCACAAAATTTCCTCTAACAGTCTTGAGGCACTCGCAGACAGTCACATAAGCCTCATTTCCCTCCAGGACAGCAAACTCTTGGGGGGTAAGAAGGAAAGGAGGAGGGTGGGTACTGTCAGAGCATAATATCTTGCCAAATTGCACAATACTATAACTCAACCAGGGCCTAATCTGAGATCTGTAAAAAAGAAACATTAACAATCTTTTATTTTCTTTTTTTTTCTTAGCCACCAGCCCTAGAGGAAAATAAGACAGACCGATCGGGTGACGATCATACAAAGTTACCAAAGTACATCAAGAAACTCATAAAACAGAAGCAAAAAGATGAACTGGCTAAAATTGAAAAGAACACAGATTTGCGCGCAGCTGTCGACCAAATGAGACAACTCAAAGCTTATAAAGATCGCGGAAGACAGGCAAGATTCTCCATTCACGACACAGCATTGGAGGTTGTACAAGTGCAAAGAGAAGTCCGACGTGAGGAAGAAATCCTCGAGAAGCAGATAAAACAAAGACAGAAACTTAAACTCCACGGTGACTTGTATTCAATTTTGACTTTAATGTTGATGCAGGATGGACCATTTCTTATCGTGCGGCTTGTCTTGATAATTCATTATCACGTGGACGCCTTGTTACATATCTTCTTCACCGGCAAGAACGCAATGGCACTAGCTTTGCTCATTTACAGGCTTGTTATTTTGGTGATGGAATCGAGTGAAGACGAAGAAGAAATTGATAAAGATAGTGAGTTTTATGAGATGTCAAAGGCGTAGATGTGAAGTTTCATTTTCCAAGTTTTTTTTAAATAACTTCCAGGAAATGCGAAATCATGCCGAAACTAATGGATTCATTGGCCTTTGCGGCAAGATGTTTTCATCGTCACTTGGCGATGACTTTACACTAACCATAAATGATTTGAACAAGTTTTGACGCAGCAGAGGTATTACGACTTCGTTCAATGCCGAGCTGTTTCAGAACAGGACAAGAATTAGGGAAACGTTTGTTCTTTGGGCGTGGCTGCCTCTTGCAATTGCACGCACCACTATTTCATATATTCAGTTTTTTTACTGAGGAATGGCCGACCAAAATTAAAACTTTTCGTGTAGCTTGCTACGCGTTATTCATCAGTCCGTGGAACAGTCCGTGGAACAGTCCGTGGAACAGTCCGTGGAACAGTCCGTGGAACAGTCCGTGGAACAGTCCGTGGAACAGTCCGTGGAACAGTCCGTGGAACAGTCCGTGGAACAGTCCGTGGAACAGTCCGTGGAACAGTCCGTGGAACAGTCCGTGGAACAGACTGGTAGTCTATCCGTAGCTTCACGAGTCCGTTTATCAGTTTGGCATCTGTTCACGTCTGTTTTATCTAGTTAATTACGTTTCTCTGGCTCTTCCCTTCCCGATCAGACAAACTGATAATGTTCTCAAAATTTAGATAAGTTACTCTCAATTGCCATAGCGACTCACTATTTATTACACTGCAGTGCAAGGTTGGTAATATGTGATAGTTGTTATTTATTTCCTGAAAGAAGAGAGTAAAGCAAGTGGGTCAAAGTCTCAAAAACTGGGCCTTTTTTAAAAATTAGTGCAACTTTGTATATTTAAATGTATTTATTTATCAGCAACTTATCAGTAGATTTTAGAGCTTTAAAAACATTTGTATAACTTACTTTCTCCATAGATTCGAATAATGAAAAATTCTTAGAGTTGTAAATAAACTTGTTTTTTTTTTTTATCAGAAAAAATAAGATGAAGAAAAAAAGGAACACACCTTTGTCAAATATCGGACCTCGACTTAGAGGCTTCCTTCCTTTCCAATCGCTCTAACGAAGGGCTAACGCTCGAAACGTCAGCTTTTTTACCCTTTACAATGGCCTATTTACGTTTTCAACTCAGTTGTTAACGCTAACTGAATTACCTGATATACCCTCCCACCGACGCAGTGCCACAGTTTCTTTAGAAACTTCCCCCCTTTATTCCTTTTAGGACCGACCTGTTTCAATGAATACGGTTCCAAATTAAATACGGGAAACTTGATAACAGGGCACGAGTCAACTCGATTAGAAACTCGACGTGGTCGCGAGCGGGGAGGAGGGGAGAGTCTCAATTTTTTTCCAACTGTTTGCAGCCTTAAGCTGTACAGGAAGTATTAACGGGGATGATAATTATGGCACTCAGCCAAGGATGATGCACGTTTTTAAACACATGAGCCCTGAAGAGCACTTGCGTTTAATGCGTATCAGAGACAGACTCGAGCACACTCAAATTCGGTGTGCACAAGAGAACACGACCTGAATCTTTCTAATCTAATCCCCTTAGAGGTCTCAATGGGGTTCACCGTTAGACGTAACACAGCAAAAAAATAGCCGTTCAGCGTTGAAACTAACCAATTTTAACTGGTAGTCCTAAAAAAAATGTTTTATATTAAAAATTTTATTTAAACGGCAACGGAAAGATATTAACCATTAGCCGTAAAATGGCCAGAATTTTTTAACCGTTCGCCGTTAAGAGACACCACCCCACTCAGTGCTTCCCATTAGGAAATGTATTGACAAAATCGAATGATCGCAAAGCTGCAATTTTTTTTTCCAAGATTTGAGAAAATCTTTTGGCTTCATTTTTAAAGAAAATGTCATTTAACAGGGGATCTTCCAAAGACCTGTCGGAAATCAAGGGATTGATTGAAATACTCAACATTGATATTTTTGCAAAATGACTGATTTTGGAGGAAAAACTCGTAACTGTTCGGGGTATCACATCTTGCTGGATCTCAAACAAGCCGACGTTTTTTGACAGCTGGGACAAATTAGGAACTAGGAATGACGTCAATAAACCATTAAAAATATTTGTATTCAAATTTAGGCGTCCATATTTCGAAAAACTTAATTCAGCGTCAATATTCTCGAAAACAATTTGTCAAAAGTGGTCATTGCAATATATGAAAACGCCTTTAAACTCGACAGCACTCCATAACATCCAGGTCAGTTTCTTTGATAGCTTCTGTCAAATAGATCAAGCTAACTAACTTGCTTATTTCATGCTTTTGGTTTTGTATAATTTTTCCAACGTAAGTTTGCACCTGTCTTTAACCCAAACTAAACCCGGAATTATTATTATCGCTCAAAGTTTCAAATGTTTCCATGTTTTCTTTTGGTATCTCATTATCTCTTACAAACCTTTTAAGACTGGTTTTTGGCATTCGTGCGATCTTTCCGTTATAAATAATGATTTATAGTTAAGACAAAGTGTGATAAAGTTTTTTTTACGACAAACCCAAACTTTAATCACAAGCTCATTTGCAATAGCATCTGTTGAAAAAAAACCAGCTAGCATTTAAAAAGGAAAATAAGCTTTCTAAGTAAATTTTAAACTATAACAAATACGTCTGTTTATTAGAAAAGAAAGATTGTTTCGGCTCCTAATAAAAGATACGCATGTAAATTCAAGAGGTTGTTAAAATTTTTGAATACAACACCTCCAGTGTTGTTTGATTGTCCCTTTCCATTGTTTCGTTTTATTTACCGTCATAACACATAACGTGCAGCAATCGTTTGACGCCTTGAGTTTTATTGTCGTTAATCGCCTCAGTGTAACTGTTCAGGCAAAAAACTTCAGCAATTAAAGGACAATTTTGCGTTATCCTTTTTAACAATCTTACAACTTGTTCGCGTTGATTTCACTGAAAGGTATCAATCAAAAGCAACGCGGGGGTTGTTCTCTTGATATACAAAAAAAGCTAAATACAAACAACAACATGAATAATTCACACAGTCGCTGAAGAGCGGCGAAGCAGAATATTGGAACTCTTAATGAGAGCATATCGGCGCTCAACCAACTTTTATACTCAGTAGGAGGCAGACCATTTTGAAAACATATCGCCCAGACGTCGCAATGTAGTGGTTTCTCACGCTAAAACTAAACGCTCTTTCACAGAACAAATCAGCAATTGAGATGTGATTGTGATAAGCTTGGCCCGTCTGATATGTTGTCATATATAAATAAGTTGTCCACCACATCAGACACAGCGGAGATGAAATCTGCTCTAAGGGCTACCAATGACTTCAGGGTCAAGCCAAAATTGTACAGTAAAAACTATAACCGACGGGCGAGTTGCCCACCAGAAGCGCTCAGCTCATTGGGAGATTCTACACCAGAGGACAGAAGACTGTATGACACACGAGTGAAGATAAACATTAGTGGAAAAAAGTATGAAACTCTTTATTCAACATTGGCGAAATTTCCGAACACCCTTCTTGGAAATCCCGCTAAAAGACAGCAATACTTTGATCAAACGAGACAAGAATATTTTTTTAATCGGAATCGCAATGCTTTTGATGCAATCCTGTTTTATTACCAATCGAATGGTCTCCTCACGCGACCGAATAACATCAGATTACAAGAATTTTGCGACGAGCTGAAATTTTTTCAAATCGAGGAAGAAATTGTCAGTGAATTCAAACGAGACGAGTGTGGGATCGAAGATGAAGATGATGATGAGGAAGTCGTTCTGCCATCAAATGTTATATTAGCGAAGCTTTGGCTGTGGTTTGAGTATCCCAAGTGCTCCAAAGTTGCTAAACTTTTTGCGGTTTTCTCCGTTACTTTCATCGTAATTTCTATCTACGTTCTATGCGCGGAGACACATTTTAGAGGATCCACAGACTCATCTAAATACAAGGAGGAACCCCCCACATCAATGCGCATTTTGGAAAAAGTTTGCATTTCTTGGTTCACTTTAGAATTTATCCTGCGATTGATTTCATGTCCAAACAAATTGCGATTCATCCTCGACATCTTGAATTTGATAGACCTAGCCGCTATTCTGCCATACTACTACTTCGAGCTCTCTTTGAGTGAATCTAAAAATGACAAAAATATCGACGCCATAAGACTTTTAAGAGTTCCCAGGTTGTTAAAACTAACCCGACATCTGGAAGAGCTCAGAGTTCTCGCCAAAACAGTGCGCTCCACTTGGCGAGAACTTGTCATGATCTTGTTTTTTATTCTCATAACTACCGCTATTTTTTCTGGGTGGACATTCTACGTAGAATATGAGGAGCAAAAGGAGTCGTTTTCCAGTATCCCCGCTACAGCTTGGTTTGTGATAGTTTCGATAACAAATGTCGGATACGGGGATATGATTCCAAAGACTCTAATGGGGAAGCTGCTCGGTGCTATCTGCACTATAGCAGGTGTGTTGGTAATAGCATTACCTGGTACTGTAATCGTCACGAAATTTCGTCTATATTACGAGAAAAAAAAGAGGAAAAAATTAGCCAGTTACAAATTTTAGTGTCATTTGCTTCAAGGTACGAATCATTGTGAATTACACGCAGCGCTCTAGCGTTCATCATCAAAGTGCGTGGGTTGTCACTAATAAAAGGACGCGCAGAATAATTATGAATAAAGAAAAACGTGTTAAGTATAACTGGAGCTCGTAATTAGACAAAGAAAAAATATCTCATGTTTTTTCGATGGCATCAGAACTTCGAAATATTATCTTTTCATAACAAGTTGCAAGTAGACATCAATTTTTGGCTTGTATTACACCGGAACGTTTTACAGATTAAAAAATCAACCAACAGCTTTCCTCTTAATAGATTACAAAAAATCCGCTATCTTAAGACATATTTTATAGCTTGGCTTTTCCATTTGGTCGAATCTTTCAGACTAATTCGCTATAAAGTTATACCGATAATTTGCTTGAAGTGAAACTGGATACGTAGCGAATTGCGCTTTTTTTCTGCCGTATGAAGCAAACAGACAAATGAAGTTTATATTTCGACTCACATAATGTAAAAAAATATCATATGTAAATAAACTCAATCGTCTTTGTTTTATTCAAATTTTCCGCTTGCTCTTTGTGATTGGTTGAACCATTGCAGCTGGAGAAGCTAGAAGACCGGCAAAGACTCCACCCACCCCACCCTTCCTAATTTTCCTGAAAATAGTCACCCATGACCACAGCTTACTAAACTGACAGATGAAACAGAAGAAGATATGACAATTAATACTATATAGTATTACTCTATTTCCGCTTTATTAAAACTCGGTTTCCGAAACTAGTGCAGAGTTGAATATTCAAGAAACATGTCTGAGATTTCATCCGGCGTAACATGAAAAAAAAAGTAAAATCGAAATTTTTCTTGATGGAAAAATATAACATCGTAAGCTTGACACCGCCAAGTTTGTCTTAAGGCTTGACTGTAAGATTTCTTACAAATTGTAATCTATTCTCCGGAAATAAATCCCTGATAAAAAGAGAAGTCTAAAGCGCCATTTATTTTTGTTTCACGATCAATCCAAAAATTAATTTGATGAATCCATCCATTTTCTCACTTCCAGTGATCACAAGAATTAAGAGTTACTTTGATTAAGCAAAAAGGTTAGGTGGCTCTGAACCCCACATTTTCTTTCGCCTCGTTTTCATAGCACTCTCAGGCTCGGCTGCTAAGCATTTTGTGTCTGGCTTACACAAAGTACTAACGAATCTCCAGTGTTGATGCAAGTGTCTTTCACTAATAAAATTTCGAAGATGCAGGGCTCCAGGAAAGCTTTTATTTTAGTTTTGCTTTATGTTCTTGGATTATCGATATCCTCTTCAAGACATGTTGAAGGTAAGATTATCTTTTATCGAAAATCACGATCTACTAATCGCTTTATCGGTCGACCACGCAAACTTTCGCGCAATATTGTACTTGTAAACAAAACATTGTACCAGCTCAGAATCGAAGTCCACCTAAGTTGAAGTCAATTTCGATATCATTTTACAAATCCTTCGAAGCACGAGGAAACGATTCGTTTATTATGTTTTGTTTATGTCATCATATATTTTTTTTTTCATTTGAAAGCTACATTATACGTAAATTGGCCGTAATTAAGCTAAGGCGGATGAACGCGACTTCAATAATTTTAAGCTTAAGGTCAAGAATTTAAGTAAAAATTTTGTTGAATTTAAGTCAAGAATATAATTCAGTGGTTTAAAATGTAACAATAGAAAAAGAAGTGTCTAAAATGGATTAAATATATTTTATGCTAGTTTACACACTAATAAATTACTGTATTAAGCAGAGGCAAATGCACAGGGAATTTTTTGCTTGCAGTTTGGAATCTGTGGGTTATTTAACCTCTGCCTCACAAAGTGCCGTGAAAATTAGACTCCTGCATTCAGACTCAGCATTATTTGAGATGCAATAGCCTAATCACATTTGCTCAAAAGTTACACATACATGGGCTGTGACTAAAAGTGGGATGGGGACGTGGGACTCGGGGACGTGGGACGAGGGGACTCAGGGACACGCAGGGACTTGGGAACGTGATAAACAAACAACACCTGGTATTTGCGCTGAATTTGTGGAGTATAATTTCTGGTGATCTTGAGAAAGCTATGATATGCTGGAGAGCTTGTTAGTTGTAGCTGATGGTTTTCAGCATCCATGGTTTGGCCAGACATGTTTGCTTGCCTATTTGACCATGAGAACTCTGGGTACAGAATAGTTTCAATGCAGGGGGTCTTGAAACTGTTAAAAACGTCATGGGCAGCTATAGAGGACTTTCCTGGTAAGTAACTCTGTTTTCTTCTCAATCTTTTAACATCTGTGCCTTATTCTAAAACACAGTTACTTACCAAGAAAGTCCTCCATGGCTGTCCATGATATTTAAAACCCCCTGCTTTTAAACTATTCTGTACCCAGAGTTCTCACAGTCAAACAGGTGAGCAACACATCTGGCCAAACCACAGATGCTGGAAATCATTGGCTACTACTGACAAGCTCTCCAGCATATTATACCTTTCTAGAGACCACCAAAAATTATACTTTACAAATTCAGCACAAAAATCAGGTTTGTTTATTAGGTCCCCGAGTCTCCACGGGTCACCGCGTCCCATGTCCCCGAGTCCCACAACTCCGAGTTCCACGTCCCCAAGACCCTGTGTCCCGTGTCCCACATCCCCAAGTCCCACATCCCCAGTCCCGGTCCCCACGTCCCCATCCCACTTTTAGTCACAGCCACATGCATGTACAATTTTCAAACACAACTCAGTAATTTGTGATTGTAGCTCAGTAAATTGGGATTGCAACCTTATAATTTGCAATTGGAAGATGGAAACATGCAATAGCATTTTATTGACTTCAGACAGAAACTCAGTGGCCTAAGAGTGTGAGTTATTAACATGTGATTGCAAGTTGGTAACATATGATACTTTAAGTTAGTAACAGCTTTGCCAAAGTGATGGGAAAAAGCTGGTGTGCAAGCTTAGAAAGCTAGTATACTGTGAAAATGAGATGAGTTGCATTTTGAGGATCTTTTTTCATCCAAGCAGTCAGTTTACACTTTGGAAGTTGAAATTATCTTAGGTTGCTGCTTATCTCAGCTCTTTAAGCTATGGACTGATTAAAAAACAAAAATAATTACAAATGTTGAAAACCTATCCATATTAAAGTAGCATTAAGTATGAAACATGACAGACAGCTTATTCAACAAGAACAAATACCCTGACCATGCTTTTTTGAAAAAACAACCTACAATGATGACTTCATCTGATGAAGCACTCTCTGATCTACTGCAGGTAACTAAACAAATGACACTGCAACCTGTATGACTACAGCAACTGAACTGTACGTAGAGTGCATGTCTCTGAACATCTCTTACAACCCTTCAATGCCCAAGTCACCCACAGACTCAGTACTTTGCAGTGAAAAGAACTGTCTTTGTTGTCAACCAAACAATAACATGAACTTACCATCTCTCTTATTTCTATCTACAAACATTATGCTATCAAAATTGCTAATCCTTGCAGTATGCAGGATGTGTCATGAACTTCATAATAGACCTCGCTCACCATGGAGTCTCTTTAGCTCCGTGGTAGAGCACTGAAGTACGAAATCTGAAGGTCTGAGGTTTGATTCTTCATGGGGACTCAGAATTTTTTCTTTGTCCCATGCTCGTGACAAGAAGAAAAAACATCTTTCTCTATTTCTTTACTGAGTTCAAAAGCTTACCATCTCGCTTATTTAGATCTAATAACATGATGTTATCATAAATCTGATATTGTTTAGATCCTAGGGAATATGAAGATGAGGAAGCGGAAGAGGAGGAAATAGAGGATGTTAGGGACTCAGAGGATGAAGAAGAACCAACAGATGAAGAAGACCAAGACGACGGTTACAACCAAGACAGTAGAGAAAGAGCTGAGGATGAGGAAGAAGTGAATATACCCGGCAGATCAGTGGATGATAATGAGGTGGCTGAAGAGGATGAAGATGATGATGAAGGTTACAGTGAGGAAGAAGAAGATGAGGGGAAAAATTCAGAAGATCATCGAATGATGGACGGTGATGAAGGAGGAATCCCATTGCCTGATGATGATGATGTCGAAGTGTATTCACCAGAGCAAACTGGAATGGAAGACTTTGAAAGAGTAAGTTTACTCATTACTGTGAAGATTTCATATTCACGATAAGTTCACTATTGCAAAACAAGATATTTGGAAAACTTTTTTGAGCCACTAGGAACTTAAGACAGATGATGGTATCAAATTAAATTGGCCCCTAAGAGTGATTAACATCTTATTTCTCCTTACACTATCACCCTCAAATCACACATACTGGGTATTAGAATAAAGGAAACAATTGCCAAGTGGAAGAAGCTCTCAATATTCTCCTTGTCAGCACCTTAGGAAATGTATAGAGAACAGTATGGAGAATATACATACTGATGTTAGGGTTAAGGAAGAGGTTAAGTAGGTCAGGCTTATAATAGTTTAAGCTGACAATGACAGTCAGAAGAATGGTTGAGGCTTGAAGCAGGTGAAGGAAATGAGGAAATTAGTGGCCAGGATTTCCAATTTTGAGGCCTTCGTATTATAAGTGTAAGATTTTTTTGAGAATTCTGCTTCTCTCTTTGTTTTTCAGAGAGTTAAGGAACTCCACAAAGCAAATGAGAATATGCAAATGACAATAGATGAAATGGAAAGGAAGATTGATGAAGCCCTCTCTTCAAACAATGAAAATGGACCTGTAAGTAATGTGTGACTTAGAACTTCGGCTGCTATTTTTAGTGTTAACAAATTTCTTAACCAGACACAAAAATGGGACAGTGTAGTAATTATGTTGAGGAATGTTTTGCTAGAAAAATAGTTTTTTACTAGCATTTGGTGCCATGGCTTTCTAATCTGATTTGTAGTGACTCACTTTAAATGTTCAAGCAAGTGATTGCCATTTATGCATATATTTTCAAATGTTGCTTTTACATTTGTGTTATCAACAGGAGAAAGGTACAAAATATCAGGGAATGTTCTATGGAAATGTTTTTCTTTACATTTTTGTGGGCCAGTTGATTTTTCTGTAAACAAAGAAAACTGCCATCTACAGTTATTTGTAGACTTAGGACAGTATGACTCCTGTTTAGATTGCAGAGCTGTTTAATATTAATTACACAATAATTCATTCCATAAGTTTTTGTCCCTCTGGTGTATAGGGCTCATCTGATACCTCAGTAGACCGTAAAATAGTGGTAGAAGGTGATGGAAGCTACAAGGACAGATACTCAACTTTTAACAAGGATGAAGAGGATACACCTAGACCCCTCCAACAAGCTGATGCACCACAGGAAACTTCTAGGGGTGATGCTAAGGCAGTATTCAGAGATTGGGGAAGATACTAATGCAGTTCCTGATGAAGATTATTAAAATAGAACTTAAGGGTGTTGGTAATTTGTAATATCATTTTATGAAATGGTGTTTATGCCACAGTTTTTACTCTCTTTTATAAAGTAAAAGAATTGTGGTTTGGAACATGGAGGCTTAAGACCATGCAGACACTTAGAACCGATCCAGTCCAGTTACCTTGTGGTGAGATACACCCTGGTCTGCATGCTTCCAGTTCTATTTGTGTTTGTTTTTAATTGGTTTTTGTTCTTTAGTTTGAGTAACACAATAGTGCCCAGTGTTGAAACCATCTGTTTGCTAATGTTGCAGCCAAGGAAATTCACCCAAATTGCAGAAAAAATTATAACTGAAATTTCTGTTTTTATGGAAAATTTCAAGTTTTGGGAAGTGAAATTTGTCTGTGTGCAAGGCCTGTCACAATTTATCATGTATGTAGTAGAACAGATGATTGGATCCAAACTCCTCATCTGCTGTTGAACATGTCTTTCAGGCACAGATAACCATCAGGCTTTGAGTAATTGTTGTATGTTGTTGCATGAAATGGACTCATCTATCAAGTCTACATCTGCATTTAGAGTACATAATGATCACTTTAATCAATGTATCATCACCGAAATGAGTAGAGTATGATCTTGGTTACAGCAGTCTGCAATTGTATGTTGGAAGAAATCCAAGATTTATTTTGTTTTTCTTTACTTTGCTTGAAGATCAATCCAGACAACTTGCACCATTTTCACTCCATTAGAGACAAAATTAAAACCAATGGCAACTTTTCTCCATTTCCTCTTACAACTTACTTGTTTTTTACTTCTCTTTTCTATTGGTGTTAATTTCCTTTGCTTTGATTGGCTGATATGTTGTATATTTGTACGATTTGCAATACTCAGCTGAAATGTGCATTTTTTCCAACTTCCTTTTTTTGCTTTGCATAACTTGTAATCGGTGGAACTATCAATTTTTTTAAAACTTTTTTTTATTTTAAGTAGTTAAAAGGATACATGCAAGTTTATAAAATAAGTGAGATGGTGCAAGCAGCCTGATTTGTCAAAATCCTGACATTTGTTGATCCAGTTAACCCCTAGTTTATCTAATAATAGCAGTAGACCACACTCTCTATCAGTTTATATATGTGTGATCTACAGCTGTAAATTGCATTTATTGTATATACATACATCAGTTTACATTATGACATCATGAATACTACATGAACAAGACTAAGGAGTTAATTTATGTGCTCATCAGTTTGTTGCCTTTGTGGCTTAAAATGCTTAAAAGTAAATTTTATCTTTAGTAAATGTAATATTTTGGAGTTTTATTTGACTCTTAACCTTTGATACTCAGGATTGTGGTACATATGTATATTTCCATTTCTGTTTATTGAATTTTCCATCCATTGATTTCATTTAGTGGTGGGGATTCTTTGGCTCACCATTCACAATTACAGGAAAAAGCTTATGATTAAGATAGAAAATTTTGAGAAAGACCAACTTTTCATATAGATGATGGACTCCTAAAGATGGGTAAAAAAAAGCTAAAATAAAATAACTATTCAGCAAGGACATAAATTATAAGTTGGCCCAATAATTGAAAGCAGTGGGCATAAAAGAGTATAATAACATATTACATATGCAGCAATTTAGCTTATAACAGGTTTTGGGGAAAATTATAAATAAAGATGTTTTTGGGAATAAAGAATTTGTTAGCCAATCATTTGTTTCAAAATGTGTGAAGTCTTGCTAGCAAACACTTCTCATCTACATGGAAGTCCAACAGAACTGAAAAAAGTTACTGTTCATTTGTCAAGGACAAGAAGATTTCCCCCCTTCTTTTGGTGAAACTGGCTTGTCTGTTGGCATAGCAGCAGACAAGCCAGGTTTTTTAAACCCCTGAATCTCCAGAGAATCACTAGACTCGAGCTACTTTTAATGTCTTTATTTGTGACTGCTTGTGAGCCCATACCTATGCCTCTGGAGTTAGGGTGGTGAACTTTAGGTGGAAGCTTGGGTTCAAGAGTTGGCCAGGTCATATTGTTGTGCTCTTAGGAATAACATGTTACTCTCACAGAACAACCCTCTACCCAGGAGAAAACGGTTACCATCAAATTATCAGGCTTAATGAAATGTTAAGGGGGTAACCCTGCAATGGAATAGTCCCACATCCATGGGACAGAGGGGGTAAAGTGATATTCTTAGTTGCTTCATGTTAAGGAAATTTGGATAGAATTATGACAAATGTCTCCATATCATTTTTTCTGAATTTAATTTGTCATTCAATGTTAAAAATATGCACTACATACTTTAATTGACTAAATAATCTTTGACAATGTTATCCTTTCACCTCTTTCAGACAGTAACAAGTGATCAGCCTTTTTAAGAAAATTGTTCTGGCCGAGTACATTCATGATAAATAACCAAGTCTGATCATCCATTTAAAAATATTTTTCCATTGAGTATTATTTTATTAGTTTGTGGTCATTGTTGCATCAGACAGTAATAATTTTATTAAATAACAAACAGTATCCACAATATGTAGGCAAAATATGATAAATTTCTTATTGCCTTTTAGCATTAGCATATTTACTTGACATAACACCATGGCATCATAACATTTTCAATGTTTCCAAGGAATAAAGTCTATGATTCAAGATCTAATGTTTCATTCTTTTACCTATCCCCCAAGATCTGATTGTGGATTTCTCTCCTTCCCTCGTTAAAAGTATTTGGTGTGAGATCATGATAATAATTAACTTTCTCCTGATAAGATTGAGTATTCTCATTACCTGCTTGCTGGATTCTGAATGTATATTAACAGGCAGAAGTAACATATTCATCACCTCTGAAAGTTAATCAAGAGTCAATCTAAATTTTCAAGGATGGTGTAGTTTATCAAGGTGTGTTGCACCTTTCATTTTTTTCTCCCAGTCCTAAAATTAACTCTGCATTCTTCTCACTGGGTGCAGCATTCATTCTGGATATAGAACATTAGTAACGTTTTCCTCCATCTTTGGCACTCATCCAAGGTTGATATTTAATCAAGTTAACATGAAAGTTAATGTCTATCCATTTCTACGTATGTAGTATAATTCTAATTATTATAAAGCTTTTGACTAAAAACTCGCCTTGACTTTCTTTTGCCTGTTTATAAAGAATCTAAAAAGTATGAAAGCAAGTAAATAAATCAGATTCAATTTTTCTAGTATTGGTGGAAATTTTTCAATATCCACATTCAGCTCACAAGCAGCTGAATTAAACACTATGACTAGATTTCTAAGATTTTGCAAATAAGAAGTATGTAGAATTTACTGACCTAAGCTAAACATTGTTTCTTAAAATTACAAACACCTAAAATTTTTTTTGGGTAAGGAACTTCTATTAAATGACAACAAAATCTTACTATGTTTGTTCATATGCAAAACATGACTATGGCTTTCATATGCTTAGGAGTTGTAGAAATACAAAGAAAACTTATGCAGCATTCTTTTCCTATAGAGTCTCTGGCTGATTGAGCAATGGAATGAAGACAAAATTATGCTGTGTAACAATACATCACTTACATGTCAATAAACCACAAATAGAAGCCCTTCACTAGGTCTTTTGTCTGGATTAAACCACTTTTGGTACACACACTTTTAACCCAATCTGCCTTGTTACCTCCAGTTTAAATTAGAAAGTCCTAAATTTTTCAACAATGTCAATAAAAGTTAATGTACTTTTTAAACAGTCATGAGACGTGAAGTAGCTGAGGAACTATTCCTTTGAGAGAAAGAAAAAAGCCTTCTTAATGGACACAATAGTTGGATTAAGTAAAATAAAATTCCGGGAAAAATTGAAAAAAAAACTGCTGAGACTAATATTACCAAAATAATGTTTGTCCAAAATTTAACAATATCTCTTTCCTTCATAAATTCCTCCAGTTCACTAACATGTAGAAATCTGTTCATGTATCCTTGAGGCAATTCAAACTGTGATGGCATAGGGAAGAGAGACTCATAAAAGTCTACCAGCAGTGCTTTGATGAGTTCTGCATCCTTCTGGCTGTGGTCTATGTTATCATTCAAGCAAACAAATTTCTTTTTCTTTCCTCTGATATTATCCAACTGTCGCAGGACAGCTGTGGCATTGTCACGAATCATGTGAAATGCTACGTCTTCATCTCCCACAGTCTCATATTTGTACTTTGCTGTACCCTTGTAAGAGTCATTCAACATTTTTAACAAAGGATCACACTGTTGAAGGAATTCCAGTGAAACTGATGGGATTCCGTGGTAACTTGGAATGGATGAATTAGTATCGGGCAGTGATTTGTTGTCACACTTCAAAAGGGTTTTCTCAAGTGAATTTAAGTCATTTAGGTCCAACGGTAATGTGTAAAGCCGTGCAGCTAAGGTACGTAACTCTCTCTCTGACAATACTCCTAAAAAATTAAAAGAAAAAGTGTTGCATTAGTGAGAAATATATATCTAAGTGTTTGTAAATGAATAGGTCTTTTACCCAAACTTGAGAAAAGTATTTTGGAGCATTGTATTCATTACACCCTAACATCAGTATGCATATTCTCCATACTGTTCTCTAGACACTTCCTTAAGTGCTGACAGTGAGAATTTGTCCAACAATCAGGAGCTTCTTTAGTTGGTGATCAGTTCCTTTATTCTCTTTGACCTTAATGTTAGATTCTGGGGTGATATTGTAAGGAGAAATTAGATACCAGTCACTCATAGGGGTTAAAGGTTTAAAAAAACAGGCTGAAATTTGTAATGCACTGATCTTTCTCATACTATCTTGAAACAAAATGGTTAGTAGAACTGTTGATCATTGCTTCATGTAGAAAACTAAATGAACCAATCAGTATCTGGTATCCACAAAGTAACTGGCTTACATGTATGTGTTCTCTATTGTACACTACTGGTAACTAAAAAAGGTCAATTACAACAGTCCCACCTGCACCTTTAAAGTTACTGTTGAATAAAAAGGTCTGTAAACAATGCACCTTTATTTAAAAGTTATGGAACTGGGGCTTCATGTTTGCCTACAAGGTATAGTGTGTCCATCAGCAAAGGTTCAAATAAACATATTCAACACACCTGAGTGATCTGCATCAACATCAGCAAAGAACTCAGTAACGTTTGGATCCTTCTTTTGACCAATCACAAAATAGTTGTAAGAAAATGCAAACTGCATGTCCTCAGAGCTTCGTAGCTTATGTGAGGATGTTTGGTCAAATTCTTCTGGCAAAAGAGATTGCAGCTCTTCCATGATTTTTACATCAATCATGTGCGGCATATGAGCAGGAACTTTACGTCCCATGTACCCAAACTTACGGTTATAGATCCGATGAACATGGAGCAATGAATCAGCAAAAGTGTCCAGTAATTTTCTACCAGGTTTGTGATCATTTGTGAATTCTTGTGAATGCTTTTGCCTGTCATGATATTTCAGAAGCTCCTCAAATGTCTTGTGCCTTTCCCAAGGGAGGAAACTTGTTACACTTTGGGATATTTTTGGTGACCAGTGTCCATAACGACTTCTCCACCGCTGTGTACTCTCCACTTGGTCTTTTTCAAATGACAATTGTTTCTGTTTTGTATTTGCAATCCAGTCAGCCAAGAATATCTCATCCTCAGTTGCTTGATCTTTCTTTACACCAATTTCAGCAAAAAGAGATTCGATTTCAGACACCTCCAAGGATAACAGCTTCCTCTGAGTGTGTGATTCTGTTTCTTGATTTCGTTGATGCTCAGAATCAACAATTATTTTGTCTTTCCTATTTTCCTAGGAGTAAATAAGTGTAAAGCAAGTTATAATGGAGGAGTCTTGAAACTTGCCTAAACTAGAATTACATAAGCAAAGTGAAATAGTATTTCTAATGCCTTTAAATAGCATGCAAAGACAAAAATCAAAAATCCTCTAAGGTTCACAGTCAGCACAACAAAAATTAAAAGGAAACTTAACCCTTTAACTCCCAAGATCTCATTAGTAATTCTCCTTACTGTCTGCCATACAGTTCTTGTGATGTTAGTTTTGAGAACTTGTTATTGGATCAACTAATAATACTTTGACTGATATTTCTCTTTATTCTCATCAATTGTCTGATTGATATTGTAAGGAGAAATTCTGTCTTGGTCACTCATGGGAGTTAAAGGATTAAGGGATTGGAATCAACCATATTTTCTTTTTAATGTCAAGATAAGCTTTTAATCCAAAGAATAAACTCACTGTAATCAAATTAAAGACAATAAAAGACCATGAGTTTTGATGGCCAAAACAACTTGTGCTCCCTTCCATTCCCCCCCCTCCCCCTTTATAAGGACCTAACCCATACTAAGGTGTAACAAACCTGCTGTCCTGTGAGTAACTTTGCAGGAGGGGTTACCTCTACTTCTGATTTAGGGAAAGGTGCAGTTAACACAGCTACTGGTGAGTGAGCTGGTTCAGTGGCAACCACATTGAAAAAGTCATGTAAGATCTTAGCTTTCTTTCTTGCATAACCTCTCTGTGTCAGGTCACCATTCTTGTACTCTTTCTCTACCTCCTCCAGAGAGATTTCAACATGTTTTGGCAAAACTGTGTCATTTGATATGTGTGGTATCTCATATTCATGACTGGCTAAGGGAGGCCATGTTGGTCTGGTAATTGACTCATTACCAGCCACCACCCAATAATTCAGCGATCTATTAGCATTCTGAATTCTGATTGGATAAATAGTCCTTGGGAGTGTCTGTACATTTGCAGAAGGTGTCACCTCTGTTGTTGTTGTTGTCATCCTTAATTTGCCGATGTTTGGGTTTGTTGTTGGAACTTTTTGGATTTCCTCTAACTTTCTTGTGTCTATGGTTACATTTAAGTTCACAACCACTTTTCTTGATTCATTCTTGTCCATAAATCCTTCAATTTTGAAATGAATACCTTCCACTGTAAAGTTATCTCGCAAAGTGAGGGTAAAGACTTTAAATTTTTGAGCCACAGTAGCAGAACGAACACAGCGCATCTCAGAGTATTCACCAGAGGTGACCCTTCCTTCACTGAAAAATGTTGAAATGTTGAAATAAAGCACGGAAATGCCACGAGGTAAAGTGACAGATTGACTATCATGATTCACATCAACATGATACAACTCATTGAACTGTGATATTCCACAGTCACCTGCATCAAAACCGCACTGAGCAACATTACAAGCTACGTCACAATAGCGATCACCAACCCATGTATCTGCACATCCTGGAGAACAAAACATTATGCGATAACTTCCATGTTGACTTTGCCATCCTTGATAATTAAACTGCGTCTTCCTTTTCACTCCAATACAATCACCACCATCCCAATCACATTCTGACACATTACAAGCCTTGTCACAATACTTGTCATTAACCCATGAGGACGGACAACCTTCTTTACAGTTTGGGACAGGCCAGGTTAAATAGATTTTTTGTCCATTTGCATGAGTGTAGAAATCATCTGGCCAAACATCATCAGCAAACATAACATCATCATTGAGATATATAAACTTTGGGGATAATCCGGGAATACGGTGAAGGTGAGACTCGATAGCTGGAGAACTAAATGTTGGAAGATGGCTCTTATTCAAAAAGAGCTCTTCATGGGTAACTATGTTAAGACGTGGATTATCCAAGTTGAGCCAAGATGGTATTTGGCCATTTGTGACAATAAAAATTTTTCGCACCCAAGGTGCATGTTTTTCAACTGAACGGAGAGAATATTTCAGTTCTTCATTATCTGCAAAACGACTTGCAGAAATGTCAGCATCTTCCTTGTCCTCAGTATCTGTGCCATGTGATACAGAAAATGAACCCCAGATCAACAGTGCAGGGGTTAATGTTAAAGATTTACCATTCACCTGCAAAGTTAATTTCAAAGCAGAAGAGGCGGTGGTCTTGTCAGAGAAGTAAGCCACACCAATAAGTTTATCCGCATGAAAAATCAAATTAACAAATTTGTCTCCAAAGTGGTCTCTCAAATCTCTCTTAACCTTTTCAACTTCATTCTCTCCTTTTAAGTTTAAAATCATGATCTCTTTGTCACTGTTAACTGCATTAGGCCGTGATGCATCACTTGTAAAGTAACCTTCTTTACTTTGAAAACTCTTCTCCCGAAGTCGGATCTTAACTTTCAAAGCGTCATTAATGTCGCTTTTTCCACGGAATTGAATTACACCCACGTGTTCTATTTTTGAACCAGATGAAGATATGTTGTAATAATTAGTTGCTTTCGCGAGCGAGGGATCAATCGCACGTATTTGTGATAACTGCACGTCTCCAGGGAGACCATTCTCTACAATAACACAAAAGGCAGGAACGCAATTTTCGAATGGGCAGCGAGAGTTCTCGATTTTATTTTCACTTTTTGCTGCTCCTTCTTTGTTCTTCTTCTCCTTCTCCTTTGATTTTACAGCTTTTGCAGCAAGAAGCTCACGAATTTCCTGGTCTGTAGCGTTTGTTTCCTTTCTCATCTTTTCTATTTCGTTCAATCTCGTACGATTTTGTTGGAGTTCAATTTCTAGTTTGAGTTTCTGTAAGTCTGCAAGTAACTTCGGATCGCTTCCGTTTACCCATGTATACACGATATCAATCGGTAACGGAAGACAAAGCCTGCTCTGATACGAATTCCCAAGAATATTATCGTGGTAAGCATTAAACGTGACTGCATACTTCTGCATACTCCATTCGAGAAAAACTTCCCCAAACTGAAATGCTGAGATTAAGGTCAACAACATGCCTCCGATACAGAGCCATATTCCATATCGGGACGACAGGCATGTGTACGTCTGCCTTTGTACAAGCTTCCAAAGCGTCTGACATACTGCTCGTTTCATTTTCACTGAATCTTGGAGCTTTCTTTGAATCTTTTGTGGACCATTAAAAATCGCCGGGTGTCCGCCATGTTCGATTCACCTGTCATATGATTACAAGGGGAATGACCACTGATCAGCGCGTGACTTCTACTGCTGTTTCAATGACATGCGCACTAGCGTCCCTACGTGGCATCGTTTCGTTAAAAGGGACGAGATGATGAAAACATCTGAAAATACACGTATTTACCTTAAATTTTACGACATCTGTAGGCTGAACTGTGCCTGACTGACAAATATTGCCATCAGAGTAAAATTTTTTTTTCTCATATAAGCTTGCAAAAAAGGCATGATGCGTTTTATACTTTTACGAAATATCTTACGAACAAGCCTGTTTTATAGCGTATTCTTAATTTTGACAGAGAAGGGATTATGTAAGTATATATATCCATCAAATCAACCGTCGTTTAATATTTTGCATCTATAGTATAAATCATACGGAGCTTAATGGCATAGATAGCTGAGTTGAATAAAATATCGTAGTTATTTTTAGATTTTATTGTATTATTTGGTGCATAGGTGAGGAACTTTCAGAACAAGGTGACAACAATTCTCCTGGGAACACCGTAAACAACGCTCAGGAGGAGGTATGGAGATTAATGTTCTGGGATGCATGAAATCCTTTGAGTTTCTGTGTGGGCCAGGATTCGTTAATTTTACTATAAGTACACGGATGCAGACCTGTGATTATTTCTAATCTAGAGATTTTTGCTTTTACACGAGTTTCTTGTTAAATCTATTTGATTTCACCCACCTTCACTGTCATAAATACCTGCCCTTTCCCCTCTCGTCCAACCCTTGTTGCTAACTAAGTGAGCCTGATTTGTTTGCAGCTGGTGGCTGGTGTAGGGAAAAATAGGGCTCTTTCAAGACAAGGGATTATTATTATTATTCATAAATCTAGGTTTTTTCTCTCTACTCACTCCCTTCGTACTTTATACAATTCTATGATCCTTCCATATTTGTATTATTGCAATTTAGCTTGGGCTGGTACCTATAAGTCAAACCTTCAAAGAATTGTAACCTTACAGAAACGTGCGTTAAGAATAGTAAGCAATTCTACATACATTGCCCATACTGGCCCTATTTTAAAGGAACTTAAACTCTTAAAATTTCATGATATCCATTCGTTTCAATTAGGTACTTTTATGTTTTCATTCAAGAACTCTACACTCCCTTCCAAATTCAATAACTTTTTTTTACTGAATAGTCAAATCCACAATTATAATACTAGGAATGCTCAGTCCTTCCGTTTGCCACTGTGCAGAACGAACACCAGGAAGTTTTCAATTTACTTTCAAGGTCCAAACTTTTATAATTCGTTAAATTCTGACATAACTAGTTCTCCCTCCTCTTCTTTTTAAAAGAAAGCTTAAGGAATTTCTTCTCTCTAAGTATTAGCTTCTGTAAGGCAGTAATTCTTAACTAACTTAGTTAATATGTGTGTGCGTGTGTGTGTGTGTGTGTACGTGTGCGGGTCAAAGTTAATTACCATAAGTCCATATTGTAATTCTAATATAAGATTAGTTATTTTAAGTGAGAAAGCCTGACTTGTTATAAGCCTCGTGGTTTCTTTCAGGTTTTCTCGCCATTTATTTTCTGTCATCAATTTTCTTCATTTTTTTTTTTCCATGTGTAAATGTCGTATATGGCAAATAAATATTGTATAATATTGTATAAGGGAGAAATACCAGTTTTTCCTTTCAGGGTTTGGTTTCTAGCTGAATAGACATCCCTCTCATGGAATTTTTTTTTAATCCTTCCTAGCCCAAGATCTGAAAATCAATTCACTATGCTGTCTTTTATACTCTTTTTTCAGTTTTAGCTCAGATAATTATTGAAAATTTTAGATTTGAGAATTAAGAACTTGATATTACACTATTTGTTATCCCTCAGCTGATATTTTTATTTCTTCTCACAACTTTTTTGCTTGAAATTTTTGAAACAATGCAAGGATAATTTCCTTTTTGGTCACGTTAGGGAGTTATGATTGTCTTGTTCAGAGAAGCATTTAAGTAGCTAATGCTGATGGGTTCTATCTTTTTTTTTAGGAGTCTGTTGTTAAAGATTCTGCACAAGGTGACAAACAAAGAATTGATGAAAAACCAAGTGAACAAACTGATAATTTAGACTCATGGACTGAAGAAGTTCAAAAAGAGGTCCACAATATTGAGACTCTATCCCAAAAACATGAAGCAAGTCAAAGTTCTGAGCAGACAAACACAGACTTAGATAACCAAAAAGCTTATAGTGACAGTAAGGAAGAAGTATCTGGACAAGAAAATGAACCTTCTAGTGAGGAATATAGAGCAGATGGAACTGCTAAATCAAATGGAAAGGCTCATTTAACAAAGTCTAGTGAGGAAAATGATAAACAAGGAGAAAAATTGAGGGAAGACCATGTGGATAGTCTTCCTGAAAACATTGATGATAAATATGATTCTGGCACAGGGGCAGCTGCTCACTTGGAAAGAGTAGATGGTAAGGAAAATAAGAAAGAAACATCGCAGCAAATTAAGAGAAAGAAATCCCAGACAAGAAAAGGGCGAGCAAAAAAGAAATTGATTGAACGTGAGAGAATAGAGGATTGGTCTGACAATGATGATTATTACGATGATGTTGATGAGCTGTATGATGACAACATGGATGATGATATGGAGGATGATGAAACTATGGATGATGATGTTTTGAGTGAGAAAGGTTTAAATGATGAAGAAACTGATAGTATTGATTCATGGAAAATGACAGAGAAGCCTTTGGATGAATCAGAAGATTTTGATGATGAGGATGATGATGATGAACTTAAAGAACAAGAAGATTTGCAGGAAGAGATCAAACAGCTGAAAGGTAGATATGAAAACTCTGCTATATTTTCTGGTATGTTTAAGTTAATGTAATTGTTTGCTTAGGACTTCTCTTGGGTTGTATTTTTGTCCTAAGTTTGTCACATGCTAAGCTTTATTTTATAGTACAATCTAAGCTGTTTTAAGCAACACCATATTAAATGGTCACCCTGTATTAGGTAGTCAGTTTTTTAAGTCTCTGATTTGTTTTCCTTTATTACTGTAATGTCAACCTTTGTTAAGTGGCTACCTCCATCAAGAGTTTGTGGTTACCTTTAACTAAGTCCTAATGGCCCATTTGTATTGTCCTCCAGCTCTATTGAACTGTAACGTAACCCAGTAACTCCTAGAAATGGTTAACTTCAGCCTATAATCTCCATACATTGTCCAGCAAACAGGTAACAAGAATACCCAAACTTATCAAGTTGACAGAAGTTGTTGTCTTGATCCAACACCAAATTGTCGTAACCAATTAACAAGGAAATGTGTAACAGCAAGAGGGGAGAATTAACAATCAGATCTTGGAAAGTTAAAGGGTTAAGCAGAACCACTCAAATAAAACTAAGAAATATCTCTCAAATCAAATTATTTCCATGTTTTCTCTCATGAAATCCATGTTAGTACTTTGAGTTCAAATGTCTTCTACACATGGCAGATTATCTTTCTTCTTAGGATTGTAAGGACAAAAATGAGTTTTTGATTGCATTTCACTGCCACTACAGTAAAATGTGGATCCTTAATGTTGTGGTGAAACTGTATTAACCCTTTCCACCCTAACATCAAAATGCATTTTCTCCTTCCTGTTTTCTATACAATTTTTAAGGTGCCAATGAGGAAAATTTGTTTATCACAGGGCATGAAATTAACTTTTTTTTCTGATAGCCACTTGGCTCCTAAATTCTTCAAAGTGGTAGCCAATTCAAAAAAGTTGGTTGCCATTTTCAAAGACAAACAAAATCTTTCTTTATGCTGTCAGAGTTCAAGATAGACCCTCCAAAATTAAGTTAGGGAAAAGATCTTTAACTTGCTACAAAGTGGACACTAGGATGGATGATATACAACCTTCAGGCTCATCTTAATCCAAGATGGCGTCTAGTTATCGATCGAGATGCATGTGCTACGTTTTGGAAACAAACTTAACGAGGAAGTTTGCCGCGGATTTATCTTTGCAAATCTTTTTAATTCACTATATCTCTTGGTAAGGTTATGATGAAACATTCTAGTCGCCAATTTGGCGACTAACTTTCGGGATTTGGTCGCCAAAGTGAAAAATTTAGTCGCATTGGCGCCTGTATTAGGCGCAATTTCACACCCTGTATTAATCAAGAAAATATATAGTTGGTGATTGTTTCCTCTATTCTCAAGACCTTCATGTGTGATACAGGGGTTATACTGTTGGGAGAAATTAGATACTAGTCACTCTCAGGGGTGTAAGGGTTAAGTGGTCACCCTGCCTTTGGCTGTGCATGACCACCTAATACAGGTTTGACTGTAATTCACAGTATGTGTTAAAATAAGTTGGTAATATAAACATCAAGTCAAAGTATACTTTAGTTTTATCATGCTTGTTATAATTACTTATGTTTTCTGAAGGATGGACACCAGAGCAAAACAATTTATTTTGCTAACATTTACATCTGCATTATCAACAGTTTCCAGGGTTGAAATAAAGTTACCTCACTGTAATGTAATTGGAAATGGTTCCAGTCTGACTCATATGATCTTAACACATTATGTGTTTTCCTTCCTTAGAACAAAACCAAGAAATAAAGAAAGAAAATCAAGAACTCAAAGGTTAGATTTTTCCTACAAATGTGGTTATTCATACTGCAGTGTGTATTTTCTCATTCAATTATGCTCAGGTCAAGTAAAAGAGTTGAGAGTAATGTGTGATCAAAATTGGTCAATGTGTAATAGCAACAAAATCATTTCAATGACCTATTACTCTGATGAAGTAACATTGTCAGTGTCTTGAAACCAGGTGACCACATCCTTTTATAAAGGCCAGGAAATTTGAAATATAGCACCTTAAGTTAACCCTTTCACTCTCAGCATCTCACTAATGATTCTCCTTAGTGAGTACTATACAGTTCTTATAATGTGAATAATGAGAATTTGGTATTGAATCTGGTAATAATCCCCTAAACAATATTTGTCTTTATTCTTATCACTTTGCTTCTTGATACTGAAATTGAAATTGTGAGGATAAATTCTGTTTTGGTCACTCATGGGAGGAAAAGGGTTAAAAGTCACTACAGAGTACAAAAAAGATCATCAATATATGACCATTGTATCTGATATTGGTCAACAGATTCAACTTTACTTCTTGTTCTATGTTCCAAGTGCAATTCCTTGAAATAAAAACAGTTTTAATTAAATAGTAGTTTTTGTTATGTTTGCTTGATTAGAAGAGGTTGGCCACTTGCTTTACCAAGATGCCACAGCACTCCTAAACCAAACAAAACCAAACTACAAGAAGTATGTATGAACTAAACATTTATGTGTTGTTGATTTTAGGAATGTCTCTATGAACTTATACTCACCATTTATTGTTACAGAGCATATAGCTTACTGGAAGAAGCTGCCTTTCTTCACAACTTTACCAAGGCTCAAGAACTGGTTGCTCTATCCTATCTGGTTTGTATATACATTCTTTTAATAAAAAAAAATTGGGAAATGGACTTTTGACATCAGTAATCAGGCATCCTGTTATCAGTATATTTGAAACAGAATTTTGGGAATAGAAAACTTGGTATAACCACTTCTTTATATCACATGTTATTCTACACAAGTCAGAAACACATTATTCCTATACATGATTTGTTTGTGACAGTTTGGTGATCATCTTCCTCGCAACATTTCCAAAGCAGTGCTGATGTTGACAGACCTCGCCAACAAAGGCTCAGCTGTTGGCCAACAGGTAATGACAATAAATTCCTGTATTCATTCAGTCCATTCCTTCATTGCTAGGGAACAGTGTGCATGTTGTAGTTCAATTTTTCCTTAATTGATTTTTTTAAGCAGAAAAGGATAATGAAAATCAAATTGGTTCAGAATGATTTAAATCAAGAAAAAATTATATGCTAACCACAACATATACATGTGGTGTGGTATGAAATTTTAAAATTGATTTGATTTGTTGCAGACTCTAGGATTCTTGTATGCTACTGGTATTGGTGTCAACTCTAGCCAGGCCAAAGCTCTTGTTTACTATATGTTTAGTGCATTAGGAGGAGACTTCAAAGCTCAAATGGCTCTGGTAAGATCTTTTGCCAACATTCTTCATAGACTCCTCTATTTAAAGTTTATTATTATTATTATTATTATTATTATTATTTTGGTATTTCCTTGTGTTTTACCCTCTTAATAGGATAATAGCACAAAGAAGACACAATAACAAGGGGATTGGAAACAACAAGTTTTGTTCACTTGCTTCCCACCTCAGGGGCCATTGTTTGATCTTTAAATCGTTTGGATAGTTCTTGTTCTTACTCCAAGCATATTTTTCCAGGTCTTCTCAGTTTCCTCCTAATTAAAACAAATACTCCAAATTTCAGGTTGACAAGGAAGCAGCTCATAAGAAAATATGTTAGGTCACTTATGACCAGAAATTTAAGAGTTTTTCTTTTTGCTATATTATTTTGTTGTAGGGTTATCGTTATTGGGCAGGGATAGGAGTAGCTGCTAATTGTGAGTCTGCACTGACTTATTACCGCAGAGTGTCCAACAAAGGTATGTTATGTAGACAAACTATATACTTAGGTCCTATTTAACCCTTCACTCCCAGATGGGATTATGTTGTACATTAAGTTTTCTTAGCAATTTCAATACAGTGTTGGTGGACATGCTTGTAGCTATCATTCAGAGGGTAATTTCTATAAATATAACTCAGGAAAATTGATGCCATCTAGATGGTGAATATCCCATCAGATCGCTGTAGTTTAAGTTCTGTTGTAACCACAAGGCAGCTACCGTGTGTTCATGTAGGAAGTTTTTTTTATAGTTGCAGAGGATGTCTCCTTAACTGGTGGAGCTGCCACTCAAAGAATACGGCTTATAGATGAAGAAGAACAGGTGAATTGCATGCAGATATGTTTTACTGCCCACTTAGAAACAGTTCTTGTTTATGGTTGATTTGGTTTTGTATTTGTGTGGGGAAGAGTTGTTGGCAATGAACAAAGTGGCTCAAATAAGTCATTCTTAGAGAAGGACGTTTTTTCGCCTTGTCACAAGCGTGGGTCAGAGGAAAAATTCTGAGTCCCCATGAGGAATCAAACCTCAGACCTTGGATTCCGCACTTCAATGCTCTACCACTGAGCCACAGAGACTCTGTGGTTGGTGAGGTCTACTATGAAGTTCATATGACACATATCCTGCATCCTGCTAAGATCAGAAATGTCAATAGTGATTTTTAGTTGCTATGTTTCACTCCCTCATGGCTGTAGGAAAACTATGACAATGACAGACTGAGACAAATCCCTAAAACACTAAAGTAACTCCTTCAACTTGCATTTTTGTTCTAAGGGTGGAAGCAGCTCAGTGCTAGATGAAGACCTCATTCAGTATTACCAGTTTCTTGCTGATAAGGGGGATGTACAGGCTCAGGTATGTTTTATGTGGACTCTCCTGCCAGGAAGCAGGTTTTTCATAAAGAATTGTAGTAGAAAGAGTGTGTACAGTGTAATGTTAAAGGGGAAAAATTCTTAATCTTTCAAGCAAAATAGCACAGGCTGTCCAAGGTTAGGGATATTTCTAATCAGCATTGACCCTTTAACTCCCATAAGTGACCAAGACAGATTTTTTCCTCACAATACCAATACAATATCAAGCAGACAAGTAACAAGAATAGAGAAAAATATCAATTAGGGGATTATCAGTTGATCCAATACCAAATTCTCAAAACTAGCATTACAAGAATTGTATGGCAGACAGTAAGGAGAATTACTAGTGAGATCTTGGGAGTTTAAGGGTTGATGTAACAATTCATTGAATGTATTCAAAGGTTTGTTCTATTTCTGCCCTTTGAGACAAATCAATGTCTCTATTGGCTGATATTCACAACACACAACCAAAAGGGTGATACATGTAGTTGTGTTGGCATGCTGATAAGAAGGCTCTGAATATCTGCAAGTCTGGTATTGCAAATTTCAGTAGCTATACTTGCACCTTGGTGAAAGCCAGTCATTTGTTCAGATATAATAATTATTTAAGGAACAACAGTGCAGCAAAGATATTTTTGACATATTTACATTTTCTTTATTTAAAAACATTTCTGTAGGTTGGCCTTGGTCAGTTACATTACCAAGGAGGGCGGGGAGTTGAAATGGATCATGCAGTAAGACTCTTCTTTATTATTTTTCTCTGAAATGTGGCATTCCGTTTTGAGCTTAAAGTTACTTATTATGAAACGCTTTTGGTGAATTAACAAAAAAATATTTTTTACCTTCAGAGAGCCTTCAGATACCTCCAGCAAGCTGCTGATGCAGGAAATTCAAATGCCATGGCCTACTTGGGAAAGGTATACAGTCATGCAGTTAATATCAGATATTGTGATCTCAACGTACACAATGTTATAACCTCATCTTTGTTTTTATGCACCTACGATACACTCTCCATGAGAATTAAAGAGGCAAGTAGGCAAATGTTTACTGGAATATGATACACCATCTATTGTACTGTAATAAGGTAAGTTGTGGAAGTTAAGCGAGAGTGTGAATCAATCTAAGTCCCTCATGCCTTGTGAAAATCAAACCAGTTGTAAGTTTTAAGTTGCATGGTTTATTGCTGAGGGAACCTGATTTTTTCATATGTGACCAACACTGAGCACACTGCTAGTATTAACATTGGTCAAAGTAACCTGTGTAGAGATGATTACCATAATGGACAATAAAACCCATAACTGGTTAGCATCTTATCTAAGGAGAGCTCAATGCTAATGGAAGTTTCATTTTCTACTTGCAGCAAATGTAGATGTAAATCACCAAATCACTTGTATTTTTCAGATGTACTCAGAAGGAAGTACTGCTGTCAAGCAAGACAATGAGACAGCCTTCCAGTGGTTCAAAAAAGCTGCAGATGCTGTAAGTGAATAATACCTGAAAGGTGATGTGTTTGTGAGGCTTCCAGATCTCTACAAATGAGAACTTTCTTATTCTTGTTTCCTTTTATTATGATTGCAGGGTAATGCTATTGGCCAAAGTGGCTTGGGTTTGATGTACATGTTTGGGAAAGGGGTGAAGAAGGTGAGTGAACTAAGATTGTCACTTTTTTGTTGAGTCTATAGAGCAAGAAGTAGGAGTGTGTCTGAATAAAAGTTTCTGTCAATGCATATCAGCCAATTTTGAGATTAATGATCAGAAGCTTGCCTTTGCATTAAATTTAACAGGACTATGAGAAAGCCTTCCAATACTTCAAACTGGCTGCTGAGCAAGGTTGGGTTGATGGACATCTCCAAATGGGAACACTGTATTACCGTAAGTTCTTTCCTAAAGTTGGTTTCTTTCTTTGTGTTGCTGAAATCTAACTGTGTTATCCTTAAAATATTTGGTTGAGAATACTGGTACTCATCGCTGGCTTCCCTAAAAGCTTGCCACCCCAATGTAATGGGTCAAACCATCTGTCTCTCACTCCAACCGGGTTGTTGTTCATTGCAGATGGACTTGGTGTGAGGCGCGACTATAAGATGGCCATCAAGTTCTTTAATTTAGCATCACAGACTGGTAAGGGATGCTATTGACTATCCCCAACAACTCAAGCACATTATTACAATTACAGTTATCTGGTGTGATAATCTAGCTGACAATAGTCCTGAATAGTACCAATCACAACCAACAAATGCTACTCGAGTCTTACAGCCAATCACATTGTAACAAAACTGACCAATCAGTTTCACAAAACAGAGTTACTTCATTCAACTATGGAGTAACTCGTCACTGAATCTGATGATGACTTACACCTAGATTATCAAAGATTTATTAATAGAAATGGAAGTAATTCTTTTTTGGACTACCTCTATGCCCTCTCAAGGACTATCACACTACACAAGTGAATGTCACTCCTTGGTCTAAAATATGTACTGAATTTAAAAAAAAAAAAAAAAGATAAGGTCTGTGAAAAGATTGATTTAAGGCACCTGTTAATGATTAATAAAGCCAATTGCCCCGTTATAACAGTTGATAAAAACCAATCCTATTGTTGACTAGAATGATATTTTACTGACCACATTTTGAGGAGTATGTTCATGGAGCAACTTATCTCACAGCTGACACTGTTAACCTTTTAACTCCCAAGATCTGACTGTTAATTCTCCCCTCTTGCTGCTACACATTTCCTTGTAAATTAGTTATAAGAGTTTGGTCTAAGATCAAGACAACAACTTCTACCTGATAAGTTTGAATATTCTCATTAGCTGTTTGTTGGACAATGTAAGGGTATTAGAGGGAGAAGTTTTATGTTGATCACTTCTGAGAGTTAAAAGGTTAATTAGTTCAGTGAGCATGAAGAATCAGTTTTTGAGGCTTGATAAGTCATAGAATTTATGTCACTAAATGTACTATTTTAGGTCATGTCCTGGCATTTTACAATCTTGCTGTCATGCACGCATCTGGAACAGGAGTCTTGAGATCTTGTAACACTGCAACAGAGGTAGGTTTTCAGTTAAAGTGTGGAAAGATTAAGGAGTTTATAGAAAAAAATGGAATATGATTGTTTAAAATGAACCCATGTCTTAACTACATTTCTTTTGTGAACAGAAAATGCTTTCCTAGTCCTGTTTTGTTGTATGAAATTGTTGTGAAGCAAAATCTGTGGATTGCCAGAGAAAATATTGTATATAACTGCTGGTTACCAGTCATTTTTCCAGTTTAGGCAAATGTTTTGGAAATTATATTTACACCCAAGGAGACGATAACTAAGCTATGCTAAGTATGCTGGTAAAAATGAAAGGCTCTTCAAGTAAATCAAAGCATTTGTATACCAGATACATCATATCTGCCCCTTTCCTCCCTAGGACCAAGTTATGTTTGTTGTAGACTGCCATATACACAGAGTTTTGGTGAAGGACATAATTAATTACATTGTTCTGAGTGTGGGTTATCTTTTCCCGAACAGCTTTTCAAGAATGTTGCAGAGCGCGGAAGGATAGCACAGATGTTAATGGAAGCACACGAGGCATACCGAGCTGGTAATATAGATACTGCCCTGCTGAAGTATGCATTGCTAGCAGAACTGGGATATGAAGTTGCGCAAAGCAATGTAGCCTACATTCTTGACCATGGTAAGCTTTTTGTTTTGTAATCCACCATGTTGTGTAGAGTATGGAAGTCAGTAATGTGGATATCATTATGAAAATACATACATTTAAGCTCTGAAACAGCAGTCTACTATAACAGACTGGCTTCTCTATAATAACAAAGTTCATAGGCAGTGTTAAATCTTGGCTACATACACTGTACATGACTGAGGGTCCTGCTTCCATTTGCAGTTTCTGTGTAGTGCTTAATGGTAGGAGTAAGGAATCAAATTTAATGCCCTATTTTCTTTAATACTTGGCTCTAAGAAAAAGTCTGGAAGAGGATAGAATTAAGGGAATTGATATTCAAAGGAAGGATAGTCTAAATAGAGTTAGTCCTTATGAGATCCCTCTACCATTTTGAACACATGGTTCTGTGTAAAGTTTGGTATTCCCTATCATGGCAGTATCATCATAAACACTTGGATTTTGTGAAAATCTGTAAATATGGTGTGTCTAAACACTGGAGAATTGACTCGGGAAACCTTATGTGGTGAAAAGATAGTAATTGCCTGTATTTGTGACAGGTTTGACTTCAGTGATACTTGAGAATGAAACATTTCCCCGAGCCCTGCTGTACTGGACAAGAGCAGCCTCTCAAGGTAAATTAGATTAACTTGGAAGGAAACATTATAATTTTAATTGTAAAGCGTCAAAATGCTTGATCAAAAGCTCATTTTGCAGCAGTATTCATAGTACATGGAAGCAATTGAGATTGAGATATAATATCCCTTTGTGTGATGGAAATTATATTTTTGTCAAATTATTTCTCAAGTTGATATTTTGACAACTGATTGCCAAAATGACTGCAAAACAGGCCTTGTATTTGTACATTTGTTGTTTATACTTATGTGTGCAAAGTGCACACTTTGGAACAACCTTTGAGGCTGTTAATTTGACAAAACGTACAACATAGTGTTTTGAAGTATTGTTCAACAGTACATTTGAAAACTTCATTTTATAGTGACCGCTGAATAAAAAAAATGAGTGTACTTCTTTTTATTAGGAAGTGATTGAGTGGAAGTAAAACCTTGAAGTGAAGCCTTAGAAGTGATTGACATGTAAATTTTCCTCACAATATCAAAACATTAGCGAGGAGTTACTGAGAGTAAATAAACCTGTCTACTGATGGGTGATTTCTTGATGAAACAACAAATTCTCGTAAATGATTAAGGGAAAATGAATAGAAGTTTAAAAAGAGTACTACAAATTAGATCTTAGCACTGTAATTACAGGTAGTTGACTGTTTTTTTTTCTTCATTGTCATTGAAAGGAAACACTGCAGCAAGAGTGAAAGTTGGTGATTACCATTACTATGGATATGGAACAGATATTGACTATGAAACAGCGGCATTCCATTACAGACTGGCTTCTGAACAGCAACATAACGCACAGGCAATGTTTAATCTGGGCTACATGCATGAGAGAGGACTGGGTATGAGACAGGTAAAGCAACGTTATTTCTGATGTAACACTTTAAAGTGACATGAAATTTGAATGTTGGTCGTGGAAGGTTGTAGAGAATGATTCTTCTCAGAGCAGAAGAGCAAGAAATATCCTGATTTAATGACGGTTACATTATTTTGAAACCCATCTCTTAAGCATACAGCTGAAGTTCATGAGAAGCATCCAAAATTCCTGTAACTGTACAAGTTCGGGTTTGAACCCAGAATCTTCAAAACTTGAGACAAACAAGCTTCCAGTTTGTTAAAAGTTATGCTCTCCCTGAAGTTAATTTAAACCCACCATACAATGAAATTCAGACCACTTTATGTTACTCACTACTGGAAATTTAAAGGTTGAAAAGGTATGTAACTTAAGGGTCTAAATTATTTGTTAAATCTCAATAACTTGTGGAATTTTTTTTCTGTCAGGACATTCATCTTGCCAAAAGGTTTTATGACATGGCAGCTCAGACCAGCCCTGATGCCCAGGCCCCTGTCTCACTTGCTCTGTTGAAGCTAGGCGTGTTTTTTACTTGGGAATGGATTCAAGAGGTATCAGAGGAAATTGCCTCTAAAAGCTTTAAATTCACCTCCCACATCTGTTTTCAGAATTTCGCCTTTTCACGTAGAGAAATTTTTTTACAAAGTTACCGGCTTTGATAGCTTTGATAGCTTTCACGAAGCTTCTCCCAGATACTTTGAAAAATAGATTAAACAGAATTGAGAGATGTAAAATGTACATACATCGTTCAAAAGATCACAGAATAGCCCTAGAACGGGTAGAAAATGGACGGAATGTCGAGAGGAAAATGGGATAATTAAAGTGGACTCAAATTTCCGCTTTTGTTTCCCATGACAACCGTCAAGCGTTGTTCCCCTGTGATTGACTGGGCCAGACTAATCTTTGAGATATTCAAATGAACGTCTCTCTTAATAGTTTTCCCTTTTTATTGTTTGTTTTTCAGAATTACGGATCATTGAACTTGTCAAAGTTTACCAACTTTGTTGGCGATGACTGGGATATTTATGCAATGACAGGACTTGCCCTCCTGTTTGGAATTCTCCTTCTACTTCGAAGGAGACAATAAACATCTTTTGTAGAATTTGTACAGTAACCTTAGCTTGTATGACTTTGCAAAAAATTTTTGATTATAAGCATAATAAAATATTCCGGTTTCTTGTGGTTGGGTGAGTTTTACATTTGGGGTTTCTATTTGCCGTAAAGGGCTAAGCTAAGGATGGAAAAGATTTACATCAACGGAAAACTGAGAACTCAGACACTCAAGGCAGGATTTACAAGCTGGATCATTTCTCGTTTAATTCCTTTTTAACCAAGAGATCTTTTGAATTTTATGCCATCGCAATTTATTTGTTTTAGATATCCTTTAATTTTTAACAGTTTCCGGGAACTAGTTCCTAATTTTCTTTTTCAGAAACACTGCATGACCATTTGAGATTTTTAGCTGAGAATTTCCCCATCAGAACAACTTCACTGCAGTTTTTTCTTGCACAAAATTGTTTATTTTCCTTTGTTTCAAACTCATTATCGCACGTTATGCAAACTCGAACTACGAGGTAACTTAATTATGATGCACAAGAAACATTTGACCAAAATATTTTTGATAGGTTTACTTTTGAGCGCCGTTTTGTCGCCTGTTAGTCATTAAATCAGTCACAATCGCTTCAAAGTCATGTATGAAGCTACATCAACTAGTTGTGTCAATGTTCACTTTTTTGCTACGTAATCACAGATGTTCAATTATAGAAAGTAAAATTTCCAGGTACCAAAAGCCTATCTTAATGCCTAGGATTTTCACTACATGTTTGAAAAAATCACAGAATAAAACTGTACAAGGATCGCAAATTGCGCTCTAAACCAACGCTTTAAATTTGTCTGCATAGAAAAAGTCAATCCATGTGTAAATGATCGAGTGACGGAACACTGTTCTCATTTCTTTAGCATTGTTCGTTCTCTTTTTCTTCAAATTGAAGCGTGACGTCATCACCAATGATCACAAATGGAGCCCAGTTCTTTGGAGCACTAAACTTCTCAGATTCTCTCATGAATTTCATAGCTTTATTGAGAGCCGTACTAGCTTTGTCACCTTTCCTGAGATGTTTATAGAATGTTTTCATGAATTCCATTGTAGCCTCGTCACCAATTGCCCAGAGTGACGCTAGAACAGAGCGGGCACCAGAAGCCAAGAGAGCCCATGCCATGCCAACCACGCCTTCGGCAGAAACGTTCCCTCGACCACTGTAACAACAGCTAAGCACGACAAGTCTTGCTCGAAGCTTCAGAGCTTTGATATCTGACATTTTTAGCATGCAGTCTTCCTTCTTCGGTTTCTGGCACTTCCTTGAAGGATTTGGGGCCAAACAAATGTCACCTGTCGCCGCGCTTCCATGCGTTGCGATGTGGACCAAAGCGACAGAAGCAATGCGTTTCAGTACTTCGTCTTTAGTCGCTTCCTTTCCGACGAGTGGTGTGGCATTAATAATTTCTCCGATCATTTGCACTTCCTTTTCAGCGTGAGGCAGTGGCTGAAACCAAGGTTTTCCAAGGAAATCTGTTACCTCCTCGAGACATGGATTACCCACAAGCAGCGCCCCACTCTTACCATGGTAGTTTTCAGGACAATCTTCGATTAGTTTCAAAGTGGTCAGTGACGGAGCAATGCGAATCTTAAATGTTTCACAGAGGTACTTGGAATCTTTATCGACGAAGGCAGCAAAGGGAACCAGACCTAGTAGACCATCGGGAATAATGAGTAATTCATCACCTTCCAACTCGTTCGCGATGGGACCAATAACAGCATCATACAACAGCCGCAAGGAATTCCCCTGACTTTGTGGTGACCTCAACATTTCGTGACAAGTTTCTATGTCCAGTGGCGATTCCTCTCTAGTCACATCCAGACGAGAGCTGTCCTCGGACAGTAACGCTGACATTTCATGACAAGGTTCTTCGTCTTGCTCCCACAGATCCGGCCTCAATGCATCCATAGAACGATCCTCGCAGATAACTCGAGCACCAAATTCATATTCTTTGAAAGCTGCTTTTTCCAAACATTTTAAACAGTAGGGACAGGGATCATTGCCGAACTTGTAATCGTGATTTGCTTCCTTTTGTCGAAACTGAACATCATTCCCGTTACTGACCAGCCATATATTAATCGTTTTTTTTACAAGTGAAATGAAAATTGTTTGTGTGGAAGCCAAAGGTGCCACGTCGGGTTCTGATGTCCTGAGCGGAGGCGATTCCATCTGATATTTTTGCTTCATGTAATCTAGTAAGACCTGTGCTCTTCCTTGATCAACAACGCACAACGCCTCGCCAAAGTTTGAAAGTTTCAGCAAAGTTCTGCTCAGGGCATTGTATTCAAAATGATAAGCATTTCGGAAGCATATTTTGTGAGCATCTTCAGCCTTGATAATGTCCCTCTCATCATTTAAGATCTTTAAAGCGGACCGATAATGATCTAGAGCTTTATGCAGGAGATTGAAGCTTTCCATAGTACGGCCAAGGATACAATTCGCCGCCCTCTCGCAAAATTTGTGTCCATTTTGTTTTGTAAAGGCAAGACTTTTCATACCGTAGTAAGAAGCTTCCTTGAGATTATTGAGTCCAAGATAGGCCTCACCCAAATTGTGATAGACACATCCTTCTTTCCCTCCTACCTCCTCTTCTTTAGCAATGTTAAGAAATTGACCGTAGAATTCAATGGCTTTCATAAAATCTCCTCGCTGTAGATGAGCCTGGCCAAGACCGCAATAAGACCGTGCCTCTGCTTTCCTATTCTTAATTTCTTTAGCGATGGCAAGTTCTATGTCAAAGTAACCTTTGGCTGTGCTGAACTTACCAAGCATGTTAAAAACATCCCCAAGGCTGTTGTAAGCTTCTAGTTCACCATCGCGGTCCCTTACGCCTTTGGTGATGGAAAGTTGTCGCATGTAGTTCTCTTTTGCTTTTTCAAACTCGCCTAAAGATCGATAAATTACGCCAAAGAACCGTTTAGCTCTTCCTTCCGCAACTTTATTCCCAGTACTTTTGGCAATTATCAAACTTTGCTCCAAGTACTCTATGGCTTGTCTATAATCACTGAGTTCATAATAGCATTGGCCAAGGTTGTGGTTCGCAAGTCCCTCTCTATCTCGGTGTCCTAGTTCTTTGGAGATAATAAGGCATTTGTAAAAGTGTTCTACGGCTTGTTTATAATCACTGAGTTCAAAATAGCATCGGCCAAGGTTGTCATTTGCACTTTCCTCCCCTTCTCGGTGTCCTAGTTCTTTGGAGATAATAAGACATTTGTAAAAGTGTTCTACGGCTTGTTTATAATCACTGAGTTCGTAATAGTATCCGCCAAGGTTGTGGTTTGCACTTTTCTCTCCATCTCGGTCTCCTAGTTCTTTGGAGATAATAAGGCATTTCTTAAAGTATTCTAAAGCTTGTTTATAATCACTGAGTCCATAATAGCATTGGCCAAGGCTGTGGTTGGCACTTTTCTCTCCATCTCGGTCTACTAGCTCTTTAGAGATAATAAGACATTTCTTAAAGTATTCTACAGCTTGTTTATAATCACTGAGTTGATAATAGCATCGGCCAAGGTTGTCGTTTGCACTTTCCTGCCCTTCTCGGTCTCCTAGCTCTTTGGAGATAATAAGGCATTTGTTAAAGTGTTTTACGGCTTGTTTATAATAACTGAGTTTATAATAGCATTGGCCAAGGTTGTGGTTTGTACTTTTCTCTCTATCTCGGTCTCCTAGCTCTTTGGAGATAATAAGGCATTTGTTAAAGTGTTCTACGACTTGTTTGTAATCACTGGGTTCTTGATAGCATTTGCCAAGGATGTGGTTTGCACGTCTCTCTCCATCTCGGTCTCCTAGCTCTTTGGAGATAATGAGGCATTTGTCAAAGTGTTCTACGGCTTGTTTGTAATCACTGGATGCTTGATAGCATTTGCCAAGGTTGTGGTTTGCACTTTTCTCTCCATCTCGGTCTCCTAATTCTTTGGAGACAATAAGGTATTTGTTAAAGTGTTCTACGGCTTGTTTGTAATCACTGAGTGCGTGATAGCATTGGCCAAGGTTGTGGTTTGCACATCCCTCTCCTTCTCGGTCTCTTAGTTCTTTGGAAATAATAAGGCATTTGTTAAAGTGTTGGATGGCTTGTTTATAATCACTGAGTTTATAATAGCATTGGCCAAGGTTGTGGTTTGCACTTTTCTCTCCTTTTGGGTTTCCTAGTTCTTTGGAGATGATAAGGCATTTGTTGAAGTGTTCGATGGCCTGTTTATAATCACTGAGTTTAATATAGCTTTCGCCAAGGTTGTGGTTTGCACTTCCCTCTCCTTCTCGGTCTCTTAGTTCTTTGGAAATAATAAGGCATTTCTTAAAGTGTTTTACGGCTTGTACATAATCACTGAGTTTACAATAGCATATGCTAAGGTTGTGGTTTGCACGTCTCTCTCCATCTCGGTCTCCTAGCTCTTTGGAGATAATAAGGCACTTGTTGCCGTGTTGGATGGCTTGTTTATAATCACTGAGTTCATAATAGCATCGGCCAAGGTTGTCGTTTGCACGTCCCTCTCCTTCTCGGTCTCCTAGCTCTTTAGAGATAATAAGGCATTTGTTAAAGTGTTTTACGGCTTGTTTATAATAACTGAGTTTATAATAGCATCGGCCAAGGTTGTCGTTTGCACTTTCCTGTCCTTCTCGGTCTCCTAGCTCTTTGGAGATAATAAGGCATTTGTTAAGGTGTTTTACGGCTTGTTTATAATCACTGAGTTCATAATAGCATCGGCCAAGGTTGTCGTTTGCACTTTCCTGTCCTTCTCGGTCTCCAAGCTCTCTGGAGATAATAAGGCACTTGTTAAAGTGTTCAATGGCCTGTTTATAATCACTGAGTTTATAATAGCATTGGCCAAGGTTGTGGTTTGTACTTTTCTCTCTATCTCGGTCTCCTACCTCTTTGGAGATAATTAGGCACTTGGTTAAGTGTTCAATGGCCTGTTTGTAATCACTGAGTTTAGAATAGCATTGGCCAAGGTTGTGGTTTGCACGTCCCTCTCCATCTCGGTCTCCTAGCTCTTTGGAGATAATAAGGCATTTGTTAAAGTGTTCTACGACTTGTTTATAATCACTAAGTGCACGATAGCAGTTGCCAAGGTCGTGGTTTGCACTTATCTCTCCATCTCGGTCTCCTAGCTCTTTGGAGACAATAAGACATTTGTTAAAGTGTTCAATGGCCTGTTTATAATCACTGAGTTCATAATAGCATCGGCCAAGGTTGTAGTTTGCACTTTCCTGTCCTTCTCGGTCTCCTAGCTCTTTGGAGATAATAAGGCATTTGTTAAAGTGTTCTGCGACTTGTTTATAATCACTGAGTGCACGATAGCATTGACCAAGGTTGTGGTTTGCACTTTTCTGTCCATCTCGGTCTCCTAGCTCTTTGGAGATAATAAGGCATTTGTTAAAGTTTTCAATGGCCTGATTATAATCACTGAGTTTATAATAGCATTGGCCAAGGTTGTCGTTTGCACTTCCCTCTCCTTCTCGGTCTCCTAGTTCTTTGGAGATAATAAGGCATTTGTAAAAGTGTTCTACGGCTTGTTTATAATCACTGAGCTCATAATAGCATCGGCCAAGGTTGTCATTTGCACTTCCCTCTCCTTCTCGGTCTCCTACTTCTTTGGAGATAATAAGGCATTTGTTTAAGTTTTCTACGACTTGTTTGTAATCACTGAGAGCTTGATAGCATTGGCCAGGGTTGTAGTTTGCACTTCCCTCTCCATCTCGGTCTCCTGGTTCTTTGAAGATAATAAGGCATTTGTTAAAGTGTTCTACGGCTTGTCTATAATCACTGAGTGCACGATAGCATTGGCCAAGGTTGTGGTTTGCACTTTCCTCTTCATCTCGGTCTCCTACCTCTTTGGAGATAATAAGGCATTTGTTAAAGTGTTCAATGGCCTGTTTATAATCACTGAGTTTATAATAGCATTGGCCAAGGTTGTGGTTTGCACGCCCCTCTCCATCTTGGTCTCCTAGCTCTTTGGAGATAATAAGGCACTTGTTGCAGTGTTGAAGGGCTTGTTTATAATCACTGAGTTCATAATAGCATCGGCCAAGGTTGTTATTTGCACTTTCCTGTCCTTCTCGGTCTCCTAGCTCTTTGGATATAATAAGGCATTTGTTAAAGTGTTTTACGGCTTGTTTACAATCACTGAGTTCATAATAGCATCGGCCAAGGTTGTCGTTTGCACTTTTCTCTCTATCTCGGTCTCCTAGCTCTTTGGAGATAATAAGGCATTTGTAAAAGTGTTCTACGGCTTGTTTATAATCACTGAGTTCATAATAGCATCGGCCAAGGTTGTCATTTGCACTTCCCTCTCCTTCTCGGTCTCCTACTTCTTTGAAGATAATAAGGCATTTGTTTAAGTTTTCTACGACTTGTTTGTAATCACTGAGAGCTTGATAGCATTGGCCAGGATTATGGTTTGCACTTCCCTCTCCATCTCGGTCTCCTGGTTCTTTGAAGATAATAAGGCATTTGTTAAAGTGTTCTAAGGCTTGTTTATAATCACTGAGTGCACGATAGCATTGGCCAAGGTTGTGGTTTGCATTTTCCTCTCCATCTCGGTCTCCTACCTCTTTGGAGATAGTAAGGCATTTGTTAAAGTGTTCAATGGCCTGTTTATAATCACTGAGTTTATAATAGCATTGCCCAAGGTTTTCGTTTGCACTTCCCTCTCCTTCTCGGTCTCCTAGTTTTATGGAAATAATAAGGCATTTGTTAAAGTGTTGGATGGCTTGTTTATAATCACCGAATATATAATAGCATTGGCCAATGTTATGGTTTGCACCTTTCTCTCCTTTTGGGTTTCCTAGTTCTTTGGAGATGATAAGGCATTTGTTAAAGTGTTCAATGGCCTGTTTATAATCACTGAGCTCATAATAGCATTGGCCAAGGTTGTGGTTTGCACCTCTCTCTCCTTCTCGGTCTCCTAACTCTTTGGAGATAAAAAGGCATTTGTTAAAGTGTTCAATGGCCTGTTTATAATCACTGAGTTTATAAAAGCATTGGCCAATGTTATGGTTTGCACGTCTCTCTCTTTCTTGGTCTCCTAGCTCTTTGGAGATAATAAGGCATTTGTGAAAGTGTTCAATGGCCTGTTTATAATCACTGAGTTTATAATAGCATTGGCCAAGGTTGTGGTTTGCATGTCTCTCTCCTTCTCGGACTCCTAGCTCTTTGGAGATAATAAGGCATTTGTTAAAGTGTTCGATGGCTTGTTTATAATCACTTAGGTTATAATAGCATCCGCCAAGGTTGTCGTTTGCACGTCTCTCTCCATCTCGGTCTCCTAGTTCTTTGGAGATAATAAGGCACTTGTTGCAGTATTGGATGGTTTGTTTATACTCACTGAGTTCATAATAGCATCGGCCAAGGTTTTCGTTTGCACTTCCCTCTCCTTCTCGGTCACCTAGTTTTTTGGAAATAATAAGGCACTTGTTAAAGTGTTGGATGGCTTGTTTATTAACATTGAGTTCATAATAGCATTGGCCAAGGTTGTGGTTTGCACTTCCCTCTCCATCTTGGTCTCTTAGTTCTTTGGAGATAATAAGGCATTTATCAAAGTGTTCGATGGCTTGTTTATAATCACTGAGCTCATAATAGCATTGGCCAAGGTTGTGGTTTGCACTTCCCTCTCCATCTCGGTCTCCTAGCTCTTTGGAGATAATAAGGCATTTGTGAAAGTGTTCTACGGCTTGTTTATAATCACTGAGTGCATGATAGCATTGACCAAGGTTTTCATTTGCACTTCCCTCTCCTTCTCGGTCTCCTATCTCTTTGAAAATAATAATGCATTTGTTTAAGTGTTCGATGGCCTGTTTATAATCACTGAGTTTATAATAGCATTGGCCAAGGTTGTGGTTTGCACGTCCCTCACCATCTTGGTCTCCTAGCTCTTTGGAGATAATAAGGCATTTGTTAAAGTGTTTTACGGCTTGTTTATAATCACTGAGTTTATAATAGCTTTCGCCAAGGTTGTCGTTTGCACGTCTCTCTCCATCTCGATCTCCTAGCTCTTTGGAGATAATAAGGCACTTGTTGCAGTATTGGATGGTTTGCTTATAATCACTGAGTTCATTATAGCATTGGCCAAGGTTGTCGTTTGCACTTCCCTCTCCATCTCGGTCTCTTAGTTCTTTGGAGAGAACAAGGCATTTTTCAAAGTGTTTTATGGCTTGTTTGTTATCACTGAGTGCTTGATAGCATTGGCCAAGGTTGTGGTTTGCACTTCCCTCTCCATCTCGGTCTCTTAGTTCTTTGGAGAGAATAAGGCATTTGTCAAAGTGTTCTATGGCTTGTTTGTAATCAATGAGTGCTTGATAGCATTGGCCAAGGTTGTGGTTTGCACGTCTCTCTCCATCTCGTTCTCCTAGTTCTTTGGAGACAATAAGGCATTTGTTAAAGTGTTCTACGGCTTGTTTAAAATCACTGAGTGCATGATAGCATTGACCAAGGTTGTTATTTGCACTTCCCTCTCCTTCTCGGTCTCCTATTTCTTTGAAGATAATAAGGCATTTGTTTAAATGTTCGCTGGCCTGTTTATAATCACTGAGTTTATAATAGCATTGGCCAAGGTTGTGGTTTGCACGTCCCTCACCATCTTGGTCTCCTAGCTCTTTGGAGATAATAAGGCATTTGTAAAAGTGTTTTACGGCTTGTTTATAATCACTGAGTTTATAATAGCTTTCGCCAAGGTTGTCGTTTGCACGTCTCTCTCCATCTCGATCTCCTAGCTCTTTGGAGATAATAAGGCACTTTTTGCAGTATTGGATGGTTTGCTTATAATCACTGAGTTCATAATAGCATTGGCCAAGGTTGTCGTTTGCACTTCCCTCTCCATCTCGGTCTCTTAGTTCTTTGGAGAGAATAAGGCATTTGTCAAAGTGTTCTATGGCTTGTTTGTAATCATTGAGTGCTTGATAACATTGGCCAAGGTTGTGGTTTGCACGTCTCTCTCCATCTCGTTCTCCTAGTTCTTTGGAGACAATAAGGCATTTGTTAAAGTGTTCTACGGCTTGTTTGTAATCACTGAGTGTGAGATAGCATTGACCAAGATTGCGGTTGGCACGTCTCTCTCCATCTCGGTCTCTTAGTTCTGTGGAGATGATAAGGCATTTGCTGCAGTGTTCGATGACTTGTTTATAATCACTGAGTCCATAATAGCATTCGCCAAGGCTGTGGTTTGCACGTTCCTCTCCATCTCGGTCTCCTAGTTCTTTAGAGATAATGAGGCATTTGTTAAAGTGTTCAATGGCTTGTTTATAATCACTAAGTTTAATATAGCTTTCACCAAGGTTATCGTTTGCACGTCTCTCTCCATCTCCGTCTTCTAGTTCTTTAGAGATAATAAGGCATTTCTTAAAGTATTCTACAGCTTGTTTATAATCACTGAGTCCATAATAGCATTGGCATAGGGTGTGGTTTTCACGTCCCTCTCCATCTCGGTCTCCTAGCGCTTTGGAGATAATAAAGCATTTGTTAAAGTGTTTTACGGCTTGCTTATAATCACTGAGTTTATAACAGCAGTGGCCAAGGTTGTAGTTTGCACTTTTCTCTCCATGTCGGTCTCCTAGTTCTTTGGAGATGATGAGGCATTTGTTAAAGTGTTCGATGGCCTGTTTATAATCACTGAGTTTATAATAGCATTGGCCAAGGTTGTGGTTTGTACTTCCCTCTCCATCTCGGTCTCCTAGCTCTTTGGAGATAATAAGGCACTTGTTGCAGTGTTGGATGGCTTGTTTATAATCACTGAGTTCATAATAGCATCTGTCAAGGTTGTCGTTTGCACTTCCCTCTCCTTCTCGGTCTCCTAGTTCTTTGGAGATAATAAGGCATTTGTTAAAGTGTTCGATGGCTTGTTTATAATCAGTGAGTTTATTATAGCTTTCGCCAAGGTTGGCGTTTGCACTTCTCTCTTCATCTCCGTCTCCTAATTCTTTGGAGATAATAAGGCACTTTTTAAAGTGTTGGATGGCTTGTTTATAAGCACTGAGTTCATGATAGCATCGGCCAAGGTTGTGGTTTGCACTTCCCTCTCCATCTCGGTCTCCTATTTCTTTGGAAATAATAAGGCATTTGTTAAAGTGTTGGATTGCTTGTTTACAATCGCTGAGTTCATAATAGCATTGGCCAAGGTTGTGGTTTGCACTTCCCTCTCCTTCTCGGCCTCCTAGCTCTTTGCATATAATAAGGCATTTGTTAAAGTGTTCGATGGCCTGTTTATAATCACTGAGTTCATAATAGCATCCGCCAAGGTTGTGGTTGGCACGTCCCTCTCCATCATGGTCTCCTGGTTCTTTGGAGATAATAAGGCATTTGTTAAAGTTTTTTACGGCTTGTTTATAATCACTGAGTTTATAATAGCTTCTGCCAAGGTTGTCGTTTGCACGTCTCTCTCCATTACCGTGTCCTAGTTCTTTGGAGATAATTAGGCACTTGTTGCAGTGTTGGATGGCTTGTTTATAGTCACTGAGTTCATAATAGCATTGGCCAAGGTTGTGGTTTGCACTTCCTTCTCCATCTCGGTCTCCTAGCTCTTTGGAGATAATAAGGCATTTGTCAAAGTGTTGTAGGGCTTGTTTATAATCTTCGAATTCATAATAAGCATCTCCAAGTTCCCACGACACTTTGCCTTCGTAAGCTCTGTCGTTTTCTTGTTGGGCAATCCTTAAACTGTGTATGAAGTTATCTATCGCTTTTTTAGTATCATCAACCTCGTTATATGCTTCGCCAAGATTTTTGTAAGCGAATATTTCTTCCCTTGCGTCGCCATCGAGTTTTGCATTGACGAGATCTTGCTTTCGTTGCTCTAGCAGGTCAGACTGTTTTTCTGCCATGTTTCAATGTGCTTCTTATCTAGCATAAAACTAAGAGTAAAAATATGACAAAGTATAGTGAGTAGGTTTTTGGAACAGAAATCAACTTTTCCATAAAATTGGCATACAGCAAGGCAGCGTTAGTCTCAGATGACTCAAGATAATAACGTGGGGATAGAAACTGCTGTTGAAAATTTGAAAAGTCCGATTACTGCAAAGAGAGGCAGCATCGTTAAAGCGGAACTGACAAAAATCATAAGGATGGAGGGATAAAACCAAAATTATAAATTTAATTTAATTATAATGTTATCACGTGTGGTGTGAATAATTAATTCGGTTCTGTCAAATTTTACTCGTCTACGTACGATCGGTGCTCTCACATAGAAACGCAATGTGAAATGATATGGTATAATAGTATCCAGTGGAGCCTAAAGCTTCCTGATCATGCCGTGGATCGTCGAAAGCTCGAAGCCTTTTTTAACTTTTTCTCGTTATTTTTTTTTTATTTTTACAGTAGCCCAAAACTTCACTGGAAACTCCTATTACAACCATTTTAAAATTTCTCTGAAGGACAACATGAAACAATCAATACTGAATCAGTTTTCTAGTTATTACTTACCAATAATTGAATGCCTCGAAATAAAACTCCGGTCGAAGAGCCGCTTCCTCTGAATTTTAACTCGGACCAGTCAACAATAAATCCACCAGTCACAGATTCAATACAGCTTCTTCTCGCGTTATCATCATTTTATGATGTCGACGTCGGAAAATGAAAGACTTAGTTTTGTCTAAAAAATACATTTTTCCTTATTTGCATGGGCTTATTTTCATACTTTAATTTCAGTTTCTTACCGATAGCGTTTCCTGGAGGAGGAAACGGGAAATGCTAAAACTTTTTTTTTGATTTCATTTCTAAAAATTCGTTCGTCTACTTATTTAGGGAAAAACACACGACTTCCTAAATTTCAGTTTTTCTCAGAAGTTCCTGTCAACATGAACGTAATGATCGAAAAACAACCGAAATTTTTACACGATCTCATATTACGACGAGAGCTAATTAGAGGCACCAGTACGTAATTTTAAACACATAATTCAAAGACTAGTAGTCATTCATTTGCTTCAAAATGTACACTCAAAATAGTTGGAATTCAGTTATGGTTGAATTGTTTTCATAATGACACCTTGACTGTCACATTGAAATAACAAATGCATTTCATTTCAAACAATGCCTTCAATAATCTTTCTTTCAGTTTCTCACAGTGGTACCTGTCAGCACCAAAAACATTCTAATACAATCGGTTATTTTGGAAAAATGAAAATTTCCTGCGGGGCTACATCCAGATTGAAACTTCGTGTTTCAACATCACTATTGGTGAGTACGTTTTTTTTAAATCCCCTCACTCGTTAGTCTATGTAAAAAAAAAATAGATTGATATAAAATTTGACGTCGTTTACAAGATCATCGACCATCTACCCCTGTATAAAGATTGGAACAGACAGGAGTTATAGTTGTTCATTGTTGTGAGTTGCACAAAGCGTTACCGCTTTTGTCACGAAGTGTTCTCTTTAATGTCAACCGTAATGTTTTAACTGCTTACTGCTGGTCCCAATCGGGCGATAGAGTGAAAACAATATCTTCGGCTCAAAACGTTTTCTTAGAAACGCTTCTACTGAATAAAAACTTCTCTTAGTGAGAGTATCGCGTGACATCATAAAGAATGCTTACCGAGGGCACCAGCCCAAAACCACCCGTTTTTTTCTTTCTTTTGAGCTAAAAATGGACGCTTTGATCAAGCAATTAATTACAGATTGACTGATATAGGTTAGAAAAACTTATAGCAGTTTTACACTTCAGATTAGAGTGGAAATATAGCACACCTCAAGTTGATTCTGAATCATTGAAAATGTCAGTCACGCTCAAATTTGGACAGTTGCCTGTTGTTGGGAATACTGATTACACTGTCAAAAATTCCTGCGAATTTGCGGATTTCATAAGAGATAAAACTCTTAACGCTTGTGAAGAATTAGTATCTTTCGACGTTGTTTCGCTCTTCACTAAAATCCCAGTTGATCTTGCCGTTAAGGTTGCGGAGGAGAGACTCAGAGAAGATGCTTCCCTAGGACAAAGAACTTCTTTGCCTGTGGAGGATATTATTCATCTGCTGTCTTTTTGCCTCAAAACCACGCAATTTACATATAACGGCACCTACTATCAACAATTTTTGGTACAGCGATGGGTTCGCTTGTCTCTGCTGTCATTGCTAACATGGTAATAGAAGACGTGGAACAAAGGGCCTTAGCCACTTCACCGATTAAACCCTTTTTCTGGAAACGATATGTCGATGATGTTAATTCAGCGGTATCCGGAAATGAAGCGGAGCGCCTCCTGTCGCATTTGAATTCAGTAGAGCCGTCGATCCAATTCACCCTTGAGCGTGAAAAGGATATACATTTGCCCTTTCTTGATTTAAATGTGTCCAGAGGGGTTCAGGGTAATTTAGAGACAAGTGCACGTAAACCTACCCACACCGACAAATACCTCGCTTTCGATTCTCACCACCCTGTTTGCCATAAAAAGTCTGTAGCCAAAACTTTACTTAGGAGGGCTGACTGTCTACCATCTTCACTAGATTCGAAGGCTGAGGAGAGGAAATATGTTGCCAATGTCCTTAAGGCAAATGGCTATACAAAAACTTTTCTCCGTAACTGCCAAAAACCAGTTACAAATAGTAACGCTCTTGATGAAAGGGAACCAGTGACTGGTTTTGCTGTTATTCCTTACATACAGGGTGTTACGGAACCCATCAAGAGAATTTTGAATAGCCACAACGTTAAAGTTGCTCAAAAACCTTTTCAGACTTTGGGGCATATTTTCGCCAAACCTAAGGATCCTGTCACGAAAGAACAACGAACCGACGCCATTTATTCTATTCCTTGCAATGATTGTGACAACGAATACATCGGACAGACCAAACTTCAGTTTGGTGCACGTTTAAAAGAGCACCAAAAAGCGGTTTTCCTTTGCAAAAAGGAAAATTCAGCTTTATCGGAGCACACATGCCTAACTAACCATACAATTGTGTGGGATAATTCTAAAATTATCACCACTAATCGGCGTTACCACCAGCGCCTTTGTTTGGAGGCTTGGCATATTAACTCTGCCCACGCTCCTTTAAATCGTGACGATGGCGGCTTGCTTCCTGACGCCTATTTACACCTCGTCAGAAAAAAGGCAGCTAATTAGTGATCATATAAAAGGACCTCTTGTTGCAGCGTTTAGATCACCCCTGATGAAGGCACTAGACAGGAGTGTCGAAACGTTGGGTCTATGAATTGTAACTTCTTCGGTTACATTCATTAAATCTGTAAACCAGAGTAGCATCAAACCATGTCTGATTGTCCACCTGGTTGCCGTGTGAACTTTAATATATTTTGATCAGGAAAACCTTAGAAATCTACTGATGTCACGGACACCTAGTCACGAAAGTAATGGAGCTGTCACGCGATCGTCCTTCAACTGACCAGCACTTGCGCCCGCGAATTTAAATTTATAAATTTTGTTTGAAATCGAAACCTTCTAGACCATGCGAGGTAAAATTCATGCAGAAAATTCTGATTTATAAGGATGAAGAAATAACGGGAAAGCTCTAACGTCTCTAAAGCGGCTAAGAGCTCGGCTATGCATAATATTTACCCAAGATGCTTAACAAGATCGCGGTTTTGATTTTTGGTTTGGGGTTTCTGTTTTATCGCATGCAAGTTTATTTTATTGTTCGCGAAGAAAAAGCTGAATTGCATTCTTGGTTAGAGCAGCACGATCTTCTGGATTATGAGGCTAAATTGCACAAATTTGGTATGTGTGATAGTTAGTTCCTTGCATTTAAGTATTGTGCAATGTAATTTATAGTTACTTCATGAGGCATAATCGAATTTCTTTAAATAACATCTCAAACGTAATAATTTAGAGAACTCCCCACAGTTTACCATGATCCAGTACATGGCAAGGACTTACGATGGTAATATTAAGTACTTCTGATATGCTGTTATTTACGGTTAAAAATATATCTTATAGAGTTATTTATAGGTGAGGCTTTCCCACTCTTTGTTTTTGCTTTTATCACATTCAATTCTTCTGCAACATAAATAATGAATAACTTCTGTCAGTATATGATATTGTTTGATAATTTATAGCATATAACGTAGCCTATACGATTCGAAAAAACAAGCTATAATGATAGGGTGCTGGTTGGTTTCTTAGTGGGGACATACGTAATTTCGAACTTGAAATGAGTAGCCTTAATTGGCGACCAGAGTTAAAATTCTGGTGACAATCAGTAAATTTTTAGTTGATTGCAATTTGGACCCTGATATCGTGATCTTTTAAAGGTATTTTTCTGTGTTGTTTATAAATGATGATGATGATGACATTTTTCTTTTAGGTATTCTTACTAAAGCCAAGTTTGCAACCCTTGATGCTAAAAGGTTCCTAACAAGACATGGATCATTTTGGGGAGTTTTTACATTTACATCTGAGAAGGAAAAACTAGAGCAGGCTGTACAGAAAGCCAGACTTGAACTACAACTTTTGTCTTGGCTACAACAAATTCATTTGGATACCTATTACTCAAAACTGTTGTCACAAGGGATAAACAGTGTGGATAGATTGATAAAAAACCACAAATCTGATTTGTTGAGAAAGATTGTTACTGATGAGGATTTTAAAAAGTTTCAAGAAGCAGTTGAAAAGCAACAAGGTCACTTTGTAGATTCTCCTCCTTTGAGGGGTGCATTAATGTTGTTTTCTTTTTCTTGGTGGAGCATAAAATTTGTAGGTAAGTTTTTTGCTATGTTGCAAAAGAGAATGAATCCTCCCTTTTGTCATCTACTTATTTTGCACTGAAAATTGGCAGAACTTTTATTTGGGAGTTTTTACTGTTTTTTTGTTTATCGGGAGCATTTTTTTGTCAAAAAAGATAATTGAAATTACATCTGAAAACTATTTCTTTTTTTCCAATTTCATGGTCAAGCAGTAGTAATGGTATATCAACATGGAAATGCTACTTTCTCGGCTTGTATTACTTGAGATGTTGAGTTACAGCGCACTCTAAGTCTTAGTGACAGAGAACTCATAATGGTCAGAGTCCAAAGGACAAACAAATGAACATGATGGAGTAAACAGCTTACTCCTTTGGAGCTATAATTGCGCCAGAGATGGCAAATCTTAGGTTTTTCCCTTTTTTATTTCTGGATTTTTTTGCAGAAACTAACTTTTGTGGATGAATGACAATCTAAGGATTTGCAAAAATTAAATCTACAAACTCTTGATGTTGATACTTCTCTGAAGAACACTGGTTTCCCCTGAGTTAGACAAGATGAATTTCCAAGAACAGTGAACTACTCAGTTCACTTACATTACTAAGTCATAATTTGATAAGAACATTCCTTACCATGAGATGGCTTCTTAAATTGTAATATGTGCTTAGGTGTAAAAAATATTTAAAATCTTTTTTTTCCCCAAGGAGAGGATAGACCTGAACTTTTTGTTACCATTTGGGAAACTAATTTATTTTTATGATATTGAACAGGCCCCAAATAATTTAAGGTTGTTGGCATGGGTGACTAATAAAATGACTGTATCTCCATTTATAGGCAGAGCGCTTCTTGTCATGGTTGGCAGCATAGCACTCTTGGTATGTCTCAGTGTTGGATTCTCTAGAATCAAATCCAGAAGTCAGCAACACAAGTCTAGTTTCTTTGGATATGTTCTTGGCTTAGCTCTTGAGCCTTCATTTACAAAAGTTATTTGGGAGTGGGAAGATCCCCATATTGTGGGTGAATCAATGTCATTTATCCTCAAGGTATTTGTTGAAATTGCAATATGTATAAAAGAGTTAGTGTTAATGAGATTTATATTTCCAGCCTTGTTTTGTGGTGTTTATGACAGGCCTTTATATTATTAGTGATATTTTTTTTTGCTTGCAAGTAAGTTTAATGTCTTCTGCAAAACAAGCTGGCAAAAGGTCTGTAAGGAATCTGACATAAATATTATCAGTGCTAGATCACATGTAGACCTCTCAAAAGCTGTTGTTGTGCAAGACCTTGTACTTTTGTGGAGTCTTGCAACTTGAAATCATTCTGTGATATAGCTGTCTAGCTACTTACTGGGTATGTTACACATTTGTGAAGAGGAATACTATGGTACATTATTCAATAATTCACTACCATATCAGACTAACTGAAGACTTTTTTTTGGTTTATATTTTGCACTTGATAAGTTTTTTACTTATTAATAAGCAAGAAAAACTCTTACAGTGGAGGTGAAAGGAAAAAGGAGAACTATATTAGACTGGGAAATTATTACTAACTCTTGCCTTGTCTGTTTTCATTTAGTTTTACAGAATGAATGCCACTCCATATTCTGTATCAAAAGAAGATTACATCCTAGTTGAAATAATGCACAATAACAACTTCATTGTGTCATCACGGGAATATGGTGGTGAAAAATGGAGAGATGGGAATGCCATGAGAGTTTCCTTTACTGTCCGAGAGGCTGGAGCCTATAAAATATCTGTTCTGGTGAAGGGAAAACCAATCAGGGACAGTCCATTTACAAAAACATTTTTACCAGGTTCTGTATCCTGTTCTGTAAAAGGGTGTTTTTGGGCATGGGAGAAGCTACAGCAATATGTTGATATGCTGGGCTCTGGATTGAAATGTCCAGGTTCTAATGCTACACTGGTTATTGGGTTCTGTGTGTGGAGCATGATTCTCTCTGACAGTGCCTCTGTCCACCCAGGAGGTAGTTAGATACAGTCCAGAAAATGTGACAAATTTAAGGGGTAGTCAATAGTACTCTTCCTCTTTGTTCATTGGATTCTAAATTGGTTTGCAATTGTATTTAATTTGTGATGTTACTAATTGACAGGTGTGGTTGATCCATCCAAATGCAGTATTCTAGAAGGCAGCTCACTGCTTGAGGTGCAGCAAGGGATATATACTCCTCTCACTGTTGAGGCTCGTGACAAGTTTGGGAATGTCTGTCCTCTTTCAGTTCAAGATGTTCACTCCTACTGTGTGGAAATAACTGAGGTATGAGACAGAATTGCCACTTGAGTGTAAGTACTTACTTACAACTAATATTTATAGGTTAGATAGATGGCATTTGTGAAAAACAGGCTTTTAATTGGTGAATAATTTGGCAATATATACACTGTTAAAGTAGAAAGTAATTTGTTTTAGCATAGACATGAATTTTTTGATTGTATAAATGTTAGTAGCATGGTGAATTTTTTAATGTGCGTAAAGCTCCTGGATTTATCTCTAGAAGTTGACACATTTATATTTTAATTGTTTTGTCAGATTGGAAGCAGTGAAAAGACAGACCCTGAACTTGTGATTCTACCAGATGGATTTGACAAGAATAATGTCCTCCACATAAAGCTGGATGATGAAGGATGTTTCAATGCAGTTGTTAAATATAATGGAGTTACACTGAATCAAGGAAAGCTTACTGTCATTTCCCTCAATCGTAAGAGCAAAATATGTGTTTGCTACCTGTTTTGTTCAGTTTGTATAGTGTTATAATAATTTATATCACACCATCTAAGAAATAAAAACAAGGATTACCTTGCATAGTCCTGCATTCAACTTTCAGAAATTTTAAAATGATTTGTTTAATGACGGCTGGGCTGTGTGGCCAGCCATGATTAGATTGTATTGCAAGACAGCCAATTTACTGCTTTTCAAGAGGTGTCACAGAATTTTCTTAAAAATTTATTTGTTTAGTGTTTTAAGAATTTGTTTTATCTCCTACTTTGTCATGTGATTAAGAGTGAGTGCTGTAGTTTGAAAAGGACCGATTCTTTTTCAGTTTGAGTCCCTCTCTGATACATGTAAAATCACCTGTTTCAATATCCCTTGCTTGTGGTATTTTATGAGAAATCTCAATAAATGTTTTGTTTTTTGCTTTCCTTTATACATATATTTAGCTAAAGATGCTGAACATGTCAACAAGAATATAAAGAATAAATGTTGGAATGTATGGTATGAAGCATATCTTCTGGTGAATGATGATACATCTCCAGCAGCATCTTCTGGCTCAAGTACCCCTGCCACACCCAACATGCCCTCTGGGGCAAGAAGACCATCCAGTAATTTTGAACAAGCTTCTATTGCTATAACTGGATTGAATATCAATGGCCTGAAAAAGTCTCGCAAAGTCTACTGTTACATCTCCAAAAAGGTGTGCTTTTGTTTTTCTTTGCTTCATGCAAACAACAATATCTTGAAGGAGCTGTTTTTCAAATTTTTTTTCATTAATTTTGTAGCAATTACAAATCAAAGAATTTTACATGAGGATTATTCCACACAGATTGTATGGATTCCGAGTTCGGCCCACAACAAAGGTGTGTTGTTTTGATTGTGTTTTTTATCCTCTGTGTATTACAAGTGATATTTTGATAGCAACCATTTTTGTTCTTAAGTGGAAAGGCCTTTAAAAGAGTGAATCATCTTTCTTACAACACTTTTAACTTGAATCAAGATCCCTCTTTTCATCTCTCCACAAAAGGTTTTCTATTATTCGTGCAAAACTTCTAAATTGCTTGTATTTGTTTCGTCATATTGATATTTAGAGGAACTTTTCTTGTTTATAATTGATTATGCAAAATACAGGAAACTAAATATTTTATGTACCCACTCCTCCCTCAGATTATTCTGCATCCCCCTGACCGTAGTGTCGATTATCCAGCGTTTACTGTAGACGATGGTTCGCAGCCTCCGATAACTGTGATGTGCAAAGAAAGAAATGTATTGGTGGCGACCTTCTCAAGACTTTTGCTCACGAAAATAGGTCAGTTGAACAGATGATCGACGATGTTGTTATAGTCGCAACGTGCGAACTGTCTCTTCAGCCGAGGAAAGTTACAAAATATTAGTTTGGTAAGATAAGAAAACATCAAAAATAGCAGAAAAAAACAAAAAAACAAAACAGTGGCGGGGAGAAGATTGACCAGGATTGTAAAGGATGTGTAGTAGAGCGCTTTTCTAATGAGTGATTGTTGGCAGTTTCTCATTTGATTGGTTGAGAAGGTGGCGCAATTTTTCTGGACCAATCGTTGAACAAAGTGAATTGAAACCAACTCAATCCAAGATTAACCGGCTCGACAGTCAATTAAAAATTCCTTTATCTGTCTATCAACACAGAGATTTTTCCTTGTGTCCTTTAAAGCCGTTGTCTAATATTGACCACACTTTTTCACCATGAGCACCACTCAGCCACTAGATAACATATACACCTACTTATAATAAGGTGTAGTTCCGTGACGTTCTAAGACGACGTTGCTTTGTAATAATATCTTGTGACAATTTGATTGCAGATCTTTTGTAGTGCAGTAAGGCATTTACAGTTTCCTCAATTTTTCCATGCGTTCCAAGATTAAAATTTCAAGTAATCTCTTCACCATAACTTTCATTTTAACTTTCTTACACAGGAGGGTCAGAGAGCTTCAAAGACAAACAGGAATTCTTTTATCGTGAATTACTCAACTACCACGGGCGAAAAACGGGTGAAGTGAACTTAAAGATAGATCGACGTAAACTCTTGGAAAGTGTAAGTTTAGCACAACGAGCTACGTTGATTAAAATGCAATGGAACGAAAATAATTTGAGGAGGAAACTCATCCCTTGCCCTTTTTTTTGAGCGAGTTTGTCCGAATATGAATGCCAAGGTATTTAGAGATCCTCTCTGCATCGCTTGTTTCTCTGTTCGTGGTGCGAGTCAGTCGTAGATCCTAAAATCAGCACGTCATTGGGTTGAATCTCACGTCGTCACAGAAACTTTCTTTGACGACGTGAGATTCAACCCAATAAACTAACGTGCGATTGCTAGATATTATTTTTTATTATTCAGTGCTGAATAGCTCGACGTGTTCTTTCCCCGTAGTCCTATCAAGCCACAATGAAGACATTCTATTCCAGCGACTGGTTAAAATATTTTAAAATCACGTTTAAAGACGAACCAGGTAGGTTATGATAATTTTTTTCACGCTGTTATTTTGAAGCTACTTGTTGTGGAATATAAGATAACTTAGTCTCAGATCAGAGTAGAACTGGTAATTATATTTAAAACCATGTTTGTCTCTTTTACTTTTCAAGGTGTTGATTGGGGTGGCTTGCGGCGTGAATGGTTTGAGTTGTTGTGCAAGGCGCTGTTTTCTCACGAAGCTGGATTCTTCAGTCGCTTCGACGCTGATGATCCTCAAGCTCTGGTGAGTGCAGGAGTGTTTGGTGCTCTGTATTGCTTTATTGTAAAGGAGCAGCCTTGTAATTCACAACTACCATTGAGTTTTGGTCTGTACTGCACGGAGCAAGTTGGAGTACAGCCTGCATAATGCTCCCTCTCTTTCCACGCCAGACTCTCAATGTCAGGTTAAAAGGGTCTTTCCAAAGATCACAACACGATCACTCAGTCAGGTCAGCAGTGCTCTGAACTCAGGATCAAAGGTCCAACTCGCTAACCACTACGCCACAGCCTGTCTAAAATGTTTTGAGGAGAACAATTTTAAGAAAATAGTTAGTTTTCGGCGCCGGTAGAAAGAATTATGATGTTCACTGTTCCTTTTTTGTGTGTTCAAGGTTCATCCGAATCCGCGGAGACCTGCTCATTTAAAAGTTAAATTTTACGAGTTCGCCGGACGCATCGTTGGAAAATGCTTGTACGAGTCCGCTATGGGATCAACACGGAGATTAAATGTGAAAGCGCGATTTAGCAGATCATTCCTGGCTCAGCTACTTGGTCTTCGTGTAAGCTACAGGGTAAGACTACACAATTTTTCAAAATAATATTTTAAAAAATAGTTGTATGGAACAAATTTTTGAACAGACGAGCAATCCGAGACGAAAATCTGGTTTGACGCATTTCACTTTTAAACAAGTTCATTCTACTTAGCGCCTTTGTAGGAGTTTTTTACTTTCGGGCGCTGCGAATAAATTAGAACTATTTTAACAAAAATTTTGGGGTATTTACGTTTCATTTTTCAAGATTTACTGTGTCCTTCTCAGGAGCCTAATGGCAAGGATGACAGGTTCTCTTAGGCGCTGTCGCACATTAACCGCTGACCGCTTCAACTTTCGCCGGTTACCTTCTCAGCCGCTCTTTTGATGTCAAGCAATGCTCTAGCTTTCCGTGACATCCTAAGAACATTTGCAAAGGAGAATGCACAAACTGTGACGGAGTTTGTATTTAATTAAAAAGCTGTTACATTTGTCTGATCCATGTTCAGTATTTTGTGTAAACAATTTTCAACCTATAATTATTTTTCAATCCACAAAAAAGTACTTCGAGATTGACGACAAGGACTTCTATCGGAGCAAAATCAAATTCATCGAGGAGAATGACCCGGAGGACTTGACACTAGTATTTGCAGAGGAGGAGTACGATCAGCAGGGGCGCTTAGAGAAGGTGGGATAAAGGTCCTTGGAATCCTTAAACATCTCATCTCTTACTTATCTTTCTCTTGAGTATTTTTTGCAACCTTTTGTGATTGTACTTATATATTTCGAGCATCCAAAGCTCAGATCTCCCGATTTTCGTAGTTCAGATGCTCTACCACTTGAGCTCAGGACAACCTTTAGGTGAGCTAGGCTGTAAGTTGGAACCATATGGGAACGGATTCCAGCATGCTACTTGCATCAGTGTTGTCGAAACCTTCTTTTTTGGAGATGTCAAGTAAAGTGGTAACATACTTATAGATTGGCTTCTTAAACAGTTCTTATCAGCTGAAGTTAATTTCTTTTCAACCCTTAGTTGGAGGAGTTAAAACCAGGTGGAGCTCAGATACCAGTCACGGAATCGAACAAGAAAGAATATCTGGACTTATTGGCTCAGTATCGTCTTGCAACCTCTGTTAAACAGGAGATTGAAGCTTTTGTGAAAGGTACGATTAAAAAGGACTTTACGCCTCGTCATTAAGTATTTTTTCAGTCTACTCATGGTCCATTAGTCCACTCCATTCTTTGCGTGGTATTTTCAATAGTTGTTTATGCACCTACTTTGTCCCAGGGTCTCTCCTCTTCCTTGGGCGGGAAGAAGGAGGGAATCTGGGAACGAGGTTGATTATGCAGTTTCCCGAGGCTAATAGAAGAAAGAAAAATATAAACTAGGGGACATCTTTTGGTGATTTGACTCCAATTTTAAGTTCTTAGACAGAGCAGAGTTCAAACGTTTATCTCAACACGGCGACCCAAAAAACCAAAAGACTACGGGGTCATTTCTCACGTGACAGAGATATGCAATTCGTACAAACTCCAAGCAAAAATTGGTATTCATGACCAAGGAACATTGGTCAATGTCAGTGAGGCGCGACTAGGAAGTTAATCAGTAATTTCTCTTTTTTGGGTAGGTTTGAATGAAATTGTACCAGACAGTCTGCTGAGTGTGTTCGATGAATATGAGCTGGAGGTAATGTACCCTGTGACCAATACTCTTCAACGGGTTTTCATTTTAAATTTGGTTATATTTTTCTGGGTCAGTTTTAGTTGCGTATCCGTTTCATTTTCTCTGTATTCCGCAGCTTTTGATGTGTGGGACTGGAAACATCAGTGTTACAGATTTCCAAAACAATCATACTGTTACACATGATATGGCACCATTTAGAAAGGTAAAGCTAACTTTAGTCATTACTTGGGTAGTTAGAGCGCTGTTACTAATGATCAATCAAAGGAACAAACTGCCTGAAGCGCAGAAAAACGCGAATGATCAAGTCACTGTTGGTTCTAGTCTTGCATCTTACTGGTTGAGAGGGTGCATGACGCGAGTGCTCCAGACCAATCAGGAGCAATGGGAATCAAGAACTAGGGTTACCTATTCTTAAATTTTTCAAAATGTTGATAATTTCTTTCACAGCTCAGAGCCGTTTCGTCTCGTAATTCTGTCGCGACGTAGTACTTGTTTGCAGAATAGCCCGCAGTTTTCGGGACGATATGAGGGGGCCCGATAAAGAAATCGACGGATGAAAGTGTAGCGGCCCAAACGGCGCGGACATAATGGCGAGGGTATTTTTTTAGTTCTAACTACAATTCATAAAGCTTTATTTCTTATTCAGACTTTGGAGTGGTTTTGGACGATTGTGACAAGTTTTACTCAAGAAGAGCTTGCTCGACTGGTGCAGTTTATCACAGGTTCTTCTCAACTTCCCCCTGGGGGATTTGTCGAACTCTCTCCCCAAATACAGATCTCGTACGCTCCATTTACAAACGCACTTCCCACAGCACATACTTGGTAAGTACAGTCTACAATCCGCTACTTAGCTTGACGGAGAGGACCCTGGGAACGCTCGGCCCAGGCGTGAAGAGATCAGTAATCTTAATGGATCGTTTGGGCCCGATATGCAGATAGATCTTTTCGCAACTTCCGCTTATTACATCAAACGTGACCAAAATATAGTCAACTTCTTGGACGGAAGTTCATTACAAACTAATGACTACCTCGGAATTTTCAAATGCGCTTGCGTGCGATGTAAAACTTGTCCTTTCATTCATAACGTTGAAAAAATATCCCACCAGTAGCATAGCACCATTTTCTGCATATAAACACATACACAACCCACATTTCCTCCACTCGCTCTGACATAGGGCTAACGCTTGAGACGTCAGCTTTGAAACTCTTTTACCGTGGCCAATTTACTTTATCAAACGCCCAAAATAAATCTTTTTACAAGATGGTCAAGAATGAACAGTTTTTGACTCTAAGAACCTTTTCTTGTTTGTAGTTTTAACCAGCTCTGTTTACCATCCTACTCGTCCTTCAAAGAGATGCAGAAGAAACTTTTACTTGCAATAAACGAGGGAAGCGAAGGATTTGGTTTTGCGTAAGAATGGAGAATTAACAAGATCATTAGATGTGCTTCGAAAAATTATTTGGATGGAAAATTGACTGGGGCTAAGACATTTTCTCTAGTACGCAGACCCTCGCATTTCTCTGATCGGAAGGGATTTTCTCATCACAGCATCTGCGCGTTGTTAAACATCTAGAGATGACAAGAGAGCAAGTCACCCCCGAGTGCGGGAAATTGATCAATAACCAAATTCTTAGAAATAACGTCCTACGAAAACGTACTGAGGGCTTAAGGAGTAACGCTTCGCTTGTATTTTCTGTAGGAAATAGTATCAGAAGTTTTAATAGCCGTACAGTCAGCATTACTGACATAACGATTCTGCGATCATAACTGGATTAGACAATAATTTTATGAAATCGGGCACATTGTAGACAGAACAAAGTAGCTTTGTAAAAGGAGCTGCTCAAACCCATCCGATTGTTTTTATTACGTGCAACTCAAAACAACTTTTTCTTATTAAAGCTGGTAAAGTGATTAAGTGATGTTCAATTGGCAATTTCTGAGTTACTTTTGGCCTGTTCTCAAAGTGAGCCCTGGTGCTCAGCCTCTTCTGTGATTATAAGTTTTCAATCAGGTGCGAATTATTCTCATTTCATACGAATGGATGAGCATCAGGCCTCGTTTTGAACACGAGGCCAAAGGTAATTCTGAATTAGCCTCTTTCAGCCCTTGTTACCCCTCGCTTTGTACTTTGTTTAACGAATGCTTCTCAGACACGCGTGGTTAAGAATATGCGGTTGGGTGAACTTAACAACTCCTTCCCCTAGGGGGTTGGTGTGGACTCCCCGAAGGTTCGTTAAGAATCTATATAGGTGTGGTTCAGGCTTTCTTTAGTCCCAAAGAGACACCAACATTACGCCGGATCTTCGTGATCCCCACCCTTGATCGTAGCGAAGACACGTAGTGATGTTGAGCTCAACAACACAATCTCACCGTTGGTGCTTTATTTCTTGACAACTCTAAACTTATCTACTACAAACCAAACTCTTCGAGACATTACTAGTCTCCACCGAGTTAATTTTTACTACATCGCGTAGTATGTCTGTTTTAAATCAAGCAAGGGAAGACGCGAACCACTTTTGAAAAAAACCCTCAACAAGCACCACGAATACTCCAATTTAAATCCGTCCAGTCTTGAAGTTTTCATGTCTACTTCGGAAATCCCTAAAACTTGTGACGATGGCATATCACCAGGAGGCGTCGTCTGCATCCTCAAAGAACTTCAACTTCTCCTTATTATTTGATGTTGTATCCGGGCAATAACCCACAATTTATAATTGCCTTGCCTCTTGCTGCCTGTCTGTTGGAGGGTTTATTAGAAATTGTATGGAAAAATTTAGGCAGTGATCATTCCTAGGAACGGTAACTATCGATTCGGTGAAGTGTTTCTAAGTGGGGCAGAAATACGAAAGTTTTATTCAGTACTCTACAAAATTTTCAACTGAATCTACAGCAGCTCAGAGGAACTCCCTTCAGAACTGGCTTTCAAGTTTTCGAATTGTGCTTACTATCTACACAGTGTAAACCGTTTCTGTCCAACAAAGCTGGTTGTTAAAACAGCAAAAGAAGAATAAATATCACCCGATCTTTGCAGCCACCAACAACAATGTTCACTGCAATCACACCAATTTTCTAAAGCTACCATGACACTAACAATTGAATCAAAATAAAATGTCTAAATTTCTTTTGAATTTCAAACGATACGCGACTTTAACGCTCAGGAAATAACGCAAATTAATTCTGGTTTGAGTATTTTATATTAATTCTCCACTAATCCGCCTTTTTAGTAATTAATCAATTAAAGAAGGGGTCAAATTCATTACAATTAACGTCTGCGCTTTTCCTTGGGGGTTGTGCCCTAAAAGACAATTTGCTTTATATATAATTTAGTACAAAGCCTAACTTATGTAAGAGGCGAAATTCAAAAAATATTTCGAGCACCGAAGATTCGTCCGGAGCAAGATGTAATATTGTTATTTTGTATGATAAGACGTGTTTTGAAGTTTCAATTACATTGGATTCCTTGTGTTGCAATCTGCTCGCACTAAAATGACACGTACACAGAAATATTGTAAAACCTGTCTCAATCTCCCTGACATGCTCACGGTTCAACATGACCGAGCGCTTGCAAGGATTGGACGAAACGAAAACCGCAGTGCGTAACAATGATGCATCACAAGGAACCCAAACGAACAACAAAATTCCATTTTCAAATTTAAATTTTAGACAATTTTAACTAAGGCTAGATGAACAACGGGTGTAACCCGTCTTAATTCCCCTTGCTCTTTCGTCAATTGCCCAGAAGTTGTAGAAGAATTTTCTCGAGGTCTCCTTTCATTTTCTTCGCTACAACATCTTTCAGAAGTTGTCCGGTCTTCTTTTCGTACTGAGTCTTGATATCAGCCAGATCAATCTGAAATGACAAAGGAGAAAACTCTAGTTATTGTCTTTCCGTTTCCATTGGAACGAGAAAAAATATCCTCACACGTTTGCCACGACGAGGAGGAATAAGGGAAAAAATCCCAGTCACCCAGGAGAGATCTAATTTCGAACCTCTGAGCTCGATCGTTGAATAAAGAAAAACGGTGAAACACTCTTTGCATTCGTGTGGTTCGAGTCTCCGTGCGGAGCTCGAATTTTTCCAAACACGACGCATAACAAACTAATCACCATGGCCAATCAAATCTAGGGGAAATACCATAACGAACTGATGAGAACTCATATGAATACGTGTGAACTTAAGAACAGGAAATCGTTGGTGACAAAGCTACAATTGGTTTTCATTTTACATCTGATTAGTTGAGAAGGTGATGGGGGTTTTCAAAAAAAGAAAAGAGAGCCAGGTGAAACAAAACTTAATTTAGGATTACTTTAGACACTCTAATGAAACTTCAAACTTACCTCTGATCTTGTCACCAGCACACGTGTAGTAATTTTACTGTTTCCTTTGTCCAGCGCCTTTTCCAACACCTCAGCGAAGAACAGAGCTGGATCCTGAGCGCATCGAACTGAGAATTAAATCAATCTCAGTCAATATTTGCGTACAAAGTAGGTTACATAGTGTAAACAGTGTAAGAGCCATGTTAAAAGTGAGCGTTTTCACTTCATCGTCGATCCAAAGGGAGCACCGTTGAAAAAATGAGAGAGGAGGTAAAATAACTCTCTTTTACAACCAGCTCGAAACATTGGGGAATATTTAAAAAAGTGATCGACTGGACGAAAACTTTTATCCGGAAATGTGGTGTACTCGTTATTAAACACAGTACACAGTACACAGTACACAGTACAAGTTCTTTGTTACTTACCTATCGCCCTCAAGACATTCTGCAAATCTCCTTTAAGGTACTCGTTGATGTAATCCATGAGATCACTTTTGGCCAACTGCCAACATAAGTAAAACATTCAGTTACAGTAAAATAAAACAAGCAAACAACCAAACTTGACAATTGCTTCACACCATGATTTCCAAACTTGGATTTCTTCCCCATTTCCATTTAACGATCCTTTTGCCTTCAAGAGGTGATCAGAGATCAAAGTTATCCACACCATTTTGATAAATCATCAAGTTGAAAGAAAGAATTAAAATAATTTTCAACGAAGGAAAATGACTTCTACTTGAACTATATTTCCAGTCAAAGTATTCAGGCATGAGAAGTAACTTTCTGATCTTAAAAGCAAAAGATCCAGTTGATTAATTCACTCATGGAAACTTACAGTTTTGTAGGCGTCTAAGGTGGCTCGCAGTTGCGCATAATTTCTGCTTGTAAGGACTTCGACAAATACTGCTTTGTCTGTTCCCTTTTTGCCTTGCCCTGCCTGAAAAAAAAAATCAACTAAAAGATTGTACCAACAAGCCACCATTCACGTCCTGTTTCTGTTCCTTATTTTTTTCTAATGATCAACCAGTACAGAACGCGTTGAAGTGGACCAGAGTTTTCTCGATGAATCACGGAGCAAAGTGAACCAACGCCCGAAAAAGGTCTTTTTATCAATGTAACAGAACGCTTGAAAATGGGGAAATAATAATATATGGATTTAGCCAAGCCTAAAAGCGGAGCTCGCATTTTTTTCCCCGCACGTCTCTAGGGCACAACGCCTTGCCCCGGCCAGGACTAGAACCCGAGTCGTCCGACTCGGAACCCAGTGCACTGACCAATGGACTACTGAACAAAGCAGTGGCGTTGGCGTGCCCGCGGTACAGTTGACCACGCATGTCAAAAGTAGCACCTTGTACGGTCGTACGGTCGTACATCCAAATTTTTTCGGCTTGATGGGTAACTACTATTTTGTATAATTATGGGGCTACGCTCTGCGAGCTCCGCTAAAATAGATAAATGAGTCAATACATGAAAAGATAATGATACAAAATAAGAAAAAATTAAATCAAAACAAAAACGCACCTCAAAGAGTTTCTTGGCATCCGTCTTAGCCAGGTCCTCCTTTACCTTTTCGTTGCTATCTCGATTTTTCTGTCGGACAAAATACATCAAGAACTGCTAGGCAACCAACGAAAGCTTAACACTTAAAATACAGCAATACATCATTAAATCTACAAAATTACTATCAGTGTCAAAACTTTTATTACAAAAAATTTATTTATCTAAATGTTTCCAAGTCTGTTACTGATCAAGAGCTGATCACGTGCATTTTGACTTATATTATACATTCTGGTCCAATCACAATCAGATGGCATTACAGCAGTTACCTCTATCAAGTTCATAAGAGTTGTCCTGAACTCCCCAGTAGCGTCTTCTTTGATCTTTTTAAGCACATCTTTACCGGTATAAACTACAGAGGAGAAAGGCCAATGAAGAAAGCGTTTACAAATAGGCCACAAAAAAATTTGGGAGGGAGTGGGAGGGGGAGGGGGCTATAGAGACATGCTACAACTTACTTTTCGTATAGGCTGACTTCATTACTTGAAGTTCCTGTAAATTCAAAATAACACAGGCTTTAACTTTATTTGATGAATTGTACACAACTAAAACTCCTTTAAAACACACAACTGTGTGATTAGCAATGTGGCTAATACCACGAGAAAACAAAATTGGACTCAAGGAAACCATTTTGAGCACAAAAACTTAAAAGAAGTCGTTTCAAAAGGTAATTTGCTGAAAAGCCAGTCTTTTAAAAACTTTTAGGAAATTAATTTTTCCACTGCTTAATTGTTTCATCGCACAATGCAAAGTTAACACATGCGTGGTAATTTGTGATTCCATGAAAGCAGTGAATAATTTTCACGCCACTGAAACAACCATGACTACAACGATGAACTTTTTCCGCAGCAAACTGCACTCACCTCGTAAGTCCGTGAACTTAAAATTTCTATGAGGACCTGTTCATCAGTTCCAAGTCCCTAAGAAACAAACACCAACCATGATTAAATATGAGCAGATAAAGCGGAAAACAGCTGAGAGGTCCACGACTTACCGACATGGCGTCATGAAGAGAAACTGCATCGTAATTTTCTGGAACGGCCATCAAAGCGACTGCTGCATCCTGGAACTTTCCACTCAGTTCTGATTTCAAGTCATCCGTGAGGTTCTATGTAAAACATTTAGAAGAAAAAGAAGACACCACGCGTAAGCAAGGATTCAAGGCAACTTCTTAGGATAACTTTAACTCTGGCTGTTCTGGAGTCTCACGATGATTGAACCCTTTACACCCAAACAAAGTATGCAAATTCTCCATACTGTTTTCGGCCCCTTTTTACGACAAGAGCAGGGAGAATTTGTTCAACAATCAAGAGCTCCTTCAGTTGCTGACGACTTCCCTTTATTCTCATGACCTAAATGTTATATTCAGGGGTGAAACTATGCGAGGAAATTACATGCTACTCACTTGTTGGAGTTAAACGGTTAAAATTACAAAATGATCAAATTCCGCCGAAAAGTGATACTGAAAGTGACATGCAGTGGAACCCCAACGAACTATGGGAAGAATGCTTGGGAATAGCAATTTATAGCTTTATTTTTGGATTTAAACTGAAAGATCTCGCACATCCGTGGCACATCTAGAGCCTTGAAATTTCGCTTTGATATTATTCTATCGCTAACGACAACAAAAGACAAAGATTTGTTTAGAGCTGTTTTATCAACCTCTAGCTGTGATCGCTTTTAAGATTTACCTTGTTGTACTTCTGCTGGTACTTGGCCGCAATCTCTTGTCTCTGTTTATTTGACCGAGCTCCAAGAATGGCCACAATTGCGTCTTTGTCACTTCCTGTTGATTGAACACATAACGTAAGGAAAAGAGTGAAGGATTGCGTGACACACATGATTTCAACTGAGTCACAAAATCTTTGGAAGATAAGCTAGCATTGCCCAGGCAACTTTACCAACAAAAACATTTTCTCCTAGTGGCGACAAAAATAAATTAAAAATCGATCTCAAGGAAAAACAATTGTAAAAGCGACAAGAAACATAGTTGTCCAGACGCCTCCTGAAAACTTCAAGTTATTGGTGTTCTGTTGGCAGGGGTGCTTAGGAGAAGGCTGCAGCAAAGTTGCCATGGTGATCTTGCGACAAAAGATATTCCTGTCCTCCTATGTAGCTACCTTAACGGCTGTTTCCCCCTTCACCCCCCTCTCTCCCCCCCTCTCTCCCTCCCCCTCTCTCTCTCTACAGGATTGTCAACTACAGGATGTTTCATTAACTACTAGTGTAAAGTCTCAACCGCGATTTTGAAAAAAAGGTTTTTTAAAATATATTTTTGTATATTTTTATACGTAAGCCATGTCCCTCACCAGAGCCCTGCATGGCTTTCCTCAAAGCTTCTGCGTCTTTTAAGGCATCGAAGTTATCTGCTGGTTTCAATGTCCCACGGAACTGGGGCTGAAGGAGAAAACGAGAAAAGAAAAGAATAAAGACAATAATCAAATCACGAAAAAACAAACTGTCTTTATGTCTGTTTTCCTGAAACGCAGGAGAATTATTCTGTGTTGAAGGCAAGCTTCTTCACTCCTAAAAGAACACACTAAGACCACTTTTGACAATGGTGTAAATATACTCGTGTTATAGCTAAAATTCAGTGCAAATTGCCCTGACAATTCAATTATGTTACTGAGGAAAATTAAAACTACTGTGCAACAAAACTGAGGGTTCAACTGAAAATACATTCCTCCTCAATAATCTCTTTAAAGAAGAAAAGAAGAACGTTTTTTCATTATCTAGGATCACAGTTAGAGCAATTCTTTCTCAACTTTATAATTACATTGGGGCCACGATAAGTTAAAAATTCATACGAGTTAGAAAAGAAAACATGTCAGTTTGCACCGAATTTCAGCTGATTAACATGTTAGATTTGTATATGTATACTGTGCGCTCGTTCGACTGCGCATGTTTGACTGCGCATGCTCCCTTTGGGCACGAGGCGGTACTTACTTTGAGTGAGTTGTCACTGGGGGCAGGGCGGGGCTTGACAGGGCTTATAGCTGTCTGTTAAACATGAAAGCAACGTGACGTATGCGTTATTATGATATCATATTTATCTCGACGAAAAAAGAGGTTTTGCATAACGAGCGATAATCATCCGGATCTAGTCGACTCCGTTTGGCAAAGAAAAAGTCACATGTTGACTGCCCTTCCGTCTTAAAACGTTGATGCATGTATCTCTTGAATTAAATTTACAAAATTTTGCAAAAAGAAAATAAAAAATTTATGCGTACGCAAGCGTGCGACATAGGTTGAGGCCTATAAAAATTATAATTACTTTTAAGGATTTACGAAAACAAATCACTGCTTTGCGTTTACGATCATATTTCATTATCTTCGTCAATTTATTACAGCGCTGCCGAAGTTTTTCAACATCAACTATGTCCTTACTTGAATTTTCATCTGACTTGTATATCAAAATCATTACAAAGCATCTTAGTAAGGGTCTTTATCAAAAAGGTAGTTAGCTAAAATATTAAAAACTTTTGATAAAACTGTCCATCACTTCTAGTTAAATTTATATTAAAAGCTTAATTGTCTTAGTATTAGAATTTATACTGTTACAATTTAAAAATTATCGCCATAAATTTTCCAGTCGCGTTTATTACTTGTGTGTATCAGTTGCAAAAAGTTAGTGCCCCAAAATGAAACCAATAAAAGTCGTCCTACATAAAAAAATATAAGCTGAAAACAGGGAACATACCTCACTCATTGCTTCTGAAATATCTTTTTCTATCTGTTGCGATGTAGCCAGTTCCTGGAAAAACAAAGCAAACTATTTCAGACCCCGCAGTTACCCACAAAATTATTGATAAGCACATTTTAAAGGCTAAAATCTCCAACGAAGTGGAAAATACTAACGCTTTCAACAGAAATTGAAAGTCTCTTCAACTCTTTGTATTCAACTTCTAACGCTTTGTGCTGCTTTTCCAATTCTTGTTTAGAATTCTTGAGATCCTTCGAAAAAACATGACAACCATGTCGTTAACTAAGCATAAGATACTAACTTACTAAAAAAAAACAAACAAACAATTCCCAAAGCTCAATTTTAATATTCAACAAACAACTCAATATCCTTAACTAAAAATAAACTTGAAATATATTACAATAACCTTACAACAATAGACTTAAATAACGGTACGCTTTGGTGGAATTACCGGTGGTGTTTGTATCGTTTACTCCCAGCAGACACATAAGCTAATACCCCATTCACACCAGCAAAACATGTTTTGTTAAACTGGTTTTCATTGAATGAAAATTATAAACAGAGAACTGAAAAACTTGATTTTCCATTGGATTCAAGTACTTGCTAACTTGCATTTCCAATGTGCTACATTCAAGTCAAAAATATTCGGTTAAATAGTTTCTATGAAGAAAAAAAAAATTAAACTGTGTTTAACAAAACAATTTTTAAACATGTTTAAGCTTTGGTGTGAATGGGGCATAAGTCAGCTTAAGAGCATCGAGACTCGCACTTTCAAAAGCTTATCTCTGTTTCAGTAACGCAGAGTGTCTGGGAGTGCTGCTACTCTCCCCTGGGTGGGAATGACAGTTCGTAGAAGGATCCCCACCCCCCGCTTTCCGTCAGATTTCTCAAAGATTTTGCTAGTACCTGGTCCAACTATCGGGTAGAGAGGAGCATTCTTCAGAGTCAATTAAGAGGCCAGCACACCAATAAGTATGCTACCCAATCTCCCAGCCATGTGGTAGTGTCTACTGTTCTCTTACTGAAATTGCGTTTATCAATATGTGCTGATGTACAACTCGGTACTCACATCAATCTCTGCTCGCTGTTCAGATATCCTTCGTTCAGCCTGATGAAAACGGACAGAGTAAGAAAACCAAATTAAGTTTCTGTTCCTTCATAAAGAACCAAAACAACTCACACAGGCTCACAAACCCTTTCTTCAAAATGAAGACAAAACAAAACTTAAAAAGCATTTAATACTTCCACAAACACGAGTGACAAAAGACGGTTACATTTTTACTTTGGAAACTACAGAAAGGAAAATTGTTCTATACAGAGATTCGGCCATAGAGGTTTCATTAGAATGGACACACTTTATAAGGGTTCAGTGTACAGAACAGAAGGAAGAAGAACACAACAAGACACTGCTTTTTCAATCCCCCACAGAATAAAAAGCATGTTACCGTGGACACTGCTTTTGACGCACGAGCTTCCCCTTTTCAGATAATTCAGACAAAAACTATTTTCCATGACCATGTAAAAAAGACCTTGTTGTCCCTGTGCAACGTTTCATATTGTTTTATAAAATTAAAGCTTCCATAAATATTTTTAAGACTTAGAGAACTCTATTGTAACTAACTAACACCTTACCTCCTCAAGTTTACCGTCATCCTTCTCTTTATCCTTCTGTAATAAAATAGATGTCATAACGTGAAAATGAAATTCAACACCAACAGCCCCCGAGAGAGACTTTAAACGAAGAGAAACATTTGTGAAATGAAAACACCACTATGCCTTTGCAGATTCCTTGTCAAAATTTGTCATATAAACTATGAATATGGATCTAACAATTAACCTTCTCTTATCAAAGAGAGGACAAACATTCCTGGGCTTTATTTAAAACACAGTTTAAATTTATTTTTATATGCTTTATGGCATGCTTATGGAAATAGTTACTCTTGATAAGTACTGTAATAAAATACATTTCTTTCCAAAAATATTGTGCAAATCTTTCCTCAGTTACACAAGGTCCTGGCGACTGTCAAACTTCATAAGTAAATATCCTCTTTAAAGAGTTCATTTTTGGACCAAAAAAATTTACAATCATGGCGAATACATTTTGATATTTTATTAAAGTCATAAATGATAATAATAATACTAAATGATGCAAGGTTCAAAATAGAATTACAAAAATTACTCAGCAAAAAGGCAAATTATTGTAATTTAAACTTGATAGGCAGAATTCAAGAATGTATAATAATTTGATAGCTATATATTTCCATCAAATATCTAAAGAACGGCATTCACAACCCAGACCCCAAGCCTGCTGTAAGAGAAGCCACAGTCCATCAGTACAAACCTTGTTCTTTACTTTATTGAGTGCTCCTTTCAGTCCCTTTTTTTTCTTGTCAGGGCTGTTGTTTAAACTGTCAAGTGATTCCTACATTTGATTTTATTGGTTAATGGTTAGAATTACATTTAATGAGTCCTTTAAAAGCCAGCTTTACTATGCTGTTGTGATATTTTAAGAATTACTTTATAACCTGAACATAAATGTTTGATTTAATTTACGCAACCTATTTACCATTTGATTTCCATGAACCTAAACCTTTCTTATAGGTTTAATTCAAACTATTATCCAATGCTTAATTTTACTTTTAATTTAACCTTACGATAAATAAACTTGCTTCAAGGAAACATTAACTTGCTTTCAAAAAAGTAAAAATGTTGCACTGCTTGTCACATGTTCATTTTAATCGAGGCTAATTAAGTTCATACACATTTGCTTGAGGTCCTTAAAATCTTAGTTAAGAAATTGTCAATTGTAAATTTTTACAAATTTATGATTCCTCAGGAGATGAATAACTTGCCATTCACTTGACCAAAAATATTAGTTAGAAAAAAGGTTCCAATCAAAAGGTTTTAGCACGTTACAAATTATGCCAAATTAATAACAATGTGTCAACCATTCCCCCATTCACACACACCCCCCCTCCAGTGGTATAATTTGCAGGCTTTGCACTGGTATAAAACAAAATAAAACAGAGCACTGCCAACACACCTGTGATTTTCCAAGGTCATTATTTGCCTTGGCTAAGGCCTCCTCAAGTGATGCCACTTTCTTCTTTAGTTCGTCTTCTGAGCTTTGAACCTTGGCAAGCTCACCCTTGGCTGTTTTCAATTCATTATCACGTTCAGCAATTTCTTTGATTGAAGTTTCCCTTTGCTGCTTGCACTTTATAAGATCTTTTTCTGTGGATTCTAGCTTGGAAATTGTATCAGTAAGTTCTCTATCTTGTGCTCTTAGCACTTCAAGTTCTTTCTCAAGATTTCTTATTTTGTCACTGTCTTCAGAGACTGTAGATTTTGAGAGCTGTTCCTGTAATTCAGAGAATCGTTGCTTTGCTTCACTCTCAGCAGCCCTGGCCTCCTTGAGATGTTGCTCTAAAGATGCTATTGTGTCCAGCTGAGAAGAAGCTGATCCTGTGGTCTTTTGAAGATCTCCTTCTAATGTTGATATTCTATCATTGGCCTACAACACAAGATGGCATGATAAAAACTAAGTTTCTATGTTTTACATTGCATTAACATATTAACATTTAATATTGAGAACATTACAAGCTTACTATTGAACTGACCACTGATAATTTAGCAGTGGATCCACATTGCCTTCAGAATAATTGGGAGTCTAAAATGGTAATTCCATGCACAGAGAGAAGGGCAAGGGATCCTTGTCATCCCTTGAGGAGGAGAACTACAAATGAACTCAATCCAAATGAAATGAAGTTTTAGAGCCCTGACCACAGCCACACCAGCGGAAGGCAAGTGAGCTCACTCCTATGCCTTTCCTCCTCAAACAAATCTCATTGTGCAAGATAAGTCTTACCCAACAAAACATCACAGTTGCAAAATATGGATAGCTTAGGTTTAATAACCCATTTTTATGGATACCTCTTTAAGTTCTCTTTGAGTTCGTTCTACAATCTTTTGCCAGTTGTCCATTTCAGATTCAACATTGTCTTCTAACTTTCTAAGCAAGGACTCCTGAGACAAAACAGCACACAAACCAAATTAATACTATTCCTTTGCCCTTTAACTCCCATAAGTGACTGAGACAGAATTTCTCCTTTCAACATCAATACAATATTAACCAGATAAGTGATGAGAATAAAGAAAAATATCAATTTGGGGATAATTAGTTGATCCAATACTAAATTCTCTGACCTAACATTATAAGAATTGTATGGTTGACAGTAAGGAGAAAGACAAATTTGATCTGGGGGTTAAAGGGCTGACTAGCTAAAAGATGCTTACCTCCCACCCAAACAGTTCTTTAAATTATTAGATCAGGTCTTTTTGAGACATCTGATCATCTTAGATCTTGAAGTTGGTTATTCATTACTTACTGTTTCTTGAAGTGTGACTTTGTAATGAGCACATTCTGCTACCAAAGTGTCTTTTTGTGCCTGTACTTCTTCAAACTTTTTGGTAAGCTCTTCCAACTATGATAAAACATAAAAAAACTCAGAGGAAAACAAAAATACACCAGCAGCATTAAAGTAAGGGAACTGACCTTTGCAAGTTCAAGATAATTCCTAACTTTGAGGTTTAAATGTCCAAATTAAAGGTGAATCAGGGTCCAAAATCAACTTTTTTGGTTTCATTTGCTACAACATTTTTTGAAGGCATGCTTAGAAACTGACCAAAATTCTGTTCATCAGTTGCATTAGCGGCCAACCAGTTACAATTGCAGACCCAGAAAGTTCTGCATGGACGCACCTGGTGACAACAGTTTAGGCAGCTAATACTAACCTCTTCACTATCGCCAGAGGATTTGGATGCTTGTTTTTCAAACTCCCCAAGCCACTTCTTGTATGCCTGAGAGACAAGAAGACAAATGTATATGATATACATGTTAATACCATTACTTGTTAAACACTGCACTAAACCTTTATTTAGTGACAGCCATTTTCGAGTTCCCATGGACAGAAATCTTTGATTTGTCTATTCAAATGCAGTTTAGCTGTAGGGCTGGATATGCCAAAAGAAAAGTATCTTTCCTACTGAAAAATGCCCACCATTAGACTATGAAGATAATCTCATGCTATTACCACTCTTACCTCTATTTGTTCTCACAAACTAGTCAAAACACTTTTAACCCTTTGACTCCCATGATCTGATTGTTAATTCTCCCCTCTACCTGCTACACATTTCCTTGTAAATTAGTTATGAGAGCTTGGTGTTAGATCAAGAGAACAACTTCTACCTGATTAGTTTGAATATTCTCGTTACCTGTTTGCTAGATAATGTAAGGATCTTATAGGGAGAAGTTTCATGTTGATCACTTCTGGGAGTTAAAGGGTTAAGAAAAATTAGAAGCATACAGCAGAGTGAGCAAAAACAGTTCATTAATTTTACTTTTGGGTACTTAGGATATATTTCACTTACCAATGTGGTGTCTACCATGACATTTGGATGAACTCTACAAAGGACTGCCTACAAATGTTCAATATGAATTATCAGATGGCTGAAAGTGTTTAATTCAACACTAGTAAAAAACAAAACAAAACAAAACAAAACAACAATAATGGATAATATAATTACCTTTGTCTCATTTTGTTCTTCAGTCAAAATAGTCTTGTTTTCATCCTATCAACAACAACCACAGTTAGTTTCATGTTGTAAGATTTGCACTGACATTAAAGCAAGATTTTCAAAATTAACCAAAAAAAAAACCAATTGCCATAAGATTTTTATTTTCCTTTGTGTAACACCACTTAAAGTCACCATGAACCCAGACACTGTTCCCAAAAAAAACAAAAAAAAAAAAGAAAAACCCCAAAAAAACCAACCATAAAATGAATTTCCCAATACATTTTATTCAGTAGATCATGGCTTTGGCCCCTGTCAGCTGAAAAAGGAGTTGCTGTTTTTTTTCTTTGGGTATGTCAGTGTTGCCAGGTGATACTAACAATAGTTTCAGGTGAACATACCTTGACACTTTGTACAGCACTCTTGATTTTACTGTTTACACTTTTTTCCATTTCTGACAATGCATCCATTGCCTTCCAGTTCTTTTCACGTAATTCCTATATACCCCAAAAGAGAAATGAAGGAGTAAAGCATTCACTTATGTGAGAGGGACACAAGAGTCATCTCATTCTCACAAATGCTATCAGTAGTAGAGAATCAGTTCAGTTCTATGCTAAAACAAAACCTGTATCATCTCTGTATATGGAAAACATGGTTTACAGGTTTAAGTATTTTCTTATTCAAGACTAAAACACACAATTGCTCACAATGAATAAACTGCACACATCCCTGGCTGTACAATGTTTAACAACCAAACACAGCACATGACATACTACTTTTCTGGCACTGCTTGGTATTTTTGAGTAAAGAAATGTAAAATGGTTTCCATGTTTACATAGCCTGATGTAAACACGCGGGAGGTTGGGAGAACACGAGATAAGCGTAGGAAACCATGACGCAAAGCAGAGTGGTTTCCAGCTTATCGAGGAACGAAAACCGTGTTTACATACGCTCATGTAAAATGGTTTTATGGCCAATCAGAGTGCGTATACTATTTGAATTATTTTATAATAAGACTTTATAACAGAACTGGTGAGAACTGAACAGGTTGAAATCTTTTTCCATCCACACTTACATTATTTTTATCCTTGTGTTGTTGTACAGCATTTTCTAGTTTGCTACATTCTTCATTTTTCTCCTTGAGCTCTTCCTTGAGTTTTGTTATTGCATCATCTCTTTCCTTCACACTGAAATTAAAGAAGAAACTTTATCATTAAGTTCAAAAGGAGCTGATGCAAGTAAACTATCAGTAACTTGGACAGCAAAACTGAATGTGTATGGCATCATGAAGCAACTTTCACCAGGAATCAAAACATTTTACAATGTTCTGTTCAACATACTCATTAAGGTTGGGACAAACAGAGTGACAAACTGCTGTATTTGTTCCCTGCAACAAACCCTTCCATGAGTATTGTTTCTAAAAAAATGTTCCTCATTTTCATGCTGCTATCAAATGTACATCCTTTTTGACCATAAGAAGTTTCCATTCAACAAACTTAGACAATCATTCTCTTTCCATCCAATCTTTCCATCTCTCCCTGGTGTTTAAGATAATCACAGCAGCTTCAATAAGAAGGTACATGTAATCACTTACACATCACTCTGTCCATTAGCCACAGCATCATTTGCAGCCTATAAACAAAACAAACATCAGGAAATGTTTACCAGAATTAACCCTACCAACACTAGTTACTAACATTGTTTAGTGTTTGCATTTTAATGAAACACAACACTGTTCCAGCAACATAAAGAGGAAAAAGAGCAGTGCATCATGCAGACATAAAAGATTTCAAAAAGTAGAGAAACTTGTGCACACATATCCAGAAATTGATGGGAGAAAATCTTAAGATTGAACTTTTATGTAGATTTTCACAAACACGAACAGGAAGAGAGAGAAAGGAGAAAATGTGAGCCTATGCATCACATGCAAACCTGACACCTTAGACAGGCTTCTCCTGACATTTTATCACGACTCTGGAATAATAATAGTTGGAATGAGACTAGAGTGAAGTATTCCATTTAAAGTGCCAGATCTATGGCAATACTAAAGGGAAGACACAAAGCTAGGCCTTGCTTTTGACTTGATGCTGTTGTGATAATCCAAAACAGTCTGATCTTCCACTTTGAATAGAGAAGGACAGTACGAGACTGTTAAGTTAATGATTAAATAGAGAGATAATTATTACCACATGCACAAGATTGTTGTTGAGATCTGTTTATGACTGGATGGGAGAATGTTGAAAACATGTTGTGAATCAAGAAGAAGTTGTTAATATTGTTAATAAGTGTTTGGCAGAAGGTCTTGGTACCTTGGCTGCCTCAAGAGCCTTATTAATTTGCGCCTGAGCATTTTTCTCGGCATCATTTACGGCTTCCATAGCCTTCCAGTTCTTCTTTCGAAGCTCCTGAGTTACAAAAGAATACTCAATTGTATCAAAAAAAGGTTAAGCAGCAGTGAAACAGGTCTCTTTGGGTATGCCCTTCTAATCCCAGGATTAAGATCTAAATTCTCCTTATGGGTCTTTCATGGGTTTTCCAAAGTAAGAGTGGAGAATCTGGAGATGAGATGTAAAAGGATCAAGAATACCAGATGCAGGATGAGTGAAACAAATCATAGTTGAAAAGACAATTAAAAATCAGCCTAACAAAAATAATCATTGTCAAAATACTTGAGTGAATATAACACACCATTGTAAGAGATATTGTAAGTTCCTAACAAGGATTCTTAGGAAATGGTTTTGGTCTTATGTGTCTGTATCTTCATTTTGTTGTTAAATTTCAACCCTTAAAACCCTTGGAGTGACCATCATCTAATTTTCCCTTACAGCAGTACTACTGAATAATTCACTGAGATCATAAAAGAATAAAGAAAAGATCACCAACCTAAGAAACTTTGATTGTTAAAAAAATTCTCCTAGTCAGTACCAGAGGAAATGTATAGAGAACAGTGTGGAGAATACAAATATTTAATCAGCTTTTGGTAACACTTCCTTTGATGATCTTGGTGATCTGTTCTGTACTAAAAGACTGACCAAAGATGGTCACAATCTGGGGATCGACACTACATCTACTGCACCATTTTAACTTACATTATTTTTGTTCTTTTGTTCATCTAAGAGGCTCTTGAGACTGGCAATTTCTTCATCTTTCTTGATCACATCACCATGGAGTTCAGCAATGACATCCTCCTTGACCTTTAGCCTACATTTCATTAAAATAAAAAATTGCTGACTTACACCAATACAACAATACAAACAAATTATGCACCACAAAAACCCTTACAACCATTCACTAGAAACCTGGAGTGTTCAATAAACAAAATATCTGATTTACACTTACGCATCCTCCTGGATCTTTGCAGACACATTAGGTTCTTTTCCATTCTAAAACATGAATCAAATCATAATTACAGCATCAATACACAAAGGCTGGATCACATGAAGAACAATTTCGTATAAGGAACTAAAACTAGTTCACTGAAATCTGAAGTAGCAAGTTTGTTTACCTCAGCAGGTGCTGCACTGTTCACATGATTTGCAACAGAAGTCTGCACACTCTCCTTTGCCAATTTAAGTTCCTCCTGAAGTACCTTAATTGTAAAATACAAAACCATTAGATTCCTTTGTCTTTTAATTTCAGTGGAGTATAAACTAGTCTTGTCAATTAAGTCCACTAAAAAAGCCTTGTCACCCACTGACTGGAACTTAAACCACAAGCACCTGAGAAACTTAGACATATTGCTGCAACCCACCGTTATGAATTACTATAATATGAACACAAGGCAACCCCCCCCCCCAAAATCCAAACTTTTCCAGGAAATGCAGATATTATTGACCCAAACATGTTACCAAAAAAACTGTAACTTTACTAAACAAGTCTAAAAGTACAGACGATTAGGGTTTGAGCATGTAATCCAAATTTTTGTTTTGCCAAACCAGGCAAATATTTTCCTTTGAGTGTCAACTTACTTGTATCTCTTTCTCTTTTTGTGTTTGGGTTTCTTGTGATTTCTTCAACTGAACTTCTACATCAGAACATATTTTTTCCAGCTCAGAAACCCTTGCTGTTGCTTCCTGAAGTTTGGCGGTCAAGGAGTTCAGAGCATCTGCTTGGTTTGAGTCAGCAGCTGAAAGGTCACTCATGCGCTTCTTCAAGTCAGATGTTTTGGCTTCTTCAGCTCTGAGAGCTTGTGCTGTTGAGTTCAGATCTTTCTGCAATGTAGTGTTTCTAGCCTGAGACTTATGAAGCTCTTCATTCACTTCAGCCAGTCGCTTTGATAACACATTCTCTGCCTCTTTCTGTGAAAGAAAATACATCACCCACTGCTAAGTGATATCCAACAGAGGAAAACAAAATTGGTTGGACTGAAGCAAATTTAACACATCACTCTCAATAAAACCCAAACCAATACATCTATTAGTGATATGTTAAAAATTTCTCCAATTTACCACACTGCTCTGATGAATTGTCAACTGCCGAACTTGCTCTTCACTCTTTGATAATTGATCAACTTTGGCACTAAGTTCTCCCTTAACATGACGGTATGTTTGCTGTAGTTTCGTCAGCTCTGTAGTAAGAGATTCTTTATCTGCAGTTCTAAAACCAAATATAGAAGACAAAGATGAAGTCAGTCTAGTTTCATTATGATGAAATGACTAGGAGTATTGGTTAACCTCCCTTCCCCACCCCTCCCCCACATAGTCCCTGTTTTTGGTTGAAAGAGGCATTGTGAGAGCAACTTGACTCGGCCAAGAACACACACCATGAACTGGCCAGAACAAGAACCCAACCCAAAGTGGAGGTCCAATTCACTAACCCAGGCCACTACACCTTCCAATAACAAAATGCACCCACATTTCATTTATGCCTTTGACACCCAGGAGTGAATAAAGGGGTAAAGGGGGGCTTTACAACATCAATAGGGGGGCTTTACAACATCAATACAATCTTTGGTGATGAGAAGAAAGAAGAATATCAAGTAGAATATTCTGTTTTGTTAAACAACAAATACTCTAAAACAAAACCATAGGACAGTAAAGAGAATGGATAGAAAGATCAAGTGAGTGGAAGAGCAAAAAAGATGAATATCAAACAGGTGTATGACCAAACAGAGACATTTGCTGCAAAAATGTACTCTCCAATTCAATTTATTACAATTAAACTTGAACAGAACTTGATTTACTTACAGTTGTGTTGCTCTCATGGATGCATTCTTCAGTTGAGCATTTTCCTATTTTTACAATAATGTAAAAAAGTCAGCTAAGGATAATACATAATTTGCTAGGGGCAAGAGAGGGGTGACAACAAGTGGGAGAATAGGACAGGGGAGGGTGGGAGAAAAAGGTATATAGTGGGGTGGGGAAGGGAGACAAAACAAAGTGAGGGTGGAGAGACTAAGTTCTAGTAAATAGTGGAGAGAGCGAGATACATAGAGTGAATTTGTGACATATAATCTAAGTAGACCATGGTACTGAATAATGAAGGGGAGGTGAGTATATGCCTGAGAGAATAGAATATCACTTACAAAGGGAAATGGCTTTAAAAGTTGATGGGTAGAAGAAAGAAATAAAAGACATCTTTACCTCTTGAAGGCGTTGAACATTACCCACAGACGAAGATGCCACCACATCCTGCAGCTGGCGCAACTGACTTTGCAAAGTTTGCACCTCCAATGCATGGCTATCATGAGAAGCCTGCATGCGAGCTTGGAGAGCTTGGATCTCTTTGGTCTGTAAGGAGAGATTGTTTTAGTCACAACATGTCTGCATGATTAACTAAATTAGCTCACCCTGCTGTGGTATTGTGACAGGCAGCATTGCAGCAGTCTCAAAAAGTTTCGCATGATTTACTGTTTTAATCCATATCGGTAGCAGTTGAGCATTTCAACTTACCTGAGCATTGATTTTACTTGTTGCATTAGTTTGTTGATTCTTCAGTTTTTGCTTTTCTTGTTGTAGTTCATCCCTTGGAGGGAAAAAAAATACATTATCATACCATAAATAACTGCAGTTCAAAGTTTCTTGACCAACTAGTCTGTCAGACTACGAATCTGTTCATTTGTTCCAATTTCGTATAGACCTTACAAACCTTCTAAACAAAAGACGAAAGCCCATGCCATGGACATTAAATTATAAGCACCCTAATAAGGCCAAAATTTGTGGTCATCCCCCAAGATAAATTTACAGTAATAATTTAGTGGCTTACTTCTTATATAAGAGTGTCTTGAAATAATTGGGGTCTGTTGGCAATAGGTTTTTCAGAGATTACCCCAAAAGCACATGCACTTCAATAACAATTACAATGAAAAAATCAAACCCATTTCTATCACTCTGTCTCAATGATATGCTCAATCTCTGTTTCTTTGGGTACTTCTTACATTGTTGTAAAAATTTAATATTGCATACTTATTCTCGTAGGCCAATTAGAAAGTTCTGTACTGCTATGTTTCAGAATTGTGTCTCTTGCCATTTTAACCCTTCACTAGGCCTCACTATCAATAGCATATACACTTCTGGTACAAATTACAAAATACAGGTATGTATAGGTATCAGTGCTGTTGGCTAAGAAGAGTACCAGCTACAGGGAGTTTAAAATTCGCAATATTGAACTTGAACAGGTCTGAACGTTGTCCTTACCTCAACTCCCTTAGCTTATTAGCAGCATTCTGAGATTGTTGACGCTCTAAAAAAAAAAAAAGGATGACATCGCTTAGTTTGTAACTTTAAGAATGCATTGTGGTTTTATGAAGGACAACATTTCAACTTTTGGAAGGAATCACCTTCATGTGCAGCATTTAATACACCAGCTCACTACTCTACTCGACTTTTATAGGAAGTTCAAAATTGGTTAACTTCAGGTCAGTACAAAATATGTTAAAAAACTGATGCTCACAAATATTTTTGCTGATAGAGAAACTGTTAAGTAAACCCATTGAAGAGTGTCTGAGTTATCAGTAATTGGAAGTTCATAGAAGCATTCTGGCTTCCAAACTGAAAATCAGATCTATCTTTCTATCCCATGCGTATAACCACAGAACTACATTATGAAGGCATCTGTAGCTAAGAGAATGGGAACATGACTGACTGAAATCCTTTAAATACTGATTTCCTTCCTTAAAAAGAACTCCAGAAGTTCTAAATTTTCCAGGATGGATTATGCTAAACACCTGTATAATTAAATGACTTCAGATCTTACACACCTTCTGATATCTGGGTCTCTTTTTCCTGAAGCTGTTTCTTCAACAACTCCAATGTATCACCTTTGGAAGATGACTATTAAGAAAAAGATCACTGTTATATTAGAAAATACATAGAAATATACACAATAATAATTCATATTCAATCTAAATGCTAGTTCAGAAAATCAAAACTGAATTATCTATCACTGTCATACTTAGGAAAACTGATGCATCTGTTTTGGGTTATAAAGTAACTTTCACCTTGTGACCTAAGGTTGTAGCCTACAATCACCAACAAAATTAAAATATAGATTTAGCCAAGCCTAAAAGTGGAGCTTGCATTTTTTTTTCCCCACACGTCTCAACACCTTGCCCCAGCCTGGACTAGCACTTGGGTTGTCTGACTTGGAGCCCAGTACACTAACCACTGGACTACTGAACAAAGCTGTGGCATTGATGTGCCTGCAGTACAGTTGACCACGCATGTTAAAAGTAGCACCTTGTATGGTCGTACATCCAAATATTTTTGGCTTGATGGGTTACTACTATTTTGTATAATTATGGGCTACCCTCTGCAAGCTCCGCTATTAAAATACAACCATAGTGACAGCAATAGCAGGCTAAATTTACTCCTGATACCCTTATCTTCACCACTTCTCCCTCTTTACAATAGCACACTTTGTTTTATGTGATCTTACAGTATTGAAAGAGGGAAGGGAGCTACTTGGGCTGCCTGCCATTAGTTGTTGGAGGCATAACTGCTAACTTCCCTACCTTCTTCCACTGACTATTTTCTCCTTGCTTGTTGAGCAGAACATCAATCAAAGATTGAATTTCAGTTGAGTTCAGGTTTGAAGCTGTCACCATTTCCATGAGGCGTTTAGTACTCACCTCACCTAAATGAGGAGAAAAGACAAATAAATTAGAAAATCTGATATAAACTTGTCAACAAATCTACTCTGTTTCAACAAACTACAAGTTTTAAAATTTATATAATAGTAAAGGCTTTTACTTTTAACCAACTACACATTACAAACTAAGATAACCTCAAAAGTTTTAACATGTAAATTTTTCACTATTTATAACAGGTCAAGAGGTCCTCAAAAGGATTATTGTTTAGGGCTGAAGTCATTGTTGCAGCCATAGCACTTGTAGTCCATCAAATCACAAAATGCATGATACCTACTATATCAAAATACAATAACAACTGAGATACAGAGAAATCTTGCAGCTACCACATTGGAGTTATCAAAATTCACTCAAACTACTAAGGTGGTCCGGTTTGTCACAAGAAGAAAAAAACATTGGCCTTACATCCTGTTTTTCAACAAAATAAACAACCCACTCAAGAATGTCGAATATTTTTGGTTTCCTAAAAGAAACCGAAAATACGACCAATTATTTATTATGAATTGATTAGAGGGTGTCAGGGTAGCAATTGGTGGTCTTATGTCATTAGGAAATTTAAATTAGAGCATAAATTCCAAAACTTAACAAAAAGGCTAAAAATCAGTATCTCATGAGCTGTGCAGTTTTTTGGTGAAACAATAAAATTTAAATTTTGTTTTGTGTTTACATGTAGTAATGAGAAGGCATTAGGAGAAGTTTTATATTGAGTCGTATTTACAACCGCCAGACGAATCATTATTCATTGAATACCTTTCGCCTATATGTAAATCAATAAAACACTTTCAGTTCTCAAAATACTGTGTAAACCAACGTCTATTTTCATTTTATTGAGAGTAATTTCGTTTAAGTGAATTTATAACCAAATTCTAAGATCCAGACAGAATATTTATGGGGAAAAAAATGGGTTCACAAAATGTAATTGGCGCGTTCTTATGCATGATTATGTGGAACTAAAATTTCGACTAAGAAAGAAACACGAAATTGAACAAGTCATGAGGTATTTAAATTTGGCCAGTACAAAACCCTAAGTGTCCGAGAAAATGATGTTCTGTCACGCTTACTTTGAAACGTCGTTCAATGAAAACGAAAGAAAATTTTCTTTTTTCAGAAATAAACATGTAAACAGACTCCGCACCACTACAACATATCAGCACAGCATAACACAGGAAAAACATTACAACGATTTGATTGAATAATTTAAACAACATTCAAATATAATAGCTATTCAAGAAACATTTTCCTTCCATTTTCCATTTCTTACGAGCGATCCATTAACTTTTCCAAGCCACTATAAGCGATCTTGGTCTATTTAACCAAATGTATGCAATTAAGATCCATTGAAAAAGAATGTTGTACTACAATTTTCTCTATTTGCCACGTTGACTTTTATCCCGCTGAAGTGTACAACTTTGATTTAAATTCAGACTATTGGTCGATTACAAAGGTCTTTATGTTCCACTGTCAGGACGGCACGAATTTTATTTAAGCAGATGTAATTATTTCATTCTTTGTTGTATTTCTTCCCCAAACCAGAGCAAGCTTTTGGAAAGTAGCGCAAATAATTTTGACCAGGAGGAAATATATTACGATATCTCACTAAAATTTCTGCTCACCTTGAAAGGGGTCCCTATCTTTTGTTGTTTTGGGTTTGCTTTTAGACTTCTTCGCGGGAGCTGCTGTTTCACTGCTGTTCAGGGGTTTCGGCTGCTCATTTTCGAAATCCTCGGGTTTATCAGGTTCGCTTTCGACTGTAGAATCAACAACTTCGGAGACCATTTCTTCAGCCACCTCACGTGGTTTGTCGAGAATTACATGTCGCTCGGTCACGGAACTCGTGTCTTCTTTTACTACAGCTTTCTTCGCCTTCTTTTTCCCTTGCCGGTCTTTTGCAGTTCCAGAGCCAGGCTTCTCTTCGGTTGCGGGAATCTTTTCTTCAGGACGATCGGGAAGGAATTCATCATCAGGCATAGTATCAAGGTTACTTGATCTCGATATCTCCACATTCGATTCGATCGTTTCCTCCACTTGGAGAGATGAAACCTCCTCCTGTCCTTCTCCATCATCTGAATACTTTTTCTTTCCTTTTCCAAACTTCTTCCGCTGTTTCACGGGCTTTGTAGACGCAGTGCGAGCCATGTAAGCCTCTTGTTCAGAGCGCTGAGCTGCGAGAACATCCTCATATCGCTCCTCGCGAGTTGCAAAGAGTAGTAAAAGAAGTGCAGAAAGCACGATTGCTACAACAACTGCAATGATAGCCAAAGTTATATGATCGAGAGGCTGCATCTTAACGCTCAAAGAGCCTTGAAAAAAAACAGAAGAAGAAGCTTAGCTTTAGCTCTAAGCTAATACGTCCCTCACGGAAAAAAGTGATCAGACTTCGCGAATACTGTACAACAAATTCAAGGGAAGTTCAATCCCAAACATGGAGCATGCGTCCAGTATTGACTGACACGTGAAAGGGTTCTAGCCAATGAACATTCAGCACGCCACCGGAAGTACGTAGTGATCAGCTGTGTTGACAAAAGAGTGGTATGTGGTTTTAAATCTTACGGAAATAAGGTGCAATTCTTCAATGTTCTAGGTGATTTCGAAAAAAGGTTTTTTGGGCTAGTACCGACAAGAAGAACCTGGTGCTTAATATTCTGCAGTGCAGGCGTCAAAAATATCATATTTTAATACTGATATCAATTCCTACCCTAATTCTGTTAGGGAAACTTACTTGATAATCAGAGAAAGGGCGAAAGGAAAACGTCTTTTACCGGGCACTGGTCTCTCGGGTCAATGATTGTAGTGCAGAACTTTTCGGAAATCCGTTTTAATGACGTCTTAATGACGTCTTAAGATCTTATATCACTACATGTTACTTCTTCATTATTTAAGTAGGCCTTGGATCATCAGAGGAGATGGCCTGTTTCCCCCTCCAGTCCGTCGTGGTAGGCAAAAAGCCCGCGAACTTCGAATGTTATCACGGGAACAGCTCCCTCGTTTTCTCTTTGCCCGTCCCCCGCCATTTTCTCCACTTGCGTCTAATGACCGAGAGTTTAATACGCTCATTTCTCAATGCAGCCCTCAGAGTCGTTGCGTAAAAGTATCCTAGATACAAACTGTTCTATATTGCGCGCGCTTGAATGAGATATCACAGAAATGCCGCGGAGTAAACAGGACTAAAGATTTGTGGTTGAAGGCGACTGGATTTGAAAAAAGAATCTGGGGACATCTCAAGCACAAAAGGGGAACTGGTTTTCGGTAAAAGTTCAGTCTACCATTGTTTCTAGCGTGCCTTCCAACATAAGCTTAACAGAATGGTGGAAAGTGCTGTACCTTCCCGTCATTAAAATTCCTCTTGCATGCACTTTCTCTCCCTCTTTGGTTGAGGTTGAAAAGTTAGTACTAAAATCCTCCTCTGGACTACCGTTTTGCTCTCAGCTTTAATTTCATTAATGTACTTATCATGCTATTTATCCAATCAGTTTTGCACTCTATTTCCACTCTCCCCTTCCAGATTTATTTCCATCCCTATTTACCTTTTCCCAGGAGAAATCTCTCTTAAAAAGGCTGAGTCAAGTCAACCTTTTTACCCTCGAGGAAATTTGACATATTCCAATAATGATTGTGTGAGCTTTAAATGGTTTGACTGACGAAGACAAGTAGAACAAATGTAAATACAGCCTTTTAACAATTTAATAGCTTATCTTTGAATGAGAAACATTTAATTTCTCTCCAGCAATAGAAAGATGTGAAAGTCTATTTAGCTCTTAGTCCTAAATTACAAACAACATATTAACAAAATACTAAGCTCCTCAATAATTAACATCAGACAAAAAAATTTGTATTTATATTGATGACATCCTAATCTGCTTAAGTATTTCAAATAACTAAATCCACCTTCCAATTTCTCTTTTTTGCCTAAGGTTTTTTTTATTGGCCAATAAAATGTTAAAAAAATTAAAAGCAGCCTCTTTTACAACAAAGATATGTTGATAAAACTGATTAAAGTATCTTCAACAATAAACATGACCAAATCAATTGACCACACAAACAAATATTACATTAACAGTAACACTGCCAAGGCTCCAAGCTTAACCCATTACAAGGCTGCCATTTGGCCACCTGAAGTAAAATAATGGACTGCAGATTAAAAAAAAACAAAAGCTTGGTCACCAACCAGGGGACATTTTGTGAAATATCTGAAAAAAATCTTCTGTTAACCACTGCAACCAAAATCTCCCCAAAGCACTGGTAGTCTGACGTCTTTTAACAAAACTATTCAACATGATTAATTGTTTCTTTCTTCTGCTTCACAGAGCAATGGTGGCTCATGTGGGTTTGTGCTATTCTAATGAACAATTCTTCACTTGCATGCAAAAGTTCTCAATCACAAAAAAAAAATGTATAACAAGGAAGTTGAAAAAACCAGTTAAGAAAAGTACATTATAGCTTTGCCACAAGTTTAAGGCATCCTTACTCTTGGAGCTCCAAAATTCAAGTCTAAACCAACACCATTACCTTAGGAGAACAATCAGTCAATTTTCCTTGTTCTATGCAACTTATTGGAATATTATGAAGGTCAATTTGGCACTAATCAGTAAATCAGCACTAATCAGCCCTAACCAGCTACCAGCTAATTTTTCTTGTCCTATGTAACTTGTTAAAATATTATGAAAAGTCAATCTGGCATTAAGAGAACTCAATTCCAATCACATATCTAGACCTACAAGCAAACTCAATACCAATCTACAACCTCAGGCCAGATTAAAACATTAAAAAAATCACAGCCATTGGCTACACATTCTTGTAGTTATATCCAAAGAGAAATCACAACCCTTTACTCCACTCAGTGGTTGACAGGTAACTCCCCCTTACATTAACACTAAGTTTAAAGCCAGCTTAAGACGACAACATATAAGCTATAAGCTCAAGGATGTTTCTCTGTAGTAACACCCAAATTCTCTGAACCAATTTACACAAAGATGCTTGGCAATTTAAAGGGAAAATGCAAAACAGTTTTTAGGGGTTAGAGTATTTAAAGCAGCCAGAGGCATATCCTGCATCACCTGTATCTTCAGGGTTTAGAAAAATTTGACAGTGGTTAGAAAAACAAGTAATCAAATTCACCTTCAGACTCTAAATGGTAATCATCAAAATCACTAGCTGAATTCCAATTCCAGTCAAAACTTGAAGTTTCACTATCACTGTCAAAATAGGCATCATCCTCATCATCAGAATCTCTCCAATCTGCAAAAAAATCTGTCGGCCAATATTCTTTACACATTCTTTGTAAAATCAGTTGTGGTAACTTAATGGTTTGGAGGTTAAAGGAGCCTATCTTGTCACTTATGGTGAGGTTTTTCACTTTCTGCCACTTGTTGGACCGTGCGTTGTACTTCACAGCATCGCAGGAGGAGGATGTGGTCTCAGGTTGGAGAGGAACAGTAACCTGGTTATTAACAATGATAACATTGTTGACTGGACAATGAGGGTAGGGCAGTTTTGCAATGGTGTGCCATTCGTTGATTCTTAGGGCATACACCTCACAGCTGGTGGTTTCAACTCCACTTGAATCAATTCCTCCAATGGCATAGATCTTGTTGCCCCAGAACACGCACCCTGGCATTGACCTGGCTTCTCTCAAATGAGCAACATAAGACCAAGAATCTTTATCTGGGTCATACCTTTCAACACTGCAAAGTGCTGTATCTCTAATATAACTTGTTCCTCCACCAACAATGTAAATGTGGGACTCAGTTGCAACACAGCCAGCAAAACATCTGGGTGTATCAAGTCCTGCACAAGTTCTCCACTCATCCAATTCTGGATTGTAACACTCCACTGTACCACAGCAACCAGATGTTTGCCATCCACCAATGTAGTACAAAAGCTCATGAAAGGCAACAAGGGATCCCTTCAAACCGAGTTCTTTAGAGGATGCTTTCACTTTCCATTCAAGTTGAACTTTAACTCCTGGTGTAGAACACAGTTTCTTTGTGTCATCTAAACACATGGCACTGACCTTCTTCACACCCTTAGTTCCATACTTTTGTTCTCCTACTAAATACAGGGTCCGTCCAACTATAGCCAAATGTCCATCGTACCCAAAGGGTGACAAGTCTGCCATGGAAAAAAGCTCCTTTTTTTTGAAATCGTAACAAAATGCTTTACGGCAGTCTCCAGTTCCAACTCCAACAAGAACATCATGCATCTCTGTTGATGGCCTCACCTGCTTCTCTAAAACAAATTTCATATCCTTTGCTTTTCTGGATTTCCTTGTCCACTTTCTCTTCTTCCCTTTCTTTGGGGCAGGAACAGTAAGAATTTTGGCTGCCTTCAAAAGTGGTTCTTTGCTTGACTGAAGGAATCCTTTTGGAAGAGAAGCCATTCTTAAGTGTTTCAGTAAATCTGGTAAAACAGGGGCACGATTGGCCTCATCATGTTCAACCCACTTCAACACACATTGATAAACCTCCTCCTCTTTCTCCACTTGAATCTCATCATCAGAAATAAAGGACACCAAATCATTTTGCAGAATCGACGCAAATTCTTCATTCTTTACTACAATGGAAAAGTTTACCTTGATAAAATTCTTTGCCTTTCTTGCCAGCACGTCCGCACCAAACTGCTCTGCTACCTGAAGAATGCTAAAACAGTTCTCACTTGTAAGCTGTTTGGAGAGCAAGTCTATACAGGCGTTCTTCACTGGTATTACAAGTAAGAAACTCGACACATGTAGCAAATCTAAAACGTTGTCCTCATCGACGAGGATTTCACGGGTATAAAAATAATCGAGAATAAGCGACATAGCTGTAAAACTAACTGAATACAGGCTCAAAATCTTTTGGTTTGATTCCTTCATACCGCTACCGAACATGGTGTAAAAGAACTGGCTGTTGGCCGCCAAAACACAACGATGTGTTGTCAGCTGACGACCTTCTACCTCCAGGATGATATCGCAGAAACCTGCTTCTCCTTCGACTCTTAATGCATTTAACAAAGATAAAGTATTGCTGTCTCTTCCCTTGAACATAGTTCGGCCAGGAACATGGGAATTAGACTCCACGAGTCTCTCATTGTCTTGTAGCTCGAAAAGATTCGCTACACTCAGCCTGTTTTCGATTTCACTGGCGGTCGCCATGTTGGTTTGAACGATGTATCGCAATGAATGGCGGGACGCAAAAGCAGGTTTCTCGTGCCAAGCTATCGATTTCCCGCCAAAATAATTTCAAGTCTGATTTTCCTAATAATCATAACCATCACAATTTCCTCAAACATGATTGGTACATTAGCTGCTTCATTTTTCACCAATCATTCTGTAGAGCTGTAATCGGAAAGTTGAAGTAGCCAATAATACTGAGTTCACGCAGCTAAATCCACCAATCATAGAATTAATCACAATAACCATAGCAACAGCCACTTATCTTAGAAAAAATTGAGGAATTTCCTAAATGGAGAAATTTTCTTACTTTAGATATTGTCTCTACCAGAGATATTTGACCTAAATGTATTTGTTGTAACGGTTATGATTAATTAGTAACAGGGTTTCTTGTCGTCCAGTTGTGTCTGTAATCATACTCGTGATTGATGAATTGGACTCCCATTTCGCGGTCGTCCAATTTTTGTTAATCACTCGTAAGATTACAGACCGAATTGGACTCCGCTCGGTCCTGTTACCATTATCAGCACATGCATAATTCGCATGAAACGAGTTATTTAAGGAGAGGATGGTTTTATGATACACCTTTGGACTTCAGGTCGTTTTGGGCAGATAGAATAAAAATAATTCACAGGAATAAAGACCTTAAAAAGTGCAGTCAAACCTGTATGGTCACACAGGCGGAATGGTGGGCTGACCGCTTATTACAGGTTCGACAGAGTAGAAAACGATAAAGTGCCTTTTTATGCCATAATTGTCCGTTTAATGTACAAAAACTCGCAAGGTTCGGGAGAGAAACATGGATTATATTTTACTTGAAAGATCCTTCTTGATTTTATTTTAGTGGTTTCGCCTCAAGTGGCCGTTCAATACAGGTGGGAGACAAAACAAACAGGCCGCTAGAAGTCACTCAAAGGTTGCTTAATAGAGGCGAAAATTACAGTGATTAGGGGGAAACAAATTCGGGTCCTTGACAACCGACCACTTTACGGGATGAACCATTAGTACGAGAGTACAGGTTAGACTGTAATCTTAAAATGTACCGTACCTCAATACTTCGACCTGCGTGACTCACTTACTGTATATAGTGCGATGAATGGCCTACTTGAAAAGAGAGAAGCGACAGTGATTTCCTCTGCACCGAAAGCGGTCGTCGAGAAAAATCCTCATAATGCATTTATGGGCAACGTCGAGCTTGAGGCGTGGTGTTTTGGTCTGGAATGGCCGGTGACATAAACAATTAGCTGGTTCATGCAAAAATTGTCAAGAACCACGAAAGCAACTAAACGAAGGTGAAGGGCCGTGGCAGAAACTTGGTCTTGACTTATTCAAAACTTGACTGAAATTTATCTGCTAACAACCCTTGCGAGCTTCGGGTCCTTCAGCGGTGAAGTTCGTTTTATGCAACCACTCGGCTCAAACCCAGGTTGAACTGAATGGTGACAGAAACAGCCCTAATGTCTGTGACACCTTTTTTCGGTGGTTTCTCAGAGTTATAGTAACAAACAACACACTGATTTTCCTTGCATAGAAGTTGTTTTATTTTTTTATAGATCACGCAACAAGATGATCAGTAATATGAGGAAAGTGGATTTTGCCAAATGAAACAGAAGCAATATTTCAACAATGTACGAGCAGTTGTTTCAGAATTAAGGTAACTTATTCTAAAGAAAGGTCTCTAATCTTTTAATGCATGCCTTAAATTTACAGCAAAAAGATTTTCCATCAAAAGCCAAATTAGTAAGGGTTCAGAAGTGACTCTCCAAAGTGTTATCAGGTTTATACCCTGTCTTTATGGATCATTTCTTTCACCAGTTCTGCGTGTTGAAATTCAGTTGGGTCTGTACACTGGAACTCGATATTCAGTCCAGTGAAGCTTTTCTTCAACGCATCTTTTGAACTGGCGTAAATCATCTTTTTGCCGATTGCAACATCATCATTACACCTGTTTAAGAACAAGAAATGGGCAATCAAACTCTAATACAAAAATGAGGAATTATCCTGTCTTAGCTAAGTGCGAAACTCATCTATCATTTAATCATCTAATCATCACCATTATTATTATTATTATTATTGTAAAAGGATAATAAGGGATGAAACGTATGTATTTAAGTCTTAAGGTGGAGGAAACAGATTGTCTCAGTATTTTTGAAGCAAGGAGTTCGAGCGATCATCAAAAATAAATCGTACACACCTCAGGTGGATAAAAAAATTTTAAGTTCACGGACCACCAAAAGAAATACGGATTGATCAGGGAGGAACAAATCTTTTTGAAGAATTAAAATCCAGGCGCAGAAAAACTAGATTTCCAGCGCTTCTTCGAAGTTAGATACTCCGTATTTAAAAATAAAGATAATAATCATCATCATCATCAAAATAATGGTAATGACTTCTCAACTTTTTTTTATAGTGCTTTTACTACTTGAATAAGAGAGCGCAATTGCTCCTTACACTTATTCGAAAAGTTTTCTTTACAAAATTGGATGTGTTCACAAGTATCGGTTGAGTCTTCTTTACAAATAAAAATTCCTTACAGGATACCAAGAAGATGAAACTATAAAAGATGTGGCTAAAAAGTATATTATACTCGCACGAAAGGCATTAGGAGGACTGGATATACAGCAAATTTTTTTTGAAAAAAGTCTTACCAACTGATTAATGCTAACTTCTGCGCTGTAGTATGATTCGGTCTGGTGAAACAGAAGTCAAAAAGTATGTAACGAGGTTCGTTTCCAAAAGACTTTTTCATGCTGTTGAATATGTCCTCATTTCGGGATTCAGAGCAGTTTTGAGGAAGTTTATCTCCCAAGGTTTCCACGACGATCTTCTTTTTGTCTTTGATCATCATTACCACGTATGCATGCCTTTTCTTCAGCTTGATGTCATTATAAGCATCCATGACAGCTTGGTCTACTTCCACCCCAGAAGACTGAAAACACGAAAATTAAGCATCGAAAATTATTTCATCTGATATTGTGATCTTTATTACTGGTTTCTGAGTACCTGTAGCAAAGTTTAAGTTCTCGTGCCTCCATTCGTGTCTCTGGTCGCAAAAGAAAGATTCTTGCACAGCAAATTACAAGCTGATGCGGCGCTTAAGATTTTTAAGAAACTAATTTCAAAACTTTGTTTCACCATATCAGAAAAAGGTACTCACCATGTTCTTTGCAAATCAAATTCACTCTGAAACAAAAAAGAAATTAAGATGAACTATTGTAGGTCGTTTCCCAAATTTTAATTCCAATTATGCTTTTCGAATTTATTAACAAAACTGTAATTGACAAAGTAAGGAAAAAGTCGAGAAGTTAATTTTGCAAAATGCTGAAAAATAATTTCATCATCTCTTGCGAAATGGAACATACGTGGAATTTCTGAGGTAATAGGCTAGATATTTGTAATTTAGACACCATAAGCTTTGGCTCGACGAAATCTTTTTGAAAACACCTTCCATGTGCAGTGCACTTTGGTTTACACCGCTGAATCAGGGCGAAACACCATTTCCCCTAAAATGCATTTTCCCTAGTACTTCACATTGTCCGAAATATCCTATTATTTGCTTTCTTTCGATTGCCTAAGACTGCTGAAGCTTCCGGACACTTGCTTTACACTTGCTCTAAACTCTTTTAAAAACACTTTGAAGTATAGGATGAGTTTACTTGAATCTAATGAAAGAAAAAGTGGCCTACCTTTTAATTCACAGGAGTAGTAGTTTGTTAGCAAAGACTGTTGTGTATCTGTGACGTATGTTTATCGAAGATTCAATTAATCAGTGAAGTCAGAATGGAAAACATCTGAAGTTGAACTTAAATTTGCTTCATAAGTGAAAAATTAATGGTAATTGGTTTCTGAGGTAGCTTTTCAGTCTAGTTTACGATTTTCCCGCCACTGCTCGGCGCGCCTGCAGCCAAGTCTCTCCTGATTGGAGAATTTAGATAAAAGTGGCTTGCTGATTGGTTGGTTTTCGCTTTACATCAAAACACTCTCTTTATTTTAGTCCTTCTCGCAGCTCTTCATTGTTCGTGACTTCTGTTTTGGTTTTTCTTTCCTCGATCAATTTTTGTATCAAATTTTTCTCGTTATTTTATGTTTCTTTGACCTTGTAGATTGCTCACCACTGTCCTCATTGATTGTAAACATTTATTTACCAAACCATTTAAAAATCCATTAGTTTTGAAAGTTGAAACGGGGGGAAGGGATGCTCAGCTGAGCCTTCCGGCTAAGCGTCCAGCTGTTTCTAAGAATATTCAAAATGGCGTCATCTAATAACAAAAAAATGGCGGGCAACATGAATTCGCTTTACTGCACATATTTAAAATTTTAGCAATGTACACACTAGTGAATCGAGACGAGGAGAGTTCAGTGTATAATTTTGTTAAAAACCTGTTATTAGAAGGATCATCGGAGAAGACGAAATGGAGAGAAGTTCATCAAGATTTCGAACGGTTCAACTTGATGTTTGGAGAGAGGAAAAGGAAAGGACTAGATTATACAAGGCTGGGTATTTACATTTGTATTAAAGATCATGTAAATATGTTTATGTAAAGATCAGACCAATTCCTTCATGTCGTTTTACGATGCACATGGTTGAAAAGGATTTGTGGCACAGAATTGTGCTGAAGAAATGTAAAATGGTTTCTGTGTTTACATCAGGCTATGTAAACACGGAAACTATGTTACATTTCTTTTATAAAATAACTAATGAAAGAGGAACGAAAACCGTGTTTACATACGCTCATATAAATAAATGGTTTTATGGCCAATCAGAGCGCGCGTACTATTTGAATTATTTTATAAAACATAATGTTACACCACATATTGAGTTGCAATTGGTCTTTTAGAGAAATATAGACCGTGCAGAATTGAAGCATCTTCTTACCTAGATCTGACAAGGTTATAATGAAACACAAAGGCAATAAACAAGGGGATAGAAATGTTCACATAGGCTTGTTTTGATTTTGGTTTGTAGGTCATGTTCCAGGGCTGTGTCAAGCAGTCAATTACTACAGAGGTTCTGAAAATCTTCTCTGTAAAAAGGTACCTTTAGTGAAGTAAGTGGATTAAGTTGGATGATATTGCATTTGAACAAATGAAAGGTGATATCATGCAGTTTTTACAAGGAGTGCCATTTGCTCAGTATTTTGGCTTTAGTAATCAACTTTGTAACAGTGACTTTGTTGAATTCACTAAAAACACTTTGATTAATCAAAAGAATTCCCCATGTGTGTAAATTCCTTGAAAAAAGTAGGCTCTACTGGCTGTAATGTAAAAGTAAATTGCAATTTTTTTCCTTTAGGTATGTTAGATCAATAACACAGAGTGAGGCTGAAACTTATCAATGGATTCCTGTTTCCTTTATCATTTTACCTGCACAACTTAAATCAAAATCTGACTCAAGAATGAATAAAAGTGCAAAATATGTGGATGAAAGAGAGAAGCTTGAAGCATTTGCCAACAGCCTTAAGGAGAAAGTCTGGATTGCAAAATCTTCATCTGGAGCTAAAGGTGACATTGTTGTTGCCTAGACTTTTTTAAACAAGTGGAGTTATATATAGCTAATTACAGGTAGTTAAAGGAGGAGGAGAACCAACACTCAAGTCAAACTGTATAAAAATTTTTCATTTCATTTTTCTCAGGTTGTTTTCTAGTAACTCCAATGTAATGTAAACAGTCCCTCTTTTCTGATGTTTACCTGGCAAGTGAATTCTCAATGTTCAGATCAAGTATTGAAGCTACCTCTAGGAAATATTAAAATATTATTTTAAGCCCTTCAGTAGATCTTAACATAAAGATTCTAACAAAATGTTTCATCAGAGATCAAGTGCCGAAGGAATCAGATTTAATATGAATCTTATACTTCTATATGGTCATAAACTAGGGAAGGACATTTTCATTTCTAATGACATAGAAGAAATTGTGGCTTTTGTTGATGAGCAGACGCAAGGATTTGTGGTACAGAAGTACATTGAAAACCCTTTGCTGCTGGATAAAAACAGAAAATTTGATATAAGGTCAGTGCTGAAACATTTTTTTATTCCATCTTTCACTTAGTGGCACATTGTAAGTCTGTGTAAAGAACAGAGATGTTAGGTGTCATCTTCGGAGACTCATCATTATCTTTCACATTAATGGAAGATTTCTTACAGAGTTTCATTGATTACTCTTCACTCAGAAACATCAAATGAATGCAAAGGATGATGCACAGTCATATTCATTTGAATATCTCTCCCACAATGTTTAAGTGGATCAATTGAAATCAACCGATCAATAAAATTGCACAGAATAACAATAACAATTATATTTCAAGATCTTTAAATTTTTTTTTTTTTACTAACTTTCAGGTGCTGGGTCCTCCTGGATCATACATACACCATTTATATTTTCTCAGAAGGAGTCCTAAGAACCTCATCTGAACCATATGATGTTGATAACTTAAAAAATATCACTAGTCATCTGACAAATCATTGTATACAGGTGAATAATGTGTACTTATTGACTGAGTAGGAGGGCTGGATGTAAGTTTAGACTGACTGCATGACCAAGAACCAAATGTTTCCCCTTCAGCTTAGCCCAACTCAGTCTATAAGGATTTGATTATATGACCTTCAATCTTTCTTTTTCCTTCATTCTCCTCTTCCTTCCTTTCTCCATTCTTTCTTTCATGGGCATTTTAGCATTTTTCCACATAACACAAGTTTCTTGGACCAGGTCAACTTTTTCTGTCTCTGCCTTCAGTTTTAGTATCATTTTAGTCCAGTTTTCTATATTTGTGGTGTATCTGACAAGGCAAACCTGAGTTAAAAAAAAAACCCTTCAATAGCCATCAGTGTTGCTCATAAGGATAATTTGCAGGCACAGACTACTCCACTTAACACTACTTGGTATTTTTAGGCTGTCTTCCTCTCAAAAAGTTAAATCCAATCCTCTGCAGTGTTAGTTATTTATTCTCAGGAGGAATACTCTGGTAATTTCGGACTGTATGAAGAAGGAAATGAAATGTTCTATGGTGAATTTTCAAGGTAAGAACCTTTTGTGTTAATAATCAGAGGTATCTGTTGGGTTTTATATAATAAGCTCAATTATGCAAGCATTCTGATTGGTTCTTACTTCTGACGTATTGGAGGACAGACAAATAGATGATGTCATCATTAAAACTTTTTTTCCATATATTTTAATTCTTTATTGTGTAAAACAAATAGATTCCAAGTTGCTGTGTGTCTGTTCAGTAATAGATCACAGATGATGTCAAAATGTGATAAGAACATCAGTGACACACTCAGCTGCGCCTCGTGTGCCATTTTTTTGTTCTTACCCCATTTTGATGTCATCTGTGATTTATGACTGAACAGATGCATGGCAATTTGGAATCTATTTGTTAAATAGATTTAAGATACCAAAAAATAATAATAATGCTAAATAAATAAGAGTAAATTGCAATTGTATTGGTGCAACATGCACTTGCTGTCTTACTAATTTTTGAAAACTGTAATTTGTTTCTGGTAAACACCTTCATTTCTGCTCACTTGATAAGTGTATAAATGTCATTTGCTAGAAGCATATTTTAGGTCATATTTTTAAGGTCTTAGGACTCAACCTTACTAATTATTGCCATTATGTTCTATGTATATAGGTATCTAGAGGAAACTTTTGGTGTTTCTCTTGCTACGACAATCTTACCTCAGATTAATTCCATTGTTAAGAAATGCCTGCTTGGGCTCAAAGAGGTGAGAATTCTTGATAGTACGACAATGCTTGTTGTGATTTCTGCCTCAGTCAGTGTAAAAGTGAGCTACATCTTAAATGTTAAATAAAGACAATAGACATTGTGATTGTCAAGTGTTGTGATTGCCAATTATAAAAGGGTTACCTGGTTCATAATGAAAATGTGTTCTTGAATTGTCATGGTAAAGTAAACCAACATTTAAATGAGCTGAGGTGTGAAATGTCAGCCCTTGGTGGGACAAAAGGAGTTTAAATGACTGTGAATATATGAAAGTCATAGATTTGAACTGTGGATAAAGATATGGATATGAAAGTGATCTTCTCAGTTATGAGCACTTCTTAGGCAGTAGTGAAAAGAAGGCCTGAAAAAAAAATTTCAGGCCTGTACAGGATTTGAACCCATGACCTCTGCAATACTGGTGCAGTTCTCTACCAACTGAGCTAACAAATCCCATACAGGCCTGAATTTTTTTTTTTTTTTTTTTTTCAGGCCTTCTTTTCACTTCTGCTTAAGTAGTGTTCATGACTGTGAAGATCACTTTCATATCCACAAAAGGAGTTTAGACAGGTATAAAACAGGTTATTTTTGGCTAGGTAAATTTGAATTGAATTTGATTGAATTTGAAATCCTCATTGTGGTTATTTATCAATAGAACTTGAAACCAAATCTTGAAATGCTAGTATTCTGAGCCTTGACTTCTGTTTAGAGCTGAATTATTAATCAAACAAACTTATTAAAAGTAACATTGTATTAAATATTCAGGAATTGACTACGGAAGGTTTGAGTTATCACAGTTTTCAACTCTTTGGGTTTGACTTCATGATTGATGCCCAGTTTCATGTCTGGCTCCTGGAAGTAAATGGGGCTCCTGCTTGTGCAAAGTAAGTACCATTTGTTGTAGGAAGTGTTCATTACATATAAAATTGCCAAAGGTGTGGTTTGATCCTCTATGTGAGGTAGATCCTGATAAGGACAATTGTCAGTGAAAACTATTCCCAACAACAGCTATTTTCAGGGACAGAACTCACAAGGATGATTGCACTTCCTGATCAATTTGATCATTGTGTGTGCAGGGCAATTTTTCCCAGCAACTCATAAACTGCAACTACTTTGCAAATTACTCAACTATGCGAATCTTACAATTTAGATTTGCTAAAACGTGCGACCCTGAAGAGTCTCCCGGGAAAAAAATATTTTCAAGGCCACATGACTTAAGGCGCCTGGAGATTCGCAACTGAACGGTGCCTCCAATTGCATATATCCTGTGCGCTTGTTAACAAGAAATTTCACGGCTTAATATCAACAGCAAGTACGGATTTAGATGTTTAAATAATAAAAATGTAATACTTGGTTGAATATCGCATAATTTTTCAATGCTAACTGAAGGTTTAAGCACATGGATAACTATCTTGGTATGGCGCTTTAGCTTGATCAGAGTATTTCTGGAAACTGGACTCCTCTTCTGTGATATTTTAGGGCATTATTACCAGACCTAGCTCAAGACCTTGTGAGAAAAGCCATAGACCCTCTCTTTCCAAGAGATTCTAGAAACGACGAGCCTTTTGAGAGTGATTCGTCAGAGAGCAAGACTCAAGATACGACAAAGGGACACTTTGTGATCATTTGAAAAACATTTCGATGTAACCTCACGCCTGAATCCTGCTTCTGCCGTACAGAACATCCAACGATCACACTCGTTGATTTTACTCACCAACTGTGTGAAACACCACAGAGAAGGAAACTCATGAGTTTGCCTCGAGATGCTGATCGTCTAGCTTAAGAGGGCAAATTGCGGGTTTCAGCCCCACATCGGTTTCTGAAAACGAAACTTTAATGTGTAACATTAAGGGCTGCAAGCTACGAAATAAAAAGAAAGGCCGTATCGGCATTGTGTTTTTGTGAAAGTTGCTTAGAAAGTAGGCTACTGCAGCAGCTACCCATGGTTATTCTTCCCTCTCAGCTGCCAGTTGTTTTAAATGTCGACTTGGTTGGACTAAGCCGTTTGTATACAATAATTTGCACCTAATGCTTGAAGATTCAGACACAACAAATTTTCCAATCATTGTTCGTGTTCCTTCAAACCATTCTCACATGTTATAGTAGGATTAAAAGTCATCGGTCTTAAAGTACACTAGTAAAATGTCACAGGGTCTGTTCAAGCATAGTACGTCAAAACCCATTAAGTACAAGAAACAGATAGAAAATGAGACTGGTCAAACTGCACGAGTTTGTTGTCACTGCTCTTCCACCATGGCTCCGTCGTAAAAATGCAAAAAATTCGATCAGAACCCATCCTCGTGCGAGCCTTGATATGGGCTCCGAAAAAGGGACATTGATCAGAACTTTATGTGGTCAGCTCTCCTTGGCAGTTATGACGAATTCGCTGTACCTCTGGGAAATTCAGTAAAGCTCCTGATTGAGTCACTAGCCGCATCTGTTTATCTTTCTTCTAAATCCTTCGAATCGGACGATGCATAAAGCAGTGGATAGTATTGAAGGCGCGCTCTGATTGGATACTCAAACTCAGAATATACTTTATTATTGACCTTTGAGCAACCCGCGAGGGACTTGTTCCCGAAAAAATGTAGTTGTTGCAGGAATGAATGAGTTTAAATCATCTCTTTTGGTATAATACCTATGTTTTAGGTATTATAACAAAAAAAATTCACCTCAGTGTCGGTGGTTAGCGGTGGGTATTTACCCCGCTGCTTCGCGCATCGATAAATATCAATCAATAGCCACCTCCACTTCGGCGAAAAGCTGTTTTAACAACTACTGATCTACGAGATTCCTTGAGAAATCCAACAAGGACAAAGGTCAAAGATTGTTAGCAGTCTTGGAGAAAATGACACTTCAACTTTGCATAACATATCTTTGCCGACTAGTGAATAGTAACATGAAATCAAGCTCTGTATCCAGGCAGGGACTAGAAAGTGGTAAAATTTACTCATCAATGTTAGCCCACAAGCAAGCCTGTGGGTAAAATAGTGAAAAGGAAACACTCCATTGAGTTTTCCATGCCCCACAGCGAAAACTGGGTCAATTAAAAATCTCGTTGTAACTCATTTTTACTCATAGCTTTGAAGGATACTCGTGTCCTGGCAACGAAAAATTTATCACATGGACGTAGGACTACAGTGATTAACTGAATAACTACAGGTATTGAAAACAGAGAGCAATGAAATTTATGGCTTCACTACAAATGATGCGCATTTTTTTTTTTAAGTGAAAAAGAAATAGAGGAATAAACCGTGAACTACTGCAACGGAAATAATATGAACGCAAAAGTTATCTCGAATTATGGAAACTAAATTTGAATGAAAGCCAGTGAAATCAACGAAATATTTTTTTACAAGCACTGTTGGGATACGAGTTCCATCTCTTGTGAATTTCGTGAAATTCCAATTTTCGCGCCGTGTTGTGGTTTCCTTTTTACGGACGAAAAACTCAGGAGCGCATTATCACTGGCAAAAACTACCATACGCTGACAGTCAAGTCATTGCTTTGATATCGTGGTTCCAACTTTAGGGCATGCGACAAGTAGGACTTCAAATTCGGGTCACAGACCAAGTGTCGTAGGAATTCTACCATAGCGGATCTGTGATGGACTATACAACCACAACGTCAACTTCCACCTTAAAATGTGTATGACCAAAAGGAAATAATTTAACCATATTTTAATGCTGTTTTGTCAAACACGGTTTAAAATTTCTTTTTCTCCTTGCATAGAAGCTGCGTGAACCGATGTTTGTCGCCTTAAAATGTAGCACACCGAAAATACAAGTTAGCGATTACTTGAATCTTATTGAAAATTCAGTTTTCAGTTCTCTGTTTCTGATCTTCATTCAGTTAAACCCGGTTTAACTAAACATGTTTTGCTGGTGTGAATGTGGTACAGGTTCTAACCTTCTGGTAAACTATATTGTCTTAGACCGGATCATTTAAAACACGAATAACCTAACCCTTCGTCCAATTACGGATAAATTTATTGTCTATTTCTTTGCCTTCAGTTTTATCGTAAAAGCGTAGGTTAGGCTTTACAAAGGGTCATAGAAGTTTAAACTGTTTCAATCCTCAATTGGCGCAAATCACCTCTTCAACGTAACGATTCACTGATAAAACCAAACTATCTTGCTCTACCTTCCACCGACGCAACACCACCTTTATTCTTTCACCTTTTCAATAATTCAGCGAGCTTATGTAATTTTTTCAGTTCATAGACTCCTCCACAACGATTCAGCATTGCAAACTTGAATCGAAAAAAAATAGAAAATTAAAAAAAGCGGAGTGCTAAATTCAGGGCACAAACATTGTCTTTGAAAATCTGCCAAATTTTACAAAATATATTAGCCCAGTTAGATTTAGTATCTGAGGTCATGTCCATAAACATTCACAAAAAATATATCAGGGACGCCAAAAACTTGTTCATTTCATTATCAATATTACGAATTCAGTCATCAAAGAAACGGCATTCCACCCATAAGTCTTGTTAAAAGTCTTCTGAACGATAAAACAACACTAGAAGCGTACATCTGATATAGTGAAATTCTGAGGTGGTTTATGGTAGAATCTGCTTGAATTCGGACCCACTCCACCCAGCCATGACAATTTTCTAGCCGTTGCTTGGTTACAGCGCGAATACAGCAACGTGACATTGTAATGAACGAGCGCGATGTGGCGCTGGTATTCAGTCTGTAGTCTATACTCCGTAGCAGATCGTTTGTTTTTAACAGTAACAGCAGTTGCCTAGGAACACGGTTCAACAGCTCCGTAATCTCTGTTACATATGTGGCTGCGTTCACTCGGATAAGCTCCGCCTGTTGGAAGATAAAATACATTTTGTTTGAATCAACTCTTGAGATCTTACAGCGAGTTTCTCCCCAATTTTTTTTTTTTTGCTGGCTTAAAGTGAGAATTTAAAGATATATCCTCGCTGATAATTTTCATGATTCTCCTCACTTGTCTAAGTGGCAGAGCTTCAAGAGTTCAAGAGTGAAGGGAGACTTTTAGAGATAATTACCAATAGAAGCCTATCACTTCAATCTAAGTACCGCTTTTAGCAACTTCATTCAATAATGTACAAGTTTGGCTCTAGTCCTTGTTCAAGAATTTCCCAGTGGTTTCTTTGCCTTTCCTTGCGCCACGCAGAATTTCAATTCGAATGGGAATCAGTGAACAAGAAACCCCCTCTACTGATGTACCAAGCCTAAATTCTCCTCACACATCTCTACCCAATGATACATTGAACCCGTGCAAACCTCATCCTCAGTGACTGGTCCCTGATCTATGCCTGTCGTGACTACGTCCCAGGACCTTGCGGTCAGTATACAGGCCAAAAGTCCGTACATCTCTTCCACACCCAACACCTTACTACTCTGTTTGATTCCTTCCAAGTCTGACTTGATCAGCGACTGCCACAATTTACAGTAGTTGATTCGAAATTCATTGGATAACGTCTGGGTAGGGAAAGTCAAAGGAGGTGGTGTGTGCAGTTGGAAAAAAATGAACCTTTTATTATTCATATACGTTCCATCTAATCCACTCCTTCCTTGACCATTCTTGGTTTTGACTAATCCATTGCCACTTATTGATGGTTGGTTTTTAGACTGCTCTTGCAAACTATTATGTTAACGTTTTATTTCACCCCCTATCAAAGAGTCCTTTAAGAAGACAAGCAGTATACCAACGGAAACATCATGATCACTATAATCAATAGCCTGACTGTACATCTTTATCTACATAACTGCGATGAACAACAACGATTCTATAATACTAATTAAACATACTTCAGAACATGTAAACCTCGAAAAAAATAATGAGGAAGCCCATAATATCTGTAGTATTTCACCTACTATGTAAGCCCTGATACACTTGACTTAAGACCTCCCATACCTGATATAAGCCATGGTCAAGGAAGACAATCTCAACCCCATTGCTAGGATCCCGCCTGACAAAAATGTTGCCTGGATGTGGGTCACAGTGCACATATCCATTAACAAATATCATCTCACTATAGAGAAGGCCAAGCTTGTAGGCAATCTGATTAAAAAATAAATAAATAAATAAGAGAAATAAAAGAAAAAAATTTGAATCCGGAAGTGAACAATGTTGTCTATTACACCCTCACCTCTCATGAGCAGGAGATCAGAGACCTCCTGCAAACCAAGACAGCTACAACAACAAGAACAAAGTAAAACGAGAGACTCAACATGTACAAGTTTGCTCATGAGCATTTAACCTTTGCATATTTCTTAGCTGTCTTTTGTAAGACAAAAATGTAAATCACCAATTGAAATTGCTGGCATTCTGGGAATGAGAATCAAATCAGTTTAAATAATAATTTTTTTTTAAGAACCAGAGGACCCTTCATATGCAATTCTAGACCTTTAAGAAAATGATCCACTCAGAAAGAAGCTTGAACTTGCCTCATCAGAGGATATCTTGTGACTTTTCATATATGGAAGGTCATCCACTTTTCCCCCATCACAGAATTCCATTGTTAACACACGTTTGGTTGAAAACTGCCAATATATTTCAGGAATCTTTAAAGAAGTGAAAAATTCAAATAACAAACATGCATCCATCTTCACTGCTTTAAATGAAACAAATAAAAAGAAAGTATACTTAGACATAACAGTTAATTTTTGAACAGCAGAATGACAACTTATCTTTAAGGGCAGCCTTTAGGTTTCAAGAAAAGGGTGATTCCTTTCCATGGAAAAACTCACTGACTGACTAACCTTAACAAATGGAAATTTCTTGACAAACTGCACAATCTTTTCAGCATTTCGTCCCTCATGCTCAAAATCAAGCTCAAGAGGAAGATGTTTCTTAGATTCCTCCACAAGCCACATAAACTTGAATTCTGGAAACAACCATGAAACTGCTACAGCTAAAATCTAGAAAAAATTTAGTCAAAATTCAATCAAACTTATTAAAAAATATTGGAAATGCAGCAAGTCAAGGTTTCCAAACTGACTGGTGACTTTTTTTTTCGAACATGTAGTATACTTCATCAGACAAATAACTTACTACGTTAATTTTTATTTTGAAGTAATGAATTCAGGAGCTAACCTCAAGTGTTGCCATGTCAACAGCTGCATGTTTTTGAACATCTCTGTGTTGTACCTTGACTGCCACGACTCTACCATCATGTAGCGTTGCCTTGTGAACTTGTGCTAATGACGCAGCTCCTATGGGCTTGTCTTCAAAGCTAGCAAAGACTTGGTTTACTTTACACTTTAGTTCTTCCTCTAAAACATGATAGATATCGCCAAGGGGGCTCTGTGGGGCATCACTGTGAAGGACCTTCATGGTCTGTACATACTCTGAGGGCAAAAGATAGTCTAGGGAGCCAACATGTTGACCCACTTTGATATAAGCTCCTCCATTGACACAGCACAAGTCTCGCAGACTCTTAGCAGATCTCAGATGAACCTAATGAGCATGAAAATAATGAACAAGAAAGTACAGGCTCTGATTTATTCAAAATCTAATTATCAAAAGAGTTGTGAAAGGAAATAAAGGTAATTATATACCAAAGGATTTTTTAACAAATCAGTCCTCCTCAGGAGATGCAGAAGCCTGATATTTAGCAGTTCAGACGCCAGCCTGAGAATTTCCTATCTCATTGTGCTATCTACAAGAGAAGGATGATAAACTATCCCAATAAACTATCTCAATGTCTCAGGAGTATATGGAATCAGTACCTGAGACCTGTTGGTGAAATTTGGACTTGCATGTCCAGCAGGAGGTGTGGTAGCCTATTAGATTCAGTTGTTAAATTCTGCTAGGGCTTCATAACAGGTAACCCCACTTTCCTGGTCACTACTTTTGTGGTGAAAGAGACTTATTTTAAGTGTCTTATTTATTCTACTTAAAGGGAGATTGATGCTTCAGAAGTAATTGGGAGCATTACATGTAAAAAGTAGTTAAAGCAAAACTGGTACTGCCGGGTGTGCACCTATCACAAGGGGAACAGTCTGTATCCATCACTCACCTGAGATTTGAGCTCTAAATATTCAGTAGAACTTCTGTCTATTCCCCAAAGCGTTCTTTTGTAGTCATAACTAATAACAATCACCTTGGGTCACAACAAGAAAACACATTTCAGTGAGTCCCAATTGCTAAATTGGGTCCAAGATCATTGGTTAACCCTTTACTCCCTGACATCAGTATGCATATTCTCCATACTACTCTCTAGGCATTTCCTAAGGTTCTGACAAGGAGAATTTGTTTATTAATCAAGAGGTTCTTTAGTTGGTGATCATCTCCCTTATTCTCATGACCTTAATGCTTAATTGAGGGGTGATCTTGTAAGGAGAAAGTAGATGTTAGTCACTCTTAAGGGTTAAAGGGTTAACTTTAGAACTATAAGTATGTGGGAGAAGAAAATAAAAAACATAAAGTGATAACATGTCAAACAACCCTGAACTCTTTAGAAACTACAGAAATACCTTGACACATACTGTTTAAACCTAAACTAAAAGAAGGCAAACCATTTGATCAGTTAAAGATAAATTGGCCTTTTTCAAGAGGTTATTTGGGCAGTTGGGATCTGCAGTTTTTGGTCATTGTGCAAAGACTAAAATGGGATTAAAATAAGGGGGAAATGTGTAGACTGTTTGATGGGAGGTAGCTATGGTGAGAAGGTGGCCATGGCAATCAGCAGTATGCAGCCACCTCTTTGATCTTGAGGTGGCTGTACATTGTTTATGCCCTTAGTATGGCGCTCCTTATGATAGTATTGGACACCCTGTTGAAAAAAAAACCACCTTCTTCCCACCCCTTGATTAAACAGCAACAACTAGTACAATTTGTAGAATATGTTACTACACCCCAAGGGAATGGATTGGTATTACAAGACATTTCTACTCTTTCACCAGTCAGTGTTACATGTACACCTGGAATACAAAGCATGTAAAAGGATTCGTGGTGGAAATATCGCAGCCAAGTATTCGCGCTCACCAGACTTCTTGGCAAAGCCATTACCGACTGTTTAGTTGATTGGAAATGAAAAAATAAATAAATAAACGTTTCTATGAACTCAAAGATTGAGGCATAGGTACACACCGTTCGAGCAGCCCGTGCAACTCGCACCAAACCATTGGAAGTTATTTCACGTTTCAGTTCTTCTGGTCCGTACACTAGACCAGCTGTAATACCAGTCAATCCGGCAACAACTGTTCCATATCCAACTATTTTCCTCAGCAACTTCATCGACTCAAGAATTTCACATGTACGTTCCGCGTTGAGCGATCACAACTACTATCAAAAGTGACTGTCCGGTCCAACAAGTTACGTAACAAGTAGTCAGCGACCTCAGTACGACTGTCATGTAAAATGTTCGCTTTATGTCCTGGTGCAGGAATATCAGATTAATCCAGACTGTGATCAGTTCCTCCTTTTTGGAGAGGTAAGAAACAAATCAGCAGAAAAAAAATAATTAAAAAATAGATATTAGCGCGCCGTGCGAAACTCCCAGAATCCCGCGCAGTGCATATCAACTTTTCCACTTTTTTCGGTGACATACGGACCAATGTACAAGAGCAGCTTTCTGTTACTCGCGAGGTTGCGCGCAAGTTCACATATCTAAGAATTTGCTTGTTGATCTAAATCGTTATTGCTTCGCAGTCAATTATCATGTTGATCGGAATGAGTTTTATAATTTCTTCAGAAAAAGAACACATTCTGTTGTATGGAAGCGAGGTTAAAGAGTAGGAGGCGAAATGGTTGATGGCAAATTGAAATGGCAAATTTGAATATTTTTTGATCGAGCGAACCAGAAGGGGGCAAACTCGCCATGATTGGGTGAAACCTTAAAAAATTCGTCAGTGAACTGCCGGCTGCTGTCTCCCTTACTCATACCCAAGCCTTCTCTTATTTTCCATTTTACCATACGAAAAATAATCATATCACACACTCAATTAATTCTTCTCTATTAGAGCAGATTTTGGGTCATTTTTAGGTATTTGTCCAGTTGATTCAACTTTTTTCAAAGAACTTCCTTAATTCTATTGGAGATGGAGAGTGCTGGTTAGTTTTGTTATGTTATGTTTCACAGAAGGAAAAAAAAACTAGCTAAAGTCACTTTTATTGTTACTGCCCTCAGGATCATGATGGTCATGGACCAGAGTTCCTTAAACACATGCAAAGGATAAATGCAGAAAGTGGAGCAAACATTACTGTAAGTATTTTTTCAATGATCTCCACCTTGCAGAGGTGGGAATGTTTCACCAATATATTACTTTGCCTGGACCCGAGTGGAAAGAATTAGGATCTTATTTTAAATATGTATTTCTAGTTGTTAAAAGAGAGCTGTCTCAGAGACATGCACAACACTTGCCTGCAGAGCAGGCATAATTTTAGCGAGCAAGTGCTTAGTATTTTCTTAACAAAAATTATGGCCATCATCTTTGAATTTAATGGCATAATCAGTTTAAGGGGAGACAAGACCTTTGTGGTTGACTCTGGATCAAAGGTCGGATAACGCAATCCAATTGATAAATCGCTATCCAGCAGATAAGTGATAGCGAAACATACAGCGTGATCCACCGGATAGAGTTTTATCCAATGGATAGCGCTATCCAACCTTCGAACAACCGGGGCCATATGTTCAAATAGGTACTAACGAACTGTCAGGGAACGGTGAGGGGGTTGTTTGCGACCTATTGACATCCATGTAGAATAAATGATTAAAAAAGAATTCTTTTCATGCCACAGAGACTGGTTCAAAACACTGGCAGTTAAGGTGAGTTTAGTGGACAGCGAACATTGCAAGTGAATTTCGCCATTGATTGGTGTATGTACACTTAACGACTTTTCGTAAGGCCGACCGAGGTCATTTGGCCCTTAAACTTCGTTTTCAGTCTCTAATTTGAAAAGCGTGTGAAAATAGTTAGCCAAACATGGACTTTCCTGGTGGTAAGAGAATAACTTTCACCGCCGGCTCATTCCTGGCATATTAGAGGCATCCGATCCCGCGAAATGGAACGCGATTCCGATGGAAAATACTTGCTGTAAAAGTTGCCTAATAAGAAATTAAACAAGACTTGTTCGGGGCGAATTAACTTAACAGGTCGGTTTGAACTATCGCAGGAACGGATTTAGGAGAGAAAGGAGAATAATCGAGGCCGCTTTATTACACCCTTAAAGACTAACCTATACTGAGTCAAAATGTTTGTAACTGTTTAAAGAAAGAAAGAAGTGAAACTGAGTCAACTATGATTTCAACGTTCGTGAAAAGCAGCCTTACTTTAATTGATATTTGCTCGAACGTAAAGAAGATTTGAAAAGAAAAGTGCGCATATCAGTTGTAATAGCGATTTATACCCACTGGCTTTATCACGGTTGTTTACGTCACAACTACCAATTTATAACAACCGACCCCTAAGCATGATTATTATCGTTAAACCATTTCGTTGTCAGGGGGACCTAACTTCTTTATCCCGAAGCCCACTTGTCACCCTGGTCTCCTTCGTTCTTCATAGCGGAAGTCACGTCTTTGGATATCTAATTACTGCGATTATTTTATTCCCAAGTTCCTTGAACTTAAAATCTAAAAGTTATTTAATCCGTTTTTATCTACAAAGTTTGGCCTTGAATGACTACTTTAGCCTGGAGCAAGCCTTCTTTAGTAGTGATGCATTTCTACGCCCGCGGGAAGATTTGAGATTAGTCGGGGAAAGTTTTACCGGGAGTCTTATCAGTGCTACACCTGTTCCAGACCTCTCCCTGGTTCGCGTAGCTCAAGGGCTCATAGTTACGCTCGGGCTAAGAAACGCCGGTGCGCTAAAATTGAGAGCTTGCTGGCAGACCATGAATACTAGGAAAGCTCTACTCCTTTAGGCTTTTTGACTTTCGGCCTCTTGACCCTAGCATAAGGGCCAATTCTGGGATCTATTATAAAATCCCATATCACTTTGATCCAAGAAGTATGGTACGGTAGGTTGTCGTAATATTCCGCTGCAATCTTCTTTACTAAAGGGAGCTTTGAACCTGGGATACTTGGGAAATCATGATGCTCGTTGTGATACCCGACATTAAATGTCAGATAGTTTCCAGGACCGTAGTAAGAATATGTCTCAAAGCCCTCTTCGAACATGTAATGTTCAGCTATGAAGTGGCCCGCCATAGGATGTAAGCCTGCTCCAAGGATCGTACTGCTAACCATGAATACGAGTGACTTCACCCCCCAGAGGTACACTACGGCGCAGTTCAAAGCAAATTGAACGACAATGTTAAGGATTTCCAAGCCGTTTGGGGCTATGGGGTTGATGAATAGAGGCCTCAATGCATACCAAAAAGGTTGCAAAATTACCCAGACTAGTTTGGTGATAGAGTTGTAAAACATTCGAGCTTCAAAACTGGTTGGCAGGTCGGGATCCATTTCTTCCACTCCCATATAGCGGTGGTGGAGGAGGTGGTACTTCTTGAAAGCAATTGAGGAGGGAATACCTGTCGGTAGGTTCGCTAAAATGCCAAAGAGTCTGTTTAGTAAAGGCCGGCCGTTTCCGAATGGGATATTATGGCAGATGTCGTGCACCCCAACGATGAGGGCGTGGCTAGGGAACGCCCCTATGAAGTAGGCTGAAAGCAGTAAAATGGTCCAAGATACATCACGCAGGAGAAAAGTCAGTGCAAACTGAACCACTATCAAAGACAGGATTTCGTACTTGAATAAAGGATCACTGCCCATAAGTCTCTTGATTTCGGGATATTTGGCTAAAACAAAAAAGAGGAAAACACAGAGTTAAAGGTTTTTTTTTTCTTAGTTTTCTTAGTAATATTATGCTATTAGCGACAAAAGATTACCTGAAGCACAAAAGAAAGATGTATCGACTAAGGAAGAAAGTTGGCTTGATTAAATATATGTACAGCTGAGTATAATTTCGATGTGCGATAAGTTATAACTTGAACACGTATGATGCTTATTAAAACACCTTTCTGAGAACTAATCTTGCCATGCAAGATTAAAACATTTCACCGCTTGTGTTATGGAAGTAATTCAATGAAAGGTTTCCAGGGAAGGTTTGATATTTTTATACTAACAGCACCGACAGCGCATCAGGTTAGAGGCTGGTTGTTTGTGGTAAAAAAAGCCATACTGAGGTACAAACGGGATGTGTTTAAAAATTGAGGACCTTGAATTGTGGTATAAGTTTTATCAAGGAGAAATGATACCCAAACGTAGAAAAAAAAGGATATGAGAAAATAGCTTATTTTTAAAAATACACATTATTTAAAGTGAAATAACGGGTTGTAAAAGCTGGGGAGGAACAAGTAGCTAGTAGGTAAATTCAAATTTGTACATGAAAGATCTAGTTACTTTTAGAACTTGAAAAAAAAGTACAACATACCAAGAATTTCTTTTCTTCTAGTCGCATGCGGCTCTGCGGTGTAAGACCATTCAAAGTCGCAGCGTGTTACTTGGCCGCCCATCTTGGATGTATGGATAGTAAATGCAGCCAAAGTCACCGAACAATGATTTTAAACGACAGCGTATTTGAATCTGAATGACAAATTTTGGATGCATATTCAAATCAGCAGAAACGTAGGCATGACATGGTTGTCAACATCTGGAGGGTGTATTAGTGATGCCAATAATGATTTCAACATTTGAATAATTAGCTTCAAATTGAATTCTTTTCAGTGACGTTTGACGTGACATGGTTGCAGAACTTATTTTATAAAAGCAAGTAAGAATAGAACAGAAAATCGAGTATTTCTGTTGTTACGGTTGAACCTAACCGACAGGAAAACACTGCTTCCACGAACTAAACTACTTTATTAAAGTGCCAATGACGCGACTTTTTTGGCGTAAATATTCAGCTTATTGTATGTACAAACCAATCCTGCAGAAGGAAAACTTCAAAAGACTTAGAACTAGGTTTTTTAGGGCCCTAAAGTGCTCTTACTTTGTCTTAAAAGTGTCCCGTGGACTGGTAACAATTTACCAGGTGATGACGTAGAAAAGTGTGAAACCTCTCACATCTCTCGCAATTTTGTATAAGTCAGCGCTGAAATACTCTTGAAATAATACCCGCTGGCGATGTCTACCTACCTTCAGCAAGCTCTACCGAGAGTTGTAATACATCGTACTCAAGTACTAAAGAAGAAATGAAAGTTGCTAGTACGGTTCAGTCCCACGACGGAGAACCGCACTGCATCAAACGAAGATTTCGACGAAGACTGATAAAGACGGTTTCTCGCCTGAGTTGTATAGGAGGATACCATACCGTGTATGGTATCCTCCAGAGCCGGATATCGCACACGTGACCACTAAGAACAATAGACTTCACACCCATAGGTTGTCGGCAAATTTACAAAGTAGAACAAAGGAACAATGGATCGATTGTTTTCATTTCGACGTCACTGAGGGGTGTTCCTGCATGTCATCACTAGATGACAATTATAAGCAAATATGTGGTGGAATATATATATGTGTCTAACAGGGATTTTGTCATCCGTGTGGGAGTCTTTTATAGGCCATCTTGTAACCCTTGAGTCTTTCAAACCGGTGAATCTAATGTTCATCCGTTTCTAACATCGTCCTCACTCACTTTAGCTCAACAAACAATGCATGCACAGAAAATGTAAATATGATTTAAAATTAGTTTTTAAGTCGTAAGAGAATTTTCAACACTAAAGCGCAATAAAAAATCTTAAAGCGCAGTAAAAGAAAAAAACTTATAATCCATATGAGTGGTTTTTTCCATTTAAGCGCATGAACAATAAAAACTAACACAAACAAATAAACGTTCAACATGTTTATTACAAAAAGTTTATGATTACCAAACAATTTTATTATTACAAGAAGTTAATTACAAAAAACAAGGGCGAAAGAAAACAATCTGAGCGAAATTTACAAAAAGCAAGGAAAAAAGTAAATGCGAAAGAAAAAAACCTAAGCGAAATTTACAGCAAGCAAGGAAAAAGGCAAGGGCAAAAGAAAAACCTTAGCAAAATTTACAAAGAGCCACGACGAAGTTAAATTCTTCGTCCACGAAACGTTCTTTTACGTTCGGTCAAAATCCCAAAGGGCATTTTTCTTGAGCTTTTGTGAATATCACACTGAGTGTGTGTGTAAGTAAGCGTCTGTTTGGTCCCAAAGGCCTTTTTCTTGAGCGTTTTGTAAATATCACACGGTGTGGATGGGTTACCGTTTATAAAAGTGACACTGCAGACGACACTATTAAGCTGTCAATCTTCTTGTATCGTCATCGTTCCATCTCAGCCGGGGAATCACGTTAGATTACGTGTGACAGTTTCTGCTTACTCGGTATGCGCCTTCGAGTTATTTGCGCAGTTGCAAAATCATCTTATACCTTAAATTTCTTATTCTTACAGTTGAGATCAGCCAGAACAGAAACGAGATTGGTAATATAAAAATCATTACTATCCTATTGACGGAATATTATTCACATCTAAAGGGGTATGTTAAGAGAAACTTGCCTTAGAAGACCGTTACATAACAACATCATGATTTCAAAAGTTGGAGAAGAAGGGGCGTTCACACGCACCGCCCCCAAGTTGCTACCTGCTAGTCATAATAACTTTCTAATTGCAAAACATGAAGGTATCACACGTTTACATCTTTAAGAACGAGAGGTGTCCAACGTGACCGAAGCATAGGAATGGCTGGCGCCACTGTCCAACAGGGCTTTGAATTTATATCCGCCCATGTTTATAACCACGACCGGATAAATAACACTAGAATCTCCGATTAAATTTGCAGTCGTACCTGGTTCTTGTCTTTCCTTCTTGTCACCTGGACACCTGTACAATTGAAGCACAAACGCTTATCGACAAGCATTTTCTTCCTTTCTTCAATGTTTTGGACATTATCACAGTTAGTTGCCTTCGCGACAACAATAAAGACACGCCCCCGAGCTCGACCTCGACTAGTTTCCGGTTTACTGTTTCGACAGTAAAGACTGCGAGGCTCCAGTGTCTCTTGTAGTCTTGATTGGTATGAAGCCGGAAATATCACTTGACAATGATACCGAACCATCGTGAATGAAGGATTGAAAAATATCTATGAAAGATTTGGACAGGCCACTGACTTCACTTATAGGACTTGCCTGAGTCTTAGCGATAAAACCGTTAGGCTTAGGCTCCAAGCTATTTTGTTTCTGCGCCACTCTCCACTTTTCCAGGCAGCTTGAAATCAGGTGACCATCTTTTCAGCAATTGTAACATTTTGGTGACTTGGTGAGCTTACTTGGGTGAAACTTGTTCTGTCTTGACCATGAGGAGCTGAAACGATTTGCATGGTTGTTACCAGGATTCTGTTTTGGATGTCCTCCGTCATTTTGCCGACTTCTCTGGTTTCCAAGCCATCGTGGTACTGAAGTTTTGCAAGTTTTGTGATTACAATTTCAAATGTTTCTTAGTTTGTATACTGTAATGCGCTGTTCGTTTCTTAATTAACTTATCTTTGAATAGCAAGGACTCTTTCTTTAATTGAGCGAAAGAGGCTGTATCGATTAAGCACAGTTGTTCGTTCCTTCATTGTAAAGTGTATTCAAAGAAACTTACCTATGAATAGCATGGGCCTTTTCTTTAATTGAACAAAAGAGGCTGTATTGATTAAGCAGCGTTGTTCTTTCCTTCATTGTAAAGTGTATTCAAAGAAACTTACTTTTTAATAGCATGGACCTTTGATCAGGCAAAGAGCCCGAACGTGACTGACGCTAAAGCAGAAAAGACCCTTTGGGACCAAACAGACCCGTACACACATACAGATTCACCCATCCACACCGTGTGATATTTACAAAACGCTCAAGAAAAAGGCCTTTGGGACTAAACAGACGCTTACACACACACTCAGTGTGATATTCACAAAAGCTCAAGAAAAAGGCCCTTTGGGATTTTGACCGAACGTAAAAGAACGTTTCGTGGACGAAGAATTTAACTTCGTCGTGGCTCTTTGTAGATTTTGCTAAGGTTTTTCTTTTGCCCTTGCCTTTTTCCTTGCTTGCTGTAAATTTCGCTTAGGTTTTTTTCTTTCGCATTTACTTTTTTCCTTGCTTTTTGTAAATTTCGCTCAGATTGTTTTCTTTCGCCCTTGTTTTTTGTAATTAACTTCTTGTAATAATAAAATTGTTTGGTAATCATAAACTTTTTGTAATAAACATGTTGAACGTTTATTTGTTTGTGTTAGTTTTTATTGTTCATGCGCTTAAATGGAAAAAACTCTCATATGGATTATATATTTTTTTTTTACTGCGCTTTAGGATTTTTTATCGCGCTTTAGCGTTGAAAATTCTCTCACGACTTAAAAACTTTTCCTTCCATTGTAAAATGTGCGGTGTTTGACTAATTAGATGTTTTAAAGCATATTTACATTTTCTGCGCATGCATTGTTTGTTGAGCTAAAGTGAGTGAGGACGATGTTAGAAACGGATGAGCATTAGATTCACCGGTTTGAAAGACTTAAGGGTTACAAGATGGCCTAAAAAAGACTCCCACATGAATGACAAAATCCCTGTTAGACACATATATATAATCCACCATATATTTACCTATAATTGTCATCTAGTGATGACATGCAGAAACACCCCTCAATGACGTCGAATTGAAAACAATCGATCTATTGTTCCTTTGTTCTACTTCGTAAATTTGCCGACAACCTATGGGTGTGAAGTCTATTGTTCTAAGTGGTCAGTGTTTTTTGTAATTAACTTCTTGTAATAATAAAATTTCTTGGTAATGGTAAACTTTTTGTAATAAACATGTTGAACGTTTATTTGTTTGTGTAAGTTTTTATTGTTCATGCGCTTAAATGGAAAAAACTCTCATATGGATTATATATTTTTTTTTTTACTGCGCTTTAGGATTTTTTATCGCGCTTTAGCGTTGAAAATTCTCTCACGACTTAAAAACTTTTCCTTCCATTGTAAAATGTGCGGTGTTTGACTAATTAGATGTTTTAAAGCATATTTACATTTTCTGCGCATGCATTGTTTGTTGAGCTAAAGTGAGTGAGGACGATGTTAGAAACGGATGAACATTAGATTCACCGGTTTGAAAGACTTAAGGGTTACAAGATGGCCTAAAAAAGACTCCCACATGGATAACAAAATCCCTCTTAGACACATATATATAATCCACCACATATTTACTTATAATTGTCATCTAGTGATGACATGCAGGAACACCCCTCAGTGTGATCTATTGTTCCTTTGTTCTACTTTGTATATTTGCCGACAACCTATGGGTGTGAAGTCTAATGTTCTTAGTGGTCTCGTGTGCGATATCCGGCTCAGTGATTGGTTACGTGGTATGGTATCGTCCTATACAACTCAGGCGAGAAACTGTCTTTATCAGTCTTCGTCGAAATCTTCGTTTGATGCAGTGCGGTTCTCCGTCGTGGGACTGAACCGTACTCGCAACTTTCATTTCTTCTTTAGTACTTGAGTACGATGTATTACAACTCTCGGTAGAGCTTGCTGAAGGTAGGTAGACATCACTAGCGGGTATTATTTCAAGAGTATTTCAGCGCTGACTTATACAAAATTGCAAGAGATGTGAGAAGTTTCACACTTTTCTACGTCATCACCTTCTAAATTGTTACCAATCCACGGGACACTTTTAAGACAAAGTAAGAGCACTTTAGGGCCCTAAAAAAACCTAGTTCTAAGTCTTTTGAAGTTTTCCTTCTGCGGAATTGGTTTGTACATACAATAAGCTGAATATTTACGCCAAAAAACCGTCGTGTCATTGGCACTTTAATAAAATAGTTTAGTTCGTGGAAGCAGTGTTTTCCTGTCGGTTAGGTTCAACCGTAACAACAGAAATACTCGATTTTCTGTTCTATTCTTACTTGCTTTTATAAAATAAGTTCTGCAACCATGTCACGTCAAACGTCACTGAAAAGAATTCAATTTGAAGCTAATTATTCAAATGTTGAAATCATTATTCACATCACTAGTACACCCTCCAGATGTTGACGACCATGTCGTGCCTACGTTTCTCTGATTTGAATATGCATCCAAAATTTGTCATTCAGATTCAAATACGCTGTCGTTTTAAATCATTGTTCCGTGGCTCGGCTGCATTTACTATCCATACATCCAAGATGGGCGGCCAAGTGACACGCTGCGACTTTGAATGGTCTTACACCGCAGAGCCGCATGCGACTAGAAGAAAAGAAATTCTTGGTATGTTGTACTTTTTTTTTTCAAGTTCTAAAAGTAACTAGATCTTTCATGTAAAAAATTGAATTTACCTACTAGTTACTTGTTTCTCCCCAGCTTTTACAACCCGTTATTTCACTTTAAATAATGTGTATTTCTAAAAATAAGCTATTTTCTCATATCCTTCTTTTTTCTACGTTTGGGTATCATTTCTTCTTGATAAAACTTATACCACAATTCAAGGTCCTCAATTTTTAAGCACATCCCGTTTATACCTCACTATGCTCTTTTTTTTACCACAAACAACCAGCCTCTAACCTGATGCGCTGTCGGTGCTGTCAGCATAAAAATATCAAACCTTCCCTGGAAACCTTTCATTGAATTACTTCCATAACACAAGCGGTGAAATGTTTTAATCTTGCATGGCAAGATTAGTTCGCAGAAAGGTGTTTTAATGAGCATCATACGTGTTCAAGTTTTAACTTATCGCACATCGAAATTATACTCAGCTGTACATATATTTAATCAAGCCAACTTTCTTCCTTAGTCGATACATCTTTCTTTTGTGCTTCAAGTAATCTTTTGTCGCTAATAGCATAATATTACTGAGAAAAAAAACCTTTAACTCTCTGTTTTCCTCTTTTTTGTTTTAGCCAAATATCCCGAGATAAAGAGACTTATGGGCAGTGATCCTTCATTCAAGTACGAAATCCTGTCTTTGATAGCGGTTCAGTTTGCACTGACGTTTCTCCTGCGTGATGCATCTTGGACCATTTTACTGCTTTCAGCCTACTTCATAGGGGCGTTCCCTAGCCACGCCCTCATCGTTGGGGTGCACGACATCTGCCATAATATCCCATTCGGAAACGGCCGGCCTTTACTAAACAGACTCTTTGGCATTTTAGCGAACCTACCGACAGGTATTCCCTCCTCAATTGCTTTCAAGAAGTACCACCTCCTCCACCACCGCTATATGGGAGTGGAAGAAATGGATCCCGACCTGCCAACCAGTTTTGAAGCTCGAATGTTTTACAACTCTATCACCAAACTAGTCTGGGTAATTTTGCAACCTTTTTGGTATGCATTGAGGCCTCTAGTCATCAACCCCATAGCCCCAAACGGCTTGGAAATCCTCAACATAGTTGTTCAATTTGCTGTGAATTGCGCTGTAGTGTACCTCTGGGGGGTGAAGTCACTCGTATTCATGGTTAGCAGTACGATCCTTGGAGCAGGCTTACATCCTATGGCGGGCCACTTCATAGCTGAACATTACATGTTCGAAGAGGGCTTTGAGACATATTCTTACTACGGTCCTGGAAACTATCTGACATTTAATGTCGGGTATCACAACGAGCATCATGATTTCCCAAGTATCCCAGGTTCAAAGCTCCCTTTGGTAAAGAAGATTGCAGCGGAATATTACGACAACCTACCGTACCATACTTCTTGGATCAAAGTGATGTGGGATTTTATAATAGATCCCAGAATTGGCCCTTATGCTAGGGTCAAGAGGCCGAAAGTCAAAAAGCGTAAAGGAGTAGAGCTTGCCTAGTATTCATGGTCTACCAGCATGCTCTCCCCGACAACGAAATGGTTTAACGATAATAATTATGCTTAAGGGTCGGTTGTTATAAATTGGAAGTTGTGACGTAAACAACCGTGATAAAGCCGCTGGGAATAAATCGCCATTACAACTTGTATACGCACTTTTCTTTTCAAACCTTCTTTACTTTCGAGCAAATATCAATTAAAGTAAGGCTGCTTTTCACTAACGTTGAAATCATTGTTGACTCAGTTTCACTTCTTTCTTTATTTAAACAGTTACAAACTTTTTGACTCAGTACAGGTTAGTCTTTAAGGGTGTAATAAAGCGGCCTCGATTATTCTCCTTTCTCTCTTTAATCCGTTCCTGCGATAGTTCAAACCGACCTGCTAAGTTCATTCGCCCTGAACAAGTCTTGTTTTATTTCTTATTAGGCAACTTTTACAGCAAGTATTTCCATCGGAATCGCGTTCCATTTCGCGCGATTGGATGCCTCTAATATGCCAGGAATGACCCTGTGGTGAAAGTTATTCTCTTACCACCAGGAAAGTCCATTTTTGGCAAACTATTTTCACACGCTTTTCAAATTAGAGACTGAAAACGAAGTTTAAGGGCCAAATGACCTCGGTCGGCCTTACGAAAAGTCGTTAAGTGTACATACACCAATCAATGGCGAAATTCACTTGCAATGTTCGCTGTCCACTAAACTCATCCTTAACTGCCAGTGTTTTGAACCAGTCTCTGTGGCATGAAAAGAATTCTGTTTTAATCATTTCTTCTGCATGGATGTCAATAGGTCGCAAACAACCCCCTCACCGTTCCCTGACAGTTCGTTAGTACCTATTTGAACATATGGCCCCGGTTGTTCGAAGGTTGGATAGCGCTATCCATTAGATAAAACTCTATCCGGTGGATCACGCTGTATGTTTCGCTATCACTTATCTGCTGGATAGCGATTTATCCATTGGATTGCGTTATCCGACCTTTATACAACTGGAACCCGGATAAAGAGGAGCACCTCATGGTTATAACGTTCTGTCGGAGAACACTGCACAATGACCCGGCTGGGGCACGAACTGAATATCTTGATCCAGAGTCAACCACAAAGGTCTTGTCTCCCCTTAAACTGATTGAAGGCTAGTGCCAGCTGAAACGGGTCCGCAAGACTTGTAAGACACCGAGGTAGAGTGTAGCAAAGTTTATTAAAAGCACTTTTATTGAGTATATTGTGTCTCTTTTATTTATAACGCGTATTAGAGTATTTTCAGTTCCATCTCATAATATAAAGCCAAGGAATAAGAAATGAAATTGTTCGAAACTCAAAGGAAAACAAGGCAAACTGCCAGAGGCGCGGGAAAATGCAGATGACCAAGGCGCGTTTGGCTTTCGCTTTGCATCTCATTGGTCAAAAGCCTGGATTGAATACTTTGGATCGATCAACTAATCCATAACATTCTCCGCTTAAAAATTTACGTGAAATACAGCAGCATACATACGTTGAAAATCGGCTTTTTCAACATATCACTGTAAGCACGAATCAAGATGCTGATTGATCTTGCAATTTAAAATTAATGTTTGGCACACAGGACACAGCACTGTATCAGTTGAGTTGAAATGATCACTGTGTAAATGTTTAACTTCCCTTGTCGATGAGCCGGGGGAATCTGCTATTAATTCAATTGGCTTCTGTTGGGATCCCAATACTGGACTAGTCAAGTCATAACCTCTGCTGTTGCACTTTTTGTGTTTATCTTTAGCTCTTTGAAAAGCATCTACAATTGTGAGAGTTGGTGAAGAGCTGGTTTTAGTTTTATTTGGTGATGGTGTTTTTATCTCAATAAAAGCAGACTTCTTAGATTCCTTGGTAAATGTTTTTGAGTCATGTTGGTCAGAGCTTGAGCCTAACGTTCTGCCAGGCCCAGAAAATGGTATCACATCTGTAGTCCACCGTGAAGAACCAGGCTTTGATTTTGTGTCTTCATTGTGATCTGATAAAACAACAGCACCATCATCTACAAGGCTTTTCTTTTTCCGTTTCACCATTTCTTGGTCATATTCAGAATTACAACTGCTATCATCACTGTCTCTTGTTTTGCGTTTAAAAAATCTTGGCAGTGTTCCAGAATTTCCTCCACCAAGCACATGCCCCTTGTTCTTGGCAACTCCTGTTTCTTTTTCACCTTTTCCTTGTTTTGCCTTGCCAGATTTTTTTACACCATAATTATCTGGCTCTTTAATCTTGGTGTATGTCCCACCACACGTTCGCTGATGGTCTGCCCACCAAGTGTCTCTGGGTGACGGTGCTCGATTCATCGCTCTCCTTACAATCCCATAATAAGGTGGTCTCCTGCGGCAAGGGCCATCACACTGCCACCAGTGTTGACGGTATACATTTACCTAATAAAATAGGAGACCATTATTTCATACTGCAGTTCTCTTTAAATCATTTACATAGCAATAGTAACCTTTAGGGTTAATCACTGTGGTTTTTTTCATCCTTCTTGTACCATTCCTGATTTGTCATTCTCTAATTCCTGTTGATGGTTTGCACCCAGGTTTAACATACTACAGTACTAGATCAAAACTTATCATGTTTCTTAAATTTATTTGTTATCAGTAGCCTGATTTGAGCACTTCTCAGACAGTGCTCATGTCATTCTAGCAACTAGACAGTGTAGTAGAACAAGATAATTCTGCCTGTTATCATTCTTATGATTTAAAAATCTTTGAGCTCACAGTCACCCAGTGCTGATTCAGGTGTTTCCCAACTGAATTGGACTCCACTTAGTCCTAAGATTACAAATTATAAATCAAAACAGCTCAATGAGCTCATTACAGAACATCTATTCATGATTTTTCTGAATACTTACCTCATCATGAAAATTATGATACACCTACAACAAAAAAGGGCAAAAAAAGGGGGTTGAGTGGCTGATTGTTTGATTGACAATTAATTATCACTTCAATTTTCAGACACAAGCAAACAATGAAGTTTACATTCATCATTGAAAATGAGTATCTCATTGCCATGAGTTAGGTTGTAAACCTCTTGAAAACACATGCATAGTTCAAGTTGTTCAAAAGGATCCTTTTCTGACTTGTGATTGGAGGATATTGATCCTTTTGTACACTTTTCTGTACTCAGTAACACTCACTTGTGCAAGATCTGTGGGTGTTGTGTTAGCCTGCAGTGCAGGTGTCTTATTATGGTGAGCTAACATTATAAGCTCATGATTCGTTTATCTGAACGGCCATGTTTGATTTGGAGTTAGAGTGGATGGTGGGGGTAGGGGGTGGGGGAAGAGTGAGAAGAGGTGAGTACTCTTCACTCCCCAACCCCCACCCCTCTCCTTATTTTTAACTGTTGACTGCCCCCTCCCCCCCTTAGTACAAACTTTTCTCTCCCCTGCCTTATGCCATTAAAATCAAAGATGATGGCCACAATTTTTGTTAAGAATATACTGGGCATTTGCTCACCAAAATTACACCTGCTCTGCAGGCTGGTGTTGTGTATGTCTCTGAGACAACTCTCTTTTGAAAACTAGAAATACATAATTAAGATAAGATCCTAATTCATTCCACCCAGGTCCAGGCAAAGTGATATATTGGTAATATATTGGTGAAACATTCCCACCTCTGCAAGATGGGGATCATTGAAAAAAATACTTACAGTAATGTTTGCTCCACTTTCAGCATTTATCCTTTGCATATGTTTAAGGAACTCTGGTCCATGACCATCATGGTCCTGAGGGCAGTGACAATAAAAGTGACTTTAGCTATTTTTTTTTTCCTTCTGTGAGACATAACATAACAAAACTAACCAGCACTCTCTATCTCCAATAGAATTGAGGAGGTTCTTAAAAAGTTGAATCAACTGAACAAATACCTAAAAAAATGACCCAAAATCTGCTTTAATATAGAAGAATTCATTGAGGGTGTGATATGGCCAAAAGCAAACATGCAGATTAAAACATGCAAGTAGTGTGGAGTACCCAGAAAGGTACAGTACATTCTGATTAATTTGTCTAAGATAACAAATCAGGATTATATGCTCTCTATACATTTTTTCATAATGGCTATATTGATAAATGAAATGTAAATTGTTCATCAAATTGTGTAGGGTCACCATCAACTGTGAATTGCAATCTTTCCACTTTGACACTGTTTCTGATCATCAGGTGATTTATCAAGAATTCCCTTTAATGAGACAAGTAACTAAATTTTACTTTGACCCATAATAACCAATAAACACAAGGCTGTTCGTCCAAGAGCAAAAGAGGTGTTTTTTAAGCATAATTTATTACCAAAGGCTACTAACCTTGTTGTTCTGTGTCACAAACAACAAAGCATGGATCATCTCATGCTAGAAAAAAAAAAAAAAAATGTTTTAAATTGGAGAAATTCAGAGGGAAACCTTAACCTGACAAAAAAGCTACACAAAATGTTTACTAGCACAGGAATAATTTTACATTTATGTATACTGTATTGAATGCTGAAGTCTTAGAAATGTAAAAACAATCCTCCATCCAGTTGACATAAAGTGAAGCAAGTAAATACATCGATAGTGTCTTTAGAATGCTGCCTGTAATATCAAACTATAAAATGCAATAATAATTTACCAGTAAGGTTTGAACCAAGTCTTTTCTTGGACGCAGCTTGAGTAAAGGTGCACTGAGCCTAATAGAACACAGTCCTCCTCGGCCTTCATAGCAGCATAATCCAGCACATCTGTCATGCAAGTAGCAATTAAGTGTTTCATACTTTGTCAATTTAAAAGTCTTAATCTTATTTAATGCACCCAGAATAAATAAAGCCATCAATGAATATAACATAAATTTACTTATGCTGTAGCTTGACCATTTCACTCCACAAAATCTCATAAGTAATTCTCCCTTTTGTCTGCAATACAATTCTAGTGATGTTAGTTTGGAGAATTTTAGATTGAATCTACTGATAATCCCCTCATTGATATTTTTCTTTATTCTCGTCATTAGACTTCTTGATATTGTATTGGTATTGTAAGGAGAAATTCTCTCTTGGTCACTCAAGGGAGTCACAGAGTTAAATGTACCGCCAAAACAATCAGCAAGATGATTTGACAATATACACTGATGGAATAACTCCTACTTACAAAGTCATTCGTGGACTCCATTTTACTTCTACAGATCCCAAAATTCCTTTAAAGTAAGCATCATTAAATTGTAGAAATAACTGCCGTATGTCCGGTATAGGATCAATAAGTTCCCAAGATTCATCTACAACTGACACTGGTCTAGGAATGGCGTTCTTACGGGAACTGGACGAAACCAATGAATTATGCCTTGAAGCTTCGTTCTCCTGTTCCTGATCGAGCTCTGCTTGTAAGCTTAGGGCATAGGCTAAATCGACATCCTCAGATATGTCGATCATTGGTAAACCGATCGAATTTTTCGCCAAATTAATCGAAAATTACGATTAACTGAATGATAGTGCTCAAAACTTATCTGCTTGTGTACTCGAGCCAGTCTCTCACGTTTGGACCGTGAAAAACTGGTACTCTAGCAAAAACAAAATGGCGTCGTCGGCCGGTCGAACTTTACGAAGCGCTTCTCGCTTAATTTTACAGGTAAATTCGCCATGATGATTCTTTGTATGACGTTTAAATACTGAAAGGTTGTTTCTTTTTAAGGCTGCAAGCTCACAGAGTGGACGGATTGCGTCACAAGGTATTTGTTCCGATAGTAAATCGGAGAAAATATTGAGCACTGCACGTGTGTCAATCCATCATACTAGAAACTTTCTCATGTTTAATCAGCCTTGCGATATTTTATTTTTAAGCCGGAAGCCCAAAACTACAGACAGTTCGGGCTCTTCATCAAGCTGCAGGAATAAGTTTGTGAGTTCAAGTTGTCAATAGATATTCCAGAAATTCTTTTGCATCGCTTTATAAACACTGTACAGCCAATTAGCCAAGATTATATAATTTACTTATCTGGTTCCTGTTCTCTTCTCTTCGGTACAATGCCCCTATCTTCACTCTCTGCTCCTGCCTTCCCAAGGATACAGAGAGAAAACATTTCCATTCTATGGGATGTATACATGCATGACCCAACATTGTCCGTTGTGTACAGAGAGTGCTTCGATCCACAGGAGCAATTAGTTGCATAACAGTGAAGCGTGCTATTATTACACTTGAGTAAAAATTAGTACAAGCATACTTGTTGACTGATGAAGAAGAACTACAAATGAAGACCTTGTCCTGTAATTCTAGTGCCAGTTCCCTTGCTCCTCGAAAAGTTGTCAACCTAGCCCCATTATGAACCCATACCCCTCTTATTTTGGGTCAACAATACTGTATTAGGCGAACATTGGTAAGATTCCCTGGGATATTTAATCAAACAGCTCTCATGGTACACAGTAGCCTGCTGTAGTGTTGTCATTCAGACATAGAGAGACTATTCCTTCTTCATTGCCAAAGGCTAACTGAACTTTATTGATAAACACGTTACACGTATACAAGTATAAGAGTTTACTGACTTATAGTAATTTTACAGCATGCAGGTATTTCCAGTACAGTAGGATTACTGCGAGTAGTACATTTACTGAATTAAGTACAAAGTGCTCACCTTAGAACCCATACTAAGGTTGTTGTCAATAATTAAGATAGGTACATGTATAATCAATACACTATCCCTGTAGAGCAGGCATAATTTTGGCGAGCAAGTGTGCAGTGTTTTCTTTGTGGTAATTATGGCTGTCATCTTTGATTTTATTGGCAGTAGAAAGCTGGGTAGAGAAAGAAATTTGTACCAAGGGGGTGAGCAATGGTCAAAAATAAGGAGAGGGGTGGGGGTGATCACTCACAAGCTTCTCAACATTGACTCGCCCTAATAAGATGGTATGTTTAATTTCTTATGTAAAATGCATTCTTTTCAGAGCAAGACAAGCCCAGAGGACTTTTTCTGTTAGTATATCAAGGACAGCTTCTGCTTGTGCTATGATGAGTATAGGTCAGTCCAGATGGTAATTTAGTTGTTGTAAGCTTTTGTTATATTCAGGATCTTAGTTATCAATTCAACAAATTGTATACCCTTTCCAGGGATGAAAGAATCTCAAGTGAATGCAATTCTGGATTACCCAAGTCATGTAAACAATAATTGTTCTGTTGCTATTTCCTAAGTGATTTATTGAAAAACAAATGATGATTTTGGAAATATTTTGTTAACAGCTTCACCAGTGTCTACCAGTGGATCACTGTTATGTACTGGAAGCAGCTCAGATATGATGGAAGTATCTGCTAGTGAAGATGAGGGACTAGTGATCGAGGCGCCGGAGAAACTCGATGATTTATAGCATTGGTTTTCCTTACATACAATAACTGTTGTATGTAATTCTGTTATTTAGTTACAAATGCAGTTTTATTGCTGTCCCTCAAGACTTCTTCTGATTTGACATTTTGCCAGGATTTCTTAAATACAAACTATTATACATTTTTTGAACCAGAGTTGTGCAGGTGGTTTCAGGAACTCCTGAAGTGGGATTTTTTTGAAAATTGTATAATAAGAGGTTGTGTGGAAAAATCCTCTCAGAAAATAGTGATTGGTGTTACTTAACCTTTTTACTCCCAGAAGTGATTAACAAGTAATTTCTCCCTACAATATCCATGCACTATCCAGCAAACAGGTAATGAGAATACTCAAACTGATCAGGCAGTTGTTATCTTGATCTAAAACCAAATTCTCATAGCTTATTTACAAGGAAATGTGAAGCAGCTAGAGGGGAGAATTAACAGTCAGATCCTGGGAGTTGAAGGGTTAAGTGAAGGTTTCATTACAGCAGCTGTAGTGTAATTTTTGTCTGGGCCATATGAATTGAAATGTTGATCATTTTTATTATTCAATGTAAACATCTCTTCAGGAGCAGTATTATTGAACAGGAAGTTCATTTAGGAGCATTCATGTAAACAGTATTGTAACTGAAATTTTGTGGAGGAGGTAATCACACTTTGCAATCAAAGTGTCAGCCATTGTCAATGACTTCTTGCAGATGGATTTTTTATGTTTAACGCTTGGCATCATGTTAAAACACTTTTTTTAACTTTAAAATTTGTTGTTAATGGTAGTTTTCTTTTGCATGTCATTCTACTTTTTTTCCTGAATTTTTTTCTGTGTTTTTGGTTTCATAGGGGATTATAAGGTTAGGAACCCTTGTGAAAATGATTGTTAAATTCTTAAATCCTAATTACAAGTCTTTGCAATGTTTTATTATGGATAGAAATTCTCCAAGTCTGTTCCTAGTATGGTGTTTAAATTATTGTATAATTTAACTAGACAAGTAATTGTTATTTATTGTAAGTTCTCACTGCCTTTGATACTAGTATATGCTAGCCTATGATTTTCCTAAACGCTTGCTTGCTCACTGTGTATTTCATGTTTCCATCTCATTAAAAACAGTAATGAAAGGTAGTTGTCTTGAAGTTATTATCAGATACTGCTCCAGCTTGTGGAAGTTGTATTTTTCTAGTTATTTCATAATTATTTATTGGTGTTTCATAATATATTTTTTTTCTTACCACCCTTTGTCACTTTCTTGAAAGACGATCCCTTGGTCAATGAAAATTTTTCTGAACCTAATTTTTTCCATTTAGTGTATTGCCACAGGATGAAAAAGTAAGCATTTCTCCTCAAAGACTATAATTTCTTTATGTTCTGTAATCTTATTTACTCTAATGTTCTGGAAGTGACCACCCCTTAGATGCAGCAACCCCTATGTAATGCTGCATCAAATAACTATTGCCGGGATGCCTGCTTTTTTTTCCCAGCAGTGCCACAAGATATTAATTTTTCACTGTTCTGTTCCATTCCATTGGTAAACAAATTGTCCTGCACCCTTCATTGGCTCTTTTCCTTGTGTCTGGTAAAGAATGCAGTATTTTATTATATTTCTGCTAGTAAGTAGTTTGAATTTGTTTAAGTAAAAAGATTTAAGCTTTGTGGTGCACTCAGCTGAGTTTCAAATGAGGCTTACATCAGCAAAATGAAACAAGTTTGTACAAAAAAAATTTAATGGTCGTTACATCATGACAGTGACTGAAATTTAACATAATCACCGTGTAACAAAAAAGTGGACAAAAAAAACAGCCCTGAATTTCAACATTAACTGTTAATATACAATGTACATATCTTCATTTATCACATGCACAGTTAATGAGCAATATATATTTACAAGTCAGAGTATTAGATCACTCAGTCACAGTAAACCAAAATGCTAACGTTTTAAATAAGAGGTCAGAGTTACAGACTAAGAAATATATTCTTGACAGAGTTGGTTTGACCACTTTTCAAATAGACAATGTACATCTTGTAAATAAATGAAACTGTAAATTGAATTACTTTGGACTATTTTGAGAGACAGACTGAGTTATCTCTAAAAATGCAGTATCTCTTTAGCCAATTTAAGAGTGCCCCTTTCCTGAACAAAAAGTAGGGATGAGGCCACGAGTCAATTGTAAGAGGTCTCTGACTCACTATGTAGCATGAAAACTTTGCAGTGGTTTTAATAGCCATCACCATTAGCATCAGTTCTACTGAAGCAAATGTTTGTGGTTCACAGTGACTGAAATTCCACTTGGGAACTAACACTTTGAAAACATCAACAGTGAAGGAAACAGCTTATAGCTGGTTGAGTACTGATGATGTTAAACAATCTTCCCTGGACAACTGAAATCCCTTGTCAAACTAACTATAACAATGAATATATTCATTCTTACTTATTATTTTCTAAATTGACTAGCATTTAGCATCGTTAACTTACAAGCCAACATACAACAGAGCATGTGCAGTTGATGATTTTGGGGGAAAACAGGAAACAAGTAAACATCCTTAACCTTTCACACCTAAGATCTCCTAGGTAATTCTCCTTACTGTCTGACATACAATTGTTATGATGTTGGTTTGGAGAATTTGGCATTGGATCAGTTATTGATAATCCCTTAGTTGACATTTTTCTATATTCTCATCACTTGTCTGCTTAATATTGTATTGATATTATTGTATTGTAAATTATTCCTATGGAATTGAAGTGGTAAGACGTGCTACATCACAGCTTTAGTATTGTGGTACAACACCCCAGCCCTATATTTTCCATAGTCCATCATTTCAAAGTCCATCATCTACAATCTGTGAAAAACTAGTTGACACATTGCTACTGAGATTTCAAAATTCGGTTTATCGTAGCAATTTTCTTCCTACACGAAATACCCTTAATGCCTCACCCCCTCTTCCATGTATATTGTTGGGCTTTGTTTTCTGTGAATGTACACCATTGAATAAAGGAAAATGTGAATTCTGGCAACCTGTGGTTTAATGTCCACTAGACTTCAGAGATCCCCGAGTTCCCTGGCTATCTCCTACAATTCTTGTGTTAAATTGTCATGACCTATGGTATTTTGCCTAACGACCTTGAGAATATTCTCGAATCATTTCAAACTGTAACACTGCTCTAAGGCAGGCTGACAATGTTTCAGGTTACTGAGACAACAGAATAAGTTTTCAAGGTGCACTACCTAGAAACTGTCTAAAGCCTACAGGTTGACTCACCAGCAACATAATAATTCCTTGGAGAAGGTTAACACAGTCAAGTGTCAAATAATTTTTTCACAGATTGTATGTAAACATTTCCTTCTGGATTGGCTGATTTACAAAAGGATTGGGATGGAAGAGTTCTAAAAATTCATAGAATTCTACAGTCTACATTTCCATATTTTTCCTCTCTCTAAGGCCATCTCTGAACAGTAATTTTTTTTGTTCCTTTGATCTCACTCCCAAACAATAAGCCAGTCTACCAACATGAAATGTTAGTTGTAATAACCTTTGACAACAGGTTTTGCAGTCTTTACAGTATTCACAATTCCATGATTTTCACTACTTTTCTGCTTCAAGAACTTAAAAATATTAATTGTTTGAACTTTACTACCAAAAGCATAGGACCCCTCCAACATACTATAAGCATGATCATTTTATATCATTTTTACACCAAAACATGCATTCTATGACTTTCTTGGTAAGCATTACGACTTTTGTAACCACTTTCTTCCATTCCTCAGTCTACATTGAAACAAAACCTACATACAGCACATGCATTCATTGACAGATACAATTTTGTAAAATAGAATTGTCAACAATAATTACTTTTAGCTAAGCTCCTACAATTCAGAGTAAAGATCATCTTTGTGACCAAATGTCAACCATGTTGTCCAAACCCCATAAGTAACCATCTTCGTGGTTGCCCTCCTCCCAAGGTGTTCTGTGATTCAACCACATTCCATCTTGAAGTGGGGTGGTTTTACCAAAATCGATCATCCACACGCTGGCCTGGCCATCTGCATCATGGACGAATAACAGTGAACTACCAACCACCTGGAGTGTAAACAGGTACAACATATATGTTTAGTAATGACATCATATCACAAAAAATGAATGTCTTCAAAAACAAGAAAGGAATTTGAAAATTTTCAGAGTGAAAAATGAAAAATAATTTCAACTTTATCTTAGTGATGATTTAACAAAAGTAACTGCCAAAGGATCAGCAGGATCTTCCAGACAGTACTGTGGTAAATCTCATAAGTACAGGCTAATATGGAATGTTGCAACTTCATTATGGCTAGATTTTGTAGTTCTTAGGCTGTTTAGCAGAAGTTGTTTTCAAAAGGTCTTGAATGGTTTTGTAATGGTTGCTTCACAGGCACACTCCATTCCACCCTTTTTACCCTAGCCAGCCTTTCTTTTTTCTTTCAAGCTTCAAATATGAGTTGACAGCTGCCTGATGTGGGCAATCCTGACTGTATTACATTGCAAGTAATTGCCAGCCATGACATGGGCATGTTATTCCACCAAGGGGCTACCTGGATGAAGTGTAGGCCCCCAGATACCACCCACATCCATATTCCATCCATTCAATTTGTGCAAGCTTCCTTGCAAGAGAACCAATTTGCAAATGCTGAAGTTGCTTAGTTTAGGGAGAAGGATCTTCAAGTAAGGATAGTTTATACTTAGCAAATTACATGTAAGGCAAGAACAGCATAATTCACTCACCTCATGAGAGCGAAAGAATGGTGAAGATTCTAAAGTTGCTCTTATAGCTTTTAGTCGTCTTATATATTTTTTCTAAATGGATAATAAACAATAAATGAATATCAGGAAAATACTCCCTCATTATCAATTCATTGAAATTAAGAAAAACTAAACAAGAAAGAAGACTTAAAACTCAGACTTCAACTGTAAATACATTTTTGTCAGAGCAAGTCAATTCCAAAACACTGTACAGATCAGGGCCCAGTTGTTTGAATGCAGATTAGTGCTAACCTAAAGTTAAATGTTAATCCATGATTTTTGGTCCTTTGTTCAAAAGCACCATTGGGATAATTTTCTGTATTCTTTTTAAAGTACTCAATTATCAAATTGCAAACAAAATAAATTTATACTCAGTCTGTATTTCCGTTAATTTAAAGCTTTAAGTTCAAAAATCTGATTTCACACTTACCATGGATTACCTTAACCCTTTAACTCCCAGATCAAATTTATAATTCTTCTTACTGTCAATCATACAATTCTTATAATATTAGTTCAGAGAATTTAGTATTGGATCAACTAATTATCCCCAAATTGATATTTTTCTTTATTCTTGTCACTTATCTGCTTGATATTGTATTTACATTGTAAGGAGAAATTCTGTCTTGGTCACTCATGGGAGTTAAAGGGTTAACCCAGCCTTGAACAACTGTGCCTACAGTGACAGGGGAGGGGAGGGAGGGAGGGAGGCCATTGGGGAAGGTGGCTACTGGGTAAGGATAGACAGCATCTAGAAAACAATTTTAGTTGATGCTTCTCTATCCCATCACATTCTTTTGGATTCTGTGCACAATTTCACTTCATGGCAGCAAGAAGTTTTTATACCACTACAAAAAACTTACTCTTATCTGTTCATCATCACCAATAAACTCTGTAAAAACTTTATCAACATCTTCCTTTGTTCTTGTTTTCTTGAAATCTTTGTTGGGCTTCTCATCACCTTTCTTCAAAGAAAGGGAAGATCAAGATACAAGATTAACACAAAGTTATATAAAAACCTTAACATGCAATAGTAAGTCAATACTATACAATCATCACATGATGTGTGTTAGATAGAGTAATGCAAACATTTCCAAGCAACTAAATTAAAAATTTGTCAATTGAATTCTGGACTAAATGGTAAAGCTTTCACATTGTGATAAGGTAATTATTTTCAAGCCATCATCAGAAAAGCCCATTAATGCAACAATGGTAGTAACAGTAAGAAAGGTCTCACAAATCCCCCCCACCCAAGAAAGGAGTGTTGCTTTGCAACACACAATCACATTGGAGACTAAAATAACACCAGTCCAATCCTGCTACTTTCAACACTGTGTGACTATTTGAAATAATTCCAAAAACTGAGAAGCTTAAAAACAATCACTATAAGCTTAAAGTGTATCTTAAACCTTAATTCCTTCAATCCTGAAACCCAGGCTTGAAGTTGAACTCAGCTGCTCCCTCCACTGCATGTAACGTGGCTTGGTTATTCCACCTTCCCTCTTCTCCTCCTCAGTGGGTTCACTGGGGTCTACTTCTACCATCTTTTGGAACAAATCCTACAAAAAGAATCATTGTTATTAACAATTAGAAAATGTAGAAAAGGGGATCCATTTTTTCACTCCCAAGATGTAAACTTCAGTTCTCAACACTATCTGCCATACATTTCTTATTAATTCTAAATTAATCAATGTAACAAATTGACCATGGTTTAGCATAGTCTGTACAAGGCGCAGCAGTGTGGGTCCACTTCAAATTTTATCATTGCTGATTAGAGTACAGACCATGCTAAACCACAGTCAATATATTTTTTTTTAACCACTGACAATATCGACATCAAATGACTGAGATTATGACATGTTGACCCAAGCAGCACTGTCTGTACTCTTATTCACAATGGCAAATTTGCCAATTAGATTGTGACATTACCTCCAACTGAGGTAAAATGATATTTGATTGTTCTCGAGAGAGGACATCCTGTCACACTTACTGCAGTTTCTGCAGCATGAGGCAACAAGAAGTACTATAACTCCCACTCCAGATGGGTGGCCTGTCCAGCACAGGGTAACCCATCTGAGGAGTCCCCCTCCTCAAAATTTTTCATGGCTTCCAAGAAAAAAATGCAAAGACCCTGCCAGAGCTTAGTGTCACAGCCTGCACCTTTCATTCTGAGTCCATTACACTCTATGTACACATGACTACCATCTCTCCTAAACTTAAAAGTTGAGTAAATGGCTTATTAAGTGGTACTCACTTTTCTGGGTTTTGACTTTGCCTTCGCCAATTCATCTTCTAAGTATGTTCTGAAAATCAAAGAAAGCAAAAAGATTTCCAGTCATGGTCATAAATTAGAGTTAAGTTGACTAATTAAGATAAAGGAAAAAAAACTTACATTGATATAATGCCTAATTATTATTATTATTATTATTATTATTATTATTATTATTAATGACTGTATAACTGCAAAATCAAATAACTTGAAGACTTCTAAACAGAGAACTACGCCACGTGCAAATTTAGATAAACTGACTTGAAAAGTGATATTGCATAAAAGAAACTTTGAATACAAGAGGACTGCAAAGTAACATGCAGTATAAGAAACATGTGAAAAGGTGTAACTGACGAAGAGAAACGCCAACAAACTCAACAAAAACACAAACGAGGAGATATGAAAAAAAACAAAGAAAAAAATAAAGAAAATTTTATAAATTACATGAAAAACAATAAGCAAGCAATCAGATCTTATAAGTATTGCTCACATGAAATCATATTACCGATAATCTCTCCTGACATTATAGTGAACTAAATAAACCAAGTTTTCCAAAAGATATATATTAGGCTAGGATGACAAAATTAAGACGTACCTTGTTCCCATCTTACAGTCCATGACAGATGGAGTTTCAAATTCTTGTAGTAAATCCTGCATTTCAAGATATCCTTTATATTTGTCAAGGACAATCCAACAAACACACAAACCAGTTTAAAATGATTCTTAAACAGATAAACAAAATTGGCAGAAAGGAATATTTCACCAACACAGGGAAGATTAAGAACTTCTTTGTCAACTCTCTTAAAAAACAGCTCTCCCATGTACATGTGTACACAATATTTGTAGGCAATGATAGGATGGCAATGCTGAAGGACTGGTATACAGTTGACTCTAGCCCTGTGGACACCTTGCTTTTAAGGACACCATTGCAGACAAGGGCCAGCCCCCAGGCGAAACGCATAAAGAAAGGACTGAAACAAACTCATGTTGTTATGGACTCTCACTATTATGGAAATGTAGGCACTTTCATGCCCTCCCCTCCCCCCAAGGTGCAACATTTGACTGGCATGATATACAGCAACATTTTGAAAAAGGAAAATAAATTAAGATGCCAATTTTCATCTTGTAGCCAGATATTTTACTGCTTTGTAATATTTCATATGTTTAGAGTCAAAACAGTTTTTTCCTCTTGTACCCAGCTATTACAGAGTCGCTATTACAAACACTAAAACTCCCCCCCCCTCTGCAAGGGTGTTCGCAAAAGCAGGAGTTGACTGTTAACTATTTTTTTACTAAACTCCATCAGTTTTGTCATTTTATAACTGAAAGGATACGTTCTCCACCTTTGTTAACTTCTTTCTTGTATTCAGGGATATAAGGTCTCAAAATGTCTTTCATTAGCCTCACAAGACATTCTCTCTCTTTGTCTGTGGATTTCTTTAGAATTGTGCCATTTTCTCCTGGTTTAAAACACCCTTTGATAATGAAAACAAAGCTGTCATTACAAGACAGGGCTCATACTCATTTGAACTTTCCCATGATCTTTTCCCTGATTCTTTGCATGGTTTCTATGAACTTCATGGGAGAGTTAGTTTCCAAGTGATGCGAAAAAGATCTTTAATTAATATAATCTCTCTCTTTTGTTGAGTCAGAATTGAAATGAATTTCAGTTATTTTCTATGAATTTCAAGGCCTTGAAAAGACATATAGATTAGATTTTAGAAATTTCCAGGTTTTCTTTGCCCCATACAAATCCTGCAACAAATTTCACAACAGATCATTTGATCAAGAGCCCAGCATATTGATCATATGACCACTGCACCTTCCACAAGTAGACTACAAAACAAGAACTAATAGTGAGTTGGAGCAGTTTGTAATTGACTGTTGATAAACCAAAACGAAAAATAATCAGAACAGCCAATCATATCAAAGGTTCACATTAATATCAGCCTATGAGAAGTCACATTTAAAACAAACAAACTACCAAGGCAGGCAATGAAGTCATGATTGGTTGTACCTTTGTGTGTGATTGGTTGATAGAATAGTCTCTTGAACAATGATTGGTTAATAGCAATCATAGAGAAAAGTAAAGCGAACTAATTGAAAGTAGTAAAGGAGGTAAGTTTCTAAAAACTGTCAGTGGTGCTTTGTTGATGTAAGTTGATGATGTTAATTGGCCACCAGAAAGAGTCTCAAAGCTAATATATTGAGCATTAGCCCTTCGTCATTGTTGTGATAGGCTAACAAAGGGCTGACGAAGGGCTAACACTTAGAACATCAGCCTAAGAAACTCTTTACAGTGGCCAGTTTACATCATCAACTCAGTTGATAAAAACCAAACTATCTAATTGAAAGAAGTCATGAATTACTTCAAACACTTAATATAAAATTTCTCTAAGAAGTAATTCTTTAACACTGACCTTGATGTCCAGCTAGCTGCACCCAGGGATACTTCTTTTTAAAGTTCTGTACAAATGGAGACCAGTGGATCATACTACGAATTTTCTTCCAGCGTGAATGGGTCTGCAAGGCAACACATAACTTTTAATCAAAATAAATTAATGACAGTATATGGTTTGAACCCAGGGGTAACATGTAATGGTGTAGTTTGATTGTCCAGGTGAGTGTAGTCCTGAGAAGGACTGTTTTTGGTAGTGGTGACTAACATTTTGACAACCTGAGCGGAAGTTATTTCAGAGTCAAGTGAATAGTTGTTGTCAGTCAAATGTTCTTAGCGTGGTTTGTATAAACTGAATGGTCAACTTTGCCATGATGTTATTAGCTGTAAGACTCATTTTGGCGTAGGTTGGTTGTGATTGGTCGGCCTCAATCTAACTCTGATGATGACTTCTGCTCAGGATGTTGAAATGTCAGTCACCACTACCGACAACAGTCCTTCTCAGGACTACACTCACCTGGATGATCAAACTACACTATTACAAAATAAATTAACACAATCATTACAAGTAATACCACATTGTAAATCTACAAACATGCTTCTTAACAGAGTTACAATAAACATAAACTACTGAGTCCTGCTTTCTGAGGGGGATGGAGTTGGTTTGTAAAATATAACTCATCCCCAGTTATCTCTTTTTTTAAATCAAAAGGGGTGGACAGGGGGGAGAGGTAGATGGGAAGGATGAAATCTCTCTCCTTTCCCTTCCACCCTTCCCTTAATGCTTGTGTTGCCTTCAGCTATGTCTTGTCCCCAGCTATCCTATGGTTTTAGAGATTGATAAGAGACACCAGGAAATAAGTCAGGTACTACATTTGCTGCTATCAAACTCATAAAGAGTGAATTTTAACACTTTCATGAAAACTTTCATAAAAATATAACCAATCCCCCCCAAAAATATTAATAATTAATTAATAATAAATTAAAAACTTGATGACAAAATATTCATCTTCTGTGTGAGAAAATTTTCAGTTCACATCACTTAACCACAAATTCAACTGTATAATGGTTGTACAACAACATTACTGGAAGTTTTCATTTGTCATTTACATCACCAGCAGATAGCTTTCAGCATTTTACACAAATTTAGAGGTTGATGATAACTTTGTCAGAACTTGAACTCTGAGCTTCATGTATGTGCAAAATAAGCATAAAAAAACATTAGTTAAACATATGACCCAGTATATTATTGTTCCAAAAACAAAATCTACTTTCAAGTGTGGGATGCAACTAAGAGATTGGAAAACAAAAGAAGATGACTTGCACTTGTGGAACAATAGAAACCTTTACTGAAAAACATTTTTCAATGCTTTGAAACTTAAAATGAAATGATGTACATGTACATGCAACTAAAATATTAATCTCAAATCTGCAAAATAAAACACATTTCAAGGTAAATGAATATTAACAGAAGTGAACTTACAAAATTACATTTTGCAAAGTTTTAAAAGGTGTTTCAAAAAAGTGAATTCACAAACACAATTCATGTAGCACAGGATTGTTACCACAGCTGTAACACAAACACTTTTCACACCCAGATATTTTTAACTCATTGAACATTAAGGAAGTCTCAAAGACAATAAAAAAAATATTTCCTTTAAAACATACTGACTGTATATCAATTTTGGTGATGAGCAAGGTAAGATTAACTGGTTAAAATTACAACACAGTATCTTCAGGTGTGAGAAATATTCCTTGCTGTTTGGAGGCCATCAATATTTCAAAAGTTTGAAATAAAATCTTTCCATATTTGTACATTTGCTCATCACCCATTCAAAAGCTTTCTGTGTAAGCCTTTTAAAATGTGAATTGGGAAAAATGGAACACTACTGGATACCTCTTTTAATTTTGGGTCAAATTAATACTATCTTGGCAAGACATTCTCTCTAAAAGATTTCAAGGTAACGTTAAATTGAATTGTTAAGATAACCTAGCTTTTCTAAACTAGCTAATATTTAATCTTCCAAAATGTTGAAAAGAGATTTTGTATGTTCAAGAAACCAGACTGTTTATCTACAAGCAGGTGTTAGAACTGAATCATAAAATGCACACAATCACCTATTAGGTTTTTTAAGCACAAAAACCTTATTAATCCTTAAGGGAAAAACTTTTCACCCAAGGGAAAAAAAATTTACCTTCAGATGATTTCATGGTTTGTAATAATCTGGTTGCAATTGTGGAAAAATACAACTTATAAAAAGGTTGTTCTTCATTCACATTAACTGTCTGGAGAAATATTAATTGTTATGTAAAATTCCCCCCAAGAGTGACCTGAATTATAAGCAAGAAACAACTATAATGACAAATGAATGTAATTTAAAATTCATATGCGTGTGGCTGGGCTTTCAATGGCAGGAGATCTAATGACCAAGGTTCCACACAGTTGAGTACCATCACAATACAAACATCGACCTGTAATTACCATAGGAGGAAGTGTGAACAATTGAAATTTCATTTCCAAGTAACTGCCGCCTGGACTCACACCAAGTTACAGAAAAATACATTTGTAGTAACATAAATCTGTAAGCAAAAACAATGCTTCCTAACTGGGAGAAAAATGGTAATTTGAAGGGAAACAAATTATATTCATGGGAACTGAAATACATTATTATTAAACTGTAACTTAAAAATGCAGATCTTTTTTCAGTTTTGCCACAGATAAAGCATGGTGTTTCAACTTTTCAAGTTACATAAACTGGTAATACTATGATATACATTCATGGGAAAAATCAGAGAGAAAAAATGGCTCATTTCCCACTGATGTGTATGACCAAGAATTGAGTTTTTTTTTTTTTTTTCAGGAAAATCATTATATCTAACTGCAGAGTGACAGAATAATCCTTACAGTTTTCCATTATTCCATTACTCTTGAAAAATCTATCAAGTAGCCTTAAAAAACCAGGCAAAAATGCCAAAATCCTATTAGGTTTTCATTCCAGAATCCTTTAAGGATTTTCATATTTATTTCAGATTTTCATTTAAGGATATCACAAAATATACTGAGAAGCTTAAAAGGATTTTGATATCACCTAGAAGATTCTCTGTAATGGGATCTTGCCACAGTCTTTCATAAATCACCATACTATCTATAAAAATCTTGAAAGAACTGTTAATAAAATTATATACATTATTCTTAGAGATTTTACGCTAACCTTCGAGATCACAAGAAGTGTTGAAATATCCTGCAACCTTTTTTCATATTGAAAACATATATTGGCCTCATAATGCAAAACAAACGAAGGAACACACTACATATCACACTGAAAATGTTTCATGACTCTGCTGCTTTTTAGCATTGAAACACCCCATTCCAATCCAAAAATTTATATTAACCAACTTAGTTACATAATTATATGTTTAGACATGTCAGATTATGCTACTGAATGTATCAAACCTTCAGATGTACATGCAGAGGTTGTAAAATAGTTGCAATGATGATGAATGCTCGCCAATTTAATTTGTTTAATATTAAATATGTTAATAACTGCTACCTCTTCAAAAAGCAGTAAATATAAAAGCAACACAAAAATGATTTTCTCAATGCGCATTAATAATTCCTAGCTTTAGAAAGGACACTAAACCAACTTGAGATGTTATGCGTGAATAAATGAAAAACAGATAATTTAGCTAAAAAGAAACACTTATTTAGAGTAACAATCAATTTTTAAATGCTTTTCTTTAATTCAAAGTATATGGTTCTTTAATCTTCATTCTTTCGTGACACCTTGGTCTCCAATGACTTCTTAGAAAATCAATCAAAGATCCGAAACACATTATCAGTCTCGTTCTCATTGGCTATGACAATAACACAAATTAAAAATTTTACACTTATCAGTTAAATCATCTTGTTTGAAAATTGCATATTTCTGAGTTTAAAATAGATTTAACTTTCAAATCACAAAGATATCGGTAACCTAGATGTAAATACCTTAAATTTGGCAACGCATCAAATGGGCTTTAAAAGATATCATTAAATAAAATTTTGCAAGAATCCTGACAGTTTTATATAACTACTCTAAATAAAAACGGCCATTACAAATTACTACATGAGCTTTGTAACCATAAAATCATGTAATATATATAATAAAACCAAATGATTATAGTTTTACAAGGTAAATGTGAGACTCACTAGAAATTACATAAAACATAACGTACAAAATAAAATTCCACATTCTAACAAAAGGATCATTTTAAAGAGATGCCATATTTAACTTTGAAAAATTACTCCTTTTTCAATAATTTAAATTCACTTATTGATCAAAATTTGAATAATTTGAAACTTTAGTTTAATGACCTTGTGGAACAGTTTCTGTCACAGCTGACTTACACAGTACTTATAATTTTTTTTGCATGCGAGTGTTATTCTATTCAGCCTCCATCATGCACAAATGCAATACCACACCATATATAAATTATGTAAAACTTGCTGTGACCATGAAGGGTTTCAGGGTTTTAACATGTTTCTACAAAATATCTAGCCTGTGACATTTCTAATATTGTGTTAAAACACATCATCTGTATTGAAAGTATGCTTGATATTATCACATTTCACAATCAGTTCATAGCTGTTACATAATTAAGCTAAACAGATGAACTACTGTAATCTGTCATATTCCGCTGTCTACAAAAGCCTGAAAAATACTCACAACTATGATACTTCTATGCTTATTTTCTCCTTAAACTTTGCTTGAGATGTTTTCCTTAGCTTCAATTAATTTACACACATGTATAATTTGATGCAAAAATCATTTTGTGGTTAGCTAATAAGTTTTGCTGTCAATCTTGTTAATTCATTTTAAGTCTTTTTTTTTTTTTAATCATGTCAATGATCACCAATAATAAAAAAATTCCCTCATATATTTCTGCATGTGAGATGAAACACAATTAACTACTATCAGCTTGCTTGAAGTCATCAAAATGCTACCACAATTTATCTCAACATAATAAAAAATTAAAATTATTCAAATTTTACAATTTATACTTCTGCATGCAAGATGAAACACAATTAACTGCTATTAGCATGCTTGAAGTCATCAAAATGTCACTTTTGACTAAGATTTTTTAAAATTCTATTTTGGCAAAAATGGCAAGGAAGATTTGCAAACAAAATATTGCCTGCTTGATTTTGGATTTAAATGAGAGACAGTTACTGTATTGTTATACTGATAACAAAGTGACTCAGGTCCCTTCAATTTAAGAATTTCTTTCTTTTCTTGTTAGTCAAATCACAAGCTTTCTGATTATCATAAAAATGGTCAAGCTAAAAGTTCTTTAAGATGGTTATTAATAATTGCTAGTGTTTGTAAGTTCAAAGCACTTCAGTCTGCCAAAATTAGCACACAGCCTCAGTTGCAGGTGGAGGTATTTTTAAACCACAAACAAGGATATTTTGTAAAACAATGATTGCAATGACCTTGTGATTGCTACAATTCACGGTATGATCAAATATCAAAAGAGTAATTTTCATCCCAAGATTACAATGTGACCTAATTATGTGATCACAGGGAACATCTTAGCACCTATCTGCAACGGAAATTGCAATTTGATATTCTACCCTTACACACAAAAATAGCAAGTGCTGTACTTAAATAAAGCGAAAATCAAGGGCATACAGAATATCTAAAATCATTGGCTATGCATATCTTTGTATTGTTCACAGAAATGTTCAAATTTAAAACATTGGAATAGTTCAAACTCTTATAATATAATGATTTTCTGTAATCGTTCCCTCAAGGTGCTTTACTTTGTAACCGATAACCGATGGAGAAATGAGGTTTTAACACGGTGCGAAAATCCTTAGGAAAGCACGATCAAGAGGCTTGGGTAAACTGAACTGTATTTACATTTCATATCGCTCTTTGAGAAGTTTTGCTTCAAAATATTTCATTTAATTATAGATCGAGAACGATCAGTTGGCGAGCCAAAAGTTTCCAACCAAGTGGTAAATGACGTCAATCGCAGCTAATGACAAATGATCGTGACCAACCCTGCGGCGGTTGGAAATAAATAAATTGACAAACGTTTCTTACCATCCCATTGTAAATGTCTACGGTAGAAGTTAAAAAATTATATATGTGAAATCTGGGGTTGCTAAGGAAAGCCCTACTGAACGCAGCTAAGTCAAAATACGCGATTGAGGTCAAAACAAACTAGAAGCCATTTCGAAGAGAAATTTTGGCCACTTTGAAGTAATAATAATAATATTCAGGAAATGCTTACTGAGATAAACATATTTCATAAGAAACATCAACAAAAGAAGCCTTCCTTATCCGCAGTGCTGCCAAAGCAAATAAACACTGAAATACTCTAAGTAAACGGTCACTATTTTCTGAAGTCAAAAGAGACCTTATTTAAACGGATGATGAGAGTATTTCATTCAAATTTCTAACCTGTGAACAAAACAATTAAACAAACCGGCAAAATTCACAATAATTGTGCAAGCAAGGCAACATGAGCGAATTGCAAAAAGTAGTACACTTGGTAAATAAAGTAACTGAATTTTCAACAAGTTTGAGTTTTGTTTTGGTACCTTATCAGATTTGTCTTCCAATGGTTGTCTCATTTCATCGTCTGATGGTTCATCGTCGGTAAGGATTTCGTTTTCCGAGCAAGAACCGTAACTTGACAAAGAGCAAGTATCAGTGGAATCTTTTGCCAACATGGTGGCAGAAAGATCACCATTCGTATCCACCATAGCGATGGTTTTCCCTTCATCCACACACTCCTCCATCACAGCCGGCGTTATTACAACTACCGGGGTCGTCACTAACAGGTTAGAGTGATCTAAGCAAATTACATCCTCGTTATCATCTGTTTTATCGCAGGAACTCGAAGCTGACGATCGAGTCGACAATCCAAATTCACCATCCCCCGGGAGAGTTCTACTCGTGAGCGCCAAATTTGAGTTGATTTCTGCACTGAGATCCAAAATGTCTTCGTTGGTTTTCGTATTCGAAGCGCAATAACTTGGTTTAGTTTGTCCACGCTGATCGCTTTCCTTAACAGACTTGCTTGAGTCGGCTTGAAGGGTGCTTTGATTGTTTTCTGCATCAGCATAAGTTAACATACGCTGCCTCAAGGGAGGGGTATTATTTGATAAGTCAATTTCGCCTCCTTCGCAGTTATTGGTTTGATCGCAGTTGTCGGAATGACTGTTTGTACTGGAGAAAACGTGTCCTTTCAATGACGCTATTCGATCGGCCAAGGCTTGACTAGACATTCTTGAGAAGAAATTATCGGTTTCCGAATAGCAATTATACTTGTGAAGAATTTCTTCCACGAATGCGCCCGTCGTAGACGTCGACCTCCATGTTTTTTGACGGTCGCTCATCGCATTGCATGGCCGAGTGGAATGTGTGATCGGCTGACTGAGTTCCAACGGATATTATCTTGGTTCTGAGAAATTTTCGACAGAAATATCGCTTCTGTTTACTCCAGTGCACGCGAGTTCGTTTGAAGATGGCTTATCCTGTCTTATCGATGCGTGTGTTTCCCATTCTTGATTGAAATTAGGCACTGTTGATTCGCTTGACGAGAGGCAAATTTCGAGTTGCAACACACGGTAGAAACTGAAACAATCGATTACTACAACTCTAACCAAAGCCGTGACGACCTCTGTTCCATGGGTCGGTTCCAACATCAGTTAGGTCGGTATTTAACTGAAATCTGTTCGAAATTATTTAAATTAATTCCTTTCGATCCGCGATTTCATAGCACTTTTCGGTGGTAGCCTTGCTGATATGTAGCTTTATGTCACACGTTCTCTTCCCGTGTGTCAACGTAGCAATCAAAATGTCAAAACGTATGCCCTCATACCGTATGCAACACGAATCCCTGCTGTAAACTCCAAAGAAATTCCACTTAAAGCTACATCAGTATATTCTAGTATTTTGTGTTAGGTTAGAGACCCATTTATTTGCTTTTACAAAAATTTTTACTTGACATAAACAAATAGAAAAGACAAGTGATGTGGATAAATGTAAACGTCACTTTCAGTAATGCTTTGACACATGTGATCGATTGTTATGAAGCTTTGACACTTTCAAGCACGCTAAGTCTATCGATTCACTTTCTGCCGATGTAACCAACAACTGAATGCAGTGAGCGCTTGAAGCAAAATTTGTTTTAGTCCGATTGTTTTAGTGATATATGACCCAAATTACAATTTATCGAAAAACGTGAAATTTTACGGCGATCGAGATTCGGAATTGTCTCCCATTTTCATTCATCAAAAGGGGAGAAAAAAAAAAGATCAAGCTCGGAGCTATTCAAGAGGCACATTAAAATTGTTCATCATGTTTTCTGGCATATATATCGTTATTACATAACTATTATCTTTGTACAAGTAAATTTCACTAATGAAAGTTTTTTTTAAAGGAATCAGCACTGATTCACAATATAATTTTTCGTTTTCTTTCACTGCTAGTTAATGCTTTCATTAACACATGCAGTATCTTAAATATAACATTCAGCTGTCATTCCTCTCTGAGGAAGTCAAATCGTTTTTTGACGGTCTTCTTGTGAGCTTATTTCGAACACACGATGGCTTTTTTCGATACATTTTCACTTTTTTCTTTGAGTTCTCAGCAGACCCGTGAATTACGATCTTTTTTTACATACATTACCCTTTCATTCACACCTGAGCAGATCGCTTGCACACCAGCCGTATTTACTTTCAGTTTTTGTATTTTTTATTCTTTTTTTGTTTGTTTGTTTGCCAGGCGGGAGTTACGAAGGCAAGGTCAATGAGTTTAAGCAAAGCAAACAAACAAAAAAACGAACAAAAAGGACAAGATATGTATTTTTTTCTGCTCTGCTTCCTGAACCTCCCGCGCAGTCCAAAGGAAACAGGAAACGCTCCTATGCATTATTCAATCGTTATTAAAAAACGCGTTTGGGCAGAATTTGCGGCGGCCATGTTGGTTATGCTGACGTCAATTTAGGATCGACGGTTCGCCGCAAAGGATTCAAAATGTCTGCTATTATCTGCTCAGGATCAACAACAGGTGTAACCGGCTACAATGGTTACTATGTGGTAAAGGCTACTCTTAATCTTTAAATTGAACGTGATATTTTCGGCAGAAGACAAGATGCAATCGCTTTTCTCAAGAAAGAAAGATAAAAAGAAGGAAAAAAAGAAAAGATGGGAAAAAATTGAACCGAAAGTATAATATCGAAAGTATACATATGGTCTTTACCGAAATTACCAGAAAATTGGACAAGTTGATTAATTCAGTTAGCTTTATGAGAAATTTCACTGCTTTGGTATAATATGTTTTTTTCGGTGGCAAATTAAAGACCGTGAGCTATCGAATCACAGCATTCACAGGAGGACGGTCGGCTCTGTGAAAAAGGCCGAGGCTGGTCCCATTTCTTTTTCCTTCAGGGAAAAGGTTCACAGTTTGGATGAAAATTCTCATGTCTTTTTTTTCAAATGTATATTGTCCTTAGTCAGTGCTGCTTGCGGCGTGTTACACTCTTGAAATGGTCTGCTAAAAAATTGGATCAGAACGCGCCGTGAATTTTATTCTACAATTCAGGTTTGGTCAGCGCTTGGGATGTTCCATGCCACGAAGCGGAATTTCAGAGTTAAAGTGTTAGCTACAAAACGGAGCACTTTCGAGCAGTTCTAAGCTGGTTTATACTGGTAGAGCGTCCTCCTTTTATCAATACTTCCCACAAGCTCCGGATCTTTCCCGACCTTCCGTTTGCGATGAAGCTTATGCCAATTTCTAAGTCAGTGGAGACCATTAAAAAAGCCCCGTGGCAAAGCGAAGCCACTGGCTCGTCCACCCGTTTTTGTAACAGCTTCGGCTGACCAAGAGAGCGTGGCACAGTCTATGCTCAAACGTTTATGCCGACTCTTTGTGGCCAGAGGGTGGTCCGCGCAAAGGGCGTTTTCCTCAGTTTCCCACGCTATTTCCAAACCAGCGCAAAGGCGCCTGGGTAGGTGGCAGATATTACGTATAGTAATTATCTCGTCTGTTACGTCATTGCGATGTGCGCAAACTTCTCTCCACCATTCTCTCTTTCCGTGGGTTAGAGTTCAGTTCGTTTAAGAGGATAAAGTCAAAGTTCATGGAAAAAATGGAAGAAGCGAATACATCAAAAGCTTTTGAGGTAAGTGCCTTTTCTTGTTTCTTACCTCGTAACTGAGGGCGTTTGGAAGGTGTCCTAGCGATGAGTCGTTGCATAAATTCGGATTTTTTCGGGTGCCAAGTCTCCGGGCTTCAGCCGCCCATAAGTTTAGTGGTATGATGTGAGAAGAAGATGACTGTACTGAAAGAAGATGAAAAGTGATAGAGTGGGGGAATTGAAGACCAGAGGAGAGCGGAAGAAAATGTGACGCCAAAAATAAATTATTTAATACGGGTAAAGGATTAGCTATAAGTAATGTCAAAACAGAAATAAAATCAAAGTTTCGAACGGTGGTTTCAGTTCTTTCTTTGCAATCGCTTTGCTCTGTTTTTTGTTGACGGAGGCATCTCGCAAATGTTTTCAACACCATTTATAGACTACATTACAGTTGCAACACTTCCTGGACAAATGGGAACATTTGAAACGCATTCTGCGCACGGAATTAAGCGAGGCCGGTTGGAAAGGAAAAAGTCTTGAACGAAGCGCGAAGGAAATCTCATTTAATTTTTTTTTCATGAAATTTTGGGGTTACTAATGGAAAGCTAAACGTGTCAAATCACAGCGCACAAGTTTCCGAATTTGGAATACGTCCTTTGCAAATAAAAATAAAGGAAGGAAAGGATAACATGACAGCAGATTCTCAGATTTCGACGGAATCTCAGCGCTTAGAGTGGACTCGTCGTTTGGCCAAAAGGATGAATGGCAAGGGCATTTCAAATCGAGGCCTCGAAATTTCAGACTTTTGCGCAGATAGGTCGCACATTGAAAGTTCTCATCAACTGAAGTAGAGATTTTTGTGTTACAAACGAAAATTCATAAATCTTTGCAAGACCGAAATGGAGATATCATGCACGCGCGCTTCATCCTCAAGTGGCGGATTAATCTGGGCCGGATTCAGTGATCTAACATTTATGGCAAATCGTTAAATAACCAGGTAAGTGTTGACAAAGGAGAGAAAAAGAATTTTCTAAGGCAGAAGAGGATTCTGGAAAACGTTTTATGCCGTAATTATTCCTGAATACGATTGGAAAACAATTTCGGTTGTTCATTAGCGTACAATGATATCTTATTTTTAAGCGCGCTGATAAACTGGGGGAAAATATCTTAACGAGCAAGGCACAAGGTTTTTTGAGAAAATAATTCTACGTTTAACATATTTTTTGTTTTTTTGATATACCTTTTTCGATTTTTGGCAGAAATGTGAAATTTCAACTAGTTATCTATTGATTACGTCACTAAATCATCCAGTAACAGACCGCTGATTGTAATGACAACCTTATAAGGACTGTAATAGTGTAGTTTGATCGTCCGGGTGAGTGTAGTCCTTAGAAGGACTGTTGTCGGTAGTGGTGACTAACTTTTCGACAACCTGAGCGGAAGTAGTCAAGTGAATAGTTGTTATCAGTCGAATGTACATAATCCGGTTTGTATAAACCGATTGGTCAGTTTTGCCGTGATGTTATTGGCTGTAAGACTCAAGTGGCGTAAGTCAGTCGTGGTTGGTCGGTCTCGATCCGTTAATAAAGTTAGGTCACTCTATTCGATTCGTTTGTAATGTTCATGTCGTTAATAAGTCGTTTGTATGGTGCTGGTAATGGTTGACACCTGTTGAAGGGAGTCTTTTCCAAGTTAGTAAACCAGCTTTCCTGGGTCAGTCGTTGAAAGTAGGTGGTGCTGTAGGTTAGGCATTGCGGAGAGTCCTAGTTAATAGTGTGGTTCGTAAGTCGGTGATGTTCAGCAATGTGATTGATGTCATCGCCTTTCCTCGTCGCTTATTTGTGTTCAGTCAGTCCAGTTGTGAGGTTTCTGCCAGTCTCACCGATGTAGGAGGAGTGGCAGTCGGAGCAGCTGATCTTATATACTGCTCCCTGTCTGTTCCTCGGTTCGTCTTTGACTTTGACGTTAGTCGTAACCGACGTACTGTAGTAATATAAGAACTGTAAGTCACGCACAAATTCTTCCATTTGGATTTAAAAGACTTCTTGAATTCTTACGCGGGAACTAGTGCTCAAGTCACAAAAACACACAGAGTTATCATCGAAACTTCAGTTTTGACCCAGTCGATGTCAATCTAGAAATTTTTTGTATCATAATTCTTTAAAAGTGGAACTGTATCACAAGCTAAAAGAACTTATATGGAAGGCTTTCTTACGACGTAATTTCCGTAGAAGAATGTATTCGTCTGTGGGAGTAGAAGCATGTCAAAACTCTAACTACAAATGACTCGAGCGAATTCTAGCACCGGAATGTTTTCAAGGATATGTTTTGTTGGGCTTCCTTGTCTTCGTGTTTTTCTTCATTTGCTTGTAGAGTTATGAAAAGAGGAGGATACTGCTTTGAAATTAGCGTATCACAGTCTAAAAACGGGAAAGAGAACCCTAAAGGAACGAACGTGTTTATTTTTTCTATACATTCGCTATAATATGGCGCCCTATTCTTTGTCGCTTTCTCCTTTAGCAGAATTTTAACTAGACCCATTAAGATCTCGAGTGCATGTGTCAGGCTACCTCAACTTCCAAGGCACAATATACAATTTGGAAGTAAAACTTTTCTGTGTAGATGCTTGAGTCTTCAGACTGGCTTCAAATGTTGTTCCAAATTAGAGTTAATTAGGTTCTTAATGCTTTCGCTCCAAGCAATTTATTTATCAAGAGATGGTCACGAAATTCTTTCTATAAATAATTACATTAATTTAATTTCATTAAGAATATTACAGCAATTAAGTAAATTTGTTAGTCACGATCTTGCACAATTTCTAAGCTTGTATATCTCTCTGCTGATTATTGCTTTCAGAATTCTGTTGGTACCGGGTGTTCTCAGGAGTAGATAAACATTGATAAAAAACAGCTTGACCTTTAAATTGAAAATCATTTCCAATGTAAAGGTCAAGTTGTTTTTCATCAATGATGTAATTTAGTCAACCGCATCAAACAGCTTGTGTGCTACTTCCCATAGAAAAGTCTCTACAAAGTTTATCTTTTTCATCGAAATATTGTCAAATTAGTGTGTTTTTGCTTCACTCCGGGCAGTATTTGTGTCAAAAGCAATGGCCATAAAATTGTTTCTATCATTGTTTTTATAAATTGATTTCACGAGAGTATAATTTCAAATAATAAGCAAATTCATTTGTGATCTTGCACTGATTATTTCTTTCAGAATACTGTTGGTACTGGGTATTCCCCAGAGTCAATCGACATTGATGAAGAACAACTTGATTTGTTTGTTGATAACGTTATCCACACAGCTGCATCAAGCTTACATGGTCTTGTCCTTAGGGTTACGAGCCCTGAGGGGACAGACAGATATTTTTCAAGTGAAATCACACAATCTGGTAATGCCTCTGAGAGTAGATCTACTCCTGAAAATGACAGCTCTTCTTTGGAGAGCCAGCAACCAGACAGCCCTAGAAAGCATTTCTTAGAGAAAGCTGGGCAACCTTCTCAGATTACAGACTCGAATGACATTAAAATACTCCAAGGCAATCACTTGGCATCAAGATCAAAGGATGTTGCAACTAAAGCACTAAGCCCTGGGTCAACAGAGAAAGTTATTTTGGATTGCACTAAATCCGAGCAAGGCTATACTACTGAGGAAGACACTAGTAAATGTACTGCAGATGACAGCTTTACTTTGGACAGCCAGGAGAAAGATAGCCCAACTGGGCATACCTTGGAGTCATCTGTGAAGCTTGCCCAAGGTAATCCCTTCATAGCAGTAAGCATAAGTGCAAGGTTGTTTATGCAAGGGATGCTTAATCTGTCTGTTGTAACTACAGTTCCAGTGTTGTTTCTGTACATGGAGTTATTAACTTCTGTATTTTAGGTGAGCGCTACAATGATTGATCATGAGACAGAGATTATGTATAACTATGACTAAGAGGATTGGTTTGCATATTTTTCTTATTTGTAAAACAAATCCTTGCAATTAAAGCAATTAAAAAATTAAGAAGCCTTGTCTTTAGCGTGGTGTGACAATTAAGATTTGAACCTGTGACTTCTTGATACTTAAGTCACACTCACCTGCCAACTGAGGATTAAGTTGATATGCTTAGAGCAAGGCAAATTTTAGTAGGTTCTGTATTCCTGGCAAAGGAATATGAGTAGAATCAACTTGAAATTATATAGTAACATTCTAACCTGTGGATGAAGTAGACCATCAGCCAATTTGTGGAGATACCTGCACACTTTGCTGCACACAGAAAGCCATGGTAATGCACAACTTGAGTCATAATTAAGAAAACCCAGTTGCAATTATTACACTTCTGTAGACTAGATCTATTTATCTCAACACCAGTGAAAATTAGGTAGTGTTTTATTATGTGGAGTAATCAAGGAATTTTCCTTGACTATTCACACATTTACATTATGCTGTCTACTACATAACAAATTCCTGACCAACTGAGACCTTATTTCACCTCTCCGTACAGTGCCCATTGAGGACTTGAGCTCTGATTCCTCCCTTGATTCGTCCAAGGATGACCAAGAATGTCCATCATCACCTAAGGCTGGTAATAAGAAAAAGGTAAGTAGCTTTTGTAATCAAGTACACCAGCTCTGAGGTTCAATTGATTTCCTTTTGAATAAACATGGTTAATCATTAATTATCATTTTTGATCTTTCATTATCATTTTATTTCATCATGAATAGAGATTTGGCCGGTTCAAACAACAACGAAAGTCTTCAGCAGTTGCACCAGTGACAGATGACAAACTGAAAGGTAAACCTGCATCTTGCAAATAGCTGGCTATAACTAGCAGCAGGTTGAACTAATCAGGACAACAGCATCCTATTGTGCTTAGGGTCATTTTAAAAAGTGAGGTAGGAGGGGGGTGCTTATTCAAAGGGATGCCTGTTGGACATTTTGGCCAAGGGGGGGCTTGCTTGGCAGAAGGTGCTTATTAGAGTGTGGGCATAGGGAAATAAGGTATATGTCAGTTAATCCCAATTTTTTAGATGATTAACTGGTGAATCAAAAGGGGAATACAAATCATCAACAATACTTTTTATTTTGGTCAGAAATGCAACCCCCTAAAGTGGCCTTTGAAGATCAACCCCATCTTACCAGTGACATGAATGTCAGCACTTTCATCACAAAAAGTGGTAAGTGATTAGATCACGATGGCTTAATTTAGCTGTAAGTTTGTTTCAGGTTTAGTAAACAATAGGTCCTATGATTGAAACCACTCCTAAATTTGAATATTTTAATCAAAATGGAAGCTACTGTTAAAATCTCTCTTATGGCTTGGCTTTGTTGTTACTTTTTTTCTTTTTCAAGAAAACCTTGATTGTAAGATTTTGCGTAAAGTCAAGTTGTGATCCAAATTGCTACTAAAAATAACAATTTGAGCAGAACTTTGCTTTCAAACAAATAATGTGGCTACTGTATTTGTTTGGTATAAATGTATGGTATTGTTACATAGTTATCTGGCATTTCATTCTTTTCTGAAATATGTTTATTATTTTGTTTATTAGAGCACTGTGATGAGGTGGGAGATAACATTTTTCTGTTGAACACCAAGGATGTACCTTTGGTATCATTTTTCCCAGGGTCAAAATCAAAGGCCCTTGCCAACAATCTGTGCATGTGAGTGAGGCTTTCTGTATGTTAACCCTTTAACTCCGATGACTGACCAAGACAGAATTTCTCCTTACAATATTAATATAATATCAACCAGATAAGTAATGAGAATAATGAAAAATATCCTTTTGAGGATAATTAGTTGATCCAATACTAAATTCTCTGAACTAATGTTATAAGAATTATATGGTTGACACTAAGGAGAATTACAAATTTGATCTGAGAGTTATAGGGTCAAAAGGAAGTGTCAAAGGTGATAGTTGTTTATTTGCTTTGGTCCTTAACAACACAGGAGAAATAGGATGCATATTAGTTAGGCTGGCCTGTCAAGTATGAAATACAGGGAATATTTTATAGAGATGTCTCTATTTCTGTTTCCTGCATTCAAAGATTTTGCATCTCCTATTGCCAATAAGTTACACTTTTATCATTAATTAACTTTACCCTGTCACTGAATTTAGAAACATAGAGAAGTACATTAAAGACAATCTTGCCATAGACAAGTTTACCATAATTATCCATGGAGGGAAAGATGGATCAAAGCTTGGCTCAATTCGTTTGGCGAAGAAATTCTACCACCTCCTGAAGGCAAGGTTAGAGAAGATTGAAGTGACTGTATTACAAAATAAAAGCTCTCAAATGAAAATAGGTGGAAATTAACACATTTCTGCTTAAATTGTTGGCCACTCAATTAAACAAGAAAAAATTGAGTCAGATGTATAAAACAATTTAGTGTTTTATAACTTAAAAAAAAAACTCCTTGTTAAGCTGATGACTTTTTCTATCTTTAACACCTGATTACTGGATAATGTACTTTTTTATATTTTTTCTTTTTAAGGTTCAGCAAAGATCTAAAAAGTTGCATCATCTTAAGGGCCAAACTAACCCTGAAATGTGTTCTCAAGCTTTCAAAGCTGTTTATGCCGTGAGTATAAAGAGCAAATTATGTATTTTCATTTCTGTTAGTAATACATGATACTGCTTGACATCTAAGGTAATCTAAACTTGATTAAATTAAAACTGAATGGCTTGGCAGATCAAAGCTCCTCAGTTTCCACTAGCTGTTAATTAAAAGTAACAGCACTTCATTTGAGTTCTTAAAACTAACTCCAAAGTCATCAAAACAGCTTATCAGAACAAAGGGGAAATAATCACAAGGAGCTTCTTGAAGTTCAAAGTAAAAACGAGACTCTAAACTGGATAAGGCATGAGAAAATGGGATTGACCAGAAGGAAGAAAATTATGATGTACAATTGGTCAGCTGGTTAAGAAGAAGGGGGGGGGGGGGGGGGAGGCACAATCTTCTGGGCTTAAAACAGACAAGAATGGTCACTGGGTGTATTTAAAGATTTTTTCAAATGTAATGTATGTTTCAAAAGGTAATGTTAATCTGATTTCCATCAATATAAAGAACCCAAACTTTGGAAGATTAAATAAGCGACTTAAAGATTGATAATTACAGATTGGTGTTGTGAACTATTGCTGAATTGAATATCAAATAGAGTTTCCTAATTAGTCATAATTTTTATTCAGGAATGAAATGAAACAGAAGATTTCTTTGGTAAATGACATTTGTGAACTTGTCTGGTTCCACAGTAAGTATTGCAACAATTAAACAATGTTACAAATGCATGAGCACTGTTGTGTTCTCAAACAAGTTAATGTCACAACAGTGACATTAAAGTTTAACTCTTTCACTCTTACTGCTCCACAGCATTTAATAAGTGAGCTGAAATTAAAATTCTAAAAGGTATAATTAGGGGTTATACTGAAGAAAAAGTGGAAAATGCTTTAACCCTTTACACCCATGAGTGACCAAGACAGAATTTCTCCTTACAATATCAAAACAATATCAAGCAGACAAGTGATGAGAATGAAGAAATGTATCAATTGGGGGATGTATTAGACAATCCAATACCAACTAACATCATAAGAATTGAATGGCACACAGTTAAGGTAATTACTAATGATATCTTGGGAGTGAAAGGGTTAAGATCCATAACACCTGGGAAGTTTATCCAATCAGCATGTAATTTGCATAATGTTATAATTTTAAGTGCACTTTTCAATTGATTTCAATTTTTTGTTTTTCCTGTTTTAGGCATTCCAGACACTGTTTTGCAATACTGGCATTAGCAACTTCAGATACTATTATGGGTGGAATGTTCCTTATTGTCTTCATTTCAAATACTCTTTTGTTGTTATACTTTATTATACCATGCCAGGGAGCTTGAGGGGAGGGAATGTTTTTTCATTGTCTTTTCGTTTCACATATTTTGTAAAAAGTCACATTTGAGTAATTCCTAAAATAATCTGTAAACTTTATTATATCATGTCAGGGAAGGGAGGGAAATATTTCTTATTTTCTTTTCATTTTGTAATATTTTGTAAACAGTTGCCAACAATTATTTCCTTGAATTTTCTGTATACTGCATCACTAATGTTGCATGCCGCCCATGGCAGATCAGTTGGCAAGCTGTGGCATAGTGATTGATAGCTGTCACAATTGGTACTTGTTGGTAAAGGTAGTGCTTTGGAGTTAGTTAAGATTTTTCAGTGTCACCGTTTGATCTTATCAGTTTTTAGGTGTTTTTTGTCATTCCCTTTTCCTGTCTCCAATGCATGCCTCCATGTTGAAAGACAAAACACTCTAAAGCAAGAATCTTCTCAGGAAAAAAGCAAAAACTCAGTCATTGAGTTATTCTTTTGGAGATACATTTTAGGGGCTTTTATTAGGATTTTTTAGGATATTCATATTTTAGGGGCTTTTTTAAATTCAATAGTATCTTTAAGAAAATAGGTCAATGTTTAAGTCTTAGTCAGACATATTTCCCTTGGAGATACTCACTTCAGAGTGTTTTGTCCTTCAGCATGGAGGCATGTATCAAAGACACCAACAAGGTCTGACTGGAAACTCTGAAAACAGTCATAATGTTCATGCTTGGACATTCACAATGTAACAGCCATCAACATTAGTTATTTCTCCTGGTGGTCACATCAGAGACTGGGTGCATGATACACTGCAAGCTTAATTTCATAATTTCAATTTATTTCAGACACCCCTTGAGAACCTTTTTAAGGAAAGAGTTTTATAGCACCTTTCTCTTTCTGTTATCAACTTGTTGAGTACCAAACGTGACAGGAAACAATTAATGTGCAGCATGTAGACTATAGTATATGGAGTTAGGACTTACTAACTCTCGCTAAAAGAAGTTGGGCATATTTTTTTTTTTTAATTTTTGTAAACTGAGAGATGTAAAATGAATTAAAAGTGTGACTATCATCAAGAGACTATCTTTGTTTCAAAACAGTGCATGAAGACACACAGTTCTTTTTATTTGCCTGTGAATTGACTCGGCTTGTTCATAAGAGGTTAAGAAAAAAGTGAAGTTTGCTTTTGAGCCTTAGCAGTGACCCACATTACCCCAGCTTATCTTGACTTCCACATCATGAAGCAACTGTAGATACTCTATGTGAATGAGACATTGGTCCATTTACAGCTTACACCTATAGCATTGCATCAGTTGGAGTTCCCTGACAGATTGTTGGTACCCATCTATACTCCAGGGTAAACAGAGGCACAGCTGTGAGGGTAAAATGTCTTCTTTCCCATGTGTTGACCCCACTAGGCTTGACCCCTGATCTCTTGACCTTGATCCCAGTGTGCGACCACTGGGCCACCCATTTTCCAACAAACTTTTAAAATTGGTATGATATTTCACACTAGTAGAGTTCTTTAAGAAATGCGAAGTTTATTGAATTCAATTTCACAGAGTTAATGGTATTTGAAATCTTACTTATCCTAGGGTTAGTTTACTTATCAATGAAACCACACATTAAATTCTATTGATTTGACCCATTACTGAAACAGCCATCCTACAATAAAAGGCTTCCATTTTTGTGAAAATTTTCCTGCACCTTTCTCTTTTGAAGGACTCACATCTTGCCCAACCATATGACTTTTCTTTAAATTCACTTGTCAAGCAGTCAATGTAAGATGGACTTCCAGATCTATATGTCATCTAATTGTCAAAAAATTGTTTTTAATCAACTTTTTCTGATATAGGTGGATCATTTTACCAAATGTACCTCTCCCTCGACCAGAAGAAAGCAGACATCTCCCCACCATCTCTTCACTCCACTACTGATCCTTTCAATCACCACCACCATGCTATGGTACACTGGTAGTGCCACCCTCCCTACTCCTCAGTAGGAATATGAATAAATTGAATCACCAGCACCATATAGGAGACCTGGCATGCCTCCCTTACCACCCCATTCCTCTGAGTAGTACAGAGCTGGGATGGGGCTGAGAGATCTGTCCACAGTGGCAGGAAATGGAATTGTGTGAAGTAGTTTACCACTTCCAATACTCCAGATGCGTGTCACTGAATCTTGTCCCGCTGCAATTAAGTGTCAAGAAAAACACTTTTCATAAATAAATTCTCAAGCCTTGCTGTTATTTCTTTTGCTCCCATGATCTAAAAGCTAATCAGTCAAGCTGAAGATCATAAATTTTCTGAACTATCAGCAGGGTTCAAAGTAATGGAATCCAAGATGTATGTTTTAACACATTGGAAGATGACTTTTAAAGATTAGATTACTTTTAGAAGCTTAAACTGCAGTGGCTTTCATTTTCACATACTATCATCACACTTTTAAATGGTGAAGCTAAAAATAATCTCATTTTCAATCTGGAACATACCTTTCCTTAAAACTTTAAAACTCAATAGTAAGGTAACACAGGGCCCAAAAAATATAATTTTCATTTTCTTGAAGGCCCAATTTACCAAACTCAAAATGGATCAGTTGGGATTGCTTTTTGGCATCTGAACGAACATCAGTTATATTAATCAGCAACTACTTTTAATTAGAGTGTTCTGAGTGTTAATAGCCATTCTTTTTAAATTTGATTTGAAAATAATCTGATCCAAGTCCATCTAAAGAAAATTTCATACAAGTCATGTACTTTTCAGAAATGAGTGCAATGAGGAAGTGATCAAGCTTACCAGCAAAAATCAATGAGTCAGTTGGGTCCACATAGAAGCGTAGCCCATGTGTGATCTCATTTATGTGCCCTCTATAATCTTGCACACAGGCCCTAGCTCTTATGTCCCACAACTTCAGCTGAAAAAAAAAAAAAAAAAGATGTAGCTTTCTGAGACAAAGTTAGATTGACACAAAAATTCTGGGCACAAAGACTTCTCTCTTACAGCAAATGATTAGAATTTATAGTCTCAAAGTACATGTAAAAAGGTTTCTCAAGAATTAATGTTTGCATTCATTACTGACATAATTTAAGCTTAGTTCACAAATATACTAACTATATTTCCCAACCAAAGTGATTACAGCTGTAATTTGTGTGCACGGTTGTGATTAAAAGATCAACACAAGGTGGAAACAAAAATTCTGGTGTTTTTAAACAAGTCATTGCCTCTACTGTCTGAGGTGCATTTTTACTCTTTCTTTACAAGATTTTGTTGCTCAAGGAAGAACTTGCTAAATTGAAGTGTGAGCCAGCTGATATGAAAGCCAAAGGAAAAAATAACAAACAACAACTGAGAAGGAACTCCATTTGCATCTTACAATGACTCTTAACCCTTTACACCTCAACATCAGTATGCATATTCTCTGTACTATTTTCTACACCACGCTGACTAGGAGAATTTCTTTAACAATCAAGAACTTCTCAAGTTGGTGATTGTTTCCTTTATTTTTGTGACCTTAATGTGTGATGGAGAGGTGATATTGTAAGGAGAAATTAGATACTGGTCATTCTTGAGGGTCAAAGAGTTAAGACATTTCTTGTGCTCTATGTCTCATTTCTCAAGTCAATCCTTACCGATCCATCTAAACCACTGGCCAACAGGTAGTTTTCATCACGCAAAACCTGTAGGCATGTGATTGATGCCAGCTCTCCTTGATTAAGACTCATTACTGGCCAGTTGGGACCAATCACACGCACATCGCATGTACGTATGCAACCATCACGTGAGCCATTATAGAGAACAGGATTCTGGGGGAAAAAAATCAACAAGGAAAAACATCTTGAGCAACAAGAAGTATGGAGCTATTAAATAATTAGAGAAGACAACACACACCCTATAATTATTATAATGTTATAAAACCTGCACAAATTTTGCAATATCAACTTACACTCCATGAGAACTCCTGAGCAAGCACAGCACTTTGACACTTGACATGTATCACACGTCTCTTCATGGATACATCAAATGTTAGAGCTACCTTACTTGCTCCTAGGGGAAAAATATCATCTATAGGTTTAATTCTATGTTTGGGAGGGAAAATGAAGGAATAGATTTTATTAAGCTTATAGAACTGGTCAGTTATCTTGTTAATCAGTCAGGTGCTGAGTCTGTTGGTGAGTTGGACAGCCAGTTAGTCTAATACTCAACCAGACAATTATCTATCAGTCATTCAATCTGTCAATACAAATGAATGTCAGTCAGTTGATAAGTCAGACTGTCAGTCAATCAGTCCACCAGTAGGTCAGTCAGTCCATCAGTTATTCAATCAGTACTGAGTCAGTCAGTCTGTCAAAGTCAATCATTTACTAATTCAGTTGGTTAATTGATTATACAAATTATCAGTGAGTCAATCAATCAATCAATTGGTCAGACAGACAGGAAGCCAATCAGTCAGTCAGTAAGACAGGACAGTCAGTGGATTTTTCAGTCAATCATTTGGACAGCCTAAGTCAGTCTGTTAAACATTCGACCAGCCAGTCCAGTCATTCATCTTTCCTTCCTTTGGTAGTCCAGTGGTATTTGGTTAGATAGTCAACCAATCAATACTTTTGCTCTCAGGAGTGACCAAAAATGAATTTCTCCTTTTGATATCTTTTGAGCAGAAATGTAATGAGAAGCAAAAAAATATCAAGAAAGGAATTTTGTTTTATTTTAGATCAAAATCACAGAACTAGAATCATAAGCAACATATGAGGAATGGTATAGAGAATTAATGTTTAGATCTTGGGAGTGAAAGGGTTAAAACATCCATCAGAATCAGTGAAAGTCAGCAGGTAGTCTGTCTTTTGACCATTTTGTCAATTATCAAAAAGAGAGCAATGAAAAGAAGCAAAGAAACCAAACTCAATATTTTCTGCTTATTGTGCTGACTGCAAGATAATTTTATTATAAATAATTGTTGTAAGTTATTATAAACAATTATCACTCACCAATACTGATCATGTTACTATACAAAGGGTTTCTGTTCCATGAATTAGCCCACACTGAATTCCCTTGTACTGAAGTTCTACCAACTATCCCTGTGTAAAACCAGAGCAACAATACCAAGTTTTTCTAAGCTACAATTATGTGCTTATAACAAATCTAGAGCTGAAAACCTCCAAAACATGTTTAGAAGCTATTACTGGAAATTATTCTTAGATTAAAACATTAAATGTTTCAAAAAGGTCAGATTTAATCTCATTGGAAAGCAAACACTTACGTTGTGAAGCACCTTCCACTGTAAAAATCATGGTTTCCCCAGACATATTTCCATAACCAAGTAAAGATACTCTGTAAATTATACCGTTAGAGAAATAACTTCACACTTGAAATCCACACTATCACAGACTACAACTGAAATTAGCTCAGTAACAGGGTAAAACAGTTCACTAGAAATATGAAAATGAAAGATATATGTAAAAACAATGCCAGATAACTCTTTGAATTCCCTCCTTCAGTTAAGTCCTTCATCTTTGTAAAACAGTTCCTCAACTGAACAACATTTTTCCTATGCTTGTGACTGATTGGTAACATCTTCAATCATTTGATAAACATGCTCAAAATAAATAGTTAATTTTCAGTGGATATCATTTCACCCCCCAATTTTTATAAAGGACTTTTTTAATGTTGCCCACCGTTAGCAGTTTACAGGCACTTGTCACATATTTACCATGCAGAATGATGTATGTATGGCCTAACTACTTACAGTTGACAAAGAACCTCAGTGGGGTTAAAACTCTCAGGGGTTAACCCGACTCAACCAGAGACACTTCTGTTTGTCCAACATTTGAGACAAATGGTTACAAGATATTTCTCTACAAAGGATACATATACATGTTCTTTGTTTGTTCATGTGGACTCCAAAGAAGGCCTGTTATTTTCTAATGAGCAACAACAACAAAAAGCAATTCAATCATTCTTAAATTTAAGAAGTGAAAACATCTTTGACATCCACTGGCCATTTTACATTTAAATTTATCATGATCATTTCTAAATAATTCTGTTTTTTCAACTATTAAGTTAAGTTTTATCACTTCAAGTAGCCTAAAATATGATAGAGAACCAGTGAAATTCTGCAAAATTTTCAAGCTGAAAACTATGAATCAACTTTGAGTGAATGTGAAAACATTACGAATTTTAATCAAGTTCAATCAGCCTGTTACATGAAAATACCTGGTTTTTCATCATCGCCATATTATGCACTACTTCAAACTTATTGTTTTTGTCCTTTTTTAAATCGTGAAATTGTACTCTGTAGAAAAAAAAAAACCACAAACAGAAATAGTGTGAGAATTTACAAATTTACTGTGATGATTGATTGAAGACTGAACAAATGCTGTGCAATAAATGCCACAGTGAGTTGCAGATCTCAACATGTGCTGTTACATATATCTAATGACTTAAAAAAAAATCTTTCTATATTTATTATACATTATTATTACTACCTAGTAATTTGCATTTACCAGAAATAGAATATGAAAAATCTGCGACAAGTTCAGAGTAGTAAGAGATGAGTGGTGAGTGAGTTATACTGTCACAAGGTAGTGTGAGGTTTCAAGTGATATCGGGAGGCAGTTGGGGTTGCATGAAAAAGAACTACGTTTCCCTTTGTAGCACATTTCTATAAGTTATTAGAATGCTAAAAAACATCTTACACTTGGTTCCCTGTGGGTTTGGTCTCATAAAGTGTTAGTATCCTCTCATAGCATGCATCAGGCTGCAAAGAATAAATTTAACATAAAAAAACAGATTTGATGATAATAATTATTATTAGTTAGTTGGTAAGCAAGTTCTCCTTACTTCATCCACGGCACAATTTCTGGTGAGTATGCAGTGACAAAACATATTGTACAAGGATGTGTAATGCATCTTTAACATCTCATTACTATAAATTCATAAAAAAACAAAATATATTTAGAACATAAAACTGTAGTGCTTTCCTTTTTCAGGTAGTAATTGGTAAAATTAGTGCCTGTAGTTTCTCCTATTACTGCCTTAAATATCTCAGAATTTTTTAAGTCCAACAAGTAGAGGGAATTGCTCTTGACTACTGTTTTGAAAACTTATTACCTTTCCTGCTTAAAGTAAGGGAGAACACTTTCTAGGAGTAATGATGGACAAAACCATCTTGTGGCAAGTGATTGTCTTTATGGGGTTGTTGTACAGCAAAAGTTGGAGGATGGGATGGCTCAGTGGTTTTCCCAAGCTCAACTCCATACTAAAGGGATCCACAAACAAGATTAGATAGACTCAGGCAAGACACCTAATTCATCTCCACACTTGGAGGTATTAATAATGATGGACAGGGGCACAGCCAGGATTTTTCAAAGGCAGGTCATACTGTGTCAAATAGAGGGTAATCACCAGATTGTCATGTCAACTTACATGCTGTGTTTTACTTAATGTGACAAAAAGAGGCTTGCTGGGGGGGGGGGTCACATACACCCTTGGATCCCCCCCTAGCTATGCCCTTAATGGATTCTAAAGAGTCGACAGAAACTTACCTCAATCCTTGACACTGCAAACTGATCCAGTTCAAGGTGGTGATCAGCACAAGGATCTAACACAAGTCTTTGCCTAACCTTTACCAGTTGAGTAAGCTTTTCTAATATATTCCTGTAACATCAATTTTAATTATGAAATTTTAATTTGAGTGTATATCAAATATCTATTGCAATTGTTTAATTTTTAAATGTAAAAAAATCATGTCATTTTCTTGACTTACCTACTAGTTGTTTGTGTGCTGAGAGAGTACTCCCTATCATGAAGACTATTTAAGATAGAAATTCTTGATGGTTTCTGAAATTGTAACATAGTAAACACAAGAAATCTTAATAATTATTGGCAATTTTATAACTGTGAACATCACAGATCATCAGTTGAATGACCAGTAACCATTCAAAAAATTACCTCACTGAATGTCATCAACAAGTTTTTAGAGTTGGACGTTTTAACAACCACAGTCATTCTGGAAATTACTGAGTCTAGATTTTATTTGTGTGCATCTGATTGGTCAAGAGACAAGATAATTTTCTTGGCTGATCAATGACAACTGCAGGCACTGCAAACTTAAATTTTTTTGACAGCAAATTGAAGAATTGCAAAATCCGAAAACAATTATAGTGAGTGGAAATAACCGTTTCCAGGAAGCAAAATGTAAACAACTTGTTAATCGAGTTATACTCACTTTGGTAACCTTAATATCTCCAGCTTTTACTCTGTTATGACTATTGGATGAGACGTTCTTATATCCTCCATCCTGACATATCGCAAAATTTTTGCCAGGGTGATCTTTGGTGATTTTGAAATAACGCTTCTTCTCTGGATCATAATAAAACCCTGGAATTTGTAGTCTTGGTAAAGGAACAATAATGGCTGTATCGCTTTTGTATATACTTCAGTTACTTGAAAATTATATCAAATACGGCTTTTGACAGGATTGTAAAAGGATATCTCGAACACCAGAGTTCCGAGGTTGAATCGAATCAGCTGTTTCCAACGTACAACATTTACTGCTTCCTGAATGTGAAGACCTTGCTTTTTTCTGTTCACTTCTTGTCCAAGCCGGCCCTTTTCGCCTCCGAAATTTATTGAAGTTCATCATTCTAATTTTCAGTTGGAGGGTTTTTGATCTCTCTTCAGATGGAAAAGAGAAGTTTCTCCTACGAAGAGTCATATCTTTTCTTCCGTGTGTTTCTCTCTGTCGACCACATGCATCACGTCTCGGTACGGAAGATTCGTTTTGATCCATTTTTCACTAAACGAAAAGCTCATCCAATATAAATATATGATCCCTCAGACAAAAGGGAAATTTCCCATGCAGTTTAGATCGAAATCGGATCGGAAAAAATGCATTTGCTACACAAAAACCGTTGCTTCGCGTAGTCCCTCCACCATCTTAAAATGTTTCACAACAGTTCTCATAACCCGCCCCAGTCTTCTTCTGTCTCTTCATTTATTGCGTGACATAATAACAAACCTGATTCGCGTGAACGTGAAATTTACAAATACAGTTAAATCTACGAAGTTACACATTTAAGATATTCTCGTCATATCAGGGGAAATTATTATTTGGGGTTATGAAAGGCTTTTATAGGCTAATAAAAAATGTCATTAATGGTTTTCAGCGTACATCACGATCACCACATGCGAGCTTTGTTCAGATAATATAAAACATGACAAAGTTAAATATTGACAAAATTAGAGCTCTATTTTTGCGATTTAGGGCAATCCACGAGAAAGATTTTCCTTCGGCAAGAACTGTCGTTGTTTAGTTTACCAGTAAAACACTTATCGAAGAAGACATTTCTTCAGAAAATGTATTATTCGGTCGGCCGTGACTCGTGTACGTCAGAAATGTAATTAATTTTCATTGCAAATGCCGTAAGGTGATATGCAAACTAATTAGTGGTTTAGCTTTTGGTGAGAAATATTTAACTTCTACGATGAAGGAATCAAATCGTCGATCAATTCTGGACGAAAAACTATTTAATTCAAGACAAAAGAACGTCTGCAGCCGACAGAAAGATCACAAATTGCTGCATTACTACGTTGTATGATAACACAGTAGTCACGCATGATTTCATCGATGAGATTTATTTTCAGACCAAAGACGGATTGAGAGCAAGTTTAGATTTTCACGTTTAACAATTGTGCAAGCAACATCAAAACTTCGATGATCAGTGAACCAGTGTAATGGGAAAATGGCTGAAAATACTATACGACTTGGCCAATACGAACTTCTCAAGTATTCTTTTGGTGCGTTCCTAACTTGTTCTGACGTAGCAACCGACATATTGACAGCAACAACTTATTACCGACAGCGACAGTTTATCTGGTTTGGCTTTTGCTTGGCGTTTGCAGTTTTGCCATCGTTCCTATTAACACTTGCATACCTCTTGCAACGTTGCAAACAAGAGAGAAAGATTGTACTGGTGGGAAAATTTATTTTCTTTGCCAATCCATGCGGATCTGGCTTTCTGAAGATGAAGCTTCTACTCGTTTGTTTACGGAATTATGACGAAGTGCGAAGCGTCCGGGGTTGGCTCGTGGACGACGAAAAACTTCGACAGGATTACAGAGCTGAAAAAGTTTATCACTATGTGGAAGGCCTTTTGGAAAACATGCCGCAAATTATTCTTCAGATTTACGTGACAGTCATTCAAGAGCAAAAAATTTATCCGATACAAATTTTCTCGATTTGTGTTACATTTATAAACCTCGTTTGGGTAATGACCTTGTTCGAGTACTGCAGCTTTGTTAAAGAGGCCACAGTAACACATTTTTTGGCTATGATATTTTACAACGTTTGCCTTATCGCAGCTCGTGGGATGTCAATTGTAGCTTTCCTTGTTGCTTTCAAATGGTTTACCTCAGCTGTCCTGGCTTTCCATGAGTTGATATGCATAACAATTTATGTCTATAGAAATCACAAATACTTCAGCGAGAAAGAAGTTTGGTGGATTGCTTTGCTACTTATGCCATGCTACGTATTCGTTTACCTGGGATTTAAAGTAATGGATCTCAATGCCAAATTGTTCGACATAAAACTTGGCAGATCCGTGATTTCTTCAACTCTCTTTTACTCTTGTTTTACCGGTGAAAACGTTGTGATGATTTTGCTGTTTTACTCATGGTCAAAGACGAACAGTGACTCGCAGTGGAATCCGTGGATTTTTAAAGTTATCACAACTTCTGTAATTGTTTTGTCTGTAGTAGGGACAGTCATACAAATTTTTTTCACGTTTTCATTCTTTCACAAACCAACAAGGGTGACGCCGGATCCTGAGCCAGAAATTCACGGTCTAGAATCTTATCAGCCCATCGATATCCTTGTTAACCAATCGAATCCACAGGTAAAACCGCGTGACTCTAGATATATTCCACAGTTTGTACCAGAATAGTAATAAAAATGAAATGAATCAATTGCACGATCAAAAACACTGCTTACATCTTGAAGAGTCCATAGAAGGGAAAGACATTTAAATATTTATCTATAACTTATGTAGGTTTTTAACGTATATCTAACAGGATTGTTCCTACTTCCCTCCGTTTATCAAAGGGGCTTCTTTTCCCACTTCACCCATGCGCAAGTGTTCTCTCTCATAGTCATTTCTCATTTCTTCATCTTTTCTTTTTACTCTTACGGTCATCTACATCCAGTATTTAGAGACAGACATGGAATTACGCCATGGCAATTTTAGGCGATGGCGAAGCGAATCATTTCGAATTTCAAATTTATCGCCACAAATGAAGAAGGTTTCGATCGGAGGAAGGTACTACAAACCTCAACAAATTCTTCCATTGTGATGATAACGTAGAAATTTACCGAGAAATACGCCTCTGGTCAGTTCCTTGCATTGGCTGCAGCTCAAGCTGTTTGGAGTTCTGTATGCTATTACGGTTGAGTGACAAATGATCCAGAGGTACCTAAGGCACCTCTCCCTATATAGCGCGCCTTCGTGTTTAAGAGTGACCAGCAACAAATTTCTCCTCACAGTATCCCCCCTAAATCAAACATTAAGGATATGAGAATATAGGAAATCATCGCCCATTAAAGAAGCTCGTGCTTTTCAAACAGTGGTAACATAGGAAATGTTTAGAGAACAGATCTGATGTTATGGTGTAAAGAGTTTTAACCTTTTAAAAAAGCTTAAAACTTCGACTTGCGCCTCTGGTCTTCCTCTGGGCTGATGCTTCAAATGAAGGATATCATTGCACTAACCTAGAAGACGCCTCGTAGCCTTGTAGACAAAACTTAAGCCCCTTGTCGTAATTCCAGCCCAGCACTGCTGGGTTCAGTAGGTTTCCTTAAGATTACAGTGACGCTAACAACGAGTGTATTTCACAAAAAAAGATGCTTTAACAAGTATTAAAATGAGTTCTGCCCTGTCATTTTGTCGATGATTATATTACCATCAACCTTTCTCAATACTCAATCAATAGACCTGATGCAAATGCCAAAAGTGGAATGGGGGGAGGGGAGGGAAGGGTTGAAGAGGAAGTAGATTTTCAAGGGTTTAAAGCGACGAACTTCAAAAGTAAAGGGCGTCAAGAGACGAACGAAAAAGGTTCTGGATCAAGAAAAATATAAATTTTTGTTTTGATTACATCATCTTAAACGCTGGTGGCAGCTACAGTAAACAAGTATTGACAAAGATGAAATGTTAATGACGTCATTAAATTCTAGAAGCTGCTAATTATAAGCATACTTTGTTTCTTTTATCTATGACAAACAAACTTTGTGGCATGTGTCTTGCTCTTTTTAAGTCTAAAAAACTTAGAGAGAAGAAACGTAGCACGTAGCTGTTCTTAAGTATGGGTTCTAGGCCATCAAAGGTGCGTAAACCTCCGATCAAAAGCGTAAATCCTTCATCGCGCTCAGATAAGGAAGAATGTGGAGAAGTAAACCGCAATGGAAGCGTTAATCATCAAAATCACGACAGACACCTGACTAGCCAAGACTCCACGACTCCAGAAAGACAAACTGCTCATCCTAAGACCCAACTCAATCAACCGGCTTGTCGAGGTAGGAAGCAATGCAGTATACCTTTTCTTCATCCATTCGAAATCCTTACAGATGACAGTTTAAATTATGCCGTTTTTGCGCTTCTCACTTATCGACCTTATCTTCAGTTATTTAATATGGTGATGGACTGATCCCCTGTTCATGCACTACCCGTAAAGACTGCCCAAATTAACCAACGTTACAAAATCTTGTTTCGAATGAGTTCTATTGAGAGCACTGCTATCTATATTCCTACATTGCTCATGCCTTCGTTATTTTATTGACACGCAGTAGTTTTAGTCAAAAGCCAAAATTAACTTCGACTCAGCGCGGGGAATGGCAATAAATCGTTTCAGCAGTCTAATTCAGAGTTTCAGTTCCTCCGGCATTGCACTTAATACTTGTGTCCACTTCAATGCTATACCGTAGAGCTTCTGCTTAGAGCTTCAACTCGTCACGCTTGTAAACTCGTCGACTCATAATTAAACACGTTTTCTCTTATTTAGAGCAATAACAACGTGACGGTTTAAACAATATGTCGTGTTGTTGTGCTTTGCTTCACCTTGGCATCACATTGCTGCTGTAAACTACATTTATCACTGAATCTAGACGGATGGCTGACTGTGAAGAATCTCTAATGTCCATGACAAACATCTGCGTCAATCGTTATACTGAAGCACAAAACAGTGAATATTATTATCTAATTATCGCCTTAATTCATGACCAATACGAAGGGAAGTAACATATGACTTCGAGCAATTTTTTGTTGGAAGGACTTTAAATGTTTAAAACAATCGCCCCACTCTCGTTGTATTTGTTGGTCCATTTGCGTAATCCAACGGGGTAACCTATGGACTGGGGTCAGTGTTTAGTCCATCACTTTTAAGTACGCATCATACTAATTCAATCTGGGTGTACATGTAAGTCTCTAGTATATTTTCTCCGGTATATCCTTTGTAAGTGTCATAGTCTCCCTAACCAGGTTTTGATTCAGTAGCTTAATTTTCGCCCATGTCTTTGACGTTAATTCTGCTCTTCGTTCTTTGACAAACGTGAGCGTTACAATGTTTTGAAATGTCAATAAAAACGCTATGGAAACAAAATTTTGCCATCGTTGTTAAGTATTTTGAAGAAGCTCTAAGAACGGATGTGTTGGCGGTAAGTTGTGAAATAGACTGAACTGGAAATTGCGTAGCGTTTGCTTAGGGACAAGCATACTTTTTGACGACATAACGAAGCCAACTAATTGTTTCGTAAATTTCAGTCTTCGAGTCTCACTGACTCTCCTTTGAAACAAGGTTTTCTGGTGACGCTCAGTTGAGCTCATTAACGCTGGTTGAAATAATTTAATGACTTCGTCACAATTAGGTTTTTGTGTCAGTTTTAGTTATCGTCTACTAGACAAAGGCCTGACACGTATGTCTCATGGTTTTACAAACTGTGTTTGTTAATGCGACTCAAGGTTAATTACTGTGGGTGGACGATTCATTTTTCGTGGTTCAATTAAACTAGGAAAACTTATCATCAGTCACGAAAACCTCATCGAGTTGTTGCAAATGTGTTCCATACAACATATTACTATTTCTCAACGAACGACTCACGGTAAAATTTCCGCGCAGCCACATGCTACATTATGCATTCAGTTCCTGGATAGAGAAAACAATGACAAAAACAATACATTGCCATTGGGAAAACAGATTTGTTTAGCAATAGTATGGCACTGTGCGTAAATTTTACCCGACTCACTAACACGTTAGTCCGCGACGCGTACATACATGTGCGGAAAACTAATCACGCGCGCAGTTGTTGGGGTGAGGACAATAAATCCACGCTCTGCTGATGATGTCTGAGGCATTTCTGTAGGGTAATCCATGAGAACAAAACACGTTCTAAAATTTAATTGTAGCTTGTATGTCTGTCTTTTCTTATCCCGTTTCCTTCTTTGAAGCCAATTCGAAGCCCTTATGGCGAATTGTACTTTCAAGAAGCATGCAAGATTTTTTCGAAACAGGACAGACTGGTACTTTAGGTTGAAGTGTTCTTTATCAATATCTATAAGTTTCACAAACCATCAGCTTTCATGTACGGACGATAAAATATGGTGTGTGTTTCTATAGGTAATTGATGGATACGAGCGTGCGAGGAGAACTGTAACACATGACTAAGTTTTGACAGTTGCTTGGATTTTTTGTTAGGTGAGAGAAAACCGCATTCTCTCGATGCAAACAACACCCAGACAAATGTTGGATCGCAGAGAGATTTCGGAAAACGGCCCAAGCGAAGATTCGTGCAGGTAAGGCATTTGCAAGCTTAGTTCTTTATCGTTTTCTTAAACCATCTGCAGACGTAGTACTGTGGTAGAAGTAGTAAAACGTTTAGTTTAATTCTGTTTGTTTGTTTTTTTAATTCGACATGGTGTTTTAATAAGGGAGAATGTACAACTACTCTACATCCTTAAATGTTCAGTCATTAAGACTGAAAATCACTTTTCTATTTTAAGGCAGTATTTCTTTTCAATATAAAAGAAAAAGAAAGTTTAAAATATCATATCTTTTCAATATTTTTTGTTTGTTCATTTCCTTTCGCCGTTAATTCTTTCATCAGAAAGAAAACATATTGTGTATCAAGGTTGAGAACAGATTAACAATTGATTTTAAGGACCACTCGAGAAAGAAAGGTATAATTTCAGTTATCTGATTAACCAGAGATGTTTCTCTATTTGACTTACAGGCGACGTATCGTTCATGTCTCAGACTTACAATCAGAGTACTTCGTGGACGTAATATAACTATAGGCGGCTTGGAAGGCATGAGTAAGTGTTTAATAAACATTTGTGCATGTTCAAAGTAATCACCTTTATCAGACGTCTTCTTGGCTCAGTCCCTTGCATTAAAAAGCCTCGGTTGTTTCTGAAATTTTTTCAAGATTCAAGTGGACTTAAAGCAGACAAATTGAGATTAAAAAGGTTAAAAGCTAGGGAAACGATGACAGAAAAGCAGACATTGAAAAGGATAAGTGAAGACGTATTTTTAAACCCTTTAGAGGGTTGGATATGGTAATTAAATGATAAACAGAGACGAACGACGCAATTTTTGCCCAGACTACTGACATTATTAGACGAGAAACCGTTAGGGATCCAGAACTGTGTGTTGTAGGAAAGCAGTACGGTTCCTTAATAATATCTGCCAAAGGCTGCATAATGCATTAAAATAAAACGTTTTCAAATACTTTTCAGTATTTAAATCAACTGTAGTAACTGTAAAAATAAAATTAGTCTGGAAGCAGGCGCATACTGGTACCGCGGCACGAGAGCAATGCCCATAGCTTTCGGGCCAGCGAGGGGTCTGGCATTTTTGTTTCCAGACCTCGTAAAACACTCACGCCGCATTTGCGTTAACCTCGAGAAAGCAGCCAATCGTGTACGCCTATTAATAAGTACATTCAATCGTATAATTCTCTTCAGTTGATACTCCTGATCCCTATGTCAAGTTATTTATACCAACTTCACCAAACGGGAAACGAAGAACCAAGGTTCAGAGAAATACCTCTAATCCGGAATGGGATGAAATGTTCCAGTTTTTTCTTGACCCGGATAAGATGAATTTGTTACGTAAGTAGGCATTGCTCGTATAAAAGGGTCACGATAACAGTCCAAACATTAGAAGCAAGGTCAGCTGAAATATGTGCGTGACTGGCGCGTGATTCGCGCTCGCCAAGGGCTTACCACAATCTGCCAAAAAATGACACACGTACACGCACTCAGAATATACCTGTTTGGCAGGCCAAGTAATAAAAGTGATTGTTCAACTTCGTGGAGATTACTAGTCATAAACCCTGCGCTCAAGTGACCATCCTGGTTGTTTGTCTTTTTTTGTAATATTGGGTAAACTGATGAGAATTGGCTCAGGGATGGTTGGGAAATGGTTACAAAGGTGATATAATTGCACGTTTTGTTTTGTTGGGTTCTTTTTTGAAAAAAAAAATAAGATCCAAAAGTGTTAAGTCTAAAGCAGTTTAAAAAGCTGTAAAACGCAGGAAATATTATTAACCTTTTTTTCCAAAAATCCAGAATTTTTCAATACAATTGTTCTTTTTTCAGAAATAACACTGATGGACTGTGACATATTTCATGACGATTTGGTCGAGAAAGAAATCTTCGAACTCGGAACCTTGAAGGTCGACGAGACTTATGAGAAGACGTTCACGTTTCGGAAGGTAAAACAACTGATTATGAGCCATGGAAACTGGGTTGAGAAACTGGTTAAAGTTTATCGATGAATAAAGGGAGTCAGTTTCGAAAGAAATTGTGGTGCTGCGTCGGTGGGAGAGCATAACAGGGTAATTTAGTGTTATCAACAGAGTTTAAAAGGTAAATTGGCCACCGTAAAGAGTTTAAAGGCTGACGTTTCGAGCGTTAGCCCTTCGTCAGCCTTTAAACTCTTTACGATGGCCAATTTACGTTATAAACTCATTTGATATCACTAAATTACCCTGTTAAGGTTTATCGAGTCCTGATAACGTCACGCAACACTCGTCCCAATTAAGATTTTGTGTTTTTCAGGGCCGTAGTTTGGGGGCATGCCCCCCCCGGAAAATGTTGAAATCTAGAGGCTCAGAAATGCTAAATTTTTTTCTAGGGATTATTTTCTTAATTAGACGTTTCTTCAAAATGAAAAAAAGGCCAAAATCAAGATGAGACAATTGCCTCGTCTTGCCTCATGCTAGCTACGGCCCTGTTTTTAATCGATTTTCAAACCATTTTGCTAAATTAGTCTTAGACTTTGTTTTTCTTTGAAATTTTACTTTATCAGGTGTCTGAAGTTGACGTGGAAATGAGAGTGGAAAATTGGTATGCACTGTTTTTGATTTTGAGTCTCTGTATTAGAACTTTAGTGCGACTGAAAGTGTGTGAAAATTTGAAAACAAACCATTATGTTTCACTCGTGACTTGGGATTTTCTTTTGCTCGAATTTTATTAAACAAGAATTATTTTTCATCCTGTTCCGTATGTTTGTCGTCTTGGGAGCTGATTTTTTTAGTGCAGCTAAGTTTTCCCTTTATTACCAACCGTTCATCCCCATCCCCCTCCCTCCCCATCCTGATTTATAATCCTCTCAGGGGAAATGTTCCCAATTTAGAGGTGAGTCCCGGTAACACGCCTGACGACTGATTGTAAGTCCATTACTTTACAGCACCGCTAGCGAAGATATGCGATACAGCATGGAACTTTGCGAGGAGGAAGAGGAATTTCTTTCGAAAAGAAAACAGTTTGTTTTTGACTCGATGAAAACATTTCTTGGTGAACGTGGACCCAAAACAATTGACGAAGTAAGTAAATTGTAAATCCTTGCAACGTCTTTCGTTTCTTGTATTTTTAGAGAGATGGTTGTTATGTGACAGTTTTAACTTTAGTTTTGGCTCAAAATTTTGTTGACGTGACTTGCATTTTTGAATCAGGTTCCCACGGTCGCTGTTCTGGGGTCTGGGGGCGGGTTTCGTGCCATGGTGTCTCTGAGTGGTGTGTTCTGTGCTTTGAAGGACATGGGTGTGTTGGACTGTGCCATGTATGCAGCAGGACTATCGGGTTCAGCTTGGTTAGTACTTCTAACGTGTTTTGTTTGTACATGCTCCTATCAGATGTCGCTGGAAGCACGAAGAGGCGGACTAGAGGGTGAATTTCGCGCAGAATAAAGGCGCTTGTCAATTAGAAAACATGTGGTTGTGGAAGTGTTGCAAGTGGATGACTTGGCCTAGTTGTTACTTCATCGTTGGAAAATTGATGATATTTTATTTTTATTAAAAATTTTAAATATATACAAAAATATTTTTTAGTTAAATGCAGGCAATTGTTTATTATCCTTCAAATATTTTTTGCTGTGTGCGAGGCAAAATGGAATGGGTAGAAATAGCCTTATGTCAAAACATTTATTGCGCGCGATGTTGACTCTTTGGTTTCCTTTCTTAGGATCATTTAAACAGGCAGTACGTCAGGTGATGTGTTTAGGCAAGAAATTATGGTTTAGGCCATTCTCAAGCGAGCAAAAGAATGAATGGATCTTAGCATTTGATTTTGGTAGTATTCTTAACGCGAATGTTTTGATTTCCAAGGTATCTGTCTACTTTGTACTCTCACCCTGAGTGGCCGTACGTTCATCCAAGAGTGATCCGGAAGACACTGCAAGAAAACGTTAATGATAACTGGATGTGGCTGTTAATAACGCCATCTTGGATGTACAGACATCTAAAGATTATCGTAAAGAAGAAAAGGCAAGGACAGCCAGTCAGCTTTACTGACTTCTTTGGTTATTTGGTCGGCGAAACAATCCTAAAGGATGTAAGTTAGTGAAGCCTTTTCTTTTCTAGCCGGCAGTCTACATAGTTAGTGGTGAAATAAAGCTATTCAGTGGAAATAGTACAGTAGTGGAGAAACTCTCGTTGAAAATTTTCTTTCCAAAAATCCGTTCTATAACAGTTTTTAAGACAACTTCGTGGCTAGGAGGCTTTTCTCTTCAAACGACGTAGTGAAGGGAGAAGGGGGCTGGTTCTCCTTACGTTCTAAAGACGAGGTCGCTCTTTGATATGACGATTAGCAAAAGACAAAAACAAAAACTCGAAAATAAACGAAAGTTCAAACAAAATAAAACAAAGCGAATTCGAACATAGCCTTAATTCACATAACTTTATTTCCCTTTTTATTTCTTTTTTTTCTAACAGAGAGACGACATTCCGAAACTAAGTCAACAACGGAAGAAAATCAAAGATGCCACAGTACCATTTCCACTGTACACCTGTGTGCATGTGAAAAAAGACGTATCTGCCAAAGAATATTGTGGTAGGTTCAACTAGTAGGCATAGTAACCTGAAGGCCTTTATTGCTTCTCACCACGTTCTTTAGGAAGCTTGAGTATGACAACCAGCCGTCTGAAACGGCTGGAGATCGGTGTAGATCGATTGTAGCTGAACGTGGTTTTACGAAGCTCATTCAGTGGCGGTGATGGCCACAAACTGAATGAACGGCGAATTTTCTTTTGCCTACTATGCTTAGGTGGAAAAAGCGACTTAAAAACCGCCTGTCATGATCTGTGATGCCAATAAATCAGTTCGAAAGTCCCTTGATTAGCACCTGCGGCTGGATGTGTGGTTAATCTCTCTATCATTTCACCATGTACTATCAGTAGGTGTGGCATGCTGTTTTTCGCATCCGAAAAAAATCGCACTGTACAATTAAAAAACGGAGCTAAACAGCGAACGCCAACAGGTTTTTGTCAGTGTAAAGACACGACCGAGTCCTCTCCAACTCTTCTGGAACATTCCATGTGCAGGGTTAGATCTCTTTCCCGTGGTTCAGGTGATAAAGTGAAGCTTAATTATGTGCTTAAGATTGGCAAATGACTGAATTGTTTCGCTATTGACAGAATGGCTGGAGTTTTCTCCGTTCGAAATAGGCATAGCAAGGTATGGGACTTATATGAGGACGGAACGCTTTGGTAGCAAGTTTTTTTGTGGTAAACTTGTTGCTCCGTACCCTGAGCCTCCACTTCACTATTTACAAGGTAAGTAAGTGATCTCTTGATTGTCAACCAACGCATGAGGAGGGGGAGGTTGTGGGTGGGTGGGGCTTAGCGTGCTGCGTGGGCCACGACCTTGTTAGAGACAAATATTTTCAAAGGTTTTGGTACGTTGACCTCGTCCAGTTACATCTAGTAAATTCGGACAGAAAATTTAAAATTTGGTGCAAAGAAAATTTTCAATATTTCACTTGTGGACCTTGCTTCGCTGAGGCTCACATCCTACTCAAGACTTTGGATAAAGTGAGACAATTTGCTCAGGAGGCTAAAAAGTGAAGTTTTATATACCCTATTTAAGACTCGAGAACCCGAAAACCACATCCAGTTTAGTGGCTCATGACCCTTTATGCCAAACAAGGAGGGAGAAGGGGGTGGTGGGGGGGTGTTGATGTAAGTTCAAGCTGATTGAACAAACACCTCAACCTGGCCTTCTCATATGATCCCTTTCTGTACGGCCGGATTATTTTCTAAGATCTCACCTTGACACTCCGTCCTTAGTGAAAACTTTGATGTGTCCTCCGAGAATATTTCGTCATGTCTGTGCGCCATTTGTCTTAATCCGCTTTGAGGTTCCCAACGAGCTCGTTTTATTTATCGCATTAAAAATTTTGCTTTGAGTGAACTTTTAAGACTTAACTGCTAAAACAATCAACCATTTACAGTTGTTCTAGTTTCATCATCATTGAAGTCGTCAGTGATTAATATGAATTTTTAATGTGATTGTAGGTTTATGGGGAAGCGCGTTCACCATACTCTTGCAGCGTGTTCTCACTGAAGGAAGAATCCCAGATGACACAATTGCTGATATGAGTAATCGTGGAGATCTCAGAGAGGAATTGAGTATGTGGTTATAAATAGTCTTTTTTCACGTAAAAACCAGTAGAAGTTACCATATTCCTAGCCACTTCAGGACATGGAAACTGGGTCAAGCTTTGACAGTTATATACCATTTCTGCAAATACTTAAGGTTTCAATTTTATATTTTAGGGGAAATGATTGACTGCCAAGATGGACGTGATGACGTAGATAGTGACAGCGATAATGAAGAAGATGATGACGATGATGTGGATGGTGTCATGCTCGAAAACAATAATAGTGATGAAATTAAGGAAAATGATAAAGATGGAAAAGGTTTCTTTGGTCGATTCTTTGAAGTCCTTGTAGACAAACTTGCCGTATTTAGAACGCGAACTGGCCGAGCGGGACTGGTACATAATTTTCTTCGCGGTCTTCAAATTTTAGCGGCACCATTTCTTTCAGGTTTGTGCCTCTGTTAATCAGAATTATTGTAATTTCTTCCATCGGCTTCTTTAGTTTTGTTGAATTGAATGAACAACAGGCCATGAGCAACTCAGGAGAGAGACTGGCGAGTAATGATTACATTGACTGAAATAACACCGCATAAATCATCCACTTGCAATTGAAAACCAAATGATCTTTGGTTGGTTTACAAACTTCCAAACAGGAAAGCGGTAGGGGATAGGTAGGTGCGCAGTTAATCTGATTCTGACATGTATCCGCAAACTTATACGGAATCTTGATTAGCCACAAACGAAAGAGAAACAACTGCAAACTAATGAGGCCGTACGAAAACTGAGGCATGCATGAAGCAATAGGGAAATGGAGCCAGGCTGTAGTTTACAATTTACTTGTAACAAATTGGGAAATCCTTAGTCACTGCCTTTTAACTAATTCTGAGAATTTACGTGTATTCCAGTGGATAGCTTTCTTTTACCTCCCTACTTTAATCTGATTTCTTTAACAGTCTTGTGAATATAGATTTCATACTGTTATCATGTTTTGCAGAAGGAGATGACGAAGATGTTACGGCGGATGCCGCTGACGAGTTAGCTCTCAATTCTCGGCATATTTACTTGGTTGACGGCGGGCTCGTGTTCAACTCCCCATTCCCTCCCCTACTGAGACCACAACGCAAAGTGGATGTTTTCATATCTTTTGACTTCAGTGTACGAAAGAGAGATGTTGAATTTCCTTTTGAGGTATTGTAAAAAGATTGCATCTTAAGATTTGACTACTTAAGATAAACCCAGTTGTAGGCTTTTACCGACTTAGCACAAGCCTGAACAGGTTTTTTTCTGTCATTAACATATTGTTAGACAGTTGGGGTAAGCCAGCTCGAAAAGCACGCGCGTAAGGGAGGCAGCAGGAGTCTGTTCAGAAACGTCATTTCACTCCCTGAGGCTCTGTCTCTTTTCTAACTATTTCAGTTCTAAGTACTCACTCTTAAATACCCTATCGGTAGGCATTTTTGGGCATTCGAAATGAACAACAAAGTACTTGAAAAACATCCGACATTATAGAACTAAAACCTAATTAAAACTCCCTGTTGAGGACTCTGAGCAAGGTCAAGGACAAATGCAAACACGACTAGCGATAACAATTATCGTACGAGAACTAAGCCCTACTACAATGGCCAAGGACACATCACTAAAAGGGTAAAAATAAATGCGTGGTCTTGCACAAGACTCGCACCCTTGTCTGAGTCCAAGATAATCTAACAAACCCCAAAAGCTTAGCCAGAACATTCCTAATTTTAGTAGTTCCCAAATACTTCAAATTCTTAATAGTTCATAGCAATATGATAAAATAATCTTGGCTTGAGGTCAAAAACTCTCCGGTAAAGTTATTCTTCCCGTGTGTCAGAAGAGAAGGGTTTCGTCCTAAAACTTTTGCTAAGGGCTCATATCTTTGGCGATTTGCAATTGCGCGGTCAGATGCCTTATCTGTATGTTACTGAAAGTCTATGCGGTCGAAAGCTATGGTTTTAGATACACTTCAGCCCAGACATAGCTCACCAATACGAATTCCTTATTTGATCTTCATATACCTCAATCTGTTTTATCTGTGTCTCCTTAGGAACTGTTATTGGCAGAAAAATGGGCCAGAGAACACAACATGAAATTTCCTCCCATTACAGCTGAATTGCAGTACAGAAAACACGGCATAAAAGAGTTCTATATATTTCGTGATCCAAACGATCCAACTTGCCCAATTTTAATCCATTTTTTGCTGGCGAATAAAACGTTCAAGGAAGAATCTAGACCAGGTATTACTTGTTTCCTATTATTTTATATCATGAGAGTCAGTTGTTAGATTGTACGTAGATCAAACGATTGTGATGAGTTATGGTATCCAAGTTTTACCAAGTAATGATTTAAAGTATTGGAAAATGATAACAATAACTTCGCATGGTTTATTGCCCCTAAGACGCTAACCCCGAGTCTTGCATGCCCATACCATACCTAAAGGCTGAACTTTATTCAACAAAAGAAAAATCTTAGTACCATTGTGCTCTTTTATTTTTCTAGGGATATTTCGCTGTACAGAAGAAGAAATAGATTACGCTAATTTTTCACTTTTCGAAGGTCGCCATAACCCTTATAGCACGTTCAACTTCCACTATCGGGAAAACGAGTTTAGCCGCCTGGCTGATCTCAATGAATTTAACACATTACTCGGTGAACAAACCATTAAAGACATTCTGGCAGATTGTGTAAAGAGACGGCGTCAACAAACTGTGGAATCATCGTGATTGATAGAACTTTAGACTAATTTTTTTTTGCGATACTGACGCGAGTTTTGCCAAGAATAAAAATGTTGTTGCCTCAACAAAGAGGTGTCTCCATCGGGGAGCATAACAGAGGTTCTGTAGCAACCATGGTGTGAGTTTCCTCCAATGACTAGCACAAAGAGATTATAAGGCAACACTTTATCAGTACGTAGTGCGTAAGCGTAAGCCACAGTTTTTCAAAGGGTTATAGGCAATTCTTATTATTTATGGGTTGAGGCTTAGGCTGTCTTTGCACGAGAAAAGACTGAAATCATGAATACGAGACTGTGCTCTCGCCGCATCTCATCGATCCTGTTAAGCAACAAATATTATGGGTAACTTTGTAAAACATATTATGGTTTCCTCTGGTAGACACACTGCTTTCCTGATGGCTTTATATGATAAATCATATATGTATTATTTATCCAGACATGGAAATATATTTTATTTAATAGACATTTAATATACATCAGATAAATAAAATATATATTTTTTTCAAATGTCAATGTTTTAAGTTTCTTTCTTGAACGACTGTTGATGTACAATTTTCACCCATAGAATCTGTGATAGTCTCAGAAATTCAGGTTTAAATCTGGTATTTTAACTTCAAAACATTGCTGCGCCTGAATAGCAAACTCTTCAATAACGGCCTAATGAACAGTTTGTTAGGATTCAGGTATCATGTCAATCCAACATTGTCCCATATATGAGATTAAGGGAATGGAAGTTTCTATAAGTTTCGTCATAGGAATGAACTCCCCAAGAGGAATCGAGGAATTAAATCCCGGACTGCAAGATCCGGAGGTTCAAGTTTGATTCTATAATTTTTTCTTTTATCCATGTTCATGTGAGAATGAATGACAACTTTCGTTATTCGACGGCCGAGTTCAAAATGTACTTCATCTCTTGTCCCTTTTACATGCTCACGATATATCACACATGTTCAGCGGTTTGCGTTAGGGAAATGCCGAGAATTGAATGCACATGGTAATTTTCAATTATTGCTAAAACTGAAAACAATAATTTCGCACGGAAACTGATGAAAGCATCCTTTTGTTCTGCTCATTTACATTTGTAAAAAATATATTCTAAACTAATTGGACCAAGAGGTCAAACACAGACTATGTTACTGCGCGTCTAATCACGAATGCGTCGGCAGTGTAAGCAGATTATCGCCACGAAGACGACTCTACCAATCAACAAGGATTATCAATTATTTAGTGGCGCGCAGGTGAATGCAGCGATCAGTTCTCGTTCTGTTTTGTTTCATTCATCGGTCAAATAATTCAAAGGAAGAAAACTTCTACGCTGATTTTAAATCAGTGAAATCTCGTGACGATAAAATCATTAAACTGGTCAGGAGCGGGAAGACGGAATTTTAATTATTATCTTAAACAGACCCAAACAATGCATCTTCTGTATGTTATTAAATTTTGTTTACTTAGTTTTATATACGTCAAGTTAATAAAGATGTGTTAGAATAATCAGCGCTATTTCCATGGCAATACATCTTAAGTTGAACTACATGTTAAGCGCATTTGAGCGGGTTGTGACCCGAAATTCACGAAAATTTTCCTCACATTGTGCAAAATTTTTGGATTGAATCAATTTTTTCGTATGGCATGCGAAGAAAATGGTCTTCCTTCAAGAGTTTGGTTCGAAATGATCTCCCGCTTCAAGGGTTAAGAATATTCCATGGAAGACGTTTATTCTGATGCAGTTTATTTCAAGGTACTGCTCAATTTCCTTGAGTCTGTAAACATAAACTAGATTGTATGGATATTCGTCTACTATAAGACGCGTTCCTGAAAATTTTCAGCTGGTTTCTTTGTCAAAAGAATTCAGTCCACGTTCAATTGCGAATCGAACTTAGTCAAAGTTTAACTTTGGCTGCCAAGGAAAAATAAAAGTTTGTGCACATATTAAGACGCTGGCTGTCAAACGATCGTTGAAAACTGCTGCTTTTGTTTTACTTGCCTCGTATGGACTCTAAAGATCTCTCCACCCACCATCAAACAATGATACTATTGAAGGATTTTTTAAGTTACAACACGCATTTTATTTAAAAGCATGATAAGAAAGTTAGTGGTTTTTAATATTCAGGAATATTTCATGTTTAAAATTTATTTACTAATTCAAAACTTGAAACTGTAAACAATTAATTTTATCGCGGTCCTTCGTACATTTTAATGGTGCGTTTTCCTCTGATAAGTCCTGTGGTTTGAAAGCAACATCTGCCTGTGCAGAAAAGCAAATTTTAACACATAGATTGTTACCTGGTTTTGATCGACATTACACCGCGCACTCATAATTTTCTTTCACTGACTCAAACATTCAACAAGGCCATAGAAAATTATTTAAATTTTCATCAAGATAAAAAATAAATGATTGAAAGAAAATAAATTTATGTCACCTCATTTTAGGGCACCGTAGGGCGCGCACAAGCTATACATATCTGATTGACTTGTTAAGTTACATCCCACTGAGGCTAAACTTTAATCGTTGCAGGCATCAACGCGAGCCCTAAGATCCATTGTAGTGGTTCAAAATGCATCCTCCTTCAGAGAGGTTCAATCTTAATAAATTCGCTCCGAGTGTCCGCTCGCGCTTTTGCATAAAAAAGAACTTGCTGCGATCTGTAGTTGTATAGCTATTGATAAATTCCCTTATCTCACTTTGGGACAAATTGCTCATTCTAGATAAAAAGATTAATTTTACCATTTTATTTCTGCGTTGTCCTTAAAATTCCTTGATGATCAGTGTTCCAGCATGTTTATATTTTGGTCTTTCATTTCGCCAGGTAACACTGACGAAAGTAAATGACGACTCACTGACTTTCATTAGCTTTCACCTGTCAGCAAATTTGGAAATCTTTCAAACTGTCATACACGTCTTCTGATTTAACGAAAGTGACAAAAATGTACAAAAATCATATATATCTAAAAAGTGCGAAATTACGTACGTCTGTTACTGTTACTTTAGCTTGTGCTTCATTCCCTTTAATTTTTCTGATTCATTCATTTTAACACTCATCCATATTACAGATTATGAGGCGCCATGCGGAATTATTAAGAAGCACTATTTTAAGAGGTAAATGCACAGGAGACAGCGAGTGAATAACCTGAACCAACTGCATACTACGAAAGGTAAGTTTTATGCTCTTCATATGCTCTTCAACGCGCTCTATATCCTTTATAGGCTTAAGATCGATGACAACCGTATTGCGATCGATCGATATATTGCTGTAATTTAACAATTGGAAACCTCAATGCATATATTTCTGGAAGGAATCATTTTCAGTGCCTTTTCTGATCTATATCCTCCTTAGTCAGTGCTGAGTGTACAGAAACAGCGGAGCCCGGGGCCTGCTTTCCCCCAAAATAGAATAAATTATGTGGAATCCCCAAAGATACTGCAGCTGCTTCCCAGCTCCCTTCCCTCCCCTCCCGTTTGAAGACGAGAGCATTTTCCTTCCTCCCTCCCTCCCTCCCCACACCCCACCCCCCGTGGAATACTTATCGAATACTTATCTTAAACTAGAGGGATGATCCAGCTTTTCATGAAATCCACTATGATGGTTTGGTGTGACAGAAGTTTCGACATTCTGAGCGGATGTCGTCCGAATACGTTATAAGAATAATCGTTGCAAGAATACGTAACATGAATAATCGTTATTCTTGGGTTTAGAGATTTTGCAATCTCTTTTTATTGCTACTTTGTTCTCTTAGGAGTGGATGAGATCTGATCCCTTTTTTCCTTCGACTCAACATGTGAAGAATGTAGATTTTTTTTTTACTTTGGTGTTGATCGATTCTTTTTCAGATAAATTCTCTTCAACCAAACACAGGCAATGACGTCACTACATTCATACAAAAATGGCGGATTTCCCCCGTCCAGTAAGTTATTGACTAAGATGTGGAATTATGAGAACTACAAGAGACACAGGAAAAAGGTAACTATTAGTATTATTATTATTATTATTATTATTATTTCTCACTCTAGCAGTTTTCACTGCACAATACTATAATATGTAAAGAGTCAACATTTTTGTCGACTTTTTTTTTCGATTGCATTAAAATGACTGAGCTGCATAAGTAAGCATGGTAATGCCTTTCGTTGCTAAATGCGCAGTTGATTTAAGTTTTCGTTGACAAGTCTTCTGTGTCAGCGATTTCTTCTAGTTCCAGTTCTTCGTTTCCCTTTAGCTACTGTGTGGAATACACTCCATGCATTTGATATTTAGCCACTTCTGTGAGAGCATAACCGAAACTCGCTTGGCTGGCCTTTTAAAGGTGCTATATACCGACGAGTATATCAATTTAGAGATTCAAATCTTTGAAAGTTACAATTTCAAGCGATTAGAGGTCAAAGATAAACTTAGTTTAAACTTTTTTATTTGAACGAAAGATATTGATTTTTTGATTCGTCTCGAGCGTGGGACGAAAAGAAAATCGTAAATCATCGTGAGAATTCGAACTTCGCTCGGTGCTTCTGATTTTTCGTTCGGATGCTTTACGGACACTCACCGAAACCTCGTTTTTGAGTTAGGCCATAAAATAGGTTTGTATGAGACAAATTTCCTACGCACTGCTTAAATCAGCAATGAACAAAGTTTCGTATGTGAAATTTAATCTTGAAAAACTGTAAAAAATCTTTGGCTTCTATAATCTTTCTTGGTTTCATATTTTTATATGGTGACAGGTATTTAAGGGTTTGTATTTATTTGTTGTGAGAAATAGTGAGCTGTCAAGTTGACTGGAGCGTGAATGGCGATTGTGTTTGGTTGGGAATTTCGCCGCTAGCGTAAAAAATTCCTATTTTGTCAATAAGAAACATTACAATATGAAAATGGTCTTAGCTAAAAATTACTGTCCTCCAGCTGCGGAATTACCAAAAATCGTCTTAACACAGGAAAAAGAAAGGATTTGAATTTGCTTGTTAATGGTCTTTTTTTTTCTTGTTTGGGTGACTTTTTGCTCAATTATCGATGGTAGTCCTGTGCTCACCAATCAAGAAAAATCTAAAGTTGTCTATTATCAGGTTAGTTTTGTAGACGCACTACGCTGACTGATGAGTAAAATCGGCTTAACCAATGATCGCAGTCTGAAGAGGAAAGGATTCTTTAAATGGCAGACTTTGGCACTGTATTATTTTCATTCCTAATTTTGTTCCACATGAATACTCTGAAAGAAAAAAACTTCCTGCTGTCGCTTCTTAACATGCAAATTGAAACTGCAACACTTAGTTACTCTTGCGTTGTCATAGCAAAGCAGCATCTATAAGGTGTAGCGTTCACGCGATAATCCAATTGACAAAGGGAGATAAACAGATCAATCTGTACACGATTTAACATCAAATACAAGTCAGTTGATTATTTTCGTCCGGGAAAATTTACAGGAGAAAGTTTCTCAGATCTGCGCGCGTAACAGCGCCTGATTCGTTTCTGAAATTGCACAACTCTTTCTGGAGGCCATTTTAAATTTAAGGACAAGTGATCAGGTGTGCTTCTCAGCAAAGCCATGCATAGTTGTTTACCTGTGAAGAAGCTGCCCGCTTGCAATAAAACCGTGGAGAGGAGACTTAATGACGAAAGGAAAGAGGAGTATTCCTCAAAGGTATGAGCCAAATGTTGTCAAAAATCCTTATCAAGGTGTTAAACGTTCATTCAGGGCCGGAATCGCTAGAGTTCGCGTGATTTCACGCTCAGTTGGTTCTTTGTATCAATCTGGCTTTATTATATATTAAGATGAAATTTTCTAGAAGTTGGGAAGACTACAATAGTTTCTCTTAGTTTTCCTTCGATTGTTCAGGATGCATGTGGAAGACTAGGCCAGCTTCTTCCTGCTTCGAGAAAACTCGACCAGGAAGGAAGGCAGAGGCTCAAGGGATTTATTTGTTTATGCCCTTAGCTTTTAAGTAACGGCAAATAAAACATCAATTATTTACTGATGTTACGATGATGTAGATTACATATTAGTGTTTATCTATCATCAATGTGAATGTTCCCAATTGTTAATAATCATTTGGTAATTCTGATGTCTAATGCGTAAAACGATATTTTTTCACTTTCGTTTTGATAAAGATCCACCCTTAAAATTGAAGACGTCAAATCAGTCTCGAATCTTTGTGTATCATTTATGTGTTAAATGCTTAAAAAACTCCAATGGACTTTTGATAGATTCATTTACAGTAGCTGCCATAAAATGTACCTTTTATAGAATTTAAGGACAGGACAATTTAACGAAATTATTTTCGATAAAAGAATGATTTTGTCATGAAAAAAAATTTAAATAACTCTCTGAGTACATCAAAATATTTGTACAGAGTTAGCCTAAAAATCGCACACTATAGCTGACAGTACATTTATTTAAACCAACATAAGATCATATTTACCTACGCCGCAGTATAATTCTAATGAACGAACCAAATATACCACTCCAAAAGTTCAAAATCAGCTGCTATTTGAATAAAAAAATGATCAAGTATGATTTGTTTCTGGAAGCAAAATATAACTTCGATACAAATTGCGTGGCTCTCAGTGTTCAAAAAGTCCTATATTGGTCGGTTTTACTTGATCTGATGTTGACTTTGTTTGGAAGGTCACGCTATTTAAATTAATATACTAATAAAGGCTGGATGAAAGCTTGAAATGATTCTTTAGAACAGACATATATCTTAAGGTGTTCGCTTGAAAGTCCCAATATGACTCGAAATTCAGGAAGTAAATGAGGAAATGTGAGCTGAATGAGATATTTTTAGAGTTTGCGTGACTTATGGGCAGCTCTAGGGTGGTTCCCAGTGTTAACCGAGTTGCTATGAACGAAGGTCTCTGTTTGTTCGCTACAAGCAAATCGAACTTCATTTGAATAACACAGGCAATTTTCACACCGTCACTAAAACAACAATAAGGGCTGACAAAAAGATTATGTGCCTGTATAATTTTCTTCTCTTTTCGTGTGAAAACGTCGCTGTCGAACGAAAAAGGCTCATGTACGCTCCGAAGGTATCGAAGTAAGATTTCCCGATAGCTCAGGCGGGTTACAAAACCCAAAGATTCTGTCAACATTCGCACTTAAATTTACGGAGAGTATTTGATTAACGGCGAAGTATAAACATCGATTGGACAAACAGAGCAATGAGTACAGGATTTCGCAGCAATCCTGTCGATCGACGCTTCCGAAGGCGACAGACTGAAGATTATTATCAGCGGGTAAGGTCTGAAAATTTGATATCGACAGAAAAAAACCACAATTTTCTCATGTGACTACTTTAATTCTTATTCATAGTCTGTCTCTATGCCGGCGATTGTAATTGCACTCCATATGTTTGTCATCCGCTTTCACCTGTTTTATTGAAGCGATCGTTTAATCCTCTCAAATATAATTTACCCGCTTAGTATGTTAGTTTGCGGTGTTGTGAGTTTAAATGTTTTGCGGGACAAACATATTCTAGAATAATCGGTATTTCCTAATTTTGATCGTTCTGTCATTTACATAGTAATTGCACATTACCGGTGTTACTTTCGATTGACATTTTATAAGTTTACTGCAGTTTGAACAATAGCCATTTTCTTTAATTGACCGTTAAGTCTTTCATTTAAATTGGTTTCTAAATGTTTCAAGTCTCAAAAGATCCAAAATTAACTCAGAAACAAACTTTCTCGATGAGAAAATTGCTTAACTTAATCGTGTTGATTCTCTTAGCTATCATGCTGTCAGTAATTACATGTAAATCCAATTATTTAGTGATTAAAACTAAATTTAAATTTTCTTTTTTTAGTTGCAAAACGTGAAGCCGTATCTTGAAATTTCGCCACCAAAAGAGTATCAACATCTTCAGCTGTCTGTTAAAAAACTTCAGGTACGTGACATGATGAAACAGCGAAATAAGAAAAAAAGCGTGCTGTGCGTGAGGGCAAAGTTTATGCCTTGGCTTTGCTTAAGAAGAGATACATAAATTTTTTATTTTGAATACTCCAAATTCCGCTTTCTGTGAAGTTCTTGACCTCTTAGTAAATCAGCAAGGTACCTCGCAGATGTTCGGGGTAGGGTTGTAGCATTACAGCCTCCAAACTGTGACCACATCTGAAGAGGGGTTGACCTTCTAGTCCATTTCCTGCTGAACTGGCAACCTTGGACTTGTAGACATTGAATGAGATATTTTATAAATTTTGCAACCTTACTTGTTTTGTTTGTTTGTTTGTTTTTTTTTGGGGGAGTACTGGAGGGAGGGGGATATAAGTGGTGAGATGAGATCTCCTCTCTTTTTTCTTTCCACCCTGCTTCATTATTCATGGTGATACTTGGAAAGAATTGAAAAGTCTCTGCTGAGATTCATATCTAAGGATGGAGAAAAACTCCACAGAACCAAAATTTGGGAAGTTTGCTACTTAGGGATTTAACGCAACTTCTTTTCAGCACTTGTTTAATGAATTATGATGAAAACCAGGTTTCCAAGTCTATTAAATCATGCTGATATTAAAAGAATTTAGTTATAATTGCTATTTATGGCAAATCTCTTAAAATCAATACCTCATTGATGGAAACTTACGCCAGACAAGGGCAGTCCACCGTTGAAAATGGCAGTAGGTTGACATCAAAGTTTCCTTTTCTATTGAATTGCTTTCAGATGCAACAGGAGAGGCAAGCTGCTATAGATCGGCAAAATGAAGTGATTCTCAATCAGCTGATGAAAATCAAGCAATCCCCAGCAAGGGTTGATAACTGGAACAAGGACTGGAGACCTACGTAAGGAAATTTTTTAAATAGTTTATTTCACTTTGGTAACCTTTAAATGGCACTTCATATGACATACCAATAAGTGCATTTTAGAAAATTTTTGATATTGATTAAAAATCAGTCATCTGTATGCATGAATTGCTAGACAAAAAAATACATCTTCACCTTCATCTACATCTTCATCCTTCATCTTCACATAAGTTCTTAACAATTGTTTTGAACTGGTATCATCACCCTTAAACACTTACAGAATATTAAACATTTAAAGACTCAAAGTGATTATTGAAGAATTACTATAATTGATGATCAGCAATTATTATATTTGAGCAGTGCTGAAAATGTTTTTTTGTTGCCATTAATCAGCCATGACAGGTTGAGAAGCTTTAGGGAACGAAAGCAAAGAAAAATAAAACTGGAAAATGAGGTGTGTTGTTTTGGATATTTGTGGTTTAAACATTTTTATTGTAAAAAGAAGAATTTTTATAATATGTCTAACTTACTAAGGTAGGCTAATTGACTTATAACTGCAGCGTGCACACTAACAACTTTGCACACTTTGCTTGCCTATAATAGTAGTATAACCCCTCAACTGAGGTGGCAAATATATGATATAGGATAATGTTGTATCAAACTAAGAATAGGAGAATTTGACCGAGTTCTCAGCATGGTTGTGATGTTTTTCTTTGAATTTTCAGAAACAACAAGAGAGATTGAAAAATATTCAGCCATATTATGACATAGAAAAATGGGTAGGACTCTCTTATATAAAACGTGTAGGAAAATCTGTTTTAGTGACTGTAACTGTCAAATTTTCTTTCCTAGTTCCTCAAAAATTTGTTTGCATATTGAACGAGATTAGTATGTTGATGTTTGATGTGATTTTGTTGGCAGGAAAAGGATTTTAAAAAGCATCAGTATTACTTGACGCTGTTGGATGGAGGAACAAAGGACTATGAAGAGATTGAGGATGAAGACGAGGTAAAGGTTGACGTTTTTAAAAAGAACACTATTTTAGTTATCGCTGAGTTTCTATAAGGGTGTAGTGCTAAGGGGGTTGGTTGCGGTATGTGTTTGCCTCCAAAAACCATTACAGCATTTAATTTCTACCCCCCTTCCCTGCTGGAAAACCCATCTACTACCCCAAATTCGTCACACTCTGAGCTTTCTGACAACTTTTTTTTTACTCAGGAATACGATAGCGACGAAGAAGAAGAAAAGGAAAGACTGCCTCCTGTTGTAAGTTAAACCAACGCGTTTTACAATTTACAGTGAAGTTTCTTTGCATTTTGCACCCGTTGCTCACCAGAAGCAGCTTATATTTTGCTATCTTGAATCGCGTTTTAGGATAGCCCGGATGGCGAGAAAGGGGAGAAAAATGTGAAGAAGAAAAATGAAGAACAAGTAAAACTTCCACCCATCCAGAACAAAAAGAAAGGCAAAGATGGCGGCGGTAAGAAGAAAGAGGATTATCCAGAACATGTCGTGATCATGGACGCAGAAGACATCAACAAAGCAATTGAAGGTAAAAAAAATGTTTTAAAACTCAGTAAACGTTCGAGGCCTTCTCTTAATTTGAGCGTCTTTAATTTGGACAATCAGAAAAAATTGTGTAATGATTGCATGAGAGTTTACGAGCACCCTGATTGGTCAAAAACTTATCGTATATTGCACCGGTAAAACCTTAGAAAATTGGAGTTTATTTTACAGCAACAGACCGCACTTTCTGCCTGTTTACCGGCGAAATAACCATGCAGAATGATAGGAGAACACTAGAAAAGTTTGTAAGATAGGAGCTGGAGGCGAGTGATTTACTAATTTTTCTCGTGACAGAAAGTGCGGTCTGTTGCTTAAATAGACAATCAAAGTTCGTCGCCACAGGCAAAGTGGACCAAAATAAGATACGTCCCATAAAAAATCACTCGTGTTTGCTTGGAAAAATAATTTTTGTCTGTTTCTCTTTCCGTAGAGAACGACAAAGAAAAGATTCTTCAAATCTTGGGGAGAGTATCAGAAAAGAAGAAAATGGATAAACTAAAACAGAAATACAAAGAGCTTTACGATAAGGTAAGAACAAGGAAGATATCTTTATGATTGTGATTCCCCGCAATAAGAAAGAAGACAAAAATTTTAAATTTTCGAAAAATCACAATATTTTTAGATGTTGTCCAGGCGTGAATATTTGAAAGTTTATCTCTTCCATATTTTTAATAAGATAGATGAAAGAATACGCGCGCCGCAAAAAAAAAACTATTGTATGTTGCACTGGTAAACCCATAGCAGCAGTGTTTCATAAAAAGAAATCTTCCCGCGTTGTTTGAACATTCCCAGTATCTCTCGCTCAATCACTTTCTTCTTTTCGTCTTTTCATTATGCGAAAACTGAATAGGATTTGATGGAGGAAGTAAAACCTAAACTGGACGAGGGGCTACAAGAAACTTTAGACTGTCTTGGTTCAGGTGCCGATGAGGACGCTAGAAAACTTTACGAAGCCATGAAGGTTAGTTATTCAAGTTAATGTGAAGATAAGACACTGTGATCCATCCGTGCGCGTGTACGTTCGATGCGAAAATTTCGTTAACTGGTGAAATAACTTTCGAGATATGTACAACGTCTGACTGGCTGCTGCGTGTAGAATTCTGCGTGTAGTGGCATTTAATTTCCATGCGCTCGCAACACGCAATTACGTGACGATGGAAAGTCTCGACTTGACTCCTGTTTTTCTGTTTCTGGGACTGTCATTACGTTTTTGTCATAATATAGTGAACAGCAGTTTTAATCTACTACATTTTTATTCAACTCATCGCGGGTTTCGATAGCATGCCACATGCCAGTCGCTAGCTTTCTCCCTCCTTCTGATAAAGCGCATTTTTATTCCTGGGTTCGGAGGGGCCAAATGATGAGAACGAAGTGTCTTAACGCCCTGATTCGACGTCCAGAGGGATATTGCTTGGCCCACCGCATCTCTGACAATTTTATCGTAACTCTATCTCAAGGCTAGAATCCCTTCGTTGCTCAACATATTTTCAAACTCTCGCTAAAATATTTACATTTTGCAGGGCCTGGGTACCGATGAGGACATATTGATAGAGATTTTATGTACCAGGACAAACGCGGTACGTTTTTGCCCCTTTTTTCATTTAGGTTCGTGGACAGAACTGTGATCCATGAGTTGAAGTCTGTTCTGTCTTCGATAAAATTATCACAGGTGAATTTGACACAGGATTTCATTATGTTTTTTTAACTAATCGATTTGCTACATGCTCTTTCTCTACAGCAATTGAAAGAAATTCGAGCAGCTTACAGCAAAAGTGGGTATTTTTGAGCCATTAAAGATAAAAGCAGTAAAAAGGATAAGGTGTAATATTGGAACTGAGCAAAATGCTTACTTATCGTTGCAGATTATGAACATTCGTTAGAAGAAGACTTGAAAGGTGACACTAGTGGTGACTTGGAAACTTTACTGATGGAACTTAGTAAGGTAACAGAAATGACTCACATAAGAAGTAAAGAATTTAAAGCCACCCAAATTTATATTCGAATTTCGTACTTAAACAGTGAATGTTTGACATTAATAGGGCCAAAGAGATGAATCCACTGAAGTTGACAACAAGATGGCTAAGAAAGATGCAAAGGAAATCTACGAGGTAAAATATATCGCACTCATTTCGCGTGTTTGCTCGTGTTTTTGTTCCTTAGTTCGTGTTCGTCCGTTCACTTGTCTCTTCGATTGCTCACTCGTGTGCTTGTTTATTTATTTGTGGTATTGTATTCAAGGCGGGTACAGCCAGCTGGGGAACGGATGAAGGCAAGTTTATTCGCATTTTCACGCTTAGGAGCCGTCCACAACTCGGCGCAACTTTTCCAGAGTACAAAAAAGTGAGTCAGAGTAACGTAATAATGAAACAGTGTTTATCTTTTCAAAAGGCAAGACTTCAACATGTTGCTTTTGTGTGAGGTTAAGAGGTTGCTGTTGTAAAATGTCAAAATGAGTTTTTCTGCCACAACCATTGTTGTTTTGCATTTGTCATTTGTCGCGGGAAAATAGCCATGTTGTTCGGCAGATATTGTTTATCAAGTGAACACAGAAACAATCGTCTAAACGAATGGGAAATTTTTTGAGGTCGAAATTTTTCGTTGGAGTGGTGCTTGCTGTTCTTGTGAGAAGTCATTACCCAGAGAAACTCGCTCTCTTATTTTCTGCTTTGTTAAAGACTTGACCACTCGTCTCCAGACCTCGCGCGTTACATTCGTGCAACTCGTTAAACAACTAACCCGTGTATTTTACAGTTAACAAGTAAAGATATCGCAGAGTCGATCGACAACGAAATGGACGGGGATCTACAAAAGGCGTTTCTAACGCTTGGTAAGCATTCTCCCCCCTCTTGGCTTTCTTTTTGCAAGTAAAATGCACCACACTGTAATTTGCTTTTTAATTCACCTCACACTTTTTATTACTTGACGATGTTTTTATGTATTTTCTTTCTTTTCCTATGTTTTCCTTTAGATAGTACCCTATCGTCTGATTATAGTGCTGTATTCCCTTTGGTTTAAAGTTTTCCGATACTCAGTCGAAATGCGCCCTAGAAACTTTCACAAACAGTTGCTGAATCTCTTCAATAGTGTCAGGCGTCAGAGAGTTTGGTGTGATGCTCTGTTCACTTAGCTCGCTTTTGAAGAAATAGTTTATTCCGTCGATTTTTTTCAACAGTTAAATGTATCCGTGATCCAACCGGATTTCATTCGGACAAACTTCATGACGCGTTGCAGGACGGCGACACCAAGACTGTGGCCAGAATTATTCTCGGGAAAAATAAGGTGAGTGCAAAAGAAATGCTCTTGGAATTAATTTTGTGTTTTTTGTTGATGCTGTTGTTACTGAAGAGGGATGCATGATTCTGGTTAATTACACTATATTTGCTTGTACCTAAAACTTAACAAATGTGCATAAATGAATTATAAAGTTTTGAAAACATGTTGAATATCGTGAACTACTAAAGAAAAACTGATTCTAGGAGAAATCATAGTTTTAACTGAAAAACTCCTCTACCATTCAATTGCACGTATCCATTACTGACCCAGGCTACAATTTCGGCTTGACACTACTTTAATGGTGAGCTGACTTAGCTGGTCTCTGTTATTGCAGGCGCAGTTGGACGATCTTGTAGCAGCTTATAAGAAAGCTCATAAGGCTGAACTGGCGGATGAGATCGGCAAGAAATGTAGTGGAGATTTGAGAACGCTTCTGCTTGGAAAGCTAGGAAAAGGTAATATGATGGTAATAGTAACGAAATAATGATATGTTTAGTATCTAAGAATAGCGTGGGACGAAAGCCTTCTAAAAAAGTTTTGAAAATTTGAGTTTCCTGCGAGAAATCGAAACCAGTGGACTAAAGAAAGATGTTGAGCGTTTTTGTTATTTAATTTCAGGTGCAGAGAACAAGAAACAACAGAAGGTATGTTGTATTTAAATTGAAAAGTACCTTTAAGTTTGTAAATCAAAAGGCTGATTTTGAAAGAAACTGTCGCCTAAGACTGAGGAGGAATAAACACTCAAAAAGAGTTATAAACTCTACAATTTATCTCCCGGAATTTCGTGTTCAGTGATTCAGAAAAACCACGGAGTAATCTTCTTAACTGAGTAAATTGATATCATAAAAATCAAAGACAAAAAAAAAATTCCTTTATTCAAGTTTCAAATGGGAAAAGCAGTGTAAATTTCTCAACTAGATAAGACGCAAGTGATACAACTCCATAACGTCTTCATTTTCTTAAACAATACATTTCATAGCCGGTGAAACAAGACAAGGCGAAGAAAGAAGCTGTAAAAGAAAAACCTAAAGTTAAACCCACAGCAGTGCAGGACAAGAAAACTGATAAAAATACACGCGTAAGTGTTGGTGATTCCTTCAATAAACCTTATGTAGCCTAGAGATGAGCTGGGGGAATGTGAAAGTGAAACTGGTATATTATATGTTTTAAAGCGAGCTTACTTTAGCATGCAAAATTCGTGGTTTTTGCCGACCCAAATTGAATTTTTGTTCTTATCAGCTACCCAACGACATGGGCGTAGCCGTTGGGGTAAAGGGGGGGGGGGTGGTACCACGTCAAAGTTGTGTCGAAATGTTAGAACAGAGAAAAGAATAGAGTCACATGCATCCCCATTGCTGCCCCCTCCTTGGATACTTCCCCCCCCTCCCGCTCAATGATCTCGTAAATACTATCACAATTTAGAAGCTTTACATCCACTTTACTTTCTACAGCCTGTAGCGAAACAGGACGCTGCCAAAGACAAACCTAAGGGAGCAGCGAGTCAGAACGACAAGAAAACAGACAAAAATGCAGACAAAAATAACGAGAATAAGGAAGCCTCTCTGGAAAAAGATCTCGATGAGTTAAAGAAAGCTATTGATGGTACGTGCGCTTTTAAACGTTTACATTCTGCGTTTCTGAATTGTTCCATTTTATGTTGACTTTACGTGTAAACTGATTTTAATATTGAAAACCAACTGGGACTTTCTCTGCATTATCCTTCATATTTTTCCTTTTCTTGGGTCCTGTAAAGATTACTTTCCTCGACTTTACGACTTCCGACTTCCGACTTGTGAACATGATTTAGTGTGGTTTTCTGAGATAAAAGCCGCTGTAATCTAAGCGGTTATTTTGTTCCCATAATTTGATCGGCTGACAGCTTAATTTGTATATATAAGATGTAGATACTCAAAGTATAAATGAGTCTAAAATTACATATTTTCTTCTGACATCAGCTGGAGATAAAGACAAAGTTGTGGACATCATAGCTAAACACAGCGATGAAAAATCCAAATTACAACAACTGAAGGACAAATTCAAAGAAAAACATGACCAGGTAAAAACATCGGTGTTGTTTAAGGGAATTAATAATCTCTTTTATTTGTTATCAATATGATAAACTAATTTTTACTTTTCCGCACTTTTCGGGATTTTTGCTTTATCGTTACATCTTTCTAGTTGAATATAATGTGTCATTTTCCTTTGATTTTTCACATTCGGTCTATAAATGACGAGTAAATGCCCTTTTGGTGATTGCAGGATTTACTGGAGGCTGTCAAACCGGTTTTGGAAGAAGAACAGTTACAAGACGCTGCAGATTCTTTATTAATGGAGAATGATTCTTATGACGCGAAAATCATGTACCATGCCATGAAGGTGGGAAAGAAACTTTTATACGTGAATGTTAATTGACTTAATCATGAACTCTTGAATCTTGACACAAATTTTTCAATTTACAGAGGTTTATTTTATTGCTGAAGGAAATTATAATAGCGAGTGCAGTTATGATCATTGAAGTCATTACCTCGAACAATCTATTGAATCACTTTACTTTCTTTTATCATCGTCTCGGTAGGGCCTGGGCACCGATGAAGATGTGTTGATCGAGATTCTTTGTTCAAGAAGTAACGCGGTAAGTTCGCATGCGCAGTGTCTGCCTGACCTTAGCTTTTGATCTTTGGGTCAAAAGAGGTGGTAGCCTCCCTCTCTTTTAACCCTTTACACCCTCTTACCAGTATGCACATTCTCCATACTGTACTCTATACATTTCTTAAGGTGCTGTTAAGGAGAATTTGTTTAACAATCAAGAGCTTTTCTTGTTGGTGATCATTTCCTTGTTTCTCGTGACCTTAACGTTAGATTCAGGGGTGATATTGTAAGGAGAAATTAGATGCTCGTCAATCTTAGGAGTCAAAGGGTTAACTTACTTCGCAATTGGCTTTTCTAAAGACAAGTTTGTTCTTTTCTTATCAATACACGCAGTAGGAACGTAAACTTAAATAGTTTTTTTTTCTTCCAATCAGGAATTGGCCAAAATTAGAGAGCAGTACACATCGAGTAAGTAAACAGCTGAGGCGAAGTAACAAAGCGAGTTATTGGGTCAGAGTCAAACATCAGAACAAAACATAAATCATGAAATTTTAAAATCCCTTAAGATTATAATGATCTTAAAACAGAATTGCAACAAACTTCCGGCAAAGGTGGAAAACATTTAATGACCATAAGGACAGATGAATGAAAATAAACAGCCTGTTAATGAAAAATGATTGACTCAATGAATAAACTACCAATATATATGTAGAAATAGATGATTAAAAACAAACAGGTAACCGCCAAAAGGGAGGGAAAAAGTGGACGGTTCAAGTGCTTTTACGTTGAAGCAGCTGCAATGGGCGCGTAAGCTTGTGGCCGGCCAGTGTAAGGAAAACTTAACATTGGTAAGCGACACTAAGCGCGGGAAAAGAGTAAGATGTTCAAACGGTAAACATTTGCAGTCCTCAGGATTTTGATGTACAGAAACCCATTGATTTTTTATTTGCTTGTTCTTATGTTTGTTTATTTTATACAGTCTATGGCCAGTCGCTAGAGAAGGATATCAAAGGGGACACCAGTGGTAACTTTGAAGATCTGTTGGTTGAATTAAGCAAGGTAAGTGAAAACTCGTCTTATCGCTTGACGAATGATTCTGGCTTGGAGGAAATTTTTTGAGTTGGTGTGTCCACCTGATAGTTTGTGCACAGTGGAACTGCCGTTCTTAGCTCCGACCAAGGTCAAAATTAATTTGAGTGAGAGTCAGAACGTGTACAGTGTTAACCACTATTAGGAACAAGATGGAATACTCGCAAATTGTTGGTCAAAATTGTTGTCGGGTAACTCAGGAGGACCTTACATAATTTCTGTACAGCTCTTACCCAGGATTTCCACGGTCAAATAATTCCGGCGGCTTAACCGAGACTTACTCCTATACTGAAACAGACAGACTTTTGAAAAAATGCTGAGGGCTTAAATCTGGAAAAGGGAAGATCAAAGAGTCACACTGAGGCACTCTTGTCTTCTTTCAACTCATTTTTGTACGGTCATCTTTTTTGATCTAGGGTAAACGAGACGAATCCAGCAAAGTTGATAAAAGTTTAGCACAAAAGGATGCAGAGGCAATTATGCAGGTATTCATGTTTTCTGAAGCAATATGTTATCTTAGCTACTATAGTAAATCCAGACGAGAAGGCTCTGGTTGTCATCTTCTCACTCCAAATGAGGGTTTAATGAGAAAACACACATTAGTAAACAAGCTTCATAATATATAGATTTATTGAGCTTATCTCAAGGGCACAACGCCTTGCCCCGGTCAGGACTAGAACCCGGGTCGTCCGACCCGGACCCAGTGAACCACTGGACTACTGAACAAAGCTGAGGCGTTAGTGTGCCCGCGGTACAGTTAACCGCGCATGTCAAAAGTAGCACCTTGTACGGTCGTACGGTCGTACATCCCAATTTTTTCGGCTTGATGGGTTACTACTATTTTGTATAATTGTGGGGCTACGCTCTGCGAGCTCCGCTATAACTGAAAAAGATTGAGCCATTGACAACAAGTTGTTCCATGTTCTGTGTACTTTGCTGTTAGGAATGTAGTTAGCTGACGCTTCAATGCAGCACCGCAAGTGTGTACCGAGCGAAACATGCGAACTGCGCGTCATTACATGCACCTGCGTGTAACAGAACATGCACGTAGGTTCGTGTAAATCAGTCAACTAAAACTCATTAAATGCGTGTACTGAGACAACAGTCCGTGCAGTAAGACAAAAAGTTTGGATTCGTAACTCTTCATAAGATTTCCGACGAGCTCGAGCGAGCCACTGATCTTTGTTGGGTTTCTTGCGAAGTGATAATGTGTGCGTCTCAAACGAGTGCAAAATAGCTCGTCCTTTGGGTAGAAGACAAGATCCATTTTCTTCAATATTTTGATTTGGAATTATCATCACCGTTTTTTCCTTCCTTCTGTATTTTTAAAGGCTAGCTTCCTTGGTACAGATGAGGACAAATTTGTGCAGGTTTTCACGCAAAGAAGTTTCCCTCATCTCAAAGTAGTCTTCCAAGAATATAAAAAGGTAAAGCTGAGACAATTATACTAATTGTGCGGTACGATTAAGTATTCTAAAACCAAAACCAAACATCCAATTACAAGGAAACGATCAGAACTGATAAATAGTAAAAAGAAACAAACTGGCTGAAGCGCTGGAAAATGCTACAGACTAAGTACAGATTGGTTTTGCATTTGATTGGTTGAGAGGATGGCAAGATTTTTTTTTAGACCAATCACAAGGTGAAGCAGAATACAAACCCACAATGCTTTTAACACTCGTTGAACATTGGTCCAAAAAATCAAGAGAAGTGTAAACGTTTGAGGATGGAAGACGTCAAAACTGATTGCACGTGAAAGAATTTTCTAGATGTACAAACCCAGAAATTGCCACTTTGGGCATACTAAAGTTAGTTCCTGAAGTAACCTATGCCATCCATGGGTGACTGATATTGGTTCTTTTTTTAAACTACAGCTAACAAACCAAGAAATGGATGTATGCATCGAGGAGGAAATGAGTCAAGACCTTGAGAAGGGATTCTTAGCCTTAGGTAACATATAAACTACTCGTAAGCAGTTTCAGTGTTGGCTTAACTGGCTTGTAAGTGATAGCTCGAGAGGGGCGTTTTGTTACGATTTGATGAAATGTTTGCTTGCGGGAAATATTAAGGAGGAAGATGATTCCATCTATTTCGTCAAGCTTTGTAGCCAGAGTGTATTTTTACCAGGATCAATATTCTTCTTGTTCTCATGATTCAAGAAAGAAGGAATTATGGGTGTAACTCTTGTCCGTAGGGGGGGAGGGGAAAGGAGGGGTGATTGCAAGTTACGATATGTGATACGAATTCTGCCCAAGTCCTCATTTTCCTCTTTTGTTTCTTTAATAGTTAAATACACTCGTGATCCTTCAGCGTTTTACGCTAACAAAATTCAGAAGTCACTAAAAGAGGGTGAAACAGACACGCCAGGTCGAATTATTCTTACAAGTTCAACGGTAGGGCTTTTACATGATCGAATTAAAATGAGTAACTATATTTTAAGTACAAATGTAATCAGAACCTCGTCGCTAAAAATAGCAAATGTAAATAACCTAAAGAATAGATTAGAATCCGAGCTGGTGGGATGCAAACTTGTTAGCAATTTATTACGTCTGCTACGAAAGAAATTTGTGAGAGGGATTTGGTTAAGGTGGTTACATCGTTGTTGTCACCGAATCCAGATTGCTAGGTTACAATTTTGCAATTCGTCAAACGTAGTTGATTACATGGGAGTGGTGGTAAAAACAGAAGTATGGATACATCCTAACTTAATCATCACACCTTTTAGCCAAGCTACTCAGTGACGAAAAACGTTCCTGCTGGTGGTATCATACTTACACCTTGTTCCGTGTGTTTGTTCGTTTTAGGCTGAATTAGCAGACATCATGGGAAGGTACAAAAAGCTTTCTGGAAATGACCTCTCTAAAGACGCTGAAGGAAAGTTCAGTGGAAATATGAAAAAGTTGATTCTACCCAAACTCAAGAAAGGTAAATATTTATTTTGTTTAATGGCTCATTCTTTCTTTGTTGCCGTCCAACATTAAAATGCTTACATTATTCCTTATATTTTTTTAATAATTTGTTTTCCTTTTATGATAGCTGGCCAGGAACAGAAAGAAAAGGTGAGTAAATTGTAACAGCTGCCTAACTTGTAACCGATAAATTCTCCTGCGCTATTCGCTTCTGGGAAACGTGACTGAATTAAATTCACATACAAACGAGCAAATGAACGAATCAGTTCTAACGAGCACATGACCGAGTAAGCAAACAATGAAACGAGCAGCCGAACGAATTAACACTAGAAAGGAAAACAAGCTTAAGACCGCCCGAATCAGTTCGAGCGAGCACATGACCGAGTAAGCAAGCGAGCTGCCGAACGAATTAACAGTAGACAGGAAAACAAGCTTACGACCGCCCGAGTGAACCAACCGGCTAATCTTTCAATGAAATTTTAGACGTTTATGAGAATCATGACATTGAATGCTCACAAAAAATTCCGTTTAAATTTTTCATCAATGAAGGAAAAAGCTAGCAACAACTCGAAAAAGAAAAAGGAAACGGCTGACGTCGTACAAGTAGGCGGTGGAGGAAGGAAACCTACTGTTAACAGAAAACCCTCCCAGCAAAAGAAAACGCATCAAGACGACAAACAAGAATATGCGGACCTACGCGCAGCGATCGACGGTGGGTATTGTCCTAAATTTCAGGGACACTATCTAGGAGAGGGATGCGGGGTTCTGTGCCAAGCACTCTCTATTGTTCTTTGCTATAGATCTTCTCCTTTCAAGCTATTTAAACTAAATGTATGTTCTTTGTTCTTTTTTAACCTACGAAGCTAACGACAAAAAGAAAATAAAAGAGATTGTATGCCGGAATCTCAAGGATAAGGAACAGGCCAAGAAGCTTGTCGAGGACTACAACGCGAGATATGGAAAGGTAAATTTTGTATTATTCTTTATATCTTGATGTGAATTAATTAGGAAAATCCCCCTCGAGAGGGTTGATAGTGTCCAGAGTTTTGTCTTAAAACTTTTGCAAGCGTTTTAAATAACTTCGATATGTTTTTTGTAATTTTTATCAGGAATTGTTTGAAGCCTTGGATGAGAAAATAGATGAAGACCTTCTGGAAGCTTTAGCTGCCATGTCCTTAAACAAAGCTCAGCACGATGCAAGGACTTTGCACTTGGCTATGAAGGTGGGTCAGGAGTTTCTCAACGAATAACAGCTCGGGATCATTTCTCTTCTTAAATATCATCCTAAGGTCAAAATATAATTTAGATTATTCAATTGTGATTAGATTCCATTACAGAACGAAGAGACTACTAAAATTTTCCTCGATCCCAACATTTGGCTTCTTCGCTAAGGTGGCAGTAACGCCCAACCATTATGTATGGGGGACGGGTTCGAAGTTTCTGACGCCTGAATTCTCTTGAGCTTCTTTGTCAGCCATTTCTTTACTTGTTGAATTTGTGTCTTTCATCTTGAAGTAGCTGTTGTTCTCTTTAACCTTGTGACTTAATCTTGCCATTGACATTTGCGCGCAAGTAACTACCAATCACAAACAGTACGCGTATCTTTTATACGTCGTCGTCAATATCGACGCAACAAAGGAACAATCAGTTAATGCTTACAGGGTCATAATTACCTTTTGTCACACACTGGACGTTGTCGGTTTGTAAACTTGCGGTTTGTTTATTTCTACAAATTTGTACTTGCCTTTAGGGTTTGTTCACCAAGGAGATCGTGCTAATTGAAGTATTCTCAACGCGAACAAATGCGGTAGGTATTTGTCATGTTCCGACCTCTTTTTTCTGTTTGAGATATACACTGGAGTCCAAAGATAATCAGGGTCGTCATCTCATTGGCTTTCTATAGTCTTTGGTACATTTATATAGTAAGTCAATTTAAAATGGTGGGATGTGACCTGGGATTTTTACTGATAGCGTTTTCCTTCGCCCTCTGATCGGTCGAGAAAACTCGCGCCAACCTCAGAACTAAGTTTTTGTTAAACTAAAACCAGAAGTGACTCGGTCATTCACATTTTCCCGCTCTTGAGGCTTTCAACGCTTATGTTTTCTCAATTTTTAATGGGCTTCTCGCGATATGTTCCTTTGTTTTGATTGGCTGTTGTGATGATTTGGTTTGGTTTTTAGCGTTGGATGCTCGAAGGAAACGTTATATAAGCTGGTGTGAATTGCGTTTACCGGACAATCTGCAGTGCACGTGCAGCCCTTTCGGTCACATTCTTAATGGATGCAAGGACAGACTTATAGCCTTTGTGATCTTTTAGAAATATACTTCCCTTGAATACTTTCTCTCTTTTAATCAACAGGAAATCGCCGCAATAAGACAAGCCTACAAGAAAAGTAAGACATGTTTGAGTTTCTTATTTATGATTGAGGTTTTAATTTTTCTAATACCTTCAGCTATCCTCATAACAGTTGAATATAGGAAATGTCATGATTTTACTCTTTGTATCTAACAGTTGGCATTTGTGTTGTTGTCAGAGTACAGGAAGGAGTTGGAACAAGTTATCAAGGATGATACAAGTGGCGACTTCGAAACTCTGCTTGTTGAACTCAGCAAGGTTTGTGTGCTTAAAAATGGCCTCAGTATACCCGACAAACAAACACGGGAATGAATGAGGCAACGAAAGAACGGATCGATTAACGAGCAAACGAACTAATGGATACGAACAACCCTCTCCTTTCATCCATGGCTTACATTATGTTTTTCTTTGTCTCAAACTCTATTTTCATAAGTTAACATATGTAAACACTGAGGTAAATTAAATTTGAATCAAGGAAAAATTAGTTGATTTCGTATTCCCTGCTTTTAGGGTCAACGGGACGAAGGCACTGATGTGAGTGACGACCTGGCACATAAAGACGCAGAATCTTTGTTGGAGGTGAGAATCACTTGGAATCAAAATTTTAAAGAGAGAGCACAATTCCCATTGACTAATTTTTGAAAAAGTCAATAATCTTGAGATGGTTTAGATTACATACTTCTATCGTTGAAAGCGACCTTCCACTTGCATCCTTTTAACTCAGAGATTCACACCGCATCGTTGACCGTCTATCAGTTTTTAATTCTTAATTATTCTCAACAGGCTGGTATAAAGAAATGGGGCACAGACGAAGAAACTTTCATCACAATCTTCACTACACGTAGCTTTCCTCAGTTGAAACTAATGCTTCCAGAATACAAAAAGGTAAGCACTGAATTCAGTGTATGTTTTTGGTCACTGTTGTCTAATTTTTCGTCTGTTTTTCTGTCTAAATGAAGTTTGCTCATTGTCCTTCGACAAGTTTCTTGGCCTCATAGCTAATAAAGCTGACTTAGAAGTTACTAGACAAACATTTCCAGCCAACTTTTTTGTATGGCAACTTGTGGAGGAAAAATTATCATGAAGGAAATTTACTGATGCAAATGATTAAATTAGGGCAGTTGTCCAACAAATTGAAGGGTATAATGGAAATTTTACCAAACCAAGTTTTTCTCGATAACTGCCCTCGACAAGTTTGTTTTTCCAATTGCAAAGTTGACATTTTTCCTTGATAACTGTGCTTGATAACTGCAGCAGGTTGTTTTCCCATGAAAAATCATTTCGTTGGGTTGATAGGATTTTTTTTCCAATAACAAATAAAAAAAGCAGCGATAAAAACTCACCATGCAGTTAAGATTTGAGTTGAAAGTTTGAGATTTGACAGTTGGATTTGATTGTAATCCCCCTAAGGTGCTTTTGGGAAAACAATAGAAAACATGTTTAAATAAAACAAACAAACAAACAAAAACTTGAGTTACATCTATTTGCAGTGGGCCAAGTGTGAAATTGAAGACACAATCGACTCTGAGATGTCAGGTGACCTTCGGGATGGACTGCAGACACTTGTGAAGTGTATCAGAGATCAGAACCAGTTCCTCGCGGACAAGCTGCAAGTTGCACTTCAAGGCAAATCTACAGCAACAGTCGCTCGGATTGTTTTGGGAGAGGTGAATATGTTATTGAGGGTATAACGTTTTCATAGATTGTTTCATTCTCCCCCGGCTTGTCTATTTCATCTTTTAGAAGTTACTTTATAATACAAATAAATCCCGTCTTCTCTTTTATGGGCCAGGCAAGAATGCGTCTAAATAACAGAAAGTTCGAGATTTTCAGGGTGAAATTACAGTGCCAAAAAAAAAAAAAGAAATCATGCAGTTCCCAACCAATCAGAGCACGTTTGTCTCTAATCACTTGTCACTGTACAAAACCAAGAGAAAATAAGGGAGCAGATTTCATTATTTTCCCTTAGCAAAACAGATTTATCTTCGTGAGAGAAAAAAAAAATACAGTTTTACAGTATATTTTTAACCAAACTTCGTGCAATTAAATGTGGACATGAAAAGGGGATATTTAGATCTGTTTGCTAAATCAATTTTCTTTCTTCATCCCAGGGTGCGATTGCTGAGGTAGAGAAAGCATACAACCAAACCTACAAACCAAAGCTTGCAGCTGAGATCGACGCAAAATGTAGCAATGAATTGAAGAAACTTCTATTACCGAATTTAAAAGGTATAAAATAAATTAAAACGAATTTTCAGTTATAAATCAATTGAAACAAATAACTTAAAATTTGGCTTTAATTATGCGTCTTGTTAAAGTCTTATTTTGTCCGATTTATAAATTTATGTACGCATTCTGTTCAGTCCAAAAAGACTTCGATATTTCCTTGAGAATAATAATTTAATATTTAGAACTGCATGAAAATTTTTGGCTTGGCTAGGAGCCCTGGCTTTGAGTGTTTCGTCAGGCGGTAAACAAAAAAGTATGAACTTGGACTTTTTAAATGAACGCACGGCATGCCTGTTTTTATCGACATATTCCACTTTTTGGAAATGACTTTTTAATACTGTAATTACAGAAATATTACCATACGAAGGATCTTTGTGAGGCGTGCAGGTCCTAAAAATCTAAATCGTCCCATATAAGACGCAGTTGTTTATTCCAATGTGTAATCATCTCGTACATAATGACTCGAAGAAGCTTAGGTGTAAGGCACAGTTAAACGTCCTCTCAATGAACACCATGTGGATATGCACGTATTGGCACCTAGAGGGCTCATAGTTCGGAATGTAGGCTTCTTCACGTGGACATTGTAAATTACACGGCACAATTTTTATGTCCCATTTGTAAGCACCTTGTAAAAATGCACCTACTCATTAGATTAACAATTGTGAATTTACTAACGGTTACCCCTTAATGTGTACGTTCTAAAGTAAATGGCGCACTCAGAATGTACTTTATGTAAGCACCTTGTAAAAATGCACTTTGTGACAAAGCACTTGTGTTGCACTTGTTATGTGTAGTAGATCCTGTAAATAATTCGTAAATCACCTTCCCACCTTTTAAGGTCTCCCTCACATCGTAACAACCGTCACGACGAACATTTCGTTCATGCGTATGGCGCTTTGAACTTCGATAACTTTTTCCACCATCCTAAAATCAAGATTTCGGGGAGGGGCATCGTGGCGCTCCCTCCCCTTTTTTTAATATCAATGCTGATGCCCCAAGGGTCGGGGTGCCCGTATTCCTTGTAAAAATACGTTTACCTCCGCCCTCACTCCCGTCCTCTACTTGAGGCTGGACCCGCCCCTGATCTACGGGTTTGTTTCACTAGGGATAAATTTATCATGGGTTTAAAATTCCATTTAAAATGTTTTTGGGTATTTAAATGATGATGACGATTTTAAACAAAGGGAAACAAGTTTTTATCAACTTTAAAATCGAGCCTCAACCCACCCCGCAAAGAGATCTGAATAAAATCGGACCCCATATGGCGCAGAGGTCAGTATAACACATAAAACTTTCGTGAACCCATAACCAAAATTGAGCCCATATGAGGCAGGGGCTGCGAACGTCATGAAAGGTTTAAGAGAAATCCTAAGGAGATATGTTACGCCGTTAAAATTGTGTATCTTTTAAAGCGTTGCTTTTGGTTCGATACGAATATCACTGGAATTGCATACGGGCAGCCAGCTAGTTGTACGTCAATTGAACAAAGCGTATGATGTCCAAAATGGTCTTTTCTTTTTTTCCTCTGTTTTTCTCCTTTTATACAAATTCTTTCCACCTTTTTACACAAAAATATTAGTAAGGCAAACTAATTTTCTTCAGATAGACGAAACTGTTACTTTTCTCTGTACTTCTCTTTCATAACCTTTCCTTAACGTTTCACCCTTCTTTCCTAAGAGCTAATTCTTTCTTGCAGTATATAAACAAATTGGCCGAGCCTCAGTCCAGCAGCTTTTCACGCAAAGTACAGTTTTGCGTTTTCACGGGCCGAGGGGCCATTTGATGACAACCACAGTTTCTCTACCTTTCTTTTTGCGCACCTCGTTCACAGGGGCTCAACTATTGAACAGAAAGTTATCAATGATAGCAAGAATTCTAAGGGGGGAAGGGTACCCTCTCAAATAAAACTCAGCACTCAATTATTAGTCATGTGTATTGGTTATCACAGTTAACTAAATAAACACATGACGAAATAGACGAAAAAACATTGGCAAACCCAAATCGGAGCACGAAGCATAATTAAAAAAACTTTATAAGCTTAAAGTTCCAACGTTGTAAATTAGCCCTCTGTATTAAGCGGACGTGCGCACCAAAATCGATGGTTCAGAACTTCATCAGGCGGAGAACTAGAAGAGAAACTCTAGTGTTTTTTTCATCGATTTACATTGCCATATTGCACTAAATACCTTTTAAACTTTATTTCAGTAACTGAGTTTTATTCCATCCACCCTTAACCGATAGACTTGGAAGTTCGCTAATTAGTCACTTATTAGCTGTATAGTCAATCAACCACATTTGCCCAATTTTCGAAACTTGCATTTTAGCAGACGCCCTGCTCCTGGCAGAAACTTAAAGGAGTGGCGTGGGTTTTAACTTTTCAGACTTCGATCACATATTTTATTCTAAGACTGGTGCGCTCAAGAACAGACAAAGCGCGTGAACTTTCTTCCAAATGATCCACAAATTTAACTTTTGCGAGAAGCCACGTTTTTCCTACAAACTTGAAGAAAAGGTTTTTTTTGTACTTTTCTCACTACTATACCAGCTGATTCTACTCTAGAAGGAGCGAACTGTAAAATGTGACATAAAATCTAGCTGAAATTTCCATACGATATGACTTCTCTTCACTCTTCCGTTACTTTCCTAAAGTCATGCAAGTATTAGACCAGAGTTATCTATAGATTGGAATGTCACTGGAATTTATTACAAAGTGGTTCACGATGTATCTGAAAAAAGGGTGGGACGTAGTTTTCTCAGTGGCTCAGGGATTTTTCTCGGCAAATTCTCCTTCAATTTCACATAGAAAGCCAAGAAAAGTAACATTGACTTGACACTCGCGTGTTCCTCCAAGCTGTCTGCAGTGTGTAAGTCTTGCATATCTCGAAGTGCTGTTTCTCACAAGAGGGCGGCAAGGGCAAAGCAATGAGACAAGATAAGAGCCGGTCATTTTAAGGACTCCATGTATGGTTGAGAATTCAGGTTTACTGTAACTGATCGTAATAATAGATTGTCTGAACCGAGCTTAAGGTTGGAGTGATATTGATCATGAATCGCAAAGGTAGACTCAGTGGCATCAATGTTTTTTTTTTTCTGGCCCTCAAAGTCTTGAATGAGCAATACTGCTAGCCAAACCCGATGAAATGTTGTTTAGAAAATGTTTGATAGAGTAACTTCCCACTTGGGGCCGAAATAATACTTCTACAAGCTATGCATGCTAAATGTCATACCAGCCAGCTAAGAAAATAAATGTGGTACTTTGAATTGTTACCTTTCATTTAACTCTTCATCATCATGATGATGAATTTTTAGAGCGCATTCTCCATATAAATATGCCATGCACTTAATTAACGGTACCCTTTGGGGGACTTAAGCCAGACTGCATTGAGCAGTTTACAACTCAACGCTGTCATACGAACTCAAAACTCGTTTATGCTTTAACTGCTTGAGCTATCTTACTAATCTCACCACACAACCTCACCACACAAATTTCCTAGCTTCTTTTACTCCAAAACGAATAACCTAAAATTTTATCAAATTGTTTTTTGCAGATACAGGACCTGACAAAGAACCAAAAAAGGTAGGACAGAAACTAACCTTTATGTGACTAAGCTTTCACTAAATCGTATTATATCAACTTATATCAAAAGAAATGTCTACAGAATTTTAAAAGAAGTAGAGGGAACTTAGATCCAACCTGTGCATTTTCCATGCAAATTTAAGATTAAGAATCTGAACAATTCATCCCAATGGCAAATCGTTGTAGAAGAAATTTTGATCCACGTAAGGTGATAGACTAAGTTTTCTTCATAGAACGGAAAACCTAGCGGCGAGAAACCCCCTGAAAGCAAACCCACTACTGACAAGAAACCGGAAGTTGAGAGCAAGCCGGAACAAACCGCAGCGGATCAGAATATGGAGACTGCTGAGAAACCGAGAGAAAGTGGCAAAGGGTCTGGTGAACAGGAAGGAGAGAAAAAGGAAGAAAGACCAAAACTGAACATTGAGAAGGTACAAAAATAGATTTTGCAACTATCGCAGACTTTCCTTGACTTATCACAAAATTGTGGCAGAGGAAGTCAGATTTAACTTTTTAAGTTCTAATTAGTTTCCTCCTACCCATGAATTTTTTGATGAAAATAATCGATGAGGGACAATGGATCAGAGTTGCGTCTGATTTTTGCTTTTACTTTTTCTTCCTAATTTAGGCCGAAAACCACGGTACTTTAAAGCCAGCGGATAATTTCAACGCAGCAGAGGACGCCGAGACTTTGAAGAAGGCTATGAAGGGATTTGGTGAGACAATTAATCAAAGAGTGATTTTAGAAAGTCCTCGCAGATCAGTTAGGGAAAGCCACGAAGATGTATCTTTGTTACCTTAAAATCCCTAATTTTTGCGGCGTAATGTCTCCGAGACTCTGCTAGAGATAGTTGTCTCACAGAATTGGATAACCTTCACACTGAAGCCTTCTCAGACATGCGATACGCTTAGCCAAAAATCGTGTATAGCTTGTGACTTCCGACAACTATTTCACTCACCACAGGAAGTGACGAGGATGCCATCATGGCGGTTCTTGCAGCGCGAACAAATCATCAACGGCAGGAGATTGCTGCTAAGTATCAGCAGGAGCACGACAAGGTAATTATTGATGAACATGTAACTTCTAACAAATCATATGAACACTTTGTTAACAAGTGAGATATGAGAATGTATCGACTAACCAGAGGAAAACGTTTCCTTGATTTACAATAAACTTCCGGAGATGTAAAAACTTAAAAACTTACATATCAATCTACAGGAAATTTGAAAGTTTGTGTAAATTTGAAAATTGAGAGTATCTCTTTCTTGTTTAGCGTCCTCTCACCTTTTTTTTATTTATTAATTTTAACCCTTTACAGAACCTTGTTGATGATTTGAAGTCAGAGCTTGGTGGAAAGTTTGAAGATGCTATAGTCGCTCTCATGTCGACGCCACAATTATACGACGCTAACTCACTACATGATGCTATGTCTGTAAGTTGACAAGTAATCAGGGTCTCCATAGTCATGGGACGTTATGCATAGTATCCACCAAATTATTTCAGTATGGAGATATCAAGTGAGATCAGCAAAGTCTTATCTTGGTTATACTTTAAAACAAAAACTGTGCCTTTGGAACCAGGTAAACCTTTCCTCCTACTTTTTAGGGTCTAGGAACAGACGAGGCTGTCCTCATTGAGATTTTATGCTCGCGTAGCTCAGAGGTAAGTATTTTTAATCCTTCTTGTAGCAAAGCGCAAAGCAAAAGACAATTTCATACTAAAATAAAAGTCCAGATATCTCTGCGTTTTCTACTTAAATAATAACCTAACATTTCTAGATCTGGTATTTTCAATCCTGAAATTAAACTAATTTGACTGTTGTATTTTTACAGGAAATCCAAGCGATCAAATCCACTTTTAAAGAAGGTAGCTTATATTCTTTTTGTCATCATATTTTAAATCACTCCTGCGATAGATAATGCCCTCAAATGAACTATTCATGACAAACAATTTATTTATTTTCCCTTCAACAGTTCATGGAAAAGACCTTGCGGAGGAAATCAAAAGTGAAACTAGTGGGGATCTTCAATCCACTCTAACAAAATTGGTGGAGGTAGGATGCGTTCTTCTTTACACTAAAACCTGTTGGTTTCACTTGTTCAACGTTTCCCTTTTATTCTCAACTTTCTCTATAGCTCTGTGCCTTACTTCACCATTGGAGTTCAGTTTTCTAGCTCCCCTTTCCATTATTTTCTTCTTTTGTTAAGAGCAATTTGTCTCGGACCCAAACGAAAAAGACACTGAAAAGAACCCAGCTATCATAAAGAGTGTTTAAAATGAAGTGCCTCCCCAATTGTCGCATTCTATCTGACAAGGAGAAACACGTGTTCGATAGAGTGATTGTTGTTCTCTAAATTTAATTCAAATAAATCTTGTTGTGATCTCTGAGTACAGTGTTCAACTAAAATGTCACTAATTAGGATTTTAATTGATCCCTTTTTGAAGGAGAATCCGTGACAAGCTTATTACTAGGTTGAACGCTCATCAATTAAATTACTATTTTAAAAAAAAAAAAGTTAAACGCACGTTTTTCGCTTCTTCTTAAGGGTTTGCTCAAACCTTCTGACACTTAACCAATCCTTACTTTCAAAATATATTACAGATCTAACCCTTGAACACTACTTAACTTTTCATAGGGAAAGCGAAGTACTTCAGAAAAGGTGGATGAAGATCTTGCTTATGAAGATGCTACGAAACTTTTGGAGGTTAGTATAAAGCAACCTTGGTGTATAGGATCAACTCAGTGGACAATCAGCAGGTTATTGGTTACTGATCTTTTAAGTTCCTACACGAATTTTCAGGGTTTTGTTATATCTCTTGTCTTTACCCTTATCGTATACAAGAACATTAGTCCAAATCAAATGTAACAATAATACACTGTAAAAATGTAAACTTGGATAAAAAGCTTTTTCTTAATACATTTAGGCTGGTGAAGACAAGTGGGGGACACATGAGTCTGTGTTTGTTAAAATTCTTACAACAAGAAGCACCACGCAGCTGCAAGCAACGTTTGAAGCGTACAAACATGTGAGTTAAACCACTTCAATGCGCTTCCTCTTTGTATAGTTTTCTGAAGTAAAGCTACATTAGTTAGAAAATGAGTAGAATGTGAAACTGGGTTGCATAGTTCGATGAAAATATGGCTAGGGTGTTTTCAATTGCCACTCAACGTTCTCAACGTTCAACGTTAAACGACGTTAAATTCAGTCTTAAATTTTGCGTCCTCGTTGAAGATTTGAACCGCACAAACCCGTTTTAATAATTACGTGAAACTCTGATGCGTGGATAATCTACCAAAAACAATTAGGGTAAAAAAAAACCACAAACTTCATCTGTAACAACCTTTTTGCACACAGCTCTCAGCTGATAAACCCTGTCGAACTGAAAGCCTTCTGCTCGGCCAACAAAATTATAATGCGGTCAACGATGAAACCATGGTGATGATAGCACGGGTGCGGGATAAGGGGCTCCCCCCATTAAATGACATATCGGAAAGTCGAAGAAGTTGCGGTCCGCTCTTGCGGATATCACAAAGCTACTGATTTTTTATATTCAAGTACAAACAATGATGCAACTCAGTCACCGTTTCTCTTGCTGGTAATTTCTACTCAATGTTATGACATAATTAGTTTTAAAGTTAGACAACTACTTGTTACCAGCTGGCGTGTTGATACTTAACATCATCAGATTTCAAGTGGCCAAGGGATGTTGTTGACTTTTTTTTTTCTCTTTGACATCAATCCCTCAGGTTGCCAAGTGTGATATCATGGATTCTGTGAACTCTGAGCTCACTGGAGATTTCCACGATACCGTTGAAGCGATAGGTACAGCCAAAAAAATTGCTTTAAATATCTCTAAAACTCTACTTAACCTCCTTATCCAATAACCCCTAGGTTACCTGTGCCTTTTAGGATCTCCTCCCGAAATGGTTTTCAAACAGTGTTTATCTTTGCGTGAACTCTAATAATCCAAAAAATATTAAATCCACGGTAAGAACATTTAATTCTCTCTCGATTGTGTAGTGTGATCTTCTTGGTGAGAGTAATCCAGAGAGGGAACATTGTCACTGACCGCGACTGAAGTTTTGACAACCCGACCGAAAGTCATGATTGGAGTCAATTTGATACTGATAATGACTTCTGTTCAGCTTTTCAATCACTGTCACTAACAACATTACGTGGATGATGATTGACAATTAAACAACAAGATCAACTGTTTCTTCCGGGTTCAAACCTTTCACGGCATTTTATTTTTCTTTTTTCTAGTTCGATGTATCCGAAATCCTCCGCTGTTTTTCGCTGAAACGTTGGAAAAAGCAATCAGTGGCATAGGATCTGACAGCAAAACAGTCACTCGTGTTGTGGTCACAAGATCAGAGGTGATTTGTTATGAAACTATAATTCCCCCTGCAATATGTTTCTTTGAACATTAGAGGAGACAATTTAGTGTGTGATCAGGGTAACGCCTTCCAGTTGACTAAATTATCTGTTCTCATGACCCCTTTGCAGAAAACGCTGAGATTACTTTGTCTGACCACCTAAAAACCTTTAACCCCTAAAACACTCCAACATCAGCATGGATTTTCTCCGTACTGTTCTTGGCAAATTTTCTCTGGAAATAACAGGGTGAATTTAATTAAAAATCAAGAGCTTATGGGCATTCGTTTCCTTTGTTCGTATGAGACTAATGCTTCATTCATTAGTGATAGTGTTGTGCCAAATTAGATACTAATCACCCTCAGGCTTAACTTCAACCAAGTCTAAATTCCTTTTCTTATTTATAAAACTGTAATTTGTGGTAAATTCTATTTGACTTTCCAACAGACTTGGCTTACTGTTACTATTATTGCTTACTTTACTCCCCCCTAGTTTCCGCGGCCCTTATATTTATGCTCTTTCATCATCATCATCATTATTGTTAATAAGATTCGCTTTTTAGTTTGTTCTTTTTTGGTTAATTTTTTGTTTGCTTGTTTGTGTAGGTTGATCTTGCTGAGGTCAAAACAGAATATCAAAAGAAGACAGGACAGACGTTAAGGACTGCGATAGAGAACGAATTGAAAGGAGACCTTGAAAAACTATTGTTACAGATCGTCGGTGATTAGCAATCGACAAAAGGAAAATAACCAACTGTTGCTTTTGAGTAACCGTTAAAAACAATTGTAAATTTACACCATATTGAATTGTGTCAAGAATGGACTTTGACAATCCTGTGCACATATTAAAGAATTTTTCACAATGGACAGTTTCGAGGATGTTTAGAGTTGATTGCAAGGGAAATTATTCACTTCTTTTAGAAAAAAAATCAGGAAGGCAGTCTTACATCAAACTTTGAGAAAACACTCATCAAGTTGGGCAGACTAAGGAATTTTATTTAATAGTTTGTTAACACAAAGTTGAAAGAATTCTATTTATCCATACATGCACTTTGCATATTTAGAAACCCTGAATTTTATGAAGGATCTTTTATTGTTCTTACATAAACAAAACCAAAGCTAAGTACGTTTAGTTATAGAAATCATCACAGTCAATACAATTGTAACTTAGGGTCTTGATATTAGCAGGCAAGTCAAGAATTTAAAGAAAGCGACAAAACTTTTGAGTCTGTAAAACATGTTTCGATCATCTTCAGTTAACTACTGTACAAAGCGTTGAAAGTTGAATTATATAGTAAGTAGAACAATGCTAATTATGATAAATAGTGATAACAAGAAAAGAGGTAAAGCATGAAAGTGTGAGAATTAAAAGGATAGTTTTAGATTTACATGGTGTAATTTTAACTTAAGTTGTAGTTAAAATTCCATAGTACTTACTCTCATTATTTAAATTTAGTACAATAGAAGTTATATTTTACTTTACAGCCGAAAGTTTTAGAAAATATATAACGTTATGCCAGCTTTGATGTGTTCCTTGCCTTCTCTCTTTTTCTTTTCAACTTTGGCCTATTATATATGATGTAACATACAACCACACAAAATCTTCCTGACAACCTTTGCACTTTTTCAGATTTGAGTTTTCTTTTCGAATCGCCCTGGATCGTTCATCACAATTAACGGTTCAATTTTGGGGAATGTTTGCCCCTTGGGGGACTGGTAATAGTCAAGTGTAATAGCAGAAAAGTTTCTGAGGAGAGATGCATATCCCTCCCCACCCCACCCACGTATAGACCTATTGCAGCCCTTCAAGCCCATGGTAAAGTGATTTGTTTGGACTCCTTCGAACAATCTCGTATGGCTGGGAACAGCTTCACTCTGTTTGAATTCTCATTCGCTTTTACGTCTTGTTTGAGGATACTTTGCAACTGCTCTACTGAAATTTGCCTCGTGTGCATCAGTTGATTATCTTCTTCGTTGTTCCCAATCACCGCAAAATTCCCCGTCACAGTTCCATTTTTCGAGTCAATACAACAACCAGCCGTCCACAAAGATACTGGAATGGCTATCGGAGGACTATCAGGAATGAGATAATTATCTTTGATATTAGCCAACCAAGGTTGTCTCTTAGGATCTCTCGGCCAAATCGGCCAGTCAGGTTCGGAATGAACGAATGACGTGCCGGTTAGAAGATACAGCTTGCCACGATTCGGTATGCAGTCATCTCTGGCATAAGATCGAATCTTGTTTTCAAACTCAAACCACTCTCCCATATTAAAATCTGGCCGTTGTGGAACAGCGTTTGTGTAGGTGAAAGTCGATAGCCAACCCTCGTCACCTTTTCCGGTGTTTGATAAAGTAAGTGCTGGTACCAATTGACCTCTAATGTATGGTAAGCTCGGATATATTGCATCACTTCCCTGATTTTCAATGCCTATTTTTTTAAGGTAAAAGAAGGTGTTAAACATTTGTGACTATAGTGTGAGATTAGAAAGAAGAGACCCAAGTCTCTCGTGACGATTCTACCTTCACCCTTCATTGTCGGTTGCTTTACCCAACGAACAAGAAACTAAACTAGCGGGCTATTTCTTTAATTGCACGCAGCTCTCTTGTGAGGACCAATTCGTGGTTTGTTTTGTATTTGTCATCAAGATGTGTGGAGGAGAGCAAGGACATGGATTAAAAGGTTGAGCCCCTCGGTATGATTCGAACCTCAGATACTTCTGATTTTGCGACAGGATTCCAACATTTTGAAAATTACTGAAAAAAAAGCTATTTCAGCTCATGATTTTAAGCAAATACCTGGTGTTTTAGCCCACGAAGCTGGGTGAGCTCGATTCTGGAAATCAACATCTTTGGCTGTTAAGGTGTAAGCTGAAAATACGGCCAGTCCCAAACTTTCGTCAAACATTGTTCCATATTGGCTCTTGCGTTTTTCCTCTGGCCTCTGACAGATATATCTGATATTGGGATTGTGCGAATTGCTTCTTCGCAAACCTTCCGGTGGTTTCATACCTACGAAGAATCTTCGGTAGCAAATTCGGTAAGGCAAATAGGAGGCTTGTTTTCGAGGGTACCCAGGATAACATTTCTTGGCGTGATTTCCTGCGTTGTGTCTCATTTTCAGAGAACGGCAATCACCTGATCGATAAACAAGAACGATACAAATAACTGAGGCGGTTAATTCTCAACGATAAATATAGTTTTGTTGTATATAACATAGTATAATTACGGCGAAGGTTGCTCGTGTTCTCTCAAATCTAAGTGTGGTCAAGTGGGCATGTAAAATAGCAATGGGCTTATCCGTCAGTATGAAACACGATGGCTCTAGATCCTTGACCAACCTAAGCGCGTGTAGGAAACCCTGTTAGCTTTAATTTCTTACGAACTAGCCCTGCAAGAAAAATAAAGAATCACGCTTTCATGGCACTCGTTACAAAGTGAAGCAAATGCTTTCTTACCTTTGTTTTGACTGCTATGCAAACTCCTTGCCAAAACAGAGGGCGTTATCAGCATGAGTGTGAACAGAGAGGAGAAGGACTTGACAAAAACAGCTCTCATCTTGAATCAGAGCGATTGAAGGAGAAGTTTTTCCCTACTATGGATTTACTTGTGCCATGACGCAGCTAATTGGATGGTTCGTCAAACTCGTTAATAACCACCCTCGATGATTGTCAGTTATTCTAAACATCCAGTGCCAATGTCAAGTTAATGGAAGAAACAATATGATCACCACACAACAGGTAAACAGTGTTTAACTTTACTTAACAAGACTCAAAACAAACACCAACAATCGAAGGAGCTTTCTTTATATCTATTTGGTAAATCAAATGCAGTTAAAGTCCTCTATAAACAAACACGAATCTAATTAAATGAAGCTGAAACCAACCAATTTTGAAAATATCACTTTTGAGAAAGAGCATAATTTGGAAAAAAGTTGTAGAGGAAAAAAATAATCTTTACTTGCGGTTTTTTTCTCCTTAACAGTTAAAAGGTGGGCTATTCATTGGTCCAGCGGACTTCGGAAAACCCTTAAACAAATAGTTGGTACCCTTTTAAATTTTTTTCAGTGTGTTCAAATTTAGTTCCGGTGTTTATCTTTGTCATTATACATTAAGACACTAAGTTTTTAAATTTCTAGAAGATTGGTTTACTGGGAGAGCTGTTTACCTGATTTTCTTGATCCTCTGGGCGGGTTTGCAAATATGACTTTTCGGCGAAGTTTTGGTTAGGAAAAGTGATTCGAGGAAACACAAGATCTTCTTTTAGAAGGAGATATTCATAAAACGTTGTTAAAGATCTTTTTATGACCCTCTAGATTTGAGTGTAGCACGATGCATATAAGGGGCGATGGGCGGGGAGAACTCAACAGGGAATAGCTCTATTACGCTGAGGGGTGGGGGGAGGCCTTAAAATATATGGGGGGAAGAGCGGGGAGAACTCGACGGGGAATAGCTCTATTATCCTGAGGGGTGGGGGGCCCCCTTAAAAATGTGGTTTCTATGTTAGACCATGGTTTTGCAATATCTAGTGGCTGCCACTACCTCCACTCTCTCCTTAATCCATTTTTAAATGTTTTGACATTTTTGCTCTGAGAGTTTGCTGAGGAAAAAAAAACAAAGGAAAAAATATCTGGTGGACAACAAACCAGTTCTGAACTTTGATGATACCATTTCTAAGATGTCGCAAAACTGCTCAAGGATGGGCGCTGGATTCAAGTTTGACCGTGTCCTAATCATGTCCACAAATTGAGGGACGCTTTGCACAGCTGCCATTAAAGCGAAAAAAAATAAGGTTTTTTAATTTGATCAGCTGTTATATGAACTCGTGGTAGAATCAGTGACCAATTTTTCAGAGTATGCTGCAGTTTCTAGGAAGTGTGACGAATTTTCGTGGTAGTTACACACATATTTTTTGAAACAAAAATCTTTTCTGCCATGTCAGAATGCATGTATATTCGGCGCCAATTTTCTATGCCAGTCTCATGCGCTTTCCGTAAATCTGCTTTCATTTCCTGAAAGTGTACATATGTTGTTTATAAATTGTCAATCTGTACAAATTACTCACAATTTCAAAATCACCTCAGACGGATAATTCTCCTCTCAAATCTCTTTGTTTACCATAAAAAAAATATGAGATCATACAGATTGCATAGATTTTAGGAATAACCGTATTTATTTCATGTAGACAACACAACAATTTATAGATTACTTCTCAAAGAGCCGGAAGTATACGGCATAGTTTTCTGGCATCTCTAATTACAAACTCAAAAATTTGCAAGACAATGTAGGTTTGTGAAATGTGTCTATGAAATACTCTGGTTTCTAAAGATACAAGGAATTCAATGGATTAGCAAGGACAGTGGCATTGTCTGAGGATTGTTTAATCTGAGGAGTTAGGTATTCCGCTAATTAAATTACGAAAGGTGATACAGCAATTCGAGTTTTCCATTCGCAGCTATGTTGAGGGCAGACGTTGCTGTTTATATTGCGTTCGGGTGATAAACAATTGCAACGCAAGAAGTTTGTCGGCGAAGGTATTTCCGTACTTTCAGGATCTACTTCAGGAAACCATTACAACTTTGCGTGCATTCTCAACTCAGTTGCCAACGGACGTGACAAAGATGGCACAGTCGGGAAACATTTTGGAAAAGAAATGGCAGCAGATGACTTACGAAAAACACCGACAGAGAGTAAGAACATTATCAATTCATCTTTTACTTGAGGGAGAAACAATTAAAGGAATCAAAGTAAAGAAATCCTGTCGGTGTTGTAATTTCGTGTGTATGTTTTGGTGTTTGTGTCAAGTAACAACAAGCAAACCTTACAAAGTCAAGAGTTGTTATCTACTTTAGAAAAGTGAATGAGTGTGAGGTTTGTCCTCAGGAAATAAGAGAGCTTTATTTAAGGTACTGCAGGTTATGCATGGATCTTTGAAAATTGGCTTTTGTTATCCCTTCATTACCTTGTTTACTTTGTTAATGCAGTTGTTATTGTGGTTTACCATGAGGTGTTTTTATAGAACTCCAATCCTCGAAAACACGTCTTCCCCTTGAAAATTGTTGTTAAGGAATTGTTTCTACAAAAGTTCTACTTGACATGATTACCAAATATTTGAGAAATTTCTCAAAACAGAGGAATCTACATTAGATTTTGAATCTCTAGACTTACGCAATAAGCGCGCGCTTGGTACAAACAGAAACCTTCACGCATGTCGACAAGCACTAAAAGGAGCTTAAAGGACTTTGATTGCATAAATAATTTGCCAGTCAAAGCGTCGTTCAGTATTTTCATTGTTGTTGTATTTTTAAAGTGCTTTTTCTCCTGCAGCTTAAAGAGACAAAATCTACGTTAAAAGGAGAAACCACGCTACAGTTTAACGACGAAGAAGCCCAGATGCAATTGAGATTCAGGCGGATTATGGTGAGTTTTCCTAATTTTCTATCGAATGTTGAAAATAACTCGGGACTATATTGATTTTGTCTCTCTTCGCTCTGTGATTGTTCCAAAAAAGTCACGCTACACTCCCAAATAATCATCACAATCTGATGACTGACTTAGAATAGATCGCGATCTAGTTACTAACGTTTTTCCGCACTTCGTGAAGTTTTCTTGTGTTTACTTTGAGATCTCATTGGTTGCATGTCAATTCTTTCTCTTTTCCTGACTGCCAACCTTGTTAGCGTCAGCTACAGTGGACATAAAAATGAGAATTTTAATACTTACACATCTTCCTTTTGTCGGTACTAATTTAACATGGTGACTGTTCAATAGAGAGGATTTCATATTTTGGAAGTCCAAAGGAAGACCATTAAACAGAGATCATTTTTAAAAGTATTTTAGAGCAACTGCACTCTCTGGCTGTTTTCGTCAGTCACTGATGAATGTTAATTTTATGCGGTCCTCATTTGATCATTACAGGCCGAAGAGCAACGACAGGCTGTAATCGAAAAACAAAACCACAAGCTGCTGCAAAGAATTGTGGATATTATGACATCGAAAAAGAAGAGATTTCCCGTGACAAGTACCAACGAGACAAAGAGAAAGGTATAACGAATTGTCTCGAGGGTCATCCCTTGAGGAAAAGAGATTAAAGAAGACCCAATTGGCAGACTTGAATATTTATTGCTACCTCACACTTACAAGATTTCACCAAGCCAATTCTTCAAACCATATCCAAAAACCAAGAATAAGAAAATCATCAGCAAATTGCTAAATTAGAAGGCGTCTCACATAGCTCACGTTTGGATTGTATAAAAAATATCTGCCATCTATCTACCGATGAGGCCTTCTCTAAAAATCAGATCACTGCGAATACAATAGTTCAGTATTGGGATGCTTTTGCGGACCTATGTTATTTAGGCCATTCCATTATTACTTTTTACTCGTAAACGGAATTGCTCCATGGCTCGAATTTTTGTTAAGTATTTTGTAGCGAACGAGGGCGATTTGTTTTTATCTCATGGGTCATTTATTTGTTGTTTTTCAGGTCAGCGGACCAGTTCAAGCGGCAGACAGCTCTACAGGAAAACCCAGACAAAGTACTGTTAAACTACCAGCAATTAACGGTTCTTCATCAGCGAGTGGCTCAAAGTCCTAACCCTCCAGAACACCAAGAAACTGTGGGAATACCCGTTTGAAAACTAATTATTAGAAACATTCATAAAGAATAGAATAACAGCGTACTAACATTTTTGCAATCTTCTACCCTGTTATCCTTGTGTGGCCGTTTTTTTGCAGTGTAAGCATTTTACTACCGGGAAATTTGAGATTTAGCTTGCGCCGCCTCAGTTCCGTGATCTACGCGGAACATCGTTCAGTGAGCCAACCGGCCTCGAGATGAACAAGGTGGCGCACCGATTTAAGCTCTTAGCGATTCCAACAATTTTTTAAATTCCTCGTTTCGTATGTCGAACAGCGTATTAGGATTCAACTCACACATAGACTAGGAAGAGATTTATTATGTTTGATTGGTGAATGATTAATGAACAGCGCCTTACGATAGCAATTGCCTATCAATCGCTTGTCCACATGGTACAAACATTTTATTCCGAACGTGGACAAAACAAATACAACGATACGTTTAATCCTAACGTGAAATAATCATTTCTCGATGAATGAGATTTCTGATTGAACATATACAAAGGAGAATACAGTAAAATTAGAATTTACAGAACAGGATTGTCATGCGGGAAATTTTCTAGTGACGTAATACAATTGGAAAAAGCGAGGACGCTTACGAAAGAGCACAGCAGAGCTGAATTTTCAATAAGTTGTCTCACTTGTAATTCGCAGTGTATTTGTTCCCAAGTAGTGATGAACTTACCCACTTCCCCCTGGGGCCATTCTTGCAGTATAACTCTGCACCCCAAATTTGACCACTTTCATTGGCTGAACTGCTGTCTAACTCGCATCCAATACCCCAAGCAAAACCCTTAGAAATTTCTCAAAGCAAGATAGCGAGAATATCCCGTCCACTTATGTAAAAAAGGTTTCCTCGCTGCGAGCTAGAGACAAAATGTGTCTGCAAGCCGGCGTTTCCCCGCGCTCCACATGGCCAGTGACACCCAAAGTCGAATCAGTGGCATTCGCCTGCTCTTCCACCAATTGCATTTTTCGTTTGGGTTACGTTTTCCCTCGTATTGACTCACAAGTGCGATTAGGAATGCGCGATGTCTTGTAGGCGTGCGCGTCTCTCGACACCTGGGAGGTCAAGTCAGCAGTCAGCGGTCTTATAACATAGAGTTCCCAGTTTCCCACTCCTCTGGTCGCCATTTTGTGAGATCCCTCATTTTCTTCATGTCGAATCGCGTGTTATAGTAACTCATTAAACATTCTTCTTGAGAATGAGTTTTCGAAGTCATTCAGATAATGGACCAGGTTTTGTGGGCATTAAATTTTGCCAAGAATGGTAAGACTGTGTTTTTGCGCTGGGTATTTGGTAAATTACCTACAAATCATTCTTATGTTTCATTTGCTTGTCGATTGTTAAATTTAACTTGTAAAAGCTTATGGATAAACTAATTCTTTTCCTTTGTAGCAACAACATGTTGTACCCAAAGGAAGACAAAGATAACAAGATACTGTTATATGCAGTAAGTTAAAGTTTCATTTCCTGAGAACTTTCTACCATTCGGCGGAATTATGGCCGATCGACATCAAGAAGAACTTTATTGTTTTTCACAGATTGTCTATTACATATAGCTTCTGACGCATGGCAAAATATTCAGAGTTAAAAGGAATTATAGTAGTTCAAGTACACTCATCTACATGTGTCCTCACACATAACTGTTTTTAAAATATATAATTACCATGTGAACCTGTTGCTGGGTTGAAATTTATCTACTCTGGTAATTGGAAATCATCGATCTGCAGTTTACAAATCAACAACCCACTTTCAATTATTTGAAATACAGCTTAAAACAAGAGACATCACGGCAAAATTTCCACACAGCCCCATACTATTGTAAAACAAATCTGTTTTCCCAATGGCAATGTATTGTTTTTGTCATTGTTTTCTCTATCCAGGAACTGAAAGTACAATGTAGTATGTGGCCGTGTGGAAATTTTACTGACATCACTATGAAGCATTAAGGAACATGAAATTTGTAAGATTTCTTCCTCTGCCTTTGTTTTTACAAGAGTTTCAGCAACTCTTTCCTTAAGTGGCAGCTGATGTTGTAATAGGTGGAAGTGTCTTAAGGTGAAGCTTAAATATGAGCCCCAACTTGAAGGCTAAACAGAGGGTGACAAGTGATTTGGTATTATCAATTGAGTTGATAATGTAAATTGGCCACTGTAAAGAGTTTGAAAGGTGCCTTTTCTAATCTTTTCCCTTCGTCAGAGTGAATATGGTCTGCTGTTCTAAAATCTGTGGATTGCCACTAACAGGCTAATATTAAACCACTGGCTTAATGTTGATTTCACAATGTAGAAAATGTTTTATAAAGTTTTCTTTGGGGATACCTTTCTCAGTGTAGAAATTGTGACTATCAGCAAGAAGCCGACAACAGTTGCATCTATGTGAACAAGATCACTCATGAAGTTAAGTAAGTATCATGGGCCATAGCTAGACCAAATGCAACATGCATTCAACTCTTTTTTATGAAAGCTTGATATCAGGTGCAAGAAATTTTGAACAGGAATTTCGACTTTGTATATCTTAAGTATGAGAGTAATTTTTATAGTAATGAACACTACTTAAGCGATTGTTAAAAAATTAAAGCAGGAAAAAGTAGAAATGCAGGCTAGTACAGGAGTTGAACTCATGAAATCTGTGACATATTTCTTGTTAGATGTTTTGGAGTGTACTATTACTGAATAATTTTACTAGTTGTGTCATATTTTGACAATCTCATAGGCTGAGTCAAAATACAAACAATGATGTGTATTCCTTTACAGCAAACAACACAAGAGTGGCCAACCTGTCAAACAGGTTTTTTTATGCACAAAAAAAGAACTTTCCAGATAACAACTTGCTATATTGCTCAATATTTGTGGTTGATTCTTGTGTTATTCATACTCTGTTTAGTGCAGTTGGAGAATAAGTGTGTTTGGTCCCTCATAATTGGGCCAAAATACATAGCATGGAGAAATAATTGAGACAAATTCAATCCTTGGATGCATCAACTGGCTTTTGGTCACATAAATTGTCTGTTTAGATCAGTCAGTGTTCTTATCTTTCCAAATGAATCAAAACACTCCCTCATTCACATATTTGTGTTATGATACAGTGAACTGACGCAGATTGTAACAGATGTTGTTGCTGATCCTACATTACCAAGAACAGAGGACCATTTATGTCCCAAGTGAGTGAACTTCAGTTTGGCACAAAAACTGTTTTCTACTGGTTGTTTTTTAAAAAAAAATAAATAGAATTAGTTGACTTTTAAACAAAGCAAGGGAAAATTTCACAGCAATCCAGTGAAAATTTGCATTTACTGTTGGTGGTTTATTTTGCTTCACAGTGGTCTATAAGGGGTCAAAACCATACCTCTATACCTGGTGCACTGTGTAACCAGTATGCAGAGTCATTCTAAATGCTGCAATGTAACCATGCCTTGTCATGGCTAACCCTTTAACTCCCATGAGTGACCAAGACAGAATTTCTCCTTACAATATCAATACAACATCAACCAGGCAAGTGATGAGAATAAAGAAAACTACCAATTTGGGGATAATTAGTTGATCCAATACTAAATTCTTTGAACTAACATTATAAGAATTGTAGGGTTGACAGCAAGGAGAATTACAAATTTTGTCTGGGAGTGAAAGGGTTAACAACTATTTACCTGTTGCTCATAGAGTCATTGGTCATAGTTACTTAACCATCTAACTCCCAAAAGTGATTTTCATGTCACTTCTCCAAATAATATCCATACATTATCCAGCAAACAGGTAATGAGAATACTCAAACTTGTCAAGTAGAGGTTATCTTGATCTAACACCAAATTCACTTGACTAGTTTACTAGGGAATGTGTAGCAGCTAGAAAGGAGAATTAACAATCAGATCTCGATCAGAGCTAAGGGGTTAATTTGCTTGTATACATGTACCTTTGTTTGAGAAACTACATGTATCTTAAAAGAGTAGCACAATACTTGAATTAAAAGAACTGTAAGTTTCTTTGCTTTAAGTAGTCTTCTGGGATTTCAAAATTTATGAGTTCTTAGTGTGTACTGTACAATTCATAGATCGGTTCCCATCCATACTTCTGGTTGGACTGAGGCTCTTTAAGTGAACAGTGTCTTGCTCGAGAGTGTAGCAGCACAGTGGCCCAGTCTCAGCCCGAACCCTGAATATTTGATCAGCTTTTCAACTGATTAACATTAGACCTCTATGCCTCCTACTGATTTAATACATACACATGTTCCCTTTTTTTGACCATTTTTTATTGTTTTAGATGTGGTCACAGTGAGGCAGTGTTTTTCCAATCACAATCCAGCAAAGCAGATGTAAGTTTTTTTTAATGTACTGTTAATCTAACCAACCTGTTGATATTCAGTACGTACTATCTATCCATTTTTTTCTCATATTTCCCAATCAAGTCCCGGTAAACCTGGTTTTGAAATTTCAACTTTCTGCGTGAACCAATCTGAACATATCCTTTTTTTCTCATTGTATTTTAACAGCAAATGAGATTGTACTATGTGTGTACAGCGGTTAACTGTGGAAACAGGTGGACTGAATGAGACAACTCACTGAACTTCAACGTACAGTAAAAAATTATAAAGGGAACAATATTACCAACTTCTTCTGCAGACGTCCTGACGGCTCATCAGGAAAAAGCAAAATGACACCATTATTGCTGTTCGAAAACATTTAATGTTTAGTATAAGAAGAGAGAGACTGTGTTTTTCAGTTCACTTAGTTTTTCGCTGTCCTAAGCAATGACGTGGTTAGCCTCGATTCCACATTATTTTTCCCTAAATTAAATTTTAATTCCTATCGATTTCATTGCCCGTGAGGAAAAGGTTTAATGAGTCGCTTGGAGATTTAAGAGCATGCATTGTGATAAGTTTGGTGCGGTCGTTCGTGAAAAAAAGATAATTAGACTCAGCAGGCTTTCTGTTTTGTTTCATGATTGATAAGGAATCACAGAATGTTGTAATAGGAGTAGTGCCGCGATTCCAAAAAGAAAATAAAATCTTCGAGTGGATTCGAGCCTTGCCTCTTAGACACTAGTCGGGCGCTTCTGCTACGTTGATCCAGATTGATCCCTATGGTTCACACGCTGTAGATCGTATGTATTCATTTTAATTGTGTAAAAGGCTGTCACATGGCTCCGTGGTGGTGCAGGTGTCGAAGTGCTCACTCTTCTCATTTGTTCAATTTTCCTTCCATAGTATCGTTACATATGTAACATTTTATTCCATGGACTCGGAAAAGCTTGTTTAAATTTGAATTTAAGAACAGTGCAATTAATTCTGTAGGCAGACCAACGATAGAGGAACCTGCGCAGACTATTTTCAACGTTCAAACCAGTTCCTTGCTTCAAAATTGCGGCTGAAAAGAGGTATCTTTACATTAGCCAGTAATTCATGTGACCTGTCTACAGGTCTGTAACCCATTAGAAGCATCACACCTCGGCAGTAATGTTCAATAACATCAATTTCATGAGGGTGCACTTTCCATCTCCAGCGGTTTGCTGCCAGCCATGCGTCATCTTTGGTGCATGTAGCTTGTTCCCCGTCCTGTGCATGATTGCAGGCACTCCTGCTCTGCCGTGTTGTCTCGTTAAGCCATGTCCTCACACTATCCAGGACAGACAACCCCGCAAACTCGTAGAGAGCTGAAAGTTCTTTCAACGGGTCCAGTGCTAGGTCTTCGTAGCGTTGGAATTTGATCCGGTTGCGCAGAGACTTTGGCAGTTTTCTTATAGATTCCAAGTTGTCTTCAGTCTCCTTACAGGTCCAGTAGCTAAATTCTCGAGTTCCCAGCCTTGAAGAATCTCCCCGGTTGTCTTTGAAGAACCCCACGCTGAGCGCGGAAGCGATTACAGCTCTGGGATCTCTTACGAGGAATATAATTCTGCAGTTAGTATCCATTGTGTCGCATGCTCCTAAAATACTTCCGATGTTATTATCGGGTACACGATTTACGAGGACCTTTAACACTGTCATTTCGTAATGCTCCTTACACGTGCTTCCCAAAGACTCGCTAGTCATGGCAGGACAAAGGTGTTGATCCCACCTTTCATCAGAAGTACTATAAGGACATAAAGGTGGCGATGCAATGGCTTTACTGACACGTGGATGATCCGGTTTGCGATAAAAATGCTCGATATCCGCTAATAATTCGGGAGAGTCGAATTTACACTGAAAAATGCCAGATAGAAACTCTTTGGCGAGGTCATTGTAATCCGATTCAGGCTTCAGATTCGTATGGACTCTTTCGACGGACTGTAAAGGCTCATACATGTAAAATACAGAAGGATGATGATTGAAAATATCCCCCATAAGTGTGGAACCTGATCGACCGTGTGAAACGACGATAAGATTTTTCCTTGCTGCTTTTGATCCATCATTGAATTCCATTTTTGAGTCAGTCAGGTCCTTTTCCAAATTTCTAAAATCTTGTTCATCAGTTTGTTGAGTCTTTCGTATATTTACCTGCTCAGTAGAGTACGACTCCAAGGTAAAATAAGCGATCAAACACAGCACCAGCAGGCATATTAGTAATAGGATAGATTTTAAAATCCTTGTCATTCGCATTCGTCTTACAGTCATGTTGGTTGAAGTTTCGAATTCTAAACAGAGCGACGAGAGCAAAATGTGGGAAAGAAAATCGATGACTTGCGAATCGTGCGTAACACTCAAATGATACGATGCGTGTTGCTTGGAAATTGAACACCCTTTGGAAAGAACGAGTCGCCTATTGTAGATCTTATTTACATGATTTTTCAAATTTCGGGTCAGCGTTAGCGCATGGTAATGTATGCAATCTGCTGAGAGAAAGTAAGGAAAGAATATTCAAAGATGTACATCTGAAGTAAATGAATTGAAAGAATTACCCTACTTTGTGTGCAAAAATCTATTCGTGTTCGATAAAAGAGCTTTCGTTACAGTTTTAGTGAGTTCCACGCTTTGTATCTAAATCAGTTTCCAAATTGTACTCTCGGTTCTGAGCATTTTTCTGTTAGAGACGACGTTGCCAGTAGAACTTGAATATATTATGCATACATTTCTTTGTTTTCTTTCAACTGGTGGAATCGGTGTCACTATCATAAGAGAAAATGGGCCGATTATTGTCCTAAGTTCAAACTCTGATATTTGATATTCGAAGTAAGACTTGGGTCTTCTTTGGGGCGATTCTTTGTGCTAAGATAACGACTTGATTGTAAATAATATAATAATCACTGAAAACTTTCAAAAGAGACGACGTGTTTATGCTTTAAGTCCCAATTCAGCTGTCTAATCCTGTTAGATTTATTAAGAAGAGGGCCCGTGCCCAATTAAGAAATTGGACTCTGGTAATCAACTATTACTTGGTGCGGAGAGCGAGACGCAAGGATGAATTAAGCTGAGAGTTGGCATAGTGCTTCTGCGCTTGATGGTTATATCCTGATTGAAAACACGAGCATTCGATTTAAGTATTGATGCGCATGAAACACAACAGACATGTTTACACAAATAAAGGGTTTTATCTAGTAAATATTCTGCTCCATTGGAGAGTGACTGGGGGCTCTTTCCCTTTATCAATCGGATGGGGGATCGGGGAATCACAATGGGGTAAACCGTTAGCCGTAAAACAGCCTAAAAATTTTGCCGTCAAGCGTAAAAATTGACTAATTTTAATCATTGCTCGGAATAAAATTTAACCGTAAGAAAATATCTGGTGACAACAATGGTCAGTTAATCATTCATTAACCGTAAAATAGCGAAATTTTAACCATTAGCCGTAAAAGCCATCACACCATTGAGACCCTCGGTGTCCGCTTGGTTAATTTCAGCGCGCAAATAGAGGAACAGGTGCATAAATTTTTAATCGTTTTAGAAATGCAATTAATGTAATAATGAATTTTTTTTATATTTGACTTGCTTCTTTAGACGGAATAATCACTTCCTGAGCAACTTCTTGTAGTTCATCATTGACATCAACAAATTTCGTCTCGCACTGTCTGTTCGGTAGAGGTCTCATGCACGACTATTGTTTCAAGGCTGTCGCCTTTGTCCTCCCATGAGCAATTATGTCACGGTGATTTTAAAATAGGAAAGGTGTTGAGTTTTATATTTGAATAAATATGTTTTATTAAAGTCATGGAAAGACGTTACTGAAGTATAGAATGACGGGGAAACGAGGAACTTGGAATAACGAACAGTGCTCAGCGGTAACCTGCATAAAAATTCAAAATGGCGGATAGACAAATGAAAACAGTTGAAACGATGTAATCGAAAGGAAAGTTTCACTTTAAAATGTTATTAAATATATTTAAACAGACAGTCGACTTGTTTCTGGTTTGATTAGGTTCTCATGTAATTATTGTCATGGTCTCGTATAACCACGTAGCAGGAGCCCATAATGGTAATGGACTCCTGGCACGAAGCTATACTTTAACCTCTTCGTCTGGATGTTCTGAATTTTTGTCGCGACAACATCGCGACGTCTCAAGACTCTCGATTGTTCAGTTTGAACCTTTTCATGCTTTGATATCTGTTGTCACGTCCACTTTCAAAGGGAGTATTCCACCATCAAAGTGATAAAAACTCTTCCTTTAAAGCTGCTAAAGTTTCTCTTGAACAGTTCGTGCTAGTTTGTTTTGAAATATAATTAGTACTCTGTGTAATATAATTAGTATTCCGTAGTATAACTTTGAGAAGCTTTAAGAATGAAAACAGAAAAGAACAAACAAAGGAACAAAATATTCAGTCTACAGACTCATAAGTATTAAAGTTACCGAAATTCCTTTCTTTCAAAAAAAATTATTTCTGTTTATTTTAAGAAACTGATGCAGACGAGGTTCATTTTTTTTACAAATTATCTTGAACGTCAGCCCGTCTGGTCACCAATCACGCCTTGCTATGTAAAAATGGCAAAAAAAAACCCCAGCGTGTGTTATTTTTGAATACGTAAACTGAAGATTATAACCTCATCATTGACACTCTAAGGAGGCTGGATGGAAAGACATTGTTTTTTAATGTACAAAAATAATTATTCGATTATTTATCAATTTTTGGGTGCTGTTATTGGCCCACACCTAAACTCGACCCATTTCCTGGCGGTGTTAGTTAATGTAGCACCGAGGTTAAACTTTCTGCAATATATATACGTGTTTAAGTTTGCTTTGTTTATCTTGTACAACATGGTGCACAATTTTTTATTTTTTTGGAGTGAACTGAAAAGTAAAGCGTTTGAATGATGTCAGATCGGAGGTGTGTGCCAGAGAAAAAGAGAGGAAAGTATGTTCTCAAGATCGTGAGCGGATGTGTCACTTCTTCAATGTTCTGTTTCTTCTGTGTATTTCAATTCAAAGTGACGTCAATTGTCTGGAAATACGACATATAGTATACGAAATTCAATCATCCACTACACAGACCTGTAGGTTATTGGAACAGCCAAGGAAATAAAGGGTTATCATATCTAATGAATTGTAATTTGTTGTTTTGTCCTCAGGGGTGTGAATGGAGCGTTGTTTTAATTACAATTCTTTCTGATAAACTGCGATAAGAAAAAATAATTATTAATATCCGATATAGATTATATTATAATTCAATTAACTCTAGTTTTTTTCTTTTTTTTATTACGTTTGTCACCAAGAAATATAATTTTTTTGAGTCGGCTTCTGATTGAAAGGAATGATGAATTACTCAAACAAAAACTTACTGAGGGAACCAGTGGAAACAAACTACCAAACCTTGTAATGCTTAAAATAATCTTGTCTTTTTTTGATGGCTTCAAGGTGAGATTTTTCTGATGAAATTGTTATGCCCGGAAGTAAAAGGAAGGACCTAAAAAATAAAAATTGCTCTTGTAGATGATGAGATAAGATAAACTCACGACCATTAAAAATTCAGATTACACATTTTAATTATAGGCCAATAAATCTCTCCACAAAGTGGTCGCCGAAGTTCATTAGTTATTCTTAGAAAATGACTAGCCTAGCACTTAAAATATTTTTTAGAAGAAGTACTCGACTAAAATAGAATGCTAGTTGTGAGAACCAAATTATTGACAGAGGTTAAAAATATGACAAATCCTCTTATCTACCAATGCTTCTTGTTCTATGTAAAACTCAAAACGTATTCAGCCAACTTGTTGTTAATACCACACAAAAAAAAACCTTTGAACCTGATCAAGAAATGTTTAAGCGTCATTTCTCGAGAGTTCTTTTCACATGACATTTCTCGAATCGTGCTGGTTGAACTTCTGGAAAGCGCGGGGCTGCTTTCGCAAACTTGGCCGTGAAAAAATGTGTACTCTTGTCTTAACATGTATCATATTTCTGAGTCAGCACGTACGTGAACTCCTGTTACCGCTTGCGGGTTTAAAGGGTGGATTTTTTTTATGCTTGAGAGAAATCATACTCATACTGTAAATTATGACTCCGTTTACGAAAGAAAATTTGCGCATTTTCGATGCATTTCCTTGTTGATAGAAATAAGAGAGATGGTAAGTTTTGAGCTCGGTAAAGAAATAGAGAAAGATGATTCTCACTGCGGAGTCTCTGTGGCTCAGTGGTTAGAGCATCAGAGCGCGGAATCCGAAGGTCTGAGGTTCGAACTGAACAGATTGTGTATTTATGGCAGGAGACAGGAGACAGGAGACGGAAAAACCCTGGAAGCTCTCGAACAAAAATGAAAGAGAATGATAATCGATAATACTACCGCGGCTTGAAGTGGAAAATCTGTAACGCGGGAGAAAAAAACTCGTGAAATAAGTCTTCGGGAATTTTAATTTAGGAAAGGCAGCGGGAAAAAATGGTAACAGATTAGATAGACCGTAATAATTTCCGTCCCTCGCAATAACATGAGACTACAAGCCTTGGATGTTTGTGGTTTTATCCAAACACAGAGAAAGGACACGACAGTCTTGTATGTCAACATGTTGACGTTACACATTAATTGAGATAATCGAGACATGAAAGAACCTTTCAATGATCGAATCAAATATGATGAACATATTTTGAATATCGTGAATTGCAACACCCATCTTCGGTTTCAAAACTTCTGGAGACATTAGTCAGACACACATAAATGTGGCTGTGAGGGTCGGAGAAGCTCTTGAAACGGTTCAATGCTCCGGAAAAGGTGTGTGAGATAGCCTTTGTATTTTCTATTATGACATAAAATCCCTTTCTGTTTAAATTTTTCACTCTTACTCTCAGTTCTCTCAAATGCTTAAACCAGGTAATATGCGTTTATTTTAAAGGACCTAAAAAAATCAACTGAGCGACTCACGAGTTTAGGACAGCCGACTCCTCGTTCCAGAATTACTCTGTTGATTTCCTTGGTCAACTAAACGTAAATTACGAGCTGGTAAGGAAAAAGTTGTGTTCTTCACTCGTCTTGAAGGTAATTTCTGCCTTCAGAAGTACGCAATTGGATGATTTACCTCATTTGTCGCTAAACATGAGAAACATTTATTTTCGTTACTGATTAGATCAGTAAATTTCTGTTCTAAGCTTTCAATTTTCTCAGCTTATTTTGCGCGATCGGAAGTCCCAAATCGCGCTGTAGCACGTGTCATCGCAATAGCTGAAAGTTATCCTCTAATGCTTCGGGACGAGATATGAGTTAAAGGATTTGCATACAGTTTGCGTTGGTTATTTAGAAGTTGAACAGAGAAGCAGTGCGGCACAAACGTTCTGACCGAGAGGTGCACAGTTTTTAATTGCATAACAAGGGTTGATTTCAAAATTGAGGATCACGTCACATTTATTTAGGTTATTAGCCAAAAGAACGAACTGATCTGCCGCGTGAACTTCTTATGAGTGGTGAATGATAATTATTGGTAAATTTCTGTTTAGATTATTACGTGTGAATTAAACTATCTTTCATCAGTTTACTCGACTATACAACATTTAGATTCTCACGATCGAATGAGTTTGTGTTGTCCTGTTTCAGTGAAACGTCATCATGAAGGTCCAGCACTGGTTCTTGTCATTTTCTGCCGGCTTGTGTTGGCTTTTGGCGCCAACCGGTTCAGAGGTTAGAAATATCACAGTTTCTCCTAGTAATGTTGTATAGTCATGTATTCCCCGCAGATTTAACCGTAACTTACACTGTCTGATTTAATTTTGTCCTCGAGCTCCCGTATATAGTCAAACTAAGGGTTAATGTTGGCCAGATTGTCGTTTTTCTCAGAACGACGAGGGGGTGTCAGGCGACAAAACAAGGGATTTTTCCCACTGGTATTTTGTTGACTTACTCGTCTAATGCCCCACTTGGGGGGTGGAAAACGAAAATATTGGTATAAGAAGTTTTCAAAAGGGAAGCCGGACGTAAACAGGAATTATACTGTTTGCCATGAAAATTGACGCTTGAATTGCAATGAGACGCCGCCGTTCCAATTAAAATTGTGAACGGTTTAGACATCTAGTTCTTGAAAAGTTTAATTTATCCAAAATAGGCGAGACGCAGAGATACTCCCCGATGTTGTTCTTTTTTTGTTTTTTTTTAACGTGTGGAACTGATTACCTTTGGGTTGAATCATGACCTTTGTACGAAAAAACTGCCAATGATTACAACACCCTGTCAAATTTATTGAGGGCGCGCTCAAAATTCTCTAATGATGCTATTCTAGGCCCGAACATATCCTGTAAAATTGACCAAACTGTTGTTCTCCTAAAGCTCCGTGAGAAGATGTTTTCGCGGTGTTTAAAAGATATCTATTTCAACTTTAAATCTGGAAAACTGCACCTCGCGTGATTGAAGTGTTACAGGTGTTACAATATTCCCGAAGGGCGAACAATGTTGAAGTCTTTCCCATGTTGCATTCCAGGGCTTCGTTTCGAAAACGCAGTCAATAACCGCAGTATTAAAATTCAAGTTAGGGATTGTCTATCGACCCATGTCCTGTGGTTATTAGAAGCATATCGCCGGGTTGTCTTTCATTCCTAAACAGTTTCGCCGAGAGCGCTAATTGTATAACTGTCAAGAGGAAAATGTCAAATTGCCAAAATGCCATGCCATGAGTTTGCGACCTTCGTTAGTTACCTTTTCCATAACTGTCACAAACGTTTCCTTATTTATACTTTCCACCCTTTGAAACCTCGAAATTTTGAAATTCTTCACAACGGGATACCTTGTGTTCATGTCTAAGGAACGTTAAAAATAAGTATTGTCAGACAACAACACAAGTGTTCTCCCTATACCATTACATCAACAAAGCTACGCACGCCTTAAATTTATCTTTATTGGGTAATTAAAAAAACCCAAAGAGGATTTTTCACCCTAAACTTGAAAGCAAATCTCGACAGGTAGGGATGAAAAGGGGATTTTAAACCCTGAAGTGGCTGATACTCAATAGGAATCACGCAAAGGTTGCACCTTGTGAAAGAATTCGGTCGTTGGAAATGAGCAGTTTTCCCCATCGATGAATTTTAAGAAGTGTTCAGAAGTTGGTATGCTTTGGGTCAATCAGTCATGCGTTACAGAGAACTGTTTTAACTAAAACGAAGTATTGAATTATACATCCTCTGCTATATAGGACATGTGAGATGAACATTAAGGAGATAAAAATGAAATGCCGGGAGATAGAGAAGATTTTTGTCGTCGCGACGATTTTGGAAAATTCAGAGGAAATTTCTCCATACGAAAAACTGTGAGATAGTTTCTTTTAAAGCCGAAGATAAAACTTATTTAGCTATTCGACATTTTCCGGACGTAGAGGCATCAAATAAAGAATCTGGGTAAACGAAAGGCTCCTTTTGAGCCTCCACTAACAATTCAATGCATTCTTTCTTTGTAAACCTGTTTAAAATGGTTAAAGAGGAATTAGAGGCAGCTTTCTTGGAGACACCACAGCATTGTGTTTCCTGAGATATACGCTAACATATCAAGTATCGAAAAAGTCAGTAAAAATAACATTCATAAAGCAAATGGCCACGTTCTATGATCTCAAACGGCAATCAAACAAACCAAGAGGATGAGAAAATTAAATCTTCGCTTATTTTCCACATTGTTCTAAATGCGCTTAAATATCTTTTAGCCCTATCGATTCCTACAATTCGTTAGCTTTTTTAATTCTCTGGTACTTTATCGTACATTGTTTGATTTGCTTTGTCTTTAGGCTTATACTTTTTAAAGACATCACAGCTTTCTTTTTCCGGAGATAAAAGCTAACATATCAAGTATCCAAAAATTCCGGAAAAAACCTTCGTAAAGCAAATGGCCAGGTTCTATGATCTCGAACGACAATCTAACAAACTGGGAAGACGAGAAAATTAAAACTTCGCTCATTTTCCAGGTTGTTCTAAATGCACTTAAATATCTTTTCGTCCTATTGATTCCAACAATTTTTAATAATTCTCTGGTACATTATCGTACGTTGTTTGATTTGCTTTGTCCGTAAGCTTATACTGTTTGGAATTAATAATAGTAATAATAACAATTGCGAAAGATGAAAGGTCGATTGACGCACCCCACAAATAGTTTTTTTCATCTTAATCCATTACGGATATTTGTTCGCAGGCAAGTTTGACTATCAAAAGTGACACGCGAGACAACTTTTCAGCAATTATATCATTTTGGAGATAATTTCCTTCCCATATACACCTTATAATCCAATCTCTGTTGTAAAACTAAGTTAAAATAAGTTCTCGACGTCTCCGTGTTTCGTCAATAAATTGTTAATTTGTTGTACTTAGTTTAAAAGAGCGACGCAACCTCCTTGTACCAAAAAAACCTTGGCATGTACTTAAGAGCTGTATGCCTGTATATGCCTTTTAAATTAGCCACATGATAACCTCCGTGAAGTAATAGATAACCTTCGAAACCTTGGCTTAGCGATATCATGAAGCTCTGATTTTTCTTCGTTTAGAGTTAACAGGATAATTTGTGTCAGCGCACCAGATTGTTCAATTCAACATAACATGTTTGCTTTTTGCTGAAGAATATCTTTTGCTGCTCATTTAGTGTGATGAGAGAAATTTTTTTTCCGAAATGTATCTTATCAATAATAATCTTTCCATGATCTCAACGCATACGCGAGTACAAGTAATTACAAGCGTTTATTGATTCTCCCAAATATCAACAACGAGTTGATGACATAGAATTGAAGGAAATGTTTATTTATGACTTCAGTCACTCAAATTAAGAGAATATTCGCATGTCCTGATAAGCAAAGACTTTTCTTATCTATTGTTAGCTTATCGTTGTCTTCAGATTCATTGCGATAACAAAACCTTTTTATAAAACACCTAAAAACCATCCTTGAATCGATCACGAATTTTGTGCGCTCCGCGCGCACGCTTAGGACGTACTTTATGGGATTTTGCGTGATTCCCCCGGGTGTTTCGGGCAGATTTCGGTATTTTCATACATATTTGAAAGGGACGGCTTATTTTCGACAAGCGGTTTACTGACTGGAAAAAAAGGTGGGGAATACCTAATCAGCTATCTTTTCATCAGAGTCGATGTCGATGACGAAAACAGTTAATTGGGTTAATTTAATAGGCAATTGTTTGATTATTTCAAGATTATGTTTGCGGAAAGGAGGCAATGTCGGTAAGGTTCTAGAAAAGGGGCACTTTGTGTTGTATCTATAGTCATAAGGTCATCTACTAAGTTGGTCAACGCCTAATCTTTGGTAGAGATTCAAGTGCAGCATTCATACATTTCATTACCGTAAAACCGTGGCAGACAACACTGTACACAAACCCACTGAAAGCTAGCATGTCCGAACGATGTTGAATCAGAATTAATGTATTTTATACTCCGTGGGTGACATCAAAACTTCTGGACGGATTATTCCTCAGTATCTAAAAACCTGCAGATTCGTTTTTGAATTGTCAGGCAATTAGGCTAACAAAATAATCGCAAAGAGATTATGGGATTACGAATCAAACATGAGAAGAATTATGTTTTAATCCGTCCGTAGATTACGGTTAATCTGGCGGGTGGAAAATTCTATACTCGCGTGGAATCTGTTTTCGCGTCAGTATTTCGGTAGGCATGAAAATAATGATTAGAGACACAAAATGTTGAGACAGAGGAATCAGTAAATGGCATGAGATGAAATGTCTAGACTTCTTTTTAGTAAAAGTATCTTGCCTTTTATCTCCTTGATATTTCCCTCCCACTGGTAAACTATACGAAACAACCTTTTAATTCAATTAGCGCCTAAGAGGGCACTGCTGAAAGACTTTTATGACTTTGCTACAGAGTACAGTGATAATTCGGCAAGTCTGAACGAAATAGCACTCTCAAGGTTTACCTCCCCCGTTCCAGACGAGACAATTCTGACAATCTTTTAGTGCAAATGACTTTAAAGAGCTCTTCGATTGGTTATGGTCGGTACGGTTCTAATTAACGAAAGTATCTCAAATTTTCGTGCTTTAGATTCCTTTGTGGTGAGCCTAAATTTAATGGGTAGAATCACGTAAAAGTTGAACAAGAGTATTTGTGGTTGGTTTTGCTCCCCATTACAACGGATTTAGATCATCTCAAATGATTAGAACTCAGTGTTAGGAGCTCATCATTTGAAGTGTCCATCCATCGGCCATATCTTAGTACTATGCTGTTTGCACTTTAGAACGGTCATTCGTGAATGACTTTTGCAAGAAAATTACTGTTTTCGGTGTCGTCTGTATAGAATGATTGTGAAGCAGATGAGCTGAAATAAATATACAATGGCAGTTGGCCAAGAGAAGCATTTGGCCAGAGCCAAAAAAATCGTGTTGCATCATGCAATATTAAAGTAGAGAAGGATGTAACATCTACCAACAGCAATCGCTATTAATTTGTTATCCAATTCTAATTCGCGGGAAAGATTTATCTCCGATTTGCTGGAACCTCTCATTAACGGATTTGTCTCCCTTGAAGTCACAGATAGTTATACCAGAAGGTTTCAGTTAACTTAAGGTTTTCCAGCCATCAGTCTCCAATGTAAGCGTGCTTTCTAAAGGGTTCTCAAGCACTGCTTCACGTTTCCAGTCAACTAGTAAATCAGACGGCTGGTACCCAGGTCATTATCGACCAGTTTACAGTAAATGTCAGGCTGCATAGACAGATCCAAAAAAGGGGAAAAATTTTTCTAGACAAATAAAGTGGTTCATTGTCTATAATTTTATTAGAACATTCCACATTATTTTTCTCCCTAGTCTAAGGATTATAGATCATTATTCTGACGAACTCAGCCAAATGACAGCGTGATCTGATAGGTGAACATCTCTCGTAACCACGCATAAATCGCATGATTCCAATTTGTGTACCTCTCAATCTTTTTCTTTTCAAATGTCTGTAGGCTCAAGGTGACGATGGATCATCGTCAAAGTGGGGGCCTTGGAGCGAGTGGAAACCTTGCTCCCGAACTTGCGGAGTAGGAGTTTCTTATCAAGAACGAGAGTGCCAGGAGAAGGAAAGGTTACAAAGTCAAATGTTTGTCTGTTTGTTTCTGTCTTTGTTTTCTCATTTGATCAAACATCCCATTACGTTCGAGTGATCCACTGGATATATTATTCAAAAGAAATAGTTACGCTCTTGCCAGATAAAAAGCTAAAATTATATGAACTGTGGATCTGTGGAGAGGTAGACGAATTAGGATCTCTACGTCTGACCGGAGCTATATACGGGTACTTTAACTTACGTTTATGCCATGGTACTGATAACTCAAAAATGCAGTTTTTTTTCCTGAAAAAGAGGATTGCTCGTCGAACTAGTGAGCTTTACTCTTTCCCATCCAATTTACTTGTACCTATACATTCCTTTTGAGTTAGAAGTTGCACTACATGGATTTTGTTTTTCACCCGAAATTTATGGAACCTGGCCTAGTTAGGGTAAAAAATCTGGACCAAAACAGTGCCAGAATTTACAACAATGATACTTTCACCACCACACTCCCAAAACTTCCAAAATCTAAACAAAAATTGTGTTGAAGATTTAATAGTGCAGTCGAAAAGTTTTACTTTTTTGATTATCATGTTTTTGTTTTCTCAGACCAGATGACTTTTGCAGAGGAGGTAACCGCATTTATAGAACATGTAACATCCAGGTAATAGGTTATTTCTATACCTTTCCCGTCAATCGATGTCAGTAAGGCCTAGTTCAAACGTCGATCTTTACATGTACCGAACCTAACGTTTCTATTAAGTACATGTAAAGATCGACGTTTGAATCAATTAGGATCGGCAGATTTGTATTCGGATCGACAGTGCCGTTCTATCCGACTCGGCTAGTCGGATAGAACGGTAAAAGATCGGCATTGATTCATACGTCGTACTTTACATGTACCGAACTTAATGCATACATTATACATACGTTAAAATAATTATGTTTTACCCACAATTCAAGAAAGTTCGCTTACGTACCATGCGCGAAAGCCTTCGAACCATTCAAACAATATGGCGGGAAAGGAGGAAGGCTCGTGCTCCTCTTGTTTTAAAACCACAAAATATACCTGTCTTACGTGTAAGGAGTACTTTTGTATTTTGATGTTCCTTTGGGAAATAAGCAATAATAGAAGGCAAGCCAAATTCAAAACTCGTCTTCTCCTGGTAGCAAGGTTGTTTAATGCTAACTGCATCTTGAGTCGCCTTTTTCTACCCTCCTTAATCGCATTTGCAAGAAAAACAAGCTCTTCATTTCCACAAGTTATGCTTCCCGCATTTTTTTCCGCCATTTTGGTAGGCATTAACCGCTGACTACAATGGAGTTATGTTCAGTTTTGCAATTAGGATCGACTAAATTCGGATCGACGTTTGAATCAACTGCCGCTCTTAATTATTCGAGTCGACCCAAATTGCAATTAGGTTCGGTACATGTAAAGATCGACGTTTGAACTAGGCCTAAGAGAATACCAACTGACATTCTCTTGATGTCAGTCTAAATTTACTTTATCTTCACGTTATTAACAAGTTATCGTTAGTTCTGTTCACGGTTGACCAGTCTTATCTTAGATCAACCCTTTAACTCCCAGATCAAACTTGCAATTCTCCTTACTGTTAACCATACAATTTTACAATTTTAGTTCCGAGAATTTAGTATTAGATCAACTACTTATCCCCAAATTGATATTTTTCTTTATTCTCAACACTTACTGGTTGATATTGTATTGATATAGTAAGGAGATATTCTGTCTTGGTCACTCACGGGAGTTAATGGGTTAAGTAGATAATGAAGGCAAAGGCACTATTAAAACTGATCAAACTTTCCAACTTTCTGACGTAAAACATTTGGGATGAAAGATTGAAGAGAAGCCAGTGTTAAGATTCACATTTAGCACTATTCTCAAATAGAAGGAATAGAAAAAGCCTGTTTTATGTACATAAAATAGATGTGTTAATGATAAAATGCGTTAAGTATACCTTGTTGAGTACAAGCACCGTAATATTTCAAATTTCCAGCACCTCTTATTTTCCTCTATATATTAGGATTGTCCAGAAGGATCCAGGGATTTCCGTCTCGAGCAATGCGAAGCCTTCAACAATCGGATAGTGGATGGGCAAAGATTTAAATGGGTTCCATATATACCAGGTATGATTTCAAACAAGGAAGAAAATTTTGCTTCTGTAATCAAATCTTTCTAATTATTACAGTAAACAAAACATAAAGTAGGCCATTGCCGGTTCAGAGTGCTGCAGACGGGCGTTTTTCAGAAAAGCTATAATCTTTAACCCGAATAAACACATTTATAAAAATATCTCTCAGGATTTTGATAACAGTTTTGGTGCAGTTTAGTTCTGCTCAAAAAAGTTTTCAGTTCCCTTCCTTTGGATTATCTGAACTTATTTTAAATTCCCAAAAAGAGAGAAAATCTTGGAAAAGTGTTGGTGTTCCATACCTATTATTTCCAATTTTCATTTGATTTTTAAACGTAAGAGTAATTTATTTTTGTTTACTGTCTAGTAAACGGAAAATGCGTATTAAATTGTATGCCGAAAGGAGAGTACTTCTTCATGCGCTGGGCAGACAAAGTGGTGGATGGAACAACGTGCAATATTGACACGTATGATATTTGTGTGGATGGAAGATGTGAGGTATGTTAATGGGTAATAAGTTTGCAATGGTCTGTCTACATTTCGGATCTGTAAGTCAGCGGCGCACGACCCCGGAAGCCATTGAACCAAAGCTTATTCCTGTTTGAGTGACAAGGAGAATAGCAGCTCTCCTCGAAAAGTGATGCAAGTCCATCGAAGGGTTCAAGTGTAACCACCAGAATTTTGCTGGGAAAATTCGATGCCACCCAATTATACTTGTAAGAGTAGAGATCACTGCGGAATTCAAGTGTGTCGCTCAATAACGCTTCACTCTGATATACCAACCCAGGGACCGAGAATGGATCGACTTTTCCCGTTCTATGAGCGTGTGGAAATCTCGAGTAGCTGCACAAACATGTAACAAGTTTTTAAAAATGATAGACAGACATAGGTTTGCATGTTATCAGAAGGAAATGCTATAATTAGCTGTCTAAATAACTCCTGGATTGAACTGCTTTTGGTTTTATTTCCTACTCTTTACGGGGATTTTTTGGAAAATCAAGATTAAAACGAAGCCCCTTTGCCACTTGCGTTCATCGCGCTTAGAGCCGACTGTGCATGTTTGTTTTACGTTTTGTTGCGCAAGTGCAGTAAGGACAATTCTACATGCCTGGCTTAAGCTGACCTGTCAGACATGATTTATTTTTTCGTAGAAACTTGGTTGCGATCTCATTTTGAATTCCAATGCGAAAGAAGATAAATGTCGAGTGTGTAATGGTAAAGGACAGAATTGCAAAACACAGAAGGGGGTGAACAAGGAAGAAGGCGATGGTGAGTCTATAAATTTCTGAGTCATGTATAATCTGGCTGGCGGTAGACGAATATTCCGTAATCAGACAAGTTTTATGAACGAATCTGCCCTAGAAGAGAAGTCAATTTTAGTGCCGTAATGATTCGATTTAGTGCCTGGGCGCCTAATTACTTTAGATACCTCAGGGGAGGGCGCATATTCGAAACAGGGACAGGGAGCTTATTTCTTTTTTTGAGAAAAAGAAGTATTTGAAGCAAAGCTTTGATGTTTATTTCACTGAAGTTCAAAAAGACTGGTTAGCGCACTTGTTGCCCCCTGGATCCTTCTTTGCTAGAACGATTAGCCAAGCAACCATCGCAAAATTTTAAGACGGAAACTTTGGTATCAAAGAACCGTGCACTCACGGCGACATAAATAATTGAGAGACTGAGACGAAGACCACTTTTTTGTCGTGAGGCTTTTAGTGACCAATTAAAGAAGGATGCACCATGGTTGATCTCAATGTACATGTACTCTAACAGTGCTATTACTGAAACAGAACAGCGGCGCTTATTGAAATAGGGGCGCTTGTTGGAATGAGGGTGCTTTCTCCGTAGGGGTGTTTATTAGAATAGGAATTAGTTTTCCACACGAGAAGCCTCTAAGTGAGTGCTTTAATTTCCCACTTGTATTTATCTGTTTTGTTAAATTGTTTTTCAGGATATAAAGAAATTCTGACGATTCCTGCTAGTGCTACCAATATTGATATTCAGGAAATGGCACCCTCGACGCATTTCTTAGGTATTACAAGCTTTCTAGTTTCGAGATGTTAGAGCCTTTCCTTTTCTACGTCACACTTTGTCAACTTGTGAAGTTAAACAACACCTTCTACGTTTCATCGTCAACTATTCTAACATATCACCCGCTAATATGCGTGTTCTGGCTTAAATATGTAGAGCGAGAAGTCATACGCACCTAACTTTTATACTGAGTGCAGGTCAATTCTGATTTCATGGGGCACTTACTGCGTCAGCTAAGTTTGTACTGCAAGGCATGTTACATGTCGGCTCAAGGTCAGACAGATGCCTTACAACAAGCTGAAAAAATCAAATATTTAATTTTTTTCTTTTATAGACTGCAGGTCAATTCCGATTTTATGGGGCACTTGCTGCGTCAGCTAATTGTTGTACAGCAAGACATGTTATATGTCGGCCCAAGGTCGAAGATATGTCTTACAACAAGCTGAAAAAATAAAATATTCGATTTTTTTCTTCACATATTTCGTGTTTAGAGAACCTGTATTCAGAGAACATTTCTATAAAGCAGACACTGGGAGCGAGACCGACCAAACACCTATCTTGAGCAAACATTTTAAAGTTTTACTGTATCGTGGATTTTTATAGCATATTCCTGTGTAAGATATGTAACAAAGCAAAATATGTAGGTCCACGAGGGATGTTGAATCACAGATCAGACGCCCATAACTTCTGATAAAACGTTCAGTCCTTAACTGTTTAACCCCAAGGAGTGGCTTGCATTTCATTTTCCATATAATACCACCCTTGAATTACTCATTGAGGCCACAAAAATAAAGGGAGTGATCACCAACTAAAGAAGCTCTCGATTTTAAAACAAGTTCTCCTCGTCAGCACCTTAGGAAACGTGTGAAGACAAGAGATTATAAACAGTTTGTAATCTCTTGATGACGAACAGAATGAGAACATGCACACTGATGTTTGGTTGTAAAGAGTTAACCACATTCGCGGTCAATGTTTTAGCAATCCGCCATAACAAAACCACTGATCTCTACAGCTGATATATGGCTGTCTCTGTAACAGAACGAAACGTCAAGCTTATTATCGTCGCACAGTTTACCAGTACTGTATGAACGGACACAAAGAAGGATCCCTTGCAGGTTTCCACTAAGCAAAACTTACAATGTGTCACGTAGAATACACATTTACTTGCTCTTTCTCTTTTGTTTTTTCTCCAGCTCTCTCTGACCTATTCAGAAATTACTTCTTTAACGGAGGCTATCTCATCAAAAATCCCGCCAAGTACAAAGTTGCGGGCACCGTGTTTACTTACGAGCGAACCAGGTTTGGACAAGAGAGGATATTCGCTTTGGGACCTACAACAGTTCCTGTACAGGTCGAGGTAAGTGAAGCCGGAACCACGTTTGTTACATTAATGCATCAATGGGAGAGAAAGACCTCATTCCGCACGAGAGCTTGCTCGCAGGCATTACCGGCGAAGAATTGTATCAGCTAAGCCATTGGGTTGGAGGAAGCGAATTAATCGTAAGGATATATTACTGCGTTAACAAACAAACTGAAAAGCAAATGAAGTATGACCTTCTTAAAAGTGTACGAAACCCACGTGACCAATTCGTGATCAATTTTAGGTTTGCAAATGATTGACGAGAGGGTGTGGAGCAAGTTTTTTTCGACCAATAACAAAGTGTAACAAAGCAAAACCAATCCTCCCAATTTAAAATTGCTTTCTACTGAGCACATGTGGTTCTTCTTCTGAATGTTTAACTTTTTGAAAAACGCTGTGAATACTTTTCCAACTAATAGTAGATGTTATAACAGGTTCTTTTTATGGAAGGAGAAAAAAACCCAGGAATTTCATACGAATATTCTGTTCCAAACTCAGTGGTAATTGACCCGAATCCACCTCAATTTTCCTGGAGAACTGGCGAGTTTGATAAATGCAGCAAAACGTGCGCAGGAGGTAAGAGCGTGAATGTTAAACTCATGGACTGAAAAATATGTGGCTGAATACAATTGGAAGAGTTTTTAGGATGCAAAACCCGAACAGTTGCAATCATAGATCAATTCTCTAGGCTAAAAAAAACATGTCTCTTCGCCTACATCGAGATTCAAACAACTGGAGCAACGTCATCGCTTAATACTAATTAAAATTTTGCGAGAAGAAGCTCTGTAGGCCTCTTATAAAGATGAACTTTCAATTTGTTGGTTTGTTTTCTCGATTTTTATTTAGGGGAGCGAAAGAGACGAGTATTTTGTGTCCGTGATGATAACGGAGAGGAAGTTTCTGACTCAGACTGTGCTGAAGATCAGAAACCATCCCACAAAAAAAGATGTAATACTCAACCTTGTCCCTCAAGGTAAAACCATAACACAAGGCTGCCGGATTCCTGGTTGGGGCTAAAAAAATTAGCGTTTCTTTTATACATATACCCACTATGATGCCCGCCTCGTTCCTTACGAGGTTTTCATGTCACGCTTAGTACCATTTTTATGGTTGGTATAATTACTTTCGTTACTGTAGCGTTTGAGTGACATCTGGAAGTTATGCTACGCGAGACTTCGGTTATCTGTCCCGGGGAGCGTGTGTGCGGTTGTACGATCGATTGTGCAGGAGACTTCGTGTTGATTGCGTTTGGGCCTCGGTGTACATTTAGAAATATTACTGTTCCTATGGTTTTTTTCGAGTGTCTGTCAATCAGCAGTGTCTCATTCTCCATTGTGGCCTAGGGTGTACCTCAAATAAGAGCACCCTTGTTTAGAAGACTCGTACCGTTGGCCAGCCTGTTTCCTTTTTGGGGATTTTTCTTTTTCTTTTTTGCGCCGATTCCAATATTTAAGGCCGTTTTATGCCTTAAGCAATCGGTTATTATTCGCTTCAGTATTCTTGAGCTTGCTTTTAATTTCTTTCTGACTTACCTTTCCGCGTATTGGTCCATTTTACATTTGTAGTTGGTTCGTAAGTGCCTGGAGTGCATGCTCTACTACATGCGGTCAAGGCAAACAGGTCAGACGGGTACACTGTCAGCGCGCGGTAGAAGGAGGGGAGACTGCCATTATCTCAGATGACCAGTGTTCAGATCCAAAACCGATCACTATGCGCGCATGCCATATGGAGAAAAACTGTCCTAAGTGGTCTATGGGTCAATGGTCATCGGTATGTACTTGTAGTTGTTTATCGTGAAAAAAAAAGATTTTTAAAATGATTTCGTTTGTCTAAGGGCAAAATCGCTTCTGAGGCAGAACCTATTACTGTCCCAGGAGAACTGAATATTGATAGATTGTCCATGCGCAAGGTTGAGGGGACTGTTCAAGAATTTTTTAATCTTCCTGAGGCGAATAATTCTTTCAATTTGAATTTCCAAAAACGTAGATTTTATTCATTCCTTTGCTTCCACCTTCTCACCAATCACAAAACTGAGAGAGGGAGTCTGGCTCGTAGATCGCATGCTCTTTTTCTAGACTGTACTTGACAGGCGCAGAAGCTGTATATAGCGCGATAATGTGTAATGATTGTGTTGACTTTGAGAAAAGTTTTGAACAGGCTTTAAATGTCTTATAAGAAGCCAATTGCAACCAGTTTGATCCCAAACGCCCTTAAACAATCACCTCACGCAGGGTGATTATGGCGAGATATGACGCAATCCTTAACCAATCGGAGCCTGCGCGTCTCTATTTTCACCTGAGGAATTATTCTCGAATCGCTCTTCTTCTTTTTCTTTTTAAATAAGATAACCGATGCACAATACGAACTCATCGATCGTTGCTTAATTCTATCCTGCAGTGTTCTGCCTCTTGTGGGATGGGCAACAAATACCGAAATGTCACGTGTGAGGCCTTTGAAACGGGTGCCATTTTACCCCAAGAAAGCTGTGACCTCGCTTCGAAGCCGAAAGAAACCGAGAAGTGTAACCCGGGTCCTTGCACTGTAACCTGGCTTGCGTCGAACTGGAGCGAGGTAGGATTGTAGATTTTTCCTTCTTTGTGTGAAAAGTCCTAATTAGGTGAGTGAAATGGACATGATATAAAACATATGAGTTACAATCTCCTGATACATTTGGTCGAGGATATTGGTTAATTTTCAACTCAGATTTATTTAAGTGTTTCAAAAGAGATATATAAAAGTTAGTAACAGACATTATTTTCTCTACATACTCCAATCAAGCTTTGGTCCTTTCTCATCGAATTAAAGAAAAAGAGTAAAAGAAGTTTTGGGATAATTCTTTGTGGAGTATCAAAGAGATCGAGATACTCTTAAAGCAGTGAATAAACATGTACTACATAGTTGCAATAACGTAGAAAGGTATCTTTCATTTCTCACGAAAGAGAGAAAAAGAACAAATCAGGGAGTTTGCTGATTTTATGGTCGATGCACCATCATAGAGTTTTACTTGGTGAACTCGCCCACATACAAGGCTCGTGTGTGACGTGTGCTTTCCATATTGCGAAGATCTGGGGCTAGATTCCTTTAAAGGACAATTTTTTTTGTTTGTACCACGCTTGTAGCAAATTAACGAGTGACACCTTCCTTAACGGTCTTTCTTACTAATAATATATAATTATTTGTTTGTTTATAAATCGTTAGTGTTATCCAAAATGTGGAAAGGGAATGAGCACCAGAATGGTTTATTGCGTGGGCATCGCCAACAACGAGGAAAAGTACCCGGATGAACTTTGTGACATTTCGTCTCGACCAATCAGCAAGAAGGAATGCTTAAGCGAAACCCCGTGCCCCGCCATGTGGCACGCTTCCCAGTGGAGTAGGGTGAGCACCGTGAAACACGTTTTAGTGGATAAAGTCTTTCCGTATTGAAACAGACCTTAGATAGACCCTTTTCCAGTGTGATAACTTAAAATAAAAGTCGCCTTTTCAATTTACACGAAGACTTCGTATCAGCTCCGTATCGTATCAACGCTCGAACAAATACCATATCTTTCTAATCTAACCGAATTTTATTTTACCGCGTGATGTTTCATTCAAGACAGTTTGATTTTAAATTTGTATAGAAAAAGATACTAAAACAGGTATTTAAGCAAAGAATGAGTTTGTCAGAGTTAAAAATGAATTCCATATCGTCAGTCAGTTTAACGTATTTATGTACGGATAATATTTAGAGTATCATTTTCATAACAATCGTATTAACTTCTTTGTGAGAGCAAAACGGCCATAATGAGTGGTTCATGGATCCCATCTGCACACCCTGTACTTTAGACAACTTAGACAGTATAACTAGTATCTTCTTTTTCTGTCACTTTTTCTAGTGTACAGCTACATGTGGTTTGGGGATGCAAATGAGAAATGTTTTGTGTGCCAAACGAGAAGGAGCGAAAACCCTTCGCATCATGCCGAGTGATCAGTGTAAAAGAGAACAAGAGATGTCAAAGATACAAAAGTGTTCTGTCCGACCCTGCCAGGCGGGCTGGTATATCTACCCTTGGGAACCGGTAAGAGGACAATCTCGATGTTTCAAAATTCAGCTTAAAACAATAAACATCAAAAGGGTTTCAGGAAAGCATTACCGCTTAAGCCTCTGCAGAACCTAAAACTGTGCGACAAAAGAGTTTTAGAACTCAAATTCGCTGGAAATAGATCCAAAGTTTTATAAGCTATATAGATTCTTGGCTGTAAACAACCATTCGCCGAAAATTACAATTACTTTCGTGGTTATATTTCTACTCTGTCTTTTTGTTTGCGCTACTCGATGTACATGAATGAAATCCATATTTAGTGGATTCTATTGTTATTGGTCGTGTGGCAATCGGAGTGGCAACGAAGACCAACACACTGAAACTGTTTGGTTTTAAGTTGTGCTTAATTAGTTTTAAGAAAAGATAAAGGTCAACTTAGTTGTTTAAGGGGCGGTACCCCTGGTAAGGACTCGTTGAAACTGATCAGATCGCATGTTACTCAGCTTTCTTTACAGGGAAGCGATAGACAAGAATCGCTAATTGCCCCACCGAGGCCGGGTGCACAGACGAAGGGCTGACGCTCAAAATGTCAGCTTTTAAACTCTTTACGGTGGCCAATTTAGGTTATCAACTCAGTATCACTAAAATACCCTTGGTGCTAGTCAGTCCAGTATCAAAATAAATGCGCGAACAAAGAGCTTGAAGTTCTGTAGATAACAGATAACTAAGAGTTTTTATTTTGGCGCACCAGAATTTAAGTTTTTTGAGTTTGCGTTTTAATTCACACAAATAGTGTTCCAAGTCCTGTGGCCAGGGTGTCAGACGAAGAAGTGTTAAGTGCTTCGCGGACTCAAAGGAGGACATCGAAGAGAAATGGTGCAAAGCGGAAGATAAACCTGTGTCGGAAGAGATATGTGTCGAGAAAGAGTGCGAAGGTTTGATTGTTAATGTATTAAACGAACTTTAAAGTGAGAGCTTCTTACGCAGGAACAGAACGAGCGCAATTCTTTTTTTCAGGGTAACATACCATTTTCTAGAAGTCAATTCGTCTTTCTGCCACTTTATGACCTTTGATCTTATGCCGACATCACTAAGAGCATAATCTTTTCCGTAGACTATGCACTTGAGCTGAAGGAAACGTAAGACTAAAGACTTTTCTAATAAACTCTCGTGAAAAAGCACAAGGATTCGCTAACAGCGACTTTATGATTATATTCACAGCTCCCGTTACAGTAACAACAACAGAGATAATTACCACCACCGAGCCAACGACACAAAAAATTACCACAGTAAATACTATGACTAAAGTCATCACCACAGCTGCAGAAACCACGACTGTGCCTCCGTTAACAACACCAGAAACCACGACTGTGCCTCCGTTAACAACACCAGAAACAACGACTGAGCCTCCGTTACCAACACGAGAAACAACGACTGTGCCTCCGTTAACAACACCAGAAACCACGACTGTGCCTCCGTCAACAACACCAGAAACCACGACTGTGCCTCCGTCAACAACACCAGAAACCACGACTGTGCCTCCGTCAACAACACCAGAAACCACGACTGTGCCTCCGTCAACAACACCAGAAACCACGACTGTGCCTCCATCAACAACACCAGAAACCACGACTGTGCCTCCGACAACTGCTCGAAAGTTGCAGGCAGCGCAGATCGTCCAACCCCCGAAGGATACAAGTAAGTTGACGGGATTATAAAAAAGGGATCAGGTGTAGATTTTTAGGAATTTTCTTCATACAAAGATAAATTGTAGGAGTATTTCTTTTTTCAAAACTTTATCTACTCGTTGCATATTTCCAATACCTGACTAGATAAATGGTTCGTTCAGAAAACATTGAACTTTCGATAAAAGTGCCTTCCTTTTGTTATTTGGAAGGTGCTGGGGGGCAAGTTATATCATGGAGATTTCCAAGCAATTTTCAACTAGGCGTCGAAAAAAAAAGTGGCAAAATGATGCGGCTCAGATGCACATTTAAAACGAATTTGGACGCGTTCAAAATTTTAATTTTTATGAGATTTTTCGTTTTTTATGAAACACCGTTTCGATTACTTTGATTTGGTTACAAGACAGAAATTTGTTCCAGTGAAATCTTCGGGCAAGTGACTTGATACGTTTTACATTTTCAGTGGCTTACGTTGGCACCGAAGTTTTGTTCCGTTGCCGAGCAACAGGCTATCCAGCTCCCGTCATCAGCTGGCGAAAAGGCGCCGTTCCTGTTAGCAGTCTGGATTCAGAAAGGATACAAATACTCAAAAATGGTGACCTGAGGATCATTGACATTAAACAGAAAGATAATGACGTTTACTCTTGCTTTGCAACTAATTGGGTCGGTCCAATGCACACTGTAGAAGCCCGGTTAGCTGTAATAGTCCCAGTCTCCATTTCTGTATCACCGAAAAATAAGACCGTGAGTCCTGGTCAAGATGTTAAGATCACGTGCAAGTCAGGTGGTGTACCAAGCCCCATAGTGGAGTGGTACAAGGACAATTCTCTCATAACCAAACAGGGAAGGGTGAGGGTGTCGAGAACCGATGTTGTTATTTCGCAAGTTCAGCCTTCTGACAGCGGATATTATCAGTGCAGTGGTCGCAATAACTACAGCGGAGCTAGCGACCAAATGTATTTGAATGTGGTTAAGAGAGAAGGTACGTATGGCCTCAGAGATGTTATTTTTTTAATCAATCTTTGTTGCTAACTGGGAAATGCCCACGAAAATTCCTAAGTTCTGTATGTTTGGACGTGGGTTTGGAAAGCTTGGAGATCGAGGGTATTGAACAAGATTTAAATTAAAGCGACACAGGGAATCTTGCGGCTTTTTACTTTCTTTTTTCTTTTTGAGATCCATATCAGAATTTTTTTTCAGTCGTGTGATAAGAGCTCGACGAGATTTGACTTTTCCCAGGTAGTTTACTCTGGGTGTCTGTTATCCTAGCGGGCAAATTTGATTGGAACAATGACGACAGCAATTATGATAACGATGACGATAACGACAATGACACTCTTAATGATAACGCTAACGATTACGACATTGATACCGTTAGCGATAATGATAACGACCACGACAACGATGACCATAAAGATAACGACAGCTGTTGTTATGGTGATCCATTTTTACTGAGACGATTATGCAGCCATGGATGACGAGACTAGGGTATGTGTTTCATCTTGAACACTTGCTAAGATATCACTTTGATATGACTATTTTTTTGGTCTCACAGAACCAACAGAGCCTCCTTACAAATGCGAAGACAATCCAGCGATAGCCCATTGTCAGATTGTCAGGAGAGTAAATTACTGTTGCATTCCCTATTACAAGAAAGCGTGCTGCAAGACTTGTGAAGATCTTTTACCCTCCTGTGATTACTGAATTGGCTAACTCCATGGAAAAACAATTTCAGGAGTGTTCCAGTTGATGACTGCTGTCCTTATAAGGAATATATCTTTATCACATGTACAGCAGCAGAGAGCAGAACACTAGCAAAGTACTCGCGCTTTTTACAAAACCAAAAACATATTTTAAGAAGAGCTATATCGAACTTGAAAGTAACAGCTTCCGAACTACAACAGTCGTGACGATTTTGCGATGCCATCTTTTCTTCACTATCAAGAGACAGTGACGGCTTAATTTTTGTATGAATTCGAATCGTACTTTTTGCTAATAGTTGAGTCAAGATTGTTTCATAGCCTAGAAGTTTTGTAGCCAAAATTCCCATCATAAACTGTGTCAACAAATGCAATCTTTTCATATCAGAAGCTACTTGCAGACACAGGAAAAAATTCTTAAAGAAATATTTATAAGAGAAAGCTTATACTTAGCCTGATGGAAACAATTAATTTCGTCAAGTCTGGTGTTTCAGTTTCGTTTCGTATTCGGGGAAATCAAATATCATTAAATATACGAAAACTCAAACAGAATTGAGCCTATCTATGTGTCTTTTTTTATAGAGAAGCCATTAATTTAAGCGTTCTTAATGCTCTAATACTCTGTCGCATTTTTCTTGGACACTAAATGAATTCATCTAATGCTTGAATTTTCCGCGAAAACCAGGCATCTACTGAAAACTTGCAAGAGATTTTGGAAAGTGGTCTCTGAGAAAGGAGAGAAATGGAAAAGAACAGAGATGGAATTAAAGATAAACATCTTGTCGAGATTAATATGCACGATAACCAAGACAGAAACTTCTCATTTTAACTGGGAATAGGTGGACTTAAATAAGTCTGTGAAAATAAATTAAAATGCTATGACATAAGCCGTCCGCGGTGTGCCAGTTAGAAACTTCCATTTTTATACCGAAGAGAACTGTACTACTACATTTTAACGTATTTTTTTATTGAGTATAAGAATTTTATTCATGAAATGTTCAAATGCTTAGGATACAAAAATAAAGGAAAATGGTTATCACCCTTGTTATTTCAAGAAAACACTTACGGCGCTTAACTCACCAAGGTACAGGACAGACTTCAATGATTGAAATCTATATAGAAAAGAATAAGGCCCAGATAGGACGGTCATAATGGGTGATGGCTTTTACGACTGACGGTTAAGAGCTGTTTATAGAATGTATTCAGTTTATAATGCATATGGTATATAGTAGAGATGGGTGAAGATGAATACCCATAAAAAGCGAGGATAGTTGAGATACCGCTTCGCGAGTCGATTTATGTGTACTTCTTTAAACGGATTGCGGATAATGGATTTTAGTATATACTAGTAAAAGGTGTTGAAGGCGCGCGCTCATTGGCTGCTCAAACTCCGAATATTCTTTGATGAAATATAGAGCAGTATATTTGTTAACTCTTGTCCGCTGGATAGGGATTTATGCTTGGATATAGTGTTCGATAGTGTTATCAGCCCTTTATACAACTGAAATAGCGCTTTTGTGTCTACACTTCTCTCGGCTTTCTTCATACTGTCATGAAATGAAGTCGTTGGTACAGATATGAGAAAATGTGATGAACTTAGAATTACAGCTTAGCTGTCACTGATCGTTTATTATAAAATAATTCAAATAGTACGCGCGCTCTAATTGGCCATAAAACCATTTTACATGAGCGTATGTAAACACGGTTTTCGTTCCTCTTTCATTAGTTATTTTATAAAAGAAATGTAAAATGGTTTCCGTGTTTACATAGCCTGATGTAAACACGCGGGAGGTTGGAAGAACACGAGATAAGCGTAGGAAACCACGACGCGAAGCGGAGTGGTTTCCAGTTTATCGAGTGTTCTCCCAACCTCCCAAGTCGATAAGCTGGAAACCACTTCGCTTCGCGTCGTGGTTTCCTACGCTTATCTCGTGTTCTTCCAACCTCCCGCGTGTTTACATCAGGCTATGAAAACACGGAAACCATTTTACATTTCTTCAATATCTGCGAAGGGAAATTATTTGAGTGTTAGAAATATTTAGCAAAGTGTTTTTACCACAAGAATCTCACCGATATTATGAGCACTGTATTTTGAAATTAATTTTCATTTTGCGCTGAAAATAAAGACAAATATCTACTCGGCTATTGATGAGATGTCTATCGACGTGGTGTCTGACGTCGTAAAAGGCAAAGTCCTACTTATGATATCAATTCTGCGTACGTGGCACGACAGCCATCAACCCACATGTTCCACATTCTTAAGATATTACCTAGTCATCACAAAAAAGTGGTAATAACTTTGCTCTATCATTTTGTCACGTCAATTTTTCCACGTGCGAAACTTGATCACTCTAAAACAGGTGAAACAATTTTCAATTCGTCATTTTTTTAAAAATAAAATCTACACGAAGGAGTTGTTTTTTTCTTTATTTTTACGAAAGTTCATCTCTGAACATAGAGCGAAATAACTTTTGCTGAACTCATGCATATATCGGTGATTCGAAATCACCATGAGAGCAAGTTTTACACAACAGTGACACTATGTAACGCAATACGTTACCTAAGATAACGTGTATTTTGGGTGGCGAATTTTTATTTTACAAAATATCAATACCAAAGAACAATCACTTATATTACTAGCTAAGTTCGTCTAGGGAAAGAATGTGTAAATATATTTTTTTTATGAAGAATGCAAATACGTAAAAAGTCTGACAAACCTTTTTTCCCTTTCATGACGTCATAAAAGTGACGTTGAAACCAAAAATATCACTGCTGGAAAATAAAAGGTTTAAGAGAGTGTCTCTGTAAGAGCGGTCCGGTCGATTTTGCTTGAGACACGGATTTCGCTCGTTTCTCGTGTGTTGTAAGACATTCATGTACCTATACTAAAACCACAATCAGTTTGATCGGATCTCTTTATTTTTCAGAGTTTTACGGAAATTAAATTTCACTCGAGCGAAGGCTTGTCGTGACACTTTTCAAGACTTTAATTTCATACAACTTTGGAGGACAATTTACAAAAAACTACCTTAGAAAAGATAACTACAGAAAAAAACTTTGCGGCCCGACCTTTACGAGAACTTTATAACTCCGTGAACTTACCTAATTTTTTTCGGCGAGGGGAATTCGAACACTAGTTCAAATTTTGCCGCTTGAATTGAAAGTAAAGTTCATTTGAATTGCTTTCTTATATATTTCTGACGGTTTTAGATTTGCCTTCTTGATTTATATCGGTTACGCTTCATGTTGACAAGTCCCTCAAAATGGCGGCCAAACTTGGAGATTGCCGAAAATTAGGTAAGTTCACGGAGTTAAAAATTCTCGTAAAGGTCGGGCCGCAAAGTTTTTTTCTGTAGTTATCTTTTCTATGGCACCTACTTCCTAGCTATGTTAGTTGGATCAGTTAAGAACGCCTCACTTTTTCAAAAATTTACCTTGAATTTGATCGGTTTTGGCGTGTTTGATTTAGGCTAACCGATAAGGTGTCATTCAAGTCTTCCTGTTTCCTTGATTGACACGTGATGTTTACGAAAGTCGCCTCGATAGATAAGATAGAGTTAATATACATGGCTGTGGTATTTGTTTTTTGCTGAGTTCCGTAGTTTTTTGTAAATTGTCCTCCAAAGTTGTAGGAAATTAAAGTCTTGAAAAGTGTCACGACAAGCCTTCGCTCGAGTGAAATTTAATTTCCGTAAAACTCTGAAAAATAAAGAGATCCGATCAAACTGATTGTGGTTTTAGTATAGGTACATGAATGTCTTACAACACACGAGAAACGAGCGAAATCCGTGTCTCAAGCAAAATCGACCGGACCGCCTCACTTTTTCAAAAATTTACCTTGAATTTGATCGGTTTTGGCGTGTTTGATTTAGGCGAACCGATAAGGTGTCATTCAAGTCTTCCTGTTTCCTTGATTGACACGTGATGTTTACGAAAGTCGCCTCGATAGATAAGATAGAGTTAATATACATGGCTGTGGTATTTGTTTTTTGCTGAGTTCCGTAGTTTTTTGTAAATTGTCCTCCAAAGTTGTATGAAATTAAAGTCTTGAAAAGTGTCACGACAAGCCTTCGCTCGAGTGAAATTTAATTTCCGTAAAACTCTGAAAAATAAAGAGATCCGATCAAACTGATTGTGGTTTTAGTATAGGTACATGAATGTCTTACAACACACGAGAAACGAGCGAAATCCGTGTCTCAAGCAAAATCGACCGGACCGCTCTTACAGAGACACTCTCTTAAGGAGGATCGAACAAGGAAACTGAGAAATATTTGCACTGGAGCTTTCAAGTGCAAAGCGTTGTATTTTTCTACGAAGGAAATTTTCTGTTTGTCAGCGAACAGTTCGAGTATGGCTGTAAGATTTGGCCTTGTGCAAAAAGAGAATGGTTCGAGAGTTCCTTTGGAGAGCATCAAGATTAAAGTCGACGTGCAGGGTTTTACAGCACACGTGTTGGCAACGATGAAATACTCGAACAAGGAGAGCAATCCCATTGAAGCAATTTTTATTTTTCCTCTGGATGAACAGGCAGCTGTGTGTGGATTCCAAGCTACAATCGATGGTCGAACCATCGTGGCAGAGGTTCAAGAGAAGCAAGAAGCTCAAGATACCTATGACGATGCCATTAGCAGCGGTCACAGCGCGTTTCTGCTGGAAGAGAGCGACGAAAGCTCGGACATTTTTCAGATTAGCGTTGGAAACTTACCGCCGGAGAAGGAGGCTGTCGTCGAGCTGCGGTTCGTGACAGAGCTTGCCGTCGAACCCGAAGGTCGAGTCGTGTTTGTACTGCCAACGGTGTTAAATCCCAGGTACACTCCTCAAGACAGTGCCCCTAGTCTTAGCGCACAAGTTCCACGAGTAGCCGCCGTTTCATCGCCATACGCGTTCGAGTTTGAGATGAAAGTGAAAGCTATTTCCTCCATCAGTGAGATTTCTTCTTCGTCTAACACTTTGAAGGTCGAGATAAACGAGAGCGATGCAACGCAAGCCAATATAACGCTCGCGGAAGCGCACAAGTTTGACAAAGACGTGGAGATACACATTTTGACGAGAGAACCTTTCAAACCGCAAGCAATCGTAGAGAGAGGAGTGAAAACAGAAGGAACGGAAGACGAGGAAGGATTCATGGGAAGTCCTGTCGTCATGCTGAATTTTTTCCCAGAATTCAAAACCTCAGAGTCGTCGGAAAAGGGCGAATTTGTGTTTGTGGTTGATCGCAGTGGAAGCATGAGTGGAAGCAAGAATGACAGCGCTCGCGAAACACTCCTGCTATTCCTTAAGAGTCTGCCGGACGGTTGTCATTTCAATGTTGTCGGTTTTGGAAGCAGCTACAAGACACTGTTCGATAAAAGTGTACTGTACAATGATGAGAATTTAAAGAAAGCCACCGATCTTGCTGGGAGCATGAAAGCCGATCTCGGAGGAACCGAAATCCTTTCCCCTTTGCAGTGGGTGTTTTCTAAGCCCCTGGTTAAAGGTCACCCAAGACAGCTGTTTCTCCTGACCGATGGTGAGGTTGGAAATACTCAGCAGGTTATAAGTTTGGTCCAAAAGCACTCCAACAGCGCCAGGTATGTATTTTTGTTCTTTTTTATTTGAAATGTTCTTGTGTTTGCTTCTTTGGAAATGTGTTATCTCCATATTTCACAATATTAATTTGTAGTGATTCTATGTAGAATTTTGATTGTTTCTAATTTTTCAGTGCATTAACATAAGCAGCAGAGTGGGGGGGAGGGGGAGGAGGTGGGATGGGATACAGGGAGACTACAGCCCCCTCAAGTGCAGAAAAGAGCAGTTCTGCCCCCCCCCTCTCCCACACACATTTAAGTGCCAATGATATTACCAGAGCAGCATAACATTAGTTTGACAAACATTCAGTCTTGTTGTCTTTTCAAATCATTTCATCAGGATCATGCTTGGCAAAATTATATGTGGTTGGACTTTTTTATTTGAATGAAAAGCTCTGGCTTGTGTGCAAGAAGCAAAAACAATCAGGGGAGGAAAAATAATAGGCAGAGTATATACTTGGTTTAGTACACAGGATGCACCCTGCTCCCCTCCCCTTCCCCCCCCCCACCCATATACCTCAGCGCACTTTGCAATGTGTTTTAATCTTTAATTGCGAGTTTTAGGCCAACAGTATAATCTGTACCTTACCTGGAAAACATAGGAATTAGTACATGTAGGTCTGTTAGAGATTTTATGTATGTAGTATTAGGCATTTAAGATCTTTTTTCCCTTGGGAGCAGGGCTATTTTGTTTTCCCATCATGAGTCCTAACCCTTTAACTCCCAAGATCTTATTATTGATTCTCCTTAGTGTCTCCCATATAATTCATATGATGTTAGTTTGGAGAATTTGAAATTGGATCAACAAATAATCCACTAATTGATGTTTTTCTTTATTCTCATTATTTGTCTGCTTGATATTGTACTGATACTGTAAGGAGAAATTCTTTCTAGGTCACTAGTGGGACTTAAAGGGTTTAAATTACATCATCCTGCATGAATTCTTGGTATTTGGTGTAAAGACTTTTGTTATTACAGGTGTATTGATATCTCATAGTGAAAAAAAATTGGTTTTATCAGTACCTCTCTATATCAATGATTTTTCCCAGCTAGAGGGTCGTAGGGATAATCTGCTACACTCCTGCAGAATGACCTTCTGGTTCCTGTCAGAGGGCATAGTCTCTCACTTTTTGGCAATCAGTTGTAAAGAAATAAACTGTGGGAGTGTTGAAAATTTTAATGAAAATTTGTGGGGAATACTGGAAAATAAACACATTTTGGACTTGTAATATAAGGCCTACCCTTTTCCCAACAAATTTTCCTCTTGACTTGATTCTGAAGAAGAGTATTTTCTCATGATTCAATTGTGTTCAATTATTGTAGGTGTTTTACATTTGGCATTGGGGCTGGTGCATCAACTGCACTCGTCAAAGGAGTTGCCAGAGTGGGGAAGGGGACTGCAGAGTTTGTCACAGCCAGGGAAGACCGGTTGCAGGCCAAGGTATGAAATTGTTTTATTTGAAATCTGTTTTGTCATAGTCAAACCTCCATGATCAGTAGATAATTTTAAAGACAACTTGAGTGAGAACCAGAACCATTAAACTGTCTTTTGAACCTTGCACCTCCTGGGTTAGAGAATTTGATATTTTATTTACAGACACTTATAATCACCAACATGATTAAGTTCATTATGCTCATCATTTGTGTAAATTAACAAAGCATTAGATACTGAAGATAGAAGACACATGCTGACTACTTCTGTACTGAGCAAAGGGAAGGAGAAGTGTCTTTATGTGGGAGGCTATACAGCTGTAGTTAAAAGTTTGTATCTTTTTGGCACGTCAGTAGACTTCTATGTAAGCTTAGTGAAGACTTACAGTGTATGTTGGCACTGTTTTTTTCTTGAAGTGATTGTTGCAGTAGTTGTCCTTCTGAAAGCTATGTACTTTAAAGGTTACTTACACATGACAATCTCGTGAAAATATTTGACACATACTCTGTTTGGTCTCTTTGACAAGGACTTTCAATAGCCATTCTCCATTAAAACCTTGGAGGAGTTTTGTGTCATCACTTTCTAGTTTCGTTTTGCTGTTGTTGCTGTTCTCTGCACTGTAGAATGCCTTATTATGTGACAAGACTCTGTTGTTACTGTTCTCTGCACTCTAGAATGCCTTATTGGGTGACAGTACTCTGTTGTTACTGTTCTCTGCACTCTAGAATGCCCTATTGCGTGACAGGACTCTGTTGTTGCTGTTCTCTGCACTCTAGAATGCCTTATTGTATGACAGGACTCTGTTGTTGCTGTTCTCTGCACTCTAGAATGCCTTATTGTATGACAAGACTCTGTTGTTGCTGTTCTCTGCACTCTAGAATGCCTTATGGCATGACAGGATTATTTGAGTACAAGTGATACTGCATGATCTACTTGTCTTAATGCTAAGTTTTACATCTTTCAAAACAACATATTTTTAAATATCCCCAGTTGTGAGTTATATCAAATGAAAACTTTTATATTTTGTACATTAATACTAAAAATGTGGTATAAGTTTTACATTTTGTTGCAAAGTTTAAGGGTGCATTAAATTAATATTTATATGTTTATTGTTAAGTGTTTTACATGATTGGTTAAAATCGAAAAGGGCATGACATGCATTACTTGGTAGTCTTGTGCTATGTTTTATTTAAGCCTTCTCACCCTAACATCAGTATGCATTCTCTCTATACTGTTCTCTATATATTTCGTAAGGTACTAGCAAGAAGAATTTGTTTAAGAATCAAGAGGCTCTTTAGTTTGTGATCATTTCCTGTCTTCTCTTGACCTTCATGTTTGATTCCATGGTGCTATTGTAAGGAGAAACTAGATGCCAGTCACTCTAATGGGTTGAAGAGTCAAGCATAATTGATTTCCTTCAATCATATCTGTCAAAGAATTGGCAGAAAGGATTTTGTTACACAAAAGTAGGAAAATCTGGTGCTCTGTTCAAGGAGATTTGCACATGTTATTGGCAACCGTCTGTCTCGGAAGACAATGGAAATCTGCACCTAAGAAGTAAAATCACGTCAAGCTGCACCGCCGGCTGTGGCTGTGAAGCCCAATACGGGAGCCGCAGACCCGCTGGCATTTTGCGCAGGTAAAGTCATTTGTGGGGGTTGGTGGGATGGGGGCAGACTGGAGCCTCTGTCGCCTGCGAGTCCTCTTCACCTCCCACTGGCTCTCCCTCTTCAACTCGGCTTGTTTGACGCCGGCCTTGACAGTCGATCGCCAGAGTGTACGGTCGGCTCATCTTTGTCTTGATGGTCAACAGGGAATTGTTCCAAACTCTCTTTTCGAGGCGAGCCATTGCCGTTGCTGCTTTTCCTATCCGAACATTGAGCTCAGAGTCCAGGGATAGGTTGCTAGAGATACAGGAGCCAAGGTAGGTGAAGTTGTCGACTACCTCTAAGGCGTGCTCGCCAATGGTGATGTGTGGGGTGACGCTGACACCTTGGCCCATGATGTTAGTCTTTTTCAGGCTGATGGTTAGGCCAAAGTCATTACAGGCTTCCGCAAAGCGTGTGATGAGCCGCTGCAGTGCCTCCTCGGTGTGGGCGGTGAGGGCAGCATCATCCGCAAACAACATTTCCCTGATGAGAACTCTGCGCACCTTGGTCTTAGCACGGAGGCAGGCAAAGTTGAAGAGGTTCCCGTCGCTCCTGGTGTGGAGGAAGATGCCATCTTCAGACTCGCGGAAGGCATAGCACAAGAGAAGGGAGAAGAACACACCGAAAAGTGTCGGGGCCAGGACACACCCTTGCTTCACGCCGTTCTTGATTGGAAAGGGGTCTGAGGATGATCCGTCAAACTGGACTGTACCGTTCATGTCAACGTGGAAGGATGTGATCATCTTCAGGAGCTTTGGCGGACACCCAATTCTTTCCAAAAGGGCAAAGAGACCGTTTCTGCTCACCAGGTCGAAGGCCTTGGTCAGGTCGATGAAGGCAAGGTAAAGTGGGCGTCTCTGTTCGCGGCACTTCTCTTGAAGCTGTCTGAGGGAGAATACCATGTCGATTGTCGATCTCTCTGCACGGAACCCGCATTGCGACTCTGGAGAATTGCACATGTAGTTTTGTGCTTTTGTGTAATTTTGTTTTTTCTTGACTTTGGTTTAATGTGGAAGAGACTTTCAGATTTCAAGGGGTTGACATCTTTTCTCAATGCAAAGAAGATCTTTCTGTTAGAAATTTAGATGTACATTTTCTGCTGTACATTTTCTTGTTGTTTGTAAGAATATTTGTCTAAGTATTTACTGACTCACCTCGAGGCTGGCCAAACTTTGCTAACTTTAAATTAACAGGTTATCAAGATATTAAAACGAGCCCGGCAACCTGTCATCACAGATGTGAGCATGACCTGGAAACTAGACAAAGGCTGGACTGTGCAGCAGATCCCCTCGTCTCTTCCTCCGCTTTTCAGTGGAGACAGGCTTGTGGTTTATGGCGTTCTGAAGGCGTCTGAAAACAAAAAAAGTGGCAGCGGACTGAATGAAGTGAGACTGATCATATCATTCAGTTTGCATCCCCCGCCATAGAAGACAGCTGGGATACAGATGCAAAAACCGGAAGAAGAGTCCTTCTTCATCGGCTAGCAGCTAAGAATTCCATCCAAGAAAAACAGGGTGACGTCAATGAATTGGGCGACAGTGGGCCAAGGTCTGAGAAAGCTAAGAGCTATGTTATCAGCATCAGCAAGTCGACCAATGTGGTATCAAAGTTGACGTCGTTTGTGGCTGTTGACAAAGACAGCTGTGAGCCTGTATCTGGACCGCTTCAAAAACAATTGGCTAAGTATGCCTCAATGCCAGTGTTTGGGGGAGGTCAATTAAAACTACAGTCTGCTAATATTCCGTGGGGAGGCGGATTTTCATCTGGAACTCCTCTTTTCGCGTTGTCGGCTCAGTCTGCCAATGTTTGGGGAGGCGGAATTGCATTTTCAGCTCCTCCTCCTCCACCTCCTGGAGCGATATCCACTCAATCTGCCAATGTATGGGGAAGCGGAAGTGTATTTGGAGCTCCTCCTCCTCCTTATCCCCCTTCAGGAGCGGCGTTCGCTCAGTCTGCTGGAGCGGTGTCTGCTCAGTCAAAAGGATTCTTCTCTTCGCTGTTTGGGGGCTCACTGAAGAAAGGAAAAGGAGAAAAAGCAGCACATTCCCATGCAGCTCTAAAATCAGTAGGTGTAGCGGCACCTGAAGCTAAGGTGGAAGGTGAGAGTGGAAGCTACAAGGCCTTTTATCCTCCAACAGTTATACAGAAAGGTTCCTATAGTGCTCCTCCAGTTTCCGCTCACAACCAGAAAAAGAAAGGTTCTCAATCTGCCTTGTCAGTTATTTCATTACAAAAAGCGTCAGGGTCTTGGGACCTCACAGATCAGCTGGTGTCCTTGTGTGATGCAAGTAGAAGTGATTTGATCAAAGGATGTCTAAAGGGGATTGCAGCTGACACAGCTGAAGGAAAGCGGTTGTGGGCCACCGCCCTGGCTCTGGTGCTGCTGATGGGAAAATACCCGGATCAGAAAGATGAATGGGAAATGATCGCTGAAAAAGGCAAAAAATGGCTCAAAAAGAACCTCCCGGGGAGTTTAACTCTGGATCAAGTGCTAAAGAGTGCAGCAACCGCAGTGGGAGTTTGGGTCAATACTGGACTGTGACTAGAGAAATATTTAACAATATTTTAAATCTTTTTTCACAATTACCTCAGTGACATGAATTTGATGTAAAACACAGAACCTAAATCGCTTCATTACTTTAGCAGCTAAACGTAGGCTGTCCGTTAGTCCAGGTTTGCCTTAGTGCTGACTCAAATCCCATCAGAATAGCATGAAAAAAAATAAAGATAGACTATGTTTGATCTGGCCGGACAGTGACGGAATTTTTCTTGTTAGTAGGCCAATCAGGCCGATCAATTTTGGATCAGTGGCAAGATTCCCAGTTAAATTTTTATTGGTGATCGAGATGACGTTTTTACTAACTTGTTTGAAAATTATCTACAGAAACAAAGAGAATAATTGGTACCATGCTTGTTTCTCCCTCCACTTTGTGGTAACTTGCAAAGAAGCGACAAAACGTAAAGGACTAAGATTACCAAGGGGCCAAGAAACCCACTGGTTTTCTCTCAGTCGTTCGGTCTTTCGTCTCGCACCTTGGACAATGAATAATTCAGCAGGCGTTATAATGTAGTTAAAATACTTTGTCGAGTTTTTGTGAATTGTTGGAATTTTTACTCTCAAGTGTTAAAAGAGTTCCGCAAATATACCGCAGTTGGCGTGTAAAGTTATTTTAACGTAATGCATGGGCAAACGAATTAAGGACGAAAATTTTCACAATTTTAAATCAAATTAATTGAGTAGCACTGTCATACATGTTATACTTTTAGTGTCCCTCTAAATAAATAGGAAGTTAACTAGCGTTAGGTCATGAAATAAAGATCGAAAAGAGAATAATGTGCGAAACTTGTATGCAAACTTGTATGTAATGAAAGATTTTACCCTTTCACTCAAACGAGTGACTGACTTCTAATTTCTCATTTCAGTATCTCTCTTGAATTGACTGTAATGGTCATGAGAATATTGGAAATGATCACTAATTTTTTTCATAACCATAGAAAATGTAAAGAGAACAGTATGGAGAGTATGAATTTTAATGTTAGAATGTAAAGGGTTAATTACCATTCCTGATCGTTACCTCTGAAGCGAGAAAGTGATGACCGGCTGGAGCCTGGGAACAGTCACCAGTAATTTTTGATATTTCCTCTAATGGTGGATTAAGAAAAGAGCATTTGATAAGCTTTTTTTACGCAATAATTGAAATCTTATGAAATAGCATTTAATTTCTCCCTACAATATCGCCCCTGAATCGCACATTAAGGTCATGAGAATAAAGGAATTGATCACCAACTAAAGAAGCTCTTAACTGTTAAACAAATTTTCCCAATTAGCATCTTAGCAAATACTTAAATAACAGTACGGGAATATGCATACTGATATCAGGGTTTAAAGTTAAGATTGACTCTTTTATTACGCAGCTTTCATTTTTCATTTTTTTTTTGTTTTTTTTGGTTTGTTTTTTAAGCCAGCCAATGACCAAATAGAGAGTGAAAACTAATCTCGCACTCATATCCTACCGTGAAACCACTTGGGCGTGGGAGTCTGGGCACGAGACTAAGTGAGGACAGTAAAGCAATACACTCGTCTGATAGGTCCCAGTCCTTCAACCTACATGCGTAAGAAAGTACCGGCTAAATGAATAATGGTTTAAACTCAACTTTTTTTTTTTTAACAGATTCCCAATCAGTTGAACGTCATCGATCAATAATCCAGTAGAGCTCAGCACACGACATCTATTTGCCCGACGCGAATCTATTTTTTTAGTTCTACCTGCTGATTAGTTTTAATCTTTTGTATTATGTATGTGTCAGTGGCTTCACTGTAAAATTTTAGGCAAACTGAACACTATCTTACTTTGAACTTTTAGGTTATCAAGACTTTAAAGCGAGCCCTTATGCCTGTCATCGCAGATGTGGGCGTGGCCTGGGAGCTAGAAAGCGGCTACACCGTGCACCAGATCCCCTCATCTCTCCCACCGCTATTCAGTGGCGATAGGCTCGTGGTGTATGGTGTTCTAAAGGTGTCTGAGAACGCAAATGATTGCAACAGCATTAACGTGGTCAGGCTTCAAGGAGCTGTAGAAAACGGTGGTCAACTGGATCATAAGATTGCGTTCACAACCTCGGCAGTAGATGACAGCTTGGATACTGATAACAATGAATCTGACGTAAATGTAAATCATCTTCATCTTTTAGCAGCCAAAACTACCATCCAAGAAAAACAAGATGAGTTTAACGAGTCCAGGGACTACGGGCAAGTGTCTGAGGAAGCAAAGAGCTACATAATCAGCATTAGCAAGTTGGCCAATGTTGTGTCACAGCTCACCTCCTTTGTAGCCGTTGACAAAGACAGTCGCGAACCTGTTTCTGGACCACTACGTTACCATAAGTTACACAAGGTTTCATGGTATTGTAGCTTGGGTTCTGTTGATGCTGCGCTGATGGGTGAATATTCAAAACGATCTTATAGGGGCAAAACAAAAGGGGGTTTTGGTTGTTTTAGCTTTAAGGGCAAAAATAGTCGAAATAAAGCTAGTAAGGGAAAGTCCAAGGTAAAGTCAGAAGGATTTTTGTCAGCGCTATTTGGAAGTTTACGAAAGAAATCGAAGGGAACAGTAGCATCAGCGGAACCTTCATCAAAAGGCGCAACATCAGCTGAACCATCGTTAAAAGGAGCAGCATCACTGGAACCATCATCAAAAGGCGCAACATCAACTGAACCTGTGGTCTCTGATGTTGAAGAACGATCCGAAGACGATGACAATTTATCTCTCGGCAGGGAATCGCGTCGCCCGAATTCTAAAGATCCTTCAACAAGTATGTGGAAGAGCTCCCCATCCCCTCAAAAGAGTCCTCAATCTGCCTTGACCATTATCGGATTACAGAAAGCGTCAGGGTCTTGGGACCTCACAGAGCAGCTGGTGTCCCTGTGTGGTATGAGTAGAGATGATTTGATCAAAGGGAGTCCAGAAGAGATTGCAGCTGAAACAGCTGAAGGAAAGCTGTTGTGGGCTACCGCCCTGGCTCTGGTGCTGCTGATGGGAAAATACTCGAATCAGAAAGATGAATGGGAAATGGTCGCTGAAAAAGGCAAAAAATGGCTGAAGAAAAATCTTCCATCAACTGACACATTCACTAAAGTGCTAAACATTGCAGCAGCTGTGGTTGGGGTTCAAGATATTCCTGAACTGTGATAAGGAATCGGAGAGCCATGTTTTCCTGCATATCGAAAGTGGTTCAAAGTTGATGGAGAGAATTCTGGATAAAATTATTGTGAATGACTGACAGTGTCTCCGGTGCTACTTGAATGAAAATTAGTCTGAATTTAGGAGATCATTCAACATACAAAAAAGCTGTAGCACGGTTATTGAATTTCGTGTCAGCATCAGTTTGCAAGAAGGTATTAAGCAGGCGTAAAATACATCACAAGAAGCCCTTTGTGGCCCGTTCAACCAAAACATTTCGGTGTCCCTGCTACAATCATCTTGCGCGGTGTGATTATCGTGGGAATTGACGCGATCTTCGACCAATCAGAAGGCGAGAATCTTTATAATCAGGTCAGAACGCTACGCTAGAAGCAAGAGTATTATTTGTTAAACATTTCGTTGGCTTACAGAATCGGAGGAAAAAAAGAATAACTGAAAAGAAAGCTATTATGTAGTGAACAATTTATTAAAATTTTTATGAAAGGTTGTTAAAAAAAAACGAAAAAAAGAAAAGAAAAGAAAGCCAGAAAAGAAAACCAAAAAGAAAAACCAAAAAAGAAAACCCAAAAAAACAAATTAAACATGCGTGTAAGAAGCCAATATAGAAATAGTTTCTCTTACTGGCGACACGAACTCTCCGTGGTTAGTAAAAAATATTTGGTGTGATGCTGTTGTTTTGTTTATATAAGTAGTGTTGCGAAATAATTTCCTAATGTGACAAGGAGTCTTCCTATGAATAATACTCTCAGAAAATACTTATGGGTTTCACTCTAATATCAAAAATTTTGTAGCCTTGGTAACCGGGCTATTTCACCTTCTCATGTATAAAGAGCTGTTGAGGAAAGAGCTTAAAACAGAGTCAGTCTGATTGAACGGGTTTAATAGGAGATACTTTAAAAAGTTTACTGTTTCTCCGCGCCTGACGCACCAAAGAAGCAACCAGGTGGGAGAAAGCTAGAGTCGTTTGGTCGCTCGCTCGGCAGAGAGAGGCACCGTGTGATCCAGTAGAACCGGTTTAATGTCCTAGGAACACAATACAATAAACATTGTCGAGTATCGAACCCGATCACGTGGTTTGGAGTTGGTCGTCACTTTCAAATTTATCATATATAAAAAAGAACTCAGAGTTTAGCAGAGTGGAATGAGGTTTGGTGCAAATTTGTTGTACTGTGCTTTGGAGGAGGTTTCATTACCGGGGATTTTTCTTAATTTCGGCTACCTATTTTGCAGGTAAACCTGCTGAAAATACCAGCTTGTTAGTTTAAAACGTCTTGTGTTGACAGCCATTCCTGTCTGCGGTGAAATACACGAAAGGCTCCAGTCTCTGGTCGACCGCCTAAACTGACTAAATGAGTTTTGTCGGCGGAGCTTGTCAGCGGATGACTTTTTCATCGTCGGAATATCGCTGAACGACCTCGCTGAACAAGCTAGACTGTGCCTTCTCTTCATTATGTAAGTAGCCATTTCTTGTGTGACTCATCGGTGTTTTCACATTGATATTTCATTGTTCCGCTTCGAGACACGCGGTTAACCATACTCACGAGCAAGGAGTTAAGATATAAGTTATTACTGGAATACCTGTGGTAGCCCAGTCATAAAATGCCTTTGTTTTTTTGTCGTTTTTTTACTGGGATACCTGTGGTAGCCCAGTCATAAAATGCCTTTGTTTTTTTGTCTTTTTTTTTTTTTTTTTTTTCCTCCGCCACAAAATGGAAAAATTGCGCAATAGTACCCAGTGGTCATTGCGCCCTCAACACCATGACAACTAACTGTGATCCAATGAGGGTGAAGGTGTTCACATGCTGATCACGTGTTATCTTGATAATGATTGACGTTGTCATGCACGGACAGGTCCGGGTCACATGACGAACACGAGATTTTTGCTTAGAAAACTCTTTTGTCGGTCGTTTTGTATTTCAACGTGTTCTGATTACGATCACCTGAAGCATTATAGCGCAAACGCTCGAAATACTTACAGACGCATACACAAGTCGTATTGTTCGCCGCCAATCCACACTAAAAGATGTTATTGAGCGGTAATTTTGGACCGGATTGAGTCGCGAACTGTGTATCCGTTGAAGTTTCTGGTGATTTCTGCCGTTTTAAGCTTGCTTTACCATCACTGTTATTCACATAATCTACTTTTGTTACGTTGGTAAAATCTGTACAGACATCACACAAACCAACTCGCGCACAAAGTAAGAAGAGTATATTGAAGGCTTGAAATTATATTACGATCGATTTTCATCAAGAAATGGGCTAGGAATTTTCCACAATAGTGCAAATAATCGTGAAGGCTGATCGAGGAAAAGCGATTGCGTGACGCTCGGTAAGCTGTAAGATGACATGTTATTATTTACCAGACGTAAAAACTCTTCAGATTCTCAGTCTGCATTTTGTACCCACTCTGCAGTCTCCAGTCTATATTTTGTATCCGGTCTGCTGACTGCATTTTGTACTAACAGGTATCTGTGGCACCGATACAGTTTATTTTTGGTTACATTTATTCGCACAACACACATAATCTACCACAAAATACCTGTGTGTGAGGTAATTCGACATTTTCGTTCTTTTCCACGTTAATACTCTTCTTTCCTTTTGTAAGAATGTAGACCACAAGTAATCCACCCACCCTACAAAAAATAACTCTTGCATGCATAGCATGCCTATGTTTTGAAATAGGTGTATGCCCTTATCCAGACTTGAGCTCACTATTTCAGTATACTAATCCGACACCCGTAGTATCACTACACTTGATTCCAAGGATCCAGTACCATCCAGGTATCCCAGTTACCCTGATCACAGGGTCTAGTTTTTTTTTTCCTCCGCCGCAAAATGGAAAAATTGCGCAATAGTACCCAGAGGTCATTGGGCCCTCAACACCATGACAACTAACTGTGATCCAATGAGGTGTTCACATGCTGATCACGCGTGTTATCCCTCAACACCATGACAACTAACTGTGATCCAATGAGGTGTTCACATGCCGATCGCGCGTATTATCTTGATGATGATTGACGTTGTCATGCACAGACAGGGCCGGGTCACATGACGAAGCACGAGATTTTGTTTTGTACTTCAACGTATTTGGATTGCGATCTCCTGGAGCATTATGGCGCAAACGCGCAAAATACTTACAGACGCATATACAAGTCGTATCAATCGCGGCTTATCCACACTGAAAGATGTTATTGAGCGGTAATTTTGGAACGGATTGAGTCGCGAACGCTTGAAAGCCATGAAAGCCTTGAATGCCTTGTATGCTAAGTATGCCAATGTCTTAGTTGAAAAACGTTCACTTGTAAAAAGCAAAATCTGAAATCTGAAATCTGAAACCAAACTGCATATACTCTATGCATTCTATTGAACAACACTACTACCGTGAGACTGAAGAACATAACTATAATGGATGCAAACTGCTTGTGAAGAAAGACGACATGTTGGATTCACTTGATAGCAAGGAACGTAGCTACGATAACAGTACGAATGGTATTAATTTCACGATCAGAAAGGTGAATCTTATGTTTGTTTTCATTTTAGTTGTATGGATATTCTTTTTTTAATAAATACGTGATCCAAAACCCTGTGTTTTTTGTGTATAATGTTAGTATGTTAAATATTGTTTACGCCATTGTCTTGTCACAGGCGGCCTAAGCTCACGTCTCGAGAAAAAGCCAATGATTAATTCATGAACGCGTCACGCGTTGTGTGACTCGGTGTTAAGTTACGAGATGAACTGCTCGTTATGAGGAATAGTATAGGGAACGAAGTATGGTTGATTTACAACGATACATATTTCGAAATATGAACATTTTTCTCGTAAAATCAATAAAACTTACTCATACCCTGTGTATCCGTTGTATTTTCTGGCGATTTCTGCCGTTTTAAGCTTGCTTTACCATCATTGTTATTCACGTCATCTACTTTTATTACGTTGGTAAAATCTGTATAGACATCACACCAACCAACTCGCGCGCAAAGTAAGAAGACTATATTGAAGGCTTGAAATAATATTGCGATCGATTTTCATCAAGAAATGGGCCAGGAATATTCCACAATAGTGCAAATAATCATGAAGGCGGATCGCAGAAAACCGATTGCGTGACGCTCGGTAAGCTGTAAGATGACATGTTCTTATATACCAGACGTAAAAACTCTTCAGATTCTTAGTCTGCATTTTGTACCCACTCTGCAGTCTGCAGTCTATATTTTGTATCCGGTCTACAGTCTGCTGTCTGCATTTTGTATTAAGAGGTATCCGTGGCACCAATACAGTCCATTTTTGGTTACATTTATTTGCAAAGCACACATAATCTACCACAAAATACCTGTGAGTGAGGTAATTCGACATTTTCGTTCTTTCCCTCATTAATATTCTTCTCTCCTTTTGTAAGAAAGTAGACATCACTCACAATGTTTCAAGTAATCCACCCACCCTATAAAAAAGTAACTCTTGCATGCATAGCATGCCTATGTTTTGAAATAGGTGTATGCCCTTGGCCTGACTTGAGCGCACTATTTGAGTCTACTAGTCCGACACCCGTAGTATCACTACACTTGATTCCAAGGATCCAGTACCATCCAGGTATCCCAGTTACCCTGCTCACAGAGTCTAGTTTAAAAATAAAATCTACACGAAGGAGTTGTTTTTATTCTTTATTTTTACGAAAGTTCATCCCTGAACATAGAGCGAAATAACTTTTGCTGAACTCATGCATATATCAGTGACTCGAAATCACCATGAGAGCAAGTTTTACACAACAGTGACACTATGTAACGCAATACGTTACTTAAGATAACGTGTGTTTTGGGTGGCGAATTTTTATTTTACAAAATATCAATACCAAAGAACAATCACTTATATTACTAGCTAAGTTCGTCTAGGGAAAGAATGTGTAAATATATTTTTCTATGAAGAATGCAAATACGGTAAAAAGTCTGACAAACCTTTTTTCCTTTTCATGACGTCATGAAAGTGACGATGAAAC